TCTCACCCAAAGTTGCCACCAATGTCTCCTTTTACCGCTCTGTTCCCACTAATTCAACCTCTCTGATAACCATCATCGCCCCACAATCGCTCTACCGTCATTGGAATCACCCTAGAAGACATCAAGATCGTGTTCTGACATGGGTCGCCCTTTCCCATTGCCGACGTGGTAGCTATTTCCCTCCATGAAAAGCACCACATCTTGGACATGTTAAACTCCTCAATTATGCTATCCCAGCTCATTTCATTGTGGTCTTGTTGTCCTGGATTGACTTGACCATTTGGATTAAGGAAGAAGAAAGTGGTTGGGGAAGTACGTGTTCGCAAAAAAAGGGGGTGCGACGGGGTGGCTGGCTGGTGAGCAATCGCCAAAAAATGTGAGCCGCGCACGAAGATTGCTACCCGTGGCACCACATAGATTGACGAATATGGGGAAGCAGTACGAATTAGATCTCCTCAAGAAAAATTTGTGCCGAAAGTGTGTCTGAAAAATTCATTGATGGTGTTGGATTGCTCGTGGGAGGATTGGTTATCTGGTTAAGTGGTAGAAATACGTCAGGACAGGGACGCGCATATGAAATTCGTCCCCATATACTGAAGAATTGATCGAATTGATTGTATTAACTCTTTCTCTCTATAATATTAGACTTATCTGAATAATCTCAGTATCCATGGGTTGATTGGCTATGTTGCTCGTTGCAAGCGCTATTATTTTGATCTCCTGGTCCTCAATGGTACCTCATGAGCTACGAACGTAATTCACATTCAGTGCTCTTAAATAAAGTAATCATTTTTTATCTATCTTAGACTTCAAGGCATCTAAAAGCAGCTGAGGCTATTCTACCATCCAGTTGTCCATGCCTATCCCCATTTCTATAATCTTGCAATCCCCTTGGTACTCGAGATGAGATAAAGCAAATGGTCACCAAAAACTTGATATCATTCTTCTTAGGTCATTGAACTTCCTGGATATATTCGTAAATAAATGTAGAGTTGTTTGTATTACTTTGGTAATTTTTGAAAGCTTTTTGATTAGTGTTTGGGTGGTAAAGTCACTAGCTTGGCCTTTTTTATACTATCTCAATAATATTACTAATGAAGGGCAAGACAGCTAAATCTAAAGCCAGAAATGGTCTAACAGAGCTCAGATTAATCTTATGCATATTTTTCACAACTTTATGATTTTATTGGAGGTTCAGCTAGCCCGTTTCTTCTGGGCCACAAGCGAATTAAATCAACACCAAAGTATGGAAAAAAAGAAGTATTTCAGAGCTCCAGAACTAATCTTCATGGTTCTTTAAAGCCTATAAATGCGACACCTAAGTTTCACGATTTTTCAGGAACCTCAAGTGCTTTTTGGACTGGAAGTACCCCGGCTTCTCTTGGGTTCCGACGTGTTAAACTGACGCATCATGAAGAGCATTATAGCAAGTAAATATCCCTAGAATTATTGATAGGTGGGACTTCTTATTTCACGGCCCACGGTATATATATTTAGTAATATCCTACTAGTCATCTTTCATAAATCTTGGGTATTTCTTAAAATGCGGGTTGTGGTTTTGCTTATGTGCTGCGATTCTGGAGGGCGAACATAAATGCAAAGTTTAAAACAGTTACCAAAAATCGAAATCTGCTTCAAAATTGAACACAGCGTAGAGTATAGTTTCTTAGGTCGTGAAATATACGTGGTAGAGTTTTGAAGAGCTTTCGACGGCTCTAAGTGGTATTTTCGTAGCGTTGCTCAAAATGAAATTCTCGCACATACAAAGTTAGCAGGGATAGAAGTACTTAAGAAAAGGAGAATGCTGGAAATATTGTTATGTCAAAGATACATAGTATGCTGAAGGATATGGCTTTGCAAGGATACATTAGGTTGCTTCACGTATTCGACCTATCCCAGTCAGTTTTTCAGTTGAGGCGGCGAATTACCTCCATGAACAACAAAGTAGGTGGCTACAACAGAAAGGACGTCAGTTAAAAGGAAGAAATAGTATCTTCTACGTTAAATAATCTTCTCGAGTGTTGTAATACTATTTTTCTCGCCTTTATTCTGTCCTTTTCTTTCGAGATGAGCTCCAGCTTACGCGTTCTTAAAATGTCTAAATCAACAATTTTAAATCAGCCACAAATTATCGTATTGAAAGTGTAGATGTTGGTTAAACTTTCCCTTCTAAAGAGGTTATTTCTTGATAGTTTGGCTTTAAATTAATAAAGATGAATGAGAAACAGATTTTTACTTCCGCTCACTCTGGGGTGGATGGTACCAGAAGCCAAATGTACATCAACACTAAATCCACACATATCCATGAAATAAAGCTCAATAATCAAGTGAATATTATGTAGAGCTTAAATCTATTCAACTTTTCTATCGATTCATCTCTGATGGGGCGAGTTCTTCTGACTTCGTCCTTGTGCCATGTCCACGTAACCCCTTTGACTAAAAGGAAGCCTGCTACTTGAAGGATCATACAATGGTATTCGGGATAATATTAAATACTTTTAGTTTGCCCGGTCTGTGTCTAATTCTTATCGAGCTTTTGAAACCATTGAAACGCCCAAATAGGCAAGTCGATCAAACATACGAAAGCAATTGATGAACCGGAAACGGAAAACATATGAGACCGCCCAGTAACGATTAGAGGAGATATTATTCGACCGATGAATATATAAAGCTCGTTTCTTCCCTTCGTTCTTTCAACATCATCAAACAAAAATGGCCGCTCAAACTACTCAGAACAAGAACAACACTCCAAAGGACAACAACTTGAACAAGCACGCTGGACGTGGTGCTGTTCCTTTCATGTGTACTATCGTTTAGATCAATACATAAGAATTACTTAACTTTTGATATTTGTAGAAACTGGAACCATATAATGAGGTGAAGCTCACTTCAGGAAACAAGAAAAGAAAAGAAAAAAGAAACCTTCAATTTGAAGATGTTTAGAGTTCAGAAGAAGCCCAGTATCACTTCGCTTGATCTTTGACCTTTTTTTCTACCATTTATGATTTTTTCTCTGATTCTTCTTTCATTCTAGTTTTTATCTGACTACGACCTGGTAAATTTTTTTTTGACGCGCTTCAGAAAGTTGACCAGGATCAAAACATACTACTCCAGGGAAGAAACCTAAACTCCAATATGGCTCCAAAAGGCTTCATTGAAGGTTGAACAGGACGAGACAAAGCACAGGATTACGATGATGTGCTTTGTTTTCCAAGATACTTATTCTTGGGCATTGGAGGTGCTTGTTTAATGTGAAAACATCAAAATAACAACCCTTCATAAATAATCCCACATGACTTTAAACATGAATATGAAGAGGATTATCGATATCTCCAGTTAAGGACTCTACTTGAGAAAAGTTTCAGCTTCCGATGACGTACAGGTGATGTGCTATCGTGCTTGTTTCTTTTGCAAACATCGCCTCCCAGCTCGCCATAGGGCTTTTCAATTAAAAGAAGAGGACTATTCCTAGAAAGCTGCTACTTTGAGGAATGTATTCAGCTACTTTGGAATGCTGCCGTGTTTACATGAAGCGAGTTATGGGCTTATCTGAAAATGCCTAAGATGCTTTCACTCATGACTTCGTTATGCCACGCGTACGACGTTAAAGCGGTAACAGATGGTACTACAGGAATTTTTCAGCGCTAAACTACCCAGGAAAGATATTTTGTGTGACCTCAGTCCACTATTGGTTCGAAAATCGCCTATTCTGGGTCCGTCAATTCGCTTTTACATTGCTGAGCCGCCGAAAAAGCATTGACAAGCTACATGACAGATATAATTGAAGAGATCTGTGCTGAAATACACTTTTTGACTTTAGTTGGGCTGTTCTGTCTGGAAGCTCATGCCATAAAATGTTGTTGTATCTATCGATATGGAAAATGGATTTTGCCAGATAGTGGATGTCCAGCTACATCAAAGTACCTCTTGAATCGAGACCAGATGCTGCTATAATACAGTGACTCCGCATTGGGCTCTGCCTCTGAGCGTGTGACGGTATTCCTCTGTGATTCAAAGTTGCTAAGTGACAATGGATATCTCATAATATAAGAGCGATGTGATTTCAAACAACACTTGATATTGGGGCCATGATTAAGAAGTACAATCCATAAATGTTCAAGTGTTTTCATCCATCCATAATTGTGTCGAACAGATGTCCTTGCTCAGAGTGAGATATCGCTGCGTAACTCCATGAAGATGCTTCCAGTACTATCATGAATGATATGGCAAAAAAAGCCTTGCTCAGAGACTTGGAGTAATTTATTCATTACCGTGCTTTAATCATGTGTGACATGCTGTGCCCTCTACTCAGATGCTGAAAGATCTCAATGTGATCATCAAATCATGAATATCGCGGTACCACACTGCGATCAAACCCCCAAAAGCCAAGTACAATAAACGCTCAAAGAGTGCTGATGCTCTTACCGCATAATTCACTTTTAAATCGTAGGATAATCTTGATTTTTTAGATGCAAAGAAAATTCTGCGTGATTTTCTTAGCTTTGCTCTCGCGCTGCTATTATGGTACTACATCTTTTCTCATGATGACGCTCCCAGTGCAAGAAGTACTTTACATGAACAATGCCAAGCTTCCCCAGGGTCCCTTACCCTAGACTAATTGTCATATGATACGATGTTTACGCTAGAAATGTCCAAGTCTCAATAACCTTAAAACCTGAAAACAGAGGTCTGACTGATTCCTGGACTCCAGTGGTCTATACGAGGCTATCACCAAATGAAAGCAAGTGATAAACGCGATTGTGATGTTGCCATGAAATTACTTAAAAAGCTGCATTCAGATTCTATGAACTGTATGAAACGTCTTTCGACAATAGCAAGTAACAGAGGGGGCAGTGTATATGACTTTTCAGGTGGTCGACAAGCTCCTCCAAGACTTCGATATTCGGGTTGGATCAAGATGCACCAGTTTTAAACGGTTCCTTCTGCACCTTCTCCATATTTATTACACGAATTTCTGACACTAGCTAAACGCATACACGATGTACCTCCATGGATCGTTTGAAAGTTGCAGTCAGATAAGCATCGAGAATAGATCGAGGTCATCGAGGTCATCGAGCATAAGAAGCTCCGAAAAAAGAAGGCCAGGGTCTATCAAGCTCAATGTTCCCAACGAGCCCAAGAAGAAAAGCTCCAGTCCTTTTGGAAAGGTGGCTTCAAGAGTAAGCGAGGAAGTATCACAAGCTGATCTAAGCGAACCCAATGACGAAGGACTTTTCAAAAAGCGCTCCAAAAGTGAAAGGAGCGAAACTCAGAATGATAGAAACGGCGAAGAAGCTGCTCAGCATGATAGAAGTCCTGAAGTCGACGATGAAAAATATCCCAAGCAAGATAGACGCCCTACAGTTGACGAGCTAGAGTGGGACAGTCCAGACGATAAAGGCAATCCTCACAATTGGTCAAAATTGAAGAAATGGCTCATCACACTTACAGTGTCTTTCGACTGTCTTTGTGTCGCTCTAGGCTCGTCACTCTATGGAGAGGCTTTACCAGACTTGATGATAGAGATGGGCATCTCACAAAGACTCGGAACTGCTGGGGTAACCTTCTACCTTATTGGTTTGGCGATGGGCCTGGTAGTTGCTGCACCCATGTCTGAAATACTCGGTCGCAGATTGATCTACCTTGTTTCGATGCCTGTTGGCATGCTATTCACTATGGGAGTTGGTCTCGCGACGAATATAAGAACCGTTCTCGTGTTGCGGCTTTTCTCGGGGCTTTTCAGCTCTCCGCCAATGTCTTTGGCCGGTGGAACCGTAAGTGATTTATGGAGTAATGATCCAGCTCAATTGGCTGTTGCAATGGCCGTGTTTTGTCTTGCTCCGTTCTTAGGCCCAACAATTGGCCCCATCGTGGGCGGGTTTGCGGTCAATGAAAAAAGTTGGGAATGGACTCAGTGGGTGCATCTTATGTTCTGTGGTGCGGTCTATCCGCTTTTATTCTTGGTTCCTGAGACGCTTGACTCAACGATATTGAGACGAAGGATGATTAAAAGAGGGGTGGAACTTGACGAGCCCGACTTGGACTTTGAATTCGTGAAAATGGTTGTCACCGTTTTTCTTGTCAGGCCCTTTGAAATGTTGATGGTGGAGCCAATCATTTGCTTCACTTCTGTTTATGTTGCGTTCCTTTTTGCAGTATTGTTTGGTTTCTTTCGAGCATATCCCATCATTTTCGGAGATTTGTACGGGATGGAACGTGGAATTTCAGGATTGCCATTCATTGGTGTTGCTGTTGGCTTGGTTATCGGCGTTTTTGGGTTTATATGGTTTGACCGCATCTTCTTCCATCCAAAAAATGAAGATGGTACCAGGGGCAGACGTGATGAAAATGGCGACCCGCTAATTTTTGCTCCTGAAGCAAGGTTGACCATCGCAGCTATAGGCTCGCTTCTCATGCCAATAGCCTTGTTTTGGCTAGCATGGACGTCTAGAGAGTCCATCCACTGGATCGTGCCAACATTGGCAGGTGTACCTTTTGGGTTTGGCTTGCTCTGGGTGTTCTTTGGAATCGTGCTCTACTTTTCCTCGACATTCCCTCCACAATGTCTTGCATCTGCTTTAGCTGCTAACAGTGTTTTGCGCTACACTACGGCGTCCGTTTTTCCCCTTTTCATTAATGACATGTACGAAGAGCTAGGTATTGACTGGGCAACATCTATATTTGCTTTCATTACTTTGGCAATGTTGCCAGTCGTCTTAGCACTCTACAAATTTGGCGACAGACTTAGACAGTATTCAAGATATAGCTTTGAGGCAGAGGACCGAAAAGAGCAGGCCGAATTTGATGCAAAAGAATCTTTCGAGGATGACTCTGATCAGATGTCAAGTCCGCTGGGTAAGTATTACGGAGAAGCTGGATCTTCTTTCAATCGTTCGTCCAAGACAGCAATGGAACAGGACGTCTCCAACAAAGTATGACGAGTCCATTTTAATTATCCCGCATAGACCATAGATGCTGTCGTCTGCTTTGTCACCACTCGTCAATTAATAAGTTAAATACACGGTACATCCACCGACCTTAATCTCATCAACAACTTACGCTCTCCTGAATTTGCCTTAGTTTGCTCGTCACTTTTTTCGGTTCTCGTCAGGTCTCTCAAGCCTCTCCATGTATTCTGAATTTCCAAAATCAATATCTAACTCCCAAGGCTTTTCGGCCTCACTCCATTCCCGATAATTGACCCCTTCGACGGGTTTCAAGCCGTAATTCTGGTGCGGCCTGAAAAAGCTGACCACGAAAGAACCATAGAAAGCCAGAAATCAAAGAGTCTGCAATGCATTTATAATAAGTTGGACTTGGTGAACCTGATTCTGATGATACAGGCAGAAGAGTTGTGGAATCTACTTCCAAGAACACAGAAGCACAGTGGTTCCTTCATCTGACAAGACGAGGATTTAGAAATGACATCGGAACGGAGAGCTGTCTCCCTTCTCAAGTCATGCTCGGTTACAATAAAATTCTGCGGTATAGTAGTGGATTCGTAGAAATTTCGTACGTAAGATTTACCACTCGCTCCTTCGAAATTAGATTACACCAGTAGCAAGTGGGTTCAATGCTTGACGACGAGGACGTAAATATTAATTCTTACACTAACCCGTTTACGAACATGACATAAAGTACTTTTTTAGGTGGAATTACTAATTTAACGAGGTTCTTTAATTTGATAATCAATGTTTGGGGCTTTGGCTAATGTAGAATCCGGTCAAGCCACTAATTTTCTTTACAATGCAAAGCGAATGTCGTGAAGCCTCGGGACGCCACGCGGAGCCGCATGAAGCCACTGACGGAAACTTGACATAAGCGAGCGCAATTTTCTGATCAAGGGGATTATGCAGAAAAGTGCCATAGTTACACAGATTTTAATTAGACAGCATCTGATTTCTTCTACCATAATGCTCTTGTCTGCTTTGTCATACTAATAACAACCATCTTGACTAATATATGCTACTATGATAGACCATGGCAATTACACAATGAGTGAAAAGTGTTACATGATGTACTTCGAATACCACGATGAATATATTACCCAATTATTAAAGCTATAAGATTATTATACTTTGACATGTGCAGCAGCGATTGAAACGACAAACGATAATAAGGGGAAATTGGTGAACAAAGCTCCTGTTAATGGGACAGACTTACAGCCGATACTTAGTTTGGCTTTCTCTGTGGTTGGACCGAAATCGACAAAATCTTTCCCTTCCTTGAGTGCAATTGCAATTGTTTCTTGCATCATAACGAAGTAGCCCTTCATTGGCCTTGCGAGTTCGTGGTCCAAACCTTGAATATCTGAAGTAATTGTGTCGCCAATCCTGAACAATACACATGACGCTATCACTTTTCCATCCACTTTAAGGAAAAGTAAAGTCCTATCGCATTTGTTATTAGAATTTGCAGTCATCAGCTTGATGAAATCTTTGTTTGGGGCTGCCAAGGTTGCAGTGTAACCTCCTTCGGACCTTCCTTCTGCAATCTTCTCCCATAGGTCAACTATTGTTTGACAGTGCTCGTCAGTGGGCTCTTTGATTTCAATGACTTCACCGTGTGAGCGCTTAAACTCTGCTTCCTGACTTCTATACTTAACTGCCTTGAAGTAGTCGGTGAGAGACTTTCCTTTGTGGGGTTTCATGTTAATGATATGAGATGCGGGAAGGTTGATGTTGTACCAGCCACCGAGTCGGATAGCTTGTTCAGCAGGGGTGTTTGTGATAGTAGGATCTATCATGACACTGCATCTCTGGGAAGAAGCCATTTTCTTATTCCATTTTCCTAATGCATGCATAACAGCAGCGCTTCTTGCTACTGGCTTGTCTGAGTTCTGACAATAGAAGGTGGATCTGACAAATGGCCAGTGGAAACCAAGGAGACCTATTCTGAAGCAAAGAAGTTGGGATTTTGACTCTTTGCCAAAGTTCCTTTGTAAGAATCTGCCAAACTTTCCGGTCAATGGTGCTGTCAAGTCATATGCCTCAATGGTCGTGAAAAGAACAAGAGCTTCAGTAGCCATCAAATCTGAATGGAACTTAACTTGCTCCTTTATATCCTGATCTGTAGGACATTCCAAAGGATAGTCAGCGCCGCCAGCGGCAGCTTTCTTTGCAAGCTTTTTCCTTTTGTTTTTGGACATTGGCTGAGGGGCCTTTACTATTGGCTCCTCATGCAAAGTAGCTTCTTCATCAAAGATGGTACCTTCACGATCAATCACATCCCAGGTATCAAGGTCAGCAAGACCTGCTTGTGCCTGATCCCTCTCTTCTTGTTTTATCCTCTCCGATTTGTAAACTCTCAAAACAGTGCAATGCATGTTTTCTAGTGGACTTTTGCTATAGGCCTCCATCATGGCGATAACTGACTCACCGGAAACTTCAGGATTTGCTGTTTTGTTGTATGTGATGAGCTTAGCGAAAGCAGATTTTTGGGCTTCAGTGAGGCGGGAAAGGTCAAGCTCTTCGACATCAAAAGAAGGAGGGCGTCTTGACCTCAAGTAACGAGAACACGAAATGAGAAGGAGGCAAAGCACGAAAGTGTAGAAGTAAAAGACGTTCAAAGACGTGGGAACCAGGTACCCATTGACATGCTGGCGAACAATTGAATCTATGGCACTGACCAAACTCAAAACAGCCAAGACGATCATAAAACCATCATGTAAGAAAAGAAACTGGCCAACGGTATCGGAAAGCCTGTTTCTTTCGTTGACAATAGCACCAACAGAGAGGCCAATCAAGGAACCGCATAAGGAAAAGGATTCCGTGTATATGTAGATCATGGGCAAGGTGTATTTGTCGTCTTCGTGATCCCAAATCATGTCATTGTTAGCATTCGAGCTGATTTTGATTTCGGCAACACTGATAATAAAGTTGACAAGACATGCAATGACAATCAAGATCTGAACCTTGCCCTTTTTTGAGACCTCCCACACATGGACGAGAACGAGTATGTTTGCCAACATAGCGACAATAGACAAAATGATGATAGTGACACGGTTTGAAAACAGAAGATTGAGCTCGCTAAGGGTATCGTTATCTAGTATGAGTGGATTCTTGATGGTACCAGTGATGAGTGTGACGATGTAACCAATTGAGAGACCCAAGTAGACAATCACCATGCCGTATTTGAAGGCAGACCAAAGCTGGAGGTAAATGCCCTTCTTTGAAACCAAATTCTGGAACTTTCTCTGGCGCCGAAGCACCTCCATCACCACCACAATGATAGTAAAGATGGCGCTGATGAGTGGTACGGCAACAATGGTGCCCACCTGTTGACTCATGATACTTTCCACGATAAAAAGACCGATGTTGATGGCCAAACAGAAGGCACAAGCTAGCCACACCGACTTGAGCACTCTGAGAACAGCGCAAGCCACCTTTCGAGCCACCACCCGGATCTTAAACGTAACCAGGGGTGACTTCGCCTCGGGAGCGTCATCCTGGCCGTCGTTCTGAGGTTCTTCCTTGATTTCAGGCACCAGCGGCTCCTCGTTCTCCAGCGGCTCAGTCTTCTTCGTGTGTCGGCTTTTCTTGGCTGCCTTTGTTCCTTAGATCTGACACTTTCGCCAGCCGCATCATCAACAGATCCCTCTCCCTTCTCTCTTAATCCATCCTCTCTTCCTGAAAAACTCCCACTTCCATCTCCAGTAGAACCACTTTTGGAGCTCCTGCTTGGAGGCACCGTGTGCCGATCGATGTCAGGGTCTTGTGGCGCCATGGCAACATGAATTGCGTAATCTATTAACAAGTTAATAATAAAAGAAAAAAAAAGGACCCCCAGGATCAATAACCTTTTATATCCCTTAAACTCAACTTCAGCCGCCCTTCCTATTTGTAAGCCTTTATGTGGACTACCCCAGCGCCGCCGCCCCACCCGGTTTAACACAAACAGTGACAGAGGCTAGAGTGCGGCGGCTACTTCATTCTCTTTTTTTGCCCTCATTTTGACACATTCAAACGGCGGTTAGCACAAAGTGACCGCAGCATTATGGACTGCGTTTTTTAAAGAATGGGGCGGACTCAGGGGGAATTGGGGGCGTAGAGAGGTTTATTTTTGTTGTTTTTGGTTCTTTTTTTATGGTTTTTGGCGGGTTTTCTCGGGCTGTGCTGGTACCCGACGGGACCGGAACGGCGCCGGAACGGAACTTTTGCACTTTGTATGCGCCTTGCCGAAAACCTGGAAAAGCCCTGACCAGGTTCGAGAAGGCTCTACATTCCACTGGCTGGTTATTTTTGGACACAAAGTGCTCTAGATTCTGTTCTGCTTACTCTGTTTCGCTTCTGTTTCGCTTACTCTGTTTCTGCTTACTCTACTCTCCTTTACGTTGGTGGTACGTCACGGTGGATGCTTAGAAGTTGCTTGGTGTGAGCAACCACACTTCATGGAAGAAAGTGGTTGGCTGAACACGCCTTGAGTCTATTTGAAGTCTCCTTCTTACGTCAGCACAGCCCGGGGATCCACCATCCACGGACGCTGCGCCGGTTTGGAACACACTGCGGTAAATGGGAATTGATCAATGGAAGCTAGGCGGCTAACCAGATACCAGAGGGCTATTGTCGCCAAAATTAGCATTTGGAGCGTCTCGAGAAACAGGCGAAGTAATGATGGTTTGGGGAAAAGATGGGTCGCTGGGCGGTTTCCAGGTCTTTCGATGTCCCCACAAGTTTGGTGATCTTTTTTTGTCGAAATACCTGCTTTATGGGTACTATATATGTCACGACTACAGTGTCACTGGGTCAGGATGGGTGCAAAAAAAGTCATGACGTGGGTGCGGCGCATATACGTTAAGTTTTGCCGATATACCACTTATGGGGAGACTTTTTGGTGTCTTGGTGGGTGTTATAATTTAGTGTCATACATTGGTTACTTAGGGTCCGCCTGCGGAACCGAGCCGAAGTGGACCATTTAAAGGGAAATATCAATGGCGTTGTTTCTGTCAAACTGGCCTCGAGTACGAATATAAGGATCGAGCTCAACCAAGTTCTTTGCCAATTCAGCTCCAAGCTGGATCTTGAGGTTCAAGAACTTGGTGGATTCCTCCTTGGTGGCAGCCTTGATCCAGGAAATCGTTGTTTCGATGAATACCTTCAGGAGCACCTTACGCTGTTCGCTCAATTCCTCGAATTTGTCGTCCTCGGGCTTCTTGCTGGAATTCTCGTCCGTAGGTGGAACGTACTCGGGCACGTACTTATCGTCACCGCCCACAAAGTCTGGAATAAACTTGCGGTCAACGAACTTCTCCAAATCCTCCGCCGAGTTCGTAAAGTGGACCTTGGAAGCCACCACTGGGTCCAACCAGCCACGGATCAACTTCCACACAGTGAAGAACACCCATGGAGCGTTGTGGATCCAGATGGCCGTCAAGGATTCAGGGTAGTTGGCCTCAAAAGCCTTGGCCAAGAACTTAACTGCAGCAAGATCAATGTTCTTCAACGAAATACCCGTCAAATCGAAAAGAATATTGGCACCGTCGCTTCCCATAGTGTATGGCTTGAGACCAAGTCTAAACCACTCGAGCATAAGCACAATAAACCGCTCAAAGTCCTTGTGTGGGCACTGAGAGCCAAAGTGCTTTCTCACACGAATCACACAGATGGGTCCACCTTCTCTGTCGGTACCTCTAAGGTAAACCTTTCCCATACCGAAAGCCTCGGAGAGCTGCTTGAGGTTCTCGTCCTTGCTGATTCCAAGGTCTCCCTCGATGGTATACTTCTCCACAGGGAAATCAGTGCTCTTCCAGTCCAAACACTTGAACGCCATGATGATAGTCTCCTCGACCTTGAACTTTCTGGCACGCACAAAACGAAGAATATCGTTATCTGGCGAGTCGTTCCGAGGAGTGATCAAAAACGCCTGGTGCAAACGACCGAGGTTAAACTTTGCAACCTTGGGCCAAACGTGTTTCTGAGCCACCTTGATGCTCGAGTCGAAAGAACCCTCCAGAAGCGTCGATTTGCCCATCATATGCTTGAAGTTCTTGCGAGTTCTCTCCGAAACAGGAGGACACTGGCTCACCACAGACTCCTCCTGGATCTCTGGAAGCGCATTGAGCGCCTTCCCTGCCACAAAGTTCTTCTTATCGAGAAGCTGCTCATAAGTATACTCGTCCAAGTCATAACCAAAAGACTTGAGACAAATACCATACACCTGCTTAAACACAATCTCGTGCTCGCCCTCGATGGACCACACACGGTCTGCTCTGACAACCTGTTTCGTCATGATAAAAGTATAAAACTATAAAAAAAGTTACCGTTTGGCTGCAAAGAATCTGTCGCTACTTGACACCTGCCGAGTGTCTCGCTTATATGTACTTGGGCCTACCGGTGCCAGGGCATCCCCACCAGCCTGTATGACTATACCTGACAATCGTGAGGAGAAGCAAGGCTGTTAACTAAACTCGGAGTACACTTTGGTGGTGTCAGAGGCTCCCCGCCGAAAAACAAAGAAGCCCCTTGGTTCCTTTTTTTTCTCGTTGTTGTTCGGTTCCCATGAGGCAGGGGTTTTCTTGGGTTTTTCTCGGAATGTGGTCTATGTTATGTGTTGCCATGCACTGCCCATGGCGAGGCGTTGACATATTCTTCCTCTACAGGTTTTGCACCCAAACCGTATGAGGTAAAAGGATCTGCACGTACCTTACACCATCGAAGAGCGATTTCCCGATTGCAGTGTCCAGTGTTCAGGTGGAGTTTCCCCTTTTCGTGGCGTTCCTACATGGCCGTTGTTATCTTGTTTTTTGGCTGCTCTTGTTGTGTGGAGGCTGCGCCAAGTGGCTGATTGTGTGGGATGAGGTTAGCATCTGATAAATTGTCTTCCCCTCAGGTTCTTGGGTATCGAGGTGGTACAATGGGGCGACTGTATTTGGTGATTTTCGTTCGGATTTCCGCGGGTTTTGCCCATTTTGAGTAGTTTTTTGGGACGAGGAAAGTGGGAGGTGTTGCTTGGTAACGTTACTTTGGCCTAAATCGGAAATTTGGCATTTGGGCTAATGTGATTTAGTTTGTTGGCTGCTCCCTTCAGGCAGAGATAGGGTCCTATAGTGTAGTGGTTATCACTTTCGGTTTTGATCCGAACAACTCCGGTTCGAATCCGGATAGGACCTATTTTTTGGTTTTTTTTTAAAGGCTACAACTTTTTTTTTGCTCTTAAATGTATTTCTATGCTAATGATGATGTTATTCGACAACAATCACGTCGTCGTTGGTGCTCTTTTTGGGCGACCGCGTCTTTGGTGGCACCATAGGAGGCATCTCTTCCTCGTCTTTAGAAAGACTCTGGCGTCCCGATCCTGTCTCTGATGCAGCAGAAGCAAACTCTGACGAGTCTGACGACTGTACCCTTTGAAGCTTCTCCTTCTTCTTCGACTTGGACACGTTTGTGGGCTTCTCCGACAACAACGTGTTGAGCTTCTTCTTGTTTGGCGACGTCGAACGTCTCAAGCCACTGCTCGACTTTGTAGGTGTCTTGGGTGGTTCCGGCTGTTCCGCAACATCGTTCTCTTTGTCTTCGTCCTCCTCTTTTTCATGTGCGGCTTTGCTGACAGCTCTTTTCAACCGGCTCTCCAACCTTGATTTAGAGGATGCAACAATGCTGGCCTTGGGCGTAACTTCTTCATGATGGCCAGACTTGGATCCATCCCTCAGTACACCAGACTTGCTGGAGTTTCTTCTTCTCAATTCGCCAAAAATGGAATCCTTGTGTTCAAACAAGTCCTCAATGAAATGCTGCTGGAGAGATTCGGTGGCTGCACTGTACGTCGATTTGGCATCTGACAACCCGTCTGCATCTTCCTTGGGTCTCAAGAGGAGAGACCCAAACTCTTTACAAAGGCGTCCCCTCAATTGAGTACCGAGGTCTTTGTTCTTCGATCCAATGATGTTTACGAGTCTGTTGAAATGTGTCAAGATTGCATCCAACGTTGCCAAGTTACTCACTGGCAATTCAGAAAGCGTATTTTGCAATCCGGTTACCCTGCTCTTGTCAGTTGCTTCATCTTCACTGCCGACTGGATAGCTCAGGTATAACGTCTTGATCAAATCAAAGTAGCTGTGGGGAATAATAGAATCGGGCAATTCAAGGAAATAGAGCTTGAACACGTTTGTTATAACAATTGGGTCGGTTGCTTTCAAAACTTCTTGAATAGCAGACATTTCTGTGAGCTCATTAAGTTGGAAACGGACTTTATGGACCTTGGATAAATGAACAGGCTGTGTCCAAAGATTAGTTCTTTCATCATCATCTTTAAGTTCTGGGTATACGCCGTCAAGGCAAGAAAGGATGCCCTGAATTAAAAGTGGAACAGCCTTTCTATCTAGTCTAGCCTTGACGTTAAGATCAACACCAAACGTCTGCTTGATGTTGGAATTGTAGTAGTTGTCATAAAGAGTGACCTTTGGATCGAACTTGCCGGTAGCGTAGTTCTCGATAAGAAATTTGAGATCGTTGACAGGGTTGATGGTCTCTTCCACAACGAACATCTCCTCAGAGACTTGTTTCATCGAGCTCACTCTGTTGGAGAAGGTCGACACGAAATCAAACATAACCTTCTTGATCGCCTTCATACGATCAAGTTCACATTTGTGCATGAATGTCAAGTGGTCCATGACAATTTCTTCGAAGGAACATCTGATCTTATCGAGCTCCTTTGTGGTCTGGAAATACTGCAAGTCCAAGGAATCAACCTCCTTGACCAATTTGGCATATTGAGATTTGTCATTATAGTCAACGGACGTGACACCCATGGCCTGCTTCACATCATCAAAGTAGTCGGAGAAATGGTTAGAACGGCTGCTCAGCGCACCGATAGGGTCGTAGTTGGCACTCTTCTTGCTTTGCGTAAGGTCAAACTCGGAGAGCTTTGTAATGTCAAATACAACAGGTTTCCACTGGTAAAAGAATTGCGAGGAGTTGATGAAATTCTTGTTGGCGCCCATGGAACCAATGAGACGAATGAAGCCATTGTCGAGAAGATCCTGGCCAAACTGCTCGGCACGGTCAATGCTGCCCTTGTAATCTTCCATGTTGTCCAAGACCCATTGAGTGATTTTACTACCAGTAGACACGTTATGGTACGTTCCCAAAATAGCTACCTTGTGGGACTTCAATTCGATGTTGGAAAGAATACTGGACAACACAACCTTAGCATCCTTACGGTCACATGGCTTGTTATCGAAATAGTACACGTCTTCTTCCTCTTCATCCTCCTCTGGAACAGAGCTCTCACTAATTGAGGTATTCTGAGCCTCCTCGAGCTGTTCTTCAAGCTCCTCCTCGGAATAATGAGACTTAAACTCCTCGAGCATTCTGCACTTGTTGAAGTATTTCTTCTGCAACTTCTCCAAATTGCTCCTGGCGCTCTTAAAAGCCTTGTGTTTCTCCAGAATCATCAGCTCCGAGTAATCAACACGCTGTTCATGTTCAGCACACCATTTCAGGAACGGATCCAAGACCAACACCTTGATATTCCCGGCAATTTCCAAATGGAGCAGCCCCTGTTTGGCGAAATTTTCGGTCAATTTCTCGTACCCGTTCTTGATGGTAGAAACATAGTCGTTGTCGGCGTGCCTCTTGCTTGTTCTCTTCACCGACACGTCCAAGCCAGTCAACTGACTACCATAAGCATGTTCAGAGTCCATCCTCTTGGTAAACAACAGAATATAGTCATTGTTCTCGCGAATGCCCTCGTAGAGCTCATTGAAGAGCGTCTCGTAGCCCAGATGGTAGTCATGGGACCAGAACCGCTCAGCAAAAGACATGTTGATATAACTAGGTTGTTCTTAGACGGGTTCAAAAGGCTGGAGAACGCGAAGTGCGAAAATGGGTGTCATTTAGGAATGTGTTGGAATACATGCTCTATATGCAGGCATGATGATATCCTGTTGCCCAGATTCCTATAGTTGCTATGATGATGACCCTCTTACTTGCTTGCCATCCAATGTCTTCACTATATAAGGATGGCATCTCCCATCCTTCTTTCCTTAACTAGTTATCTCAATACACTACGAACCACTCTTTACTATAAACCCAGCTATGTCCGTTACATAGTCTTTCTTACCTACAGTCGTGCACCCTTCATCTAACATCTTTATAAAGATGGTAGTTAGCTTCGGCGCCATCAAGAGTTGATCAACTTTGAAGGGTCTTCAGACTACCATGACGTCTTCTGTGTACAATCGTCGTAAGGAAGCAAGAGTCCTCAGACTATTGAACCATTCTACCGAAGAACGAAGAAGATCAAGACTATCATAACTAATGAACCCAATTGACCATACTCGGATAAGAATAGATTGGGAAAGCAATGGTCTACTAACATGCTCGTTGACCAACAGTTGGACCCTCAGCAAACAGTGGCTGAGAACTTGAACACTGAACAACATATCAAACATAAGCTATTGACTATTGACTATACGGTTTGTCTACTACAGAGAAGAGTTCAGGCTTACGAAATTCAGGTGTTCATCAGTGACGGACTGGAAACTTATGACTACAGCAGAACAACTAAATAATACGTTCCAAACAGACTAGCGTGCTTAGCTGGGAATAAACAACAATGGGCCCTGACATCAAGAACAACATATGAATCTACGAGACTACAAATCTTTTTTTAAAGTCAGGAAGTCTCAAACAAAGCACGCTAGACGTAAGGCTCAAGGCAAACTCCATGCATACATAACAGAGATTAGACAGAGAGGAACCACAATAACTCAGTGGTACCCACAAACACAAGAGCAAACGGGATAAGTTCCCTGATAATAGGGAAGGCATCTATCTTGGAAAACACAATAGAACAACAGTCTTTGTGTAAGGAATCTTTCACTTCCCGGGAGCTCTTGTGAGGCGAGAACTTTTATAACTGTCATCTCTGCATTGCAGGTGGAAGAGCCCTATACCATTCAGCGGTTGGAGTCCTTCGACTATGCATCATCGACTATGCATCATTAACCCTAAACCTAAAGGTCAAGAAGGAGAGACGTTGACAAAGCAACGCCCTTCTAAGAAGTCGAGGACATGGACACAAATTTGACGAACAATCTAATTGTGATAGAAAATTAAAGAAGCAAAACTCATTTTTCTACACATTTGCACAAACTCAGCCTACACATCGATTGGTTATTACTGAGTCAATGCAACTACTCCAGCCATCATTACAGAAGGTAGAGTATAGATGTTTCCAATGTCTTTATCGGTGTCTAGCACTTCCACATACAAGGACTACTATGACATTTACCGGGAAAGTCCAAGGCCAAAGGGTACCAAGAGTTTAAATACATCCTAAGAAATCTGCTTTACATCTATCTTAATTACAAAGCAGTTGGCCGATTTCCGAATAGTCTACAATAATAATGCAGACTCGAGGTCCATACCATCTACGCTGTACTACAAGACTGGTATCATTTCCAAGATGACAAATCTCCAATTTCCCCGTCTTTCCGCATTTCTTCCAGCCTAAGAGATAATACTCCCAGTCTTATGCAACTCAAAGTGCCATGCTTATTAACTTTTACCTGTGTAACCTGTGCATTGTTCTGGACGACTATCGCCAGTAAAGCTCACTAACATGGACACTGTTATTAGAAAGACTTGGAGAAGCAAGATACACTTGCTGGGATACGAGGAACGCACATGGCCCAACGCGTCCAAGAATGAGATCATCAAATCGTTAATTGGGCCACAGATGCTACATTCTCCTCAGGAAACTCAACAATCAATGAACAGAGCTATGTTACTGAGTCACCGTTGCAATTCTACCACAATACTGGCATTTCGAAGCGTCATGAGTGTGAAGCTGTTTTTTCACCTCACAACCCCAACTGGGTTCATGGCTAAACTTAGGGCCGGAATATTTGATCATATATCGACGCATCGTCTCGTATGAATGAACAAGAGTATACTTATGCCAAGCAACGAGACTAAACAGCTCTGAAGCGCCATCCAGTTCTGGAGCAAGAACATCATTGAAATAACATCATTGAAATGTGAGCTAGAAGTTGAGGTTTCCACAAGCAGCTTGGACAGAAACCCCACTTGATGCCAAAGGGGGATCGCTGCATTTTCGACATCCATGAGACACGAGCTCACTGAAGGTTAAAGCGACAAGGGTAAAGAAATTACATTATCATTGACCGGCAAATGTACCACGATACAGGTAGATAATGACTGGCACTTCGTTATTCTCATTAGAAACCAGGAATGTATGGTAAGGTGACCTTACTTTGGTACCTCAGACCATAATTGGCGCTCCATTATGTCTCATTATTGACAAACCAACCCTCGCTCTAACTCGCCAACATCATAAGAAAAGCGAAGAAAGAAAATCCGCTTAAGCTCGTGTTTCCTATCCAGAAAGAGCGTACTCTAATAAGCGCCGCTGGACTATATGGCTACCAGGTCAGGTACTCCTCAATCATTCTCGCTCGATAGAAGAGAGTCTACAATAGAGACCCACTATCGTTAAAAGGTAAGCCATTTATTCGTTATCTTAATAATTGACTTGCGAAAGATTTGAAAGCAAAATATGACCAAAGGAGAACAGGTCTCTCCGTCGATCGTCCCTTTAGATAATAGGTGGATTATTATTGACACTTAAAGCCCGTCAGTAATAAGTATATGAAGCTAAGCAAAGCACATTATACCAGGTTCCACCACTAACCACATCTTGGAGATGTGTTAGAATGCTACTAACAGCGAAACAGCGAACGCAGAAACTGCGTCAAGTGGAGTCAACATTTTGACTCTTTACAGTCCAGTTCCAGTTGACAGAATCACCAACGCCTACGCACAATTCTAGGAAGACGTTCTTAGAGTCCTAAGCAAGCCATCCCACTGACTTCGTCCAGAATTTTTTTGACCTCCTTACCCCGGAAAGTTAAGGAGGATGTTTCTCTGGCGGCTGGTATTAAATCTTCCTCTGACAGGGTGGAATGGATACCAGGGAAGTCACAATGCAAAAAGACATTGAAGTAGTGAGAGTGGGGACCTCCATGAATCTTGGCCGGTTTAGGAGAGTACAAGCCTAGAGGGCAGGCTCGAGAGACGAAGTCAACACAGCTCCGAGTACTGTCCCGGCTAGCAGGACAGCGTATGCATCGTCGGTGAGTTCAGAACGGTTTTAGACAAGAAGACTACTATTCAAAGCGCATGGTGCCAAATTGGCGAAAGGGGGAATTCATGTGTTGTTCTCACTTTCAGATCTATATGAGGGAGATACCTCCCCGAAGGTCGCCAATTTACCATTGATTTCCATGCAGCTATTTAAGTCAACCCTAATAAGAGGAACCAAAACAACATAACAAGAATATCACTACTAATCAGAACCAAAGAAGGATTGCACACTTGAAGTGATGATCATAGGAAAGGAAAGCATGTTAAGAACGGGTTTAAGTTCACCAAAAGACTTCAAACACATCCGCAATATCTAATAGGTTGAACTGGAGAGTTAGGGAGTCACCAAAGTTCCCCCAGTTATACTTCGAGCATGAAACCTAACGGATAGCAGGACAAGCACACTCGCCATAGAAAGAAAAAGGGGATAGTGAGAGCAGGCACAACAGTCAATCAGGTTCTCAACCAAGGAACTCAACAGCCAGCAATACAGTTCGAAACAGCTAAATTAAACGTTGGTCCTTAACAACTAACATGGATGCTTAAACAAAACGATGTCGAACTTTGAACTGATAAAGTTAGCTGGACCTGATTTCACTAATCCCAAAGGAACTAAACCACGAAACCTTGAACAGAGACTTCCCCTAATGACACACTAAATGGACTACGCATGCAACCTTGGGCTGATCAAATAGGCTTTACTCCCATAAGAAGGAGACCTGTCTTAAAGAGTGGATTACTAGTGAACAAGGCCAGTCGCGTTGAAGACACAACATAGAAATGTACTCAGAGATTATTTGTTAAAGGCGGCTATGACGGAACATGAGCAAGTTGCGAGACAAGAAGTCAGGAAGAAAACAGCAGGTTACCTGGGACAATTGCAAATATAGAAGGACGGGTCCTACGGAAGATTTCATCAAAGAACTATCTGAAGAAGCCAGATACTTGTTAACCTAGCTACATCTCTTGCGCAACAAAGATAAAGGGAATTCACCCTACCGCCGAGCTACAATAAATCCGCGACAACCTTGGACAAAGCAGAGAAGATAAAATAAATACTCTGCTGTGGTACTACAACGAGAGATAACAACCAGTTTGTCATGAGGTGTCTCTACCCAGATGTAATGTCTTGAGCACCATGAGCGTCCCGACCATACGGTTGCAACACTCACAAACATGTCTAGGTTCTCGTTGATGTGCCTGTGGGATATAGAGTAACAAACTCTATCCCAGTGGAAAAGCGAAAGTAAGAGGACAACCGGTCCCAAGAGGACAGACGGTTCCAAGAGGAAAGAAGTCAATTTTCGAACGAACGATCAATATGTGACTTAAATAATCGTCGAAGAATCAAAGGAATCAGAACTGTCATTCATCATCAGACAGTTACGCCCTTCACGAAGCTTTGGGCTCAAAATTCAGTGTCATGGACAATCATTTAAGTGGTCCTTCGAATGTCCCAAATCCTTAACAACAACTATACGAACATTTACAGACTACTTTTGATAAGGACGCTCCACTGATACAGGCCATATCTACCCGAACTCAAATGAATCTTAGGCCACAGGCTAAGAACGGGTGTTGGAATACATGCTCTATATGCAGGCATGATGATATCCTGTTGCCCAGATTCCTATAGTTGCTATGATGATGACCCTCTTACTTGCTTGCCATCCAATGTCTTCACTATATAAGGATGGCATCTCCCATCCTTCTTTCCTTAACTAGTTATCTCAATACACTACGAACCACTCTTTACTATAAACCCAGCTATGTCCGTTACATAGTCTTTCTTACCTACAGTCGTGCACCCTTCATCTAACAGAATGTTTTTGTCACGTGCAGCCAGTAGTGGGATAGAAGCCAATAAGCGGCTGAGCAAGGGTACCTACTATTCCCAACGAGGCACAACATGGCTATTTTTAGTAAGTCCAGGGAATGTTAGGAATAGGTCAATGGAAATAGACTTTGGGGAATGAGGCGCTGGGAGGGAGAATAACGGAATCGAGGAATGTATGAGGGTTGGGTTGTACTGGTGGTTTTCTCAAATGGGTGCAAAATCTGGATCTAGTATATTTAGTACATTCTGCGACCAGTGGCTGGGCCACTGAAGTGCCACAGGATTCAAGGCTTGGAAGGGAAAGGCTGGTTTGGCTTTGGATGTGTAGGAGATCTGATTTTGGGTACTTTTTTCTTTTTTGTTGCTTTTTTTCGTGTATTTGTGGTTGTTGTCGGTGGTGTCCAACCGTTGCCTGCCAGGCGAAACCTTAAGGCTATCGTCAGTGGGTACCTAAAAGATAGTTTGTAGTTGGGCAATTGAAGTAAACCTACGGCAATTGAGTGTATATTGGACAGAAGGGTTGGTAGGAATAGGCGAGTGGGAGGCTGGTAGAATGTCTGTCTGGTAGAAGTCAGTATACCAACAATTGTAGTATCTACTATAAAAGATAAAGAAAAAAAAATAACACTACCAAGACCAAGATGCCCTCTCCTGAAGATACTAAGTGGCTATCACAAATTCCATTAGTTAAGGAAAGCCGCCAATGATATACTGACTGGCCTTGGTGGGACCGCCTCGTCTGAGCCTCCAGACGCGAGTACTACTTCCAACCAACTACGTAAAACACCCAAAAACAACCCAAATTCAATGTCTACCTCTTTTAACCTCCTCTCTTCATCCCTTTTTACTTTTCTTTCCTCTCTATAAATTTCCTTCCTTTCCATCCATCTGATACATTCATAAGTATCGAGACGTGCCTGGAAACCACGAAAAGTATTCGCGTTTTGCAATTTCCATGGACATTTGCACTTTTCTGTAAAGAAACAAACCGGTGCCAAAAATCAGAAAATCATTAAAAAAAGTTGATATCGGTACCAACAGAAAGCTGGCTCTTTGCTTCCCGAGCAGTCAACTTTTCATACCTAATTTCCACTTCCTTGCCCAGAAACAGCCCCCCTGGGGCAAATCCCTATTCCTGCCCGCCTCAGCTGAGGTACGGGGGTACACCATCTTCACGTCTTTTTCATCCTTACTACTTTCCGTTTCACTTCACCTACCCACACTTTCTTGAACAATTATGATTCCTCCCACGACGCCGCCTCGAAGAACAGTGGCTCTTGAGCCGGTCACGCCGTCGTCGTCCAGATGCCATAAAAAGAACAGTCGCCTGAAACCAGTTGCTTCGCCTTTCCTCACCCCTAGATCATCTAGGAAGCACGCCAGCGATATAATCGGGCCTTCTCCGAAACAGGCCCAGCACAACTTTCTACCTACACCGCTGACGGTGGGAAGCGGCAGGAAGGGCAGAAACCCGGTTTTGCCAGCCCAGACATCGCTGAAGTCACGTAACTTGACTGCTACGCTTCAGGCGCTTAGTGAGAATCACCTGGTTAAGGAGCAGCAACCATCTACTCCACCTCGTCCTTCCACGCCACAAGAACAAATAATACGTGAACCTTCCACGCCGTATAGCGCTGGATTGGGTATTTATGATATTGACGATGATGATACCGATAAGGTACGCGTGGTGGATGTGGACTTTCTCAAACATATTCCTCGCAAGAAACTCCCGAACCCTTTTCTAGAATCCCATCCTTCGAGGCTGAAGAAACAGCCTTCGAAGATTGACCTTGCTACGCAAATGGAACTTGTCAATCATCGTACTGGTGAAAGAAAAGTTGAACAGCTACTGGAAGAGCAGCGTCGGTTCAAACCCCGCAGACTCGAATTCACCCCGGCGGAGAATCCAGTCAAGATCAACTATAATATCGCCAATAAGTTTGTTGGCAAGAACATGGGCAAGGCATTTACAATGGAAGATTCGAATAAGCTGGGCTTTAGCATCTTCAGTGATGGGGACTCCTCCAGTTAGGTAGGTATTACGGAATAATTATTAATATACACTAGGCTTCACGATACTTTTTGATGTTATCCCAAGCCAAAGAGTTGGCGTTGGGAAGCTTGACAACTTCGATCTGGTTGAGCACTTCGGGCAATTGCTTGTCTGGGTAGGTGGCAACATACCTGATGGGTTTGCTGATTTGGGACACTGGATCGTCTTCCAGTCCACGAAGCTCGAGAGGCAACTTCTTCATGATCTCTGCGTGGTCGGTTGGTAAGGTGAATCTCTCGGTCAAGTCCGGCTTCATCAATTCGGTGAGTTCCCTTGTTGGTTGTGGTGGAGGTAAGCCGTTAGATTCGGCTTCGGCACGAGACGCCTCATACTCACTGAACAATTCCTCCTTCCGCTTTCTTCTCTTCTCGTTCATATCAATCAGATATAGTTTCTCAAAGTCAATCATGCGGAAATCGTAGAAGTTCTTCCACGTCAGCGTTGAAACTTCTCTGTAGGAGTTTGCAAGGACGTTGAACAATACCGTGCTGTGAAGCATTTCTAAGTTATTGAAGTCCTCTGTGAATTCCCTTTGGCGGTTCACAACAACGTCAATATTATCGGGCGAATAGAAATCATGGATAAGTCCCTTGACTGGGCGATTATATCTTTTCTTCAAAGGCTTCAGCACCTTTTGAGGTGGGAGATGAGTGATGGCATTAGAAGAAGGCGCAGACTCCTTGTTGAACATGCGGATCTTATTAATTCTGTTCACCAACGCAGCATCTTTATAGTTACCAGATCCGGGACCTCTGTATATCTTATAGTAGTAGTATTTGGAATTGAGAGCTTCCTGATCATTGTTCATGAACAGCTGCTGCAATTGCTTAGGTCCTTTGTTGTGATCTGAAAACTTGAGCTGTAAATCACCAAGATGCCGCCTTGGAGCATTAATTTGGGCAGTTTGTTGGGAATTCATCAGACCATTACCGACGAAGTAATTTGGGACTTTGCAAAGAGGACCCACCAGGAACTCTGGAATAGCACCATTACCCGGAAGGACACTCTCAGAGACATCAAGCGTATTTGGGTCAACACTGCTTATGTGACGCCTGCTTCTACCTAGAGGTTTCTTGGAAGCAGCCAATTGTTCAGCAGCATCGATCTGGTGAGCTGCGTGGGGATGGAACGCTGCATAGTTGTTCTCTCTGACTATAAGTTCACGTTCGTAGGCACTGAGCGATGTTCCATAGACCCTTCTGTAGTTCCCTTCATGTTTGTAGACCTGCAACTTCGTGAGGGGAGTAAGGGTAAGAAACGTTCCGTGATCCTTGGATATAGTATTATCCTCATGGCCATACTGTGGGAACACCTGAGAAACAGTGATAGTATCGTCATCAGTTGGAGGAATCACAGGTCTTTGACGGACAGCTGTATTCTCCACCACTTCATCAGTACCCACCAAAGTACTCGTGTTCTCAATGACAGAATACAAGAAGCGAAGGGAGATATAAAACAAATGGCTATTGGCCTCTTGTGACGAAATAAGGTCTTCTATAAGAAGCAGTCCATTGAGGTCTTCATCTGACTTGTGTAAAAAATCAGATTTAGGTACTCCTGTCTTTCTGATAATCTTGGCGATCACCTGGTACGAGCTGGGATAGTTCCAGAGCTTAGCAAGCAGTTTCACGAGCACATACTCGGTGTTGTTGTAGATGAAGTAGTCGACTTTAAAAGGTAACGAGGGAGAAAAGTCGCTTTTATCCTGAGGAGGCAGGAATTTGACGGGAACAGCCTGACGAGAATAGCCATGATTATTGGCTGCGCCTGTGGCAGGCACCACTGTTACCGAAGACATTGGTTTTAGAGTTCGTGCTGGTTGTTGTAGGTGAAGTGTTGAAGTATGGCAGTTGTGTGGTGGTATGCAGGAAAATCGTTATAAACCATTCCCAGGGAAGAACTATACAAGGAAAGTGGAAGGAAAAGGGAACAAAAAGGCGTCAATGGGTTTCTGAACGGATAAGATAAGATATGGCTGTTTTGGGGTATCAAACATGTGCGTGGTTCGGTAGTAGGACTGAGATCTCGCAATGGAGAGCCATAACCAAGCACTTGCCAACGGTAAGTCAATGAAAAATCAGTCTGATATAAGAGGGCTGTTTAAACTAGGCACGCAAAAATTAGGATTTAGTTGTCAAAGGCTGTGGAGGTCGGATGAGTCCAGAAAGTGCTAACTTCTGAAACGAGCCATTGTGGGACTCCACGATAAGAAGACTTCCCTCTTTGCCATATCCAAGGTGTCCCGAGGAGTGAAATTATTCTAAATCAGCAGAAGGAACGTGAAGGTATAGATTTGAGGAGTTTATAGTGGAGTTTATAGTTCTCCTCGGCATTTCAAGACGCTGCACAATAGACTACTACTGGGGTGTAGATCAATCCTCGGCTCGTCAGGCAGTATAACCAAAATGAACGACCAGCCAGGAAAATAATCAAGGAGAGAGGCAAGTACAGAGGGTTTAAGGGTAGGGTCCAGTATTAAGTTTGCTGTTGATGTAGAACAAGGAAGAAGGTGATTCGCAGCCAATGTCAGAAGCATGTAATAACCATGGCATAACCATTAAATACACGAAAAGCCATATAACTAAAAGAAGGCGTTCCGAGGCCGAATGTCAAGCCCCCAAACCTTAATACCCCAAGAAAAGGAAAAAAAAAACCGTTTTTCAGGTTTACTTGCGGGGACCAACTCCGAAACCACCGTTTCCGTGGGTAACGGAATACGAGACCAAACACCGAAGAGTAGACACTGGAAGGCCACGATCCAAAGGATCATATATAAGAAAAGGAGGTCTTTTGAGTGAAAACCGAAGGATGTATACCTTCAGAGTGAAAAACAGGGGAAGCCTTGTCTAAGCATCTCGGTACTTTGCAGCCATTCCTGCCGGCCATCAAGCCTCAAGCCCACCGTTAAGGTTTACCAATCTTCGACAAAGAGACATCGAGGGACCAAACAGCTATGGAAAAGCATACTTTTGTCATCCCAGGAGCCAAAATGTGTGATTCGTCTAAGCATTAGTTGGCTGCTTAGTACCCTTCTTAAGCATTGGCTGGGCTCGGTTAGACTAACCCTGGGGACAATGGTAGCATGAGAAAAGGGCCAAACGACCAGGAAACCGTAAAACAATCGAAGAACCACCACCCCCAAAGATCATCAAATCCCCCAAAGATCATCAAACAACAACTATCCAACCCACACTTTCCAATCTCCTTCCTCCAAGTAGCTTCCTCTTGCTGCCTCTGAAAAATTAGACACTTCCACAGGACGTTTTTCGCAGCCAGTCGATGCAGCCACAGACTGCCAACATAAGACCATCCATTTCCAAGGGGCCTTCTCCTCGAGTATAAATACCCAAGGAATCTCCCTTCCCACCTTTTTCCGCTGTTTTTCCACACCACCTTAAACTTGCCACGCCCCTCCTGTTAACCCCTACTTGGGATCCTCCTCTACAGACACTTATCTCCAGTTGGAATCCGCACCCTCGGTTGTTTCCCACCCATACCCCACAGTCCCTGGCACATGAAGAGCGCCTATATAGGAGCCCCAGTAACCACTGTATTTTTTTCCACCTCCTCTCTTTTCATCCAACCACACTACTAAGAATGCCAGACGAAGACTACACAGACATCCTCTACGAGGTTAAGGACAGAATCACCACGATCACCATCAACGTGGAGTCCAAGTTGAACGCCTTGAACGGTCCTCAGTACCTCCAGTTGGCCAAGTACCTTGACGAGGCCGATAAAGAGGAGGACACTGTGGTGACGATTATCCAGGCTAAGGGTAAGTACTTCTCTGCTGGTGCCAACGTTAGAGACATTTCTGTGATGAACTCGGACCCATCGGAGGTGTTCTCCCACGAGTTCTGGCTCAAGAACTTTGTCGGTAGAAACGTCTACTTGGCTGACTTGTTGCACAACCACTCCAAGGTGTTGGTGTGTGCTCTTAACGGTCCAGTTATCGGTCTTTCCGCTGCCATTGTGGCCTTGTGTGACTTGGTTTACGTGAACGACGAGAACAACACTTACATGTTGACGCCCTTCTCCAACTTGGGTTTGGTCGCTGAGGGCGCCACCTCTGCCACCTTGTTCTTGAGATTGGGCTGGTCCAAATCTGCCGAGGCCTTGTTGTTCGCCAAGCCTGTTCCAGGTACTGAGCTCAACAAGTTGGGTTTCTTCAACGGTACCTACACTGGTAAGGGCTTGTCCACCGACCAGTTCAACGACGAGGTGCACAAGTTGATTGTCTCCAAGTTTGACGGTTTGTACGAGCCATCTATCTTTGCCAACAAGAAGTTGCTTAGACACAACCGTGACACGCTTATCAACAGCGCCAACGCCAGAGAGTCCATTGTTGGTTTCAACAGATGGATCGAGGGTATTCCTCAGCTGAGATTTGTCCAGATCGCCAACAAGGAGATCAAGCACAAGCTCTAATTTAGGAAATATATTTATCTAGATATTATTTTACATGCTGTAGCATTTGTGGTACCTTTTTCCCTTACCTACTTATCAGTCGCGCATATATCAACTTAGTGATATTTCACTTCTCCACTCCCCATGCTATGTCGTATAACCTACCGTGCCCAAGCTTAGTGGGCCTTATACTCGTGGCCTCGACCCACAATGGCCCCCATTTCTCCTTCTGCTACCCTCCCGAATTGGGTTCGGACGATTTCCACCGCAGAAAACAAACCACCTCTGAAGACCAACTCAATGATGAAGATTACGTTCAAGAAGAGTCTGCAGAGGGACCTGAAGAAAGCTACGATTTCAATCATATGAATTCGTATATAGGCACAAAGAAGGATATTTTGACGGTGCTAGATACCCAGGAAAGACTCAAGAGAGAACGAAGCATTGATGTTCACTCAGCTTCTAGCTTGCACAACGGAACATCTAGAAGCTCTTTACGCCAGGTCACGTCGAACCTGAGCAAGGCATCGACGAATCCGTTAGAGGACTCCAGTAGGATCCTTGGATTCGAAAGGGAGTATCTTAGTGAGATGCTCTGTCCGCCTCGACTGATGTGTAATAGTCGTTTTGAGGTTATGATTGAAGATGTGGTGTTTTTGGGACTACCTGTTCATATTGGGCCCGATGGGTCCTGGCGTCCTGGAAGGCTGCAACGGAAACTGGTCGCCGAAGTGTCTGATAACGAAGAGGATGAAACGCTGACGAAGAACTCCATGTCGATGTTTCACTTGGTGTTTGTTCTTGAGCCGCCAGAAATCGAGAGGAACTATAGAATTGACGAGATGTTCTATTGTGTCACGTCAAAGTTGTCATTGGTGCTTCGATACGAGCAGCAGAAACGAGATTATGTTTGGAACCAGATAAGGCTTATTCTGAAGACGAAGGAGGAATGGAGAACACAGACCACTCTTCATTCAACACTGATGTCAGACTACTTGATATCCAAGCTGTCGCTATGTAAGCTCATTGTGGACTGCTTTGAAGCTATTTCGTCAAGCAAGATCGCCAACCTCTTGGTGAACAACAAACGCAAGTCGTTCCAGATCCCGCTAAAACTGGAATTCTCATCGTTGCCAGACTCGACGGTACCGTATATTCCAGGCTCTCATTTATCATCCACAGCCAATATGCTTGCATCCACTGGGCTTGTTAACTTGGGTGAAACCACTAGATACCACACGAAGGGCCTCATGAACTTGCTTCTAGACGGAAGCCTTACGTCTGGTAACTACGGCGCTGGAGAGGAAGTAAACTCACTGGATGACGAGGAAGCCAATGCAACTTCCTCAGAAGATGTAATATACTTTGCTCTTCTACTACTTGATAGTCCTGAGGTGATTATAAAGGAGTTAAAGGCGGAACCGCAGAGTCAATTGGCAAGGTTTATCAGGCTAGTAAGGCCTACAGAGTCATTGATCAAGATCACAAACAAGATGAAATCTATTTATGGCGAGAAATCACCTATCAGCTTATCCCACATTAAATCATACGCCTTTCAACTCATCTACTGGCGCAAGGCAAGGGTTGTGCCTCCACTTAACTCAAGAGCCATCTACATAGTGTCTCCCATGGCACCACTCGAAACCAATTTCAGAAGGGATATTAGATTGTTCAAGGAAAGCTTCTCGACGCTTCCGTCTTTACCACTGTTTCTTAAACTTCTATCTACAAGATCGAAAAAGCCCAAGCAATTCGCCAGCATCATTCCTTCACGAGACCATAAAGAACTATACTTATCTGCCCTTGCCTGGTTAATCAGATTTGGCTACGTGACGCAACTACATACATACATTTGGCTCAAGATTCCGAGGAAGATTAAGATGAGAGTTGAAGAGGAGGAGGAAACAGAACGAGGCAAAGAACCAAAACGCAAAAGAGGACTGGATAGCACAAAAGACCTGACTGTGGTGGATAATAAAGTCGACAACAAGGTTGACAATAAAGTGGATAATAAGCTTGAAAACCCTGCTGACGTTTCTTCTTCGCCCAGTAAGGCTACAAGGGCCCCAGCGTCTAAAGGGTTGCTGGGCTCATTGGATAGTGAAATCGCCAACATCGAAAAAAAGCTCGGAATGGCCAACATTGCATCAAATATCATTCTTCAGGAAGAAGATGATACTATCTTAGTTGATCCTGGAAGAGCATCAAGCACACAAAGAAGATGGATAAACCGGGTCATTCACGAGGAAAGCAAACTTACGCCCGAGCTCATCGCCGTCTTCTACAAGCTTCTCAAGTATATGAATGGTAAGAACTCACTTGAGCTTTTGTTGCTTAAAGAGAACGTTTCAAGAGTTGAGCTCAGGAAACTTCTCCTAGCAATCGAAGACTTTATCATCTCAGTCAGACACTGGTAACTATTATTACATGCATTATTAATATACAAAGCTCAAGCAAAGTTATTTTCCTGAGTAGCTTCGAGCTCATTGCCTTCGATCTCGTTGAAGAGACTGAAATGAAGAGGACGATGAGACTCATGGTAGAATGGGAGCGGCAAGTCAACGATCAAGTCATAAAGACCGTTTGGATCCCAAACGGGGCCAATGAAAGCGTAGTTCCAAATCTTATCATCAGGAACCAAGAATGTACCGACAATCCTATCGGACATGATAAGTTGCTTCTTTTCACTAAACGATGGGCTGAATCCAGGAGGAGCATTGGAAACCAAATCCTTATTGGAGGCTCCCCATTCGTATCCATCATTGTTAAGACCAAATGCTGTTAAGGTAACAGATCCTGGAGTGAGAGCGACAGTCAAGGTAACCAAGTTCTCGTTCCACAATGTCTCATTCTTGTTCAAGAAACCAGCTAAGGCAGTGACATCGACAGGGCTCAACATGCCGAGATCATGGTTCTGAGTATGGATCCAGCCGAGAAGTTCAAGGTCCTTGAGATATTCGTGCAGATTCTTGTCAAAGATCTTGTTAGGGAACTGGATCGAATGAGAGTTACCAAGCTGAGGAACCATGGCAATTGCCTTGACTTCTTTGATTTGGGCGTTATCAGCTGGCGAAGTACCATACACGAAACCACCAATCTGAGTTCTGGTATCGGAAATTTGAACAAATTTCTTAAGAAGGTTCTTGGGCATGATGTATGTGAAACTTTCATCATCGTCAAAATCTTCCGAAGTAACATAAATATCCTTGGTCCTCGAATGCAAGTTATTGGCAGCGATGGCTCGGTTCTGCCACTCATTCTTAGAACTGAACGCCAGCTGCTCGTAGTTTGTTGTGGTGATAGTTGTGATTTCTTCACCATGAACGTTCTGACTCTTTGTCTTCAAGGCAGTGAGTTGTTGGTTGGCATTAGCTGCATCTGGGTCATCCTTGGTAGCGTTCTCGACATCAGCAATTTGCTGTCTTCTTGCCGAAGGAGCCTTGACTTCCTGGCCCAAAATCAAATCACGAACTTCAGACTGGGTCAAAGACTGGACATTCACATTATTCTTCTTAGCAAAGTCATTCAAAATCAAGTCTCTCAACTGAGTCTCGACGTCAATCCATTGTTCGTCAGACAAAGTAGGCCAGATGTGGTTAGTTTGTGTCACCACACTAGCATCAGGGCGAAGAATCATGTTGGTCCTCTCCTGACTAATTCCCATGGCACGCAAAATCAATATGGTTCTCGAGAAAGCAGTGTACGACGAGATGCTGTCAAGCCAATTATCATAGAAGTTGAACAACACCATCTGAGGCTCAGTCGCCTTCATAACCACGTCAGACAACTTATCGATCTTAAGTGCAGCTGCAAAAGGCAAGTGAAGCTCTGACGACCGAATGCTGATATTAGGGTGGTCCAACATATGCACTTCAAGAGGATCAAGCATACCTTTTCTCGTGGCAATCAACTGTTTAGGCTGCTCTTCACGTGGAAGAGATCTCACCAACGCTGCCACTTCTTCTGCCGTTTTCCATTTAGCCAATTGACCAAGTCTCTTTTGGCCAGCCCAAACAGACACATGAATAATCTTGAGGAACAATTGTCCAGTTTTTGGATTAAGCACGAACACAGCTCCGTTCACAGGCTTTGTAGTCAAGTTACCCTCGGTAGTTCTGTGGACCGTGACTCTGTACACATTCGTGTCGTCAATGAACAACTGAGTCTCGTTGTTGAACAACTCCGCATAGTTTGACGAATTCAACAAAGCAACCTGAGGCTGAGACTGGTACAATTGAAGACCCTTTCTCACACGCTCACGCAAAACGTACAAGGCTGGATTAGCCTTCATGATCTCCTTCATGGCATTTTGCATCAAAGGCTTGAGACCACTGAACCAATTACCGTAAACGTCATAAACGTTGTAAGCAAGATCAACACCAACCATAGCACCCGTAGGAGAAGGATACGAGCTCGTACTATCAGTAGTATAGTCCAAAAACTTGGCACGAGTATATCTAGAGATATCGTGCGAGTCATAATCACCATACCTCAATTGAACATCAATCCAGTACTTAGTGGCAGTAGCACTGTCGAAGGAGTCTCCTTTATCATGTAAAAGCGAAGGCCTGGAAACGTTCCATTTATAGGTACTGTTAAGAACAATATCAGCACTTGATGAGTTCATCTTGTACGATTTCCTTGGATGCACAGCTTGCTTCTCAACTGAGTCCACATGTAACACCTCCAACTCTTTATCCAAAACCTGGCAAATATCTTGAACCAAACTTTCATGAATCTTTTGCCACAAATGCGCCCTGAAGATTTGAATCAATGAGATCTTCAACGTAGGGATCTTACCGTGAAGGAAGATACCGGTCAAGTCCAACTGAACCAAGAAACCAACGTAAACATTGGCTCTATTAATGGTTGGAGACCACCAGAGAGTGAAACGACGGTTAGGAATCTGACTCAAACCAGATCTCTGGGCATTAGTTAACTTCTTGAACTTCAAAGAGTCCTCAAAACCTGAAGCCTTCTCCCAAAATAAGCCTTCCCAAGAATCGAAGCCAGTTCCCTTGAAAAGAGTATGTTCAAGAATGGTGTCAATACCACCAAGTGCCTGAATCACGTCCGTTCTATAAGACGCTAAGTTCCACAATTTACCGTCATGATGACTGTTGGTCCACCAGAATGGATTGGCACGAGTCAAAGCGAAAGTCTTGAACTCCCTTCTGACTCTATGCCCTTTATCGTAAGCAAGAGTCTGCCTATCTTTCTGGAACAAAGTACTGATTCTAGGTAAGCCTCGGTCCCAGCTGGATTCCATATCTTCAAAGGTGATACGGCGGTTCTGCTCCACTGCTTCTTGTCTCTTGATGGCATATTCTGCCCAAACTCTTTGGGAATCCAAAAACTCATTCTCCCACGTAGTCATGTATCTGAAGATTGTAGGAATCATCCTCTCTTCTTGATGGTTCATACCGGCACGGAAATGAGTGATACCAGTATCCGTCTGCTTGGACCACTTGAGATCAGAAGCTGGAATCAAGATATGAGAAGCACTCAACATTCCAAGACCACCCAATTCTTTTGGCGTGTAGAAAACAGCAGGTGGGAAACGAGAAGGCATCTTGGAGTTCAATCCCATCTTCACACGGTTTTGAATCTTAGTCTCACATTTAACAAGAACGTCAAGCAATGACTCGGTTGCAACAGTGGCTTCTCTGAAGTATGCAAATAATGAAATCAACGCAGTATTCCATTTGGCGCCGACCTTGGTGAACGTTGCAGAACCAGTAGACATCAAAATCTGCCTGATTCTGTTCTGAAAACGCTCGACTTCCTTCTCCGAGACCTTGAGGAATGCCTTCGCTGTACGCTCCTTGGTAGTTTGGTTGACAAGATCCCAAACACCTTCATGTGAAGACAGATCTTCAGTCATACGAATCTTGGGCAAAATACGCACCTCGAAACCGCACATGGAGAAGAGCAAGTTAGGATTCTCTGGCGAGTAAACTGATGCAAAAGAGTCAGTCCAGTCCATAGTTGTAATGGTAGTTGGAACTCTGTTAGACACTTCCCAGAACACAGCTTTTCCAAGGTTGACATCTTGACGCATAAGACGCATTCTTGAATCCCTGGGCCAACATTTATGGTTGTTGTAGCCGATGATATTAGTGTTGTTTGGATCTGGGTTCTCCATAAGGAAATCAGATACTAGACCATCAGCATCCTCTTGGTCAAATCTGAAAAAGACGTGGACCTTGTCCATGTATCTGCAGTAAAGCCTGATAGGATTAGACGTCTCAGTTTCAACATCTTTGAAGTTAAGGAAGCTGTTTGGCTGTTGAACTGGTCCCGCAATTTCAGAAGCCCTATCCAAACCAAGAATCAAAAGATCGATGGCCAAGCAGTAGTACTGGAAGATGAAAGATGAGAAATGCAAACCACGAATAAGACCGTATTGATTGACGTGGTTCATGTCTTTGTAGGACAATGAAACGTTATTTTTGGAGGTGATGTAATCAGCAATGTTTGGATCAACAATAAGACGGAGAAGTCTGTTGAGAAGAGTGAAATCCATCTTTTCGGCGACTTTGCTTAAAGAAGTTTCCAAAATGACATTACTTTCACCGTGAGAAGTATCCCACACATTATCAAGGTTGTTCACTCCTTGACACCATTTGTAGACAAGCAAAGGAGGAATCTCATCATCTGAAGGCTTAACCCAGTTGGGGAAAAGCATTCTCTTGTCAGCTTCATACCATAAGTATTGGTCCAAGTATGCATCGGTGATCTTCTCCAAAGGATCAATGGTGTAAACGGGAGATAAATGATCGTAATGGTCAACCAACTCCAAACCAACCTCTTTAAAGATTCTCTGCGTCAAAAGATACTTCTTGATACGAGCCAAGCATTCATTAGGGTTGTCATAAGCTTGCTCGATCAACGCGAGCTCTTCTCTCTGAGCAGAGTTGAGTCTGGCATTAGCATTAAAGTTCTCCTTAAGATTCTCTAAGGCAAGAACCAACAATTTAGTGTCATGCTTATAGGATATAGGTGGGAAGGGAATAGGATTGAACTTTCTGCTCTCGAGCCACTGGACCATAGTCTGGAAGATAATGACAGCCTGATCTGGTGTGACATATGGGCCTTCTTTGGAAAATTGGCTCTGTCTTTCTTGCTCATCCTTGATCCAAAGTCTGGTAAGACGACCAAGGTTCTTCTTAACCATAGACTTCTCAACAGTAGCACCACGCATGATACGGTCACGGTTATAATGAGCAATGGAAATCCAACCATCTGCCTTTGCTTTGATGTAATGCTCGATGATCTTCTCGATAGGTTCAGGCAATCCTGGCACTTTCCATGGGATATTAGCTTTCCAACATCTCCAAGCTTCACTCAAGTGCTGTAAGATCAATGCAGATTTGTTTTGTTTCAAGCCTTCTGGGATCATATCCAAAATGTCGTGCATGACCTGAGCTCTCAATTCCAAATCATAGTAGGAGTCAATTCTTTGTTTCGTGACTGTCTTAGCAACATCGTTACTCCGTCTTCCCTCGAATTGACGAGCAAGCAAGTTACCGAGCCATCTCTCTAACATGGGGATAGTACCGCGGATGAAGGATAACCAGACCCTCCATGCTGGCTGCCAGAAACCACATCCAGGTCCCTTTCCAATCGACTGGTTGAAATTAGAGTAAACCACATGTTTGAGGTCTTTGCACGCACGAATCTGGTGCATGACCTTGTACTTGTAACGATAGATACCAGTGAGCTGACCAATGTGATTCAAAGTGTAGTAGATACCATCTGCCAATTGATAAGCGTCAACCTGTCCTAAACGGAACTGGACGTGAGAGTCAACAAGTATCTTCACAATTCTCAAAAGCTCTCTGATGAGGTGGAAAGCATGTCCGAATCTAGACTTTTTTCTCTCCTTGGTTGTCAAGGTCTTCGTGGGTTTAAGATTAAAATTATAATCAAGATGCAAATACGTGAGACCACGCTTGTGAAGCAACAAGTTTAGCATATTGTGTCCTTGTCTGCAAAGTTGGAGACCAGCTTCAACCCATTCAATCGATGTTTGTTGGAAGTACTTTGTATTCTTCAAACTTTTAAGAAGACTCACCTTACGTTGATTAGCCAGTCCACTCTTGGAACCAGGAGGGTTCTTAAGCTCGTTATGGACGTAACCTTTTAAGAGCTTTTGATAAGAAACACGAGTCTTCACTGGAACATCACGGGGCGGTCTCTCTTTATACCAAGCCTTCACAAGAGCAACATCTTGAGCCCGTACCGTGGAAGCAGAGCGACGGTTAAATGGGAATGGAGCCCACCAAAGTTGAAGTGCGTCAGATGAGTGAGCTGGTTCGAGAGGCACAGGAACTTCAACATCATCTTCCTCAAACGTGGTTGACATGAAAGGTCCAAATCCTTCTGGAAGTTGTATGTCGTCGAGGTCAAAGTCTATAAAACTATCTTCGGCCTTCTTTGTGGAGAACCTATGAGGTTCAATTGGGTTGTAGTCTTTGGAGAAGAAAAAAGCCGGTCTTTCCTTGTCATCCTCATCTTCTGGTATCGTACGGATATTGTCGTGATACCACGGAACTTCCACATCCTTAACGAACGAGTTGTAAAGGTATGGGAGTGCAACCTTGTACTCAGTTTTCACGGGAACTCTGAAGATGATTCTGTCTATAGCGTTGAATTCCGTGAAATCTTCAAGCTCTTTATTATTGATTTTGTCCTTGAACAAAGGCTCGAACTTAGGACCACCTGGAACCACAACGTTCAAACTTTTTGCTGTAAAAAATGCTTCCTTGTTAAAAAGGTAATAGTAATTAGGGTCAGTGACATGCGGTAAAAGTGGAGTGGAAAGACGGTAAAGAGCCGCCATAGTGACGATATCAAGGCTCCAATATTTGTATGATTCTCCATTAACGGATCCTCCTTCGCTGGCCTCCACAAAAGGCTTTTCATCGTAGAGCAAGTCTGCAATTGCAGCATAGTCCAGATTCTCTTCTGTATCAAGCTGGATAGGGTCTGGAGGAGTCACGTCTTCCAAATTCTCCGACCAGTCAATGGGAGGCTCGTCATCGTCAAACGGAGGGAATCTCATCCTTTTGAAACGCCTTCTATCACGCTTTTCTCGTCTCATCATGGTCCATGCAGAGGCCCATTGGGCAGTATAAACAGGTTCTATCACCTTAGGCACTTCATCAACAAAAGTAATGGCACCAGTGATATGATAGAGGACCGAAACCTCTTTTTCTTGCTCCCACGGCTGGGGCATGTTTTCTAGAAGCTTAAGAATAGCATGAGGCATGTACTTGAGGGAACCCAAATGGGATCTCTTATCCGAAGCCACCTTCTTCGAGGAAAGGTCTCCATGATCAAACATGATCTTTCGTAGATGCTCAGGAGGCATTTGAGATTTCTGGGGTTTAACAATGCCGCCTTTCTTCGTAGTTGACGTAGATGCCCTGAACCTGAGTTTCTGGTGCTGTAGCCAATCCCGTTTCTTCGCCTCAAGCTGCTCTTTCGTGGATGTCAGCGACAGAGAAACTTTTTGCATCTTTCTCGGACGCTCAGCTCCAGCTGGTGGAGGTGGCGGGAGCCTCGTAGCCGATGGAGGTGGAGGAGGTCTTGTTGAAGGTCTTGAAACACCATTTCTATGGACAGATGGAGGCGGTGGCGGAGGTGGAGCACGAGCCGAATTGCCATTTCGTGAGCCCTGCCCACCTGGAGGAGGTGGAGGAGGCGGCGGTTTAGGAGGCATGGGGAAGTGGTAGTTAGATAAGCAGTATTATCAACAGTAGATGGAGAGATGCTCATCTATAAGTGTGGTGCACGGGTGTGGTATAGAGGTAGAAGGTGAAGGGTCCAACCAAGCCGGGACCGGGGAGTAGGGCGAAGAAGGGAAAGGTATATTTGAGTTTATATTGCTGTTTGGAATATGGTTATTGGAATTTGTGGCGATTTTGGAAGGTTTGTGGGTGGTTAGGTGTTCTTCAGCTGAAGTGGGTGGTATTTTGCAGCCATTGGTAAGAGACAGTGGAGAGTGAAATAAGTAATGGTGGGTGGTCTATTTGATTAAATAGAGATCATTAAGTTCAAGGGAAGTGATGGAATTGAGAAAGGAAGGTTTAAAGGTGTGAAAGGTTCACCTTCTTAGTGCTCACTATATATGGTATGGAAGTACTTCAGAAGCTGTACGGCACCAGTTTACCGTAATTTCAACGACATAATCAGGTATGTCGAATCTTACAGAGTTCTTCAAACAACAGGTTTCCGAAGTCTTTTGTTCCCATGAAATATATTCGTTGTACACTATATGTTACACTTAGTGGAAGTACCAGTATACGCAGTTTGCGCCTTAACTATGGAGTAACCAGACATTCACAGGCTCCACCAATTACCCTAATTATACAAGTATTCACATACGTTTTTGATTTATTTCACTCAAGACTAACCAAAGTGAAACCACAAAGCCCCATTAACACTTTTCATCCAAAAACGAGTATAACGTATAGCATAGCTGGTACTCACTACTGAGCCTTATACAACCAATATTCACCGATCCCACTACGTATGCCCATTACCCAAAAGTCAACGCCCCCACCAACCCAAAACGACCAAAATGCCCATTGAATAATGAAAACCACAGCAAACACATTTCAATTCCAATAAAGCTGTCCCCACTTCACTCCACTTCAACTTCCACCAGTTCCCCAGCTTTTCGCAGCCATGTCTCAGAACTCCAGATCCATCACCATCTCCAAGCCCAAACCATACTGCCCTGCCAAAACCGAACCACCCTTCCCAATTAACAAACCAAAGAATAAACCCAAAAACCACCCAACACAAATACCCTTTCCCTTTCTTCTGAATCCCGCTTTTTCCCAACAACCTTCCTATTGTGGCCCAGTATGACCCGCGCGGATCTACCTACTTAAACCTCCAACTTTATCACATTCAGTTACCTTATTGCTCAACCATGGTTGAAGAATCCACGCCCAGGTCACTTAGCCCTACACGAAACATTGCAGAGGCGCTAATAAACGCTATAGCTGAACAGTCTGAGTATGCTGAGGACCATCAGATCACTTGGGACCGGTTTGGCTCGCTCTCGGCGTATGTGTGTTCCTTCTATGGCTTCTCCACGATGTTCCTAGCGTTTATCCTTAATAGGACGGCCATTTTCGCTACGGCTCGGTCAAATAGCCGGCCTCGTCCTCAGCAGATCCATAACAGGGGGTTTTTGGGCGCTACGTCTCGGGAAGACTGGCCATTTGCTCTTTGCACGATGCTTCTTCGGTTATCGGCTGTAGCCGGTTTGGCGTTTGCCATGCGTAACGTGCTTGTGGTGCTTAGAATCATGAAGGAGAATGCTCAGGACCAGCTGGCGCTTCCGACGCTTGTTCGACTCATTCCAGACGACTGGTTCTTGTATGATCCGGTGAAATATGCTACAGATAAGTATATGAGCATGTCTCCCACTGAGGTTCGGTTTGGGCCTACTTCTAGTATGCTTTGGCCCGTTTACTTGGCTGCTAGCTATCTGGAGTTCATTGAGGTGTTTGTTCTGTCGATATCTGGTAAAACGCCGAAGATAGGTAGAGCCATTACCATATTGGAGCTTTCTGTATCTCTCCAGGAAGTCAGCTCGGGGTTTTACTTTCTTAGGGAATATACTGCCGCAAAAAGACCAACAGAACAGGTTCTTATGGTCTGTATGTTCCTGTTGACTGACCATATTCTTCAGCATTTGGGAAGTCTTTTGTATGGCAGAAAGTATCGCTTGATCCCTCTGTCAATTGTCAGCGTTTTGTTCATCAGCTACCACTGGCGTTGCCTTAGGAACGGTTCTTGGTTCTACTTCCCTGTTGTGATCATTTCAGCCTACACTTCGCTCTTGTTCTTGTGGGCGGTTATCATACTGTGTGCATTGATCTTTATTCTTGCAATTATCGCCAAGGGCTCGAAGTACGAAGAGCTACAATTCGCCAGCTACTTTTCAAGCTCAGAAGAAGGCAGCGAGTTCTTCTCCAAACACATTGGCTGCAGTTTTGACGACGATTTCTTCCTGTTTTCTCTGAAATTGAGTCTTTTTGCGATCACGCTGGCCGGTAGATCGAGCTACATCACAGAATACAACTATGTTACCGGCGCACAAAGCACATGGGTCGAGCAGTCTATCACAGACAAGTTGGTATCTATATTTGGCGCTGGTAGCCTTACTAAAGACGCCGACTCGGTGCGCAGCGGAAAGGTCTTAGCATACTTGAAGGAGAATCGCATGTCTGGCTACGGTAACCTCGTGGAAAAACCTCCGCTTCGCCTTATTTCGAGAACAAAGGACGAAAAATTCAATTTCAAGCTCCAAGGTGCTTGGAAGCAAAGGTGGTACTACTTAAGCGAATCGGCTGTTCGTTTCTACCAGCTACTCAAATCGTTGATTGTCAATTCCTTTGCATTTTACCTTGTGCCAAGGCTCTTCCGCAAGTACATCTTGAGGAGACCAATTAACCTCTGGGGTAGCAACGACGAAACCGAAGAGGAGTTCCGCATTCGCCAAAGCAGAGCACCTAAATTCGTTCAGCCCTTTATCAAAAAGAGAGAGCCTGTGAAAGATCCCGCACCTAAATTTAATATCAACGAGGTTCCAGAAGACCAATTGGTTACACAATATTCATGCATTCTACAAGAGTACGACCTCGACGAGGAGGACGAATCGCCTGATTTCATCCTCGAGGTCGAAGACGGGCTGGACCTTGAATCGGACTCCGACTTAGAGTCCGTCGATCTCACGCAGGGAATCATAACTAGGTCCAACCGAGCCGTGACGCAAGCCACACCGTTTACTCTGGCGCTTGGGGAACTTATCACCTCGGAAAATTTGCTCGATATGCTTCAGGGAGACGCTGATTTGCTCACGCGGCATCTAAACTACGACTATGCCAAAGACGGAATCATGACAAGATCCCGCTACCGGGCACGCAACAAGCCTGGGGTCCACGAAGCGGAAGAGCTTTTGGATTTGATCCTTACCAAAAGAGCTAAACAAGAGCACAAAGCGCCTCGCCAAGGAGACAACGAAATCGACAAGGACGACGAAGACTACGATTTGGATGCAAGACTAGCATGTGTCGTTTGTCAGATCCACCTTAGAGAGATCATCACCTGGCCATGTAAGTGTTTTGCAATCTGCGAAAGCTGCCGTCTCAGTCTCATGGCAAAGAATATGGAAGGATGTGTGTGCTGCCGCCGAGACGTTGAGGGAGTTTCGAGAGTCTACTTACCCTGATGGTTCTACTTTAACCCACGAGGCCCACCCCTTTGGAAACTTTAGCCTCTACCGCCCATGATTGTCTTACGTACTTTTAGCGAGGAATAATTTTGCGAAAAGCGAAAAAGCTAACGTTACACAAAGCATTCCCGTTACTTTTGCTCGTGGGCCCCCGTTCGAGCCACATTTATCCACTCGGAAAGTCACCGAAAAGGGTTACCAGAAAATTAGAAACGCAATAAACCCTTGTGGAGAGAAGTCTCACGCGGGAGCGCAAATTGCCAGTGGTAATTCTTGAAGGTTACACAGCGTTAGCCCCTAACATAAGGAGTTTCCGCGATGCGTCTTTTACAATTTCACGGCCAGCAATGCTGCACACCCGTGCACCACGCCTAACCTCACAACCACGACCGGAAACATTAAATAGCCTACTAGCCCCATACTTTCCCTGACCAATTCACACCGTTTTGGAACTAGGAAAAAGGGAGTATACTTCTTTTTATTGGCTTTTCGAAACTCAGTTGCAAATTCTATAACTTTTTTAACTTCACCCCCCCGCTTAGTGCTCTGAATTACAGGGCGCCCCCTCATAACACCGTTCAAGATTTTTAACATGTCAACTATCGAAACAGTTACCGCCACTGCGACGGCGATACCGCCGACAGCGGAGTTGTTAGAAGCAGCTTTTAGAAAGTACGTTCTTCGTTATTTGGACTTACTAGATCGCGTCCCTGGAGGTGCTGTGCTTTTGCGTTATATCAAGTCGTCCTACCGTGACGACCCTATTCGTTCTTTGATTGAGTTTTCCTTGGTCATTTTTGCTGCTACTTACTTCTTCTCTTCCAAGAAGAAGGAGAACAGGTCTGACTTTTTGAAGTTGTCCAAGAGAGAGGTTGATGAGCTTATTGAAGAGTGGCAGCCTGCGCCTCTTGTGGAACCAGTCACTGAGGCCGAGAAGTGGAGAGTGGATGACTTGGTGGTTAAGGGAGAGAACTCTTCCCATATTAGTATTTTGCAGCACCCAGAGATCCCTCTGGCTGTTAACTTGGCTAGCAGTGACTTCCTTAACCTTAACCCCGACCAGAGAATGAAGGACGCAGCAAGACACACTATCAACACTGCAGGTGTTGGTGCTTGTGGTCCTCCAAACTTTTATGGTACTCAGGATGCTCATGTGCGTTTGGAAGAGGACTTGGCTCGTTACTTGAACACTGACAGTGCTATTCTTTATGGTCAAGATCTCGTTACCGCCGGATCTGTCATTCCTGCTTTCTTGAAGAGAGGTGACTTGGCAGTGGTTGACAGTGGAGTTAACCAAGCTATCCAGAAGGCTTTGATTGTTAGCAGATGCGACATTGAGTGGTACAACCATAACGACATTGACCATTTGGAGCAGGTGTTGAACGAGCTTCAGCCTGTGTTGAAGAACCAGAAGCCATTGCGCAGAAGGTTCATCATTACTGAAGGTTTGTTCGCTTACTCCGGTGAGCTTGCCAAGTTGCCTGCCATTGTTGCTTTGAAGAACAAGTACAAGTACAGATTGTTCTTGGATGAGACAATGTCTATCGGAACTATCGGCAAGTTGGGTAGAGGTGTTTGCGAGCACTTTGACATCGACAGAGATGAAGTCTCCATCACCATTGGCTCGTTGGCTAACACCTTCTCTTCTTCCGGTGGCTTCTGTGCTGGTGTTGAACCTATGATTCAGCATCAGAGAATCAACTCCAACGCTTATGTTTTCAGTGCGGCTCTTCCACCATACTCGGCTAGAGTTGCATCCGAAGCCATCAAGTTGATCTCTGAGGAAGTCACCAGCGACGGTGAGTCTGTGCTTCTCTCAACCTTGCACAAGAACCTTAACTTCACGTATTTGAAGTTGCAAGACAACTTTGCCAACTCTAAGTATTTGGAAGTTAGCTCGAGCAAGTGGAGTCCTATCATCCACTTGGGTTTCAAAAACGGCTACAGGGAAGCTTTGGAGTTCCCTCAGATTTACGGTAACAACACGTTGTTGACCACTGGAAAGCCATCCAAGAAGCAAAACCCATTCAACGTTAACTATACTTTAGAGAGCTACATGTTGCAGAAGATCATCAATACTGTTCTTGCCAAGGACCACGCTTTGCTCAACAGAACCAAGATCATCTATGAGCAAGAGAACTTGCCTGTTAAAAGCCCCAAGTTGTTGATTCACGTCAACGCTGGTGTATCCCAGGAGGAGTTGGAGAGTGTGGTCGACGATTTGCCTTCTATTGTCGACAACATTTGCTCCAAGATTGAGCTGCCCGCTGACTTGGAAAAGTTGTACAATGAGATGATCAGCCAGTGATTTAACCCATATTCATTCTCACCTATGATCGAGCCATTGGCAACTTAATCGAACACCTCACTAGACCAATGCGCTATATAGAACGATAAAGGTTTCTACCCGTTAAAATATATTAATACGTCATTCTACCCCTAGCATCTTTTGCAATAGCCCTAGCCTCTTCCACATCGTGAGCATTATTAAAGTTGAATTCCTTCGCCAAGTCGTAAGCTTCATTGAACCGCTGGTTTTCCAATGCATGCCTAGCAAGCCATAGCCTTGCTTTCGATGTCTCATCACTAAGTCCCCAGTCAAACTCCTGTTCCAAGCACATCCGCATGAAACGATATGTTTCCTTAGAACGTCCAAGTTTTTCAGAAATGGTAGCAAGCTTGTAGCAGATGTGTGGCTCAATGCTTACATGAGGCTCACCTCCCTCTGTGTCAACCTCATTAAGACTATCAATTGCCAATGCCTTTTCAAATGAACGAACAGCCTCTTCCAACTTATCAATCTTCTCATAACAGTTTCCAATTGCCTGCCACATTCTCTTATCCATAGGTTGAAGATTAGTAGCACGCTGGTAATAGTAAAGGGCATACAAATGCATATCCAAGACCTCGTAAGCCTGGCCCAAACCGTACCAGGCCCTGAAATCCTTAGCATTGATGTCAACTGCTCGCCTATAAGATTCAATGGCAGCATGGGAGTTTTTGAGCTCCACGAACTCATGGCCCATCAACGTCCAAGCACTGAGACAGTTCTTGTTGAGGAGAAGGGCTCTTCTATAGTACATAATGGCCTTTTCGTGCTCGCCTTTCATGGAATGGTAGTTGGCAACGATACAGCACGTTTCAGACCGGAAGTTGTCGACCTGGGATGCATAATGAGCGAGGTAAGAGAGCTTAGACTTCTTCTCCATCACGTAAAGCATATTGGAGTATGTGTCTAGGTCATCAAGACGAAGAGGATCTTTGGCGATAATTTCATCGAACATTTGCTCTGCCTGGAAGTAGTCAAGCCCGTGGTAAGCTACCAAGAAGTTCTGGACCTTGAGAAAGACGAAACTAGGGAATAACTCAATTAAAGACGTGACTTTCTCGCTGAATGTGGCCAGCTGCTGGTAGAATTCCTGAAGCAACACGACCTCAAAGAACTGGAACATGACGTGGGATGCAAACGCCGGCTCTTTCTTCCTCACTTGTAAGAGAAACACCTGTGCTTCTTCAAATGTAGGTATCGTCGCTATAAGCTCCTGCCAACAGCTCCAGTTATACGGGAACAACTTCACCGAGGCAAAAAGCCGTTCCTGGGCCATCTGATGCTTTTTCTTCTTGTTATAGGTTAAACCAGCCAAGAACTGTAGATGGGCATTCTCCTCTGCCTTCTCATGGTACTGGTCAATCTCCACCATGATCTTACCTAGACTCGAATTTAGCTCGTCCACGATCTGGTACCGGTGTTCGCTTTCACTCGTATCTGACTGCTTGAGCATGCTTTGAAGCTGCACCGTGTTCACCGACCCATCAGTATCCTCAGTAGCCTTCTTGTCTATACTGATATACATCGAGTACAACCGAAGAAACAACGCATCGCCAGAAACACAATTTCGAAGCGTATGAGCAGCACGTTCAAATTCCTTGCAATTGAAGTAATTTTTCGCCAACATAAACAGTACACGGTCTTGTTTCTCCTCGGCACTGAGTTCAGATGGAGTATAGTCAAACGCCTCTTCCGAAGGCACTAGCCCTTGCAATGCCTCAGTAGCCCATTTGGCAGCATTGAACAAACACAAATCGTCTAGTTTTACCGCAGCCCGATAGAGCTCCAGGCGTAGTTGGTGCACCTCTGGACTCATACAACTTGTTGATAGTGAGACATATATGTTTCGCACAGTGTTAAACATCAACTACAACCATGGTCCAGGAAGCCGACTTGAAGAGCTCAGTGGAGGTACTTAAGCAGTCTGTGGCTTCGACAAGTGACTTGTTGGCGTTTGCTGATGACATTGCTCAGAATAAAGAGGTGGATCCTGAGGCCTTGAAGCAGACACAGAGAAGTGCTCTTCTAGACTCACTCAGAGTGAAGAGGTTCCATAAGCTGTATAAAACATGGGACAATGAACGCCGTGACGAGTTTATTGAGAAGGAAATTAGAGCTTACAATAAGAGGTACGCTCAGATGACGAGGCTTCACACCGAGTTGAACGAATTGGACGAGAAGTATGCTGATACCAAGAACAGTGTACTGTTGCCCAAGTTCAAGTTATCCATTCAGACTCTTCAGAAGTACGAGGATGGAGAGCTTTTGAAGTATTTGAATAAAGATGCTCAGGGAATCTACCCTTCGCTGGTGTCTTTGGATGAGCTTTTCAGTCTTGACCCTAGCTCTTCGCTCGCTGCTCCAGACTACAAGACGTTTAATAAGCTTGTGAACACGGAATTCAGTCTTCGATCGTTGTGTCAGATCAAGTACGAGGTTTTGCTTCGAGTGAAGCAGCACTTGTCGTCGAAGAACTCCCAGTGGTCTAGAAGAGATACCCTGCTTCACAGTTTTCTTACCACATCTCTTCGTGAACGTATAGACGAGGTGAAAAAAATCAGGGCTTCGGAATCGCAGGATTTGAGAGATATTGATGTTGATTTGGATATTGACGAATATAGCGACGAGGGAGAAGAGGATGATGAAGAGAAGGAGAAACAGGACGATGAAGAGGGCAGAGACCCTAGCCAAGCAGGCGAGCAGGGTCAGGATGGAGACGAGCAAGAGGAGCAAAAGGAGGAGAAGGAACAAGATGGTGAATTGGACGAACATGCTCAGACTGAAGAGCATGACGATGCAATTGAAGAAGATGAAGATCCAGAGGAAGCTGAAGTTGACGAAGAGGGCGAAAACGCAGCAGACGCAGACGAAACTGAAGATCCCCAAGCTCAAGACACCCCAAACGTTGATGCCGACCATGCCGCTGAAGAAGAAGTTGAAGAGTCTACAGATATGCTAATTGACTAAGTGTATTGCTCATTATAAAGGGTGGCTCTAAGCCTTCTCTGGCTCCGTGTTGGTGGCTGGCTCGCCGTTGAATATATAGTGGAAGACCTGGCTGGTGTTGTCGCCCTGCGCTCTTCTATAGTTCACAATCCTTGTGAGCTGGTAGCCAGCTACACCGCCAAGGAAGAAGTTCACGGAAGCCAAAAGATAGTTTCTAGGTCTGATGGCAAAACCAGCCCAACGGGTCCAGATGGCACCGGTGGCGAAAAGAGCCAACTGCTGGGTTCCAGATAACTTCTCCACGGGTCTTTGGATATCGTTCAAACCAGCAATAACCAAACTCCATTTGAACACTGGGGCCCAGAAATGCACGGTCTTGGGGCCTGTTTCGGCATTGAGGAAACGTTGGAATTTGGATGCTTGTCCAGCAGCAGAAGCCATATCGAAGTGTGGAGTTTAGTGTAAAGAGCTTTTGCTGATATCAGATTGGCTCACCATTACGGAATACTCACTTCCACACCTTCCCCATCGATACTTTCCTGTACACAAGCCCCACTTCGGTGGTTGTCTTCCCCAGGTCCGATATATTTTGCACCCAACTGGAAAACTACTAGAAAGTCAAATTCTAATTAAAATATTGTCTATAAGATAAATTAATGGTTTGCCTCGCACATGCCACGGAATTGGCTCTGTGGGTTGCGTAGAAGCGTCTCTGGAGCATCATACTCCTTCACCTCGCCATGGTCTAGCACTAGGATACGGTCACTATCCATAACTGTGTTCAAACGATGGGCGATAGTGATGATTGTCTTTTCTTTGAATTCTTGCCGGATGGTCTGTTGAATGATTTGGTCTGTCTGTACATCCACGGCGGCTGTTGCTTCATCTAGAAGAAGTACCTTGGAAGGGTTCAAAAGGGCTCTTCCTAAGCATATAAGCTGTTTTTGACCAGCAGAGAAATTGCCTCCTCCTTCGCTTACTGAACTGTCCAATCCCTGGCCTCCATCAAGACGCTCGACGGTTTGCTTGAGGCTTGAAAGCTCCAACACTCGCCATAATTTATCGTCGCTATGTTCTGTAAATGGATCGAGGTTTTCACGAACTGTGCCCTCGAACATGTGTGAGTCTTGAGGAATAATGCTGAGATTGTGCCTGAGATCAAAGAGACGTAAAGTGTTGATGTCTAGTCCGTCAATGAATATGGATCCTTCACTGGACGAGATCATTCGGAAAATGGCCAACACTAAAGAGCTTTTGCCTGCTCCAGTGCGTCCAACGACACCAACCTTTTCACCTGGCTTCACAGAAAAGGAGACATTCTTGAGCACCATATCAAGGTTTTTAGCGTAACGTCCGGAGAATTCCTTGACATCAATAGCACCCTGTTCCGGCCACGAGGGGCTCGGTTGCTGGAACTTTGTATTTTCGTCCTCTTCTGGTTTCAATTCCGCATATTCAAGGCACCTTTCGACGGATACAATATTGGACTCGACCTCGGCAGAGAATCTGACAATCAAACGAAGCCAACTGGTAACCTGCAAGGAATAACTCATAACGAAACCGACCATACCAGCGCTCAATGGAGAGGATGACGAGGCCTTATAAATAAGAAGCGACGATGAGATCCAAATAAGCAAAGAGCCCATCATCTGTAGCCTGACCGAAAGCCATCTGTTAACTGACCGTAACATATAAAGACTTCTTAGGTTGAAGTCAACGTTGGCGTCGTTAATGAATAAAAACCTGTCCTGTTGTCTGTATGCTCTGACAGTATCAGCACCGTTCAAACTTTCCTGGAAGTGAGCAAAGATAGGTGAGCGGGAAACGGAAACCAACCTTTTGATCTCTCTTTGCACTGCCACATAATATTTCTGGTAGTACCGGTAAGAAAAGGCTAGCACGATCAAAACGAAAAACGAGGGCGGAATTGCAAATACAACGATCACCAAAGTCATTGTTGTCTTCAAACATGCATTCAAGAAGTTGTTGAACGATCTAGGAAGTGCATCGTCGATCTTGTTCACGTCATTACTGAACCGGTTCATAATTCGACCAACCGGAGTTCTTTCAAAGAACAACATAGGAACCTTCATAAGACGACGGGCCATTCTTTCATGAATAACCTTACCTCCACGAAGTCCCAAGAACGCCCAGAATAAAACACCTCTTGCCAGTGTCAAAAGACTTGTTGTGAGCCCCAATACAGCATAGATCAGGATGAACCGAAGAGCATCTGAGTTATTTCCAATTGCCGAGTTCCGCTCAGCCCATTGTTTAAGCCAGTAAGTTGTACGGACAGAAACAAGGGTTGAAGCGACAAAGATGGCCACCCATACTAAAACACCACTAGTGGAACATGCCTTGATGTAATCGTAGTAGACATTCCAATTGACCTTGCCTTTAGCTGAAACCTCAGCTGACTGAGCGGTTCTTTTCGAGACAGTGTTCTTCTTAAGTGGATCCCATTCGAAAGGCGCCATGATTGCTTTGCTATGAGTGACAGATGGAGCAGGGGTCTCCGTAGGAGAAGGAGATTTAGAAGGCTGAGGAGACGAGCCTCCAAATTCAGTAACGAGTCGATTGAGTTTTGGAAATGCCTCAGGACTGATATCATTGTATCTAGCTTCTTCTAAGATACTTCCATTCTCGAGATAGTAAATCTTGGATGCATTCAGGAGGACAGGGATGTTATTTGTTGCAAGAACAATTGTCAGTCTGGCCAATAAACCCGATTTACTGAACACTTGGTTGATTATTTTCTTTCCAACATGACTATCGACGGCACTTAGAACGTCATCAAGAAGGTAAATGTTGGCTCTGGCGTATACGGCACGGGCCAATGCTAGTCTTGCTTTCTGTCCACCAGATAATGAGATACCCTTTTCTCCAACCTGTGTGTCATCATTGTCGGGAAGAACTTTCAAATCAGGAAGGAGCTGGCATGCCTCGATCGTTTTTTGGTAGTACTCTGGATCGAACTCATGACCAAAAAGAATGTTTTCCTTCACCGAGGCGTTCATAATCCACGGATTTTGAGTACAATAAGCTATGCTTCCATGGAGGCTGATAGGAGAAGGCCTCTTTTGCGGCGAGGAAGAATGAATGGCAGAAAGTTGGCCTATTATGGACGAAAGTAAAGCAGACTTACCAGATCCAACTCTCCCAACTATACAGACAAGATCGTACTTTTGGGCCTTCAAGTTGATGTTACGTAAGGCATACTTGAAACTTGCAAAATCCATATCTTCTCGTATTTCACTTTTCTCTGGTTTGCTCCATAAGAATGACAAGTTTTGGATCTCGAGAGATGTTGGATCTTCACTAGGCTTGATTGCAACTAGACTCTCATCAACCTCTGGGCTACCAAGGAAACTTGTGATTCTGTCAAGTGCCACAGAGCCTTCTATAATGTAATTAAAGACGGCAGGGAAGTTGAGAATGGGCTTTGAAAGAATTTCAAGCAAAGTAAGCGCTGGAAATACGATGTCAGATGTAAGTGGAACGGTACTAGTAATGGCAAACGTTGCAAATGTAGCAAATGACACCAAAAATGGAATAAGAATCCAGAGAAAGTTGGATACCTGTCCCAATAAACGTTTCTTTCTGAGGTTTGTCATCTCACGACCATTCCTAATATCAAGCAAGTGTTTAAGCATGGGATTTTCCCAAGAGTAGAACTTAATTGATCTCATGGAAACGAGAATCTCATTTGTCACACGGTTTCTCTCATCCTTGATTTGCATCTGCTTCTTAGAAAGACGTTTCTGAAAACGCACAATAATGGCATTAGCTGGGAATGAGAATAAGATGACACCCGCTCCTGCCAAACTAGCCTTACCTAAAAGTGCCCAAAGAGATATCATGCAAATAACAAACTCAGTTGGTGCAATAATTAAGGTGCTTATTTCCTGGGCACACGCTTGTACTCTTGGTGCATCAATGGAAATGAGGTTTACTATATCACCACTCGAACGTTCAGCAAGGGCCTGACTTGACAAACGAAGACTCTTTTGGAACACTAGTGATGTCAAGGATGCTTTGAAACTGAAACCGAACTCTTGGATCCTCATCATAAAGCGGTTGGTCATGGATGTCTGAATCAAGGTAACAAAAAACATACCAAAGGATATGATGAAACCTCTTAAAGCTGGAGTATTTGGATCAGACACTTTTTGACTGACGAAGACGATCAAAAGCCTCAAGAGCTGTGGCTGGATAAAGTTAAGGACCTTATCTATCAACTCATACAGAAACGAAATGAGACCCAATGGGCCAAAGGCCTTTATCAAAGCCCACAAAAGGCCCGATTTGGTGATGTTAGGGTTCTTCTTTGGGTCATAATGTTTCGAAAGGCGCTTCATATAAAGCTCAGTGGAGATTCTAGAAGGAATTTCGGGAAGATCCTGATGGGAAAGAGTGCCATTCTCGTAGGAGCTGGTAATTAGGCCGTTCATCCAAGTGAAGGTAATTTGTTCAAGAAAGTTAGGCTTTCGAAGCTCTTTCGCTAATGTCTCATTGTTCATATAGTGAATGAGAAGTTCGTGGGTGGGTTTCCAAGTACGCTTAGATGCTTCAAGCACGAAAATGACCACAGAAAGAAGCATTGAAGTTGTTTCGATGTGAGCAGCATTGGCAAGTAAAAGAGGCCAGTTGGTGAATGAGTCCTGGTACACTATAGCAGCCTGGAGCAACACAAAGGCTGGCCAGAATGCAAGAAGAGCCCCCGACTGGATAGGCAAGCTCAAAGGTTCCAAAGCATGCAATGGCAAAAGCACAAACACCAAAAGAAGCGACAATGAGCCAAATCCAATGAGTTTATAATCTGCATAGCGTTCATGGATACTGACCTGAGCAGTCAACCAGCACGAAAGCACCGCCACAGTAGCCACAAGAACCGAGCGAATAAAGTGAGGCCATCTTGTGCATTTAATAGATAAAGAACCATACTGAGGGTTTCGTAGAACACACACTAGCTGGTAGATAGCTGGAGGGCCGATGAAGAGCACCAAGACAAGCAAGAGCTGCGCAAGAAAGCACGGGTTGAAAGCATTCTCGAGGGTCGGCACCAACGGATGGAGTAGCGCCCTGGGACCACATATAAGCGGTTCAGAGGGCTTTGGAATCATTATTGGGCTGTAGATGATGGAGGCATAAAGATAAGGGGAGTAGGCAAGAGTCCGAGTCAAATCACGTGGGGCAAGTTTGGCAAAAGATGGCGACTGCGTTCAGAGAAGGAAAGTAACAATAGACTAAAACCAGAGAAGAAGCGGGAGATACTGGGATTTGGGTGGAAGACAGTGATCCATTTTATGGGTATTTTCAGAAAAAGGTGTTTTGCTGAAAAAGTCCATCTCGGATGTCGGTGCCGCTTCGGATAAAATGTATGCATAGAAGCAGCGATAGAAGGTGTCAAGGTAGTAACACAAGAACCAACAACCGATAAGCACCGATAAGACCGGAAGTGAAGGGGAGGGCAATCAAGGGGTCTAACTAGGAAGTTTAAGGGTAATTCCCCGTGAATTCGATTTTTAAGAGAAAAAAGTAGTTTTCTGGTGGTTCCACATTCTGGATATGATTGTCTATTTTGCAACCATTTCGCTGAATCCAGATGGACCAATGGGAACACAGATGAGTCAGAAAAAGCCAAACCAAAATTAAGTATTGCCAGATTAAACATACGATAACAAAAAGAAATCTCGGATGTTGCCTTAAATGGACGATCTCCATGCAAAGCAAGAGGCTTTTTCGTTGATGTTGATCGTCCCGATGTGAGATGGAGCAGAGGCAGTAGTAAGAGATGATGGAAGTACCAAAACGAAGAATAAAACGAAAACGAAAGCCAAAAAGCCCCAACCAACAAAATCCCAATCCCACCTCCACCTCCTAAACCAACCCCAAATAAACTTCAACCCACCTTTTCCACCGTTGCTTGCCTCATCTGCTCACCTACTGCTCGGCAGAACGATATCTCCATCTACCGAGCACACTTCCCACATCCACACCACCCAGTCTGGAAGGATGTCCCACAACTGGACCAATCACCCCATTCTGGCTTGGCCAATCACAGCACGGGTTTCTCTAATTCCATACCCCAGACGGTACCACTCCAGGGGTGCAGCAAGCAAACGATGGTCAGACGGGACCCACTTGGGTTGCTTTTCGCAGCCGAGGTCCAGCGGGAGGCAGAAGCCACAGGTGCTGAAGGCAGAGGAAGGGAAAGGCAGGGAAAAAGAAGAGAAGAGGCAGGGGAAGAGGAAGGGAAGGAATGGGATAAACTTAAAATAAATAAATAGAAAGGTCGGTAAAAATGTGTTTTATGGTGGATGGTTTGGGCCAACCATCAGTTCATTCACTGGTCTACTTTCCACTTTTTCAATTATTGTTCTGTCTCGCCGTAACCACTGCATTTTTTGCATTTGCATCCCCCAGAGCCACTTAGCCCAGGGTGCCTCGTCGAGGATGGATATATCTGAGAACGGGCGAAAACCACAGAACAACCCTTCTTTATACCAATATTTTTACGTAGTTAAAAATACAGACCGCTCCTAATTTCACTTCACCCTTTTCTGGTCATTTTCTACCTCTTCTTCTCCTCTTTGGTGGTTGCTAAACCTCTGCTGCCCCACATAAGGATCCGAGGGTTCACGTGCGACCCGCGCACCGAGTACCCGCTCGTCGGGTCCGAAACACTACAGCAAATGAGCGTTGAGAAAATCGCGACTTTGGAAGATGCAAAAACCTGGAGAAAAACATCACTTCCGAGGGCTCCACGGGGAGTGGTTTCACCAATGGAGACGAAGGAGCCAACTAAATGGCCTAAAAAGCTGTCAGTGTGTTATTCTTACCCTAAGTAAGTGGCATGTAATTTTTTGCATTTTTCCAGCGACTCTAGGCCACTTTTGGCGGAGGGTGTTTTGCACCCAGATCACCCCCGGATCTCGCCTTACAAATTTCCTCACCCTAATTGGCTATCCACCAAAAGTCTCCAGGAAAAAACCCTGCGATTATATAAATGTCCACTACTGCGCACTTTTTTTTTTCTTCCCTTCCTTCCCTAAACCTCTAGAAGTCCAGACTACAATCACCATGTTGTCTGCATCCAGAAGAACCGCCGCCAAGGTCCCAAGATCCGTTCGTGGCCTTGCCACCGCCGGTATCACCAGGGACTCCAAGGTTAACCAGAACTTGTTGGAGGACTTTTCTTTCATCCAGTACAAGAAGCACTTGGAGAATGTCGAGATTGTCAAGCAGAGATTGAACAGACCTTTGACTTACGCTGAAAAGTTGTTGTACGGTCACTTGGACAAGCCTCATGAGCAGGACATTGAGAGAGGTGTTTCCTACTTGAAGTTGAGACCTGACAGAGTGGCTTGTCAGGATGCCACCGCCCAGATGGCTATTTTGCAGTTCATGTCTGCTGGTATGCCTCAGGTTGCCACTCCATCCACCGTCCACTGTGATCACTTGATTCAGGCCCAGATTGGTGGTGTCAAGGATTTGGCCAGAGCCATTGACTTGAACAAGGAGGTGTTTGACTTTTTGGCTACCGCCTGTGCCAAGTACAACTTGGGTTTCTGGAAGCCAGGTTCCGGTATTATTCACCAGATTGTCTTGGAGAACTACGCTTTCCCAGGTGCTCTTTTGATTGGTACTGACTCCCACACCCCTAACGCTGGTGGTTTGGGTCAATTGGCCATTGGTGTCGGTGGTGCCGATGCCGTCGATGTCATGGCTGACTTGCCATGGGAATTGAAGGCTCCAAAGATTATTGGTGTTAAGTTGACCGGTAAGATGTCTGGTTGGGCTACTCCAAAGGATATCATCTTGAAGTTGGCTGGTATCACTACCGTCAAGGGTGGTACCGGTTCTATCGTTGAGTACTACGGTGAGGGTGTTGACACCTTCTCTTGTACCGGTATGGGTACTATCTGTAATATGGGTGCTGAAATCGGTGCTACCACCTCTGTTTTCCCATTCAACCAGTCCATGGCTGACTACTTGAACGCTACCGGCAGATCTTCTATCGCCGACTTCGCCAAGCTCTACCAGAAGGACTTCTTGAAGGCTGACGAGGGTTGTGAGTACGACCAGGTTATCGAGATTGACTTGAACACCTTGGAGCCTCACGTTAACGGTCCATTCACCCCAGATTTGGCCACCCCAGTCTCCAAGATGAAGGAGACCGCCATTGCTAACGGCTGGCCATTGGAGGTCAAGGTCGGTTTGATTGGTTCTTGTACCAACTCCTCTTACGAGGACATGACCAGATCTGCTTCCATCATTAAGGATGCTGCTGCTCACGGCTTGAAGTCTAAGTCTATTTTCACCATTTCCCCAGGTTCCGAGCAGGTCAGAGCCACCATTGCCAGAGACGGTCAGTTGAAGACCTTCGAGGACTTCGGTGGTGTTGTCATGGCTAACGCTTGTGGTCCATGTATCGGTCAATGGGACAGACAGGACATCCAGAAGGGTGACAAGAACACCATTGTTTCTTCTTTCAACAGAAACTTTACCTCTAGAAACGATGGTAACCCAGCCACTCACGCATTTGTTGCCTCCCCAGACATGGTTACCGCTTACGCCATCTCTGGTGACTTGGGCTTCAACCCAATCACTGATACCTTGAAGGATGCTGACGGAAACGAGTTCAAGTTGAAGGAGCCACAGGGTGTTGGTTTGCCACCAAACGGTTACGACCCAGGTGAGAACACTTACCAGGCCCCACCAAAGGACAGAGCTTCTGTTGAGGTCGTCATTGCCCCAACCTCCGACAGATTGCAACGTTTGACTCCTTTCCTGGCTTGGAACGGTAAGGACGCCGAGAGATTGCCAATCTTGATCAAGGCCGTTGGTAAGACCACCACTGACCATATTTCTATGGCCGGTCCATGGTTGAAGTACCGTGGTCACTTGCAAAACATTTCTAACAACTACATGATTGGTGCCACTAACGCTGAGAACGGTGAGGCCAACAACGTCAAGAACCACTACACTGGTGAGTGGGCTGGTGTTCCAGACACCGCCGCTGCTCTTAGAGACGCTGGCCACCCATGGGTTGTCATTGGTGACGAGAACTTCGGTGAAGGTTCTTCCAGAGAGCACGCTGCCTTGGAGCCAAGATTCTTGGGTGGTTTCGCTATCATCACCAAGTCTTTCGCCCGTATTCACGAGACTAACTTGAAGAAGCAAGGTTTGTTGCCATTGAACTTCGTTGACGTCAAGGACTACGACAAGATCCAGCCACAGGACGAGGTTGACATCGAAGGTTTGACTACCCTCGCTCCAGGTAAGAACCTTACCTTGAGAGTTCACCCAGAGGACGGTAGCCCTGCCTGGGAAACCGAGTTGTCTCACACATACAACAGCGAGCAGATCGAATGGTTCAAGTACGGTTCCGCCTTGAACAAGATGGCCGCCGTTGCCGCTGGCAAATAAGCATCTCGGTCCCTATTGTATTTAATCATTTAAGTTATAGTCTATTCATTCATTGAAAGATGTTGTAGTCCGCATCCTTGATGGGAATACATCTGTAAATATACAGAAGCAAAAAATAATACCAATTGTAGGAAAGTAAAAGTTAAAAAAGAAGGTTCAAAAGCCCGACGCGGGGGTCGAACCCGCAACCTTGAGATTAAAAGTCTCACGCTCTAGCCATTGAGCTAGCCGGGCACAGGTTGCCTGATTTGACAACCGATTTAATAAATTGTTTTACCTTAACGGCGAAACTTAACATAAAATCATGAAAAAATCTTCATTAAATGAATAACTAAACAATATATAATCTCCCAAATTATGAGAAGCCTTGCTCCGAAATACAAGAAAACAAGCTACTCCTTCTCGGCGCAAACCGGCACCTAAACTCGGCCCCTTGAGGGACGATGTGGCTCTCTCGCCAGAGAGGGGGACCATCGCTTCCCGGACGAGATCTAGGTCGCCATCCCCAACTCGCCAAGCTCGCCCCTCAATTGCTAGGGATCCAACCGAAGTGCTGGATGCCGTGAGGATCACCGATCTTATTGACGAGTTAACCACGGAGCACGCAGCAGAGAAGCAGCGTGCAAGGAAATATTGATGATAGAGGAGCGTATCATTCAATTTAAACACCCGTCAATTCGAAGACGAGAGGGTGTTTCCACCACCAATTTCAAGTTTGGCTCTTTCAATATCCAGAAAACAAATAATTTAGTTACAGTGGCACATCTAGCCGCAGATTTTGACATTCTATTCATTCAAGAGTTCAAGGCTACCGACAGCAACGTGGCAGCCATGAAAGATTACGCAAGGGCTAGGGGCTTAGACTTCTTTTCCACACCCGCAAGGGCCCAACGATTCAATACCACTGGGATTTTTGTCAAGCAAAGACACTTCCAAGTCTTAGGGGAGTATGAACTCGGCAGTAACTCTGTGTTTCATCACAGATCTACCGACATACGGATTGAAACGTCAATGGGGGAACAGATATTACTCCAGAATTTCTATCTTCCGACTCAAGACAAGAACAAGCAAGCAGATATTATTGATGATACGACGATTGGGTTTATCCGCCTCAGGGAGGCATACCCAACTTTACAGTTAATTTATGGTGGTGATCTAAACCATTCGATGGAAGACTCAACGCCAGCGGAGGTACGCGCTAGGTTGGCTATCAAAGATTTGGACAACACCTGCAACACAGAAGATTTAGCAGTTTGGGACAGGCGTATTGCGGATGTTCCAACTAACACATCCTATCTATCCAATCGGAGGATTGATCGTTTTTACTTTCCAAGGAGCTGGCGCCTCAGAGCAAGACGGTATCTGACCGCCAAGCATCCTGTAATCACTTCAACTCACGTCGTTATATCGGTACGTTTTCACCTCCACCCTCAGAAGGACCTCCACATTGGGAAGCCACGATTTGTCTTTCCACTTGGACGGCTCCTTCCTCCGTTCTCTGATAAAGAGGTTCGGAGAATACCACATGATAAAACGATTGATGAGGCTATATTTCTGATTAAAAGCGAAGCTATGGACCACCTCAAGTTTATGAGCTTAGTGCGGAGAAGGCAGCCAGAAGTGGCAAATCAATTGATCAAAGAGGGCGTTCACATGCTGAAGGCCGGTCATATTGATCAATCTACAAAGCTCTTCTTCCAGCACAAGCGCACAGATCCAATTGTTATTCAAAAACTTTCGAATTCGGAGAAACAGAGAGAAGCAGAAGATACGTTAGGGATGATTCTTATAGCGACCGACTATTACAGGGAACTTTATCAATCACCCCCAACAGTGGAACCAGAACAAATGCAAAGGTTTTTGAGTCCAGTGGGAGACAATCTCTCAGACTCACAAAGGGCCGCCCTTAACAGACGATTTACTCAGGATGAACTTCTCCAAGCCCTTCGGAAAATGGAGAAGTCTTCAGCACCAGGACCCGATGGTATCCAGAACTCAGTGTTAGAACACTTCTGGGAGGATGTCGGCCCCATACTCACACGCGAGGCTAATAACATGATGAGGACAGGAAAGTTACCACAGAGTTTTAAGAAGGTTTTGATTACGCTCATTCCTAAACGTGATCAAAACCAGTCTACGGAAATTGCAAACCTTAGACCTATCTCACTCACCAACACGACGCTTAAGGTGGTGTCGAGTGCAGCCTGCAATAGGCTACAGAAAGTGCTTGACAAATTGATAGGTCCTTACCAAAGAGGTTTCATTAAAGGTCGACATATCAACCATAATACCATGGAGTTCTTCACCATGGTCCAGCTTATCCAGGACAATAGAGAGAAGACCAAAGCTTCGTATTATCAGGCTATTTTGATGGCTGATTTTACTAAAGCGTTTGACCGCATCTCTCATCAGTATATCCAAGCCGTTCTTGAAAAAATGCACATTGGGACCAAAATGTGCCGATTACTTATGCTGTTGCTTAAGGGCCAGTTTGCTCAGATTAGAATGAACAATTGCGGAGGGCCTCATTTCCCAATTGATTGTGGAACGAGGCAAGGGAATCCACTCTCTCCCTTACTCTTCAACATCGCGTTGGAGCCGTTATTGTTGCATTTAAAGCTACTAGAAGGAATTGAGCTAAGCTATGGTGATATCAAACTTGGGCGAATGCAATACCATGCATTTGCAGATGACGTCAACATCTACTTAGCCAACTTGAGAGACTATGCACATGCCGCTAAGTGCATTAAACGTTTTGAAAGAGCCAGTAATAGTAAGGTTAGTGCATCGAAATCCAAACTCATAGGATTTAGGCGTGACTATCCCGAGCAAGAACAAGATATTTTGCCCTACCCACAGAGTTATATCAACCGGGAAGAGCTAAAATATTTGGGGATTAGCATGAAAGGGGTGAACTGGCGGCATTTCATCTACTACCTTCCATTTATGACCTACAAGCAAGGATACAGAGGATTGGATATCATCAGTAAGACTATCGGGACCAACATGTTCGTGAGTTCCAAGACCATATACAAGGACTTGGTCCAGTGTATGACAGAGAAGGAACTTCGAAATATTGACGATGCCATTCAAAGAATGTTTAAAGGGGTCCTGGCACCAAAATTATATGCTAGACCAAAGAAAGGCGGTTATGGCCTCATTGAATTGAGTTCACAGTTACAAGGACATCGTGCCAAGGTGTTAGCTAGAACACTTGGTGACGATCAGCTGTGGTTCATCAAATACTTGAGGGCGAAGATGCTTCACCACGTTGTGAAGATTTTCCATAACAACCGACGTGCCAAAATAAGACAAAGCCATGGGCTTTATTGGGAAGAATTTCTCTTTGAAGCCAATGGACGTTATTTCGAGAACTTGGAGTGGACATTTACTGAGAACGAAATTCAGTATATCGAAGCTTGGAAGAAATTAGTTAAAGGGACTCGAACCACTCACCCGGCCACAATAGCCTCGAGGGTTCGAGTGGAGGATGTGGAGCTGATCTTGGGGATCCCGGGCCACCCAAGACCACATGAATCTCAGCAGCTAAATACTGGGATCTTCACCTCCAGAAGCCGAAAGAAACAAGAAGAGAAACCACCAATTATGCCAGGAAGATTCAGAGAAATTTGCCCAGAGGCCCGACCTATCAAGAGATGGGACAAATTCTGGAAAAGTTTACACCGCGAGGAATGGCTCAAGCGAAATGAGTTTGGGGCCATTCATCATTTCAACTTTGGATCTTATGTTCCTATCCATGACAAACCTGCTCATGGAATGACGCTATGCCATTTATGCCAACAACAGTACAGACAGGACAATATGCTCCGTCACATTTACAATGAATGCCATGTCTCAAAATTCTGGTGGGGACGAATGGGATTCCCACGCCCCATGAATCTTCGGGAGATGTTAGCTCCTGAGGATGTGACTTTTGGGAACCTAAGACGATTAAATTGGTTCGTTAAAGTCGTCCGGTTAAATTTCTCGCGACGACGGAGGGCAGCTAAGGATGGAATTATAAACCCTCCTTTGCTGGTTAGAGCTATGAAATCAGCGATGCAGAAGGTTCTGCCGATGGGAATATAATACCATACGAGCAGGCTACAACGCAAGGACAGAGTTATAGAGACACTCAAGCTGAAGTTCAGACGGGGGTGTTTCGAGCCGGACGGCAATGAGGAAGTCCTTGTAAACCCGATGATTAAGGGGTTGTGTTTTCTATAGTGATATAGTTTTCGTGCCGTAAGGCGTCCTCTTAATACACAGTTAACAAAAAAAAAAAAAAAAACCGAAATTGAGCTCTTGAGAGCTACTTTTGTCTCTCAGACTCTTCATACAGCCTAAGAAAATTAAGGAATACCTTGATATTGTTCTTGAAAAATCAAGGTTTACTTGGATATAAGTTTTATAGTCTCAGGGCTAATGTGGCGCCTAGAATGACATAATTTACCCTCGATGTACAACGAAAGGCATAGCCTAGTAAGTTTTCAAAAAGTGGCATATATCTAGAAAAAAACAATACTATAACATTTAAAAGCATCGAAAAAAGACCTTTTTATGCTTTACTTCACCGAAAGTATGTGCCTAGCTCGGTGTGGCAGATGGGGTCTTTAAGGGTCGATTTACATGGCTGCGAATTGAAGAAAGAGTCCATCCAGCTTGGAAATACTACCAGGACCCAGAAGCTGACCGCCTTAAAGTTCAGGAACATAGTTCTAGCTGGAAGCATTACTGTTTGTTGTTTGGACGGCGAGTCAGTCACTTACCGTTTGCTTGAAGAAAACATTGGACAAACTTTGATGGAACAGCACATATACCAGGAATACTTATTGCTACACCTTTAATAAAGAAAGCATCTAGTAGAGAAATGACCAGTTTGCTTGTTCTTCTCTTGGCTTTACTCAATTACTTTTATTAAATGAAGAGGCGGAATTTTGTTGCTACCTTTTATTACACCTGATTGTGTTGTAACTTTAGAATGTGTAGATACGTCAGAAATTATGGTCCATTTGAACTTAATTGGCAAGGGGCGTTATCACTAGCTGACTCCATAACAATAGCACCTTTCAATTTCCATTGAAATTCTATTGTTGGGAATACCTTACAATGGCTAGTGTGTCTTGGCCAGTCTCTCAGCCTTATGCCTTTATAGCCATTCAAAGGGTTCTGAAAAAGCCCAACCTGAAAGCTTTAGGAAATACAACTACGCAAGAGAATTCAGATATTTTAAACTTAACCTTCTCCAGAAGCCGCATATGCTTAAGCGAGGATTATCATGATCGGATGCATAACCGAGTAAACTACTCATTTTTAGCCGCCATACAATTGAAGCCATTCAAATTCCACGGGACAAAAGATATCATGGGCCATGAAGTGAAGGAAAGTAAGTTATAAAAAGTGTTCATCGAATGATATGAAAAGAAACAGACCAGAATTGTGTTCCTTGATGTGTCTGAGCGAAGAAAAGTAGAGCACCCAAGTTCCAAGTATCATTGATAATACAACATATGTTTCTGTTTCTAATTTTTTAAAGAAAAGCCGTAATTACACTGTAGTATCTGCTTTCATTCCAATCCCAACTAGTCCTTTTCTTACCAAACAAATACTCTTATCTTCCTTCGATGCCCTTCTAGGCTATGCGCTTAGATAAACCACCCAAACAACACCCCAAGTAAATTCAAACTTCCTTTTTGAAAATTTCATCTTTGTAACCCCATTCCCATGGGGATGTCCCTAAAGCCACACAGAACCCACAAACACCCTAAAACAACAAATCCTTTACCCCATGGGCATCGGCAGCTCTTCGGTTATCTTCGGTACTGCCTGAACAGGAACGCACCGACATGGAGAAGAATTTGCAGCCATTGTCCCACGCCTAAAGCCGCTTACTTTGGGAAAACTGAACATAAATCCAAAATACCCCAATCCCAGACAATCGTTATATAAATTCAAAAAATTATATATCTTCCTTGTATATCCATACCTACGGCCCTTGTTATGGTAGCAACTGAGACATTTTAACGGCGGGGCGGCCACGTGACCTGGGGACCTTGGCAAGCATCAAAATTTTCCATACTTCCTACTCCAATTAGTCCTACTCAATTAACACTTTTTCCTTATAAAAATGTCCGAATTGTCCCACCCTTCCATTAAAGACGGCTGGTTCGCTGAAGTCAGCGACACCATGTGGCCAGGTAGTGCCATGTCCTTGAGAGTCGACAAGGTTTTGCACGCTGAAAAGTCCAAGTACCAGGATGTGCTTGTGTTCAAGTCCACTGACTATGGTAATGTGCTTGTTTTGGACAACTGTATCCAGGTCACTGAGAGAGACGAATACTCTTACCAGGAGATGATCACCCACTTGGCCATGAACTCCCACCCTAACCCAAAGAAGGCTTTGGTCATTGGTGGAGGTGACGGTGGTGTTTTGAGAGAGATGTTGAAGCACGAGAGCATCGAGGAGGCTTGGTTGTGTGACATTGACGAGGCTGTCATTGAAGTGTCCAAGAAGTACTTGCCTGAGATGGCCAAGTCCTATGCTGACCCAAGAACCAAGGTGCACATTGGTGACGGTTTCAAGTTCTTGGAGGACTACAAGAACACTTTTGATATCATTGTTACTGACTCTTCTGACCCAGAGGGCCCAGCTGAGAGTCTTTTCCAGAAGCCATACTTTGAGTTGTTGAAGGGCGCTTTGACTGAAAAGGGTGTCATCACCACCCAGGCCGAGAGCATCTGGTTGCACATGGACATCATCTCCAAGTTGAAGAAAGACTGTAAGCAGATTTTCCCAGTTGCCGAGTACGCCTACACCTCCATCCCAACGTACCCATCCGGTACCATTGGTTTCATGGTCTGCTCCAAGGACGCTAACGCCAACGTCAAGAAGCCATTGAGATTCGACTGGGACGACAAGTTCGTCGACGAGAACTTGAAGTACTACAACGCCAAGGTGCACGAGGCCTCGTTCGTCTTGCCCCAGTGGGCCGACAAGAGGTTGAACAAGGAAACGTAATAGTAATAGACTAAGACTCTGGTGTACAGTGGTGTACTGTAGACATTTTGCAGCCATAGTACATAGTACATATCTATGCGCGACATTAACCCCAGATTAGCAACTACCCATGGCTTTACTGAATGGCATATCCCCAGAACAACGGGCCCGAATAGTATGTATAAAAGCATTTATGAGTATTTTAGAAGTCCCTAGTACTAACAGTCAGGAGGCAAATCGCCAGAAAGCGTTGGAAAGGCTCAAGCAGAGAAGAGGCGAACCACCGTCATCCTCATCGCAACCATCTGCCACATCAAGTATACGAAATGGCGAAACACCAAAAACTGGACCGCCCCAGAGAGTCATCCCGCCACTTCCCAGGACAGAACTTACGCCTGAGCAGAAAAAGCGGATTCAAGAGAACAGAGAACGGGCGCTAGCTATACAGAGAGAAAGGCAGAAGCAGCACCGTGATGCCACCGGAGAAAACGATATCAGCTCGGTAAGAACCGAACTGGAACGGAAGAAGGCGAAGCTAGAGCTGACGTACCAGCCGCCTTCGATCCAAAGAAAGGACTATATCGAGTATGACTTCTCTACGATGAAGGATAGCCGAGGCGGGTTCTTAGATGATACAGAGAAGAACGGACTCAAGGGCGTGGAGGAAGAGCCAGAGTCGCTACAGCAATGGAAGGAGAGACAGAAGAAGGAGCATTTGGTTCGGGATTTGGCGCCGCCACTAGATTTGGAGAATGCGCCAAAATGCTTCGAATGTGGATCTCTTGAGATTGATCCTAACTTGTTTACGAACTTTAGAGAAGTACGCGTGTGTCGCCGGTGCCAGAAGGAAAAACAGGATAAGTACTCGATGTTGACGAAGACTGAGTGCAAGGAGGACTACTTGTTGACGGACCCGGAGCTTCAGGATGTATCGCTTCTTCCGAGGGTCGAAAAGCCAAACCCACACGGGTTCCTGCGAATGCAGCTTTTCCTAAGGTTTCAGGTTGAAGAGTTTGCTTGGAAGAAGTGGGGTCTGGCCGAAGGTTTAGATAAAGAGTGGGAGAGGCGTGAAGCTGTACGTCTTCAGAGAAGAGATAAACGGTACCAAGACAAGCTCAAGGAGATGAGAAAGAAGACCAGAGCTGAAGAGTACACGAGAAAGCTACGGAACGGTATGTCGCTTGGTGAAAGACACGTCCACAGTTGGTCAGAGCCTATTTCTGCTGGTGGGAACATCGTGAGAAGAAGATGCACGGATTGTGGCATCGAGACGGAGGAGGTGATGATTTAGGTGGTGATAGATGGCATGAAGAGGTAATACTCGGGTAATAAAAAGGATAGGCATTGTGTCTATAATATACAAAAGGCGTGAATACGTGTAGTTAGATGCCAAGGGCGGATACCCATTGGTCAACCTGGCATCCCAAGACCAGTAAAACTCGTAATTCAAAGATCCCTACCCAAAATTAAATTGTGAAAGTAGCTTCTATTCTGCCACTTTCAGTACCTCTTACACTTACTACCACCTCAGACCAATTGGCTATGCCACATTGACCACTCCACAGCCATCCAACACCCCGTCAACCCACCTCCCTTCCAAAACGAGTCAACTGCAAAAACTCAACCCATCCAATATACAAATCCCCAATTACCCAATCCCATTTCTCTCCCTCCACGTTCCCTCCACTTGACACTGCCTGGGCTCGCCTAGCCTTACCTTCTTCCATAGCCTTCTCGGTAGACATTTTTCGCAGCCATTCAAGAAGCCCCAACCAGACCAAACCACCTCCCGCCAAACCCCCAAAAACGCACTTTTAAAAGAAGCCAAAGCTCAATATCAACTTCCCTTGGCCTCTTCAAGTTACTTATTCACCTAAATCATCAAATTTCCCCGTGGTTTATCTCCACGTGGAAGCCTCTGGAACAAGACCATAGAACGCCCTGCATCCACTGCTCAGGCCCATGGAAGGTTATGGAATTTTTTCTCGCCGCGCCAGAAGACATAATTTTGCAACTATATATAAGCGTCGAGGATTCGCCCATACTACTTTTGTTCAGTCGAATTCATCAATAGTAATTATCCATCATGTCTGAAAAGGTTGAAACCCATGAGTTTACCGCTGAGATTTCTCAGTTGATGTCTCTTATCATCAACACCGTCTACTCCAACAAGGAGATCTTCTTGAGAGAGTTGATCTCTAACGCTTCCGATGCGTTGGACAAGATCAGATACCAGGCATTGTCTGAGCCATCGCAGTTGGAGACGGAGCCAGAGTTGTTCATTAGACTCACTCCTAAGCCAGAGGGCAAGGTTCTTGAGATCAGAGATTCTGGTATTGGTATGACCAAGACTGACTTGATCAACAACTTGGGTACTATCGCCAAGTCTGGTACCAAGGCTTTCATGGAGGCTCTTTCCGCTGGTGCCGACGTGTCTATGATTGGTCAGTTCGGTGTCGGTTTCTACTCCCTTTTCTTGGTTGCCGACCACGTCCAGGTTATTTCTAAGCACAACGACGACGAGCAGTACGTCTGGGAGTCCAACGCCGGTGGTAAGTTCACCATCACCTTGGACGAGACCAACGAGAGAATCAAGCGTGGTACCATCATCAGATTGTTCTTGAAGGAGGACCAGTTGGAGTACTTGGAGGAGAAGAGAATCAAGGAGGTTGTCAAGAGACACTCTGAGTTCGTTTCCTACCCAGTCCAGTTGGTTGTCAGAAAGGAAGTCGAGAAGGAGGTTCCAGCTGACGACGAGGAGTCCAAGGATGAGGAGAAGAAGGAAGACGAGGACGACAAGAAGCCTAAGTTGGAAGAGGTTGACGATGAGGAGGAGAAGAAGGAGAAGACCAAGACCGTCAAGGAGGAGGTCACCGAGACTGAGGAGTTGAACAAGACCAAGCCATTGTGGACCAGAAACCCTAACGATGTCTCCAAGGAGGAGTACAATGCTTTCTACAAGTCCATCTCCAACGACTGGGAGGACCCATTGGCCGTCAAGCACTTCTCTGTTGAGGGTCAATTGGAGTTCAAGGCTATCTTGTTCGTTCCAAAGAGAGCTCCATTCGATGCTTTCGAGTCCAAGAAGAAGAAGAACAACATCAAGTTGTACGTCCGTCGTGTTTTCATCACCGATGACGCTGAGGAGTTGATCCCAGAGTGGTTGTCTTTCGTCAAGGGTGTTGTGGACTCTGAGGACTTGCCATTGAACTTGTCCAGAGAAATGTTGCAGCAGAACAAGATCATGAAGGTCATCAGAAAGAACATCGTCAAGAAGTTGATCGAGACCTTCAACGAGATCGCCGAGGACTCTGAGCAGTTCGAGAAGTTCTACACTGCTTTCTCCAAGAACATCAAGTTGGGTATCCACGAGGACCAGCAGAACAGACCTGCCTTGGCTAAGTTGTTGAGATACTACTCTACCAAGTCCACCGAGGAGTACACTTCTTTGTCTGACTACGTTACCCGTATGCCAGAGCACCAGAAGAACATCTACTACATCACTGGTGAGTCCATCAAGTCTGTTGAGAAGTCTCCATTCTTGGATGCTTTGAAGGCTAAGAGCTTCGAGGTTTTGTTCTTGGTTGACCCAATTGACGAGTACGCCATGACCCAATTGAAGGAGTTCGAGGACAAGAAGTTGGTTGACATCACCAAGGACTTCGAGTTGGAGGAGTCCGAGGAGGAGAAGAAGCAGAGAGAGAAGGAGGTTGAGGAGTTCGAGCCATTGACCAAGTCCTTGAAGGAGATCTTGGGTGACCAGGTTGAGAAGGTTGTTGTCTCCCACAAGTTGGTTGACGCTCCTGCTGCCATCAGAACTGGTCAGTTCGGCTGGTCCGCTAACATGGAGAGAATCATGAAGGCCCAGGCCTTGAGAGACACTACCATGTCCTCTTACATGTCTTCCAAGAAGACCTTTGAGATCTCTCCAAAGTCTCCTATCATCAAGGAATTGAGAAAGAAGGTTGACGCCGATGGTGCTGAGGACAAGACCGTCAAGGACTTGACCACCTTGTTGTACGAGACCGCTTTGCTTACTTCCGGTTTCTCCTTGGAGGAGCCATCCTCTTTCGCTCACAGAATCAACAGATTGATCTCTTTGGGTTTGAACATCGAGGATGACGAGCCTGAGACCGCTGAGGTTGGTACCACCGCCACTGCTTCCACCGAGGAGCCAGCTGTCGAATCTGCCATGGAGGAGGTTGACTAAATGATGTGATGTTTACTGCTTAATTCTATATATATATAAATACTTCAAGGCAAAATAATTGGTTAGATGCTATTATGTATTACTATCTATTCCTCTTCAGTTGACATGAGTGCTTTGACAAGCTCGTCAATAGTATCAAGCACAGACTGTGCATGTTCTCTAGTAAGTAAGTCATTATCGTTATCCTTGACATAACGCAAAACCGTCAAAACCTTGTCTCTATAAGAAGCTGGGAATGCAACAACGTCTGATTTAGAGGTTCCCACGATCAAATCATGAATGAGAACAATAGCGGAACGTCTCATTATGGCCTTATCTTTATCAGTCTCTAATTGAAGAATACCAATAGCACAATCCAAAGCGTTTTCAAGGTTATCATAGATACCAATTGGATTAGTATTGCAACAGGTTCCTAGTAAAGACATCGCTGACATTCTGAGTCTATCGTCCACTAAAGGCTGATCTCCAGAGGGCCTTCTAATTAACAGTAGAGCTCCGTCAGCAACAGTTTTTGCTAGAGACCCAGTGAAAGCTTCATCCTGACTTTGGATGAACCGAAGAATCACCTCACCGATCTTAAGACGTTCATCAAGATCGACTTTTTCTTCATTAGTACCAGCATAAAGTCCCACAAGCTGTGGAAGAACCGTAGAGGCGTCCCAGTCGAGTAAACTATCAAGACCCTTGATAGCATTGAGGTAGATGAAGGGTTCTGGGTCTTTGAGTTGGATGAGATGCAAATTGAGTGCAAAGTCCACGCTGAGAACTGGACTTTGTTGTTCCACCAACAGCCTTAATAAATAAAGTCCATGGGCTCTGATGGGAACTAAGGGGTCATTGAGGTTTGAGATAGCACGAGTAAAGATCTTTTGGTGAGCTTCGGTTTCATTCTTAGCAGGAGTGTCGCCTTGTAGAAGAAGTCCAATTCTTTCTGACAAAGACGTTGCTGAAGGAAGCAGACTGAATCTTTCAGCTAGTGTCTTCTTGATTTGTGCTAACTTATTCTTGCAGTCTTCGTCGAGCGTAGAAGGTTGTGTTTCAGAAAGAACTGCCGAGAGAAGCTCAAGAACCACCGTAGTGAGTTCATCAGAGCCTGATGTATCAGCATCTTCGTCATCAGAATCCACATCCATATTGGCATCCTCTGTAGCCAAATCGTTTCTATGCTTGAGAACACTCTGAATAAGGTCAAAGAGCTCAAGCGGTGATTCTGCAAGAGTCTCCTTGAATTCTTTAGCCAAACTCTCTAGAAGTCGAAGATCAGCCAATCTGATAAACGAATTATCTTCTGAAAGAGACTGAGAGCCCTGATCAAGCCATTTACGAAGCAATGCGACGAATAATCTCCTAACCGGTTCATCGTCTAGCTGTTTTGCCAATTCGACAAAGTACTTGCATCCATTGTCAAGTGCCTTCACGAAATCCAAAACTTTAGCCTCGGCAGACTTATCAGAACCAACCTGTTGGTCCTCTCGACCGATTTCAACAAGACGATTAGGGCCAAAACGGAACTTCCAGCCTTCACCACCCAAACTGACAACGTTCCGAGCGATTAAATCGAGTCCTTGCTGTAATGCGTCTGCATCCGTGCCAACACAAGCCAAGAAGCCCAAAATAATGTTCTGTGCCACTTCTCCTGAGGCTTCATTGCTCTTAAGGAAGATATAGTAGGACCAGAGGGGAACAAGTATAGACATGAAAATGGACATGAGGAGTGGGACAGGGAGACCTTTGGAAGACAAGGTAAGTAGGACGTTAATGTTGTTGTTTAATGCTGCCTCTGATACAAGTACCATGTCAGTAGTGTCCTCGGGCTTTGGATCAAGGTTTCGCCAAATACGCTTGAGAATGAAGTCCTCGACAATCCTTGGATTCTTATACCATATCTTCTCAATGACATGCGACGTGCAACTCGTGATGGTGGGTCTATTAATGTTGACGAGAAGGTCGTAGCATTGGTTACCAATTGACGTGAAGTACTCACTGCTGGGACAGTCTCTCGGTTTCTGTAGAACCACACTAGCCACCTGGTCGAGCTTTTCAATGCCAATATCTTCCTGATCTCTCAAACCAAGCACATATTCCATTAATGTGAGAAGTCCATCGCCCTTTGGAGCAGAGTAAGGAAGCGCTTGCAATTTTTGCATGACAAAAGTCTTGAAAAAACCTGGAGATGGCGACTGCACTAGTAAAGAGTAATCCTGGTAAAGCTCGAACGTGGATGCAATAGTTGTCACCGTAGAATACTCCCTAAGCACCTTTTCACGGATTTCAATACTGAAGTAAGGCACCGTTGCAAGTGTTATAGCCACAGTAAGGAAATCAGAGTACCCACTGCCTTTCATTAGAAGCTGTTGCACATCAGATTTTTCAAAGAAAACCTCCGTCAACTTATTATAGATCATCGTTAGAAGCAACTCATGCTGCTTGTGTCTTTCAGTGTACGACTTAGCGCCCTTGGCAGCCGGTACCTGGTCAATCGTAATCGGTTTATAGATTGGAGAACCAAAGTCCTTAAGTCTTCTCTTTTCCAAAGGAATACCGATCCGCAAAGGGTGAAGACACGGGTAGATTCCAAGAATAATAATCACATTCACAAGCTTAGCAAATATTCTGATATCATGCAAAGAGATAGATAGAAGGTTCTTATCGTTATCCTTAGCATTAACCTTCACCGAGTACGTCTTAATCTCGATCAAATAGTCAAGTAGTCTTTCCACGACCGCCCACCGTTTATCCTCCGTCTCCCTATCTTCAAAAAGCACCTTATATAGACCATCTATGGTGGTATCTTCTAGCTTAGGCAGTAGAATCCCTTCGAGCCTTTGAAAGATCAAATCAAGATCGCTATCACCCAAGTACTGTGGCTTGTTCAAGCCCTTTCTTTCCGGGTAAACCTCATCCCTGGACCGCTGGACAGTGGTAGACTTCCTTGGAGCAAACGGGTTCTTTATGACCTTCCTGTCTTTGCCGTCCACCTCTTCAATCTTGGGAGGCATTGCAGATACAGAGTTTATGAAGGTAACCAAATAGCCCAAAGACGTATTTTTCACACCCAATTAACCAAAGCAGGGATCTATGGTGGTATTACAAATCACGTCTACGCTATCAGTATATATGGGGTGTACTGTTGGGAGGGAAGAGCATCGCATTTTCCACTCCATCGAATCCATCTCTACAGATACTCATCACTGGTCAGCATGGCAGTTACGTCGCTCTCGCAGGAGGAAAAAGACGCTCTTATTTACGACGCCAGAGAAGGCGACTTGGAGTACCTCAAGGAGGTTTTCGCCGAGATCGTGCCTGGCCTGCTTCTTCCTACCATTGTGGATGATATCACATCGAGCAGCACTATCCATATGGCAGCAGGCAATGGGCATGTGGAGGTGGTGAAGTATCTTTTATCGCTTTTGCCACAGGAAGAGGCCGAAAAGTTGGCCAGCAAACAGAACGACAGTGGTAACACTGCGTTGCACTGGGCAGCATATAATGGGCACTTGGAGGTGTGCCAGCTATTGACGCAGCAGTATAAGGTGGATGTTTTCATTAAGAACGGATCTGGGCACGATGCTATTTATGAGGCAGAGGCTAATGGCAAGGAAGAGGTTGAGAATTGGTTGTTGAAGATGTACGCTATTGAAGATAACGTGAAGGTGGAGGAAAAGGGTGAAAACACCAAGGTGACATATACTCCAGGCACAGAGTCCAAGGAGCTCGAGGAGCAGGCCCAGGAGGCCATGAAAAAGGCCAACGAGGAGAAGAACGTGGAGGGTTTGAATAAGGAAACCGAGAAGTTGAGCATAGATAATTAGAGGATCCACGGCTGAAGCAGGTTGTATTGGGTCTTTACAGTGTATAATAGATAACAGCGCCGGATGGGCGAAAGCAGATGGTTTTGGGAGTGTAGTTGAAGGTATGTGGGGGAACGTAGAAGGTTGTTTCAGATTTACAGTGGAACGTGAATGGTATATTGTCTGGCTCTGGTGGTTCAAGGATCGATGATCTTATATTTAGGTTTTTTGACTTCTAAGCTAAGGATCAAATAATTCAATCAAACAGTTCAATTTAGCTCCTTCTAGAAGTACTAAAAGGGAAAGAGAGTCCCCTTTCCATGTCAAACGTCAAATCCTAATCCCATCTTATCCCTCTAAGCATTACCACTCTCTGGCTCTCAGAGAGTCGTTGTTACCCAAAAACCACGTACTTTTATTCACCACAACCATTTTTTTTGCACTTCCATATCCATAAAATTCATTTTCCAGCACCTTGTCTCCAGTCATGCTTCCCCAAGCATTAACAATGTATGGTCCCATCCACCCATATAGCACTTTTTCGCAGCCATACCAGGCCATGCCACAGTCCACCAAAACCCACCAAAAACGTCAGAAATCGAAAATAAAGATCACTTTAGAGTTTCTAAGCAACCAAAGTTACCCTGAAAAAGCTCCTCTCCATGAACTTCCAAACCTCATTGAAACTCGTCCAGGGTCCATTTACCTCTCTTAAGCAGCACTATCTGAACAAGAGTCCCCAGTTAAACAACCACGAACCACCAAAAAACCCAAATTTTACTCATTCCAGCAATTACAATCCCCTTTTTTAGCAAATTCAAATATACAAAAAATTCACTTTATCCATTTTCGTGTCTTCCCATGAAAACTCTCCACCCACCTACTTACCATCCCCAGTCGTGCGCTGCACGCTTGAGAGGAAAAAAGGCTCGAAAAATTTCAACTAGTACTCATTACTCAACCATCCATCTGCACCATGAGTGACTTAGGTTTCGATCCGAGCTTGAAAAAGAAGAAGAAGTCCAAGAAGCCTACTGAGGAGGCCGAGGGCGGCAGTCCTTCGCCAGCCAACGCCGAGTTGGACGACATGTTCGCAGGCTTGAAGAAGAAGAAGAAGTCTAAGAAGACAGACGAGAGTGGCGACAGTGGAGCGTCTCCTTCTGTGGACAGCGTTACCGCCTCGTTTGACGATTTGGGATTGAAAAAGAAGAAGAAGAAGTCTACGAAAGCGGCTGGAACCAGTGACTTCGAGCAAGCCTTGGAGAAAGCTGGACTTGACGATGTCACGGGAGCTGCTCCATCAGACAACCAGGAGTTGCCAGTACAGACCACTTTGGGCTTGCCATACGATTTCCTTTTGTCTCGTTTCTTTACGATCTTGAAGCAGAACAACCCAGAGTTGGCTGGCGACAGAAGTGGCCCTAAGTTCAGAATCCCTCCTCCAGTGTGTCAGAGAGAAGGTTCCAAGAAGACCTTGTTTGCCAACGTGCAAGAAATTGCTACTGTTTTACAGAGAAATCCCGAGCATTTGATCCAGTTCTTGTTTGCTGAGTTGGGTACTTCCGGTTCCATTGACGGTGAGAAGAGATTGGTCTTGAAGGGTAAGTTCCAGCCCAAGCAGATGGAGTCCGTCTTGAGAAGATACATCATCGAGTACGTGACATGCAAGACTTGTAAGTCTATGAACACTGAGTTGAAGAGAGAATCGGCCAACAGATTGCATTTCTTGAGCTGTAAAGCCTGTGGTTCCACGAGGTCTGTGTCGAGTATCAAGACCGGTTTCCAGGCCCAGATCGGCAGAAGAAAGAGAATGTAAGACAGCTCCAGCTATGCTTACTTTTTACAACATTTCATTTAAAAACCCATGGCTGCTGGGTCGATATCAATGTGGACATACCTTTACAGTCCCTTCATGCATTTAGTAATACCCAGCTCTATGTGTTGTGTATAGTATAAACATCATCATCGATACGAACATTGCTTTAAATCAGATAAATCACGCTTTAATTCACTTTTAATTATAACTCTTTATTGCATCTCAGCGAGCTTCTTGAGCGCAACTGCCCAGGAACTCACTCCATTGTTGGCCATCATGAACGTGAGAACCTCAGTCTTGAGTTGTGATGGTTTCTTCAGCTTGGAAATCACAGCGTCTGCCACTCTCGTCACAAACTGTTGGTGCTGGGCTTCAAGTTCATCATATGCTTTTATGAGTCTTTCAGTCACGAAAGTCTTGTCCTCCTCCTTGAACTCACCTTTGCTTATGTAATCCTCGAGAGACTCTCTAGTTTGCCGAAGTTCTTCGGTAGAGTATTCACGAGGTGGTTCAGAGCCTCCAGAGCCCACATTACTCTGGGAAGAGTTGGCAGAGCCATATGCACGAGGAGTTCTTCTTTTAGAACGGGATCCAACACTGCTATTGCTGGAATTCGCCTGCATCATGATATCTGGACAGTCATTCCATCCTTCCATGAGTTCACCTCTTTGGAACTTTGTCATGGTGGATCTTTTGGTAGCTTAAGGGGTGTGACTTGAAATTATTAATGGGACACGGGCCGAATTGTTTGTTTGATTGCTCTTATCTGCAGGAAAATGGAAAATATGGGGGCTATTCCGTGAAGATCATATTCTGTGAAGCAACGTCAAGCATGATTCTAAAAGCTCATCGACGGTTGGACGTTGCGTAGGGTCCAACACAAGGCAAGATGTAATTATATCCATGAGTTCTGGGGAGAATCCTCGGAGATCATTGGGGATCTCGTATTTGGCTTGCGAAATCGCCAAATTCAAATTGGCGCCTTGCTCAATTTCGAGTTTCTCGAATGGCGAGAAGCCAAAACAACAACTGTACAAAAGGCATCCAAGAGACCAGATATCTGTCAGTTCTGTAATATTGGCGTTGCTGGCAACATCCAAAAGCTCCGGTGCTCTGTATGGAAGCGTACAGTGTTCCTGGGCGAATTCTGTCAAGGTCAATGCCTGTTGGCGGGAAGTAACGTTCACCCGAGCTTTAGCACATGATCCCAAGTCCACAAGAACAGGCAAGCCCTCAGCAGAAAGCATGACGTTGGCAGGCTTAATGTCTCTATGAGCATAAGGACAAAGCTCCAGTAGTTCGGTGGCTTCGTGTAAACTGTCATCATCGCCATCAGGAAGCATCATATCGTTCTCATCCTCGTCTGTTTCAGGACCAGCGCCAGAACCTCTTCTCTGGTACTTGTGCATTGCCTGAACCCCTCTGAGCACGCCGATAAATATCTTCAACACCTCTTCCTCCTCCATCGATACGCTATTGAGAACATTGAAGTTTATGACATCCTGAAGAGATCTCTCAAAATAGGGAAGAAGGATGTAAAACGTTCTGGAGCCGTCACTTTCATTCACAACACTCTCGTCAATTGTATGGATGATATATGGTGTCTTGCTTTCGGCAAACCGGTGGTAGCTTCGAACTTCTCTCCACGCATTGGCGAAGGTAGCATCATTAGCCCCATATGGACATCTTATCTTTTTCATGGCGTATAGATTGTTGGAGTTGTTCTTCTGGGATACTAGGTAAACGTAGGAGAAGCCACCTTCGCCTAGAAGACGAAGAATCCTGTACTTTGTTCCATTGACTGTTAGCGAGGGACTGGAGAGGTCCGGAAAACAAGGTAAACACTTTGTGAGTACCGAAAATAGGAGATCCATGGTGAAGAAGAAGATGAAGGTGTAGTTGGATTAAGCCAAGATAGGGCTGTTGTAAGGTGATATGATTGTATGCAGGAAAATCAAAAAGAAGATACAGAGAAAGCTCTTCACAAATAAGCCTGGTGAGTAGAAGATCTCATATTTCTCCCATGATCAAGCTGTCTTTTACTTTTGTCTTAGTATACTTAAGTAATGTGTTCTTTTTAGATGTCCAACATGTTTTGTGGTGTACGGGTGTGTTACACCTCTACCCATTAAAGGTGTTTACCGTTTTAAGAACACTCCAGCCATGAGTGAAGAATCTAAGCAAGAACCGAAGCCTGTCTCTGAAGACGTCGTTATTGCAGATCCTCAAGAGCAAGAGGAAAGCGCTCTTGATAAAGTAGAAGTCATTGAGCTTCTACCGAATCTTTTCACTCTTCTCCAACAACTAGAGAAAGGCGAGCTACAGCCAAAAGACTTTGACAATCATGCTGGTACCATCAGAATGAAGCTCAATAACATGAGACTGCTTCTTCTGGAGATCAGTGGGATTTGTGAGCCAGTTGAGGATCGTTTGCAGAAGATAAAGGCTGTGAGAGAGAGCAACCTGAGAAAGAAGGAATTCATCAATGCATTCAGAGAACGTGTTCGTGGCGACTTAAAGGATGACCTGGGGAACTAGGCGAGGCAGGAATTGGTTCATTAAGGACGATCAGTTTCCTCAATTTAAGTTTCTAATTGTATGGACTAGGTACATTATCGGTTGAACTGGATGTCTGATTGATTATTCGTTGACGATGAAAAAAAAAGCGTGTATCAGTCCCAATCTATTGACCCCTTTAATATGAGGGCCTTTTATTTACAGATTATTATTTTATTAATAACTTCATTAGGCAAGTCAAGTTGACTCATCCGGCTGCACTCGGTAAGGAAAGTCCAGCGTTTGGAGCGCATCGAGTATCTAAAAGCTGGCCCATTCTACTGGTTCAACTACTTCATTTTTTGCATTATGGCGAACGAGTTTGTTGATTGCCTCGTCGTGTTGGAGAAACATGACGTGTGCGATAAAGAACTAGCTGTGTCGTCGCTAGTCTTCAAGTGTATCAAAGAGCACAAACAGGACTATGTATCCCACTTTACGAGTGTGTTCAATGTTAACGGACTTTATTACTATGTTTCCGTGGTAAGAATCAGAAATGTGGATCTGGTGGAGAAATTCATCGGTGAGAAGGGTCGTTCAGATAACATGAATACAGCTGTCTTTGATAGCATTGTTTCAGACATTAATCAAAAAGCGGATAGGCTTGGTCAGGAAGGAGGCATGATCATGTACGCAGTTCTGAGTAGGCCTTCAACAGGGAAATGACTTCTGGATGCTTCTATGTGTGGGATGGAAAAGTTATATGTGGCATACGAGATGTTGGGCCGACTATCGTCCGCTTTGGTCTGAAGAGTTTCAAAAGCAGCTCGCATGAGGTCCTTGACGATAATACTATTGTTCATTTGGAAGCTGCTTACATTGGAGCGGAACGAATTGAGCAAAATCCTTCGAATTATGTTGTCTTGCCTGGTATGTTGCTCAACGACTTTTTGAGACTAACAATAACCCTTGATCCAGGTCCCTTCGATGATTCAAATGAGTTTTTCTTGGAGCTGCTCCATATTACATTAATTGAAAGAACCATGTTTCAGCTGATAGAACAGGGGTTTCCAATCAGATTGTGCAACCCTGCTATTCGCCAGACTCCACTTGTTAGGTACAATGGCCCTCTAACTGATATCTCAAGCCAATCTCAGAATTATGGTTCAAAATCTCATGGAATCTCACTGGTTAATATTCCATCATATATGTATAGATGCCGCTTCCCAAAAGTGGGAGTTACATTATTTTCCAACAACTTGGCAAGACATCATTTCCTTGAGATTAAGGTAGTGCTTCAATATAAAGGGCTCCATGTCTGCATGACGGTTTACCACTTGATCAACGTTGCGTCTAAAATTTCGCCCAAAAAGATCTCGTTTTCGATGCCCAGCATCTCTCGAGGCTACCATGTCTTTGAAAAGCATTCTTTAACACATTTTAAAGGCTTGCTGATGATATCTAAAGTATTAGCTCGCTTCTCATCAAAGGACGAAAAACACCTGGTTCATTCTATTGAGGCACTCTCGACAGGCTCGTCTATTCTTGCTAACGCCATTATTCAACTGCCATCTTCAGAGGAGGAGAGGCTCGGGTTTACGAAGGCGCTTCTTTCTCGTGGTCGTGCCGCGATATCCGATTTGAACTGGGCGTTTTCATCAGAGGCGGTACTTCTTTGTGAAGTGTTGCCTCAGGCCGAGTTTGAAAGTCATCAAATCTTGAACCCTCATTATCTTTATGGGGCATATTTGTGCATTTAAAGTCTCGGCGATACCATTGCCCTATCCTTTTTCAGAACTTGGTGCCTTCCCTTGGAGATTCTGTTACCTCAGCAAATGGAGTTGTTCATGAACTTGTCGTTCGTTTTAAACCTCCTGGACAATTCAAAGTGATAGACGCTGCGCGTATTGTGCTTCCCAGTATGCTGATATCAAGCTTTATCGATGCTGAGCTCATAGTCTTGGATGGAAAAGGTAATGCACCATCAAACGTATCTATAGAGCGAATTGAAGTGTTCTTCGAGGGATTAATCAGAAACGGTAAAGCTTTGGGTGAACGCTTTCCAAAGATCCTCTCTGAACACTCCGTTGAAGTTCCTTGTGCACGAGAAGTCGGAAACTTTCGAATTGTATCTGGCGGTGTCCTGCTGTACAACTTTTCTGGTTCCCTTTCCGATTTTAAAATCCCAGACGTCGGCCCTTCAGTACTATCAAAAAAGTTAGGACGATCATACAGACTTGGATTTCTTGTATCTATTTATCATATGGACACTAAAAAGTCCTTATCATTGAGTGTTCTGTCGCAAATTGCCGTGGCAGCTAAACCTACTCGACTTCTTGCTGATAAATCGACTCCACCCAAGTACAGCCGATGAAAAGCAAACGTCTTTAGTGCGCCGAAAGAATAACTTTGATTTTAATTTAGCTTCCTCGTCTTTATAAGCGACAATCAGGATGCACTTATCTTTTACAGATTTAAATGATTCAGTTTACGATCTTCCTCTTTACTTCTTATTGAAGGGAATGCTATCGCTGTGTCACAAACTATGTCGGCGGCTCGTAGAAACCTAAAGATCTTTTTATATTGGAAGTTTCACTCGTCGGCTATACAGCGGCAAATGAAAGAAGTACATCACATCTGCCACAACCAAAACGACACTGACGCCAAGAAATACTTTACCACCGACATCTTTAAGACGGCAGAACATTGCCATTGCCAAACCTGTCGAAGTAAGCGCCATGGATACCATGGCGCATCTTCCGATGATATGCCTCCTAGAAACAGTAGTCTGCGTCATGAGGGCCTGGTCGAGAAGTCCATCGACGTAACGGAATAGTAAACCAAAATAACAGACATGTACAACAAACTCATAGAAGAAAGCCCAATCCCAGAATTCCATTCTGCTTCTAGTGCAGTAGGTAAAAATGGCACTGCAAAGTGAGCTCCGAATAGAAGAGAGTTCAGAGAGTATAGGTGACATGGTCCCATAAATCTCCAGAGCCACAGAACATCGCCGTTACCGTTAGCGTTGGTGTCGGTGCGCTGATTTGGCGCTGCTGTCGCCAACGTTGGTATTTCTATCTCCAATGGAATCAACGTTGGCGCACTGCTGTTGGCGCTGCTGTTGGCGCTGCTGTTGACGCTGCTGTTGACGGTTTTGGCGTTGGGTGGCCAGCTCAGCTCTCCCGATGACCCTTCACCTTCATATCATCTAACAAATCAGAGGCGGCAATACCACTTTGGGACCGTCGCGTATCATCGGTCCTTCTTCCACCGGAACCCGACATGTTGTTGGAATGAAGCAGTACAGAATTGAAGGCATTTGTGATAGCTGTGAGGCTTAAATAGCCGTTGATAGACTGCAGGTAGCAAAATATTGATCTGGGGCAGTCTGGTAGAAGCGACCTTTAGACCACGATGGTATCCTTAAAACTATTCCTAAAAGGCTGCGGCGTTCACTATTTCTTTCCTTCATAATTAACTGCTTCGCTGCTTTCTTCAAACGAGTGAGAAACTTTCACTTACCGACTCCAGCTCGGAGTACCCATGGCAAGCACCGACTTCTACCCTGTTTTTCCCCATGAAGAACCCCGCTACGTCACCGGAGCCAATCATCTATGCATTTTCATTGTCTTGATCACAGACTTTGAAAGCTCAACCTTCAAGGCACGTTTGACTCGTAGTGGAATGAAAACTCCCTTCACTCATCAAATGGCTGACATATTCACAGCAAAGCATAAGTTACCCAATTTCATAAGGTCCATTTCTTATGGAAGCAGTTAGGAAAGTCCCTGAAACCAGACGACTTAAAGGGCGTTGATAACGGAACGGTGCTTGGGCAGGACGGCAACTTCTGCTTAGTCCTAAACGACCAGACTCAAGCTACTTGCATGATAGTTTGTTTATTGGAAAGCCCTTTGAGGCATCTTTTCTATTCTTTCATGGGTTTAGCTATGGTTCTTGACATTTCCTGAGAATGGCAATGTTGTTCATTTGGAAAAGTTGGTGAGGAACTCCATTTAAGGATAGAACATCCGTACACCAGAAGAGACCGTCAGGCTCCAGTCAGAGTCATCAACACCATTGTCCATATTATTGGCAGAAGAATGTCTTTATAAGGAAGGCAACGCTTCCTTATACTTGCCTAAGTGTCTTAGTGTTTTTTCTACAGAATGTGTGAAGCCAATTGCTCTTTCTAGACAGCCTTCTACACACCCTCCAAGCCCAGCCAAGCAGTGCCACCACAAGCCATCCACAGATATCGTTTCAGCATGAAAACAGATATGTCTTTTAAACTTCTGAAACGCAACCTGAAACGCCTTTTAAAACACTCAATTACCTCCCATAGACGACATTCCCTCTCCATTCCCCCCAACGAAACCTTCTGGTCTGCACCGCGAAAAACTCACGTCCCGCTTTTTATCTTCGTTGATACTTTAACTTCCACGCGCCGGGCAATTTTCAAACAACCGCCCTTCATCGTCCCTTCCACTTCCCGAGAAACTCACCACTTCACTCCGGAATGGCCTCTTTGCATGCGCACTTGCCCAATGCGGAATCGTTGGACAACCTTCCAGCGTTCACTGTTGGTTTCACCATCTTTGCTATCGGGTTTTTTGGCTTCTACCCGAAGGACTCAGATACTGTTGTTTTGGATCCACATGCCCCATTGAACCTCAACTTGAACGCTATATCTTTTTACATTTTTCCGCATCTCAATGTGTTGCATTTGTTGTTGAATCTTGTCTCGTTGGCTCCGCTTTTGGCTCGTTATGAGAGGACTCACGGAACCATCTACACTGGCGTCACCATGAACATTTTGGCTGTTGTCGCTGCGTTGCAGTACTGCTTGGTGGGTCTTTTATTGTATCCTACTCAGCATGTTGCTGGTTTGCTGGGCATTGTGTTTTCGCTCTTGTCGTTCTACTGCTATAAGGAGCACTTCACTCATCCCTCCGTTTACACGTTCAGAACCCGTGGGAACGAGTTTCCTATTCCTACGCTTTACTTGCCTTTCCTTTACTTATGCTTCGTTGCGTTCCTTTTCCCTAATTCATCGTTTTTCGGCCATTTGGCGGGTATCAGTGCTGGTTTCTTGCTTGGAATGGGTAAGATCAACTTCATGTTCCCACCGCTGAAGATCATCTTGTGGATTGAGCATAGACTTAGCGTCGTGATCAATGCATTGCACAATATTGTCATCTGGACGAAAGAAGAGGATGCTGTCAATGAGCGTAGCGTCAACTACAAGCCTCTCTTGTCTGCTGATATCGAGCAGGGCGAGCCAGCGACAGCTGCCTACGAAGGATTCGAGAGAAGATTGGGCACCTAAGGATTCTTTTCTTGTTTGTTCTTTTCACTTGCTTGAAGACATCGACAGCCCGTCACAATACCAAAAGGTCTACGCCCACCCGAGCGCTTATAGAACGAAACTCGTCGTCTCCAAGCAAACGCCCCCTTGCAAAACTTACACTTGTTCATTAATATCATCATTCTTTGTGGAAGTGTAGAAAGAAAGAGAATACGCCCTTTTTTGTTGATACCCACGCAGCTGTGACATTTTCGCAGCCATTAAGGTTTTCCATCAAGTGGCTCGATTTTTCCCCACCAAACAGGAAAACTCCCCTTGAGCCAAACCAACTTTCAATTATTTGTCTCTACTTGGCCCCATTCTTCCTTCCAACTTATCTCTACCTCCTCTTTCTTCCTTCTCTTGGTGACCCCAGATCTCCATGCACCCCAGACCACCCGTACCTCAGACCTTTGCAGTAACCACTACAAAGAATAAAGTGAGGGTAAACACCCAATTAGCCATTCACCGATTTTCCATTGCCAACAAGTACTAAAGCTCCCGTTTTCTCCTGCTGCATGAGATCATGATTACTCAGGATAAGTCGGAAGACTACAAAAACAGGAAACAGCCGAATGATAGGCGAAAAAGGCGGTCGAAAAAGAAGAAGAAAACAAACTCCGCCGAAACCCCTGTGGATGGACAAAGTCCACAGAAGAACGTGGTGAACTCAAAAGAGACGTCTCAGGAGGATGGAAGGTCCAAGGATCCAGCTGAAGAATTCAAGACTTTGGATCCAAAAACACCCAATGCTGAGGGTCTGGGAGTGAAGAAATTTCCCCTGCTACAAACTGAAGGATTGGTTCAGCCGCCGCCAAAAAGCCACGAGCAGCCTGCCATGAGCCCGAGGAAACAGACGTTGTTGAGACATAAGAAGAGTAGTGACCAGGTGTCTGAGCCTTCTTTCATTAGTGAAGCCAAGGAGTTTCGGAAAAACAGAAAACAACCTCCTACTCACCCCACAAGCTCTAGCGAACCCAACCTCGAGGACGATGACCATAAGTACCTGATGCTTCTCTCGCAACAGAACCTACAAGGGAAAGCTAGTCTTTTTAGGTACCAAGCGGCCCGCATTCTTGTTTATCACGAACAAATCCAGGATCCGGTGCTGCAGTCGCTGTCAGGAACTTTACTCGGCCACGGCGAGCTCGAGATCTTTCAATTGCATAACGGAGACGTGACTTACTTGGCGTGTGGCCGTTCGTTTGTCTACCCGCTTCTTCCCAAACTAAAAATTCTACGCATAAGTCTAAACCAGTTCATCTTGCCTTTATCCAATCCTGAGCGCTACTGGAAAATAAATATCGACACAGAAGATGTTGATGTGATTAAAGAGCTTGAGCGCATATTGCAGAAAGTCGTCAAGTATACCAATCTATCGTTTGCGGCGGCCAAGACGAACGAGCTTCCATCTTACATAGACCTGGGCATACCTGAGGATGTTCAACAGCCGGAAAAACCTGCCGCTGTTGCTCCAGATACTCCTCAGACCCCTGAAAAAAGTCGACAACCAAATAACGTGGTACAGGCTCCTCTTCTTGATGGTTCTGCCTTGCATGCTGGGCATGCTGAGAGGACCCCAAAAGCAAGTCATTTCACGCCCTACTTTAACGATATCCCTGAGTCACCACCTTCTGCTCCTGTTTCACCCCAACAGCTCTACGAGCCTGATCCAGCGTTCCAGCTTCCACCGGTGAATGAACCCCAATGGCCATTGCATCGTCAAAAATCAAGTCAGTCAATCACTTCTGCTCTTGCAAGCTTTAACCTCAACGAGCAGGCTATTGCCCCAAAGACTAAGCCTACCTCCAAGCTATTTCAACCCAAGCCTGTGAGCCTGCCTCATCGTCATGCCAACCCCCACGCTAACCCCCATGCCACTATACACGCTTCTAAGGAGATTCCTTACAAGCAGCATTCTAACCCATACCACAATCGCACTCGACAAGCGAAGGCAGCAGACGCCAAGTCTGATTCTTCCTCTATGGACTCGCTTCTTGATGAATATGAGGAGAATATTTCTACGACCAAGTCTATCAACTTCAACATTCCAAGGTCACAATCCCGGACAATGTCTTTAGCGTCAAGTGCATACCCGGCTGCCATAAACTATCAGCGTGGAAAAATTCCACTCGTCCCTGATATTCGCAGCAATATGGGATCTGTGACACACGAAGCTGCAGATGAGGAGGAGGAATTGGATGATTTCCCCAAGACGTCACTTTCACAGTACAACAAGGCAAGGCAAAATACGCAGAGCCAAAAGTCACGCAGATCGTCGCCTAGTGAACTCTACAATTCTGTGAGCAATTGGATGGAGCCGAATGTGCGTCAACAACCACAATTGTCCCATTCTCGCTCCAACTACTCTCTTGCAAGTGCTAAGAACAGTATCGCGTCCAACCGCACTCAAGAGAACACCCTTAGGGATATTTATCGCTCGATTACCGAGAACAACTTACACGCTAATTTGCAGCAGCCGAACGGAAGACGCCAAAGCATCGGCTCTGGTCGTGGTTACGTCCCACGGCCCAAGACGAACGCTTTGAGCTCACAGACACAACAGCATAAGCATTATCCATCAGATAATCTGATGAGACGTGGTGATACATATAGTCAGAAGGCCAACAGTGCCAGAAACGGAAGCCGTAACGGAAAAGAACCGCTTTCGTCTTCAGATGTGTATCGCCTCGTTAGTGCACGTTCAGGACGCAGTGAAAGCGTGAATGGCGAACAAAGCAAACGAGGAGGCATCTCCCGGTTGTTCGGATGGTGAAGAGATTAGAATAAAATAAGCATCGAAATGTACAATATATGATTATACGATATATACAATGAGAGGTCATGAAAGTATGGAGCACGATCGGCTAACAGTTAGCACAATTGAGTCTTTGATGCGGATCTATCGGAGGTTTGGTACATCAAAAGTTGTTGTGTTTCATTACATGGTAGCACCAGGAATTGGGTTACCGTTGGCATCAACCATACCGTTTTGCATCAAGAAGATCTGCTCGTTACCAGCGGTTTCAACCTGCAAACCAGCACCAACCTTGGAGGACTGCTTGAAGTGGTCAATCTCACCAGAGAACATAACTGAAAGCATTGGCATGATCTTCTTCTCCAAGAAGACGGAAGTCTTACCGGTGGTATCCATCTGGCCTCTGAAGACGGCAGTACGGTACTCGTATTTGGCACCAAGAGTAGTGACACCCTCGACGACAGGTTCATACTGAGGACCGAATGGTGTGCTAACAGGTCTCATGCCAGCAGCGATCTGGGTCTCCAAACCAGCCTGAACGTTTTCAGAAACCTTTCTCCAGAAAGTACCCACAAGGGCACCTTGGCCCTGGACTTGGGCAGTAGCAATCCAGTTACCAGCGTTGTAACGACCAAAGTAGCTGATAGCACTGTCTGGAGGAAGAGACTCGTTTTGTCTAGAGAAGGTGGCCTCGACACCGACGGCGAATCTTGGGGACAAGGATTGCAACAAGGAACCAATGGCAACACCAGTGAAAGCACCAGACAAGTAGGATGGGTTCAAAGTCTTCAAGTTGATGGAGAAATCGTTAGCGTTGTAGTCCTGTTCCAACTGGCACATGGTTGGCTGGCCATGAGCAATCTGCAAAGTAACCTTAGAGATGTTGTGCTCGTCCCAACCGTAGTTGACCTTACCGGAAACGGAAAACTGGTTGTCAATGTTACCCTGGGCAAACATGTTCTCCTTGGCGTACAAGGCCGAGAATGCATAAGGAGGCAAGTCACCACCGATGGAGAAAGCGTGGGAGGTCTGGAAAGCTGGGTCAAACGAGAAAGACTTGTTCAAGTCAGCACGCAAACCCTGGAAGAAATGCTGGTTCAAGAACACATCACGGTTGACTTCCTTGGTAAGGTTTTCCACGGTACCTGGGTTGGTCAACCCAAGAGACTGTCTGTGCTGGGAGATGTTGGTGTAGACGTCGTTCAAGTAAGAAAAGACTGGGTTGGACGACCAGAAGCCGTTCTGTTTAGGCAACTCTGGAGCCGACGAAGGAAGAGTAGGCACAGACATCTTGGAGATGTCGGCCAAAGGCTGGGCAATTTGCTGTTCCGACATTTGGGGATGTGACTTTGGATGGGCAAAAGGTGCTATTTCAATATGAGATCTGGTAAGCTTGTCGAGAAAAATTTGTGAGCGCGGGATGGAGTATACGCTGGAGGAGCTGCGAATGTGGGGTGGACAGGGTAAAAGAGAGACTGTCCGAGGACCAACAGCAAGGTAAGCTTGGAGTTAGAGAAGGTAATATGGATGGATATGGTGAAGGCAGGAACAATTGCTTGGAAAAAGGTTTGTTTAGTATGACGTGTTTTTTTGGTGGTGATGAGGTGATGATGGTGGTGGTGGGTGGTAGTGGAAGTAGCAGCGAGTAGTGAGTAGTGAGGTTGGATTAATGGAGGAACAGAGATACTTGCTGGATGGTAAAAATGGGTCTTTCTTGTTGTTTTTAGATGAATAACTTTTTAGATATATTCTTGGATATGTTCGGTGTGGTGGATAGATTTGGCGTGGTGGGTTGGTGAACGGTAGCTGGGAGTCGCATAGACCTTTTGCAGCCATTCCGCTGGGTCATATCAAAGGACGTGGACTAAGAAAAATAGAGCCAAGTTATGTTGGAGTCTTCTTTTGAAGGCTTCTCTAATCTTCTTTGTTATTCTTTGGGGTTGTTGTGAAGTTAAAACACTACCGAAACGAGTTGCTGTGAAGTTATAGTGCCTTGGTCAATTTAACCGTAGATGGTGAGGTTGAAAATACAAGATTTCGGCATTGGCATTCATTTAAAGCTTTGAAATAAATCCCTATCGATGTTAAACAGAATTTAGAGAAAAGATAGATTAGGACTAATGTTTACCTAGACCAGAGATCGTCAAAGAGTGCAGCCTGGAATTAGATTTTTGACGTATAGAAGAATTTGGACAAGGACATTATATGCTGTTAAAGGAAAACTTCATTAAATGTAAAGTCATCTAATCGGCAGTTTGATTACATGGAAGGCCGATTCATTTGAGGTCTTTCTTCGCTTCTTTGGAATAAGCAAACACCTCCCAATACCCTTACTTCATTGACTATCGTGATTGGCTACCTATTCAGCTGAGTTTAGCTGAAATTTTACGATCTTCATACTTAATGGTGATTTGTGCCATTTGCTTTCCTATGTTAAAGAGATATGCATAGTCTCAAGGAGGATAAAAACTGCTACAATGGCACAAGCAGATTTGTGAAGACTCTAATGACCATGATACTATTCGAGAAGCCTAGCTGTATCTATTTGGATCCATGTGGTCATGATCAGATGGAAGGAATGGTCTAGGCTCAGTCAGAGAAGACATTCACGGTAAAAAAAAAAGGCCATGCCAGAATAACACCGGTAAAACTAAGACTCATGTGGCTTGCTTGATTTGGATATATTAGATACTACTCTCTGGAGTATTGAAAGGACCAGTTTGCTTACAAAAGACTAGTCCTGGGCGTGGAATGAATCAATGAGTGAGGACTTGTGCCTCTCGCCAACTAAAAGAAAACATCAGAAAAACATTCTTATCTTCCTAAGAGATTCTTGCCAGAATAAGAACTATAATGCTTCTTGGTTTTTACTTTTTTGGTGTAAACCCTTTAGTGTTATCTATTGGTGCGGCTCTTGCTGTCTTACATAAGCGATGTACATATCAGCTATGGGCCTCCAGGCGATTTTAGGACGTTTTTTCAGCATCTTACATACTCTATCACGTTTAAATGGCTTGAATGCGTCACCGAGTTCATAAGTAGCCTATTCAGCTTGCAGGTTCTTAAATATTCGAGAGTCCAGAAGGTATTTTCGAAACCTCCAGGTGAAGCCTACACGATAGGTGAACTATTTAAAGAGAAGAATTTGAAAAGCTTATCAGCTAGATTCATTCAGACACCTCCTTTTGGAAGCAATTGGGAAATGCCCAGGAAAGTTGACCTATAAAAGAGCAGGGCTATAGACTTTATGATTCCATAGGGGTGCTTAGATGACTTAGTGTTGCAAAAAGAGAAGACCTCTTTCTCCATTCTGGAGGATATTTCATACATGATACTTACCAAGGTAACACCTATTACAGTAACATTTGCAGTAACGATAATTCAGCTTCTTTCCATTCTCTTGTCTTCATCAGTGTTTGTAGTACACTGTATGGTCTCGATGAGAGGAAAAGTGACAACGTATTACTCTTCTTGAAATCAGTTTCAAGGACTTCTAATCTTCCAAATTAAGTAAATTCGAGACGAAAATCTATAAGTTTTACCTCTTTCTATTTTTAATTGGCGCAAGTCCTAGTTTTTAATCATGTTGCATTTTGAGAATCTGAGTACTTTTTTTGTATGTGAATTGCAATTCTCAAACACTTACATGAACAAGAAAATGAAAAAGAACACTAAAATTCGAAAAGCTATATTTTTAAATAAAGAATGATAGATTTTAAAATTTAGTACTCTCAATATGTATATAAAAAGGTTTTGGTTGTTTTTCAGGCCGTGAAAGGCGTTTTTCGACGTCGTTGCTTTAAATGGGCTTCTCACTCATGGAGCCACCAATGAAAGGGTATCAAGATAGCGAACAATGGACTCAAAAAATACCTAAAGCCCTATTTATAGGTTAAAGATTCAATATTATCAAAATGTAAGGCAACTACAGCCTTGGCTCCATAGCAGTGCCCAAACAGGCAATTCACTGAAACACACGAGCTTCTTTGATACACCCAAAGAGGAAAACATATGAGACCGCCAAGCTCAACAGAAGGGCAAAAAGGTACCAAATGTTGAATATATAAAGCCACAAGTTTCCTTCTTTCTATTCCTATCATCATCAAACAACAATGGCTGCTCAGACTACTCAGAACAAGAACAACACTCCAAAGGACAACAACTTAAACAAGCACGCTGGTCGTGGTGCAGTTCCTTTTATGTGTACTATCGTTTAGATTAATACATGTCTTCATCTATAGTTTAACGCTGTAGGATCTCAAGCTGAAGGTAATAGTAGTACGAAAGTATTTTAAGGTGAAAATGACCAGACTTTAAAATTCAAAGGTTACAGGATCCAGCTATCCAGGCTTCATTGAATTAATACCTTTTGTTAGACATACGGCTTTCTAGAAGCCCACACTGCCTTACATGCCTGGCTCTTTGTGTCATTGCACCATTACATGTACCCTCCACACTCTATACACCCACACATACTATGTTCGGAAGAATCGGAAAGGGCATTGCACGAGATGCAACCTGAATTAGGCACATCCATGCAACTCATGATCACTAGAAGCACCAGAAACCTCTAATGGAAACCAAAGACTCCTACAAGCATAAACACTAAAACACGAGATGGTGCATTCATCATCGGCTGCACGGCGCAAGCGCATAGAAATGACATATAACCGTCGAATGGGTGCAAATTTCAAAACCTCTCACGAGACCAGCTAGAAGCAGATCAATTGAGTGAATAAAGCAAAGCACTTCTGATAAAGAGAATATGTAGTTATTGAACCTGTTCTACTGAGTACCGCTGCAACCTCAGCTTTGTGGTACATGCCTAATTCCTGACAAAAACCTTAAATAAAATAAACACGAAAAAAAAAAAAAAGACAAAAACAATCTGTAAAGCCATTCCACGGCGTTTCCTTCCCATCCCCTAACCCAACCATCACAGAGCAAATCACAGGGCACTTCCACTTCAGCATATCTGGGAGCACGTTGCGTGATGTCCATCCCACTATACTGCGATTTCGCAGCCATTCGACCACCACCTCAAACACCACATAAACGTCACTATAACACGAAAAAAGACATCTCTAAATATCCTAAAACCATCTCTAAATCAAAATTCACCTCTTTCAACCTTCCTTCCCCATGACGTAATGCCATCTCATGATCCGGGTTATCGATGGCCGGTGGTCAGGTGACGGCCGCACCAATATATCTCGGACTTTTAGCCATCCTTTGCTACCGGTGGAACTGCTAGTTCATATACCACATCACTACTTCTTTTACTTTTTGAACAATGCCGGTTTCAGTCGTGCACGGCACCTCCGGTGCTGTTATACACGCTCCTGGAAAACCCTTGATGAACCATACCATCAACTTTTATACCAACTTGGTGGGCTTCTTGGTCAAGTCAGAGCAGGCTTCGTCTGCAGTGTTGCTTGCCCATGACAAACACACCACGTTAAGAATTGAGGTTTCTGATCAGAAAACTGAAGACGAAATCGACGATTTGAGGAAGCATTGGTCAGAGCTGCACCCTGTGGCTGACTGGAGATCCCAGCTGTCCCACTTGACCTTTGCAGTGACCAACTTGAACGAATTGGTGTCTACGCTCATTGGTCTGGATGTTGCTTGCCAGTTGTACCCTAACGAGTTGTACCCAAGTGAGGTTTACACTGTGGATCCATTGGGAAACTTGGTGGGCTTCACCAGTGCATCCAATGCCTTGAGCTTGTTACCTCCAGTGAATAAGTTGACCATTGAAGACCACGAGCCTACTATCATGAGCTCTGCGGCTTCGGAAGTGTCCAGAATTGTTGATACTGATGCTCCTTCTCTGAGAAATATTGCTGTGATGACTTCGGGCGGTGATGCTCCAGGTATGAATGCCTGTGTGCGTGCTGTGGTCCGTGCTGCCATCTACAGAGGCTGCAAGCCTTTTGCAGTTATGGAAGGCTACGAAGGTCTTGTTAGGGGCGGTGCTGACTACATCAAAGAGATGCACTGGCAAGATGTTAGAGGATACTTGACCGAAGGTGGTACCAAGATCGGTACTGCCAGATGCATGGCTTTCAAGGAAAGACCAGGCCGTTTGAAGGCTTGTAAGAATATGATTGAAGCTGGAATTGATGCCCTCATTGTTTGTGGTGGTGACGGTTCTTTGACAGGTGCTGATTTGTTTAGATCCGAATGGCCTTCCTTGATCCAAGAGTTATTGGATGACGGTTCTATCACCGACGAGCAATACGAAAGACACAAGCATTTGAACATTTGTGGTACTGTGGGCTCCATTGATAACGATATGGCCACCACTGACGCCACTATTGGTGCTTACTCTGCATTGGACAGAATTTGCAAGGCTATTGACTATATTGATGCTACCGCAAACTCTCACTCCAGAGCCTTTGTCATTGAGGTCATGGGTCGTCATTGCGGTTGGTTGGCATTGATGGCTGGTATTGCTACCTCTGCTGACTACATTTTCATTCCTGAGAAGCCCTCTTCATCCAAAGACTGGCAAAGTCAAATGTGCCAGATTGTTGGAAAGCACAGAGAGAAGGGTAAGAGAAAGACCATCATCATTATGGCAGAAGGTGCCATCACAAGCGACCTTGAACCCATTACTGCCAATCAGGTCAAAGATGTATTGTCCGACAAGTTGGGCTTGGACACCAGAGTTACTACTTTGGGCCACGTCCAAAGAGGTGGTAACGCTGTTGCATATGACCGTATCGTGGCCACTTTCCAAGGTGTCGAGGCAGTCAAGGCTGTCTTGGAGTCTACTCCAGACACTCCATCTCCATTGATTGGTATCAAAGAAAACAAGGTTGTCAGATTGTCTCTTGTTGAAGCTGTCAAGGTTACCAAATCTGTTGCTGCAGCCATCGAGAAGCACGATTTTGCCGAAGCTATGAAATTGAGAGACTCAGAGTTTGTTGAACATTTGCTGGACTTTATGGCAATCAATTCCGCTAACCACGAGAAGCCAAGTCTTCCCGAGGAGAAGAGAAAGAGAATTGCCATCATTAATGTTGGTGCTCCTGCTGGTGGTATGAACAGTGCGGTTTATGCCATGGCCACTTACTGTATGTCTAGAGGTCACACCCCATATGCTATTCATAATGGTTTCTCTGGTTTGGCCAGACACGAATCTGTTCGCTCCATCGACTGGTTGTCTATTGAAGGTTGGACCTCCCAAGGTGGATGTGAAATTGGTACCAACAGAAACACGCCCGAAGGCACCGATTTGGGATTGATTGCATACTACTTTGAGAAGTACAAGTTCGACGGTTTGATTCTCGTTGGTGGATTTGAAGCATTCGTTTCTTTGGAGCAGTTGGAGAAGGCTCGTCCAATGTACCCTGCTTTCCGTATACCCATGGTGCTTATCCCAGCAACCATCTCGAACAACGTGCCAGGAACCGATTACTCGCTTGGGTCCGACACTTGTTTGAACTCGTTGATGGACTACTGTGACGTTGTCAAGCAATCTGCCTCCGCCACAAGAGACCGTGCTTTCGTCATCGATGTGCAAGGAGGAAACTCGGGCTACATTGCTACATTTGCATCCTTAGCTTGTGGTGCCCAAGCTTCGTACGTTCCCGAAGAGGGCATTGATTTGGCTCAATTGGAGCTTGATATCAAGTCCTTGAAGGAATCCTTCACAGCAGAGCATGGTCTTTCCAGAACCGGTAAGCTATTATTAAAGAGCACAAACGCTTCGAAGGTTTTGACTACACAAGTGTTGGCAGAAATCATGAAGCTGGAGTCTGACGGTGTTTTCGACACCAAGACAGCCGTTCCAGGCCATGTCCAACAAGGTGGTTTACCATCACCAGTTGACAGAACCAGAGCCACGAGATTTGCAGTCAAGGCGGTCCAGTTCATCGAGGACAAGTCGGGTCGCATTGACAAGTGCAGAGACGAGATCGACTTCCCTATAGACGACAAGGAATTGTCTGAAACAGCCGCCGTGCTAGGTATAGTCTCGTCGCACTTACGCTTCACCGGCATCAGACAATTGTACGACTTTGAAACGGAGGTCGGCAGAAGAATGCCCAAGAGGATTCACTGGGCCAAGGTCAGAGAAATCTGTGACCACTTGGTCGGCAGAACGAAGATTGCCAAGGCATAGCTGGCGCTTAAATAGGAATAGAAAACAGGTAAGAAGAGTCTACTAGTGCGGTGATTCCTGCACTGCTTCAGTAACATCAACACAACACCATGGATCTAGTGAACCAGATCAACGCTTGCACAGACAATGCACAGCTTGACCGGCTCAAAATCAGCGTAAGCGAACTCAACAGGCAATCAGGAAAGTCACTCCTGCTCTTTGAGCGGAAAAAGCTTTACCACAGCATCCAGGAAGCCAACAAGGCCATCGAAGCCGCCGACAACCGAATCAACGTGGAATACTTCCGTTTTAAAGGAGAACCCGAAGCGCCACTGCTTCTAAAAGAAACCACCACCCGACACATATCGAAGCCCAGTGTGGCCCAAAAACACATCACGCAAATCAGCGACGAGACAGCCAGTCTAGACACCCTCTTGGGTGGAGGTCACGCCAGTATAAGCACCATCCGGGGCTCCACCATCAGCAACCACAACGTATGGCCTGCTTCAGCAACGATACAAAAAATCTACAATTCAAGCGTTACCATCAACACTACAGGGCCACTTATGGCCAGAAACGTCAAGGACAGTACACTCGTAGTCAAGTGCCATCAGTTACGGCTCCATAACATCACCAACAGCACGGTATATGTGGAACAGCACTGTGCGATAGTTATGGAGGGGTGCAAAGGCGTGAGGGTCGGGGTTCAGAAAGAAGGAAAGCTTCGAGGGGTCGGGCCCGAAGGTGTACAAGTGTTTGACTTTTCGTGGCCCAGTGGTGAGCAGAACCCGAATTTTGTGTTTATCCGGGACGAGGGAGAGGAAGAACAGGCAAGGTGAAATGCCGTGCTTTGGGACAAATGTTACATGGTAGCAGTGTAGCAGTGCTGGTGCAGCAGCGCTGGTGCAACCAGGCCAGGCCAGGCAGGCATGCCTGGCAGAAAAGGGCTCATGGCGTGTGGCCGTGGCGTGAAAAACTGAGGATGGGCAAAAGTTTAACTGGGGTGGGTCAGGGAACAAGAACGAGTGGCAGGGCCAGGTAGCTCCCCACAGTTCCCCCTAATGGGTGCAAAAAAAAGTAAAAAGTAAAAAGTAACACCCATACCTGGTCCCTCTCGGTTATTGAGTGTCCGGCTGTTGCCAATGGATAACCTTTCGGGTGTTTCGTTCTCGGATGCCTTTATGCTACTTTTTTCTTGTTTGTGCCACGCGAAAGGCATCGTTTTGGCTTGTCAGTGGTACTGAATCGCCGTGGACGGCTCTGGGACATTCGCGGGACTGGAGTCTGCGCGGCGCCAAAAAAAGCATCTACCGTCGAGGGATCTGACTAGGGGCTCGGCGAGGTCGGACTTCTCGGGTAGTTGCCATGCCAAGAGGGACCCTAGTGTGGAATATTTTGGGAGGAGGCAGAGGAATAGCTTATATGGCGCGAGTAGCCGCCAGTTGCCGCCATTACCCGTGAACACCCGCGCTGGGTCCCTCCACTTGCCTTGGGTACAATCAGCGAACCGCTCGGGTATTGCTAAGTCAGGCTTTCGGATAGTCACAAAACACCATTTTTTATGAAACTACTTTGGGATATAAAGAGGAGTGACCCACCACCCGTTTTTTTAGTTCCCACTTTATCTTTACATTGTCATGGCTCCAGTAATCACCAGACCAGGCTCCGAGGAGAACATTAGCTCCTCCTACTCAGAGACCCTTCCTTTGGGTGAGTACTTGTTTTTACGTATTGCTCAGGCAAACCCTAAACTTCGCTCTGTTTTTGGTATTCCAGGCGACTTCAACTTGGCGCTTTTGGAATACTTGTATACTGATTCGGTTGCGAAGGATAAGGGCATTGATTTTGTCGGTATTTGCAATGAGCTCAATGCCGCTTATGCTGCTGATGGTTACGCCAGAGTTATTCAAGGCTTGAGTGTTTTAATTACTACTTACGGTGTCGGTGAGCTTTCCGCCATCAACGGTGTGGCTGGTGCTTTCGCCGAATACGTTCCCTTGTTGCACATTGTTGGAACTACATCTACGGTCCAGCAAAACCAGGCAAAGTCTGCTACTCGTCGCTCAGTGCGTAACATTCACCACTTGGTGCCTAGCAGACACGCATTGACTCCTCCAGACCACGATGTCTATAAATATGCCGTTCAGGGCGTCTCATGCATTCAAGAGTCCCTTACCAAGGATGACTCAACCGATAACTTGGACAAGATCGACAGAGTTCTCTGTAAGATCTTGCAAGAAAATAGACCAGGTTATTTGTTCGTTCCTAGCGATGTTCCTGATGTGAGAGTGCCAAAATCCAGATTGGCTGAACCATTGAGTTTGAGCGAACTCAAAGACACTGCATTGCTTGACGATGTTACCGACAAGATCTTGAACAAGCTTTACAGTGCCAAGCAGCCATCTATTTTCAGCGATGCGTTGATTCCTCGTTTCCGTGCTCAAGAGCAGTTTACCAAGTTTGTTGAGTCGATGCCTAGTAATTTTGTCAAGCTTTTCGCTTCGAACCTTGCAAGAAACATTGACGAGAGCTTGCCAAACTACGTGGGATGCTACTACGGTAAATTGACCGAAGACAAGAAGATTATCGAAAGCATTGAACAAAAGACTGATGTTTTGCTTAACATTGGTTACTTCAACAACGAGACCAACAACGGTTTCAACTCTTTCGACTTTAACAAGGTCACGGATTATGTTGAGATTCACCCAGACTACATTTTGATTGACGACGAGTACATTGACATCAAGAGCGAAACCAAGGACCAGAGAGTGTTTTCATTCAACGACTTGATGACCAAGCTCGCAGAGAAGCTCGATGTTTCCAAATTCACCCACAACCAGGGCCAGAACAACATCGACCACAAGTACGAGATGCCAGTTTTCGCCGAGAGAGATGGCGGCGACACCAAGACCATTACCCAGAACAAGTTGCTTGACTTTATGAAGGATTACTTGCAGCCCAATGACATTTTCGTTGTTGAGACATGCAGCTTCTTGTTTGGTGTGGCAGACTTGAGTCTCCCCAAGGATGTCAGCTTCTACTCGCAGTCATTCTACGGATCGATCGGTTATGCTTTACCAGCCACGTTAGGTGCTTCGAGAGCCGAACGGGATTTGGGTACTAAGCGCAGAGTGGTGTTGGTGCAGGGAGATGGTTCGGCGCAAATGACAATTCAGGAATTGTCATCGTATGTCAGACACGACATTCAACCACCCAAGATCTTCTTATTGAACAACGAAGGATACACAGTGGAGAGGCTTATCCGTGGCCCCACGCGGTCGTACAATGACATTCAGGATAACTGGAGATGGACGCAGTTGTTGAGTGTTCTTGGAGACCCCGAGCAGAAGAAACACACGGCGGCTAATGTGGAAAGCGCGGAGCAGTTGACGCTGGTTTTGAAGCAAACGTCGTTGGAGGATAAGATTGAGTTTTACGAGCTCCACTTGACTAAGTTGGACGTTCCACAGAGATTTTCGCTGATGTTTAGGTAGAGGAACGGGAAGAAAAATAATACATGCATGTTAGGTATGACGATGTAGAAAGGGTTGGCCGGAGATACAGGCCGGAGGTAGTCGGGTGAAGGGAGAGCCCTATCAAGTCAAGTCACCAGAGTAGGAGTTATGAGTCAAGACAGAGGGGTTTGAAGACTAGTGAAAAATAAGCATGTCCATGCGATGGCCAGCGTTAGCGAAGATTGTTGATTGTTCGCAAGCGCTAGCCAGATCCAGGACCCCATCCCCATTGTGGCTGGAGCTCCCCCAGCTTCAGTCCAAGAAAGAGGCAACCAAAAGGCAAAGAAACCGGAAACAAGGTGTATTTACGGTTTTCCGTTACCAATCACCCAACGACCAACCTCCTTCGTCCTTTGCCCACCCAACGTCCCGTCTTCACCGAATTTCCCGAAGGTCTTCTCCCCTTCGACGCACCTTTACAATTTTCCAGCGTCTGTTTCCCCTTCCCGTTTTTCTCCAGCGCGCGGCCCAGTAGCCCCTCCCGCACTGGGCCATTTTCTTCGCAAACCATTTTGCTTTTGTCTCGCTTTTCTTTCGCAGCCACTCACAATTTACACATAGCAACACCTCACGACAGCCAAGAGTCTGGGGTAAGGGTTGGTTTCGAAGGGCCCACCACGGCGGTGGGAATTCCCAGTGCATTTCAACGTATAGGGGCTTTCTTTTTTGTTCTATATGCCTGAAAAAAACACACCTCTCTTTACTTTCTCTGAAACGTTTTTAAGTCTCATCTCTGTCGCTCGGGAAGTTCAATTTTCCTGCCGCGGGGTTCCCCACAGAACCACAGTCCCGAGATCCCGAGGGAGCGGTTTTGCTTAGAGGATTTTCTCTGCCGGGAGCCCGCGCCAATACCGTTTAAATCTGGGGCGTCCGCTATCAAGGTTGAAAATTTCCAACTTTAATTGGTTTTTTTTTTTTATATACTATGTCTTCGTCTTTGATTGCCCCTGCGGATTCCGACTACGTTCTCGAGGACTTCGAGGCTAAGGGCTACACTATCAAGCAGCTCCAGCAGGAGGGCATTATTCCCTTCAGCTCTGACCTTGTGGGCTACGCTGTGCCCACGCCTGGCCTGGCCAAGCAGGGCTTCTCTGAAGTGTACCACAACAAGGCTGTTACCACGATGAAGAAGTACTTTGCTCCTGGTTACGAGACGTACCACGGTATGATCACGAATACCGTGAGGAAACACGCTGACTTGCCAGCATTGGCTCTGAGAAAGTACGACTTCAAGGCGCAAAAGTCTGCTCCTACTTATGAGGCCATTACTTATGCTGAGATGGACGAGAAGAAGAGAGCTTTGGGTTCGGGTTTGTTGTTTCTTTTGCAAAACAACCCATTCAGAGTTCCTGACCTTGACGCTCACGCCAAGATCGATACCCATGCCCGGGAGTACCAGTCTTATAACGCTCACAAGTTGAGTTTCATTGTGACTCTTTTCGCCCAGAACAGAGCCGAATGGATCATTTCCGATATCATGTGTGCTTCTTACAGTCTTACCAGTACGGCTCTTTACGACACTTTGGGCCCTGGTACTTCCAAGTACATTTTGGAGCTTACCAAGTCTCCTGTGGTGATTGCCTCTGGTATTCACATCAAGACTTTGCTTGATTTGAAGCGTACCGCTCCTAAGGAGCTCGAGTCGCTTATCTGTTTGGTCTCCATGGACCCATTGCACGAGATTTTCGGCGAACAGGGTAAGGCCAAGCTTGTTGAGGAAGCCAAGGCTTTGAACATTATGCTTTACGACATGGAAGAGGTTTGCCAGGTTGGCCGTGTCTTCCCTCACGCTGAATTGCCTCCTAAGCCAGAAACCACCTACACCATTTCTTTCACTTCTGGTACCACCGGTTCCAAGCCAAAGGGTGTGGTTTTGACCCACAGCAACCTTACCGCTGCCGTGGCTTTCCTTGTGTGTCAGGTTCCAGACATTGACGAAATGAGAGATTTCTGTTTCTTGCCATTGGCCCACATTTTCCAGCGTCATTGTGTGGCCAATTCCTTGATGGTGGGTGCTGTTGTCGCTTTCCCTCAACTCGGTGGCTCACCATTGACCCTCTTGGAGGACTTGAAGCTCTTCAAGCCAACCTACATGTCTAACGTGCCCCGTGTGTTCACCAAATTCGAGGCCGCCATCAAGAGCGCCACCATTCACTCCAACAGCGCCATCGCCAAGAGGTTGTTCACTCGTTTTATCACCAACAAGATGGACAAGCAAGCTTCTGCCGAGAACGAGAAGGGCACCAACTGGCTCTACGACCATGTGCTTGCTCCTAAGCTCAAGAAGGCCTTGGGTTTCGACAACATGGTCTGGACCGTCACTGGGCTGGCCCCAATTTCTCCTCTGACTGTGAAGTTCTTAAAGGCTGCTTTGAACATTGGTTTCTCTCAGGGCTACGGTTTGACCGAGACTTTCGCTGGTATCAGTTTCAGTGTTCCTTACGAAAAGGAACCTGGTTCCTGTGGTGCCGTTGGTGTGGCCACCGAGATTTGTTTGCGTGATTTGCCTTCCTTGGGCTACTCTGTCGACAACGAGAGCCCTGCCGGTGAGTTGCTTATCCGTGGTCCTCAGGTCTTCTCTCATTACTACGAGAACCCAGAAGAGACCAGCAAGGCTTTGCAGGATGGTTGGTTCTACTCTGGAGATGTTGCTAGAATCGACAGAACCACTGGTCGTTACTACATTGTGGACAGAGTGAAGAACTTCTTCAAGTTGGCCCACGGTGAGTACGTCACCCCAGAAAAGGTCGAGAACAACTACCTTTCCAGTAACTCCATTCTTACCCAGGCTTTCGCCCACGGTGAGTCCGTGCAGAGCTTCTTGGTTGGTGTTCTTGGTATTGACGAGGCCAAGACCCGTGACTTCTTGATCAAGAAGTGTGCTGTTCCAGCCTCTGCATTGATGACCAGCGAAGCCATCTTGGAACAGGCCAACCACCGTGAGAACAAGACTATTTTGCTCGAAGACTTGAACAGAAACGTCGAGGGACTCTTTGGCTTCGAGAAGCTTCACAACATCTACTTAGAGTACGAGCCATTGCGTCTTGAGAGAGACGTGGTGACCCCAACCATCAAGATCAAGCGTCCTATTGCCGCCAAGTTCTTCGAGGAACAGATCAAGAACATGTACGCTGAGGGCAAGTTGACGGAAACAAAGACCAAGATTTAAGTACTTCTTTTTTTTAGTCTTATTTATTATACACTGTCGAGTTCACCATTTTTTCCATTTAAGTAGTATAGTTTTTCGCAGCCAGTGGGTGCACGACATTTCCGCGACATCTCAACATCCATCAACTACTTCTTTACCACAACGTAAAATGGTACGTATAAATACACCCCTGGTTTCCCACTTTTAATCACATATACTAATGTCCCAGGCCACTATATCCACGTCTTCTGCCCAGTCGAAAGACGTTGCCGGTCTTTCTTTGATCGCTGCACACTCCCATATTTCAGGCCTAGGGCTCGATGACAACTTGAAGCCTAAAGAGTCTGCCCAGGGAATGGTGGGCCAGGTCAACGCCAGAAGAGCTGCTGGTCTTATCTTGAAGCTTGTTCAGGCTGGTCAGATTGCTGGTAGAGCTGTGCTTATTGCTGGTCCTCCATCTACAGGTAAAACCGCCATTGCCATGGGTTTGTCACAGTCTTTGGGCGAGGGCGTTCCATTCACTGCTATTGCTGGTTCTGAGATCTTCTCGCTTGACTTGTCGAAGACTGAGTCTTTGACCCAGGCGTTCAGAAAATCGATCGGTATTAAGATCAAGGAGGAAACTGAGATTATTGAAGGTGAAGTGGTGGAAATTCAAATTGACAGATCCATCACTGGTGGCCACAAGCAAGGTAAACTTACGATCAAAACCACAGACATGGAAACTATCTACGAGTTGGGTAACAAGATGATCGAGGGTTTGACCAAGGAGAAGGTTTTGGCTGGTGATGTCATTTCCATCGATAAGGCTTCCGGTAAGATCACCAAGTTGGGTAAATCTTTCACCAGAGCCAGAGACTACGATGCTATGGGCCCAGAAACCAAGTTCGTTCAGTGTCCAGAAGGTGAGTTGCAAAAGAGAAAGGAGGTTGTCCACACCGTCTCTCTTCACGAAATTGATGTTATAAATTCCCGTCAACAGGGCTTTTTGGCCTTGTTCTCCGGTGACACCGGCGAAATCAGATCCGAGGTTCGTGATCAAATCAACACTAAGGTCGCTGAATGGAAGGAAGAAGGTAAGGCCGAGATTGTGCCAGGTGTCTTGTTCATCGATGAGGTCCACATGCTCGACATCGAGAGTTTCTCTTTCATCAACCGTGCTTTGGAGGATGACTTTGCTCCAATTGTCGTGATGGCCACTAACCGTGGTGTTTCTCAGACCAGAGGTACTAGCTACAAGTCCCCACACGGTGTGCCAATGGACTTGTTGGACAGATCTATCATCATTCACACTTCCAACTACTCTGCTGACGAGCTCAGAACCATTTTGTCCATCAGAGCCAACGAAGAAGAAGCCGAATTGAGTGCCGATGCCTTGGCTCTCTTAACGAAAATCGGTGAAGAGACCAGTTTGAGATATGCTGCCAACTTGATCGCGGTTGCTCAGCAGATTGCCCTGAAGAGAAGAGCCACCACAATTGAATTGCCAGACGTCAAGAGAGCATACACTTTGTTCTTGGACTCCGAGAGATCTGTCCAGTTTGTCAACGAGAACTCCAAATCGTTCATTGACGACCAGGGCAATGTCAATTTGAGCACAAATGGCAAGGCCAAGGATGATGACAAGATGCAGACAGACTAGATCGTATAACACACCATACGCCCAAAAGAACATATTTACATGAATGTACCAATACTCCGATAATTATCTTTTTTTTTCTTTTTCTAAATAAAATTGTTTACATGCATTTCCAGGCCTTTACTTATTTGCCCTTCGTGTTCAAGATCAACGCAATGATCAAACCGTACAACCCCAACACTTCAGCGAAAATCAAAATCAAAACAATTCCCACAAACAAACGAGGCTGGTGCATAAGCTGTCTTACACCTTCGTCTCCAACAATTCCAATGGCATACCCAGAGGCCATACATGCCAAACCAACCGACAGACCACACGCAAAGTGCATGAACCCATTGAACAAAGTATATTCGTCTTGTGGGTTCAAGTCACCTGCGATCAACACAGACACCACAAGACCGTAGACGGACAAAATACCCGAAAGAATCACCGGAATAAGCGATTTCATGATAAGCTCAGGCTTGAAAGTACCGATACCAGCAATACCGATTCCGGACTTGGCAGAACCGAAAGCGGCACCGACACATGAGAAGATCATGGAGGCAGCGCATCCAGCGAAGCCAAAGAAGGGCGCGAAGTTGGGAGCAAGCTCGCTGCCTGATGAACTCATATTTCGTTGGACTGGATGGATATTGGTAGCTCATACTTTATCAAGGTGAGGTGTTGAGAACAGGTCGTGCGCGGATCAAAAGAGGTAGCCCAAAGGTTGGTCTATGACATTGTAAGGTTTACTTGAATTAATTACGGGTGAATTTGGAGTATAGGAAAAGAGAAACAGAGTATCAATTGTTGCATTAATGGAAACGTTAGTTGGGGAATTGGATTACGGAGTCTTAGTATGTGGTGTACAGGTGTATCCATATCCCAGCTTCTATCAACCTCACATAATGAGATCTCATACAAAACCATAACAACGCCTATATCCACCTAACACCATGAGTGCAAGTCTGCACTATGAAAAAATAGCTCTTACCAAACAAGAGCTAGCACATGTATATAAGCAGTTTGTTGACGCTGCACAGAAAAAGTACGAGCAGCACTTGCCAGTGTCTGGTCGTCATGATCCATTACAGATCGAGGTGGAGAACCTGGTGAACGAGATGTTTGCTGAGGTTTTTGAGATGGCCAAATGGGCGCTTATTGTGGATGGGAACGATTTTGCCGAGAATGATATTTCAATGAAGGAGTTTCTACTGCTCAGGCCAACTGAGGAGGTTATGCCTTTGGATACACAGTTGAACCTGAAACTACGTACGGTTATTCAGGAGGTTGAAAAGGAGACCACAGAGGTGACCAGGCTTCGACGGGAGTTGCCTGAACGCGCTAAAGATGCGTATGAGCTGCTAATATCGTCTACTGACGAGGATGTCACAGCCTTCATCAAGAACCTTAACGAGAAATACGAAACAAGCCAGGAGGACGAGATCCACCCAGAACTACTAGAAACGATCCCTAGCGCACAGGATCTACTAAGCGATTACGAAGAAAGCATAGCTCGCCTTTCAGCGCTCAAGAACGAGCTACCGCGCCAGCTTGCCCAGATGGAGTCATGGAACAGCACGATAGAGTTCCTCGAGGAGAGAAGAGAGCAGCAGCAGGCCGAGAAGAAGCTTCTATAGGCGGCTCAAAGAACCTTAGAAGGTATGTGCTCCTCCACAGAACGTCAAACTACGAGAAGCGCTCCTCCCCTCCACCCCACACATTCATTAAACCAGCCCTCCCAGGGCAATATTCATAGTCAATCCTTACCCACAAGCCTCTTCTATCACATTTCTATTTGCGTGTTTACCCAAAGAAATCCTGTCATTCTCAATACGGTTCATTGCGAAGCTTCGCTTTGTTTATGTTACTTCCCAATGCGGTAATGATATTGAAAAGCCTACTAGATGCGAACTCTCTTATATCGCCTCTAAACACACATCCTTCAGATCCAGCTACTTCTTCCATCCTGCTAATTCAATGGTGTCTCCCGTCAAGGATATAGCGGCTCGGTACTTGAATGCCCTTGAGGACCCTACGCCCTCGAGGCTACCGCTTAAGCCATCGTTGAAGTACAACACCAATGCCAATTCAACTTCGCCATTGAAGAAACACAACTCGCCTGACCTCGACGACTTGGCCCGTCAGATGAATATCGATACCACGCCAAAAACCACAATCCTTAAATCCAGACTTGAAACGCCCTCGGCTACGGTTTCTTCGTTCCATACTACTCCTCGTTCTGGCTCTCGCTCGCTCAAGTCTCTGACTGAAGGCAGCACGCCAAAGGGATCTCCTACTAAAGGGTCTCTCAAAAAGACTAAGGGGTACGAGTACCTTTGCAGAATCCAGGCTATCAAGAACTGGTTGGAGATTGTCATTGACGAACCTATTTCTCAGTCTCCAGTGGAACTTATGACATATATTCAGAATGGTATCCACTTGGCTAAGTTGGCCAACATCTTTCTTCCTCTGAAGAAACCTGTTTACACGAAGGATGGCAGACTTGAATTTAGACATACGGAGAATATCAACAGATTTTTCAAGCTTCTTGACTACTTGGATATCCCAGACCTCTTTAGGTTTGAGCTTACTGACCTATACGATGCCAAGGATGTGCCTAAAATTTGGTACTGCCTTCATGCCATGAGCTATAAGATTAACGGCTTGGAGCTGCTGTATCCGCAGATGCAGACTCTTGTTGATAATCTTGACTTTCCAGAAGGAGATATAAGAACTGCCAATAGGGCTCTTGTGGGACGCAACTTGCCCAACTTTGCTTCTGCTGATACCAACAAACCTGAATCTCCAGGCAAAAGCTCTTACATGAACAAAACGTTAAAGTTCAACTCCCCTACGAAATCGCCTATCCGCCGGTTTTCTGCTACAGAGGAAGAGAACCCATTCAGAGAAGCTCCAAAACTCAGGCCCTCCAAGCCTTCAATACAATTAGACAAGCAGATCGAGTCTCCCACCCGTGAACTGAGGTCTTCAAGCATATCCAGAATACCCACTGACTTCAGCTTCATCGACAAAAGCAGCAAGTACTACTCGCCAGAACTTGAAAGCCATATGCATAATATCGTCAAACTTCAAGCACTTTCACAAGGTGCTCTATTCAGATATAAGATGTTCGTGGATAGAATCATGCTCAAGTCGTTTGACAGTGAATTGACTGAGTTCAACTCTATAGTAAGAGGGGTTCTCTCCAGAAACAAGACCGTGCATCGCCATAGAGATGAGTTGCTCTACTTCAAGAAGGGCATTGTGAAACTTCAAGCTGTGGCCAGAACCAAACTAGTGAAGCGTGCATCGGGTGTCTCTTTTGATTATGACCTGGAGACTATGGTTAAGAACTTGCAAAGCTTTGTTCGTCGCCATCTTGTTCAACTGAGAATGTCTACTATCAAAAACCATCTTTCCAAGAATGAAACCTCCATAACCGAACTCCAAAGTGTTGCCAGAAAGAACCCTATCCATCTTCGTGTTTCCACAATTAGTCAAAACAGAGAAGTTGTTGAAGAAAACCTCATTGAGCTACAATCTGCTGCTCGTACCAAGCTTTACCATAGACACAATAACAGAGAGGTTATTGCTAAGCGCCTTGATATAAACTCCTTTGTCGAACTACAGTCTTTGGTGAGAGCCGGTCTTGTGAGAAACGTCATCAGATTCCAGCTTAGAGGCATGGCCAGAGAAAGACCAGCTATTAGAGAGTTACAATGCATTGCTAAGGGCGCTATATTGAGAACGAGACTCTGCAATAGTGTCTTGGTCACTTTGATCGGTGAGGATATGAAGATGAATGAACTTTTCGCTAAAGTTAGAGGTGACTCAGTTCGTCGTGAATTCCAGTACAAGAAGGATGTACTTAATGTGGTTGAGAACTCCCAGATTGTTCCTATCCAGTCTGCTTTCAGAGGTATTTTATTACGTTTCCGTCGTGATGTGGACTTGGACGAGATTTATGATGAAATTGATTGTCTTGTCAAGTTCCAGTCGGCTTGCAGGGCCCTGGTAGTAAGAAAGGATCTTGAGCATATGAAGCAACACTACGTTAAGAATTCTCCACAGCTTATCAAGGCTCAGGCTATCTTACGAAGCAAGTATACCCAGAAAGCTTACAGAGCTCTTATCAATTTGAAGACACCACCAGTGTCGGTTGTTCGTCGTTTTGCATACTTGCTCTCTGATAATGAGATTGATTTCCAGGAAGAAATGGAGTTGACTGAGTTCAAGGATAAGATTTTAGAGAAATCACGCTCAAACGAAGAGTTGGAGCTGCAGATTGAAAACTTGGAAATTAAGCTAGGACTCTTGGACAAGAACAAAATCACTTTGGAAGACTTCATGAAGGGTGGTAACAAGTATAAGGCGTTTGAGCCTCTGGCAAAGAAAGCTGCAAATATGAAGTGTTTGGAAAAACTCAACAAGAATTCAAGAAGAAGAATCGAGCTTTACCAGTCGATGCTTTATCTTTTGCAGACCAAACCAGCATACTGGACAAGGCTTTTTGAAGGTCTTGACGCAGGTGAGAGAAATAGACTTACGAAGAGTCTCCATTTCCATATCTCCCTGTTGTTCCCATTGAACTACTGCTCTGTCCATTCTCATACGAGAGAAGAATATTTCTTTATGAAATTCATCTGTGACCTCATGAAGGACGATTTCTCCTCAAGATGCAGAAATATTGCTGACATTACGAAGCCAAAGATGGTCTTCTGGATTGACTACCTCAGCGAACTTAACAACAGCGTACAGCAAAGATCCCACTTGAAGCACTTGTTTGGCAACATCATGCAGAAGGTAATCATGGATGACGAACTCACGTTTGAGTCTGATCCCTCTAAAATCTACGTTCAGGCAATGGAGAGAGAACTCAGAGTTTATGGCTCTAGTTCTAAGAGGAGAGACATCCTGCCTCAGTCTGCTATTCGTGATGAAGCTGTATCTGCTGCTTTTGTTGATAACTTGCTTTCGCTTAGAGAGTTCACTACGAATACTATTGATACCATCCAGTCCTCGATCCAGCAGTTACCGCTTCATGTGAGACTTTTGGCCAAATATGCTTATGATCTTTCTTGCGAGAACTTCCCTGATCAGAATGATCAGCTGCACCTTGCTGTTGCCGGTGTGGTCATTGTGAAGCATTATATCTCCAGCATCTTCGTGTTCCCTGAGAACTATGGTTACTCAACCAAACTCCCTTACTCTAAACAGAACTCCAAGGTTGCTGAAAACTTGAAGAGCTTGAGTAGGGTGCTTCTCCAGACCTTCTCCATGAGACCTTTCAGTGATAACTTCTTGAAGCCCATGAACGAATATGTGATGTCGCAGGTCGATATCATCAAGGGACTTATCAAGAAAATTATCAATGTCAATGGTTTGGAGTCTGAATACGAGATGAATGAGTATGATGATATTGTGGCAGTCAACCGTCCAACGTTAACGATGAAGGTTAGTGACATTATCTCGTTGGAAAAGCTTGTTTCAAAGAATCTCGAGTTTTCTGCTCCTAGTGTTGACGACCAGCTTTGTGCTGTTATTTCAGAACTTGATGAAGTCGTGAACTCTGCTGATGATTATGTTACATTGACTGAACTTGGCTCAGTCACTCTCAGCTTGATGCCTATCACGAAGGAGGATAGTGTTGCAGATGCTAAGAGCAGAACCCTCTTTGCTCAGGCTAAGAGATGTCTTCTTTATATCTTGCGAGTCCAAGAAGGAGAAGACCTCCTTGAATTGTTGATCCAGGGTATCAAGCCAGAACACGCTGAGAAGTTTAAGCTCATTGTCGAAGAAGAGAAACTGGAGTCTTCCAAGCCAAAGACAATGATAAGAAGTGCTCCTTACCAGAGGTCTGCAACTAAGGAAATCTCCCAAATGACATATATTGAGTTGAAGAAATTGGCACTCAAGGTTATCTTGCAGTTGGAGACAATGGGATACGTCACAAGAAAGAACTCTTTCCAGGAACTCCTCAACCAGCTTGTGCTTGACATCAAGACCAAAGATAAGCAAAGGGTTGCTAGAAAGTCACAGTTGCAAATTGCCAGTATGACTGTGAACAAGCTTACTGATAAAGAGAAGTTCTTATCAAGACAGCTCAATGACTACAATAAGCATATTGAAACTGTGCTTCTGGAATTGCAGCTCAAGCCTAAGGAGAAGAAGATCTTCAATATCATTCCTGTTTTCAGCAAGCAGTACTTCTACCAGAGAGAGCTTAAGAAGAGTAACCGTCTTCCCAAGTTCGGCTCTTACAAGTACTCAGCGAAGAAGCTTATGGATCTGAAGACTTTGGAAGACTGTGGAGGTGCACTTCAGAAAGCTCACGCATCCTCTTCAAAGCTTGATTTCATGTTCAGTTGCCATAAGGTGGGAACGTTTGTTATTGAAGCTGGGAATGGAACTGTGACTATTCCAGGAGCCTCCAATACTGTTACGCTTGACGAAGTTTTGGACAAGCAGTATGAACAGAAGAAGCATTGGACCATGTTTGATGGAATGGTGGTATTCAACACCGACAACCTTGCAGCTCTTCTCTTTAAGAAATTTTATGACCTCAAGAGGGATTAATTAGTACAATATAGCTAGACTCTAATGAATATACACGGAACATTATTTTTGCAAAAGGGATTCGATCTTTTGCTCTAACAGCTCAATTCTGGTGTTCTTTTCGGCGTTAGCCTCGGTCAACTTACCAATCTGACCTTCCAATGTCTCCACGAGCTTGGCAAGCTTGTCGACAGTGCCTCTCAAGGTTGGTGCGCCTCCAGCCTTCTCTTCCTTCTTGGATTCCTCTTTCTTAGGCTCTTCCTTGGCAACCTCCTTCTTTGGTTCCTCCTTCTTTGGCTCTACCTTTGGTTCTTCCTTCTTGGGTTCTTCCTTTGGTTCCTCCTTCTTTGGCTCTTCCTTTTTAGGTTCTTCCTTTGGCTCCTCCTTTGGTTCTTCCTTTGGCTCTTCCTTTGGCTCGTCCTTCTTTGGCTCGTCCTTACTCTTTGGCTTCAACTTGGAGATGTAGTCCTCCTTCTTCACCAGCTCAGGGCTAGACTCCTTGAAAGACTCAGGCTTCTTAACTTCTTCCCAGTCCTCGTCCTTGCCCTCTTCCTGTTTGAGGTTCTTGGCATCTTCGTCATCAGACTCATCGGTGACCTTATTGAGGAGGGTGTCTACCTTGGCGGAAGACTTCAAGGTATCATCAACCTTCTCCTTGGGGCTTTCAGACTTAGCAGCTGGGGCCTTTGTGGGTTCTGGAGTGGCGGCCTTCTTGGTAGCCTCTTCCTTCTTGGAAGCTTCCTCCTTCTTGGAAGCAGCAGCCTGCTCCTTCTTAGCTTGAACTTCCTTCTTGACCTCAGAGATGTTCACGGCTGGCTTGGAGTCGGTGACTTCGGATTGCTTACCCTCGTAAATAGACTCCATCTTCACCAACAAAGGACCGTTGACCTCCTTACCGGAGAACCATTCGGAAGAGGACAAAGCTGGCTTGCTGGAAGGAGCATCTGGGTAGATATCTTCCTGGAAGTTGTCAGATTTTCTAGGCACAATGAAAGAAACTGGCTCAATGGACAGGTCGTTGACAGTCTTGAAAGACTTCAAAATCTCGTTATCCTTGACGTTAACAGCCGTCTTTGGAGCCCAAGCGAAACCTCTCTGGGCGTCAGTGGATGGGAATTGCGACAACTCATAAAGCTCATCGTTATCGTATTCGTAGTAGCGAATGTTACCATCACCCTTTCCGGCAATGTACAAGATGCTGTTGGACTCGTCGAAAACAGGAATCAAGACACCAGAAGAAGCGTCAATGACCAAGAAACCACCAATTGGGCCGCTCTCAATGTTCTTGACGTCCCAAATACCAACTTGTCTATCAGACAAACGAGAGAAACCAGTGGTGATGATTCTGTCGGTGTTTCCAACCCAAACCACTCTCGATGGCTTAGCACCAGTGTGGCCAGGACCTTCAGAAATAACCTTTTCTTCCCTAATATCCCAAATTCTCAACTTCTTGTCTCTGGAAGTAGTAGCCAAAAGAGAACCGTTATAGTTGAAAGCGAAAGAAGTAACCAAGTCCTTATGAGGCAAAGTGTACTTGGCCTCGCCGGTCTCCAAGTCCCAGATCTTGACAGAGTAGTCCAAAGAGCACGAAGCCAAGACATTCTCAGCACATGGGTGGAAGGCTACGTGACCGACCTTACGCTTATGGCCAGAGAGAACTTTGGTAGGTTCAACAATGTCCTTAGGGTTATCATTGTCGTCCACGTAGTGGTGGAAAGAGAAATCCTCAGGAATGTCCCACAACAAGATGTTACCATCGTCAGAACAACTGACCACCTGCTGTTCGTTAAAAGGGTTGAAGGCAGTATCCAAAACAGGACCCTTGTGTCCACGGAACAACGGCACAGTGTCTGGAGCCTTACCTGGCTCAGACAAAGGAATAATAGCGAAAGCACCACCGCCAGAAGCATCCCAGTTACAAGCAATGTACTTGCCGTTGGTGGTGATGATGTTGGAGTCCCAAGCGTTCTTGGTGATTTTCAAGTTTTCATAACACAACTCCTTCTTGGTCGCTTGACCAAACACGTGCCTATACTTGGAGGCTCTGACAAACTTTCCACTGCTGGTTAGTACTTAAGACGAGAAAAAACAAGCCGTTGATATTTACATACCTCATGGTTCACTGATCTGGAATTGAGCGATTCGGCGTTGGAATATATCTGTTGTCAGGTAGTGCACACTGGAGGGTGTAGTTGCCAAGCTGGAGAAAACCGTTTTGGACGGAAAAACCTCGGATGGGAAAGAAGCAGAAGGAAACGGGGGAAATGAAATTGGGGTATTTAAAGAAGACGATTTCCTGGTTCTTTTTTATCTACTTTTTTCCACTTTTCTTGTGTTGCTTCAGTTTTTGGTGTACCTGGCGCATTCAATGTCTTCTGGAACGCTTTTCGCAGCCATTTCTAGAACCACCATTGTGGGACAAAAAGAACACATTGAGAGCCCATTGAGCTGGCAGGGATGGGCCTTGTTGTTTGTTTTGTCGAAAATGACGTGTTTCATAGGTTAACGTGTTCTGATTGGCTGTAACGTGCAGGTGGACCCTGTGCCTTAATATACAACAGGGGTAGCGCTGGAGCCGCTCCGACCCGGAAGTCTAATCAGATACATCAGTTAGTGAGATAGGGTTTGCAGTGGAATGGAAGGAGAGTGGTTTGGAAATGAAGGTTTTTCTTTAAATGGAAAAAAATGACTTTTCATGGATTTTCGTGTTTACGGTCTGTGCTGGTTGTTGATAAGCCCCAACTACATACTACTAGTGTAACAGACCAGTTCAGCATCTATGCATATGGCCCATAGTAACCTTAAAAGAAGTCACAAACAACGGGTTCTCCAAATCCACTCCTCAATACTTCTGATGAATTCATACTTTTATATCTTTTCTACGGCCTGTGCCTTTGGCCCAAACCAACACCTCCATCAGCGAATCCCATTACAGCTATAGTAACAAGCACCTTCCATCACACAAACTGCGAAGTTCGGCTGGACCAAAGTAGCACAAAAACACTTCCCAAAGAGTATATGCATTTATGACTCTCCAAGCTGTAGAGTCTTGAAGAGTACTCAACCAGCAAGAACCAGCAACAACTACACCTACCAAAGCCTCATGGCACAACACATTACTATACATACCCACGACAGGCCCTCCTCCCCTAGACATTATTCTATAATCAGCCGTGCGTGGTGTTACATGTAATCACTCCAGGTCAATGCCGTTCCCAAAGTTCAACACATCAATGCTGCCTTCCAAAATCTCTTCCTGTTTCTTATCCACTAGCTCTTTGGCGCTACTGATCTCCCAAAGACTCGTGCTTCCCAAATGCTCCCGAACAGCCAACCAAGCCTCTTTCTTCCAGCTCTCCATTTGCTCCTCTACACTGAGCCACCGCCATTGGCTGAAGACACTATAGAGCCTGTTCAAGTCCAAGTTCAGCACATCTTCAATTCTTCGAAGCAACCGGTCCATCTGTTCCTGGCCGGGCGCCAGACCATCTCTAGGCCAGTATTTTGGCGGAAGATGAGCTGCTACTATCGCTGGAAACGTCACTGCATCGCCATTGAGTGTACTTGCCAACTTGGAAAGGTACCAGTCGGTAGCTTTGAGTCTGGCACTGATGCGTTGGTCTCGTTTTTTCCTTCGAAGCTTATTCTTCTCCTTGACATCGAGCTTGCTATTATAGGCCCTCGAAACCTGTTGTCGTCGAGCCTCCAGCTCAGACACATCCCTGTTCTCTCCTCGACGTACGACGTTCGCCCTGAGTCGTAGCACTTCCTCTTCAGGGTGCTGGGCATCGCCTTTCCGAGAATCCATATGACGTCCCAAAGTGGACTTGGACCCGAACGTCTTGTTACAGAACTGGCATACTGTGTGATTATCTAACTTTTTCATCCCATGCCAAAGGAAAGGGACTTCTATTTACTCTGGAGATGCGCGATTTGTTCGCCATGTAAGGGGAAACTTGGGCAAACTGCCGCATGGGTTAAGTTCAAATATGCATTCTTTGCACTATGTTCCGCAAGTCGGATACATATGTGTTGTTGATGCTGTCCTCTTTGCCGGCCACTACACGCAACACAAGTTCGTTGAGCTCGGCCGATCCGAGGATATCCACGTGCTCGGCGGTTTTGGCGCCTCCACGGATATCGAACCGGTCTGGTTCGTGCTTGATCTCGACGATCTTGGTTTCGATGCCTGCCGGGTTATAGATGGATCCTTTCTTTTGCCACTCGTGGCAGATGTAGTGAGTTAAAAGGGACACGGTTCCGTCACCGTCAGCAAGGAAAACAGGGTCTTCGCTCTCAAGGTCAATTACGAGCGGTAATCCTGACTCCTTGTCACCGTCGGTGTACGTGTAGGCTCTTTCGGTAGGGTTACCAACACCGTAGAAACAGAAGATCTTCATGTCTGGAGCGTTTGGAAGAGCTGCTTCAAGCGGGTTGGACCATTTCAGGTGGTCCTGGTTGTTGGCGGACAATTCCTTCTTGGTTCTGGCAATACCAAACGAGTACTGCTCTCTGACACGGTCAGAAAACCACTTGGGGGAGTTGCTCAAGATGTAATCGATACTGGAAGCAACAGTGAAGTTCAGAGTATCCTGGGGAATCATGCTATCGGTGTTTGGCTCCAAGTTCTTCGCTCTGTACCTGACGAAAGCGCCCAAAGATTCGTTCTTCTTTCTTGGGATGTCAACATCTTCGTTTTCCTTGGAAAGCTGGTTTGGAGGATCGTCTGGAGCGTACGTGAGGTTACCCCAGATCTGATCACCACCTCTAGGCAACATAGATGGGACACCACCAAAGGTACGAAGCATATCCACTCTCTCCTTTCTCGAGAAGAACTTTTCCAAGCCGTAGATAGCCAACTGGTTCAATTGAACAGTATCCTTCATTTCTCCTGAAATCAAGGCTGGGATACTCTTGGGCGTACCGAGGAGAGAGCCACTGATGTCAATGATACCGGCAAGGTTATCGTTACACCAACGTTTTCCACCGTTACCGTAGTCAGGGCCGCTAGCTTCGACCCATTTCATAAAATAAAGAATGACTTGCGAGCCCATGGAGTGTCCCACAAGGTATGTCTTCTCGCCAGATAACCTCTTGACGGTTTCGATCTGCTGCTTCAACTTCGTGAAGTAACCGTCACGTCTTTCCAAGTCCAAATAAGCGAGTCTCCAATCGTAAGAAGCACTCAACATGTTATTGGGATTATAGCCAATGACAGACAAGTTCTGGAGGATCTTGTTCCAGATCCAGTACCCAGCAACGAAGAAATCGGCAGCTTCGAAACCCTGTGCCGCCCTTAGCTTAATACCCTCAGGGTCCATACCAGTCTCTGGGTCAAGCATGATATGCTTAAGCCAGCATGCCTTATCCAAGACCATGGTTCTCAACATATAGAACGAGCCCCATAACCTCTTTCTGAAGTGGTTAATGGAAGGACAGTCGCCGGTTTCACTAGTTCCCCAAGACTCAATGCCTGTGGAAATCACACCAGGAACCAACACAACATTATACTTTGCCTCGATGTTATACTTCTTCTTCATTCTTCTGCCGACAGAGAAACTCTCTGCCGATCCATGGAGCTCATCCTTATTCGACTTGTTCTGGTCAAGCAACGAGAAGAGTCCCAGGGGAAGCGAATCCTTCCAATCATCTAAAAGACCGTTCATGGAATCAAACTTCACCAACTTGTCGATCTCAGTCTTGAAGTTGTCTGAGTTGTAAGCAGTGATAAGCACAGTAGCCACAAGCCCAAGAAGAGCACCGAGCACGAAAGTGGCTCTCCTCGTCTGGTACAACTTTCTTTCGAGGCTCTTCTTCGACTTAGCAGACTTGTGACGGGAGTGATGAGAGTGAGACTTTTCTGCCTCGCCGTCTCCCAGAGCATCATCGGATTGCGGCTTTTCCAGAGACTCTCCATCCTCGTTAACGAGTACCTCAATGAGCTTTGACGCGGTATCTTCTTGAGCCGTTGCCGACTTTCTCTTTGCAGCCATAACTTGAAGAGCAATAGTAATGGGAAGAAAAAAAGCACAGGTATATTCCACTGGACCAGATGCCGCACCTTGTATATTTGTTGATAGAGATGCGCAGCGACAGCAACCGATTGTAGATCCTGTGTCTGGGAAAGGTTAGTAGAACAGAGATAGAGGCGAGTTTGAGACACAAAGCACCAGCAAAAAAAGTAAAGAAAAAAAAAAAATAAGTCCGGGAATGCGGTCGCCCGTTATGGCCAACATGGCAACAGGTGGAATGTCAGGGCCTGGTGGGCTTTTCGGGTTGCTTGTTGCTAGATCACTTTCATCTATTTGCGATGCACTAGCGCAGACGAGGCTAATGCGTATGCGCCTGTGAGAATGCTGCCTCTCTTTTTTTAGAGCGCATCCATGGTAAAGTCGTATTCTATGCCAGGTGTTACACCGGCAATAAACTTTAAGAAAATCACCAAATACCAGTCCACGCGAATCTCGTCGAGACCTTCCTCGGGCGTTTCGTCGGCAGAGGGGCCTTGGAGATCCAACTTCTCAAAGTCCTCAGCCACCTTCAGCTGGTCTTGAGACAGCGGTTCGGACTCCTCTTTCTTCAATGCAGCCTTGGATTTGGCGTGGTTCATGAACACCTTCATCACCGACGCGTGCTTGCATGGGTGAATCGACACGGACGTGGTGTTGTTGGACATGGGCAAGTTCTCGATGGTTGCCGTTTTATCCTTATAGTCGCCCGAAATGTCTTCGTACATCTGTTTTGGCAAGAGTGGAATTCCATTGGCGTTGAAGCCCACAAGGTACAATTTCGGCACACGGTACAGTGTCGAATAGGAAATGTACAAGTCGTACTTCCTAAGCGTCAGCTCGTTCGACTCGATATGCGTATACCCATCAGCATCGTCATCGCCCACATTGTCCTCTACGTTCTCTTCAATCAACTCATCAAGGTCATTCTGGCAGTCCTGCTGCTGTTGCTGCTGTTTCATAGCGTTCACTGGTGCTGAGTTAACCCTTGGAACCCATTCAGCATCCGTATCATGCTCTTCTTCTCCAGCTTCCTCTTCAGGCTCAGGCACATACGAAGCCACACGCTGGTACGACGGAACATGGCGAGTCACCAAAAACTGTTTCTCTGGCGGCAAGAACTTTCTCTGCAAGTTCTTAGGACATGTGCCCCATTTCCATGTAGGGAACTTATAGACTAGGTAGTCACCAGCCTTGACGAACTCCTCCGGGGAGATTTCGCCAGTTTTACGAAAGTTCGATTCATTGTTGATCGGCGTCAAGTACTCTCTGAGAGAGGAGAGTTTGGATCTGATACTCATTGTGGCACCAGAGAGAGATGTGTGTGGTAAGGATGCGATTAGATAAGGTGAGGCGTGATGTGTAGTAGTCAGGTGGTGCACGGGTGTAAAGGGCCCTAGCCTCAGTAGCCTCAGTAGCCTCAGTAGACTGAGTAGTGACAGTTTGGGTGCAAAATGGGCCTGAACAAGGCATGTTCCATGTGTCAAGAGTATATGGATCGACAAATAAAGGGAGGCAGAGTGGCCCAGGAAAGCTTAATCAAACAAAGAAGTAAAAAATGTCGTAAAGTATAGTACCTCCAGGCACTGCCAAAAGACTCACCTCAAATAGTCATAATACATAACAACACCGCCAGACACGTAGTCACGTAAGAAGGAAATCTCCGAGAAAATAAGGGTCGCCTGAGCCCTCGCTAAGCCCCCGACTAAATAATTACCAGGGTTTACTCGCCAGGATATTCAGGACTGCTTTAATGAGAGTAGAAGGAGCGACCCTCGGCTAGCCAGTCCCTGGCTGTCGCCAGGCTGTCGCCTGCCTCCAGCTACAAACACGCTGAATGTGCCATTGTGGGGGACAACCGAGGAAACACGAGAGTACACGTCGTGATGATACCCAAAGTAAACACAGATAAAGGCCAAAAGAGGATGCAGCGGTTGCAGAAACGTACAAAAACAAACAGGCAGCATAAACGAGATTTAGACTAGTCAGGCGCGGCAGTAAACAGAGGGAAAGTAACCTCCAGCGGGCACAGCTCCAAGAAAGCCGATTTCTTTGCACCTTAAAATAGCAAGCGTAAACAGGGCCTCAATGGCGTCAATGGGCCAATTCCAACTCAACACAAGAGTGCCATTGTTAATTGCAAGCATGGCTGGAAGGTCGTGGATGCCTTTGGTGGATGCAAAAAAGCTCGCTTTTTGGGGGAGCCTCTGCCTGATTTGGAAGGGTCAACAATCGGGCCCGCGTTGGCGCCGCAGGCCCAAGATCGAGACAAAAGATACCAGGCAGACAGACATGGATGAAAAAAAAAAATAAGAAAGATATGGAGAAGAAACATAATTCACCATGTAGGGGCAGGGGAACTTTGTTTCATGAGAAAGTGTCCCTGGAGGGGATTGTCTTTGTGGTGTTGTGAGTGTATGGTCCGCTTGGCTCTGTTTGTAGATTTCGCAGCCAACGCCGCACCGAGAAGCAGGGAGTAAAGGTTGAGTTAACATGGGCCCTAGACCAGCTAGAACGAATCTGAAAAAACATTGGCGCCAAAACCGCCCTCTCTGAGAAGATTAATGGTCTTTGATTTTTCCTAGCTTCTCTGGATCTCCCAATACATACCCTCTCTCCAATATAGAACGTCCCGCATACACACCAAAACAAACAAGACACGAACACGGACGCAACCTGGGGAAACACACCAGGGCATGGCCATTCGGAATCTCACGTATTTTAGGCGCACAAACGGCTCGCTTGTTTTCGTCTCGTTCCCTTTAGGACATCAAATGAGCCTGAAAAAGCGTGGGAAGCGTGGGAAGCGTGGAAAAAAGAGGGCGTCTCTCGCTTCCTCGTGTAGTACCCAAACATCATGCACGTTTTGTAGGCAAAAAAACGTCACGGCCTGAGACACTGGGCTCGAGAGTGGGTGGTGGTGGTGCTTATAGTTGTTTTGGTTTTGGTCGCTTTCTCACTGCTCGTTATTTTTCTTTTTTTTTTTTTTTTTTTTTTTATTTCCCTATTTCCTATTTCTACCCTCCTTCACCCAAAACATCCACCCACACGCCTTCTTTTCCATTTTAACACGCTCGTTTCCCAACACTACCTGGTTGTTTTTCCTCCTTTCCACTCCTTTTTTTTGTTTTTCATCCTTGTTAGTTTGCCTTTCAATGTCTTCCAACAGAGTGGCGTTGGCCTCCATCAATACCAATATCGATAGTCCCAAACCACAGAAGCATAGACTTCAACGGTTGGGCGGTGGCTCTGGGATCGCCAAAAGTGACGATTCAAACTCGGGCTCCTTGCCGGGATCGTTGCCTTTGACTCCATCCACAACGCCCAAGTTGGCTCTTTCCAAAACCACGTCTTCCATCGTCCCGCTGGCGTGCCTGGCGCCTCCAGCGAGAAAAACAGAGAGCTTCTCCAACTATAGAATCACACATGGCAAGAACGTCAAGGCTGACTTGGCGGCCACCAAGTTGAAGCTCCGCTTGCAATTGGCGTTTTACAAGCTCAAGGCTCAGAAGGATTCGTTACACGTTAGACAGACGCCTGAGATCACCGTGTCGCCAACGGTAAACGAGAGTGAAAGCGAGCCTCGTACGTTTCTCTCGGCAGCCAATGTCAACTTGCAAAAACCAAGAACCGTGTCGGGCCCTTCTTTGAATACCGTGGCGTCTAATAAAGTATCAAAGAAGAAACCTTCAAAGACGGCGTTGCGTTTATACCACATCAAACCCACGTCTTCTTTCCACAATGCCTATCCACAGCAGCTCCCGCTCAGCGCCACAAGCTGTAGCGGCTCGCAGCGGCTTCCTCCCGTGCACAAGATCTTAAAGACGCCCATCAAAACAACCACACGCAACTTGGTCCAGCTGTTGTACGGCAACAACAACGGCCACATGGGAGTCGGTTCTTTATCTAACTTCCACTTGTCGAAAACGACTCATGGTGAAAATGCTAACAGCGACGAAACTATCGACGACTCTGTCGACGACACATGCACCGATATCCGTAAGAAGAATGACATCTTGGGCTCCTCTCCTTCCAGATTCGGCACATTCAGCACCCCTAACAGCTTCTCGGTCGCTAAATCCTTATTGCAGCTCGGACTGGGGTATTACTAAGCGAGCCACCACCACACTTCACGAATCAAGATGAAAGAAAAGAATAAAGAAAAAAAAAAAAAATTCCGCCCCCAGTGCCTGCTTTCCCAGCACCATGAATGTCTAATAACTAAACCATTGCTTCCCAATTTCAAATCTATTTAACTGGGGACCTCGGGGCCTGTTTGTACAATTACATAGACGAACATAATGACCATAGCATCAAACTATCTAAGGTGTAGTAGCAACTCCTTCATCTAAGAGCCACACCTGGGTGCATACCCGGTTAAAATGTAGGATATATAAGCGGCACCGATCCCACCACACATACCTGAAAAAACCCACCTTTTTTCTTTATCTATAAAACTCAATTGAATAATGGCTGCTCTTTCTGGAAAGAACTTCAAACTCGCTGACGGCAATTCCGTCCCTGCCCCTGCCTACGGTGTTGGTACCAAGTGGTATAAGCATGGTAGAGACCAGATCGATGACAAAGTCGTTGAGGCTTTGAAGACTGCTGTGCAGAAGGGTTTCGTTCACATTGATGGTGCCGAGGTTTACAACACCGATAAGGAGATCGGTTTGGCCATTGAGGGCCACAGAGACAACTTGTTCCTTACTGACAAGTACTTTGTGGGAGACTCCAGCTACTCCGGCAAGTCCGAGCACGGTACCCCTTACGAATCGCTCAAGTACCACTTGAAGAACGAATTGAAGACTGACCATGTTGACTTGTACTTGCTTCACAGTCCTTTTGTTAAGAAGGAGTTCCATGGCTTTACTTTGGCTGAGGCATGGCAATCCGTTGAGAAGCTTAAGGATGAAGGCTTGGCCAAGTCGATTGGTGTTTCCAACTTTGCTGTTGAAGATCTCGAGGAGATCTTGAAGGTGGCCAAGCACAAGCCTGTGGTGAACCAGATCGAGTTCAATGCTTACTTGCAGAACCAGACTCCCGGCATTGTGGAGTTTGCTCAGAAGCACGACATTTTGATTGCTGCTTACAGTCCTTTGGGCCCAATTGTCAAGGGAGAAGAAGGCGAGTTCACCGAGTTGTTGAGCAAGTTGGGTGAGAAATACAGCAAGACTCCTGGGCAGGTCTTATTGAGATGGGTTGTGGAGAGAAACATCTTGCCAGTCACCACGTCTTCTAACCCAGACAGAATCCGTCTGTTTGTTGAGATCTTTGACTTTAGCTTGGAGAAGGAGGAGGTTCAGAAGCTCACTGACATTGGTGCTAAGCACAAGCCATTGAGACAATACTGGCGTAACGAGTATGCTAAGTACGATTAGATATTAAGCCTGGTTGCTAGATATGTTGTCCACAAGCTTACAAATAGACCTTACATGACTGTTGAAATCATTGTACTCTGGTGTAGCCTGTCCAAACCGTACTAGTCCTTGTAGCTGGTCTATGTTGGTACCGTTAGGCAATTCATTAGCCACAATCATTCGGTAGATGATATCTTCAATGTCCACTTCCTGCTTACCTTCAAGAAGCAATTGATATATGCGTTCAACGTGGACAGAAGTAAAATACTGTGGAAGTTTCGAGATGTTGACGTTAAGGAAGTTTTCTAAAAGCTGCGTGGGGTACTTGGAGCACACAAAGTGGAATAGACCGTCGATCTGGGATGTTGCCTCGAGGAATGCATGGAATAGCCTGGGATTGGTCAATGGACGTTTCACGTACGCCTCCTTATAGCTGTCAATGGCCTCGCCATAGCTTTTCTGGAAGATTTGCTCTTCCAAAAGGTACTGCTTCACGTTCCGTTTTCTAAAGTCGGCACCACTCATAAGATAAAAGAGCAAGATCTTTAACTGTAAGTCTGCCACGATAGGATGATCAAACTCGCTGATCCAAGTCAACGCATTGAGCTTCTTATTCACCAAATCCATCGATCTGAGCTCCCTCTCTGGGCCATAAAAGAACTGGTAATCTGTAAGCAAGTCATGGTACTTGAGCTTGACGTAACAATTAACACCATCTGACTGGCTCTTCAGTCCTAGAGGCGCTAGCGACTTCAATTTCTGCTCAGCGTATTGAAGATTGGGATAATCCGTGCCGTAGAACAACAAAATCTCAACTTCAGTCATGGTCAACACAGCAGACACTTCTACCGAGTCTGACTGTCTGCTCTGAAGAATAGCAGTATACTTGGGAAGATCCGAGCAAGGAAAAGGCACAAGAAGACATAATTGTCTGCATGCCACAAGAAGCTCATCTGGACCAGCCAGAGCGATTCTTTGTTGCACTTCTGCAAGACTGGGTCCCAGCATAGATAAGTAGTAGGTAGGTAGTTGATATGCGATGTACTGTATGCCTCATAGGGCCAGGCAGTGGAGGAACTGATAGAGCCAAGCAAAGAGAAGAGGTTTAAGGAATATATAAAGTTTAAGATTCTAGAGTGTTTTTAGGGTTACCCAAGATTTCATTATTCGTTGGAGTAGTTTCAGTGGAGGAGTTCAGTGGGGTGCTGCTCACTAGTAGTACCAGCCACAGAGGGTCCACAGTCCAAGTGAGCCAAAGAAATGGTTTACATTATTTCAGTATCAATATGTGATTCCCAATTTCTGCTGACTTTGTTTTTTTTTTCTTAAAACGTTATCAAAATCCATTTAACTGTTCATTCGTCTTCTGTTCATTCGTCTTCTGTTCATTCCTTCGTTCCTCCTGTCTACTGCTCGTTTGCAGCCATTTCAGCCTCTGCATGCACCAACGTTTCCTGAAATAAATACCTCCAGGAACACCACCCATATTAAAGAAACCTTCACGAATTCACCAAAGTAAACATAAACCTCCTTCAACCTTCAACCTCCAACCTCCAAAACTCAGATTTCAACCAACCTTCAAGGCTTTCTCTCTATCTTTCGCAGCCAGATCTACACAAACGAAGCACCCCCAAAGTATACGAAAAACTCACCCTTTTCTTCACCTTCTTCAATCCCAAGCCTCTACAACGTCCCCCACCAACTGCCCGAATTCCATCAATTCCGTTTCATGTCCCTCGCTTTGTCTGGTTATACGACTTCACCGCGAGCCCGATGGAATTATGCACAGTAGCTCGCTCGTATACAACCTCAGTCGTATTTTTCAGCCAACGTTTTCCTCCACGATATAAACCAGACCTTCAGCCCACGTTCGTTAATTTCTGTTTTTCTGGTATCATGAACTTCTGGCTTAAACTTACTGCCATCTTTGTGGCCTTTTACGCTGTTCTCGAAGCTTCCTACCAAACATGGCTTCCTAACCACTTTGTTTTCGACAAAAACGTCTTGCAAGAACTCGTTCAGGAAACGTTGAACGCCCATCCTGGCGCTACTGCTGTGGAGATCATGACTGACTTGACGCCTAAGCTTCAAAAGGCTTACCCTGGTCTTATCAACGACCTTAACTTCGAAGATTGGGTATACAACAACGCTGGTGGTGCTATGGGTAGTATGATCATCTTGCACGCTTCCATTTCCGAGTACTTGATCTTCTTTGGCACTGCTGTGGGTACTGAGGGCCACACTGGTGTCCACTATGCTGACGACTACTTCACCATCTTGTACGGTAAGCAGTTGGCAGCCAAGCCATTCTCCACTGAGCCTGAAGTGTACTTGCCAGGAGACCAGCACCACTTGGTCAAAGGCGAAGTGAAGCAGTACGCCATGCCAACTGGCTCATTTGCTCTTGAGCTTGCCCAGGGCTGGATTCCAGCCATGTTGCCATTCGGCTTCGTTTCTGTGCTTTCATCCACGCTTGATTTCCACTCGTTCGGCAGAACCGTCTGGTTTACCGGCTACGACATGATCAAGAACTTGGCCAAGGGTAAGTTCTAGGTAATTTCAAACCTTACATAATCGTCTCATAACATCTAGAGGTTACTTTACCACATACCAATGGTATTCATCAATATAGACTTGCTTCTTTTTCATTCCACCTTCGCACCTACTACGGTAAAAACTCCCTATCTGAAGAGGCCTTATCTCTATTTATGCCGTCGCGCGTTGCTAAAGAAAAGAGTCTGGCGGCACGGTTCGATTCAGTTGAACGTGCCGGCCGAAATTCTTCATATTTCCATCCAAACCTACTTTCTTCTTCGAAAACGTAAATCGTCCTTGTTTCTTTCTCCTCACGGTCATCATTTCACAAAGCCCGCCCGACAAAAAACCCTCAAGTATAAAAACCCCAGCTTTTCCCACGTGTGTTTACCCCAGACTACTTTAACTACAACTTTTCATGGACGACCGTCAACCGCTTTTGCTGGACAGCCCCGAGGTTGGAGAGGACGAGATTGTGGCCTATGTCCAGCAACGACGTGCTTCAATTGCATCTGCTGGAGCCACTAATATTCCTTCTGTTTTCCAGCTTACGCCGAAGAGATCGAGGCAGAGTCTTTCTGAGCTTCATCGAACACCGTCCCATGTTTCCCATCATGAATCGTTGAACGATATCTTGTCAGTGCACTCGGCAGCTATGTTGAGCGAGCCAAAGACGACCATATTCAGGGAAACACGAACCCTTTTGAAGTACTCGGTGCCGTTAATTATCACTTTCTTGCTACAGTACTCATTGACTGTGGCATCTGTGTTTTCAGTGGGCCGCTTGGGGCCTACGGAATTGGCAGCTGTGTCTCTTTCGTCTATGACTGCTAATATCAGTGGGTATGCTATTATTCAGGGTGTTTCGACTTGCTTGGATACATTGTGTGCTCAGGCTCACGGCAGAAAGGATTTCAACACTGTGGGATTGCACTTTGTACGGTGTACATACTTGCTTATGTTGTGCTATATCCCAATGTTCATCCTTTGGATGTTCTTTTCCCAGCCGATTTTGTTGGTTTTGGTGGGTGAGGAGAAACACCACTTGGTGACGCTAGCAAGCAGGTACTTGAAGATCCTCTCCTTTGGACTTCCCGGCTTTATCGTGTTTGAAAACCTAAAGCATTTCTTGCAGTCCCAAGGCATCTTCCATGCCTCCACTTACGTTCTTTTGTTCTGTGCCCCTATGAATGCCTTCTTGAACTACTTTCTTGTCTGGAACAAGCATGTAGGTCTTGGCTTCGAGGGAGCACCGTTATCCGTGGTAATCACCAATTGGGTAATGTGTCTTGCCCTTTGGTGCTATACCAAATACATTGACGGCTACCATTGCTTACCTAGACAGAACCTTCTTCACAAGACGTACTTCAGCAATTGGCAGCGGATGATCGACTTATCTGTTCCTGGAGTGTTGATGGTAGAGGCCGAATGGTTGGCGTTTGAAATTATCACATTCATTGCCTCCACTTTCGGTACAGAAGTATTGGCAGCTCAGTCGATTGTCTCCACTACGTGCGTCCTCTTGTACCAGATACCATTTGCATTGTCTATCACCGCGTCGACCAGAATCGCGTGGTACATTGGAGCTGCTTCAAAGAAAGCGGCCTTGGTTGCAACAAAAGCCTCTATGTACACTGCGTTATGCTTTGGTGTATTCAATGCTGCATTTCTCTTCAGCTTCAGGCATTTCTTTGCATCGCTTTTCACTGACGACTCGAACGTGCTTGAGATTGCATCCAAAGTGTTGATAGTGGGAGCCGTGTACCAAATCAACGACTTCCTTTCTTGTACGTCTGGAGGTATTTTGAGAGGCCAAGGAAGACAGAAGATTGCAGGATACTTGAACCTCATATCGTATTATGTGATTGCGTTGCCCAGTGCAGTGTTTTTCGCTTTCTCCCTCAAGCTCGAGTTGATCGGTTTATGGATGGGTATGATCATTGCGCTTTTCTTTGTTTCTGTATCACAAACCTACTATGTTGTTGCAAGTGACTGGGATCACATTATTAGAGAGTGTATTGAAGAAGGTGTTGTTGAGGATGGCGCTCTCAACATTGAAGCGACATCACTGGTACCAGCCATGCTGTCCAGCCACCTTGTCTAGAAAAATATATAGATGTATAGAAAAACGGGTGGCGGATAAAAAAAATAAGTTACAAATCGCCGTTCTTGATTTTTGCCAAACCAAAGTAGTTCATGATTAATGCACGGTCCCGGAAATAACGGTTGAAACCCCTAAACATCAATGGGTTACTGAACAAACTAAGAAGTTTATTTATTTCTCATTAGTACACATTATTACCCTTTCCGGCGAGCGAGCTGGCGTTCCAAATACGCTATCTTCGCCTTGGCTTGTTCCAATTCTACATTGGGCAGAGCATTGTCTAGCTCGTCTAGCAAGAGATCGCATAACGACTGGACTTTTGTTTGGGTAGAGATGGCCTTGATTTGTTCAACCTTATTCTTGAAACCCAATGGAACACTTAAAAGCTTATTATACTTGACGAGAAGATCTCTATAGGATTCATAGAAGTTCAGGTACTGGTCTAAATCACGCACCAGGGCCTCGCGTAGCTTATCATAACGCTCTTGCAAATCGATGTTGGGCTCTTTTGACTCGACAATGGCCGGATCGGTATGGCTTGAGGCGACGAGCGAGTTGAAGCGACGCAAAACAGCATTGTTAGCGTGAACACGATCCGCGGCTGTTTTGAGAAAGGTATTTACCTGGTTATCAAGGTCCACCGCCGCAAGAGAGACATTAGACCCAGCATGAACGCGGTCTACAATGGCAGCATTCTGGCGAGACTGGGGGAGTCCCCCTGGGACGGAAAGAGGTGGCATGAGAGGTGAGAGGGATTGATGTGGAATTGAGAAGTGTTGAGAAGTAGCATAAGTGAGTATCAATTGTCTCGCGATACCGTCAAAACCCTCCAAACCGTACTTGTACCAACGCTCATTGACAACGTCTTTTGAAAAACAGCTGGTTTTTCCAGTTGCGTCGTGGCTCCTAGCCAGGGCTTAGCTGGCTTTGACCTTGCGTCTAGTAAACATGACATCTGAAAGAGGCAAAGATATAAGTGGTTAATAGGCCCGCGAGAATAAGCCCCAGGCGAGACGACGCAAAGTGGAAAATTTTTACCAGCGATGCATCTGGGTAAGAAAAAAAGAGAAATGGCACACCCATTTTTCAGGAACCACACGTCCTTGGCAAACCTCCCCGTAGATAAGGAAACCCACAGGGGGAAAACCCACAGGATGGAGAAATAATAAAAGTGGTGACCTCAGCAGATCCACCTCATCTCCCCTGTCAGGCAACGTTGGGTGTTTCACCTGTCACTGTCAGTGTGGAGGGGAAGCCGGGGAGCAGTGGGTCGTCTAGGCAAGTGAAGATAGAAAGTGAGAAACTCGTCATTTCCCGATCGGCCCACCCCGAAGTGGGGTGGTTTGGAAAGTTTCTGCTCCCAGGGCTAATCACGATCTCGGCACTAACCGACCTGACATGGAACAGGACTTAGGCAAAATAGGAGCAGTAGCAGCCCCAGTGCCAGAGCGAGGTGAACCGCACCAGGAGCAGCACAGGAGCATGGATATGGGCATGAACGTGAGCGTGAGCATGAGCGTGAGCATTCCGCACCAATCAGCACCACCTCTCAACCACCCAAGGACAGAATCCTTTAAATGTCTTTAGTAATTAAAAGTCTCTCAAACCAGAGATTTAATGACCCTCTCCCCTGACTTGCTCTCAACGACTCATGGCGGTGTGCTGGTCGTCAAGACTTTTGGTCTCATTCTCGTCACTGGCGCACTCACTGTACATACCGTAGACGAAGCCTCGCTGGGATGGACTCCAATGGGTTAAGGTATTATGCGTGAATGCACCCGGAATGGGGACGGTTAGGCCCTACGATTCACCTTGCAATGGGTGACTCCGTGAGGGGTCTTTGCAGAAGTCTTTGGTTGGGTTTAATGGCACCTCGACCATTACTTCCAGACCAGTACTGACGTACTGGCCTAACGTACTGGCCTGACGTACTGGCCTGGTAGTACTGGTCCTGGTACTGGAAGGTGCATTGGAGGTGCATAAGTTACGTCGTATTATACACCCTCAAATGCACGAGCGAGTAACTTTTGTCGCCATTTCTGCCTCGTTCCCCTTTCTCTAAAGCTATGTACTGCATATAGATCCGGTACAGTGCACCCTCTTATGCACCTGTCCCAAGCACATTTCCCATTTTTCGCCATTTCCCATATTCACAATCCCATTCTCCTCGAAACGTCTAACCTAATGCTAGATCCGCTCCTTTGGTGGGCCCTGGGGGGGTTGTGTTTCGCCGCAGCACCCTCCAATGTCATGCGTGCCGATCTTGCGTATTGTCCAATCGGTCTAGTATGCTTCTCGTCTGTCTCGACTCTTGTCTGGTCTGTTTAGCTCGATTATGTACTCTCTTTTCGTGATACCTTAAATACCTTCGCTTCCTGCCATTTAGTGTTTCGCGATACTCCTTTTTTCTTTTGCCTTTTAATAACAACGGTTTTCCTTTTATCGGGTCCTTCTCTGGCCCTGTCTCCTATTCATCATGAAAGTCCATGGCTCTTTTACCTATAACGACATCTCCATCAACCAGTACAAGTACCTGCACCAGCTCTACTTGAAGGAGCTCCTGGTCCATAATGAGACGCTACAAGAGTACAGCGATGAAATCTCCTTGGCCCTTCTTACAGCTCTGGAAAAGTCCCAGCCTAACTTTAAGCTTTATGAGAACCAGCCTTATATCACCAGTGTGGTGAGAAACAAGCTTGTTGACTTTGTGCTACGCATGGCTGTCAGACTCAAGATTGTGCCATATGTGTTTTGTAAAGCGGTTCGTCTTTTTGACCGCTACTGTTCAAAACGCATTGTCCTTCTAGACCAAGCTCAGCTAGTGATCACCACTTGTTTATGGATCGCCGCTAAGATCTACGGCGGTAACAACCATTTTGCTAATCTCTCTAGTTCAAAATGCTCCCTGGTGAAGACCATTCTGAACTTGGGCTTCGGCTCGGGTGCTAGGTTCTGTGGTCCTACTGAACGTTACCGGATGCCCAAAATTAGTGAACTTGTGAAGCTCTGTGGTGCTCGTTGTAACTACGACTCAAACATGTTTAAACAGATGGAGTTGCATATCATGACTACGCTAGACTGGAACCTTTCAGATTCAACCATTGACGATTTTTTGGTTTCGCTGAATGACCTTCGATCTTGTACTGATTACGATCCAGCTGGCGAGTTTGATGCTGCCACGGTGAAAACTTTCATAGCATACGCTTCCTGTTACCTGTTTGAGCTAATCAAGTTTACCCCACTCGAGTTGGCCAAGGCCTCTGTTGATTTAGTCAATGATGCTTTCCAAATTCATCCGTCAGACAATGCATATTTTACTTTAAACAGTGAAATGTTTGAGGATTCGCCAGACCTTTGTTGCAGCGAGAAAAACAGACATATCCAAGATCTTCTTGCTCAGGCAGTAATGAATGCTCCTGCCTACCTTCTTCGCTGCTTTGATACCCCTGGTCCTCATCATCTCTACTCGACGCTTAACAACTTGAGATCTCCAGCTGCTTACGACAGTGAAGTGAAAACGCCTACTCACATCAACTTTCCCACTCCAGCAGCATTGTCTGACATGTCTCAAGGAAACTACACTTATGCTACGCCAACCAAAAGCCCGCAGGCTTCCTTCACCCACCAATCAACAGCCAATATCGTCGGCGTGCCATACATGACCAAAGCGTCCAATAAAGGAATGAAAACTCCCATAACAGAAGCTGCTAATATCCAAAGCCACCATTATCCACTTCTCAAGCAGTCTAGCCAGCCGGCCAAACTGACACAACCGTCTTTGAGTATAAGCACAGAACTATACCCACAGCCACGGCCAGTGCTTCAAGACTCGTTCTACCGCAATAACAACAGTCTGACAAGCATAGCGTCTACAAACTCTTCGAAAGGGTCAGACCTTTTTTACGAGTCTTCACGGTACGGAGTGTGTACTCCCATTAGCATTGACGAAGACCACAAACCAGTGACAAGAAAGAAAAGAGCGACATGATACTCCATTCAATTCATCGATTATTCATTTCTCAGCATAGTAATTTTATAATAGAGTTATTCAAAAGTTTAATACTTGATACTTGTAGCTCTAAAGGGTAAAGCAAAAATAGAGGTACCCGAGGAAACCGGCTAGGCCATATGAGAGAATGCCCTGAAATCACATAACCCAAAAGTCTAAATCAAAAGTACTTCCAAAGAGGAAACCGTTTAAAACCAACTAAAACAAGCCACAACAAACAACAGACGAAACTAGACGAGATCTCAAATGCATCGTTTGCATCGTTTGCAGCGTACATAAAGTGGTCTGATGATGAAAGAACGCCGTTCAGACGACCGAAAAAACGGTCTTCCCGATTCGAGTTTCACTTTTGACGAGATAGACTTCAAAGTAGCCAAACAGAATTCCTACCAAGTCTAGAAGCCCAGCCACAGTAGCGCAGAAGCAGTCATAATAGGTATCAAAATGGACCTCCCAAGCCTCCCAGGCCCGTAATGGAAACCTAAATATCACCTTCTAACCATATCCCACCCTTCTAGCCCAGAAACCCTCTTCCCACTCCAAATCGGCTGTGTGGTTCTTTTTATAGCCCATTGATTTGCAGCCATGGTCGGTTCCTACACCAGGCCAAGAGCCCCGACCAAAACACCTACCCGAAGATCAAACCAGGCACCACCAAAAACATCCACACTTGATCTTCAAAACACTAACAGCCTTTACGGTTTGGGTTCCCATCAGGGCACCTCCTTTTAAAGGTGTTTCCATTTTTGGCCAAGCACCACCTGAAAGCGTTCGCGTCTGGTGCTGAGAAAAAACATCAAATATGGCTGCCAAAGAACCACCAGCGAACTACGAATACCCACCTTTACGTGTATTCTAAAACTTTCTTTAAAACCCGTATTATTTCCTTCACCCCTTATATAAACCACGTCCCTTCCACTGGCAATATTTTTTTTCTTGGGACTTGCACTGCCTGGGCAACTACGCTTAACTATGGGTAACACAGCCTGCATTTCGCGACCCACAAGCCTTACCCTTTTTTTTTTTTTTTTTCTTAAGCCGTTGCTATTTTTTCCTTCAACAAGGGCCAACTCTTTCTTCTCCAGCCAATATCTGTGTAACTCTGGCGGTGCTTTAAACTTCAAAGAAAGTGTTCTTGTCTGATTTTATTCCCACGTGTTCCATCGTTTAGACACTTCCCTTTACATTGCTACTGTTCCCCCTGGCATTTCACCTGACGACAAATCAAGAACATAAACGTTTCCAGTGTCAACGTTTCCACTTTCTCCATCACAACATGCTAGCATTCTTTGTATCCTCCCTTTTACTCCTACAACTGGTGTTTGGTGCTCCCAACATGGAAGAGTTGGAGGGCACCTGGGTGTCCAAGTCTAATACTGTCTTTACTGGTCCAGGCTACTATGATCCCGTGGACGAGCTTTTAATCGAACCTGCTTTGCCTGGTATTTCTTATTCCTTCACTAAAGATGGCCACTACGAAGAGGCCTTGTACAGAATCACGTCCAACCCAAGAAACCACTCGTGTGCTATTGCCAGTATGACCTTCCAGCACGGTCTGTATGAGATCTTGAGTAACGGGTCTGTTGTGCTTAAGCCTATTGCCGTGGACGGTAGACAGCTTTTGAGTGACCCTTGTGGTGGTAAGGCCGACGAGGCCCAGTACAATAGATACGTGCAACCAACATGGTTCGACAAGTACCAGGTTTCCATTTCCGACTACCACGGAAGATACATGTTGCAGATATACCAGTTCGATGGCGCTCCAATGCAGCCTTTGTACTTGGCCTACAAGCCACCTATGATGTTGCCTACTGGCGCTTTGAACCCTACCGACAAGTCTGAGCCCACCAAGGCTTCTTTGCGTAAGCGTGTGAGAAGATCGCTTGAGAACCAGTACCGTACGAACGCCGTGAGAGAACCAAGCCACTTGTTTGAGAAATTCTACTGGGTTGGCGTGGTTCTTTTGGGTGCTGGCTCTGCTGCCATGTTGCTCCGCTAACGAACATTAATATGGCATGAACTGCCAAAAGTTTTACCCAATCTGTATCATATCTGGTTTACGTTTTCAATAACATTCACATCTGTCAATTACTTGAGGTTTTGTATGTGTGCTATTTAGGAATGGCTTGCTCCGGTTTCCTTATTAATGCACAGTGTCTTGTATGCGCCAGGCCACAGTTGCATGATAAGTCCACCAACTAAGTCCCAAACAACCATACCAACATCACAATCAAGAGTATAGCTTACACCAATCGTTTAGAATATATCAATTTTTTTTTACAGTCTTTAGAGTGGTTTTGGCGGTAGGTTGCCTCTTGGCTTGAACTTATCGACCTGCACACAGGTCGCCTCTCCGTATGATTCCTCAGCCTCTAGTCATTTCAAGAAAGTGATAAGAACATTACCCTCCACAGATCTCTAATAACTTTTCCCAAAACATGTCTTGGTTCAGTGGCTCCGATCCAGTTGCAGAACTAGATGCTAAAATAGAAGAGGCCAGCTCTGAAACCATCCCCAATGGGGAAATGGACATCGCTGTGGGATTAGAAATCACCGATATAATCCGAAGCAAGAAGGTGCCACCTAAGAATGCCATGAGATCGTTGAAGAAACGACTCACCAAAGTTCATCAGAATCCAAACTTGTTGCTTTCCACTTTGAAGGTTATCGATCTTTGTGTGAAGAATTGTGGCGCCCACTTCTTGTCTGAGATTAACCAGAAGGAGTTCGTGGACTACTTGGTCGACTATATCTTCAAGGTTCACTACGATGTTAAGGACTATAAGGTGTACTCTTCAGAAGCCAAGTATAAGATTGGTACTAGTATCTTGAAGTACATCAAGGAATGGAACTTGTGTCTCAAAGACTCCACCAACACTCGTTACTTGGATAGAGTGTACGAGCTGTTGATGCTGCAGGGTTATGACTTTCCTGAGGTGGACAGCCTGCTTTTACAATCGGCATCGACCTTTGCTGATTCTAGGGCTCCACCTGACTGGATCGACGGCAACGAGTGTATGATTTGTTACAATCCATTCAGTGTAATGACGAGGAAACATCACTGCAGAGCGTGTGGTGGAGTATTCTGTCAAGCTCATTCAAGCAACAGCATTCCGCTTCCGGCATTAGGAATCTTGCAACCTGTCAGAGTCTGTGACGACTGTTACCAGATCCACAAGTCTAAGACTGCTGGTGTGACAAAGAAGACCACCAGCAGACAACCAAATGCTTCAGCCCCAGCACAGTCCAATGCTCCACAAGAGTCCGAAGAAGATGAGCAACTCAGAAAGGCCATTGAATTGAGTTTGCAGGAGTCTCAGGGTCCAGCAGCTACCAATTACGCTCCTCCACCAACAGCCCCACCTCCAGCGGCAGCTGAACCTATGCCAGAAACACCTCAGGTGGATGATGAAGATATGGACGAAGACATGAAGGCAGCAATTCAGGCATCCTTGCAAGAATACAAACAAGAACAAAGTTTACGACAGCCAGCAGCTCCAGCCCAGCAAGATTATCCACAGTATCCACCACAACAATCTGCACCAGAACCACAGCTGGAGTTCTATCAGAGCTCCCTACCTTTTGATCTTGATGCATATTCTCAGCCTTCTCAGCCCCAGCCTCAGGCACCAGGTCCTTCCAACCCAAGCTTTTACGCACAGACTCCTCAGCATACGTCAGGCCCTGCTGCTGGACAACAACCTGTTCAACCACAAGAAACTTCCCAGGGCCGCCTCTCGCCTCAGAAGACAAAGGCTGAAGATTTGACCGAGGAAGAGGAAGAGCTGATTAACCTCTACTTGCAATTGATTAATGGCCTTAAGACGGATAGATCGAAACAGGCTAACGTGTTGTACGACCAAAATCTTAGTGAGTTACATGCGAAGGTCATTCGTTTGAAGCCAAAGTTGAACCGTTCGCTCCGTACATCAATTGAGAAGTACGATCAGTTCTTAGAGATGAACAACAAGCTTAGCACGATCACACGTCTTTACGATCAATTCTTGGAGGCAAAGCTCAACCAAGCCTACAACAGACATTCGTTATCATCGCCACAATATGGACAGGCACAGATGTACGGCTTACCTCCTCAAGGAACTGGAGCTTCTGGTTATCCTCAATATGGAGCCCAACAGCCACCTCAAAATACTTCAAAGCCTTTACCACAACAACCAACAGCTCCTTCCGTGCAAGATGAACAACAACATACTGGAACTTACCCAGTGAAAAGACAAGGAACAGGCTACCCTCAACAAGCCCGGCCTTACTCTTCTACCGCCCCATATCCGTTTGACCCCAATAACATCCAAAGTAACCCTTCGCAACAAAGTGAAATGTCGCAAGGGTCCTCGACAGCTGTCTCATACAACCCTTCGTTCCCATCTTATCCATCCCAACCTGATTTCGATGACGATGGGCCTTCCGAACCAGCTGAAACTAACGGAACTACGAGACAAGATACTGGATTCTACCCTACTGAACCATCTTTGGGTGAATCTGATGGAGAAAGCACCAACAGTGTAGCAAGCAGGTATCCACCTGTTGCTGGTGGTGAATTCGGAGGACTTGAGCCCCAGCCGACTGCCGGACAGCACGCCTCGGAGAGATATCCTACGATAGATGAGATGGAACAGAAGGATGAAAGAAATACTTTGCCTACCATGGCCCATCCACAAGGAGAAAAAAGACCAAAGTCAGAGCCAGAGCCACTTATTGAATTGTGAGCAAGTCGTTGCGCTTGAGACATTTTGTACTTTTGCAGCCATTCTTTTTTTTCTTGAGTCGCAATCACTAAAGGCTGAGAAAAAAGCAAGGCATCCCTGTACGACTGCATATACGTCAGTAGCTTCGAATACTTGCCATTTGCGTCTTTTTCACTTTTTCAGATACCCATCTTTTCTTCCATAGAAAACTTCTTCCACGTACGAGAGCTGCCGCTTGAAGTTCCATACATTGCTTGACTCACTAATCCAGTGAGCCTATAGTCCAGAAGAATTTTTGTGAATATCGTCCTTGGTGCCCTCTAAGGAGAAACGTCCCTGATACTGCTTGCTTAATATACTACGTAAGCGCATCAGCACTAAGAAGAAAGAGATTGGATCTGTCGAACCGAAAACCTTTTGAGAGAGTTATGGCCCCTGCTATTGATGTCATCCACGATGAAGCAACATTTTTGAAAGATGATGTTGTTGTGAGTCATGAGTACATTGATGACAAGATCAAGCCGATAGTTAAGCCTAACGGAAGCTTCGAGGACTCGCTGGCTGCTACCGATGTATCGAGAAAGTTGGTTGGCGAGGCCCTTGTTGAGCAGATCGAAGGTATCGATCATGAGATGTGTGAGGCTGGTGAGGAGGATTCGTTCTTTGTTGCAGATTTGGGTGAAGTTTACCGTTCATTCAAGATGTGGAAGCAACAATTGCCTCAAGTTGAACCACACTATGCTGTCAAGTGTAACACCGACCCTGCAGTGATCAAGTTGCTTGGTACTTTGGGTGCCAACTTCGATTGTGCTTCGAAGAAAGAAATTGACACTATTTTGGGTATGGGTTTCGATGGCTCGAGAATTGTCTACGCCAATCCATGCAAGACAAACTCGTTTATTCGTCACGCCAGGGAGTGTAATGTTAATTTGACCACCGTTGACAATTCCCAGGAGTTGTACAAGTTGAAGAGACACCACCCTGAGTGTGGAATCTTGATAAGAATTGCAACTGACGATGAGTCAGCTCAATGCAGATTATCGACAAAATTCGGCTGCACAGTCAGCGCTGCTTTGGATGAGTTGTTGCCTTTGTGCCAGGAATTGGGCTTGAAAGCTGTTGGCGTGGCTTTCCACGTTGGTTCTGGTGCTAAAGACTTTGACTCCATCTACAAAGCTGTCAAGGATTCTCGTGCGGTCTTTGACAAGGCCCAAGAAATGGGCATGCCCATGAAGGTCTTGGATATCGGAGGAGGATTCGAGAGGGAGAGTTTTGGAGAATCATCTGCGATGGTTCGCTATTCTTTAAGCAAGTACTTCCCTCAGACCTTCACCGAACAGCACGGTATTCGTTTCATTGCAGAGCCTGGTAGATTCATGGTTGCCAATGCTTTCACTTTGGCATCCCATGTAATCGCCCGCAGAGACTTGGGCAAGGAACAGTACGACATGGAGGCCATGATCTACGTCAACGACGGTGTTTATGGCAACATGAATTGCATTTTATTCGACCACCAGCACCCTGTGGCTCACGTTTTGAGACACAACGGTCAGATTTACTACGACGGCAAGAAGGCGGATGACGAGGATATGGACATCCAGGGCACGGTCCGCCGCTTTGCTTTCCTGATCTGGGGACCTACGTGCGACGGATTGGATTGCATTTCCACCCGCAGTGAGTTTGCTACCAACGTCAATGTGGGAGACTGGTTGTACTTCCCTAACCTAGGTGCATACACACTGGCAGCCACCACTTCGTTCAATGGACTTGGCGGCTCTGCTACAGTGAAGTATGTCTCGTCTGCTCCCGAGGTTCGTTTGTAAGACATATAATATAATGAACATGGTTGTTTAGTTGAAAAGAAGATAGATGTAGCTCGTGCGACACTCGTCCGTATGTAAGTATAGGCACTGACGTAATCCTTATCAGTCTGGGCAGCCACCACAAATGGCCTCACAATAAGTCCAAGAAACACAACTTGAAAAAACCTCTCTATATAAAGCAGCCTTCTCTTTCCTTGATCTACTTACCATTTCTTTTCATCAGAAGCAACCGACTGGGAGTACCAGTAATCTGCGTTTTGCAACCATTCTCGCACAGCCCATCACCAGTAAACTACCCCTCGTGAACCCCACCACCAAAAACTATATAAACAGCGAAATCCCCCCTAAAAATCCACCCCTGAAAACACCCCTATTCCATATTTCAGCCCAACCTACCGCCCTTTGCATCTCACCTCTTCCAATTGGCCCTACCTTAGGTGGTCAGCGGTAGGCGCAATACAGGAACGCGAGCTAAAAGTCACCGAAAATCTAGCCAAAAGAGTCCATCTACCTAAAGGGCTGAGCTACTACACTTCCTAGCCCAACCTCCCAAAATAGCATCTTTTTATTAATATCCACATGTCTCGTTCAGTGGATAACCGCAAGCAAATCAGCAACGCCATTTCGGCTTTGGATAAGTCCAAGAAGCCTGAGCCTGAGAAGGGCGATCTCTCTTTATACGTTACCGAAGAAGGTGAAGAACTACGTACCACAGAACGTGCGGTGAAGCTGGTGCCTGCTCCGGCTACGTTTAAGCCGCTGGATGCCGATGTGTTTTTGCCCAATGGCTTGCCTAACTGTGCGTTCTTGAAGGACCACTTTTTCAACGAGGGCAGACTCCAGCATCACCAGGCGCTGAGGATTCTACATGCTGCTACGGATCTTCTTAGTAGCGAACCAAACATGTTGAGTGTGGCGGCGCCTGTGACGGTGTGTGGAGATATCCATGGCCAGTATTACGATCTTATGAAGCTCTTTGAAGTGGGCGGTGACCCAAAAAATACCCGCTACTTGTTCTTGGGTGACTATGTCGATAGAGGCTCGTTTTCTATTGAATGCTTGCTTTACTTGTATGCGCTCAAGTTGACTTACCCAGATACCATGTGGATGCTTAGAGGTAATCACGAGTGTAAGCACTTGACTGATTATTTCACATTCAAGTCGGAGTGTTTGCACAAGTACTCCGAGGAGATTTATGAGGAGTGTTTGGCTTCGTTCAACGCTTTGCCGCTTGCTGCTATCATGAACAAACAGTTCTTCTGTGTTCACGGTGGTATTTCGCCAGAACTTAAGCTGTTGGACGATTTGGCTCGTTTGGATAGATTCAGAGAACCTCCTACCCGTGGTCTCATGTGTGACTTGCTTTGGGCCGACCCAATTGAAGATTACGACGAAGACAATATCGATCAGACGTTTATGCGTAACACCGTCAGAGGATGTTCGTATGCTTTCACTTACAAAGCAAGTTGTCAATTTTTAGAACGCACTGGCCTTCTTTCCATTATTCGTGCTCACGAAGCCCAAGATGCCGGCTACAGAATGTACAAGAGAACAAAGACAATGGGGTTCCCATCTTTATTAACCATGTTCAGTGCGCCTAATTACTTGGATACTTATAATAATAAGGCTGCTGTGCTCAAGTATGAGAACAACGTTATGAACATTCGTCAATTCAACTCGTCTCCTCATCCATACTGGTTGCCTCACTTTATGGACGTTTTCACCTGGTCTCTTCCGTTTGTTGGTGAAAAGATCACCGATATGTTGGTGTCTATCTTGAACATTTGTACCGAAGAAGAGCTCGAGGAATCCACTCCACTCGACGAATTGGCTCAGGAATCGCCTATCAAAGCCACCGGTGGCCAACTTCCACAAACTGCCAATGTACCTATCAAGACAAACGACAGCTTGGAAGAAAAGAGACAGGCTTTGCGTAACAAGGTACTTGCCATTGGACGTGTTGCCAGAATGTACCAGGTTTTGCGTGAAGAGGCCGAGAATGTTGCTCACTTGAAGAGTTTGAACGAGGGAACCTTACCAAAGGGTTCTTTATCGCACGGTCGTGAAGGATTAGAGCAAACCATCTCTGACTTCGAACAAGCCAGAAAGGCTGATTTGGTTAACGAGAAGTTGCCTCCTACAAGAGAAGAAATGAAGCAAATGGAAGAAGAGAGACAAGCCAAGATCAAGAAAAATATCGAAACTTCCAGTTCATCGTCGCCAGTCTTCCAGAGACTCATGAGAAAGCTCTCTGGCTAATTTTGGCTACCGCTGAAACTTTATCCTATTTATTTGATCTGCCCTACCGCATGGGTACAATTCCAGATAAGGCGCGGCTTTCATAGAGGATGCGTCAATTTCCGCGACAGCCATACAAAGATGTTTCAAATGAAAAAAATACTGAAAAAAAAAACTAAGACCTATAGAAGGCACGATATTTGAAACAGTCATCCACATTTGTCTGGTCGTCGATGGGTGCTAGAGTGCCTCGGGGCATTTTCACTTGTCCGAGTCGAGAGAATTTGATCACCGTGGATACCCTCCATAAGGAATACCCGGCAGGCTTTGCATCATATAGTGGTGACAAATTCGTGCTTCATGCTGGAGGGTGCCGGTTCCGCATAGCATTTGCCAGTGATGGAGGAGACGTTGTGTTACATCCGCAAATTGAAAGGATTCTGCATCATACGGTATCTATCTTGGTCTTGGATACGAACTTCATTCTTTGGGCTCCGGCTCTTCGGCTAGGCGTCGAGATTCCGTTTGAGTATGGAATCCTGCGACTCCTTCCAGGGCCAACGGGGCAGGTGATGCTTGAACTTCAACTCAAGGGAAGTGAGCTTATGGGGAGTTCGAATGGTGGGGCAATTGCCTTGCAGATACGCCCGGCCAGGGATGAGGAGGTTTCAGAAGAAGATATTGAACCTGACCTACGGTTTATGCTCCCTCAGGACAGCTCACTTCGGCGAATCCATGCCATGTTCACGCGTTGGTTGCATTACTACGAATCTACTGATGGCGAGGAACTACCGACAGCCGGCGAGACGGAGGTTCGAAGTCTCAGCGAGAACTTTTGCCTTGGACCCGGCGGAGACGCCGATGATCTCGGGTTTGACGAGCAACTAAGCGAAGGCGATGCTGGTATGAACATTGCCCTTGAGCTTCAGCCCGTTGGTGCGATGAGGAGGCCAAGAGACAACGAGGCGAGCTCGTACGCCAAGACCAGAAGGCTCGGCTGAAATAAATACAAACGGTTTAGCACAAGCATTAGTATAGACGACACACAAGAAGCATTTTTTTCAAGAAATTTGCAAGGCGACCATCGGCTATGACTAAGCCGGTTTCGCAGCCAACCCTAGAGTCCCAGCTCACCAGAACGTGCTCAAACGGGACACTCTTTCTTGGATCCAGTAGATCTGGCTCAAGGAATACCCTGAATAAACAAAAAAGAATAAAGTATCCCCCAAAGGAACGTAGAATTGTAATTTTTCACCGGCTAAACCTCGGCACTTTAGAGCCGAGACTGTGAGACACCACAGGTCCACCATTTCCAACCCAAACCACCCAAAATCCCCCAAAACCAGATCCCTAACATTTCCAACCTCCTTAACCAGTCCAACCCATCCACCTCCCTCCCTATACCTTCCACTCCCACCCTCTTTATTCCTTCCCTACGGTCTCCCCGGCATACAGGCAGCTCCAGACCCATATGGATCAAGCGCACTTTATGGCAAAAGGATCATCACCATAGTGTTCCTTGCAAGTGTGGGCCACCTTGAGAATGAAGCTGGCAGAGGAGAAGTTCCAGTATAAAAGCCATTTTTTCAAGTTGGGCCAGGGCAGAATCGTGCCCCATGACGACGTCCGCTTTTGGAACGTCCTCATTGACTCTCCACTGGACTCCAGCCATGTCTTTGACTTGCTCACTGCTAATGATATCCACGGAGTACGGGACCAGAACCTTCCGAACTTCTTGGTGTTTGTGAGGGTGCTTGCTGGGAGGATAGTGAAGATGAGGGAAAAGGCCGTGCTGGAGAGACAGAGGCTTGTCAATTGCGTTCGGTTGTTGACCAGGCTTGTTCCTTTCTTGTATGAGCTTCCTAACTACTCGTCAGACATTGAGCTTGAGTTGTTCTGGGAACACGATTTCCATCCCGATAAGTTTTGTTCGAATTCGGTGGCGTTATCGTTGATGTTGAGAAGGAATCTGGTGCCGGCGCCAGAGGTTGCTGGTGGTGCTGGTGCTGTTCTTGCCGTGGAGTTGGTGCATTCGCTTGTGGGGCTTTTATTTGTGCCTGGGTTTACTACAGACGAGAAGGGCGATCATGGCCTGTTCTGGGAACCTGGGATTGGGCATTCTGGGGCCTACGGGAATCCAGATCCTCGTCTTGATGTGAATCGAACGGATATCTTGAGGCTCTTGTTGACCTTGACGTCGTCTCTGTACTATCTTTCACTGAAGGATGTAACGGCTCAGGGATCGAGATTTTTGACCACTCTCGTGTCTACATTGCCTAAAAATGATCTTGTGCACTTGCTGTGCAGCCTTGTTAATATCGTTTGCAGATCGGCCCGTGTGTCTAATTCAGATAGCGGTCTTGCGTTGGCAAATACCACGCTCACAGAACTGCGTTATACTTGCATCAACTACTCGTTTCAGCTCCTCGTGACTACGTTAGTCTACCCATTGCCGTCATCTGAGCATGCTGAGTTTTTGAAGACTTATGGGGTACTCAGTAAGAGACCTTCAAACAGCATTAGGCTATTCTTTGGAAAGTTATCTAAAGAGTCTGAAGTCATGTTCCTTGCGACCCATTTCTTGAATTACCTTAGATTCCCTATTTTTTCGTTGAAAGATGAGGCCAAGAGGAGATTCTTCAAGTTCGGTCAACCATCTTTATGGGCGCTTGAAAGCACAGTGGTCCTCTGGGAACTCTTACAATGCAACAAGACATTCTCCGAACAATTGGGTCCAAGGTTCGTTCCTAAACTTGTGCCTTACCTAGTATACCACATTTTTGCATTTTACGATCTACCACAATACTTCAGCTTGGTCAAGATCATGTCTCATTTCTTGCTATACATTTCCTCTCAGGAGGAGCGGGTGCAAACATTAGTGAGCATTGAACCAGCAGTGGATGGCTTCCCATCGGAAACGAAGGTGAATGGTGTTGGCAGTACTAGAGATTTCGCTGTTATCAACATTTGCCAGGTTTTGAGCAAGCTTGCGTCACACACTAATCATCACGAATCGAAGCTTCATTCGTTTTTGAGACCAACACTTATAGAGGTACTTTACAATTTGATCCCTACCGTTAATGACGATGTCAAAGCTACAGACATTTCTTCAAAGTCGATGTCCAACGTGAACCCAAAGGGTGGATTGTCATACAAAGCATCCAATGCAGTGACACAGGTCATATTAAAGTACTCAGATAGAACATTTTTGCTTGAAGATCCAAGCAACCCTTCTATGTTGGCCCTTCTCGTTCGTGCATTGTGTGCATCGGCAACTAAGAATCCAGCAGCTTCCAGAATGACGCTCTTCACATTTCTCAAAAACGAGAAGGCTTACGACCATGTATGGAATGTGATCTATGGCCTTAAGAATGAGTCGATTGAACATGACTGTCTTGAGAATGTCAATGAAGAGGAGGAGGATGAAAATGCTAGTCAGGATCAAACCCAAGATCTGAGTCAAAGTGTTAATCTGACCCCACAACAGACTCCAAATCAGCATCCAGCATTTAATACGCCCTCGACTCCAATCTCCAAGCAAGCAAATAACGGTGTCTTTTCTCCATTCCCAAACACCCAGAGCACTCCAGTCCAAGAAGTAAGATCGCCTTATACCGCTTCGTCGAACGCAACATCTGTGGATGATGGCTTCATCGAGTCTACTAACAACTCTCGCACAAGTATTCCCGAAGTCGATCCTCTTGCAGAGCTCATGGAGGAAGAGAAAGCATTGGCTGCTGCCCTTAGACCAAACCCGCCCACTGGTATGTCCCAGAAGTTTAGAGATAAGCTTCCCCTTGAGGCTCCCTTGAGCCGTTCATGGGGTGGTAACGATGCTCTCAGAATCATCATTACCATTCTCATCCCTAATTTGAAGACTGCGTTGAAGGAGGTTTGGTCTAAGAGAGATGAATGCAACTTTGACAACTTCTTTATCGTCAAGCAAATCGAGAATTCTAATTTCGAAGAGGTGATTCAACAGAATAGAAGAGAAATCAACCACGATTTCCTTCCAGAAACTCCCATTGATAAACTTTCATTTTCGTGGAACCACAGGGCACTCGGGTGGTACTTATCCATAATCAACAGCAACAACTTTAGAGCGCCCGACAATATCAAATTGTTCATTGGCACCAATAATACTTTAATGAAGAACATTTCTTCTTCGATTGCACTGCTTGGGAAGATAGCGTCCAGCTGGTCTGGACTCTCATGGAACAGTAACCAGGAAGATCCAAAGGAAGAAGAGTTGACAAGGTTTGTCGAGGCAAACCTGAGTACCATCAATCCGTGGGCCCATACTAACGTGAAGCTCTTTAAAGTTGACGAAGAGAATGACAAGGCGTACAACCCTTTCGGGCTCAAGTACAACTCAAGCAGCAACACTAGTGTTTCGGACCTCACCAACTCTCTTGTCAAGAAACTCGGTGATTTTAGAAATGGAAGCCGTGGCAGCATTGTCAGTATCTCATCCATTCCACAAGAAGATCCAGAACGTCCAAAGCTCAATACCAGGAATTCTGTCAGCTCGTTGCACTCGCTCAACACGCTCAACCGGACAAGATCCAACACCCCTAGAAACTCCATTAGCATGTAATGTACGCATAATTACCTTACCTTTATCTATTTTTTTCTGTATAACCCGTATTTAACGTCTGCGACCCTTCTTTTGCACAAGCTCAAAGCCATCGTCGTCAACGACAGGGCCCTTTGGAGCCTCTTCAATGTGAGTATCTTCGATTCTCTCCACCAATTGCGGCACCTCGTCTTCGTTTTCGCCATCTTCCTCATCGGAACTTGGATTGTTAGGATCGGTTTCGATCTTGATATTCTGTTTCTTAGAAGCGTTGGATGCTTTCTTTTGATATTTTTCGTAAAGGTCGTCAACACTGGAGAACTTCTTGGCGGAGCATTCCTTATATAGTCTCAAGATAAGAGCAGCGATCTCAAGCGCCGAGTCGTTATCGATCTCAGTATCAAACTCATCGACCATTGCAAAGAGCAAAGTCTCTTCGATTAAAATGTTATCAACAGCTTTTTCCTCAAAAAGGTCAATAACAACTCCCGATAGCCAGTCTCTTTTCTCTGCACTGTTTGGACCACCCCAGGAATTTTCAACCGCAGTGTTCAACTCATCCCACTTGTATACTGCCATGCACACACCAAGCTCAAATTTACCCTGTTGTTGAGGGTCGTCAAATCTAAGAGAGTCTCTATCATCCTCAGCACGGACAAAATCCGTAGGGTCTATAGCGTACATGCTCATGTTGGAAGTTCGTGCTAGGAGATGAGCATCGAGATCCAGAATGCAAAGTCTTGATACTGGTAGAAGGCCCGTGCACCAGTGTCAGGGTCCACCACCAGTACCACTTCCAAAACCTATTAAAGCATGGGCAATATTAATTGGTCTCTTCTAAGGGAAGCAAGAACTTCGTCCTCGGAGATGTTCAATTGTATGAGCCTGTACCGCTCGCTTCGAAGGTTTTGTTGTGCGATGATTCCAAGCTCCTCCATTTGGTTCACTAGGCGTGCCATATCGTAGATACGGATGTTTCTAGGGAAACCGTAGCAGAAATCAGCAAACGATTCGTGTGATTCGAGCTTTTTAAACGCATTGGAACCGTCCTTGGAAGTAAGCAACTCGAGGGAGTTCTTCATCTCGTCGATTACGTCACCAAGCGTGTTCTCAGCTAGGCCAGATCTTCTCATACGTAGGAGAATACCTACAAGTATGAGCTTCGATTCGAATGAAAGCAGACCGAGAAGTTGAGCGATGGGTGAGTTGACAGACTCGTTGATGGCTTTGGAGATATGGCTGATTTTGATTGTGAACGTTTGTTCCGATTCGGGCTTCTCTAGATCAGTTTCTGTGTCCAAGAATTCCTGTTCTGCAATTTCAACTGCTCTCCGACAAATGGTCAATGCTCTTCTAGCGTCACCACTTACACTGGCGACTTTTCTGGATGCGTATCCCACAGCATCATTACTGATATCCACCTTCCTGCGGTGTTCCTTACTGAGCATGGTAAGTCTATTAGCAATGATCTCACCCAATTGCTGGAAAGTGTAACCCACAAATTGAATTCTTCTAAGACCCAATCTGGAAGAGATCTTGTTGGTGAGCATTCTCTCAGGCAAGTCCATGGTGTTGGCAACAGCAATAATGATAAGCTTGGAGTTTGGGTATGTAGGCCAATTGAAGAAGTTGTACATCACCGATTGAGTCTTTGTGACGATTTGATCAAGTTCATCTAAAAGGACAACAAGAGGCTTTCTTGTCTCGTCGGGATCATTCTTGCCAAAATGGTCGTCTAGTAATAATGCAGCATTGGCAGGAGTGACCTTAATACCACTAACAAACTCCCAGAGCTTCTCATAAGCAGATTCGGGGATAGAAGCTTGAGACAGTTGATATCTAAGAAATCGAAGTCATTCAACAAACCTTCGTCAGCAGAAGATCGAAGCGAACCCATTACTTCCTTGATTGTAGCAGTCTTACCGACTCCTGGAGTTCCACTCACGTAGATACAACTGCCTGTTTGCGTTTGGATGGCGTTTTCAACATTAGTGTACACTGCAACCCATTCGTCTTCTCGACAAGGAAGGGATGTGATGGTCGCTGAAGTGTGAAGCTTTTCCTTAAGCTCTTTGAATGCCTCTGATGAAGTGTCCACAACCATTCCAGAGCTTTTCAAAGGAGCTCTGTTGAGCGAGGGAAGGCTGGCAGCAGAGGTACCTGTTTTAACCTTAAAACCTTTCTTAAGTGGGGAGAGAATGTTCTGAAGCGTTGAGCGTTCGTTTTCACGAGACGACTGGACCTTTTTCCTTGGGGTTGTAGATGGATCTTTCTTTGGAGTTGCAGATCTTTTGCGTCCCTTCGTAGGACTTGTTTGTTCAACCTGAAGTTCTTTTGCAGGTTCTTCTTCATCCAGCAAATCTTCCGAATCGTCATCCTCACTTTCTTGCTTAACGAAATCTTCAGAGTCAGAGTCATCTGAAGATGACTGGGTATATGTTCTTCTCCTTGGAGAGTCAGATCTTTCAAGTCTCTCAGTAAGTGATGATGTCTTGAGTTTACGCTTCTTTGGCGAGATAATGATCAGCGTATTCTCTGAAATAAACCTGATTGCTTCCATCAGGTCCTTAACGACAAGCTTGCGGAACTCGTTAAAGTCAAATTCTTCAGAAAGTTTCTCACCCTGGGCGTTACTAGCCTTTCGACACAAGTAAAGCAGAGAAGCTGATGAATCATCGAGAACGATCTCATTAAAATCTGAAGAGTTAAGCACTTGGACCTTCTGGACAATATCCTTCACCTTGAGAGAAGCAATTTCAGGTGTGACAAAGAGTTCATTCTTCTGTATATCAACACTTTGTAGAGTTTCCTGAGTTATCTGCTCTGGAGTGACAAACCTGGCCCCCAGAAGCTCCACGCATGATTTAAGGCCAAGCAGAATGCTTGTGATAATGTAAATTGACGTTTGCTTCTCTGAGATCAAAAGACAATCGCCTGTTTGGATCTGTAGACCATCTTCCTCACGTTGAAGCTTCACATCGTTTGGTTCCGCAGATTGAGCTCTTCGACGCGATCGACGCGATGGAGTAGCTGGGCTATTAGTTGATTCATCTTCCGGATCTTCAAGGACGATTTTCCAATCTCCCAAGTCCTTTTGTCGTTTAGCCATTGGAGGGTTGGATGGAAGAGGAATAGTATGTAGATGTCTGCTAGTGGTGCATTATGCACACCACTATCAATAAACCCTGTTTTGACGATAAGACAAGGAAAAAGCAAAGTAATTGAGGATGATCTACAAGTAGTTTGGTCGTGAAGTATATGATACGTACGTAGCAAGATCAAGTATTAGCAGGACATTCCTGGATGTGTAGATGGGGAGGTCAAAGACCTGTTATGACTGGTGCTTCCGAAAGCACATCAAGTAAATGCAAAAATCACAAACCCGCCGAGGATTGGTTTGAGGTATATTAGCAAGAGGGAATGGCTCTACGAGCCAGCACCATCCTTCTTGTAAATCAAGATTGGCTCGCCAATATTGACAATCTCCTCGATGTTAAGCTTCAAGTCGAAAGCCTTGGACAATATGATCTTGAAGATTTTCTGAATATTAATGGAGTGACTGGTGGAACAGAAGATCACCGGCAGCCGCATGGCTTTACCGAACTTCTTTGCCTGGTTGGTGATTTCTGTCTGATCTTGTGGCAGCAAATCAATAAACTCGTCGTACTTCGTACCGATCAAAAACGGAATGGCGGTTTTGTTAAAACCACGGACCTGCCTGTACCACTCCTTGATGGAGTTCAAAGTCGACTTTCGGGTGAGATCAAACATGAATAGTATGGCCACCGCGTCGTTCGATACCAAAGGTAGCATGTTGATGAATTCTTTTTGTCCACCGAGATCCCATATCAGGAAAGTGATGTTTGTGTTTCGTATCTGGATCTTTTTATCCATAAAGTTGACTCCCAATGTTTGGATATAGTCCTCGTCAAAGCTGCCTTCCACATACTTGACCATGAGGGACGTTTTCCCGATTTGGGAGTCGCCAATGAGCCCAATTTTAAGAGCCACTCTAATGGTTAGTTAAGGTTTTAAAATCGTGTTTTTTAAGGTACATACTGGTTGCTTTGGCTCTCCAGAGATTCCATGGTTCTGGTGGTGTTTCAAGATCACTAAGTGTTTACATTTTGTACACGAGGCACGCGTTCGAGATCACGTGGTTTTACTTCGACCGATAAAGGGACCCCAAATATTCCCCATTTAGGGTCAATAGTTAGGTAAATGGTAAAAAAGTTTATTATGGTAAATCTGAAAGTTGACAGAAAGCAGGCTTGATTGTTCCCGTAGTCTATTTGCGTTTATAGCTGGGCACCTTTCCTTCCGCATTGGGCCCAAGCCTATACACTAACTGTCAACCGTCTAGGCACATTCAGGCACCGATTCCAAGCGATAGGTAAATTGATTGCCGTCTTTACCATTATAGATGCCACTATAATATTGAATTCATGCCTACGTGCATATTAGAAGACAATACAGCTGGGTCTATGGTTCCCCAGAATGGCTGCGAAATCTACTTGGTCGGTTCGGAGTAGACGGAGTCTATTATAGGAAAGAAGGCTTAAGGGGGCTCCTGGAATTTAAGAACATTCATGGTACGGTCTAGTCAAGGCTGACGAGTCACTTAGAATCGTAAAACCTTATGTTTAAAAAGAAGTGGTATGGATGGTTATTGGTAGCTACTCCACTATATGTGCCATACTTAAGGTAGCCATAGTGAACCTACCGTAGAAGAGAGTACCAGTTACCGAGACGCCCCGAAGTAACCATTGGTTGCTTATTTTTGTTTCACTATTCCTAGTACTTATCTGATGGTTAAGTCATATTGCCGAAATCACCACTTCCAGTGGTTAACTAGCACTGGCCATTGGGTGCATTCGCTAGTAGTGTAGATTTTTCACTCCAGTAAGCCGCTTACTACTCTCCATAGTTAAGCTCCATATTGGCTGCGAAGCCCAAGAGAAGAAGGCCCCTAGTTATTTTCCTCACCACCCTTCAATGCAAAGAAAGAGGAAGTTTAATATACTTATATATGCTGTATAAGAACGGTAATAGAGTAAATTATTGACTCTGGGGACTGGGAAGGGGAATGGCGGTGGGTTGTGTGGTGGACTGGTGGAGTTTTTAGGGCTTCAGCCCTCGCACATGACCTGCGTCTAAGGTTCATGTGTGGGTAGTAGTGGGTGAGAAGAGAGGTAATCTGCACACCGCAGTCCCCAGCTCAGGCTTCGCACGGTAGAAAAAAATTTCCTGAAAAAAGAATAGTAAAGGTCTCTTTCAGAAAGAACTCCATCTTTTTAACTACACAAACATGGCTGTTGGTAAGAACAAGAGATTGTCCAAGGGTAAGAAAGGCATGAAGAAGAAGGCCGTCGACCCATTCGCCAAGAAGGAATGGTTTGACATCAAGGCTCCTTCCACTTTCGAGAGAAGAGACGTTGGTAAGACCTTGATCAACAAGTCCACTGGTTTGAAGAACGCCGCCGATGGCTTGAAGGGCCGTGTGTTCGAGGTTTGTCTTGCTGACTTGCAGGGCTCTGAGGACCACGCTTACAGAAAGATCAAGTTGAGAGTTGACGAGGTTCAAGGTAAGAACTTGTTGACCAACTTCCACGGTATGGACTTCACCTCCGACAAGTTGAGATCTTTGGTTAGAAAGTGGCAATCTTTGGTTGAGGCCAATGTCACTGTCAAGACCGCTGACGACCACGTTTTGAGAATCTTTGCCATTGCCTTCACCAAGAGACAGCCAAACCAGGTGAGAAAGACCACCTACGCCCAGACCTCCAAGTTGAGAGAGGTCAGAAAGAAGATGATCGAGATCATGCAGAGAGAGGTTGCCAACGTTACCTTGTCTCAGCTCACTGCTAAGTTGATCCCAGAGGTTATCGGCCGTGAGATCGAGAAGTCTACCCAGTCCATCTTGCCTTTGCAAAACATCCACATCAGAAAGGTCAAGTTGTTGAAGCAGCCAAAGTTCGACTTGGGCTCTTTGTTGGCCTTGCACGGTGAGGGTTCTACCGACGACAAGGGTAAGAAGGTCTCTTCTGGTTTCAAGGACGTTGTCTTGGAGTCTGTCTAATCGTAAGATTACTGTTTAATACATACATTCGAAGAATCTACTTGTAGAGTGTTAATCATAGGCTTGATGGATAAATTTTCACCATCTCTTCCACGCTTGCTTCTTGGAAACTTCCATGAGCTTCGTCCACCGATGAGGCAGTGAACCCCAGCACATCCCCCTAGTTAAGAACGTTATCGCCCATAAGAGAATAATAGTGTACTTTCTGACCGGCTAGTTAGCAGTCACAGGGACTTTGTTCTTATAATTTAGCTGTTCAAGCCTTAAGCTACGCCATGACATCATGGGGCAGATCTTTAAAGCTCTACACTATGTACTTTCACAGTGAAGGGCACCACCAGTAATGGAGTACTCCATAGTTCAACTCTTGCTGGCTCTTATTAGCGACCTTGCTGACTTAGCAGTCTCATTGAAGTTTTTTAATCTTTGTATAGGTAGATTATGGCTTCTTCCAATGGGCATCGTACACTGTGAAGCCAGTTATCGACAGAATAAAGAACTCTCTTCAATTAGAGCATATCAACACCTTTTCAATCAATCGTCCCTACCCGAAAACCAAACTTCATAATTTCTATACCATTGTATTATTTTTGTATTAGTAGGTCCTTGAAATATTCATAGATCTCATATCGCATCTACATTCTGTCAGTACATAGTCAGGATAGATAAGAACCAGAAATGGTAAATACCGACTTTACGAAATAAAATACAAAAAACCAAGTTTTACAGAAACTTCAACCCCTAGAGCAAACTAATGATCCCTAAAATAACCCTAATCCTCTTAAACACGCAGAATCCCCAGAACCCATGGATTCTTCAGTTGCAGCCATTCTCACTATATAAACCTTCACCAGTCCAACCCAGAACTTCCCCTAGTAAAACCCCCTACATCAACAAACCACCCCAAACAACCAAATCCTACATCCTCTTTCACAGTACAAAGCTTTACACTATAACGTACCACAAGGAAAGCTTATTGACGACAACCGTTGCAGATACTTTGTAGTACACAAACCAGCGAAGAATCCATACATGAAGTGACATATTCACGCATCAGAGATGACAAGTGACGTGAAGCGGTCATACAAGGGAAGCGATGTCCAAGGAGGTCGTAGAAGACCCGAATTGGGAAACTCGTAGTCCCCAATAAGCCAGACTCAGCCAGGTACTCATCTGGTCAAACAGCCAATTAGAGACCAAGAGATCAGAGACCACCAACAAGGTTTAAATCCACGAACAATAAGTATCTTCGTATCAAAACCTTTCAAAACCACCTCCTTCGGCTTATCTCTATCGATTGCTACACTCCATCGAACCTTCTTCTACCGACGCTCGTGGGCTTATTGCAGCCAATTTGCAACATTCCGTGGCTCTACTGAGATCGCCAAATAAGCTCCATCCTCGGCGCCGATCCACCAATTCCCGGGCCACACAAAATCCCATCCCATCCCAGACAATAAATTCAAGAAAGCAGAAGACCAGCAAACCAAAACCAAGAAACACCAACCCTTCAAACCTCCCACTTCTGGTATTGTCAATTGCAACCTTGCAACTGCAAACCATTCAGTGCTGCCTTTTTCACAAGAAACGGCACCCGCGACCATTGTATGGTATCTGTGAGCCGTTCACTGCCCCCAAACCCTCCAGACAATGGCTGCATTCCACAAAGAGATCACCAGAAACACAGCCGAAGCAGAGAAAAAGTGTAGAAAAGTACAGTAGAAAAATCACATAACTACACAGATCAATCACAAAAGTGGGTGTCTCGAATTTCCCCTTTTTTTGCCGACCTGTCTCACCTCTTTGGACTGCGCCTTTTGGTGGTTGGCAGGGCCTTCAGCCTTCCTGGAGCCAGTCCAGCGCGGTTGCGAAAGCAAGCAACCCAGTGGGCCCCAGGAGCCTCCTGGATCAAAGCCAGGAAATGGAAATGCAAAACAAAGCGACACACCGAGGGAAGTCATGACGAGTGGGAGGAGTCAGAACGGTGCTTGACCAATCAGAGACGAGTATTCCAAAAGTCTCTCTCCCAGTTTAAGATTTTCTTTATTCTCTCTTCCTTTGTCTCTCAGGGTTCACACTGACGTTCGTCCGTGGTGCTCCTTTTTCTGCAATTGAAGCTTCTTTCGCTGTGCCGCGGGGCGTTCGCCAGGCCCCCGGCCTGCACACTGGGCCGCTTGGGGCCTTTTCCAAAAATGTCCCAGTCTGCGGCTGCGACTCAAGATTAGCCATTCCTCAATTGCCTACTACATCGTATATACATCATTCCGAAATCCTGGATGTCTGAAGTACGTTACCTTTTCTTTTTCCTCTACCATGCCAATTGGCCTTCATAATCCACTAACAAGCAAGAAAAAGTCAAAGTCGCCCTCGCCCTCGCCTGTTACGGCGAGGAACGGCAGCAGTGGTGATCCTGTTGATGTTGAACAAAAAAACAGGGAGGCCAGAGCAAACCAGACTGAGATAAAGGGGCCCTACGATGGTGCTGCTCCTGATGACGAGAATGAAAAGGAGAACAAGGAACAAGAAAGTGAAGAACGCCCACTGGATAAGAAACCTTCGTTCCCATGGAGAAAGATTGGTGGATGGGATTCCGACGACACTTCTGAAGATAAGAAGGATGCCTTGAATACTGTCAAGGCCGTGGAAAACTACGTCATGGACCATTTGTACTCTGATTGGTACTATAACACCGTCATGATCTTGGGTATCTCTTTCTTCTCGTGGTTCTTCGCCTACTGGGGTTTCAGTATCTTGATGCTTGGTGTTATTCTTTTGGCTGCTGCGTCTGTTTACCGTGCTGAGTTCCGTCGTTTCAACAGAGACATTCGTGATGATATGGCACGTATTGACGCCCGCAATCGTTTGGAAAACGAAGAAGAAACTATGGAATGGATGAATCTGTTTTTGTCTAAGTTTTGGGTCATTTACATGCCTGCCTTGTCTGAAATGGTCTTGTACCAGGCCAATGAGATTCTTAAGGATCAGGCCCCTGGTTTTGGTATTGAGGCTGTTTCCTTGGACGAATTCACCTTGGGTTCTAAAGCCCCAAGAGTCGACTCGATCAAGTCTTACACCAGAAAGGGTAGGGACCACATTGAAATGGACTGGGCTTTCTCCTTTGCTCCTAACGATACCGATGATATGACTAAGAACGAGATCAAGAAGAAGATCAACCCAAAGGTCGCTTTGGGTGTTACCATTGGTAAGGCTTTCATCACCAAGTCTCTTCCAATCTTGGTCGAAGACATGTCTTTCACTGGTAGAATGAAGATCAAATTGAAGTTGAGTGACAATTTCCCCCATGTGAAGATATTGTCTGTGCAATTCCTCGAACCCCCTACTATTGACTACGCCTTGAAGCCTGTTGGTGGTGATACCTTGGGTCTTGACATTATGTCTTTCATCCCTGGTTTGTCCACTTTCGTTAACAACATCATCCACTCTACCATGAGACCAATGTTGTACGCTCCTAACTCGCTTGATATTGACGTTGAGGAAATCATGTCCCAACAATCGAATGATTCCATTGGTTTACTTACTGTGAACATCAAACGTGTTTTTGACATTAAGAGTAATGATCTTTCTGGCAAAGAATGTAACCCATATGTTCAATTGACTGTATCCGGTGGCCCTGACATTGACGAACGTACCAAGGTTAAGAAGGACACCAGAAATGCAGTGTTCTTGGAGACGAAGCATTTGCTTATCAATAGCTTGGAAGGAAACCTATTGACTTTTAACGTGTTCTCATACGTTCCATCGAAGCCTGAAGATATTTCTATCGGTAGGGTTGACTTTAACATGGCTGATTTGTTGCAAGATGCTGAACTCAAAGACCAGACAAAGAACATTACTGATGGTGGCAGAATTGTTGGTAAGATCAATTTTGACCTTAAGTGGAGCCACGTATTGGAGAACTTTGTTTTGGAAGATGGCTCGAAGGAAGAGAACATTGATTGCGAGATTGGTATCATGAAGTTCTCCCTTCACGGCGCCTACGACTTGGATATCTCCAAATCGGTTGTTGGATTATTGAATCCTTATGCTGAGGTTTACGTGAACGACGACTATGTGGATACGACCAGAAAGTTGAGACAAATTAATGAACCATCTTGGGGTCTCACATTCGAGTCTCTTATCACTCAACAATCGCAAACTCGTATTCAAATTATTGTGAAGGACTCCGTCGAGGACCAGACTGTGGCTAGATTGGACACTAACTTGCAAGACTTAATTTTCGAATCATCGAGAGGCCAGCTGTGGATCTCTGCTCCTCCAATGAGACATGGTGGTCCATCTACCAAGTTTAAGATTGCTGTCAAATGGTCCGCTTTGCCATTGGGCGACGAATCCATTCTGTTCTTCGAAGAACCAGCCATTGGTGGTTTCAGATTACAGATCAGAAATGCCAAGGGTTTGGTTAATCTCGAAGAAGTTGGTGATGTTGACCCTTACGTCAGAGTTTCACAAAACGGTAAGCCAAAGGGTAGAACAGCGACGATTGCCAACACACTGGACCCTCATTGGAACCAAGTATTCTTCCTTCCTGTTGCAAATCCTTTCCAGCATGTTTTGCTCGAAATTTTCGATGCCGAGTCTGAGGGTAAGGATAGACCATTGGGTTCTTGTGCTGTCACGGTCGATGATTTCTTGAAGAAGAATAAAGATGGTTACTTCCTTGCTTATGATGGCTCCGAGGAGATTATCGAGCAGCCTGTCTTGTACGGTGACGAAACTCATGGTACCTTGTACTACTCTGTGGCATTCGTTCCAACATTGCCCGTCTACACAATTTCTCAGTTGGATCACATGGAAGAATTCTTAGAAATTAAGAGAAAGAAACAGGAAGCAGAGAAGAAGAAGATGGAAGATGATCAGAAAGAGTACGAGGAGAACCCTGACATGTACGAATGGATTGAAATGCAAGATGACACTCTTCCAGAGCCTGAGAAGATTGAATTGCCATTGGAAAAGGCAGTTAAGTATAGAACTGGTGTGTTGATGCTCCACATTCTCGAGGGTAACTTCAAGCAATCCGGCTGTTTAGTCCATACTTTGTTCGATGATCATGCTTTCTCTTCGAGTATCAGTCACAGAGCCGAGGGAAAGGTTTTGGAATCACCAATCAACGTTGATGCTTTCATCAGAGATTTGCCAAACTCCCTTACGATCTTCAGAATAGCTAAGAAGTACGTGGTGGAGAATAAGAAGGATATCATCGCCGAGAAGAGATTTGACACCATTGAGCTCTTCAAGCATGCGAACAAGCACCCTATGACGATCAAAATCGACGAAAAGAACACCTTGAAGATTCGTGCAGAATTCATCCCATCTGCTGTCAAATTGGCGCCATTGGACACTGTTTTGGATGTTGGTATTGTCAAGCTCGAAGTCTTGGGTGCCGAAGGATTGATGTCTGTCGACAGTAACGGTAAGTCAGATCCGTTGTGTGTCATTAAGTTGGAGGGTGTTGAGATTTTCAGAACCGATAAGAAGAGAAGAACTTTGGACCCAGTATGGAACGAGGCCTTTGAATTCCCTATTCTTTCAAGATCTAGACAGCCACTTATGTTGGAGGTCTACGATTGGGACTTGACAAACGACGATGAATTATTGGGTACTGCTGTCATTGACGTTGCAGCTATCGAACCTAATGATTTTACCCAATTCAAGGTCCAACTTGACACCCAGGGTATCATCAATTTGAGATTGACGTTCAAGCCTCAATACGTGAGACCACCTCTCGGTAACAAGTCTGGCTTGCCAATCGATTTGAGTGATGTTAAGGGCGTTCCATTGAAACTTGTCGGAGGTGTTGCAGGCCTTGCAACTAACACCGTTGGCAGTGGTGTGGGACTTGTTTCTGACAACCTTAGTAAGGGTGGAAGCTTCCTTAAGGGCTTGGGTAAGAGCAAGAAGAGGAGCGGCGAGATTGACGAACGCTCCCAGAATGGTGGTGCTGAAAGTATGCGTGGTCCTCGTAGCGAACGTGGAGCACCAAGTGAACGTGGAGCACCAAGTGAACGTGGAGCACCAAGTGAATATGGAGCACCCAGCGAACGTGAAGCAAAGGACGAAGAAGAATTGGACGAGGAAGACGAAGATGAAGAGGAAGGAAACGAGTTACTCGGCGGTGAAGTCTCAGGCGGTTCAGACGAAGAGGAAGAGGATCCAGACAAACAGAAGAACACACAAGGTGCACCTGGAGAGGATGAACAGTTGGAGAATGCCAGACCACCTTCTGTTGAAGGCGCCCGTCCTAACCTTGATCCAAACCTCTTGCCTCCTCCACAGCGTCCTGGCGACTTTGAGAGTCATCACCAGAGAACTACTAGTGAGGCTACAGACATAAGCACGATGAACTCTTCTGCCATGGGCCCTAACGGCATCCCAGGTAGAGTGAACATTGTGGCTGCCCAGGGATTCGGTGTTTCCGCATTGGACGTCAAGGTCAACTTGACAACACCAGTCAAAACCAAGGATATCTACAAGACCAGATCAGCCAGGGGCAGCCTGAATCACTACAAGTGGAATGAGACCTTCACTTTCAAGTCGCCACCTGATGGTAACATGTCTTTTATCGTGAGAGAGCACAAGACTTTTGGCAGAAGCCAGGTTCTCGGAAGCGCCGAGCTTGTTCTTTCAGACCATTTGGACAACAACGACTCACTCACGCTTCCTATTGGAGACGGAAGCTTGACGATTTTCTTGTCTTACTTCTCCAACAACTAATGTTAACTAGTTTTATAATTGTAAATGTATCAATAAGAATTTATCTACTGATAGAGTGTAGTACATTGGCTGCGAAATACAAGTAAAGGCAGCCAACAAGCCGTAAACTACGAGTGTCACTGAGAGTAGCTAAAGAGGCATTTCAAGAAGAATTAAAGAGATTGAATAAACTACAAGGAATTTAAAAGAAAAGTTGAGCACCCTTTGTCCAGATTTAAGTGGGCAGCCTCATACCTCTAGCAAGTCTAGTTGGCTTAGTTAGAGAACCACCAACAACAAAGATCCACAATCGTAGCCCAAATAAAGGACTAGTATAGAGAACAGCTCACATAAATTCATTCCAATCGCCCTTTCCTAAAGTCACCAAAATATATCGTACCCATCCTGACCATGGCATATTTGGGTTGGGGCCATGGCCAGTCAAAGAACACACGTGACGGGGTGTGACTGCTTCGTCTTATGGAGGGAAACCCGTGCACCCTGTGACCAAACAGTAGAGCATCTGTCTGCACACTCGCACCGAAAAAAATCGTGAGAAATTTTGCGACCCTACCTTGGTTAAGAAAAAAAAAAAGGTCGTAGACTAATTCATTCTATCAAGAACCTGACATAATGAGCCAGACCGTATGTTAAGAATACAAAACGACAACGAATGTGAAGAAGAATACAGACGAAATCCAAATCCAGCAAATTCCAGTCCCCTGTTATGATATTCCAAGTTTGAGTGATGATAACTCCATGGCCAGTGCATCGAGGCCACCAGATTCGAGAAACCCATGAAAGGGAAGAGGATCAAAGTATCCTAGCTTCCAACGCCTTCCAAATCCTCTCCTGTTATTGTCTTCACAAGTTGCTTCTACCCGTTACTTGTTCATTTATACTAACATTACAGACACCAAAGACCGCTAGAAAGACCCAGCGTCCTCACAAGTTGCGTGCTTCCATCACCCCAGGTACCGTCTTGATTCTCCTTGCCGGTAGATTCAGAGGTAAGAGAGTCGTGTACTTGAAGCACTTGGAGGACAACACCTTGTTGGTCACCGGTCCATTCAAGGTTAACGGTGTGCCATTGAGAAGAGTCAACTCTCGTTACGTGATCGCCACCTCCACCAAGGTTGACGTCTCCTCCGTTGACGTTTCCAAGTACGACGTTAAGTACTTTGCCAGAGAGCAAACTCCAAAGTCCAAGAAGTCCGAAGCTGACTTCTTCAACGAAGAACAACCAAAGAAAGAAATCAAGGCTGAGAAGATCGCCGACCAGAAGACCGTCGACTCTGCTTTGTTGTCCGAAATCAAGAAAACCCCATTGTTGAAACAGTACTTGGCCTCCTCCTTCTCTTTGAAGACCGGTGACAAGCCACACTTGTTGAAGTTCTAAGCGTCCCCCTCTCATGACGTGCTTCAAGAATTTGTATATTTAATACAGTAAATGAAAGAGAAATTAATCAGTAGCAGAATATTTGTACGTTGTTAGTATTGGTGGTCTTTGTTTGACCAGCCTTGGACCACATGGAGTGCACAAACTTTTCAGCTCATCGGGTCGCATCTCAAGCGCATCTTTCTTCACTATTATCCCATTATACTCAACCACCAATGGCTTCTTTGCTCCCTATTAGCACTTACAACTTGGCCCTTGAGCCTTTCAACCCACAGCCTGCCTTGCAGGAAGACTTCCCAGTCACTGTGAGAATAACCATGGCTGCTGTTGACCCAGAGGCTGCCGATGACAAGGAGGAGCCTTCTACCTTGAGAGTCTTGAAGAGAGCCATGCCTTTCGATGAGGATGATCTTTTGGACCTTGAGGCTGAGGATGACGAAGACGATGAAGAGGATGAATTGGACGTGAGCGAAGAGGAAGAAGAGGAGGAGAAGCCAAAGAAGGGCAAGAAGGAGAAGAAGGGCAAGAAGGAAGAGAAGAAGGAAGAGGAAGAAGAGGAAGAGGAGGATGACGATGAGGATGACGAGGACGACGAAGACCTTGACGACGAGGTTGAGGAGTTCGTTCTTTGTACTCTTTCTCCAAAGGTCCAGTTCCAGCAGACTCTTGACTTCACCATCTCTCCAAACGAAGAGGTTCACTTTGTTGTCACTGGTTCTTACCCAGTCCACCTCAGCGGTAACTACGTCGAGCACCCAGCTGACGACGAGGAGGACGACTATGACTCCGATGAGCTTGAGGAGGAATACTTTGACGAGGATGGATACAACTTGACCCCAGATGAGGATGAGTTGATGGACCTCGAGGCCTTGGAAGACGAGTCTGACGTCGAAGGTAAGATCCAGGAGTTGGTCGAGGAAGACAGCTCCAAGAAGAGAGCTGCTGAGGAAGAGCCACAGCCAGCTAAGAAGAGCAAGAAGGACAAGAAGGCTGCTAAGGAGGAGAAGAAGGTGCAGTTCACCAAGGAATTGGAGCAAGGTCCTACACCATCTAAGAAGGACAAGAAGGGTAAGAAGGAGGAGAAGAAAGAGGAAGAGTCCAAGGACAAAAAAGACAAAAAATACCCTACCAAGACGTTGTTGGGCGGTGTGATCACCGAGGACAGGAAAACCGGCAGCGGAGCTTCAGCCAAGTCAGGTAACAAGGTCGGTATCAGATACATTGGTAAGTTGAAGGACGGCAAGGTGTTTGACAAGAACACCTCGGGCAAGCCATTTGTGTTCAACTTGGGCAAGGGCGAGTGCATCAAGGGCTTCGACTTGGGTGTTGCCGGTATGGCCGTGGGAGGAGAAAGAAGAGTGGTTATCCCTCCAAAGATGGCTTACGGCTCGCAGAAGTTGCCAGGAATCCCGGCCAACTCCGAATTGACCTTTGACATCAAGTTGGTATCGCTCAAATAGGCGACGTACATAGGTCACAGATGAATCGTTTAGGCAGCATTGTAGTGGGTTAGAAGTAGGCCAGAGGGGTACAAGCCAGTTTCGCAGCCAATTATTCCGTAGATACACCACAAGTGGAGGGACCGAGGAGACAACCGAGGAGGGGACAAGCTTCGGTGAACTCCAGGCAGTTTCAGTGACGAAACGACCAAAACAAAACTTGATGGGAAAATCTGGAAGGTTTGAAGGCACCAAACGTGCATCCGTTTACCCAAGGATCCATGTCCTCCAGTGCACAAAGCTTAAAGGTTATCACTGAGGCAGTGGCTGCGAAAGGGCCAGAAGTCGAAGGTGCCTAATTATGGAAACCACCGATCCCACCCAAACCTGAACAGAGGCTTTAGCGCCGTTCAACGATAACAAAAATGCAAGTCAACGTAACCAAAGTGCAAGCAACGCAGATGCAACGGCTGTGTGGGGCAAAGTCAGAGGGTCCCTGGCTGGAGGATCTCTGGCTGGAGGATCTCTGGCTGGAGGATCTCTGGAGCCGCTAGTCGCGGTGAACTAGCAAGATTAGGTTACATGAAACAAGTAGAAGACTACGAAACAAAGGTGTCTACGAAATTATTGAACAACAAAAAAACAAGTGTTCACCTTGAGATCCTTCGCTGGACGATCGGGGCCTTCTTCACATTCACATTTCCAAAGCAGCTCGGATCGTTGTCCCACATTGGTCCGCATTTGGCTGCGAAACGCTGGCCAAAGATTGTCAGGACCTATAGTGAGAGAGAGAAAGAGTGGAAATGGACTTCCCGTTTGCTTATCAAGGTTTAGTCATTCACAACGTCTCTAGACCTTCGAGCCCCGACTTTTCCTGGTTTTTTTGCTTTTGCTTCTGCTTTTGCTTTTTGCCTCCTCATGAGGCACCCACGGGCTTCTCCGGTCCCCTCGTTTTTGACCCTCAGTTCTCTGGTACTGGCTTTCTGGATGCTGAACAACAATCCTCAGATCTGCAGTATCGCCAGGGTCCACACACGCCGTGCATGGCCAGGTTTTGCAACCATTTAAACACCGCCATTCCCACCGTAAATCCTGGTTTTTTTTTACTATTATTCATCATCTCATGGGCAAATTATCCACTTTAGCTAAGCGCTTTTGGCGCAAATGGACCACGCGTGAAGGTCTTCTTGGAGACTACGACTATGGCTACCTTTTCATTCCAGATGTGCCATTCAAAAAGGGCCAACCAAAGACACAGCCGTTTTTTGGCCTTAATTCTAGTATGCCCATTGTTTTGGGTATGATTTTGGGTTTCCAGCACTCGTTGGCGATGCTTGCAGGTGTGATTACGCCTCCCATGTTGATTTCCACAGCTGCTAACTTGAGTAACGAAATTAGGGAATACCTTATTTCTACGTCTTTGATTGTGGCGGGTCTTTTGTCGTGTATTCAAATCACACGGTTCCATATCTATAAAACGCCTTATTATATTGGTACAGGCTTGCTTTCGGTCGTCGGTACGTCTTTTGCAACCATCACCATTTGTACAAAAGCCATGCCTTTGATGTATAAGAACGGTTTTTGTCCTATGGATGGCGACGAAAAATTGGCTTGTCCTGATGGATATGGCCGTATTATCGCTACAGGTACCGTTTGTGCATTATTTGAAATCATCTTGTCTTTTGCACCTTCCAACGTTTTGCAAAAAGTGTTCCCACCTATCGTCACAGGCCCAGTGGTGCTTCTTATTGGTGTCCATCTTGTTGAAACCGGTTTCCAAAACTGGATGGGCGGTACTAACTGTGTGGGAGAAATGTGTGGCACTGCTAAACCATTACCTTGGGGCTCAGCGGAATTTGCTGGTTTGGGCTTTTTGGTTTATATCACCATCGTGCTTTCAGAAAGATTTGGCTCTCCAATCATGAAGTCTTGTGCTGTTATCGTTGGTTTGCTCATGGGCTGTATTGTTGCTGCCGCTTGTGGATACTTCTCCTCAGACAATATCGACAGTGCCCCAGTTGCCACTTTCCCTTGGGTGCACACATTTAAGCTTGAGGTTTATGGCCCCGCTGTGTTGCCCTTCTTTGCTGGGTACATTGTGCTTATTATGGAGGCCATTGGTGACATCACAGCCACTTGTGATGTTTCTAGATTAGAAGTCCTGGGCGACATGTACGAGTCCAGAATCCAAGGCGGGATCCTTGCGGATGGTGTCAACTCGGTGATATCCGGTCTCATGACCATGACCCCAGTGTCTACTTTTGCTCAGAATAACGGTGTTATTTCTGTGACTAAATGTGCCAACAGGAAGGTCGGTTACTGGTGTGCTTTCTTCCTTGTTGTCATGGGAATCTTTGCCAAATTTGCTGCTGCCATTGTTTCTATTCCTAGCACTGTCTTGGGAGGTATGACATGTTTCTTGTTTTCTTCTGTGACTGTTTCTGGAATTAAGATTATCTCCACAACAGAGTTCACCAGAAGAGATCGTTTCGTCTTGACTGCAGCTTTGGTGCCTGGTATTGGCTCTGTGTTGGTGCCTAACTGGTTTGACAATATTTTCACATACTCTGGTGACAACACTGCGTTGATGGGTTTCTTTGACGCTATTACCTTGGTGATGGAAACTGGTTTTGCCATCACTGGATTCATTGGTCTTCTTCTTAACTTGTTGATTCCACAGGTGGATGACGAGATGGAGGAAATCAATGAGGTGGTGTTGGAGACTGTTGGCTCTGCCACTCAGGAAGCTTTGGAAGTATACAAGTCCAGAGAACAGGTATTTGTCAACAGCAAGGCCGAGGCAGACGGAGCCAACCTGAGCTCGAGCCAAGTGAACAAGTAATGATGAATATGATTGATGAATGAACAACTGAAATGATAAAAATGAAATGAAAAAAAGTGAATGAGTGATGTCCGTTTAGATTTTATTTAATGTATGCTCTAAAAAGGAGAGTGAATGCACTTCCTAGGAGAGAGCCTAGTCCAAGAATGATAGCTGAATAAATGGTAAAATCTTGGTGACCAAAAGAAAACGTAGAACTCGTATTTTTGACCGCCTCATAATTCGTGTTTAGCCAATTCTTGAACTGCTCCCATGAGGAGATTCCTGAAAATGCAATAGTGTGTTGTTCCCCTTCTCCTTGAACTGCATTTTCTATTGGTAATTGCTTTTGCACGGGTGGAGCACCAGCAAGAGCTCTCATATCATTAGCAAACAGATCCATCTTTTGTTGAACCTGAGCATCAAATGCATTGACAAGTCTCCGACGTTTCCATGGCTCTACAAGGAATGTAGCAACTGTGAATAAAAGAACGTTGACGCCCATGATAATCCAAGTTCCCCACGTCAGCGCCTGTCTGATCTTGTCACTCCAGATTTGCTCCTCATGATACCTCGTCAAAATCAGCTGCGTGAGCTTATTTTGAACAGAGTCAACTGCCAGCTCCGCATCGGCCAACTCCTGTTCCGCTTGCGATTCCTCTTGTTGGTTTGTGTGGTCGTTTCTGTAAAGTTCCGTGAATCTCTCCACATCCACTGGGCTCCAGTTGTGTTTCCTGGTCAAAAGCTCGTTGATTTCTTTTTGTGAATCTGAACGCTTTTGAATTGCCTCCAGGTACCTAACCTTACAATCTTTCACTGTTTGTTTCTGTTTCTTGAGCTCAGCTTCTAACAGATCCACAGATTTCTTCAACTTCTCTATACCCAGGTACCCTGTAACGTCATTGAGTGCCCTGGTGGCTCTAAATATCGCCTCTTGTAGGTTCTCCATGTGTAGTTCAAGCTTCTTGGAGAACTCGCTTCTAAGCTTCTCCTTCTGTGATGGTAAGTTCTGAATATCCAGTTGTGGTGATTCGACTGATAGTTTTTCAGTGGCTGCTTCCCTAGGAGTTTCTTCGCTGGGCAAAACGGTCTCAGCCTTCTTGGTCTCTTCAGTCTTTGGCTCCTTCTTTTCAGGTTTGGTGTCTGTTTTCCTCTTGGCTTCCTCTAACCTCTGGGCTATGCCCATGTTGGAGGTCTCAATTATCTGTCGTAGCTTGGAATCATCGAAATTGGACGAATAGGGGCGAATTGGTAAACGTAAGGAACATCTGGTCAAACTCGGAGCCCTTAGAAGTGTCCTTAGAAGCATAACCTAGGAGCGTTGTCTAAACAGTGTCTATGTGATATTTGAAAAATGGTGGAATAGGTACGCGAATATACTGCCGAAATCGCACTACCCCAGATTGGCGAGTAAAGCTACGAGATCCAGTGTAGAAAGTCATATAATACATGTTTTTTTGGTATATAGATAAGAATTGAAACATCTGGTTTTGAAAGGCACATCAATTGACCCGCTAAATGGTCTAGAAGTTCTTGTCGATCAACTCTCTGGCCATCTTCCAGTTGTTTGACTCGACATAGTCCAACACAATGATACCACTGCCCTTGCCAAAACTGTCCTGAAGCTTGTGCTCCTCCATGGCCTTGGCCACCTGCTGAGGCCAGCAATCACGGTCAAAGAAGTTGGAACCAGAGCAGAAGTTCACGAAAAGCTTACCGTCGCTGTTGGTCTTGTTGTATTCACTGGCCTTGGTGGCCAACTTCTTCACGTAGTCAACCTTCTTGGTGACATCGTCAGACTTTTCGATTTCACAGAAATCCTGGACGCAAAATGTGCCTCTGTCGTCCTCAGTACAGTTGTACTTCCAGGTGTGGGCATCAAAACCAAACTCCTTCTTTCTGTCCTGGTTGTTGTCACCAAAACGTCTGAAAAGAATGATCTTACCTCTGGCATCGCCCAACTTAGGCAAGTCGTTGCCTCTGTAGAACTTATCCTTGTTAGGGTTGAAGTACTTGTCCCAGAAAACGTTACCAAACTCATCCTTGTCGTTGTTCCACTCGCCGGTACCTTCCTGCTTGATCGAAAGGATAACCGTCTCGGACTTGTTACCGTCAACAAACTTAATCACCTCCTCCAACGTGTCACTAAACTTCTTTGGGAATGGAATTCTCACAGGGAACTTGCTGTGCACGACAGTCAACTCGTTAGCATCATCGCCAGACTTCAATGGGTACTTGCCCACTCTGACATCCAAGAAACGAACACCGTTCTCCAATTGCTTCGTCACAGACTCACCCTGGCACTGGACACTAGGCAAAGCCGTATGACAAGCAGCAGAGTTATGGGTACCAGGAATGGAAAGGGTACCAATTTTAGTGTTATCGTTAATATCCTTTAACCAGGTTTTGTAGTTGACCATTTTCTCTTTTTAAGGTTTGTATAGCAAAAAACGAGATTTCAGTCTGGAATGTCCTCCCAATTTATATGTCACGGTATGCACCGAAGCAAGGGGAGAATGATAGGCCGGCGCATTTGGTGTGCAGGGCATTGTTCTCTGAGGGAATAATTGTTCGTGAGGCTGAGCTGTCGCGAGGCCGTGAAGGGGAATCTGGTTAATTAATTGGAATACGTCATTGGGTGCAAAAAAAAACTGACACAAACGTTGCGTTGGTCATAGACTTGTCCAAATATCGTCATAGTTAAGGCGACCTTGGGTTTCTGGAACGAAGCAGTAGATAAGGAAAATGTAGACAAAACAGATCCCAAAAAAGACGAAAAAGTCGTGCTTGTCAAGTAGCAATTGTAGCTGTGGGAAGCCGTATGCTACTGCAACGTTGGCTCCCCAATTAAGCATGGTACCGAAAGACTGGGCAACGCCAATCGTTTGGTGGCTGGAAAGTTCGCTCACCATAAGCATGGGGATTTGGCCAAGGCCTAGGGAGAAGCCTATAACGAAGGTGAAGCATGCAATTGAGGCTACGACTCCGTGTTGGGTCAACATACCGATGGATATGAAGCATGAAGATACACCCATTATGGCTAGGGAAGTGATAAGAAGCGGTTTACGACCGACTTTATCGATAAACGGCGACACAGCAAGCATGGCCACGACATTGCAGAGCGCTATGCTCAGTGTAATATAAAGCACATTGAACCCATAGGGCATGACGCTTTCGAGGATGGAAACTCCATAGAAATTGATGGCGTTCATTCCACAGAGCTGCTGGGCTGTCATGATAAGGCCCACGGCAATCACCTCTTTTTTGTATTGGGAGGTGGTGACGTATTCGTACATGCTGACCGAGCTGGGGTCAATGGACCCTCTTCTAGATTTCAGAGGCGATAAGGTTGTAAATGTGGATGGAAGGTCATCCTCAGAGTCTAATAAAGGCGATTCTTCAGTTACTGGAGGTTTGGAGTTGTTGGTTATCTCTCTCCAGTGCTGTATTTCATGGTTCACCGACCGTGCCTCGGAACGCAATGTATGAAGGGTTCTCGTGGCTTTAGAAACGTTACCGCGGTGGGTTATCATCCATTTTGGCGACTCGGTAATGGTGAATAGAAGTACAAGCTGCGTCAAGGCGAGTCCAGCGCCAAAAGCGAATATCCAGCGCCATTGGTGGTCGTTACTCCAAGAAAGCGCAGTCAACTGCGCCGCTAGAATGCCAAAAGCCACGCCAAACTGTAATAGAGACCCCATAAGACCCCTATGATTGAAAGGCGCAAGCTCATTCACCATAATTGGAGCCACCACTATGGATACGCCCAGAGCCAAGCCAGTGAGCGCTCTACCAGCCAAGAAAGCCCATCTGGTATTGGCGATACACAAAAACGTAGAACCACAAAAAAATAGCACAGCGCAGATGATCTGAATCCGTTTACGTCCAACCACTGAAGAAACCAAAGGCGATCCAGCGACCACTGACGATAAGAAACCGCCTAGCGTAAACATGGTGCTCATCAAGGCGATATCATTAAACGACATTGGAATACACTGATCTGTGCCCATATGACCCCAAAACGAGTCTGCATAGCCACCAGGCAGCTCCAAGTGCTTTTTACATGCTATAACCTTCGCTGGAGCGTTTGTGGCTGCCAAGTTGAAGCCAAACTGAATAGTGCTAAAGCAGTTGACCCCTGTTGCCCAGGCTAGCGCAGGCGTGACCCGATGTGCCTGGTACAAGGGGTGGGACATGACAACAAGGAGAAAAATACCGTGGACTAAAAATTCCACCAAACTTAGCCTTTTTCAGTTGTTATCATGATCTGGCGATGGCCTACTAACAGTAAATGTACAGGAGAGCAGCGATAAGAGATAAGGAGACAAAGAGCCATGGGCAGAGTAGCACTGGTGTTCACACGAGGCAGGGGTACATCTACATGATTTCTCCAGGGCTCAAATACCAAGCATCCAACGATTGAGCCAGTTTTAGAGCTCTTGTCCAGTCAACCATGTCTTATCTTAATGGCTGCGAAAAAAAAAGACTCAAAGCGAAAGCAAGACGCTCCCCAGATTCTTACACTCTCTGCGCATTACAGCAAAACAAATACCAAGCAAAGAATGTCCCCTCCAAGGCCCGCAGAAAATGCCAACAAGGTCATTTTGTTAATTTTGTACGGCATTTCAATTTGTGGAGTTCCTTTGCCCAATTTTTTCTGCCTTCCGGGAAGTCTGGGATCTCTTTTTTTCTCGTGAGCAACCACTGCTTGCTCAACTGACCTTTTTTCCTCTTTTCTTTTCTGTCTCAGTTTGCTGCCTGGCCCCACCACAACATGTCAAACTTGCTCAAAAAGCAACCACTTCACTTATTTTACCGACAAGCGGGATCTTGCGGTCTTGCGGTCTTGCGGTCTTTCGGGTTTCGTGCGTGGGACAAAGTTCTCCAAGGCCAGACCCGAGTGTCTTTAGGTTTCTGTCAAGAGGCTGTGGTTGTTTTCTGTTTATCAGGCTTGGAGTAGAAGCCACCAAGAAGTGCAAACCGCAATAAGAGAATGAAATGGAAAGTCTCCAAAACCTGACTACTTCTGACCCCTGACGAAAATAGACCACTTCTCGTATTCAAAAAAAGATAAGACCAAACAATGGCACATGGCCGACTTGTCTTGTTCTCATTCTTCTGGAGTACTCCCACTTGGCAGGTTGCCTCTCTCTTTTTTTCGCAGCCATTATATCCAGTGGACTTCGTTTGACATTTCAGGCTTAGGCCAGGAGGTGGCAGTGTCCCCACGAAAACAACGCCAATTTTTGGCGTACGAATTGTATGATTGGCAGATCAAGGTTTAGAAAAAGAAAAAAAGAAAAAAAAAATACCGGTAAATCACAATAAACACTGGGAGGTGGTGAACTGCCACCATTCACTCTTCCTCTGCTCGTTTCCCTCGTTTCTCTCGTTTTCCCTCGTTTTTCGCTCCGCACCGGCCTTGGCGGAACACCACCTTCCGAGACCTCCAGGGTTTTCCAAGACTTTGGCCAATAGAAAGACGAGAAACGGCAAAGCCCAAGGGCAAGATCTTCCTGGTTTCCATTGTACTTTTGTTGTTTAGTTCCCTACGTCTCTTCCTGTTCCACATCTTCGTATTGCTCCAGCCGCCGTACAGTTGCGCCGCTGCTAAATGTTTGATGTACCGCGCTGGCGCCAAAAATGCCAATTAATCTTGAGCGACTGGGCGCCACGAATTGGCAAACTAGAGAAGAAATGGGCGAGGGCAAGGTGAAACAATGCAAAAAAAGGGAGCAAAAAACGTAGCCCGGGGTAAATCCCAGCACGAAACACCTGTTTTCTCTTAGTTTTTTTAAGTGTCTCTCTCAACTTGGCCTATTTCCAGTGTCTGCTCTGCCTCTGTCTTTGCCTCTGCGTCAGCTGCCACTGGTGGCTTTACCACAATTTTTTTTTTTTTTTTTTTTTTTTTTTGGCTTACTGCCGACCTGCATAAACCCGCCCCCATCCACCGCCGCCTGTCCCGATTGTGGCCCGACCAAACCGTTTCGGCATGGTGTCGTCATCTCCCATTCCATCGCATATCTTGCTCTTGGTACTTCTTCAACGATTTTTGCTACTTCTCTGTTTTCTTCTTTTTCTTGTCCTTGGCTCTCCAGGCTCTCCATTTTGGCTCTTTTATACTCCACACTTTTGTCGCCTTCCCCTTGGCCTTCCACATATTTTCAGTTGCTATGTTTCTCTTCAGAAAGAAGACCGACAAACAAGAACACACAAGGCCCCAGGGCAAGCCTTTGGCAAAACAAGCTGCTCCTCCTGCTTCACCGAAAAACAACCAGAAGAAAGAAAATGTCTCTGTTTCGGCGAAACCCGTCCCTCCACCAAAGGACCCTTCTTCTCCATTAAGACCTCCAAGGCTCAACACATCCAATTTAAACTCCATGGCTGCTTCGCCACCACCACAGGGTAATGCTGGAGGCGGGTTTCCATCGTCTCCTTCGTCTCCAGTCAGCCGACGCCTGGTTTCTGACCGTCTCGCTCCAGCTTCGTACTTGAGACATTCCAGGGTCCTCTCTATGTCCAGTAACACCAACCTGGCACTCGATGCTGAACTGCTTCGGCCACGCAGATCCTTGCGCCGTCGTATGAGATCAATAACCAGTGATCTTCCTCCTGAATTGCTGCCGGTGGTGAATTTAATCAATGCCCAGCGCTTGCGTACTTATATTACTGGCTCCCTCTGGCTTAAAGACCAAGGTTCCGCCGGATGGCTCCCAGCCGAGGCTACGCTAACGGGAACGGAATTGGCGCTCTTTATCGATGGCTCGAGCAATCCAAAGTACGTCAATATCCAAGATTGTAGCGTCTTGGTGGGTAACAACCCTACGTCCTACTCCCACGATTTGACCATTTTGCAAGATTTCGATAATCACCAGAAAGTGTTCCGTTTCGATGTCCAGCAAGATCTCCTCAACTGGTATGCGGCTTTACACTTGGCTAAGTTCGAACAGACTTCATTGAACGAGGCATTCACTGCCGTCATGCTTTCCTTGAAGGGTCCCGAGCTTTCCGATATCTTTACCCTTTTGGCGCATAAGAAGAGATTTGCTCGTTTCGAGTGGTGTAACTTGCGTTTGCCTCAAGTTTCGTCTAAATGGATCAAAACATACATGGCTGTGATTCCTGGTGACGGCAAGAAGAAGGGCCGTGTGGAGATTTACACCAACGATAAGATCAACAAGAAAACATTGATCTTGTACGTCAATGATGCAGATGCCGTCTACAATGTGTATCCAGAAGATCACAGAATGATTGATAGTAACGCTATCATGAAATTGGAGGGCCAGGTGTTTGTCAACAAGGACTACGAGCATTTGTTCTCCGGCAAGAATGTCTTGTCCGGCAGCAACACGCCAAACGGGTCCAAGATTGGCTCCAGATCAAACTCCAACACCTCCCTCAACTCTTTGGTTGCTCCTCCAGGCCCCAGCCAGCAGGTTGGTAACCGTTCTAGAAGTACTTCCGTGAATTCTTCTCACTCCTTCTTCATGAACTCGCCTACTCCAGCTAAAAATACAAAGGAGCAATTGACTCCAGGCTCCCCTCCACGCAACACATCCACCCACTTCTACAAGAAGCAGAGCATCAACAAATTTGTGTCTACGAACTACATTTACTTGATGCCTCTCCCACACCCTGGTGTCACTGCCATTGAGATCATGATTAGAAACTTTGTTCACATTGTCGATGCTTTTAAGTTGTATGGCCGTCCTAACCACTTGAACAGCGACAAGAAAGATACTGTTTCCATGCTTTTTGGCTTGCCTTCGTTGCCTCACTATGGTTACTTGTCCACAGAAGATGCCTTTGACCTTATCGAGGCCAACTTCGATACTGCTCGTATACAAAACTGGACCGAGTTGGAGTGGCGCAATTGTCTTAAGGAGTACTTGCTGTGCAAGCAGGCTGATGGGCCATACAAGGGATTCGGCAACATAGCCGACCTTTACGATTCGGTTGAAGGTGATCTGCCCACAAGTGAGTTGGATGCTCAGCTCGGTGGCATGTTGTCACCAAAGATTCTGTTCCCACATGCCAATTCCCGTGTGGCCAGTCCACCACCAGGCAACCTTTCCCGTGCTTCACAGGGATACCAAGGCGACAGCTTTGGTGGTGAGATTGGGCACTTGCTGTTGAGTGACACCAGCTTGGGTCAGAACCAGGGTCAAAACCAGGGTCAAAACCAGAACCATAGCCCTCTGAGTGGTATTGCTCCTGCCCTCAAACTCAACGATAACAAGTATTTGGGCGGTCCCTTCGAGTACAAGCAGGGCGAGCCATCTCCACGTTCGCAAGACGAAATGCTCAGGTCTCTTGAGCCTATTGTCGACTTGCCTACGCCGATGGATGACAAGCACGCAGTGAGCAATTACTTTGGTGGAAAGGTAGCAAGCTCGTGAGTTCACGAGCGGTATGCTGGCGTTATGTATATGTTTGCTTTAGGTTAATCATAGATTACATGTTCCATTGTTGTAGAGCCGGTGAAATTCGGTTATTGTGTTGGATCTCCATATTATCAGAATAATCAGTATCTGAGCCTCACAGGAGGCCTTTACCATCAGATGGTCCACCAACCAACATTGTCCCACCAGCAAGGTTCCTTCGGATCAAAGAACATCTGACGATAACAATACACGATCATGTGGAAGTTCCAAGCAGATCTGGCGGAATTTCCATTAGTAGCTGGAATGGCCAATCTAAGACAATAAGTCCAAATCGGTAAACGACAAACAGAGCAACTGTGAAAAACGTGCCGATGTCGTTGAAATCCAAACCTCCAAAGCATACACGACCCGATTCCGATCCCTATACATAATATTATTAATGCTTTTGTTTGTTGTTGCTCTCCATTGACTAATATTCAGTCATGGTACCGAGTGAACCGACGTGAACCCGAACCGCATGTGGGTCAGTGTTTTGCAGCCATCCATGCCAAACGAGCCAGTCACCAGTCTACAGCCCCCACAGGCATCCACGATCAGATAAAGCCCCTCCACGTAGAAACAATCAACACAGAAGGAAAAGTACCCATTTTGCAGCCATTAATGGTACTCCTACTGCACGGATCCAGCCACTCGCCATACGCTTCCATTCCGTCCCTTGTTGTGTTCCATCCTCTCTGGAGCCAAACCGACGTCCGGGACGACGCAGGCTCGTAACAGACGGAACAGACGTGGACCGTGTTGTTTACGTTTTGCCAGAGCAAACGGGTCTTACGGGTGATACGTGTTTCACGCGAGACATACTCAGAGTTCCTATATGGGCCCTGAGGTAAACAGTGGGTGTGTATTGAGGAGCCAGCCGCCCTGGAGGGGGGAGGCGAAGGGGTGAGTTAACTCAGCCAATTGGGCAGGTATTGAGCTGGGAAAAAAGGAAAAACACTCTATAATGGCCACTGATTAAGAATATATAATTGGATTTTAAAAAACTGCTTACGTTGTCTCTTTATCTGGAGTGTTGGTGGAGGACGCTACAGAAGACGCGTATGGTATGGACCGCGCGGTGTAGGACGCGCACGCGCATCACGTGTGTGGTGGTTCTTGTCGTTTGCTGAATCTTACAAAACCTCTTCTCCTTCCAAAACATCGCCGCATCGGAAAACACCAAGAAGTATATAAGTGCGCTGTTTTTTCCTCCTGGGCTTCACGATCCATCTTTTTCTCAAATCACTAATATATAATGTCCATCCAACAAACCCCAACCAACGGCTTGACCGGTAAGATCTCATCGCTCGACATGACTAACGCTAAGGGCTCTTCCTTGACTGACAAGTTGGCCGCCGAGGCTGCTCAGAAGGATGGCTCTGGTGCCGCCGACTCTTTGGTCGGTAAGCCTCAGATCAACACCTCTTTGGAGATTGACGAAGCTGAGGTTGCCAAGGTCGCTAAGGAGCTCGAGGTTGCCACCAAGGAACACGAGGAGTTCTTGGCCAGCCACAAGGTTCAGCGTCACAAGTTGAAGGAACAGGAGAAGGACGAGCCCTTGTTGATCGAGAACACTCGTCGTTTCGTCTTGTTCCCTATCAAGTACCACGAGGTTTGGCAAATGTACAAGAAGGCTGAGGCCTCTTTCTGGACCGCCGAAGAGATTGACTTGTCTAAGGATATGGGCGACTGGAACAAGATGACCGAGAACGAGAGATTTTTTATCTCTAGAGTTCTCGCTTTCTTCGCTGCCTCTGACGGTATTGTCAACGAGAACTTGGTGGAAAACTTTTCCGCTGAGGTTCAGATCCCAGAGGCCAAGTGCTTCTACGGTTTCCAGATCATGATGGAGAACATCCACTCCGAGACCTACTCTTTGTTGATCGACACCTACATCAAGGACCCTAAGGAGGCCGATTTCTTGTTCAACGCTATTGAGAACATCCCATGTATCAAGAAGAAGGCTGACTGGGCTTTGAGATGGATCGCTGACGACAGCGCTTTGTTCGCCGAGAGATTGGTTGCTTTCGCTGCCGTTGAAGGTATCTTCTTCAGTGGTTCTTTCGCTTCCATCTTCTGGTTGAAGAAGAGAGGCTTGATGCCAGGTCTTACTTTCTCCAACGAGTTGATTTGCCGTGATGAAGGTTTGCATACCGACTTTGCCTGCTTGTTGTTCTCCCACTTGCAGAACAGACCAGACCAATCCATTGTCGAGAAGATCATCACCGAGGCCGTTGCCATCGAGAAGGAGTTCTTCACCGATGCCTTGCCAGTCAGTTTGTTGGGTATGAACGCCAACTTGATGTGCCAGTACGTTGAGTTCGTCGCCGACAGATTGCTCGTCGCTTTGGGCAACAAGAAGGTTTACAACGTTACCAACCCATTTGACTTCATGGAGAACATCTCCTTGGCCGGTAAGACCAACTTCTTCGAGAAGAGAGTTTCCGACTACCAGAAGGCCGGTGTCATGGCTAAGAGCAACGACAACACCAGCAACAGCAAGACCTTCACCTTCGACGAGGACTTCTAAACTCGGCTCTCCTTTTACTGTTACGAATGATTTTTAATTAAAAAAAACTGCATGGGTTCGGTTTGCGTTTTTGCTGTTTGCTTGTTTTTTGTATTTTTTATACGGTTCCCGGGTGCTTTGTCATAGCTGCCCGACTTCATTTCTTAATAAAATAAACGTCAACGATATGAAAAGTGATTTTGTAGTATAGGTACATCTTAAGTATTTCGCAGCCATGGTAGTACCATCATACCTAGTACCATCAACGACGAGGTCGCCAAAAGCAGAAAAAGCCAGTAGAATAGCACAGATAATAGTATTTTTAAAACTTCATCCTGAGAATTCATTTTTCTAATATTTTTCAGATCTCTGTCTTATCTGTTGATCTCCATAGTATGCCACCCTCCTGGTCCTGTCTACACCCGTTCACCATAGACTGGCTCATCGAGTCTCCATAACCACACTCTTCCATGGGAAAAGGCAAAAACAAGCAGTCAGAAGACAGGGCATCAAGAAGTCGAACTTCTAACGGCCACAAGTCAAAACAACATCATGCCAGAAAAGGCAGACAGGAAGAAGGCAGCCATAAAAGTGCTGCTGAAGCAAAGTTCCCTGTCAAGCTAGCCATGTGGGACTTTGACCACTGTGATCCCAAGAGATGTTCAGGCAAAAAGCTAGAAAGACTTGGATACATACGAAACATGAGAGTGGGGCAGAAGTTCCAAGGTGTGGTGGTTTCGCCAAACGGTAAAGGAGTGGTCTGTCCAGATGATAAGGAGATTGTGGAAAACTTTGGAGCAGCTGTCGTGGAGTGTTCATGGGCAAGACTAGATGAAGTGCCTTTTAATAAGATTGGAGGTAAACACGAGAGACTCTTGCCGTACTTGGTGGCTGCCAATACTGTTAACTATGGCCGGCCATGGAAGCTTAACTGTGTTGAGGCGCTTGCAGCTTGTTTTGCTATAGTGGGACATATTGACTGGGCTGAAGAGCTTCTACAGAATTTCCTGTGGGGCCTTACGTTTTTGGATATTAATAAGGAACTCATAGAGGTTTACCAGAAATGCACAGATCTGAAGTCAGTGGAGGAAGCACAGGAACAGTGGATGACTAAGCTAGAAGAGGAAGTGAAGCAGAGGAAGGAACAGAGTGCCACTGAAGACGTTTGGATGATGGGCAATGTGAATCGTCAAGATAGCGAGGGAGAGTCTGACGAGGAAGAAGAGGAAGAGAATGAGCAGAGTGACGTCGAGTACGATAACCTTGGGAACATCATTAAAAAAGAGAAGTACGATTCGTTGGGCAATTTGATCGAAGATGAAGAGAGCGACAGTGAGAGCGATGCCGACAGTGATAGTCTAGGCGGAAGCGAAGAGACTGATGAAAGTGACGTTCAGTATGATAAGCTCGGTAACGTCATCGAGAAGGAGATCTTATCTGGAGAAGGTGTGAATTCTTTGAAAATAGAGGACTAATGCATTTGGCAGCGTCAAAATGACGTTGGCCCCACATGAAATACAGGTTGTATTGAGTAAGTTGGATTTGCCATGAGACGGAACAAGCTTCTGTTGATAAGAAGGGTATCCATCCTGCTATTTATTTATCGATTCTACTACTGAAATCTACCTTCCATTTCTCTTAGGTCTAAGCTCTTTCCATAACATCGCTGTCTGTATGACATAGGACTCACCGGTGGCTTCGTGCCCCACATACTCCGGGCCCACTTATCAGGAAACCTTAAGCGAAACACCAAGACAACAAGTGGGGAGCATTGTTCGAGCCAGCGCCAGCATTCTTTGGCCAAATCCAGTATCTCGATAAAAAAAAAGTTTAACATTCCAAACTTTAAGCAGTAGAAAGATACTCTTAACTTCTACCAGTATTACTACTACTACTACTACTACTACTACTACTACTACTACTACTACTACTACCACTGCTGCTGCTACCACTGCTACCCCGAACTCTCTTAACTCTCCATTCTCCCTAAAGATTCTACTCACCCCATATCATCATACCATAATCAACCTGGCACTTTTTTTTTTTGGGTGCAAAATTCTTGAATTGCCTTGCCTCGACCCGCTAAGATAAAGGCGCATATAAAGAATAGGAGTGGGTGAGAAACGGAACAAACAGACCCTGAGAATAATGGCCAAGAATGGGAAACACAATGGCGGCAACGACTTCGACGTCGAGATTTTTCATCAAAACGCCTCTTCCCCAAAAAACGCCTTAACGGTTGATGATGACGAATTACCCATGGTGCAGAAGGGTCCACTCTCTGGACTTTGTGATTTTCCACTAAATGAGTTAAAATAGTGAAATATTTAGTAGTGAGCGAGAAAGAGTGAAAAATTGTATACTTAGTGGGAACCTGTAAAAATACAACTTACATGTAGAAACCGTTTACGCCGGCCAGCCGCCAAGACAGCGCCCCTCTCGACACACCTTGGCTCTTGATAACCCTGGAATTGTATTTAACTGCTGGAAATTCACCCATGGTTTGAAGACTCGAGGATATACTTAGCTAGTCGTATTCACGTGACCACACATCACGCGCTCTCGCTCCAGCTTTCCCCGGTTCTTATCACCATTCAATCCGCCCCACAGAGTCCGAGTTTTTCAGCCCCACTTCCACTCCAATTGCCCACCATACCATGTCTTATTCTGACCTCAAAGGTATAAAAATCGCCATTGACCGAGGCGGCACGTTCTGTGACGTGATTGCAAAAATCCCGGGCCAAAACGACTACGTCTTCAAGCTTTTGTCGGTGGACCCACTTAATTATAAGGATGCACCCACCGAAGGTATTAGGAGAGTGCTTGAACGAGCCCATGGCGTCAAGATTGACCCACTGGAGAAATTGACCATTGATTCGATTGACTCGATTAGAATGGGTACGACTGTGGCTACAAACGCTCTTTTAGAACGTAAAGGTGCTACTGTGGCTCTTGTTACTACTAAAGGGTTCAAGGACGTGTTGAAGATTGGTAACCAGACCAGACCTCATATTTTCGACTTGACTGCTCGTAAATTGGGCCATTTGTACCTGGAGGCATTGGAGATTGACGAGAGAGTCACAATGGAGTCGTTTACTGAAGGTGGAGGTGATAAGCTTGAGTTTAGCACCAAGGGTGATCCAGAGCTTAAGGTGGCTGTTTCGGGCGATATCATTAGGGTTCTTAAAGAGCCCAACTATGCTTCTGTGGAAAAGCAATTGCGGGCGTTGTGGGACCAAGGGCGTATCAAGACTTTGGCTTTGTGCTTGTTGCACTCGTACGCATACCCAGAGCATGAACGTAAGATTGGCGATATTGCAAAGAAAATTGGATTCACTGTTTCTGTTTCTCATGAATTGCAGCCTATGATCGGTATGGTGAACAGATGTTCGTCGACTGTTGCAGACGCTTACTTGTCGCCGGTCATCAACCAGTACATTCAAGGTTTCGGTGAAGGATTCGCTGGAGGACTCGATGCTTTTGGAAACAAGTTACTTTTCATGCAAAGTAACGGTGGTTTGTGCCCATGGTACAAGTTTACAGGCCTTAAGGCCATTTTGTCTGGTCCAGCTGGTGGTATGGTTGGATATGGTGAAACCTGTTATGACGATTCTAAAGATGTGGCTGTTCTTGGCTTTGACGCTGGTGGAACTTCTACTGATGTGTCTCGTTTCGCTGGCTCGCTTGAACATATTTACGAGACAGTCGTTAACGAGGTGCAATTGCAAACCCCTCAGTTGGACATTTCTACCGTGGCTGCTGGAGGTGGATCAATGCTCTTCTGGAGAAATGGTATGTTCGTGGTTGGCCCTGAATCTGCCGGTTCTGATCCAGGCCCAGCATGTTACCGTAAGGGTGGTCCTTTGACTGTTACTGATGCTAACTTGTTCTTGGGCAGATTGTTACCTGAATATTTCCCTAAGATTTTCGGTAAGAACCAAGACCAGCCATTGGACGTGGAAATTACGAGATCTAAGTTTTTGGAACTTACCGAACAGATCAATAGCGAGGGATCATCATATACTGCCGAAGAAGTTGCATCTGGTTTCTTAAAGGTCGCCGTGGAGGCCATGGCTCGTCCAATTAGAAACTTGACCGAAGCAAAGGGTTTCAATGTTTCTGAACATAACCTTGCCTCTTTTGGTGGATCTGGTGGTCAATTCTCCGTTAGCTTGGCCAAGAACTTGGCCATCAATCAAGTTGCAATCCACAAGTACTCCTCCTTGCTTTCTGCTTACGGTATCTACGTTGCAGACATTGTGATTGAACAACAGTCTCCGGCTTCTTTTGCCTACAACAAATCCAACTTGCCCAAAATCCAGGAGAAGATCCAACAGCTCACCGAAGCTGCTTATAGAGAATACGAACTGCAGGGCCACAAGGGCTTCGACACTAAAATTGAAGTGTTCTTGAACATGAGATACGTTGGCTCTGACACTCACTTGCTCATTTTGAATGATGACGCCAATGACGCAGATGAGAAATTCATTGATAGACATAGAAAAGAGTTCGGTTTCTCCTTGGATAGAAAGGTGCTTGTTGACGATGTCCAAGTTTTGTTGGTTGTCCAATCCAAGGACAAGCTGTCCAGCAACCCATATGAGGAATACAGAAGTGTTGCTTCGCCTGAAGTGGTTGCACCATCCAGTGTCGTCAGAAAGCTTTACTTTGAGGACAGCGGCTGGCAAGATGCTAACGTTTACGAGCTTACACAGTTGAATCCTGGCACAGTTGTTCAAGCACCTGCTGTCATTATTGATAGCACACAGACGATTATTGTTGAACCTGGCTCGAAGGCTGCTATCTTGAAGGAGCATATTCTTCTCATCGTTGATCAAGAAAACAGGGTTGAGGTCTCTAGAGACGAAATTGATCCTATCCAGTTGTCTGTCTTTGGCCACAGATTCATGTCTATTGCCGAGCAGATGGGTAGAACTTTACAGCAAACTGCCATTTCCACTAACATCAAGGAAAGATTGGACTTCTCGTGTGCTCTTTTCGACAAGGAAGGTGACTTGGTTGCCAATGCTCCCCATGTTCCAATTCATTTGGGAGCTATGTCTTTTGCTGTCAAGGCACAGAAAGAAATGTGGGAAGGTAAGCTTGAACAGGGTGATGTTCTTGTTACTAACCATCCTTGTGCTGGTGGATCCCATCTTCCTGACATTACTGTTATTACTCCAGTGATTAACGATGAAGGTGAGACTCTTTTCTGGACAGCTTCTCGTGGCCACCATGCTGATATTGGATCCATTGCAGCCGGTTCCATGCCACCAAACTCGAAGTCGATCTTTGATGAAGGTGCCTCTATTATCACACATAAGTTGTGTTCGAAGGGTAAGTTCGATGAGGCCGGTATCACCAGACTTTTGCTCGACGAGCCTGCTAAGCATCCTGGTGGATCTGGTACCAGAACTTTGAACGATAACATCTCTGACTTGAAGGCACAGGTCTCTGCCAACTACAAGGGTATCACCTTGCTTAACCGTTTGGTGGATGAGTACACTTACCCAGTGATCAACTTGTACATGGGTGGTATTCAGCAAACTGCTGAAGTGGCTGTCAGAAACCTTTTGAAGACAGCTCATAAGAAGTTCGACGGCCACCACTTGAAGGCTAAGGATTACTTGGATGACGGTACTCCAATTGCTGTGGAGATCGAAATTGATCCTAAAACAGGAGACGCTACTTTTGATTTCAGAGAGACAGGAGATGAAATGTATGGTAACTTGAACGCACCAAAGGCCATTTTGTACTCTGCTGTGCTTTATGTGTTGCGTTCTTTGATCAGCTCTGACATTCCATTGAACAATGGATGTCTTCAACCAATTAAGTTTTTGACCAGACCAAGCTCCGTGGTTGATCCATCTTATGAAGCTGCCGTTGTTGGTGGTAACGTCGAGACCACCCAAAGAATTGTGGATGTCATGTTGAAGGCCTTTGAAGCTGCCGCTGCTTCTCAAGGTACTTGTAATAACTTCACTTTCGGTACCAACGATAAAACCAGAGGCATTTCTTTCGGATACTACGAGACAATTTGCGGTGGTGCCGGCGCTGGAGCTACATGGGACGGTCAGAGCGCTGTTCAATGCCACACCACCAACACCAGAATCACCGATACCGAGCTTTTTGAGAAGAGATACCCTGTTATCGTCCATGAATACAGTATCAGAGAAGGGTCTGGAGGCCAAGGTGCCCATAAAGGTGGAGATGGTGTTATCAGAGACATTGAATTCACCTACGACGATTTGGAGGTTTCGTGTTTGATGGAGCGTCGTTCATTGGCTCCATTCGGTCTCTTAGGCGGTGAATCCGGACTCAGAGGCAGAAACGTTTTGATCAGAAAGCTGCTGGAAGGTAAGAGTGTGTCTCTCGGTGGAAAGACAACTGTCAAAGTTAAAAAGGGCGATCATGTCATCATCATGACGCCTGGAGGAGGTGGCTTTGGAGAGCCAGACGAAGCCAATGGCAGTGCACTGAAAAAGAGAAAAATCGACTACGACGTAACCAGCGCTACGCCCAGCATTTTAACCGGCTCGGCTGGAATGAGACAGCAAACCCAAGAAACCAACTAGTTAGCCCTCTCATTCTTTTTACATAGTTTGGCAATATACTAGCCACCCCCGGATTATCATAAGTTTTTCGCACCCATATATTACTACATACGTCTGGCTAAAGTGCGTAGTGTAACTACTCACCTTAATCTACCCACTTGCTTAATGCACCCACAATGAGTAGCGGGAGGCAAAAACACCTACCTCTCCTATATAACCCGCTTCTCAATGCCATCTTTAATAATCCCCAGCATGCTAAAGCGGCCATCCGCTCCACAATCAACGAACTCAGCCTCAGCCATAATGACTACACTATCTTAGTGCCTCCAGGCCATATCCTCCAGAGTTGTACAGAACTCTCGGGCCAGAAGCTCGAGGACTTGTGTTACGAGAGTGATGCGTTTCTTAAATCACATATCATCAAAACCTCGGCTCCGTTCTCCACAACTATGGCTCCTGTGACCAAGATCCAGCTGATCATATATAACACTATGAATGGGAAACAAGTTTTGGTGAAGAATGGTATGGTATTTACTGGGAAAGGGTTTAAGAAGAGCATTAGAGCTACAGTGTTAAGTACTGATTATTTTATTACGTTTTGTGATTACTTTCTCAAGGGTAGCAAGGTGATGCTACTATACATAGACGATTCACTTTTTGGACACGCTTCCGATAGAGTGGCAGCGCCAATTGCAGAGCCACAGAATCAGGAAAGACGTCGCCAGCTGCGGTCAGTTACGTTCGAGGAGCTTCTACGAAACTTCCCTTTGCTTTCTAAGGCCATGTCAGACCAGTTTTATATCCTTTTCCACCATAATAACCGGAAGTTCGAGAGACTTCGAGCCAGGAATGGTGTTTCGTTAGAAGAGGTTAGAAGTACGTTTATGGCTATGGTCGAGGAAGCTTTTCTGATTGTACAGAAGACTGTAAATGCAGAAACTGCTGAAGGAGAACGCATCTCTCGTTTATTGCATAATATCACAGTTCAGAACTTGAACGTCGACTTAAATGTACTTGTGCATGAATACGTCGAACTCAATGTCTATGATAAGGTATGGGTTCAGCTTGTGTCTCAGTTTGAAAAGGCACAGGCTTCTGAAGGAGACGAGCCTCGTGTGGTGCTCACTTCTGCGGTTTACAAGGACTTGTCATGTCTCTCACTTAATCAACTAGACCTTCCTGTTGATGAACCATGGCATATGAATGTTTTGCATGCTCGGGTGGCTGCTGCCATTGCCCAATTTTCCAAACTAAATGATCCAAGCGTGACGAATAGACGACAGAAGATCGACCTAATACGAAGAACGGTTGACGTCTTAACTGAAGGAAAACTAGACGATGAAAAGATTACATCTTCAGACCTTGTGGTTGACGCGGATACTCTTATCGGGTTACTTATCATGGTAATTGTGCATTCAAAGGTTCCCTACTTGGAAGCTCACATCTACTACATAAGGCATTTTGGGATTGACTCTCTTCAAAGCGGCGACTCTTCTGCTGAAAAACAGAGCATTGGTTATCTCAGCTATATTCTCAGCAACATCGATGCTGTCATCTATCACTTATCAGGCGAGGGCTCTGAAGGTATCCCTTTTAATCATCTACAGGAAATGTCAAGTGCATCTGCCCAAAACTACAATCTTTGGTATGCAATTCAAAAAGAAGATTTACAGACCTTGAAGCGCATAATTGATCTGGTTGAGGAGCACTATGGTGATGACCCACTTCCAAAAGACCATTTCCTCAAAAGCAGGAACATAAACGGAGAAAGTTGCTTATGCTTTGCAATCCGAAGCAAGAACTTTGATGTTTTCAAGACTTTGCTTGATAGAACTTGCCATTGGTTCCTGGTAGAGGACCTTCTCTTTGACAAGAATACCACCACTGACCAAACATTGATGATGATAGCCCTAGTCGAGGAAAATAGCGAGTTGTCACAATACTTGCTTTCAGCAATACTTGCAGATACGACTCAAGAAGAACGCATTCTTTATTACAATCTCAGAGATAAAAGTGGAAAGACATTGGGACATTACTTGGGCCACGACGTGGAGATACTTGAACGAATTGGGCCTTTTATTGACTGGTATGTCAAAGATAACAACTCTTATACCCCACTATTCAGCATCTGTCGCCATTATGATCACTATGATTACCGTCTCTTAGTGAAGAAAGCATTTGAATGTGTTTTTAAGAAGTACCCCAGCCCTTTGGCACTCGACGATCAGATTGACAGATATGGGAACACTTTCTTGCACATTCTCGCAAGAGGAATAACAGACACGAGGATACTCAACCACGAAAACGCATTGGTAGATGTCAACCAGTTAAATGAGAAGCTTCTTTCACCGCTGGCGGTGTACATTCGGTATAACAGAACCGAGAATTTGAGTCTTCTTCTCCACAATGAGCTCTATAACTTTGGTCAGGAAGACCAGAAGAACTTTTACAATCTTTTGGACTACTACAGCTTTTCGGCCTCGAAGGCAAGTAATGGGTCAAATGCCTCGTTCGGTAAGGTAGAGAAGATAGTGGTCGACAAGTACTTTGAAGAAAATTTTGCTAAGCAGAATGATATTAGTCTTGGGGTGCTCAATGCTCGTTATGATGGCTCCAGTAATGATTGGATCATTAATATTGTGATGATGAAGAAGGACAAAGAAAAACCCATTGCAACACAATATATCCCCATAGACAAGCTCAGACAATTTACAAAGCTTCAAAAATTAGCATTCCCGCAAGGTTTCGGACTTGACCTTAATACCTTATGGATCAATCATCCTTCAGACAAGCCAACAATACCTACATGTTCGAAGTATCGTTCCAATAGACTTTTGGAGTTGCTAAGTATGTATTTCCTGGCAATGCACTTCCATTCTGATGCATCCAAGACAAAGTTCAGACGCAATTTTGCTTTATGTTGCGCTGATAATAAAACGCTGACACTCGAGATGATGAAAGATATCAGCAAAGCTCAGGAGAATGCGAGAACAAGGAACGGGGAAGTGAAATACTCTTCCCAGAAGATTCAAGAAATCGAATTCTTTATCGATTACTCGCAGAGTGACTTGCTAGGCTTCCAGTTGGAAATGAGTAAACTCAACCAGCTTCTCACGGTTGGTGGCATGAAGCAAAGCGACTTACGGAATGTCAAAGATATCTTGCTTCGCCAGTTGAATCTTGGAAACACACAGGCCCTTGATGCGAGAGAGTTCAGAGCGCTTGACGCCTCATATCAGAAGCTCCAGGCCTACGCAAGCTGGCTAGAGCTTGCAGTGACTGAACTTATACAGAATTGTCGCAAGTTAAAAGAGAAGCTTAACTTATGGAAAGAAATCTACCTGGGAATCAAGACGCTAAATGTCGAGCTACATCGCTTCGAAGATCAAGTGTCAAAGCATCAAAACGGAACTACTGCTGAAGAGCCTGAGCATGAAGAAGAAGGTGCCACACGTACTATATCACGCAGAAGTACCACCTCACTCGAATCAGCGCCACCAGATACTCAGGAAACCGGATCATTTTTCAACTTTGGAATCATCGACAACAAGAAGTCTAAATACAAGAAACTTTTAATGTCGAAATCTGAAGAAGTGAAGAAGGTTATGAATCTCAATTCTGAGATCAAGATCGATCATGAGTTGATCGCAGCCGAGATCTCTCAGTTCTTGAACTTCCGTTCAGGATTCTTCAGCCTCGGCATCAAACAATTCTGCAAACTGCATCTCCTCCTGTTACGAACACGTAACCGTGAACTTGATAAATTACTTTGGAGCATAAGGCGGTCCAAGTAGCCGTTTGCAGTATTTTGCAGCCATTTTCCTGAAGGCGGGACCTACTAGGAACCTTCTCGAACACCCGTGCACCACACTTCCAATGTTGGGGCATGTTGCATAAATATTAGCCACGACGTATCTCAGAGATCATCTATATCTACTTATTAATGTCTGTCTCTAATAAGGATTTGGCTTTGGCCATCATCCAGTTCTTGGAATCTAGTGTGTCCAACAAGACTGTCTCTGAAGAATATGCCGAGTCCATGGATGTCGCCATTGACTGTATTGCCGATGCTTTCGAGGTGGAAAAGGCTGATGCTGCAGGCGTTGCCAGCAAATTCGGCGGGTTGTCTTTGCTTGACGCTGTCAACAAGTCTGGTTCTTCTTCTTCTTCTGTGAAGGAGGAGGTTATTGAGGTTGATGCTGAGACCAAGGCTAAGGCTGACGCTGCTAAGGCTGAAGGTAACAAGGCTATGGCTTCCAAGGACTTCGATTCCGCCATTGCTAAGTACACTGAGGCTATTGCTTTAGACCCAACTAATGTTGTTTACTTGTCTAACAGAGCTGCTGCCTACTCCTCTTTGTCGCAGCACGAGAACGCTGTCAAGGATGCTGAGGCTGCTGTGAAGTTGAAGCCAGACTTCTCCAAGGCATACTCTAGACTTGGATTGGCTCAGTACGCCTTGGGCAATGCCAAGGAGTCCATGGAAGCTTACAAGAAGGGTTTGGATGTTGAAGGCAGCACTCCAAGTGATGCTATGAAGAGAGGCTACGAGACTGCTAAGAAGAGAGTTGAAGCTGACTTGGAGAGCTCGATTGCCACCAGCGAGCCAGAGGCTGGTGAGAGAAGCACCGAAGGTGGTGCTGGTGCTGGCGCCGGTGCTGGCGCTGGAGGTATGCCAGACTTTGCTTCCATGTTCGGTGGCGGTGGCGGCATGCCAAACTTCTCTGAGATGATGAACAACCCTCAGGTTATGGAGGCTGCCCAAAACTTGATGTCTAACCCTGGTGCTCTTGACGGTTTGATGAGTAACCCAGCTGTGCGCCAGATGGCCCAGAACATGGGTCTTGGAGGTGAAAACGGTGGCCAAGGCGGTCTCGAGAACCTCATGAACAATCCAATGTTGCAGAACATGGCCCGTAACTTCATGGGCGGTCAAGGTGGCCAGGGCGGTAGCCAAGGTGGTCAAGGTAACCAATAAGAACCCCAAGCAAAAGATTCCATTTTAATCCAGCTACACGGCTATATACACATTTTATAGGGCTCTTGGGGTATTTGGTGAGGTTGTAGATAGTCAGAACGCGTACATTTCAATGTCATAATTAAGTGCACTCCCAGTATTTACACCATCTGTTTTCTCCAAACTCATACCTACAACACCCCACCAAAGCGATCTTTTTCATCCCTTTTTCGACTTTGCTGATTCATGACAACAGCACGACAGTCATCTATAACGGTGGCAGTCCGGGTTCGTCCTTTCACCCAGGCCGAGGCAAACAAGCTCATTCTGCCACCAGGGAAACCGCTTTTCATAGGCGATGGAGCCCTTTCAGGCAACCTGGAAGGATCTAATAATGAAGAGAATAACAAACTGAATATGATTCCACGTGGAATCAGGAAGATCGTGGATGTTGTTGATGACAAAATGCTCATTTTCGATCCTCCAGCAACAAACCCTCTAACGTCAATGCAAAGAAACGCCTTTCCAAATGGCAATATGAGAGCACGAATAAGAGATTATAGGTTTGTGTTTGATAGTCTTTTTGATGAGCATACGACGCAAGAGCAGATATACGAACGCACAACTAGACCTCTTCTAGATAGCATATTGGATGGGTATAACAGTACAGTGTTTGCTTACGGTGCCACTGGATGTGGTAAAACGCATACTATCCTGGGGTCACCATCTAACCCTGGTGTGATTTTTTTGACCATGAAAGAGTTGTATGAGAGAATTGATGCTTTGGCAGATACTCGAGTCTTCGAGGTGAGTATATCTTTCTTGGAGATATACAACGAGACTATTCGAGACTTGCTCGAGCCAGAAACGTCACCAAAGAAACTTGTTCTTAGGGAGGACTGTAAGAAACGCATAACTGTGTCCAACTTGCTGTCTAGGCTGCCGGCCTCGGTAGATGAAGTCATGGACTTGATCGTCGTGGGCAACGAAAACCGTACACTGTCTCCCACCGAGGCTAACGCAGCTTCACTGAGATCCCATGCTGTGCTTCAGATTAATGTGACTTCTCGAAGCCGTACAGCATCGTTAGATCAAGAACACACATTCGCAACTTTGTCTATTATCGACTTGGCAGGCAGTGAAAGAGCTGCAGCCACGAAGAACAGAGGGGCACGCCTCAACGAAGGTGCCAACATCAACAAATCATTGTTGGCATTGGGAAATTGCATAAACGCCTTGTGTGATCCGCGTCGAAAGAACCATGTTCCATACCGTGATCTGAAGCTCACCAGACTCTTGAAGTTCTCTCTCGGAGGTAACTGTAAGACAGTCATGATTGTATGTGTGTCTCCTCTGTCACAACATTACGATGAAACGCTCAATACTCTCAAGTACGCTAATCGTGCTAAAGAGATCAAAACAAAGCTCATACGTAACCGTCAGAACCTAGATCGTCATGTGGGATCATACCTTAAGATGATCACAGAGCAGAAACAGGAGATCGAAGAATTAAGAGAGCGTGAGTCAAAGATTATCGAGTCTACTGTTGCTAAACATAGCAAGCAAGTTGACAATTGCATTATGGAAATCCTCAAGAGCATCGAATCCTTAAAATTGAACATCAACAAACAGCATCAAGAAAAATGGCGCAAGTGTTTCCTGCTAGCCAAAAGAAAATTACTTTTGCTACACCAAGAAGAACTTCAAGTATTAATTCATAGCTTGAAGAGCCTCCAGATATCTGATAGGAGGTACACTGTCTTCCTTGAAAAGTGCAAGCATTTACTTATACAAGCCGAGCAACTTCTTCACAAAACCAATGAACAGATCATAAACCTCGAGAAGATTTATGACCTGCCTTCAGAAATTGATCATATCTTCTCGAAAACTTTTGAGTTTACTCTAAAGAAGTTCCAGGAGATGGAAGGATGGTCACCACAACTTGCATCAATGTACGAAGCTATGGTGGTATCTACAAAGGAGCACTTACAAAAAGACTTGCTCGTGAATTCGTCTATTTTGTTGGATTATTTGGTTGGAGAACTAAGTGACTTTAACTTTGTCACTCATGGCCTTTGCGAACTCGTGGGCACTTACATGTTGCATTATGAAGACGCTACAGTGGATAAGATGGCAGAAGCAGTATCACGTATTATTGATATCATTGAAGCATACAATAATTCCGACTACGACATGGCAATCGAGAAGGCTACTTCAAGGTTCATTCAAATCAAGCTTCAAAGAGAAGAACAAGAAGACGCGACAATGGCTAGAGCTATGGCAAACGCACCTTCACTACAACCTAGGGACAAGAGAACATCAACATCACCTCTAAGACTGTCACCTCCTCGTGCACGCAAGAGATCTTCGAAGAACCAAGCTCCTGAAGGAGATTGGGACATCAGCATGGACGACTCTATGGCCAATCGTAGTGCCATGGAAGAAGACACATCACCTCCATCAAAGAGCATAGATAATCGTGGTGTTCTCGATGACCTAGACTTTAATCCTACCATAGAATCGCCTACTTCGAAGAAGACCCTGCTGCTTAATTCTGCCCACCCTAGCAGTGATGAAGTTACGCCTCGGGCGCCATTACTCAATAAAGGAGCCAGCACAAAGGTTGTCCGAAAAGATATGATTCCTTTGACAAGCGAGGATCTTCTGAGGGAAACCAACATGGGCTAGTTGTTCACCCATTTGCATTACATAACTACATTTCAACTGCATTTTCGTATTGCCTTGCATTAGCAAGGACAATTCATTTTATTTAAGACTTAATCGTAACACATAGTAGATTTAGTATCCGCTTCTGCCAGAGGAGCCGTAAGAGTCATTGCCGCCTCTGCCAGAGGAGCCATGGCCAGAGCCAGAACCGGAAGAACCGTAGTTACCAGATCCTGAACCAGAGCCGGAGGAACCGTAGTTACCAGATCCAGATCCAGAACCAGAGGAACCGTAGTTACCAGAACCGGAACCGGAACCAGAAGATCCGTAGTTACCAGATCCAGAACCGGAACCAGAAGATCCGTAGTTGCCAGAGCCAGAACCGGAACCAGAGGAACCGAAGTTACCTGAGCCAGAGCCAGAGGAACCGTAGTTGCCAGAACCAGAACCGGAGGAGCCGTAAGAGTCATTGCCGCCTCTGCCAGAGGAGCCATGGCCAGAGCCAGAACCAGACGATCCGTAGTTTCCAGAACCGGAACCAGAACCAGAGGAACCATAGTTACCAGAACTGGAACCACCGTGAGAGGAACCGTAGTTGCCAGATCCAGAGCCGGAACCGGAGGAACCGTAGTTGCCCGAACCGGAGCCAGAACCAGAGGAACCATAGTTACCAGAACTGGAGCCACCATGAGACGAGCCGTGCTTGTCGTCGTCAGAGCCAAGGGCACCCTTGATCTTGTCACCAATCTTGCCAAAAGTAGACTGGTCCTGGTTAGAGTCGCCGTAGCCACCTCTGTTACCGCTGCTGCTGTTGTTGTTACCGCCGAAAGACATTGTTAAAAGAAAATGTTGGGTGATATTTCAACAGAGGTAGCAAAAATCCCCGAATTTATACCATTTGTCATAAGAATGGCTTGGGATAAACTGTGCAATGTGGCTGCAACAACCTGTGTATGAATATATGCGGAGAAGAATGTCAGGGGCCCATTCTGCAGGGGACCATTGTGTTCTCGCGGCCGGGAGCCCTACCGCTTTCACGGTTGCTCTTACATACGCAATAATGCATTGGTCCGAGTGTACAGGGATGAAAAGGGGCCCATAGAGCAACGAGAGGAGGTGCAATTGGCCAAAAACCATCATCGAGGCAACATAAGAAAACGCGACCGCTTCGTGGCTTGTGAAAATATGTGACCCACGAAATCTTCGGCGAACCAGTGTCCAATGGGTACCGTGTATCATGGTTGCTGCGCCTAGGAGGTATTCAGGAGGATACACCATGTGTGGCTCTGTAAATTATGTGTAGATCGTGGTGCATCGACGCATGGGGGGTTCGTGACTTGTCGTTGAAGTCGGTTTGCTGTTTTGGTGGATGGAACGTTCGCAAAAGGTAACACAAGATGAACCTTAAACCTTGACGTCTGGTCTGGGCCTTTTGTGACAACCATTGTCTTAGCGGGGCCACTGGTTGCGACTAGCGCCGGATTTCAATCGACAATAGCATGGCTTGGGGGTCGGTTCGACTTACACGATCACGCAGTCTTTCTCCTGTGGTGCACTTCCGGGACTAGAGGTGCCCGAGGATGTTCTCTTGCGGTTCTTTTTAGCCAATTTTGCAGCACGAGCAGCAACATCCTTGTTGCTGATTCTCGAGAGTGCCTTGGTCTCACCGTTCTCGGCTGCCTTGGTGTACCATTCTTGGGCCTCCTTAAGGTTCTTCTCACAGCCAATACCTTTGTCATAGAAGTTCGCTAGAGCAAATTGCGCCTTCGCCAAACCAGCTGCAGCAGCTCGCTTAGCCCATTCAAAGGCTTCATCTTCGTCCTTGGGCAAGAATGGTTCCAGCCCGACTAAGTACCAGGCGCAGATGGAAAGCATGGATTTTGGGTGGCCTGCGACAGCAGCATTGGTGTAGTAGTTGATAGATAATTGAGCATCGGCGTCAACAACTTCACCGATTTCGTAATGGTGACCTAGGATAGCAGCCGCTTCGACGTGACCTAGAGCAGCAGCATCTGAAAATAGTTTGAGGGCATACATCTTGTCGGCAATGAGAATGTCAAGAAAGCCTTCGTAGTAGATTTTTCCCAATTCGTATGGAGCTGCAGCAGTCAACTCGGTAGCGACGTTAGCAGCTCTTTCCAACCATTTAATACCGGCCTTCTTTGTGTCGACATTCTGTGATACACCCATACGTCCGTAGAAGCAGTATACACCAAGCTTGTACATGGCGGCGGGGTGGTTTTTCGATGCAGCCATTTTCAAGAAGTCAATGCCCTTTCTGGCATCGTGGCCCGTGCCTAAGCCGTCTTCGTAGCAGTGAGCCGTTCTGAAAGCCGACTCGGTGTGTCCATGTTTAGCAGCAGCGAGAAAGAGACTGAAGGCCTCCTTGTTATCAACCTTTCCAAAAGCACCTGAGCTATAGGCGTCTCCGAGAAGATATTGAGCATCAACATAACCCTTGTCAGAAAGACGTTTCAAGTAGTGGTGAGCCTCTTTGAGTAAAGAGCGCTTCAATTCAGCGCTAGAAGCCTGTGACATGTCGAATGAATTAGATGACTTTGATTTGCGATGGCTCCTTTTCGTCAGATCAGTATCTATAGATAAGGATGAGCCGGATGGTTTTTTAGGAGTGCTGCCGCCCGAGCTGATTGGTGAGTTCTCATCCACCATCAAGGCAGTCTGCAACATGTATTGAGCGTACTGGAACAAAACAGCCGGATCAGTAGACTTCTTTGCGTTTTTACGATACATTTCCATCGTTTTGATGCGAGGCATTAAGTGAGCCAGGTTTTCCCCGAGGCAGTCATTAACAAGATTATGAGAGTCCTGATCATGGAAGAAAGATGACGACAGTGACAAGGAACGGGCATGACTATAGCGAGCCAACTGGCCCGGCATGCTGCTTGCCACGGAAACATTATGCTCTGGTCTCAGGTAAAGGTCCTGGTTTTGCTGGTTTTGGCCCAAATTGAGGTTTGTTACCGAGGAATCAGCGGAAACCGGGATCAGCGGAGGCGAGATGGCCAGGTATCTGTTCTGGGACATCAGGGAAGGTTCATCCACCGGGTAAGGAACCAGAGGGTCATGACTAGGCGACAAGGAAGACAGTTTGCCGTTGTAATGCTGAAGAGAAGGCCCATCATTAGCGGTGAAGCGAGGGCTCAGGAGCGAAGTAGTGGCTAGGCGGTTCAGTAAAGACGTAGTTTCGTCCAAACCCTTCGGATACACTTGAGACGCGAGAAAGTAACCGTTCGACGCGGTCTGTGGGTTCTGGGACACGGGTGGGTAGCCGTTGGACACGGTGGAGGGAGCATGGTTGGAAGAGCTCGATGTGGAGGCCACATTAGAAGAAGAGCCCGCAAGCGAGTGGTAATGATGAGGATGCGAGTTTGAGCTCTTGAAGCTCACGTCTGAAGTGGAGTCCAGAGCGTGGGCAATGTCTGAAAGTGGATATGGCGTGGGTTCCAGTTTATAGTACTGGTGAGCCGTGGAGCTAGGGCTAGAAGCCACGGTGCCGTTGCCCATGCCGTTCTGGCCCGAGGCCTTTTGTCTATAAGGATGGGACATGGCCGGATTGTCCGTCTATGAGGAGCAAGGAAGTACTAGCGTGGGTTGGTTGGGAGTGGTGTTGAACGGTAGATGTGGAAAGGATCACGGTGGAGGGATGTGGAAGAAAAAGGTACGAAAAAAGCCGCTGCGGTGAGGGTTAAAACAGGAAAACAAACGCTGCCAGGATACACACAGCAGGGACAAGGTAAAGGGATGAAATGTAAATAAACAGTATAAGCGATGGGGAGATGAAAGGCAGGTGAAGATCTTTTTATAAGAGCGGCTCGTCAAAGGAGACAAAACAAGAAGATGGTTTAGTGGCAGTTTAGGCCCAGTACCAGATTGGGCGGGGGCAGGAAAAGGCAGGCTTACGAGGCGAGACACACACAAAAAAAAAAAAAAAAAGAAAGGGAAAGAAGACAAAGAAGCAGCCAGCAAAAGTGAGAAAAAGAGATGGAGAGAGAGAGGGAATAAGAGAGGTTTTTGAAATGAAAGTGGAATTAAAGAGACCTCATTTTCTTGGATTCTTGGAATGACGTAGGTTTGTGGATTTCTGGTTCTTGGAAACCTGGTCTTGGTTGGTTCTTGGAAGGTTTTTCAGGTTCTGGGGAGGATTGAATTGGTTAAATTGCGCAGCAGCTCAGGACCCGCCGCAGCCGAGCCCAAGCAAGGCAAGAGTATGGGAACGAGAATGGCAAGTGAAAGCAGAGAGAGACCTCAAGAATGGGAAAGTTTAATTTGATGGAATGGAATTTCGATTTAAGGTATGCACTTTTTTCTTTCTATATAATTTTAATGGTGGGTTCAACGTGGGTGATCGTGGCTCGCGTGTGGTCTGGCGCGGTGGGTGCAAAATAGGCCCCAGTGCGTGGAGTTCCATAGACAAATCGTGTTTTGGTAAAAAAAGATGGATGAGGTAAAGAGGGTTACGAGATGACGAAATGGGGAGATCCGAGGTTGTCTTATTTTTGGTTGTATTGCTGGGACTTTTTTTAGGTATCAAGAAAGTATGGCTGTGGCAATCCGTCAAGGTGTCCCATCTGGCCGAGGCTTAGTGTGATTTGACGATGCCCTACGGTTCATCTATTTCTGCTGGTGGCACCACACGGAATGAGCCGCTGGCGAATTCACCCCATGTGTCAAAAAGCACATACCCCTAGCCAGGGTCTTTTTGAAGCTCTTGGTTAAATGCCTCCTTTGGGGTATCATATGAGTATGTTATTGTCACTAGCTTTCTATTTTAGTACTCATTCAAAATATGCACTATGCTGGTTGCACAATACGCAGTTTGTGGTGGGAAAAAATGGCTGCAAATTATTTATAGAACCGGTTTTGCCAGACGGTTTGACAGGTTGCTGATTAGGCGATATTTCTAGCGGATTTGGGCAGATTTGGGGTCTTTTGCTGGTTTGGCTGTGCCTGGTTGCATATGTTGCTTGGTTAAAAGTATCGGAACGTTGGCGGTGGTATGACGACATCCACTAGTGAACGATCAAAAGGTAGAAGCCAAATTTAGGCTCCACCTCCATTATCGTAGAATCTTTAAGGTTTTTATGACGTGATGATGGTGGAGATGGAGGTACGCTTTCTGGATCAGTAACAGATTATGGCCACCGTAGATCAACTAAACCGGTTCCGTCTCCCTCTGTCAAGCGATGTCGGCTTTGCTCAACGGCTTTGATGTACGGAAACTTCACTTCTCGGACGACAGAATCAAGCCGTTCGTTCCCGAACTTAGTTGGCTCAGCCCTCGTGATACCGTAGCTGGAAGGATACCTACCGTTTCAAGTAGCCGACAGCTGTGCCTCTTGCAACATCAACTAACCCTACAAAAGCCGCCGATATCCCCAAATAACTCAGCAGCCACGCTCCTTGTCCCTACAGCAAGCCTCACTAACCAAAATTATTCCCATTCATTCTAATACCAAAAATATGCTGCTACTATGGCGGCAAACAACACACTGCCATACGCCACATAGTTGCCCTTGGGCCTCACCTCTAACGCATCGGCTTGGAGCCTGGCTCTATCCTCAGGGTCCAACTTGCTCCAGTCCACCGCTTGGCTCGACTGCAGCTCCGTCTTGCTCTTCTCTAATTCCTTCTGCGCCTTCTCGGCCTCGGCGATTGCAGTTCTGTTCAGCTCCACCAAGTCAGGGAAGATTGCTCTAAATCTCGTGTTATCATTATTATTCCACTTCTTACTATCTCTAGCCAACCTGCGTTTGACGTTATCGCTGGTCACGATCGACCCGGTCGTGCTATCATCTCCAGTCATGAAACTCAACAACCCTGTCAAGATGGTAGCCACACTCCACGCAGGGTTCCAGGTATCTGGATGGTAATCACTCATACTAAGACAAAGACGGGTGTTGCAAGCAAATCTACCATTAGGGGTGATCACAGAAATGGCTGGTGGAGCGAAAGGATACTCAGAAGGGAACCGAAGAAGACCATGGTACTGGCCATTTTCGTATGGGGTAGATGGAGGCCCCGTGATGATGAAATGCCATTCTAAGATGTTTTCGTCGTTCGGCTTGGCATGGATGAACGGAGGAGGCGTTGCCTGGATCGACTTGTACTCCTTGTTGAGTCTCTTTTGTGCCTGACGGGAGACCATAGAAAAGAGTAGTGAAGAGAAACTGGGGGAGGGTTCTTGAGGTTAGCTTTTGGGTGGGTAGTCATGTGCAGTCAGATCGCCCCAACGCTAGCTACTACTGGTATCGATAAGGGAAAAAGAAAGAAAAAGAAATGAAAAAAAATAAGAATGTGTGAAAAAAGAAAGGACAGAGAAGGAATGGGGGAAGAGAGTTAGTTGGAGGATGGTTTTCTTGATTTCTCTGTTTCAACGTATTCATTTGTTGCTGTATGCTTCTGAAACGTTCTTTTTAGACGGTTGCGAAATCGGAAATGCCGTTTTCGGCTGGTCCCCAGAATCCATTTACGTCAACCCAACAATTAAGCTTTTTAAACGTGTGGAATGACTCACTTAATGTTCACACAAGAAGAATGTTCTGGTGTAAGCATTCTCGTAATCCTCGTCATCCTCAATTACGACCTTTCTCTCAGACATTAACTCGTCTCTGTAGTCTTTGGCTTCTTTTTCTGTCATGGTCTTGAGGTCCTTGGCGTCAACGTCAGGGAAGTACTTCTTCATAAGAGCTTCGTCCTTCACCCACTCTTCGTTTTGGAATGGAACCACATCTGTAGCCTTCACCATGGTGTTGTGTGGATCAACTAAGAAGAAGCATAAGATTTTTCTGAAACCAGGCTTGGTGACATCCTTCAACTTGAAAGCATCGACATGGTGCTGGAAACTGTTGGGGAACACAGTGACTCTGCCCTTCTGCGCCACAACGTCTCCAAGATGTTTAGTCATGTTGTCACCGTCCTTGATGCCATAGAAGTCATTGCAGTATTGTTCGTCACCCTGCTCGTAAGGAGGATCTTCAAAAGCAAATTTGAATGAAAGCTTCGACTCCTCGATATTCTCCATGTCGTAGTAGTAAAGAACAGTGGCGACGATATCTTCGTTGATTGTACCTTCCACATGCCACGATCCACCCTTATACTCTGGCTTTTCAGGAGTAAGTTCGATATTGGCCAATTTCACAATGACCTTCAAGTCGTCGAAGCTACGAAGGTCAAAGGGCTTTGTTTCGGGGTCCTTCTCGTACTTGGGTGGGAACTCACGATAGTAATCCTTCTTGCCCCTTTCGAACTCCTCCCATTCTTCGTCGTCTGCACCGTCATCAATAAGCTTGTCCAACTTCTCCAGGTATTTCTCGTACTCTTCGTTGTAGTATTCACCATAGTCAGCGGTCTTGATTCTAATGTATTCATCTGACTGGTATCTCGACAAGGTCAAGTTGAGGCCGGGAATTACCAGGTTGAAGATTGAAGCAATGGAAGTATAGAGCTTCTCGTTCTTCAATGGGTGAAGATTATTGATGTACGAAGAAAACCCGAACTTCTTGTCCAGATCCAACTTCATAAGCGCTGGGAGCCACTGGAATTTCTTGGAAACACCATAATCGGCCACGCCTTTCTTGACTTGCTGAATTTTCTCATCAAACTCGGCAACCTGGAGTTTTCCATCGGAGAGCACCTTAGTTCTTCCATAGACCAAATGGAAAAGCGAAGGGTGGACCAAATCAACCACCAAGTCGTCCGAGCCCGGATGGTAGTCCTTCTCTGCAATTGAACCCTCAAACTCCCCAGCATACTTCTTAAACTCCTTGGCATCCTCATCACTCACAGCAGCATCACTGAACAAGATCTTATCGTCAGGCCCAAACTTAAACTTCTTAGCTGCAACCTCAGGCTCGGCAAGCAACGAGTCGTACCACTTCAATTCCTTCAACACATAGTCAAACACCTCCTGCGGATACTTTGTTTCCGGTTTCTGCTCCAAAAACTCCAGTCTCCATTTCTCCACAATCTTATCATCCTTATACTTACGTTCCCACTCTGGCTTCTGGCGAATCGCATTTGAAAGACTCACAATGAGCCACTCGTCAAGGTACCGAGGCGAATTGCCAAGCAGCGAAAACGCTATCCACCAGGGATGCTTAAACGTAGAATTGACCGACATCTAACGAACCCAAAACAAAAAAACGGATCCATCCTTCTTTAAATACGAACAACCCGGGCCCGCGGCGGCGGCTGCGAAATTAACTATATGAAACGCATGGAGTGCAGCAAATCCAGGTTATTCATTTCCCCTTGTGTTTTGCAGCCGCTCGTAAATGGCACCAACCAATAAGCTCGTAAACCACAACCAAAAGGAAGATTATTTTTTCTGGGCCATTCCCAAAATGACACTGCAGTTGACACGGAAAAGCCCATCTTTCTGTGGAGCATTGTGGATATCCCGCTTGACTTCTTCCTTGCAGTGGCTGTTGATAAACTTCTCATCGACCCAGAGCTGTGCACGGAATTCACGAGCACTACTGACATTGACACAGTTTTTCTCCAAGCACTGGTTCATTTCGTCTAAAGTGAGGCCGTGGCGAGCCATGCCCCTGGCTTTCAATTCGTTGGTGATTTCTTCGTTTTCTAAATCTTCATTGTAGAAGTCGTAGATCAATATCCATCCGCCAGGCTTGACCATACGTTTGAGCTCTTCGGCTACTTTTTCATAGGCGTGGATGTGGTGGAACGATAAGGTGCAAATGAGTAGATCAGCAAAACCTTCCAACGGAGTCATATCGAAATTGTCCATGATATCAGCACAGATGGATTTGATTTTGAGGTTCGGGTACGTTTTGCTAAGTGTTTCTGCTCGTTTATCAAAGCTTTCAAGCATCAGTGGAGTGATATCTATCCCCACAAACTGTCCATCTGGCATGAATGGGACGAGTCTTTCAGCCACGAGCCCTGTTCCACAAGCAAAGTCAAGCACTTTGGAATCTGGTTTAAGTAAGTTTCCAGTGATTCCCTTGAGTTTATGGAAATCAGCAATCACTTGGTCCACGTCTATAGGCTCTTCAGTGTCTGGGAAAGGCTTGCGAGGCGCCAGAAGGTCGAAATTGACAATTGACGAGGCAAACACCTGCGAGATCATTTGCATGGCAATGATATTGTCATAGCTGTTATCGAAGGTGTTTCTGTTGGCGTCTACTGAAGCTTGGTGGCTCATGGTGGAGAAAAGTAGTAGGTGAGGTTTGTATGGCGCGGAATGGCCTTTAAGTAGTCCGCTAAAGGAGTTCGGTTGGGTTGGGATCCAAGGCACTGGAGGGTACGAAAGATGGGGTTGGACAAATTGGGGTGGGCGTTTGTTTGGTGATTTGTCAGAAACAAGTTTGGAGTCAGTTGGTTGGTTGGTTGGGTTGTGGTTGGGTTTAGTATTCCATGAGTTGGTGAGGGAATGTAGTGAGAGAATGGAGAGCTTAGGGAACTGGGGTTTCGAGAGAAAGTCAACTTTTATACTACTATTGGATTTAATGCCCTTCTGGCTTTCAATTGATGCTACTATTGGGCCAATCGGGTGAAAACTCATAGATAGGCTTCTTCTGTCAATAGGAAGTGCCATGCAAGGCGGCTACAACTGCTTTTGGTCGGTTATAACCAGGCTGGGCGGCACCACATCGGGGCTGCCTAGCAAATCAAATTATCCATAATTAACGTATTAAACTCTTTCGTGACACTTTTCAGCTGTTTAGCTCCAGATCAGGCCAGTTTCTGTGCAATTCCAACGATAAGTCCGCATGGAGCCAACACCAAGTCGTCCTTCGAAGGAAGGTTCCGAGTTCCATCAGGATCGGCCATCTTTTTATCAAACCATAGGTTCACATGGTGCTCTCTTGTGCTCGAGACGTTTTCACAGCCAGACGATAAGCAACTGATCATCTCTTCGTTACTGATTCCATGATGGCTTACCCCACGTTTCACTGCTTCATCGTTCAATTGAGGCTCTTCGTGTCCATGGGAATGGCCATGTCCATGCCCTTGACCTTCTTCATGTCCATGTCCATGTCCATGACTGTGACTATGGTGGTTGCCATGGCCCTGCTTGCTCAACAAGCTATGGTGGTTCTTTGCTGGATCGCTGAACATGTCAATAATCACAATGTGCCCACCTGGCTTCAAGAAAGTCTTGAGTTTCTCGGCAACAACATTGTAATTATGAAGATGGTGAAACGCCAAAGACGAGAACACCACATCTGCAGAGCCCTCCAAGGCAGCATCGTCAAAGTCATCTGCAAGCACATCCCCACAGATCGAATTCACCTTCAATTCAGGCAACTTCTTCTTCAATTCCCCAGCTGTCTGGTCAAACTTGCCTAGCATATCTTCAGATATATCAATTCCCACATATTCAGCCTGGGGAATGAAAGGTGCCAACATCTCTGTAATGGCGCCAGTTCCACAAGCAAAATCAATGATCTTCGAGTCTGGACGAAGCAAATTGCCAACAAATTGACCATGAGGAAGCTCCTCATACTTCTTCACCATAAGCTCTCCGTCCACTGGCTCTTCTGTATCAGATACATCTTTCCTGGGGCTGTTGATGTCAAACGTCAAAAGCGTGTAAGCAACGGTATACTGAAGAACTTTGATGAAGGAATGGTCTTCTTTTTCTTTAACGAATTTCTCGAAAGCCTCCTTGTTGGCCTTAATTGATTCCAAATGTGACATTTGATGAGGGAAGAGTGGCAACTGGGCCAGTTTATATATGGCTGCGAAAAATGCTTATTTGCTCATACTATGAGAAACATATAGCGGTTATGCAAGATAAGTACATGAATAGAATGTGCAGATTAGGTGATTTTGGGGGGATATGAGGGAATTGCAGAAGAATTGATTCAGCTCTTTGGAAGCTGTCCAGGTAGTTCTACGTTCTTTGGGCTTGAAGCAAGTATCTAATATTAATATTGTATTTAAAAAGTCAGACATTAAGAAGTAAAGAGTCAAGCGTATGGATGGGTGGAACTTATTTGTATGCATAAATAGGTCGAAGGGACAGGCAAAGATTGGAATAATTACCAAGTTTCAATGGACAGCGCCAGTCCAGGGCGCAGCCGTATTTTGTAAGGTGCTCTATCGCCATTATGTGTCTTGTACTAGAGGTACATTCCTTTGACACTGTGCTTACCTTCGACTCAGTGGCAGCACAACTTAGACCAGAATCCTTTGTTTTCCTCCTCGGAGACATGCTGCTGTTGCTCATACTGGTAGCCATTCTGGCCGTTGACGTAGTTTGAATGCGAGTTTTTGAAGTTGCCTTGACCGTTGGCCACATCGGAGCCTTGCATGTTGATAGCCATGTTCGAACGGGCAGGCGTTTCTTGTTTGATTGGTGGCAATGGTCTGTTGATGAGATGTTGCAATTTTTGTTGGTGTGTCTGGGCTGCTGACAACTGCTGTTGCAGCTGGCCGGTTTGACCAACGTTATTGCTCAAGTTATTGTTGGCGGCAGAACTTGGAATCTGGCCAGCGGCCTGGCCGTGATGTGGTCTGTTTCTGCGCTGGTCACGGTGACGTCTGTCACGTTCGTTTGGTGGGTTAGGGTGGCCGTATCCGTGCAAGTTTGGTTTCTTATTAATGGAAGCGTCCCAACCCTTACCTCCGTTAAGGTTCATCCAGTCGAAATTGCCATCGCAATGAGTATTCATGTCGTCCAACACGGAAAGTAACAACATTCTGTATTCCTCGTAGGCGGGATCAGCCTCAAAGGGCAATGATCTCACGGCGTCCAAGTACTCAGCAAACTGGCGAGGCAAGCCGTCGCACAAGAGCGTTGCTGAAGTGGTTCTCTTCTTGTCACCGATCTTCTCGTACTTTTGTTTGTTGGTTGGAGCCTTCAATCCTTGCCATGGCAACTGGCCACGCAAAAAGTAGAAGAAAACATGACCAAGAGCCTCCAAGTCATCTCTTCTCAGCTGCTCTCTGCCCAAATGCGTGTTGATAGACATGTAACGGGCGGTGCCGCTCAAGGACTTCTTTTCTCTGTAAGGAATGTGCTGCTTGGTTCTGGGGTCTCTGTATTGTTTGGCCATGCCGAAATCGATGAGATGAACCTTGTTTTCATCTGGGAAGCCCTGTCTGCCGATTAAAAAGTTATCGGGCTTGATATCTCTGTAGATGAGGTCGTGGCGGTGCACTTCTTCGATCAAGTTGATCATCTGGATGGCCACCTGGACCACTGTTTTGACGGAAAAACGACGACCACACCAGTCAAACAAGTCCTCCAAGGAAGGACCCAAGAGATCAATGACAAGAATGGAATGCAACCCTTCCTGGCCGAAATAGTAAGCATTTGGAATGCCCTCACAGCCTTGCAAGTGTTTATAGGTTCTATACTCGTCTCTCAACTGGGGGGCCTCGGTCTTACGAGGCTCAAACTTGATGGCCACAGCAACTCCATTAATGATGTTGGAGCCCTCGAAAAGAACACCAAACGAACCTTCGCCGATCTTCTTACCGATCTTATAGTGCAATCCGACCACCGAGTTATTGGACGAGTTCACAGCGCTCATGTTGGGTTGAGAGGCAGCAGCGGCAGCTAACACAGCGGGATTTGACATTAGACGCCGACGGCAGGCGGTGTTCTGGTCTTGAAAAGTGTAGTGGTTGTTACTTTAGGGTAGTGCAGCTGGGTGCAACTCGGGCGTGGCTGGTGGATGGTGGAGGGACCCTCTGTTTGTGGTTACAGAGAGATGTGGTTTTTTCGTTGAGATTAGTGGACGTTGTTTTTTCGGTACAGGGGACAGGAAAAAAGAAAGGGCAAAAAAAAAAAAAAAAAGTCAAAAAAACACAGGGGGTAACTAATCTACTGGAATTGCCAAAGGAAAAAATCAAAAGAGAAAAAAGTGCCTTATTCTAACAATTTTACTTAAATTCGCTTCTTACTTCTCTCTGGAAACTCGTGGTGGTGGAATTAACTGGCCTTTTCTCCTTCCGTATTGGGTTCTCGTCTCCTGGTTGGGCGAGCGAGGGACAAAAAAGACTGGAAAGGTTAAGACAATGAAGAGGGAGAAGAGAAGGTAGAGTGGAGGGTTGGAGAGTTGGAGAGTTGGAGGGTTGGGAAAGTGGAAGGTGGGGCGATACTGAGACGTCAGTGAGGCTTCTTGAAATGATTTGCTGGTGCTGATTTTGTGTACTTTGTGGGTTTGGGGTGCTGTGAGGCTGCCTCTGGAGGTGTCTATTTATATGTCTCAGTGTGAACATGTAGACTGTGAGCTGTGAGGCTGGCAGTGGGAGGGTGCCACAAGAAGTAGGAAAACGTGGTGGTGGTAATAAATTGGCTTGAAAGGTAATAAAAAAGCTTCTTTGTTCTTTTCACTTTGTGACACTTGGGAAAGGCTTCTAGTGGCTTGACGTGAATGGCTGCGAAATGGATGATGATTTATAGCCACACGGCATGGATAGGTGGATTGTGGTGCCTAAGTGGACTATTACTGCCTATCTCTTTGATCTAATTGACCTCTGGACTGTGCTAAGCCGCTGCTAAGCTTTCCTGTTGATTTTCTGTTACCTCCACTGCCAGAGGCTTGACTCATGAGTCATCTTGCTACTCCACCTACTATACTACACTTCCTTCTCTCTGTCGTTTCGTTCATTCGTCAAGATGCTATTTCACCTGACTGTCTATGCTATCTCCTATCTCCTAAAGCGTTCCCCTGACCAAGTAGACGGTGTCTCCATTGCTAAAGGACCCACCAACCTTCTTGGCCAACGGTAGCGTCACTGGAGCATCATCAACAGCCTTAAACAACTGAAGACGCTCGCTAGTCTCGGAAGTCTTGTTATTGTGGTTCATTATACCCACCACATCAGCCACAGAGTCAAGAGCACGGCCAATGGTCCAGTTTTTCGAAACCCAAACGCCCTTTCTCTCCTTTTCTGGGTTGATTTTTTCTATTTCGTCTTCGTTGCGGTTCACATAGAGAACCCACACGTAGATACGGTCTGTTTGTGACACATTATTCGGTCCCTTAGCGACCTTCTTGATGCTAGATGTTTCTGCCACCTTGTTCGTTGCCTTGGGCCGGCTGAAAAGCAGCGACAGCTTCTTCCTGCTTAGTTTTTGAAGGTGAAGAAACTTTGTAAGCTTGGTAATCGCCGAGGATTTACCTGTTTTGGTAGCCTTCTCTTCAATGGTCGTAGCCGAGAGTTTCGACAGCTCGAGTCTCTTTTCAAGCTCTTTCTGTCTCTTTTCTTTATCTGGGAACAAAGAAGCCGCCGTAGGACCCGAGTACGTATTGTTGCCGCCGTTTGATGGAGACTGTGGTCTTCCCACACAGTTATGAACGTCCAATGATCTATGCTGGGAACAGTATACGTGGTTGCAGAACTCACAGTGGAACGGGAGGAAGTCGAGCTGCTGGCACTTGTAACAGTGCTTTCCAAGGTTCATGACCCCCTGGTCCTCCTTGTTGATTTCCACCTGAGTCATGAAGAGGCTGTTCTGGTGAGCTTTGGATACTTTGGCAGACATGGTGCGAAAATCTGGGGCAGCCAAAGATGAGGTGGAGGAAGTGGAATGTGCTAGTTTGGGAAGTAATAAAAAAGAAGGAGTTTGTTCGATTAAAAATGGTATTAAAGAAAGAGGATCTGTTCTCCTTTTATACTTTTTATGGTGGCGGCGGCAAAACACTGGAACCTTCTGCCCTGCATGACTGGTTGCAAAATCGTTCACCAGCATTAGTAATAGAGCATTAAGACAGTGGCACAGCATGTATGAACTTCGTATTTTTTTCTTTTTTCTTTTTGTATGAAGTTTCGGTTTCTTGAGTATGAACGTTTGAAATCTCGAAGATCAGTGTTTGTTTAGGTGGAACATGAGTGTTTGGTTGGTTGGCTTAGTAAGGCTTACAAGAGTACACTGAGAAGTCAGTGAAGCCAGTAAGGAGATCACTTTTCGTATACTTACTAGACATCTTTGGCATATGCATATTTCACAATGAATTAGGTGGAGTCAATTGTCCTGGCTATGCTTTTACGTTTTTTGAGCGTAACATCTCGGTTATTGTTGGTGTTTCGGTGAACAGTGGTCGTACCTATAGCTTCATGAGAGTACCACCAACACTTCCTTCTTCTCTGTTGATACTTTACTTTCTTGGTATCAAAATGAACAGCTCAACTGTCAAATTTCCATTTTGAGTATCTAACATTTTTTGTTTTGCCAATTTTATTTTCAACCTTCTCCAATAACCTCCACCAGACTTTACAGAATGGCTGCGAAATGTGTAACCAAGGTACAAATCATAAAACAAGAAAGCATACCAAAAATACAAAAAACCATACTCTTCCACCAACCTCTTCAGTCTCTCTCCCGAGCCCTAATCCCCTTTCCCAGAACACTCCCCATCCCATAAATCTCCCTCTCTCCCTCCACCTCTCGGCTACTACATAATGGACAGGCATCGCGATTATCAACATCACCACTTCTTCTCCATGTACGACTTGAACGTGCCATGGCCGCTGCTGTCGTATGGACCGCCGCCCCTGGCGACCCAAATGACAAACTTCTATAATGTCATTGCCATGCTATATTCCCTCGGCTATAAGTACCTTGCGGTGAACTATGTGGTTCAGGAAAATACCAAGCTTCCATTCAATACTCCAGATAAACTTAACCCTATACCGATTGAAACGCTTCGAAAGAACTTGAAAAAATATGAAGGGCTCCGATTGTTTACGAGAATTACGTTGGTGATTTCAGATCCCGCCAAATGCCAGAGTATCCTGAAACTTAATGCTTCTTCTGCTTTCGACCTCATCGCCGTGCAGCCATCTACAGAAAAGGCTCTTCAGCTCACCACAACAAACTTAGACATAGACATTGTTTCGTTGCCGATGGGAACGAGGTTGCCGTTTTTCATTAAACACAAGACGGTGGGCCAGGCGTTGGAAAAGGGCATGAAGTTCGAAATATGCTATCTGGGTCTAATATCTGGTCCTGCTCTGTATGAAACATCGATGGTTTTGGGCACTACAGGGCATTTGAGCAGGAAGAACTTTATTTCGAACGTTCTTCAGCTTATCAGAGCAAGCAGGAATAAAGGGCTTATATTTTCCAGTGGTGCTCTGGAACCTATGCATGCTAGAAACTATAGCGATATCTTAGCATTAATGGAGACGCTTGGGTTGAAGGTTTCCAACGGAAAAGAGGGGTTTGTGAAGAACCCTGAATTGTCTCTCATGGCCGGAAGACTCAGGATCAAATCTAATAAGCAGACTGTTATGGTGGGTAACCAAGGCGGCGAAGGCAGAGCAGCCGCAGCCATTATCGATGAAATCACCCCAAAGAAACTAGAGTCTACGAAAAGGGCCAAGAGTGACGATGATACGGCTTCTGCCAAGCGCAGAAAGCAGTAAATATAGATTAAATGTAAATACAGACCGTAATCTGCGAATGCTAATGAAATATGGACAGCCTTACCTTCTGCTTTGAAGGAGACTGGGAGCTTGGTGGCGGTGGCGGAGGTTTTGGTTTCTTCTCGGTTTCAGGCGGTATTCTAGGAGCTCTAGGCGGCATTTTCTTCTTTGGAACGAATATGCCCGCTGGAGCCGGCCGTTTCCGAGGCAGCGACATGGTACTAGCCTGGCTAGGTGGTCTTGGCGGTAGCAGTGCTTCTCCCACTGCATTGGGATCTCTTACCGACCGCTCTGGCTCCTTTTGATGTAGCAGTCTCAGACGAGGAGCCTGTGGAGGCGGGCTTGCTTGTTTCCGTTTAAACACAGCATACGGATCATAAGCAGGCTTTCTTTGACCGCCAAACATCAATTTCCGCAGCTGGATATCTTTCATGGCCTTACCCAAAATCGATTTCGACGAAAACTTCGGCAGTGGGTCTGAATTGTAGTTGCGTTGTCGTATGGGCGTATTCCTGATAATGCTAGGGATTGGCGTGATGGAGTTCTTAGATTTCTCCTTCCGAAGCTTCTCTGTCATCTTTCGTAGTCTCTGAGCCGAAGACGCTCTAAACGTATCTCTCTCTTCCATGTACCGCTGGTACAGCGCCTTGTTAGGCATATCTGTCTGTTCCCCACAAGCAACTCCTGTTTAGCACCCGTATGGATCGGTCTATCAGGAAAGTCCCGTTCAATAAGAAGCCCCCAGATCTCATCAGACTCTGGCGTAACCGTAGGCGAGTTAGCCTCAACCATTGCTAGCTGCTTCAGGTTCATTCGTCTTAGCACTGGTTTGATCAATGCATACGGTGTAAGTCCCACGTCAGTGATTCTTCCCGCCAGCTGCACACACGCCAATAGCGATATGTCTTTAAGCAGCGGCACCATGGTATAATTGGATGAAAGTGGGTCAGTGGTTAGTGGGTGGTCAGTTGGTGGTTGGAGATGGGAAGCACTCGTTATCGATGCGCACTGAGATGCCATACAGAGGCGATAAAGGTGGAGGGAGAGAGGGATGACAGGTGGTTTGGAAGAGTGGGGTTTTTTGGTGGTTAAGTGGGTTAAGTAGATGGGAAGTTTAAGAAAAGGTTATTTTTTTCTTTGATTTTGAAGAACTTGTGGATGTTGTGTTGGGTGGTTAGGGTGGCTTTTTGCACCCAATGGCTTACAGTGAGCGCACTGGGAGAGAGCCAGGGCGAAGGGGCATAGATTGGTTTATATGCCACTGTTTCGTTCTTTATGTCGCTTACTTGAATATGAATGGAATGTAATTATTCTTTCTTTTGTTGCTTTAATTGGTGTTTGTGGGTGCTACATCGAATGTGGAGTGGTGACTGAGGAAGAGAGGACCACAGATTATGGCTGCACTAAGCATTGGGGAAGGCAATAGTTTCAAGATAACAGCTAGAAGAGGTTTGAAACGAACATATGTAAATTCTTAGCTGTTCTAGTAGGTAGTTATGTTTATCAAAGGTATGATATGATAAACATCGAAGTCATGTTATCAGTCACAAAACATACGCTTTCTAGGCATCGAGTGTTTCATATATGTCCTCTTCGTTGCTTTTCGTACGCCCTTAGTTCTGTCCTGATCATCGCCATCCGAACCAATGGAACTGGTACTTAATGAGCAGTTCTAGTTAAATGACCTTTTGGGGCACCAAAATCCATATAATCCACAACTGATGCTTCCTTGTAATAAGATCAGTGAAGTAGCATAAGATTAAACACCCTTGGGTGTCACTGACTCTTCATTTTGACCATTTCAACCCGAAAAACACCATCAACATAAAAAGACGTTTTCCTGCTCTCCTAGTAGCTCCATAACCTCCAAATTTTGACCACACGATCTCTTCAACTACTCCACCACTTCCTGAGAGTTTCACACACCAAGCTCAATGGCTGCAAATGACGACCTGCATACAACTCTCAGCCACACCACTTAGTCACCGCGCTGCTTTCACTTTCAACAAAATCCGATATGGTGTAATGGCTAGCACAGTTCGCTCTCACCGAGCAGATCGGGGTTCGATTCCCCGTATCGGAGCTTTCTTTTTTCGAAAACGACATAACCTTAATTCTTCTCATCTTTTTCATTAACCTTATTTTTTCTAACCGAGGCAACCTTCATTTCTACACCATCTACACTTCAAACATTCTTTTTTGTGTATTCTCTGCCGGAACCGGCCGGAGCTAGATCCATTCTGGGCCCACACAAGCGGCTGGTTCAGCTGCATGTGCGCCTTACCATTGTCTATATTTTAAGACTAAAAGTAGACGATCACCCTAAACAATCCCACTTGGAAATCTCCCACCAAGGGTTTAAAATCTTCCGGATATACGCCGCTGGAAACGGTCAAGAAACCCGGAACATCCTACCCCAGGCTTTTTTCCGCTAAAATCCGCCACTTTTCACGGCACTTGGCGCGTTAGAGCCGGTTGAAATTCTCAACGGCTGCAACCGGCAGGATAACAGGAGACCCCAAAAGCAACCCAATAAAGGGATGGCGAAAAAGTGAGAGGTGTTTGAGAGAAACGGACAAAATCCGACCAATAGAATCGTAGAATCAACCCTGTGCCCTGAAATCTCTTCTTTTTCCAAAAGTGGCTCTCTAGGTTTCGGGATAAGTGGACCCAAGGCCGCGGATGGACGCGCGGCCGGAACGCAATTGTTCCGCGATGTACTCAGGGCCATACGGGACATCCAGGGGAAAAAACTCTATCATCAACACTTCTCTTTGAAAGGTACCATCACTATGCTTTTTAAAAAGGACAAGAAGGAGAAGGAACCACAGGAAGTCGACCTGGACGTGACTCACGTGCCGTTTGTGGAACCGGCTTCGGAGTCTAGAGTACCCGAAGAGCACAAGCTTACGGCTGAACAGAAGGACAAGTTCCTGAAGGTGTATGAGCACTTTGCTCAGGACGGGTTTACCGTGGCAGACTCAGAGGAGGCCCATAAACACAAGGATAAGTCTCATTTCAAGCCGTTGACCGAGGACGAGAAGGCCTGGTTGACGAGGGAGTGTTTCTTGCGGTACTTGAGAGCCACCAAATGGAAGGTGGAAGATGCTGTTTCGAGGATTGAAGGAACGCTTGCGTGGAGACGTGAGTTTGGCATTGCCGGCAACTTTGATCTGGAAAACGAAGTCAATGGCACACTGGTGGCCCAGGAGAACGAGACCGGTAAGGAGGTTATCCTAGGCTACGACAACGACGCCAGACCATGTCTTTATTTGAAGCCCGGCCGTCAAAACACGAAGACGTCGCAGAGACAAGTCCAGCACGTCGTTTACATGCTTGAAAAAGTCATCGACTACATGCCCGCCGGCCAGGACTCTTTGGCCTTGTTGATTGACTTTAAGGCATCTCCTGTGGGCACACAGAACAACAAGATTCCTCCAGTCAGCACAGGAAGACAGGTTTTGAATATCTTGCAGACACACTACCCTGAAAGATTGGGCAAAGCCCTCTTGACCAACATTCCATGGCTCGGCTGGACCTTCTTGAAGATTATTCATCCGTTTATTGACCCTCTTACAAGAGAGAAGTTGGTCTTTGACCAACCGTTCCCAGACTATGTGCCCAAAGCGCAGTTGGATAAGGATTTTGGCGGTAAGGTCAACTTTGAGTATGACCACGACAAATATTGGTCCCAGATGATCAGCATCGCCGAAGAAAAGAAACGCAAGTACGTCAAGCGGTTCGAGACTTTCGGCTCCCGTGTCGGTTTGTCTGAATATGACTTGAGAGGCGACCACGAGGAGTTGAGGTACCAACCAGGCCTTGCATAATTTAAAAAATAAGCCCTCGCAAGCGGGACATTGGGACGGAGCATATAGACAATCTAGACATTAGGTAAAATATCTAGAAACGAGTTTTCATTTGCTGGAACACGAGGAACACGTATAGCAGGCCAGGGTAGGATGAAGGTATGAGAAAACCTCAATACTCGAGCCGTATCAGACAATAACTTCACTAAAATACCACATTCTCTTAGGCAAACAACTTGGCACACTTTCTCTTTTCGGTGACGCCGGTCTTTTCACAGACCATGGTTTCCCAATCAATAGCCACCATTCTTTCACCAGCACCGCCTTCACTCTTGGCAAAAATCACACCCAAATCGTTACGGGCCGTAGTCAAATAATAATTCGAACCGTCACCAAGCGAAAGAACCAGCGCTCTAACCACATCGCCAGGACGGAAACAGTCCACGATCTTCACCTTATCTCTTTCGGTTGATCTAACGTCCTGACTTCTGATCAAACCACGGAAAGCTTCACCAACGTCTACAGGCTGAGCACCAGCAAGAGAGCCTTGAAACGATGCCACAGCGCCATACGACGATAGAAGCTGGGAACCACCGCCCATAGGAACTGAGTACTGAGCAGAAGTACCATTAGAGCCCATTCCCGAATCAGCAGAAACGTTACCTGAGCCCTCGACACAAAGAATCTCACACGTAGCTTGTCTAGGATTGAGTCTGATCACCTTCACCAAAACAACATCGCCTTCTCGAGGAAGATTCGTCGCCGTAGCAGAAACAGCGGCCTGAGCGTCAGAGTCCACTTCCTTAGCGAAACTCGTATAGTCTGTGCCAGGAATGACCGAAACCAAAAACTGCTTTTCCTTCTTGGCCTCTTCTTCCTCTTCCTCCTCCTTTTTATCCACAAGCTGCTGGATAACCACCAGGCCTAGCACTGTAGCCAGAATGAGCTGTGCAGCCTCGTTCTCCAATTGGACAGTAGACGAAACCGTGCCTTTTCCAGGGAAGTAGCGATGCACCACACCGTTTTCGTCTTTAACTGCAGCCATAAGGTACTGGCCAGGGACAGCCGTCTGGGGCACTTTCTGATCTGTCTGGCTCATGAGTAGTGAAAGTGTTGATATGCGATGAGGATGAGGTGCGAAAAGTCAATGTATGGGGCAGTGAAGGTGGTCTAGGAGGAAGTTCAAAAGCACGAAATCATGGTAAATAGTACAAAAGAGAGAAATGTCTAAACGTTTTTATTTCGTGTATTTTCATCGTTATATACTTTCGAGGCTGTGCTGGCGGCAACGAGAACGGTCGAGTGACGATGCCCTGCGTGGTTGCGAAAACTGGCTATGCTATACGAGTTGGATGATCAGAGGGCTTATCTTATCGGAAGAAAGAGGTTGATGAAGAAATGGGGTTTTTTGGGGTGGTGGATAATGGGGATGGTGAGTTTGGTGGAGTTTTGGATGGGTAGGTGGATTTGGCGGTGGCTGCAAAATACTGGTGGAGGCTAAGAAGCAGGCTGTGAGTGGATCGTAGGAGAAAGATAAGGTAAGGTTCGATGGTTCGTATAAGGTATGCGTTATCGGGATGAGAGGGAGAGTGGAGGAGGGTGGAGGGTGGAATTTGAGGAGAGGAAGAGGGAGGTGGTTATTGGGTTGTTTGGGGAGCTGGTGGTTGAGAGACGGTAGTGATGGGTTGGAGTTGGCGGGGGAGGGTCCACCAGGAGGCAGAGTGGATGGACAGTGGAGTAATGAAATGAGGTGGAATGAAGGTGAAGACATTCGAGCATTTGATGACTAGAAATGGTCATTACTTGTCATACTTATAGATAAGGGTAGACATGGTAGAAGGGACAAATCAAGAGCGCTATGGCTACAAGAAAAGCGGCGAAGAGACACTAACCGCTTTCAATGTATCCAGAATACTAACTTTTAGTCTTAAAGACTCTAATGTTAATGAAACTCACGACCTGGGATACTATAATATATATATCCTTGATGTAGGGAAAACATGAGAGATGCTATATAAGGTACAGCTGTGGTAGAAAGAAAGAGGAGGTTCTCCAAGACAATCGACGAAGTGGCATAAAAAAATAGCCATCTTTAGTTTCATCCATTTGATTGCTTGTGACAGAGTGGGTATTGGGATGTCCGTGTCGATGGATGTTCAAGGCAATGTCTTCTTCTACCCTTCCACCTTCAACAACAAAAAGTAGTCAAACCAAGAAAAGCAATATAGTCCTTGAATGACGTTTTGTAATCCATTGTTTCCAATATTCCTTACCTTTCCATCCTTTAACTCGGAACAATGCCATGTCTTGGAATGGCTGCAAACGAGCACTCCCTAACATCAAAACCACCGCCAAAGACCGACTAAAACAAAAAGTAAGCCCCCTTTCAACAGCCTCAACAAACCACCTCCTTTTAAAGACCCTTCCTCCCAGAAACTTCACATTTGGTGCCCCGTCGTGTTCCCCCAAACTGTCCTACTCCTTCTCTCCTGCACTTGCTGCTCATCAACTCTTTCCAACACCATGTCTTATCCAGAATACGTCGACGGTAAACCCCCTGTGATCACTCTTAAGGAGTATGATACTGCTCCTTGGGCAGGCACTACCTGTGTGGACAGAAGGGGTGGTGATTTTGTCATTGTGGTGATGGAGAAGCCAGAAACTGTGGTTGCCAAGGTTGACCCTAAGGATAACGGTACTTTGGATACTATCTTTAAGAGTGCCCACCTGGACTTTTCCACACAGCTTGAGAATAAGGATGTCCAGCGCAAGTAAAGGAGATCTTTGTTGTATATAAATTATGACAAAAAAAAAAACGGATTATCGATATGATGCTATTAAAAGAAATGCGTGTAGCACACGGAGTCTTGATGGACCTCCATCTCGCTCTTGACCTCGTTGAGCTCTTCCCGGATCTGTTGCGCCAACAATGGCGTCAATTGGTTACATGTGGCGATGTCGGGATGTCTATCATACTCTTCGCCGTTGTAAGTGTCGTACAAGATGATTCTGGACGAGAAACGTACTCCTCCAGTCTTGAAAGGGACCTTGGGCGATGCCATAGGAGACTTTCTGATTCTCGAGATGAACGACGTCAAAGACCTCGGGCTCGAGGCAGCACTTTGGTCTGAAAGAGATGGGATCCGGTCATGGTAGAATGGACCCGTTGGCGGTTGGAGCCCCATCAATTTCGGTGATGGAGACGGAACTCCTCTGTTGGCAGCGTTCCCTGTAGTTTTGAGGCCTGGCGCCTGCGCTGGTTTCTTCACTGTGAAACCGTTGCCGATGTCGTTCTCCAGCTCGTCTTCCGACAGGTATATATCTTCGTTGTCGTCGTCTGATTCGTCGTCCGACAGTCCAAAGCCCTGGCCGACAGCCGAAGAGTCGTTCGAGGAATCGTACAAATTTAGCAGCTGGTGAGATCCGGTCTTGGCTATTGTTTGCTTGCTTATCGCGGGGCCATTGAAGCCCTTGAAAGACATGGAAATTGGTCTTGCAACATTGCTTGGCAGTTCCCGAGCCACTGCTTCGTTCATGGCCAAGTTGTAGGCTGTTCCTAAAATAGGCAGCTTACGAAGCGCGTCATCTTGGGTGCCTAAAGTAGGCGTCACCTCGGGCGCTGAAGATTCCGCCAGACCATTCTCAACATTAGCATTAGGATTCTCCACAATCATCAAACTGGGCTCACTTTCTTGCGTGTCGTCTGGTTTAGTCCCGTTTTCATTGTTCGTGTTGATGTGGGGTTCCTCAAGGGTCTCTTCATGATCAGATGCACTGTCCACCTGCTGGGGCTGCTCATCGAACGGCTTAGATTCTTCCACTGTAGGCTTTTCCGGAATGGGCGGCACGACTTCGGTAAGGGGACTCGATCTTGCCGGTTCTTGTGGCGCAACTCTAACTGGTTCGATTGGGTCCAGATATGGAGCCGCAGACTGAGCTTCGTATTCAGGGCTAAAATTAAACTCGCCCAGGTCGCCCAAAGACGGCAACGATGGGTAAGGCTGGGCAGGGGAAGCAGGAAATTCGAGGTTGTCAACGTCGATAAAGTCGGAGAATTCAATGAAATCATGTAGGTTTTCACTGTCCTGGTTCAAGCTGCCCTGGGAGAAGTCCTGAGAAAAGTCAAGCGAGGGAAGAAGACCCAAACCTGGGTTTTCTTCAAGTTCTTCGGTTTCGTGGGCTTCGATGGGGCTAGGCAAGTAATCGTCAGCTACTGCCTGGTCGATCAGATGGACAACGCCATTCATGCTGGTCATCGACAGAGAGTTCTTCAAAATGCTGCCTGATCTTCTCATGGTGTTAGGACTGCTCTGACCGGCCTCACCACTATAAACTATAACGTTTTCATCTGAGCCGTTGTAGTTAATGTAGGAGCTTCTCTTACCGTTAGATCTGATGGAGCGCATAGACCGTGACCTTTCAAGCGACACAATGCTTTCAATCTCATGAGGATTCAACAGTTTAGGGAAAAGAGCTTCGCCTAGTAACTGTTCACTCTTTGGTGGATTCATACTGGACCTGTTGGACTGTGGTGGCTTAGATCTTGGCGTTTCGTTGAACTTGTACTTGAGCAAAGGCGAACCAAACGAGTTTTCATCAAGCTTGAAATCAGGAAGCTTCAAATCAGGCGTTGGTTCCAAAGCCAATTCTTCACCGAAGTTCTCGTTGGCATGTCTCTGAGGAGGATCAACCATTATATCGTCTTTAGTATCATCCTCAGCACCATTCTTGGTATACTCAAAGTTGTAGTCAGAATCTTCCACTTCACGGATCGTATTAGCCTCCTTCGTAGGTTCCAAAGTGTTTGTAGCAGGCGTATCAACTTCGCCCATGGAACCAGGCGTAGTTGGAGTTTGTGGCGTCTTTGACTTAACTTGAGCTGGCGGCTGAACTGGTTTAGGCTCCTCTTCAGGAATAGCTGCAATGTTAGCTTCACTCTTCTTCCGCTTAAACCCTCCAAACAAGTTCTTCTGCTCTTTCTTCTCTGGTTTGTCTTTCTTCTCTTGTTTATTCTCTTTCTTGAAGGTGGAAAACGATGGAGTTGAGTATGACTTGGACTTGAGCTTGGCAGGTCTGCTTGGAGACATTTCCTCCTTCTGCTTATTCAAAGAATGGTTCTTCGACTTGATCTTGAAAAGCCCACGGAAGCTGAACCTCTTGGAGGCGCCAGCGCCCGGGTCGGAGGAATCGGTAGCCGCTTTCTTCTGGAGCGGTTCAGACGACTTGGGTCTGGCGGCAGCCAGAATGTCGCCCATTGTGCTGCTTCGTTTATGAGTGCCAGGAGAAGGCTGGGGACGTTGGAGGTCCGTCAGCTGGTGGTGACGATGAGGGGAGAAGTTGGATCTCGGAGTGCCGAATGCGGACGACAGCCACTTTGGGACGGTGGAGGAGCTCGCCAGCTTCATCGGAGAGGGCCGGGAGGGCAGACCAGTTTCGGTGGTTCCAGACTTTCTGGATGGTTTGGAAGTTGTGGAATCACGAACCGATGAGGCGGGAGCCTGGTTAGGTTCTGCCGATCTTTCAAGCTGGAATGGTGGTTGAAGAACCTCAGCTTGAGGTATAAGCGATTTGACTGGACGAGGGGACGCGGAAGGCAGCTCCTGAGGAGGTTGGGGCAATGCTTTAGTCTCTTTTAGCGTTGTCACCGAGGCAGACTGTGCTGGGTAGCTGGAGTAGTCCACTGGAGTATCTTCAACAGCTGTAGTGTCCTGATCCGACTCCAGGTTCTTTCTGGGGCCCTGAACTGTCAAAAGCTGAGGAGAGAAGTCCTTGGTGGGTCTTTTCACCGTGTAAAACGACGCTGGAGGGTCTAACTTAGGCGTTCCCATGGAATAACCAGATTCGCCAATGGTACTGATTGAAGACAGGTGACGGTGGCCTGGACGTTCAGGCGATGCATTGTTTGATGACCTAGCGACGGATTCAGACGAAGCAGCAGTATGGAACGTCGTCGTGGAAGCATCTGGAGGCGGTCTATGGAGCAGAACACGCAGCCCCTGGTTATATGTATAGTTTGTATTGGAAAACGCCGGTTTATCAAAAACAGAAGCCACCTGGGGCTGGGGCGAGGGTTCTTCCTCTTCGACAATAGCTTCTGGACGACTAGCGCCTGGCTTTTCGTTCATGATACTCTCCAAGGCTTTCATCGAGGGTGAAGCGCTCATAAACGAGGTACGCTGGTTCAACACGTCTCTCTCCGTAGCAGCATCGAGAGTTCCAGCAGCAATGGAGTTTGACGACGTCAGATGAGGAATCGCCACAGACTTGCGTAGTGTCGAGATATGGTTGGCCAGACTGGACTGGGAAATATGAGCCAGTGACGAGTAGAAGGAGTTGTTCCAGAGAGCCTCCTCTGACATGGTGGGTGACCAGGGGGAAGGTATAAGGCGGTATTTATATGAAAAAGAATGTAATTCGAAGCTTTTTATCAATTAGCCAGGGAAGGACGAAATATGGCCTTTTTTCAAGGAAATGGACAATCTGGGGTTTCAGGGAGTAAGGTGGTTTGAAACGGTTTTGACAGTTCTGAGGCAGAGTGAAGTGAGACGAGGCGGCGCGCAGAGGGAAAAAATGGTGTAGAAAAAGCAAAAGGGCAAAAGGGCAAAAGGCGCGTGCAATCTTTGAAAGGAGGAAGGGGTGGAGGGGGAGAAAAAAGGGTGGGTGTTTGGATGTTTTGAGACCGGAGGTACAGGTTTTTACAGCGTCCAGTAGGTGAATTAGCAATGGGAATTCCCAACGAAACAATTCCAGGTCGTTTGGACGTTCCCAGTGTGGACATTCACAGCTGGCGCTGGCGCTGGAGTCGCAAGTTTCGCAGCCGTCTCAGCGAGCGCGACGCGTGTTTGGAGAAAAAAAGGCACGCAGACGCACGAAATTTGACTAATGGGGACAGAAAAAGAGGACCACAGCGGACCAAAGAGGGATTCGAGTGCCACGAAGTGGCACAAAATAGGTGGATGGAGAGTAATTTGAACTTTATTTTCGTAAATGACGTTATCTGATGATGTGTATTTACTACCCTGATTCTTATTTAGATGCCCTTAGTTCCCGTTTCCGTTTACGTCTCTTGGTTCCTGGCAGATTAGGGTTTTGGACCGCGAAAAGTCATACCGCCAAGTACCGCCAAGGCGACATTACCAGCGTTGGATCCACCACTGGAAGCAGGAAGAATGTCAATAAGGCTTTTGAAGAATACACAAAATGGGAGTTTTTCTATCTTCAATGCTACCAGCAAAAAGGCTGTTTTGGCTGGCTGGTTACGCCTGCGCCGCTTCTTCATGGCGGAATGTCGTCGACACATGTTGGGGTCTGGAATGCCCATGTACTGCGCCGCCCAACGGCAGCGCCATTCCGTTGGGTCTATTTTTTGATCAGTCCAACGCAGACAATTCATGTAGGTTCCAAAATTTTAAACCACTTTAGAAGTGGGCGTGGCGTTTGGTGGCATGGGTTGGCGGCTTTTCGCAGCCATTTTTCCACTTTGGTGGGTCTCCCCCCTCCATTGTTCCCGTTTAGTTATATTACCTACATCAATGGCGCAGAACAAAGATCAAAAGACCCTGTAAAATGGAGTCCGAGAATGGAAGGTCCAAAAACACCAAGACTGCTTGGTTCAATGATAGTAGTGGTTTGGATTGTCTTGGTTGGGAAAATCCACATGGCCAGCTCTCTAAGTGGTGGTGGTGGCCCAGGAATGGTGATTCTCCCACAGTCTATTGTCTTAGACAATGACACAATCTCTTTTCTTCTTTTGCTTCTTTTCCAATGGCTTGGGCTGTCTAAGCTTGGGCTTCTCTGGTCTCGCGGAATATGCTGACGTGGTGTCGAAGGAAGAGTCCGTTCTGGAGTCTCTGAAATCACTCTTGGGTCTCAGATTCACCGAACTGGCATCTGAATCGGTAGTGTAGACACTTTCAGTGTAAACGCCAGAGCGCAGGAACACTTGGGAATCGAGTTTAAGCGTAGGATCCAACCCATTCTGTAACAACGAGTTGGCCAAGTACATGTAGAGCTTGATCCACAAGACCTCAAGCTCGTGGGTGAACTTTGTACCGAACCGTTCGTGGAAAGTCTGGATGAATGCTTCGCCCATGAGCTCAAACTGTGGAGGGTCAATGCCCAAGATTCTAGCATGCGTGTTGCCAAGCTTGGTAAGGTAGTCGTCGAGCACCGAAAGGTTCTCTAGGGAGCTGATGGCCAAAGAAATGACACTGGAAAATGACACAGCCTGGTGTCTCAACGACGGAAACATCACCTCCAAGTCTGGCTCCATCGAAAGCAATATGTGGTAGAAAGAAATGCAAAACATCGACAGCGCCATAGATGCATACCGAGAAGAGACCTGGCTGACCTGGTTCTGCTTCACTTGGATAGTTCCCTCAATAGGAAGCGACAGCTCCAGGTGCTCAATCTCCTCGTCCACCAACATCTTATTCCAAGTATACCTCAAAAGACTGATTTCTTTCGGCGTAAGCTGGAACTGGACCTTGAACTTACTCTGCACCGTCAAGTCCGAATCAAGCGACGAGTTCGTACCAACCTTCTTGAGTCCATACGAATCGTCCTCCTGCTTATACTCATGGAGCGTCGTTCCACCAAGCGACGAAGCGTCTGAGCTCGAATCAACCCTCAGAAGAATGTGTTTTCTGACGACATTGATGCTGCCGAGCTGGGAGAAGCGAGTTGGTTTTCTGGAGTTTCTCGTGGTGCTATCGGCGATCATAGGTCGAAATCTGGGTACAAAAACTGGACAAAAAGGGGAAAAACCAGGGGAATGTGAGTGGTTTATATACTTCTGGAGAAGTGACAATGGTGAAAAGCTGGAATGCTGCGAAGTTGCCTGATTTGATGCGGAATGGATAATCCAGGCCAGAGACGTGAAAGGCAAGAAATATGAAAAATGTGTCTAAATTATTTGTGGAATATCCCTTCTTATATACTCTGGGGTCCCCCACGTCACCCAGGATCCCCCAAAAAAACAACCTCTTCCAAATTAACCTTCTTCTTCCATCCCATTTGTCTCTCGGCTCCTGCGTCTGACGATCTGGCGTAGTCTAGTTGAAGCACTTGCCTGCAGTACCGCGTACTTAGATCAAACATTGCGACATCGTTGGTTGGCTGTTCCGCGGTTAACCCACTAGCCAAAAGTGACAGCTTTGAAAGGAAACGGTTATGATATGGTGGGTTGAAATTATTAGGGGGTGTCTGGGTTTTATCTACCAAATCTCTTTATTTCCATAAAACCCTCTCCCCCCTTCAGCTCTTTGTTTCCAACGGTGACGTGGGGAAGTTTTAAGCCCCCGATTAAGCTTCTATGGAGTCGCAGCCCATTGAGCTATGGAACAGAACAGCATTGTGGGCGTTTAAGGGGCAGAAAGAGCATGGAATGCAGGGAATGTAGGAATCAGAGGAAACGGGAATGTCAGGAAGGTCCAGAAACGTGGCCACATTCTGGAAAGAAGCATGGAAAGAAAAGGTTTGGTGGAAGGTAGTTGGTGGTGGAAAGCACTTGGTGATGACGTAGATGGGGGCTTTGCTGGGTCTGGTCCACACGGAATTCCTTATCGCTACCTGTTCAATACTATTTGGTAGTGGTTTGATTACTTTTGATCTGGGGACTTTCCGTGAATAAGGTACGTCGGTTAACGGTCTCCTCACTTATGGTTTGACGACATAACCTTCAGGGAGCCAAATAAGCTTCAATGAGGAACCGGTTTTCTGGTGCTTCAGATGAGTTCATGAGTCCAGCATAGCCTTCACGCTGCCACCATTACTTCACTTCGTTCACCACTGTCTATCTTTCTCTAACGTTTAGTCCAGGGACTGGTGACATCATCGGGATGGTGTCTTGCGAAAGCCGCTCTACTGCTGGGCGGGAGAAATAGTCTAATGTATGTCGTAGGGATCGTCGTAAAAAGAGCCCCTAGATCATGGATCGTTAGGGGATCTGGATGGTTACCACAGTGGTACACTAGCCGTAAACGAAGGTTAAACCAGGGTACGAAGAACGAAGGAGGGTTTCGAGGTATCGTTGAATGCCAAGAAGTTGAGGCTTCGTGGGTTGGAGAGGATTCACATGAAAAGGACGACTATGAGAGAGCTGGTGGCACCACTGAGTTGACGAGGGCTTGACGAGGTTCGTGTGGAAATGGCTCTACTGGCACATCAGATCGACAGAAACCAAGAAGTCTGATTTCAAGCTTTGACGGGCATTTGGGGAAGTGTACTGGCTTGCCCGTTGGCAGATTGGGATAAGAGTTTCATCCAAGTGATAGGCCGTTGCTAAGGGTCAGTATATAGGTTGGTTGGCTGAAGTCCACTCAAGACGAAATGAAGACAAACGGCTTTCCACACCTTTTTGAGTTATACTCTTCCTTTAACTTCCCAAATAAATCCTTGAAGGGATGTTTCTTTGTTCCTTGACGACGGCATTCAACTGCTGTTGAGGATGACGACCTGATCGTTCAGATATCAATCTGGGATGGCATTAATAGCCCAAAATTACCCCCATTCATACTTAGGACTGCCAAAGCTTGGGCTTGCTGTTACAGTCCTTCACCAGAGTGGTATCAGCTTATGTCTCTCCAAAGTCATACACCACCAAGGTGATAGTTGAAACAACCATGGAAACCGCTATCTGATGATACAAAGATACTTCAAAAGCTGCAACGGTACAAACTAGCGGCTACCCACCGCTTTAAGCGGAGGTGACTGTCATCAGAACACAAGACGAAGTCTACATCCCATGCATACCGTTGATGTGGCGTCCACGATGCATTTGGTCCACGATGTCACAAAAGCCAACCGTGTGAACTTAATACTATTTCTGCAACCAGTGCTAATAGCTTATTATTCTACCGGTTCGTCATTTGCTATCCAGAATAGACAATGTTGGTTCACAAAATAGTCAGCAATGAGCGTCGCTTAACTGTTTTCGCTTAGTGTGGCTGTACACGAGATATTCCAAGCTCCACCAGGACAATACCCAGCCAATTCTTCTCTAAACCAACCCCACTTAAGCAAACACACAGAATAAGGTCTTGTCAGCTGGAAAAAGTGCTTTGTCGTTGGCTGGAGTATGCGACATTCTGGTTGCAAAAGACATTTTGGACTGCAGACAGTGCTACTCCCAAGCATTTCCATACTACAACCCTCTTTTGCAACAGCAATAGAACTTAAGTCACGTTCAGATTCTCTTAATCTCCATGCTTAGCGGTACCTTTCCTTTTTCTCGGTGCTAAGTTTTTCAGGGCCCGGGCGGGTCTTTTTTTCTTAACCATCTTGGCTGGAGACTTGCTAGTGTGAAGAAGAATTGATTTTTTTTTCTTAACACAAATGTGACAGTCTTGGCAAGCCATATCAATAATTGGTTCAAGGCACTGTGGCTGGACAAAAAACCAAAGATAGGGCAGTGGAAACTCCAGAATCAACTAAAACAACGGTCAGACGATAAAAAGCAGGTTCACATTGACCATAAAAACACTCCTGCCGTAGATATCCATGCAGCGTAGAAACACCATCCACACATGGGCCAGTTTGCAACTGTGGTGGCGATTTTGACGCAATCGATAATTCGCAACCAAATGATACAAAACCAAGCATATAACGGTAATCAGTTAAATTGGCGATGGGCAATGAACGATGAGGTCCTAAGAATTATAAAAGACCCAAGATGACGTTCATGGGGTCTTTGAAAACCACAAAAAATGCGTTTCTTCACCAGGAAAAAGTCCTCGGATGATCCTATCGTCAGCGACGGTGGCAGCTTTGAAAGCAGAACCTTGGACAGGACCGAAGGTACTTTGGAGAAGCACGAAGAGAGGGTTGATGTGAACTCTTCGGATAACTCAGGCACCAGGGCTGATCTGGATAAAGAGCCATCTGATCTTGAGGACCAGATGGAGTTCGAAGAGTCAAACCCGTTCTTGGACCCTTTCATCGCCGAGCATTACCGCCAGAAGTACGAAGCATGCAACTACGAATGTCGTGAGGCGTTCGACCCACATCTCCAATGGACCCGCAAGGAAGACAAGAAGGTGATGCGTAAGGTCGACAAAAGGGCCATTTTGAGTGCTTGTATCATGTTCTTTGCGTTGCAGGTCAACAGAGGTAACTTGCACGAGGCTGTTGCTGATAACCTTTTGGACGACTTGAACATGGACACCAACGACTATAACTTGGGTAACACGCTTAACTTGGTGGCTTTCTTGTGTGCTGAGCTTCCATCGCAGATTATCTCCAAGGCAATTGGGCCAGATATCTGGATTCCTATTCAGATCTGTTGCTGGTGTGCTGTTTCGACTTGTCAGGGTGCCTTGCAAGACAAGACTGGCTTCTTGATTTGCAGAGTGTTGATTGGTCTTTTCCAGGGTGGTTTTATCCCAGATATGGTTCTTTGGCTTTCGTACTTTTATAAATCAGGCGAGTTGCCGCTTCGTTTATGGGGTTTCTGGACGGCGTTGGCGCTTACCCAGACCATCACGTCTGTGTTGGCATACTTCATTCTTAGAATGAGAGGCGTGGGTGGATTGACAGGATGGCAGTGGCTTTTCATCATTGAAGGATCTTTCACCTTCCTTATTGGTGTTGCGTCGTTTTATCTTATGGTTCCTTCTGTGGTTCAAACCAGAAACAAGTTACATCCAAAAGGCTGGTTCACCGAACGTGAAGAAAAGATTGTCGTGAACAGAATCCTTAGAGACGACCCTAACAAGGGCGGTATGAATAACAGACAAGCGCTTTCCTTCAAGGCTATCCGTGGAGCTATTATGGATTATAACTTGTGGCCGATTTTTGCCATTGGTCTTTTGGCGTACATTCCCATGCTGACAGTGCAACCATACATGGTGTTGGCAATGAAAGACCTTGGATTCAGTACACTTGACGTTAATTTGTTGACGATTCCGCTGCATATTCTTCAGATCATTTTCATGCTTGCAGTGACTCTCTTTTCAGAGAAGATCGACGAAAGAGGCTTCACTTGTCTTTCGCTACCTATAGTGACCATTCCCTTCTTGGCTGCTATGAGATGGTGGCCTGGAACAATGGAGGACGCCTGGTTGACATGGTTCTTCGTCACCATGGTGCTTTCGGCTCCGTACATCCACGCCATGTGTGTGGCTTGGGTTTCCAGAAACTCCAACTCCATCGAATCTCGTTCCGTGTGTTCGGCCTTGTATAACATGTTCGTCCAGGCAGGCAGTATTATCGCCTATAATATTTACCGTGAGGACGATTTGCCAAAGTACCGCCGTGGTAACGAGCAGCTTTTCGGGATCATGATTGGTTTGCTTCCTGTGATATTATTTGCCAAAGGCTTCTATGTGTGGAAAAACAAGAAGCGTGATGAAGTGTGGGATACCATGACAGACGACGAGAAACAGACATATATTGCCGAAACCACGGACCGTGGTAACAAGCGTCTTGATTTCAGATTCGACCATTAGGGCATTTTTCAGGGCTTTTGATAGATAGAATAATACATCAAGTATCATAGACACATCAACAACCACATCAATACCACAAAGCCGTATAGCCCTACGGACACCCCAGGGAGCCAAAATCACGCCATTCTGAGCCACTTGTGTTACTGTTCAAGGAAGGACCTTCTTGGCTGCTTTTCATGTGCAAAGTGAAGCTCAAGGCAATGAAATCATCGTGCGTTCTTCGATGCGCTGACGGGAGCAACAAAACACAAATTCGACATACCAAGCAGCAGCATGTTTTTTTCTTTCGTTGCTTATCTGCCATTCTGTTTTTCCGTGATTCCTTCGCCTACCGTTTTGTGGCACTTTTCGTGCCCCCACGCTGAGGTTGCTCTGGGCTGCAAAGCTAGATCATATGCCTGTTGGGCTAAATCTGGGAGTAATCTTGCAGACCAGCAAGGCAAGGACCTGGGACCCACTGGTTGTAGTCACTAGGAAGTCCCCCTCCGTTATCACAAGCGGAAATACTTATCTCAGTTTGGCAAGAGGGCATTGTGTCCCACTGCTCAACGGTTAACCGTCTGTAAGAAGGATAAACTCCAAGCACGATTATGTTGCCTGGGCTAAGCATGTTCCGTATCTGCAGAAACAATTGGCGAACACCTGGCCAGCTGAAAGAAGCAGTTTAATCCGGTGGGTTGACTGAGTAAGACAAGAATGGTGATGGTTAGAGAAGGCAAGGCAAGTAAAGGAACAACCACCAAGGTAGAGTGGTGATCCTCGGCACGAACAGAAGCCGAGGAGAAAAAGGTCACATTTGAAGATTCACTTATCCATGAGGAGAGCAAAAACCTCTAAGGTAGTTTTCCGTTTCTGGAAAACATGGGGAAAAAAAAAAAATAATGTCAAACTCCGAAGTGGCTTCTGACAATTTTTTTGGGTTGTCGTGGGATCACGGGAAATGAGAAAATTCTCCCCCACATTCCATATGCCTTGACCTTGCCTTTACTTTCTTTTGCCTTCTCCTCGAGTTTCAGGCGCTAGTTGATGTTTTGCAGCCAAATGTTAAATTGGCCTTGGCAAGAACCCTTTGGTTCCTGGGATTTTCGTGGAGTCGCAAAATAACGCAATTTTTATGTCGATCACTTCTTCTAAGCCAGGGAGATATTTTCTGGTGAAGAAATGCTATTTTCTTTCTTTACAGGGGATTTCCACGGATAACCTCGGTTGCAATGCAGATCCACGCTTAGGCCTTGCACCGATCAACAAAAAGAAGATTCTGTTCTACACGTCGGCAACATCAAAAGAAACTGCCGGCTCGTAAAAGCCATATTATTAAATCCTATAGTTATCATTTCAGTTCATTGCAGTTGAGCACTCCATCAGTGTGTACAAGTCTCTCTGTTCGCTGGTCATTTCAGCATAGTAACACTGTAAGGCTCTCTGTAAAGCAGGGACGAGTTTGTCCCATCTAAGAATTCTGAATCCTTTGTCGAAACCACGAGGCTTGCGTACTTCGTAGGCCATAATCAGTCTGGCAAATTCTGCCTTGCGTTTTTGGCCTTCTCTTTGTGCTTCAAGCACGGCTTCTTTTTGGGATTCAGTCATTTCTCTATCCTCTTCAGCCCGTCTCTCGGCTTCTTTCGCTTTGGAGTGGTACGACGCCTTCAGCCAGAATGTCAACAAGTTCAGCCGGATACGCCCGCGTTCTCTGCGACGGAGTTTCAGATCCATCAACTTCGACTGAATGAGTGTTTCAACAATGGCCACCACTTCAACGGACGTGATGTAGAAATTAGTGCCTGGTTTGTCTTCGTCGCTGGCCCGGTCCCAAGCCAAACACGACACTTCGACGACATCTGTATCTGGAGGTGGTTTTTCCATTTCTGGATGGTCGTTTGCGTACCCAACAACAGAAAAGTCGATGTATATGAAATGGCCCTTTTGTCTGCGTTCAATACGTACAATTCGACGGCGATCGAGTTTCTCATTTCTGGACCATTTTGAATGACAGACATCCTTCACCGGCTGGCCTCCAACTACAAGCTCAACTTGTAAGTGCTGAAGGTCTCCCTGCAGCGGTTCAGGAGGACGAACGGAGGAGCCTCCAGAGGCTACACCACGAACTATTTTGCAATGATGTTGTGGAAGGACATTAGGAATTGAAGGAACCAGCGTGGGTGCTATCGGGCTGATTTTCAGCGGGCTGGTGAGACTGGATTCAATAGAAGTGACCAGATTGGATGAACTGAGCGAGTCTAGCAGGTCTCTAGAAAACACTGTGCTGTTGGAGTCTCTAGACGAGCTTTTGGAGCCCTGCAGTGGACGTTTGGGGGCTCTGGAGCGGGAAGCACGTTTCCTTGTTGGTCTTGTTTTTCTGACAGCGTCCGTGACAAGAAGTGGTGGTTTATCAGGAAGGTCAGTGGGGCCAAGGGACACAGACTTCGCTGGCGAAGGCGCCCTAAGCGGTTGTGGAGGTGGTGGAGGGATCTGAGCCTGGGCCGGAGGCATTGGTGGAATACCAGAAAATTCTGGATTGCCGTTCATGGAGCCATTGGGGTGGGCTGGAGGTCCACCGTTAATAGCACCTCCAATTGGACCTGGATGACCAATTGGCGGTTCATTTTGGCCAGGGAAAAGGCCATACATCAACAAACGTAGGTCGGCCGAGTCCTCCTGAAAGTATTCTGGGTTTAACCTTGGATCCCGTTCCATGGCAAACTGGTCAGGCTGGAATGCCAGGCTAAACAGGGCGCCTGCTGGTCCTATCATCTGCAGAGAAGGAATCTGAAACTCTTCTTGTTGTGGAGTCGCCGTCCGCATATCGGCATAATCAGAAAACGAAAAATCATAGCCTGAAGTCATTGGCGCCGGCGCCAAAGGGTCAGTTTCGTCTAGCACTAACTGGTACAGCAGCCCTGACGTTCCCGAGGTACCTGAAGTATGAGGTCTCAGGAAAAGCTGTGGTGGAGGATGCTGCTGGTGGAATTGTTGAAGCTGGTGCTGTTGATGTTGTTGGGGAGGAAACGGGTAGTTTTCAGGGAATTGCTCAAACTGATGGGCGTGGGGATTATGAAAGTGGAAATTGGCCATATCAGGAGCAGCAGGGCGAAGGATGTAATTGTTCATGAAGGCGAGAAGGCTAGGGAGTGGCAGACGGCACTAGAGCCGGTTAAATTAATCAATTGAGGTGGGTTGAATTGGAAGGGATTGTTTGGGAAGGATTTGATATATTGTTTTAATTGTTTAGCGTTGATTGTTTGCTTTGATCACTGAGGATCGAAGGCTTTTTAGATGTACAAAACAAAAGGGCAGAAGGGAGATCAAAATAAAAAAAGGTCCAAACAAATAAAGGGTCCTGGGGAAGAAGGTGAATATATAGTGCAGAGGAGAACAGGAAGGAGGAGGGAAAAAGGCAACATTGTATATATAAGTAGGGAAGTATTATTTAGGGAAAGGCAAATAAAAAAAAAAAAAAAAAAAAAAAAAAAAAAAGCTTTAGCGTATGCTGTGAGCTGCAGTAGGTGCATGGGGGGTTCTGTGTCTGGGACGATAATTTAATTAGTATGGCGATGCACCTGTGCTTCTGGGGTAGGTTGGTGATGCACGTCTTGCAGTGGGAACGACGTACGCCGTGCAGCAGGCTGATGCACGGTAGGTACCGCTGGTTGTGTGCCGTCGTACTCAGGCAGTATGTGCATCTTGTGTATCTCGCGCGTCGGCGTCCGCTCAATATATACCGAGCATCCCGCAGATAGTTCTGACAATAGCAGCTATTTTAGAAGCCGAGAACAATGCTCTCCCGGTCCCATTGTTAACGGCAGCCCGCTTGCAGGTCATCCACGATGGTTTCGGTGTTTAGATCTCGTAGGGTACCTCAAGAACGTTATACCGGAAACGCATTTCCGCTTAATAACACCGTATCCCCTGACTTACACAAGAGGCTATGTTACTGCTGGGGGCCTTTTCTTCGCTGCAACTGAAGCAAATGTTCGCTTGGAGAGGACAGAAGAATCCTATTCTCTTGCGGTACTGCAGAAAATCCCCCAACTTTCGTCGGGTGCACTTGTCCCAATATGCACGATATCATGCATGGCCTGCACATACGCATCTGAGAAGAAGGTAGGAAAAAAAAAACCGCAAGACTCTTAAAGGTCGTAAATGGTGGCTGATTTAGCAACACTAAATTAGGCGAGAATGAAGGCGCTTCAATATGATCTTCAATATGTAAATGGTGTCATTATCGACATTCATAAAAAACGGGAAAAAACTCGGTAAATTCGTAAATCTTCATACGTGTTTTTTCTTGACAGCGATCGACAGTTGCTGCAAGCGGAAGTTTATTTTGCGAGACAACAGAAGCATCTGAAAGAAAAAAATCGAGGCATGGAAAAAACAAGTGAAAAAAAAAAAAAAAAAAAAAAAAAAAAAAATAGAAGAACGTCCAGAACATGGCTTACAGCCAAGAAAGGGGCAATCTACGAGGATTCGCCCACGGAAAGCAATTTTTTCGGATTCTCCAACCCGAGTATACCCAGGCCAGCGTTTTTTCTGGTCCTTGTGGGCCGTTTTTGGACCATTTTGCGCTTGAACCAGTTATGACGAAGAAGAAGTATCCAAAGAAACACAAAACCCTAACGAAATACGAAGCATGGTCCTCTCCTTCTGTGAGTTATGCTTGCCATGATCTCCACCTTCCAGAGTTCTCTTAAATCCAAAAAAAGTCTCTTTTCACTAAAGTACTCTTAGTAACCTTCACTCTCTACTCTTTCACCAACGTGAATCGCCCCGACGGTGCCGTAAATGTGGGCCGTTTGGTCAAATTGCTCTTTTGCTGCCTTCTCCACAACCTTTGCTCAGGAGATAGACTCCCGATAACTTTGCATGACGAAAACGCAGAATGGGTTAAATGGATAATGGACTTGCCAAAGAAGAAACCCCCAAGCCATCACCACCAGAGAATGTGAAGGAAGTGGGAAGCATATGAACTACAAGAGAAAAAAATCTACTTTCATTGCCACGTCGAACTTTACTAAAAATGTGTTTGTGTAATTCGAAAGTGGTGATGTTCTGTTACTATTGAGTTTCCGGGAATCCCGGTCAAATAGGCTTAGGAAGTGGGACGTTCTTTTTTGGCACATCTGCCTACTGGAAGTGGACCTTTGCTGTGGATGGGGTGCCCCAACCCCTGGCGCCAGGCGGCTGAAGAAGTGGGTCTGATAAGCTGGTGGTCTTTCTTTGCTCCTTTGGCACTTGCACTTGCTCACTGGTTAGACGACGACTCGGCTATGCTACGTTTCTTTTCGCTTAGGTGGGTTGTGTTGCTGTCACACCGCTGACGTCGATGGTGGTGCTGGAAAGGGAAAAGCATGGAAGGTGGTGCTTAATCTGGGTGGAGTGATTCGGTTAAAAGAGCCTGTTTTTTGTGGGTGCTGCTTATCTGATTGGAGATGCAGCAATGTTGGTTAGGGGTTGGATTTGGGCTAGGTTTGGCCTTGGGGAGGCAAGTACGAGGTTTGCTGTGGGTTGGTACTTCCAGAGCCAGAGCCAGATTTATGGTTCTGTGGAGTCAGTAGCAAACACCAAGTAGAGGACGTTCTTGGTTACTTGAAGCCACAACTGCCCCTAATTTACAAAGAAATAAAAGTAAAAAATGCTTTTGGATACCTCGGAATGATCTTTGTAGATACCACTCTTCTTCTTCAAATAGCCAATCCACATCCCATTTAATTCCCACTTCCTCGACTCCAACCCACCAAAAGCTTCCAAACTGCTCTTCCTCCACCCCTTACAAATACCTAACCCTTTCCCTCGTCCAACCACCAACCCTTCTCTTCCACTGCTTAAAACTCCCACTTCATCCTTCCATCCTCCACTCATTCTCCCCCAATCTTTCCCCCAACCTGACGTCACCTTGCCAACCTCCAGCCTTGCCTGGCCTTTTCTTCCCTTCCAACGTTACATTCGCCCTTACATGGAAATCACCCTACATCGCCGTGCCTCCAAATGTAGATGTACAAGTATGTTGGTTGGTTTGTAAACTGTGTTGGACTGGCAACCGCTGCCAATGCTCATAACAGCCTTTTCCAGAAACCGTAAGTGTATTAAGCTTTTAAGCTTTCGATGAACTAATAATGTTCACTTTTGATCTCACAACTACACAAAACCTCTCTATTTCATCTCACCTCTCTTCCTCATCTCACCTTCCCTCTCTCATTTGCAACCAAAGGCTGCCAGGAGTTAACAAGATAGGACTTAAGCCACAACCACGAGGATATACCCGGATCCCGGATTTTAGGCGCCGTGCCACGAGGCATCTGAACGTGACACGGTGGATCGGCTTGGGTGTTCGGCCCGGATCGTATCTGGCATTAGGATCTTGCTTAGCTTGTGATATACAAGATGGGGGACGATTTTGGGGGCACAAAAGGGCACCAAGACATGTTCTTCCCCACTGGTTCCACGGGGAAAAAAATGGGCTTCTATACTGACGATCGTTCGCTGTGGCTGGGCGGGCGGTAGATCTCGCTAGTCGTCTAGACAACCAGGAAAGGTGAGGTGAAGGGGTGGTTAAGCCACCGTGTGTTGGCAGTAACAGGCTATTCTTCCCTTATTATGGTGGTTGATGCTTTGAGACCCAAGTTGTGGCTGGTGAAGCCTGACTCTGGCCAAGTGTCTTTGAATCCCGTAAACGGGAACCTTCTCGCTGGCGGCGGCTCTGCAGCGAGGTGCATTGCATCGCGCGCCAGATCTGCATGGCATGCTTTAGCGCCGCAGATATTTTTTAATTTATTATTTTTCCAGATGGCTATCCTACTGCTTTCTGCCCAACACAAACCTGCAACGTGATTACCACTCTCCCTCCTGTCCAAAATGTCTCCCAATTTGCGCTTTTGCGTTGTCCCCCCTCTGGCGCCGCCCCTCCTTCTGTAACCACGGCAACCACATCCATCCCTAACAACCCGGTTTCGGCCAACTACACTATAAAAGAAACGCCATCTCCCACGTTTAATTTGGTACCCCCACATCGCAAGCCAAGTGTTACTTCTCTACATCTACACGTAATTCTCTAGAACATCCCAAGAATGCAGCCAGTCCTGCGTCCCCGCCTCGCCTCCACTCGGCGCCCATACATTTCGATATTTTTTATCCTTTTTTAACCCTTAATTTTTTTTTTTTTTTAACCCTTGGCTTTAGGGGCCCTTCCTCCGCTAGTCCCTTGCCTCCTGCCTGCTCATTTATTATCTACGGGCCTGCCCCAGTATTATTTGTGCTATTCTGAGCCGATGCAGCTGCTTGTTCTGTGCGGCGATGGCAGGCATCCATCCATTTTGCCTATTTGCTTAGCGTTGGCTCTTTTGGGATAAGCGACAAGCGCTAAGCTAATAATACTCAGAGGCACCTCGAGAAATGCCCTCCAAAATGCCTTGGGCGTCGAGAGATCACGCTCAGGGCCCAACTGAGACAGAGAGGGTTCTCACTCAAGTCTAAAGTGATCTTGTGATCTTTATTCAGCTCCCACATATTCCAAGTCCCAAAAACCTTCGATGCTCATGCTGCTGGTGTTATCTTGATGATCTGGCTCGGAAGGCTAATCATTCGCTTCGGCGCCGCGGCTGCAAATCGCCTCAGCCAAACCGCTACCATGGTGAATTTTTTAAGCTTTTTACTTAGCGGCACCTCCTAGACCCTTGACGCCGTATATGGCTTTGAATGTGGAGGTGCCTTGGCTTTCGTACTTGAAGGTATTAGGCAAATTAGGAAGTATTGGCGTTTTGGCACTTCTATTTTGCGCATTTTGCATGTCGTTCCAGCTATCAAAAAACACCTTATTTCTGCTTGAATCCCTTTGACCCGGGCCGATTCCGGATGCTAATTTCATCTGGTTCACGTCAAACGCCTCAGTATCGCTCGGGCCCACCTTCTTCTTCCACAGAAGCGGCTTAGAGATCGCTGGTGCTGCTGCTTCTGCTGCAACTTTGGGCCCCTACATATTCCAGCTCATTATCAACGATTTCTTGAGTGGGCCCACAGTTGCATTTCCCCTGATCAGCTCTACGTTGGTGAGGTTGTATTTCTGTTTTTGTGGTGAAAATAGACGGATTTGACGATCTAATGTTGCGTCGCCAGGCTTAGTCACTGTGGCATCAACAAGCTAACTCCAACTGAGATTCGTGTGTCCATGATCCAATCAGAAAGTTTTTTGGTCATTTATTATACGTGCGTTGAGAGAGTGTGAGTGATGTCTGCAATGCTCTTGAGAGCCCTCGTCTAACATGAAATCCCTTTCGGAGTTCATGGTGCTTGGCATGGGTCCAACAGCAATTCGTGGGGTCCAACTCTGTTTCAAAAACTCCCTTATGCATCACACCCACATGTGAATCTGCTGGGTCGTCATTGTTCATGACTTTTCGGACTCTGTGCTTGCTTGAGGCGACTTAACCTCCACTTGCTGGTTGGTTTGAGGCGCTTTTATTTCACTATGATACTTTTTTTCTTTTTACCATTTATGATGTGTTGATTTTCTTTTTCCAAGCCGTGCTTCTAAATCTGTTATTTTAATTGCTCAACAGGTTTTTTTGAAAGCAGAACCCCCAACTTTATTTTTCGTCCTTTCCGTTGGACCATCCCGTCTTTTCCTTTCAGCAAAAAGTCGTATGGACTCCCAAATTGGGAAGTACGCTTTGTTTTATTAAACTTTTGGGTTTGTTTTTACGAACTCTATTTTAGACTAAACTTTAACAATACCTGCTCCATCCTGAGGCTGCTTCGTGGGCTAAACTTACTGTCAAATAAAAGGTACAATTCCACAATGCTGTTGACGTTCAAAATGGATGCCATTTAAACAGCACGATGCCAATGCTTTCCGATATTTTACTTTGTTTCCCTCTACATCAATTATGATGTACGGTTTAAGGGATGACTTGCTTATTATTGGGTGGGCTCATTTGCCGTGGATACTGCTGTTGTACTGAAATTGTGCATTGCAGTTAGAGACACTTCAGGTTTGCAAGTGGATGAATTTTGTATTGCTGTTACGAAGCACCAATTGTTACACAAAAGATAAATTCCTTTAATTTCGAACGACACGGCCTTCGTTGAAGACATCTTGTTTGACATTGGTCTCTTCGCTTCCATCTCATCTCACAATTCTTAGTACCTACCGACGAGAATAATAAGGTACTCAGTTCCACTAAGCCACAGAGCTTTCAATTTCAAAAGGTTTCCGTGGTAATGCAAGTGTGTATTAGCTAGTTTCATTGCTCTCCATCAGGGCCATTTCTTTTTAAAAGAAAAAAAAAAAAACTGGCTACTTGACAGAGATGCAACGAAACGCCAATGTCAATGAACACTCAAAGATGTTCTTGGGAGGTATCAGTACAAGCTCATAGATCTCAATTAATGGCTTTTCTGATGTTCATTTGAGTTTTGCTGTTACATGTATTGAAAACGCATGTTGGTCCAGCCTAAAGTCATGATAGTAACTCATACTAGGCTGTTCCATGCTATCAAAGCATCAAACCAAGAAGTCATACACCTAGCCTTCCTAGGTATGGCGGATGGCAAACACCGATTTAGGGCAGCTATATCATGACTGGGGGAGAGGGGAGGGGCTCGTCGTCTTTGGTAGGTTTCCTGACCATAATATGACAAGGCGAGAAAGAAAGCTCAAGAAAGAGAAAAGAGCTTTTTCAGCAAAGGGAAACAATGTTTCGAAAGGACCCGAAGGAGTCTTTTTGCACTCCAATTATTTTTTTTTTTTTTTTGTTTTGCTTTCGTTCTACACTGTCGATGGAATTTTTTTTTTTTTTTTTTTTTTTTTTACCACTTGAGCAGTGCTACGAGAAGCACAGTCGTGAGTTAAAAGGCCCTCCATTTTCTTGAATAACTTCTAGATCTTCTTTCGAGGCGTTGGGATAAATCTTTGAGGCCACGAAGGATCATGCTTAGTGCTTATCAGGTAAACCTTACGTTGTCTACCTACCCTAGCCTGACACCAACTCTACCAACACCAACACTACCGAAACCCAGATTAAGAAGGTTAGAGCATGGCCAAGCCATAACCAACCCATACCACGATTTACAACTCCCCAAACGCCTTCTTCTACACTCTTCTGAAAAGCTTGCTTATCATATTTGTTAACATACTACAGACTTTTGCTTCCTTTTTCAGCTTCTTCCTTCCAACGCTTTGATTCCATCTTCCACCACATTATCTCAAGCTTGGCGTTGTTGAGCTCCTCCTCGATCTGTTTGATCCGAGAGTCAAGCACCTCAACATCTTTCCGTTGCCGTTCTCTGTATCTGCGTGCCGCCAACGTGTTTCTCGTTCTCTTGTCGGACATGGGCACGGCTTCTGCCTTCACTTCGAGAGGACGATGTTTCCGTTTGCTGAGTCTTTTCCTGACCTTATCAATATCGTCTGACGAGACGTTTTTCGGCATTTTCGGCGCCTGCTTGATCTCTGGAAAATACTCTTTGGACTCGTCTATCCATCTCAACTGCGATGGAGTGTCGTTCTCTGAAGAAGAAGACTCCTGTGATGTGTCGTTGAAGCCAGCAGTGCTGGGAGTAGGAAGAAATTGGTCAAGATTAGCAAGTTCTGAACTAGATCCTGAGTATACAGTGAACTCATCGAGTTTCACATCAGGTATATCGCCTAAGCTAGGCGGTTCGCTGAGAAGTTCATTCCAAGGCGAATACGATCCGAACAGGGGTGAAAGCCACGATTGCTGATCCCATCCTGTTTCGCTTATCTAGTCGCTATACGTCGGTTAAAGGAGGTAAACCGACGTTTCCCAATAAAAAGTATCTCTGAAAGCCAAGGGGGTTGGTTTTGACTTCCGGGGTATAGAGAAGAAGAAGAAAAAAAAAAAAAAAATGTGAAGAATGCTCACCCTTAAATACCGTTCCTGGGAGGACCAATGCGGAAAATGAGTAACTTCTACTGATTAGGATACGTGCGCCAGGGCTTCTATCCATAAGGATAAGCACGTTGATTAATTCAGCCTTCTTGGAATCTTTATTGGCTGTAAGGGTTAAAATGAGTTTGATAGTCTGGGCGGGGCGTCGAGGGCGGGATACGATTTACTTTGGCAGAATGGGGCGATCTGTTTTTGGTGAATTAAGGGTGCCTTTTGGAGACTATTCGAAATGGGTGCAAAAAAAGTGAATAAATGGAAGAACTGCCGGTTTGATGTGATTTCAAGGTGAGATCTTTCTTCAGATACTTTCTGGGCATTTGCTTCTCTTATACCAACTGTCTGTTCTGCTTACTCCTCTTGGAACCCAGACTTGCCTTCCTGTGTTAAATAACAGAGGCAAGTGCCTCGGGCATCTGCACTTTAGAGCCTTTTGTGTTATTTCTAGCACAGCACCAGACTGATTATTACTGTTTCCAATGTGGAGGGTCTGGCTAAAATAAGGCTTTTTCATGGTTTGCTTTCCCGAAGGATTTCCTATATTTCCCCGGTGATATCCAAATTCGATCCATTTAACATTATGAAGTTGACCATCTTTCTTCCCCTTTTGGCATTGGCGTCTTCTGCCGCCATCAGCACTTCCAACATTATCCAGTTAGAGGAGTGCTTTAATTCAGTTCTCAACGTCAACGTCACAGCTGTTACACCAGGAGTGGAAGATGAAAACATACATATCGATCTTCATGAAGACGCACCCGAGATAGCTCAAGATCACATAGAAGATCTTAAAAAATGTCTTAGGCAGTTTGCTGGAAATCGGTCTGTTTCGTTCAGCTCATGGACTAATGAGAACGATGATCACATATTCAATGTCATGTTCTACAACGAGCCACCAGGAACTACCTTTAAGCAAGTCATAGCAAGGTACGTGGAGGATAGCAAAAAACAAGAAAGCAGGAATTTTGAATACGGGAGTATGTTGGTGTTATATTATGCTTCGACGTCCCGTCTTTTCCAGTCGTCTAGGTCTAGACACCATGCTTTCTTGAAGGCGGGAGGAAGTCTCTTTTTGTATTGAAGGTGGTGATATTCTTGTCCCTTTCTTATCTTTCCACCCTGATGAGCTTGATTTTGAAGTGACAAGTTCCTTGGTTTAGCTGTCAACCTGCCACAGGTTCTTCCACTTCGACTCGAAACAACACCATAAGCACACTCTGTGTACCAAACTTCCTCCAGACTCTCTCCAGAAGCTTGATGAAGCTCTCTTCCTTCCTTTTGTCTCGATTGTGTGGGAGATAAATCATGGAATACTCTTAACGGGAGACACATGCTTTGTCCATTCAAGAATATCCAGACCAATCATATTCCTGTTAGTAGTGTCATCTATAACATTTCAAGTAAAACATCATACCGCTTCATTAGCCAGTCCACCAATTCACATTCTCTGTTTGTAGGACTCAGAAAAGCACTTTGATTGTTTTTATCACAGCGAAGTCAACCGATGTCAAGCTCTTCCAGGGCTATAATCATCACAGTCCTGGAAAACCAATTCTACCAAGTCTACACCTGTTATTTTATATTTCCCACGTCGCTTGTCTCGAGTGTATGGGGTATTCATCTTGATAGGCTTTGTCTCATTATGATGGTATATTACTCATTCTGACCACCTAAAACAATAAAAGCTATATTGAGGGGAGACGATGGTTTTTTAGGTAGACTGTGCCGGGAAAAGGATATTTTATTACTTTGAAGTGAAATTGGGTTTTCTCTTATTTACGTTTTGTTTGTGGTTCGGAACTGTTGTGTCCTTTTGAGGAAGAACCCGAAGACTCTCCACTTTATGTGTTTGCTGTAATCTCCTAAGTCCTATCCATTTAATTTCCATATCTCCATTGGCCAATTGAATGTTGCAGTTCGTCTTTGTAAGGTCTTCTTGCTGCAGTGGTTCAATTTACCCTCCTTTTCTTAGTCCATGCCACACCAAGTTCAGGCAATGCTGTTGTGCCACTCAGTCAACCTGAAGCTCATCCATGGCCTCAATTACAGTCCTTGGCCTCAATTATATAAATTGTTAGTCTTCAGTTCCCCTTTAGGTAGTTTTGGTGCCTTGGACTCCTTAGACAACTACACTTCCAGTAGGTCCTCTCTGGCACTTTCCAGAAACTAACTGTCCTTTGACACTTTCTACTTCTTCATCTTCTACCTTACCACCCTTCTGACATCTCTCATCGCCCATTCTCTTATTTTTAGCCGAGACTCATAACTCTTCTAAACTCCCATTCTTGACCAACTACGCAAGCCACAAACCTTAAAAGGCCTTCTTCTACCGCTTCGTCTTAACATGTCCAGGGGCTTTTCTATCACCCCGTTGGGCCACTATACCTTTAAGTGTGAGCCCCTGGCTAAAGTTTCACCGTCCATTGTTCAGCCCTACCACTTCCCTCTCGAGGTGGTGAACATTACTATAAAGAGTATATTCGAGGAACAATCGAGATTTATTTTTGGGCGTAGCCGAAGATTTGACGTCTTTCGGCGGCTCATGGTTAAGTATTAGAAGGTCAATTTTAACCGAAATGCTGCTGCAGCTCGACAAAGCAATAGATAAGAAATCGGTCAGTCAAGCAAGAAAGGAACAGTACAGGAAGAGATGGACCGAGCCGAAGCTCAATTGGCCAGTTTAGAGGGCTAGAGAAGCTCAATTGGTCGATTTAGGTGCCCTATTGGATGCCTAGTGCTTGGAATACCTAAAACAATTGTTCACCAATTGAGTAGCAAATGCAATCAATTGACTGCAAAAACAGCCTTCCTACGTTCAAACCTATACGATATCGTTTATTGGGATGAGTTCATCAGAATAGACTAGTTCTTCTTGTACTTAGGGTACAACTGGGAGAAAATGAAGCCGTCAGCGACAACAAGACCAGTGATCAAGGCAGCGTGGATACCAACAACATACTTGTTGTCCGATCTGATTCTGGCACGCTCAGAGTAGACGAACCAACCGGCAGTAGCACCACCCAAGATCACAGCAAGCTGGCCCAAAACAACCGGGTTCTGGAACTCAGCTCCAGCAGCAGAAACAGTGTCCTTGTTCACATACGAAGTAACAAAGTTAGAAGCAGCCTGGTACTTCTCCTTGACAAACTTCGTCACCAGGTCAATGTATGGCTTAGACTCCTTCTCCAACTCCTTGAGGTCCTTCTTCACGTTATCAGCAGTAGCCTTACCCTTCTTGATAGCCTCGTCGGTGGCCTTGGAAGCATCCTTCTTCAATTTGTCGGCCTCCTTGGAAGCGTCTTTCAGAGCCTTGGATGCTTCCTTCTTCACCTTTTCAGCGCCTTCGGCAGCCTCGTTCTTCACGTCCTCAGGGGTTGAATGCATTGGGTCCTCAACGACTTTTGATCCTGTAGGACCGTTGGCGGCGGCAGCTTCGGCGTAGGACATTTGTGACTGTTTATTTTTTAGGGGATCGAGTAATTAAAGTTTCCTCTTTATAAAAGAACTAAAAGTGGGCGAATCGTCCGGGTTTTATTCAGTGTGGTGACTTTCGGCAGCAAGGTTTGACCCCCGGATATTTACTGGTTTGCTGTCCTGCAGGAAGGCCTCGCCCTGCCAGCCCTTTATCACGCGACCTACTCAAGGGGTGTTTAAGGTACGGGGAGGGAAGGGAATTGGTTGTGGATTGGTGGGGTAGAGGTGTCATTGTGGGGAATCGGTTTGTGGGTTCGGGGAGATGCTGGTGGGGCGATTATGGGTGGTTTTGATGTGTTGTGGTCACGTGCCGTTCACGTGATCACGCCAAAAGTTCCATGCACGGCAGGCTAAAACGGTACGCTGCTTGCGGCCATGCATTTTATTTTTGTTCCAGCAGACAGGGCCTCGGCTTGTGAATGATGGCCGCGCACGTGATGCATTGGTGTGATGCCTTGTCAGGTACATTGGACAAGGCACGGCTGAATCCGGAAGACGGCGCATTCCGGAAAGAAACCCGTACATTCGGAAACAATAAGAACGCCACTGTTAGGGCGCGAGCCCTAAATTCTCATTCGTTCACGTGACCGCGCGCATCCACCATCCTCCCACCCTGTAGGCGAAAAAAAAAAAAAATCTTCAGTTCTTCAACTCTTCAAGTTTATCGATCGAAAACCACCACCCCCGGCTTTCCACGTACATTCCGATAAACCAAACAGAAAACAATGTCTGCTCCAGAAGCTCCAAAGAGATCCTTCGGTGGAAGAAGAGGCGGTAAGGGCCCAAGAAGAGGTAGAAGAGATGAGGAGAAGGGATGGACCCCAGTCACCAAGCTCGGTAGATTGGTCCAGGCCGGTAAGATCACCTCCGTTGAGGAGATCTACTTGCACTCTCTCCCAGTCAAGGAGTACCAGATCATCGATCAGTTGCTCCCAGAGTTGAAGGACGAGGTTATGAAGATCAGATCTGTCCAGAAGCAGACCAGAGCCGGTCAGAGAACCAGAATGAAGGCTGTTGTCATCATTGGTGACTCTAACGGTCACGTTGGTTTGGGTATCAAGACCGCCAAGGAAGTTGCTTCTGCTATCAAGGCTGCCATCATCATTGCCAAGTTGTCCATCATCCCAATCAGAAGAGGTTACTGGGGTTCCAACTTGGGTGCTCCTCACTCTTTGCCATGTAAGGTCACTGGTAAGTGTGGTTCCGTTTTGGTTAGATTGATCCCAGCCCCAAGAGGTAAGGGTATCATTGCTTCTCCTGTCGTCAAGAAGTTGATGCAGTTGGCTGGTGTTGAGGATGTCTACACCTCCTCTTCCGGTTCTACCAGAACTACCGAGAACACCTTGAAGGCTGCCTTCATTGCCATCGGTAACACCTACGGCTTCTTGACTCCTAACTTGTGGGAGGTCCAGCCTTTGGCTAAGTCTCCTTTGGATGTCTACTCCGAGGAGGCCAAGGCCGGTAAGAGAAGATACTAAGCGTCTCGCTGTATAGTTAATCTTTAATCTTTCTACCAATCAAACATGTAGCTGTAGTGATATGGTCTCTGGGACTGGTTTTTCAAATCGTGATAAGTTCTTGTCTACATTTCACTACTTCAAGTTTTATATCAAATTATCTTAATCGTATTTAAAAAATCTTTAGTTTACTCTATTCTGGTTCTGGTAATCTGTAGATAAGAGATGATCTGGGATAGTCAATATCTGGTCCCCTAGGCTTGATCTTATAAGAGATACTTTACTCAAGTGCTAACGTTACTGTGTTGAAATTGAAATCTAATAAACGCCATTATTCGTCAGCACATTCAGGAGTGACCCCGGTGTCATCTCTCTAATAAATACCTGGTCAAGCAGACCGCTCTATAATCTTCTTACTTTTTTGATAAGCCGTTTTTGGCATATCTAGTTTTTTTTTTTTTTTTTTTTTTTTTTATTTTGATTTTTTATTTTCTTTCTTTTTTTTTTTTAGACAACCTTGTGTCTTAACTTATCCTGTTAAATCTTTTCTGTCATATGTTACACCGTGTGTGGCTTCCCTGTTTACTGAACGGCCTGCTCCATCACCTGGTCATCAGGGACAGCAAAAGCACGCTCATCGGTACCCTCAGCTGGGGCACCGCCGGTGTTCTTTTTAAGGAGAGTGACCTCTCTAGCGTCTGGGTGCTTGAAGTAGCAAACCTTGTTGGCACAGTCGTTTTTGTGGCGACACTCCTCCTCAATGATGTGGTTGAAAGTACAGCCTGGCATGGTACAGTCGTTACCACGCTGGCAAGCAACAAGGGAGGTGGCGTGACGTCTGCCACAGTACTTGTTGGAGCAACCGTTGTTGAACTTACACTGTTCCAAAGAGGTGGCTGGTCTTCTGCGGCTACCAGTAGGCTTGGCTGGAGCCTTGTAGTTTGGCGAAGAGTGGGCAAAGACACACTGGCCGTTGGTACACTCCTTGTTGGAGTGACACCATTTTGGAACAATAGGCTTAGCATCCTTGTTGGCTGGGGTTGGGTGGCCGAATGGGCACATCTCCTTGGAGCAAATAGCACCGTACTTACACATCTGAACACGAACAGCTGGTGGGCCAGAGGGCTTGGCAGCCAAAAGAGCTGGCATATGCTGCTGGATCTGCTCCAAAAGCTTCTTCTCCTGAGCCAGAGGTTGGCCTCTAGTCTTGACAGGGAGAGCATCTCTCTTAGAGTGGGTCTTGCTGACAAAGTCCTTGCTGCCCTTGGAAACACCAGCAGAACCTCTAGTCACACGTGGCTTGGTGACAGCACCGAACTTACCACGGCCCTCGACACCCTTCTGGAACTTGACGTTTCTAGTAGCAGCTGGGCCACGAGGAGCACCAGCTGGACCAGTTGGAGTAGCAGCAGCAGGAGCTGGAGCTGGAGCTGGAGCAGCAGAAGAGTCCTGGGCGTTGAGGCTCTCAAGACGACCAATCTCAGCGAAAACAGTGCCGATGAAAGTCTCGTCAATAGGGATAGTAACGATCTCCTTGACCTCAGCAACGATCTCGTTAGCTGGACGGCCATTGCCAATCAACATGATAATGTACTCAGCGACATCCTTAGCGTCGTCAGCGATCTGGTACTTGGAAGTAAGCTCAGTGACGAGAAGAGGGGTGAGCTGTTGAGCGATAGGGCCTTTTGGGTCGAACATTGTGGGAAAAAGAAGTAGTAGTGGTGTGGAGAGTAAGGGATTATTTTTTTTTTTTAGTGATGCGATGGGGATGAGATGGGAAGATTTGTGGTGCACGGGTGTGAAAGAAATGCATCTGGTCCAGCGATGCTGAAAACGTGTCTACGAGGGAGGGAGTTTGGTAGGTGGAATGCAAGGTACTTTTAGGGCTGAAAGGTGAAATTTTTGGGGGTTTCTAGTGGTTATTGGTGGTTTTGGCTGGGGTTGGTGGATGGTTGGATGGGGTAAGTGTATGCAGTACGTTTTTTGCAGCCATGGATCATCCGGAAGTCCAGTAAGGGCAAGTCACTTATTGAAAAAAGTAATAAGAGTGGAGAAGGGAATGGGAAGGATAAAGAGAGAAGGGTATTTCGTAGGGGGTTTAGGTTTTGGTGTGGCTGGCGTAAAGGATAGATGGGAAGGCGTCTCTACTATGGAGCTGAGAAAGGACCTATTAAGTGTACATAGGGAAGGTTAGGAAGGGGCGTTACACAGAGGTGTTTTTATTGGATACTAAGATATGTCTTAAAAGTTTGTTTTCATGTTTTGGGTACTTTTCTTGGGGAAGTATTACTGGTTTGGTTGTCTACTGTGCTTTTGAGAAGTCACCTAACTAAATGGGCATACAATTCAGTGGTAAAGAATTGGAGGTTGGTCAATCTTGAAGTCTCTAAGCTTTATCAATTGGGTTGTCAAACCATCACAGACCTGGCATGAATGCTTTACTACTGGTACCGCCTGAGCTTACATTACGGGTTCACTTTAAACATAACATATGTGCAATTATCTCTTCATTGACCACTTTCGAACGTGAATCTGTAAACCTTCAGTCTATCTGGCTCATACAGAATTAATCAAAAGCAAAAAAAGAAAAAAATAAAGGCTCCATAAGTCAGTGTGCTTCAGTCTATAGGGTGGACCTGGCAAGTGGTAATTGAATAGCTTTATATATTTCAGCAGAACGGTGATACAAACTCACTTCAAAGAACTTGACAATAGGAAGAGCCCAATCTTTCCTTGAGAATCAATAAAAGCCTTTTCTGTTCCCTCATCCATATTCAGCCTCCCTCATTCTTCCATCTACACTTTCTCTTCCTTAACCAGTACAACTCATCCACTACAACTCATCCACTAAAGATAACCAAAATTCTCTCTACTTCAACGACCAAACTCCCTTTTCCCATATTCTCCATCCATCCCCTCCACCCCCTCCAAATCGCCACCTTCTCGTCCCACCTTGACCACCACCCTCGCGTCTCTTCACCATACTTAAGCCCACAAACAACCCCCACCAAAAACCCACTTTTTTCCACAAACCAAAAAACCAAAGACCTCAGTCCCATTCTTTCCACCCCCAAATCCCCAATTCCCAACTTTCACCCTCCTACAACATCCCCACCCAGCCTTTCCATCGCCTTCTCTCTTCCTCCAGTTTGCAGCCAAAACCTGGCGGCGCACGCACATCTCGAAAAGTACTTTCCACATACATCCAACCTCACCCTCCCAATAAAGCTCCAAAAACCATGTCAGTGCAGATCTTTGGCGACCAGGCAAGCGAGGAACGTGCCGAAAACGCCAGAATGGCGTCTTTTGTAGGTGCCATTGCCGTGGGCGATCTTGTGAAAACAACCTTGGGCCCAAAGGGTATGGACAAGTTGTTGCAAAGTGCTTCTGATCCCGACAAGGCGCTTATTACCAACGACGGTGCCACCATTTTAAAGCTGATTCCTTTGGACAATCCTGCTGCTAAGGTGTTGGTGAACATTGCCAAGGTGCAAGACGACGAGGTTGGCGATGGTACCACGTCGGTTACTGTGCTTGGAGCTGAGCTTTTGAGAGAGGCCGAGAAGCTTGTGGACCAGAGAATCCACCCACAGACCATCATCGAGGGATTCCGTATTGCCAAAGACACCGCTGTGTCTGCTTTGGATAAAGTGGCTATCAACAACGGTGCCAACGCCGAGAAGTTCCGTAACGATTTGGTGAATATCGCCAGAACCACGCTTTCGTCGAAAATCTTGGCTCAGGATAAGGAGCACTTCTCCCAGCTTGCTGTGGACGCTATTTTGCGTTTGAAGGGCTCTACCAACTTGAGCAACATCCAGATCATCAAGAAGGCCGGTGGAAAGTTGGCTGATTCGTACTTGGACGAGGGTTTCATCTTGGAGAAGCGTTTCGGTATCAACCAGCCTAAGAAGGTCACCAACGCTAAGATTCTCGTGGCCAACACGTCGTTGGACACGGATAAGGTGAAGATCTTTGGCGCCAAGTTTAAGGTCGACTCGACTTCCAAGTTGGCTGAGTTGGAGAAGGCTGAAAAACTGAAGATGAAGGCCAAGATCGAGAAGATCAAGAAGTTCGGTATCAATGTCTTTATCAACAGACAACTAATCTACGACTACCCTGAGCAGTTGTTCACCGACTCCAAGATCAACTCCATTGAACACGCTGATTTTGATGGTGTTGAGAGATTGGCTTTGGTCACCGGTGCCGAGGTTGTTTCTACCTTTGACGAACCAGATAACGTTCGTTTGGGTCATTGCGAGCTGATTGAGGAAATCTTGATCGGTGAGGATCCTTTCCTTAAATTCTCTGGCTGTGACGCCGGTGAAGCTTGTACTATAGTGTTGAGAGGTGCCACCGAGCAAGGCTTGGACGAGGCCGAGAGATCGCTTCATGACGCCTTGTCTGTCTTGTCGCAGACCACCAGAGAAACCAGAACCGTGTTGGGTGGTGGTTGTTCTGAAATGATCATGTCTAAGGCTGTTGACCAGGCTGCTGCCAATGAAACCGGTAAGAAGGCTCTTGCCATTGAAGCCTTTGCTCGTGCTTTGAGAGCTTTGCCTACGATTTTGGCTGACAATGCTGGTTTCGACTCCAGCGAGTTGGTCACCAAATTGAGATCCGCTATCTACAACGGCATGCTGACTTCTGGCTTGGACTTGAATAACGGTACCGTCGCCGACATGAGAGAAATGGGCGTGGTGGAGTCGTACAAGTTGAAGCGTGCCGTGGTGTGGTCATCGTCTGAGGCAGCCGAGGTGTTGTTGAGAGTCGACAACATCCTCCGTGCTAAGCCCAGAACGGCTGACAGAAACCACTAGGCAATTGATAGATCACGTACATAATCACATCACGAAACACAATGAACGATTAACTTTCTATTTATTTATGGTCTCAATCTTCTTGGGTCTCTTGGGAAGAGCGAAGCACGACGAATGTTCTTCAAGTCCAAGTAGAACATCAACACTCTCTCCAAACCGATACCACCACCGGCGTGTGGAGCACAGCCGTAAGTGAAGGCATCGACGTAGTCGCTAGCACCGTCGGCATTGAAGTCAACACCGTGAGCAGCCATTCTCTCCTTCAACAACTCTGGGTCGTGGACACGCTGGGCACCAGACAAGATCTCCTCACCTCTCATGAAGAAATCGTAAGAGTTGGAGTATCTTGGGTCCTCTGGGTCAGGCATGGTGTAGAAAGGTCTGACGGCCAATGGGAACTTGTCCAAGATGTAGAAGTCGGTGTCGTACTTGTCTCTGACCAACTTGCCTAGGAGCTTCTCGTTCTCAGTAGACAAGTCCTCGAAGTCGTCAACTTCCTTACCAGCCTCTCTCAACATGGCGATACCTTCCTTGAAGTGCAATCTGACCATCTTGCCGTCAGCTGGCAACTTGAATTCCTCAACAGGGAACTGCTTTCTGACAGTAGCGATTTCGGAACCGTATCTGTTCTTAAGCTCGGTGAAGATGAAGATAAACAAGTTCTCCAAAACCTCCATAACCTCATCGTAGTGCTCTTCGAAAGCCATCTCCAAATCCAAACCAACGAACTCAGTCATATGACGATGGGTGTTGGAGTTTTCAGCTCTGAACACTGGAGCAACCTCGAAAACCTTTTCAAAGTCAGAAGCAATCAACTGTTGCTTGTAGAATTGAGGAGACTGGGCCAAGTAAGCAGATCTCTTGAAGTAAGAAACTTCAAAAACGTTAGAACCACCTTCAGTAGCAGCACCCAACATCTTTGGGGTGTGGATCTCAGTGAAACCCCTCTTAGACAAGAACTCTCTGAACAACTCACCGATACCGTGCTGGATTCTGAAAATAGCCTGGTTGGTTGGAGTTCTCAAGTCAATGACACGAGAGTCCAAACGAGTGTCCAAGTTAACCACTGGAAGACCAGCAGCTTCAGCCTCAGCGTCAGAACGAGAAGCATCTTCGATCAACATTGGCAATTGCTCAGGAGTCTCCTGAATAGTGTAAATCTTGGTAATGTGAATTTCAGCATCCTGAACAGTGGCAGACTTGACTGGCTCGTCAACCTTCTTGATGATACCGTGCACAAGCACAATGGACTCCAAGTTGATGGAACCGGCCCATTTAACCATCTGCTTAGAAATAGACTCGCCGTTGGCCTTGAGAAGACCCTGGATCAAGCTCAGCTGCTGTCTAAGAGTCATAAACACCATAGTGGCACCCTGCTGTCTAGAGTTGTGGGCTCTGGCTCTGAACACGACTTCCTGGCCATCGTTCTGGGCACTCAAGTCGGCGATCTTGACTCTCTGGATTCCAGATTTCTCGCTGGAGTTGATCAATGGCAACTTACCGTAGTTCTCCTTGGAAGGATCGTTGGCAGCCTGGGCCTCCTTGTCTGCTTTCTCTTTAGCCAATTGGGCCTCTCTTTCAGCCTTCTTCTTGGCCTTCTCCTTCTCTTTTTCCAACTTCTTCAATGCTTTTTTAGAAAGTGGCTGGCCATCCTCGCCGAGAATGACTCCTTCAGCTGGTTTCTCCTCAAGGGAAAGGTTTTTCAAGTCTTTGGCTTCTTCAGACATGGTAGTAGGTTGGAAGTTAGTCACTGATGATGCCTGAAATTTTGATCTTGTGGTAATATGCACACTATGGGTAGGGAAGGAGCTACAATGGTGGATTTGGCTTGAAAAATCGGGAAAAAAAGTAAGCTGGGTATTTAAGGGAGTCTTGGTTTACTGGAACTACTTGTTTTCTGATAATTTTACTATTTTTTGTACTTTTTGATGGTCTCCTGTTAATGCTAGTGTTCGCAGTTCAGCTTAAAAGAGTCATTTTGCACCCAAAATGTCGCAATGAAGATACATGGAAATAGTTAAAAAGGGACGTGTAAAAAAATGCTGAAAAGTTTTATAAATAGAAAGTTGCTATTCGGAATGGGCGGGATGCGAAGGGTTTGACGGCAAAATGACCCTTTCTGGCAAAATCTGTAGAAGTAGAAGTAAGTACTATATACTACGAAGTGCTTACTCGGTCAGTACACTTGACCCAATGGACACCGAAGAAGCCAGGAACAACAGATCATAGCTGCTTTGGTCTTGTAAGACATGGTGTTATGAGCATGCCTTGATGCTTTTAAACGAAGCCTGAGTCAAGGCAAGTTGTCTATTTGTGCCATAATGCTGCTTATACTGCCGCAGGAGGTATAACTCGTCACAACTAGCTACTTTGTTGTGAATCATTCTCTCAATGTCTAGAATATAGACAGAACGGCTACGAATTGAATGAAATCCTGCCTGCCTTTGACCATTCCATTTACACAAGCTAAACAGATGTCCCGTACAAGGTGACCTTTCATCGGTTTAACCCTATCATGCTGAAAAGACTTTTGGGGTTGGGCAAGCTTTTTTAAGAGAAAATATCAAACAGTAATTGGCCTTTCGACACCCCAGATAATGAAACTTAGGCGGCTTGATACAATGATTTGTGTTCTTGGTGAGAGATGCTGTAATGGGCCCTGCGGCACACAGGCTTCAAAAGAAAGAGAGGAGCCCATAGAAGCATGACTAAACTATATAGAAAACCGAGAATTTAACCAATTTCATGAAAAATCCCTTGGTGAAGGCAAAATCTAGGGTGAAAGCCATTGCATAGTTAAGCAAGTAATCACATGATAAACTTCACGTGATCCATAAAATGTGAAAAATATCACGTGCACTCCATATTATACACAACTTGAGATTTTCCCATAGCCGCGCAGGAATAGTTCTACACATATAAATCCGATATGGTGTAATGGCTAGCACAGTTCGCTCTCACCGAGCAGATCGGGGTTCGATTCCCCGTATCGGAGCTTTCTTTTTTTGCTTGGATTCCCTTAATTTTTTTTTCTTTTTGTCAGGCTATTCAAGCTGAATGCTCCTTAAGGACGAGCTATCGAGGATATTCATTTTGCGCTGCTCTAGAGCCGTAAAACTTTCTGAGGAAGTATGAGGTATGGAGCGCCAACAGAAAATGGATTAGCTTCGTTTCCTTTAGATTTGGGCTATTACTATGGTTGTTTCTGGTTACGTATAGCCCTTTGTATTCCTTCTGAAGTCAAGTAAAGAGCTCAGATGGACAATTAGGGCATTTTTGCCCGTAAATTTAAGCAAGAGTCACACTATTCACAAGAAGTCCGCTTGAACATCTGTAAACTCGACATAACTGTTGGGGATGTCGAGAGGATTATTATGGGGGCTTACTGTTTAGTATAATACTAATATTGACGTGACTTATGTTGTTCAAAGATCAGACAGAGCCTTCGATGAGGGTAAGCACATAAAGAATTATTCCATTGGAATATTCCTGGTATGAAAGCTTCTGCAGTAGCCCCAACAATGTTGTTTATGCTTTGTCTGATCAAATATCTCATTTCCCTCCAATTGTTCTTTACCATTTCTATTTCTGGTGGAATCAAGTAATTACCTACAAGCACTGAATTAATCATTCTCCCAGAAATTTCAACCGGCAGAGTTAGCTCTATAGCTGCTTTGTGAAGAAAGAAAGATCTCTCCTTGGATTACAGGGATCATTGGATGTTTGCTTCCATTTTCAGCATCCAAAGACATCTCGAGTAATATCCATAGAATGTCTTCCGCTAATTTTATTCCAAACACGAAGTTCTTATATAAAATAAACTTAGTACTTAATGCTTTCGTGATTGTTTTACATTGCCCATTACTGCTGGAAGCCCCATTGCACGATCCAGAGCCTTCAAGAAGTTGCCTACCCAGCCAAAAAAGAAGATCAAAATGATATTCTAGCTAGACAGAAACTCTATTCTTATGACAAGGAAAAACATAAAAAAAGAAGAACTCCGATACGGGGAATCGAACCCCGATCTGCTCGGTGAGAGCGAACTGTGCTAGCCATTACACCATATCGGATTTGTTATACTGAAAACTGGGTGCGGTTAGTTAAGAGGTTTATGTAAATCTATATGCAGGTACAAATAAATGGCTCCAATTTTCCACTAAAAACCACCAACATCAAGGTCAATTTTTCTGGAATTTAATTGTAACTTCTCTAGAGACTCAGGCGCTTGAAAGCGGGCTCTTTTGGCCACTAAATGAGCATTTACCGTGGAAAACATCACTTAGTTGTAACAAGTCCACTTTTCAAGAGGTCAAGAGGTTTACATTTTCAGACAGTCACACTTAGCAAACCCTTCAATGGATGAAGCACGTAAGGTGTCTTTAATTTCAGATTGAGCTCAGCTGGGATTTGTGAAAGAGGTATCAGAAGAATTGCACTTTTTTTTTTTTTTTTTTATTTTTTTTCTAACAAGTTATTGAAGAAAGAATCATATAACAGAAAGATTTCCAAAAGATATTGCTAATATATACTAGTTTTTTTAAAAACGGTTAGACAGTTAAAAGACTGGTGTAAAAATGTAAATGTCAATGAAAGAGTAAGCAGTATTGGTGTTACAGCGCTAGTAACCAGATATCAGCAATTCGAGGAGTTCAGTCATGGGTACTCCACTCTGGGGTAGTCTTGAGTTTCGGCTCTTCTATCTATTTACATGAATATTTAAGAGAAAGTGATTTTATGGGATTCATGTCGCTGGGCACTCCTCGGTTTTTCTATGAAATGGACCAAGCATGTTCTGGAAAGTAATTTTTTAACTTTATTCTTTTCAAGAAAATCCAATGAAATTTAATCAGGAAGCGTATTGGGATACAACGATAATGAGTCCAGCTGACACAAGAAGGTATGTCTAAGTTCAAGTGTCTTGGGCGTTTGTGAGGTTCACTCCATTGATGAGACCGTCTTGACCAGAAATGAACTCCCAGTTTGGTCATACAAATTCTACTGGACATCGTAACAACTACTAAAGAATATGACATATTCTGTGGGATGCAAGAATAAAAGGAATGGTTGTAATGAGTACGTAAAGGCATATATAGCTGTCTATGGTTTCTTGAGACAGTTACAATTAGCGAACTCATACATTTAGGAAAAGCAAGCCCAAAAACGAATCAAGGACTATAAACAAACATGGAAGAAGATAAGAAAGTTCATTCTAATGATGCCAGAGATCCTCTACTGCCTTGCTTTGCTTGAAAAAGAAGTGAAAATACAAAAACAGCTCTAACTCCACAACCGCTCGGAATTTTTAGCTCAAATTTCTCATGCGTTATACTAAATACATAATGCAACTTTTGAAAGCCTTAAATATCCAAAACTTTGGTGTCTAGTCAAAATAGCGTTCATATATGCCTAGCTCTCCAACCTTTAACAAGTCGGTCCCTTGGCCCAGTTGGTTAAGGCGTGGTGCTAATAACGCCAAGATCAGCAGTTCGATCCTGCTAGGGACCACTTCTTCTCAGGGCGTGTGGCGTAGTTGGTAGCGCGTTCGCTTAGCATGCGAAAGGTCTCCGGTTCGAATCCGGACTCGTCCATTTTTTTGCGATATATACCGTTATTTTCTATATTTTTTTGCAACCATTTGTCTCAATCTCGTTCTACGCCATGATTCTTGTCAATTGGATCCTTTCATTGTACGAAATACTCTGGCAATTCTGCACGGAGCCGGCATTTGCCGTCACTTCAGGAACCTACGTCTATCCATTTCAAGTTTGTAATTCACTTACTTCTATCAGTCTCTCTTCGTTATTCTAACATTTCCAGGGCATCATCTATTTCTTCAACAACTCAGATATCTGGCCGTTTTACGGCGCCATCATTATCCCACAGTTCTTGTTCATGTTGGCGGTATACGCCGTCATGTACGTTGCAGTGTATCCGCTTTATGCTCTTCTTTCTTTCGTGGCTTTCGGGCCATTTGGAGTGGTGAGTGCATTCTTCACGGTTTTGCAGTACTCCAACATGATTCTGAATTTCTTGATCTCAGTGGTGCTTATGCCGGGCGCTAGGGATGTGGTATTCGACGCCGTGTTGAGCAGAGAAGGCCAAGACTATGTGGTTTTCCAGGAGAAGCTTCGTCGGAAGCATAAGAAACTGTGGAAAGTGAAAATCACCACGGTCAAAACCTTCCTTTTTTGCAAACTTCCAGAAATCATTCTTCTCGAGCTATTGATCCTTTTGGTCGGTATCATCCCAGTCATTGGTCCTTGTCTTGTTCTACTTATCAGGGCACCGTGCAAAGGCCGCAGTCTCCATGGGAGATACTACAAGTTGAAAGGATGGGATAAGCAGCAGATCAAGGAGTTCGACAGCATGAACAGAGGTTATTATACGGGTCTTGGCGGCGCCGCATTGCTTCTTGAGATGATTCCGTTTCTGACCCTCTTGACAATGTTCACCAATACCATAGGCGCAGCCTTATGGACGATTCAATTGGAATCCAATGGTGATGCATTAGTACAAGTACACAGTGTCAACACAACCGAACCCAGCCGCTACGCCGCCCTCGTCACTGGAGCTGAATTTAGATCTCAACAAGAAGCCGGCGTTCTCGTTTGACTTGATCTCACCAGTTTCTTCATTGAAGACCAAGGTGCCGAAGATACCTAGTTCTGAAATGATATCCTCGCGGTAGATTTGTCCGTCCTTAATGATCTTGTTCTTGTGAGTAGGTGGATGAATGAGTTCCATCAAAACGTAGGCACCCCATTCAGATTCATCCAACGCCTTCAAGTGACCTGGAATATCTTCCTTGTAGACGTTGTTTCCACCACCTTCTCTTTGTGGCTTCAAGACAAAGTTCTGAGGCTCCTCAAGAGCTAATCTCTTTGCTTCTCTGCCTGCTTTTGTATCGTCCAAAGGATGGATTTTGACAAATGTAGAAAGCAAGCTGTCAAGCTCCTCCTGAGGAACGTCACCAAGTATCTCCTTCACTCTAGATGCGTCGGTCAAGACCTGCTGAACCTTCTTGGAGCCGGAGAGTTGTGTAAGCAAGGAGGGACACTTGATGGCTTTGGATACCTCCAAATGGAGTCTAGCGTCCCAGGTTTTCTCTGGGTTGACAGTGTAGTCAGTTGGAGCGTAACCTGAACGGTAGTAGACCACTGAAACTTCATCCATGGTAGCTTTTATGTATAATTTACCAGAATTAATGGTAGTCTTTTCCTTGATCTCCTCTAAAGTCAGTCTATATGACTTGATGCCGTGATTCTCAAGCAAAGCGTACTCGATGAGCCTCTGGTCGAAGCAGTTACGCTCGCCAGGCTGAACCACGAAAAGTACCACCGTCTTCTGGTTATCAGTTTCATCATTATAGAAGTAGTTACCCTGTGCCAAACCTTCAGCGATCTGGTTGATCGAATCCGAAACCGGCAATTCCCCAGGCTGGTAGTATTTCAACGAGTAGTCATCATCGTAAACACCACTCTTGTTCAAGTAATTATGAGCAGCACCCACCTTCGTAGACAAGCCGCCAAAGGAGATACTCACCGTATTAAACTCAATCTGCTTCACCGAATGGTCGGTCTGATTATACATGTAATCCGAACGGAACACACCCAAACTCAATGGCTGGGGCAATTCACCATCACTGGCCTCCACAGCCTTCTTATACGTCTCATACAACTGGCCAGTGAATTCCTTATCAAACACCGCCAAACTCTTAATCAAATCCACAAGCCAGATCTTCTCATGAGAAACAACATTCGCATATAACTTGTTAAATGTCGTCTGCACCTTCATGGCATTCTCAAACAAGTCCTTTGGAAATGGGGTAGGGAACATGGTGATAGGAGCATTATTGGCAGAGTGAAGTTGCCAATTGGGCGGGTACATGACAAGCCCGTTGGCCAACGACCACTGGGAGAGTCTCTCAACGAGCTCTTTTTCGTTTTCGGACGAAAGGGAAGGGAAGTCTTTGTGCAGCATGGGGTTTAACTGGAAGGTGTTGCTTACCAATTGGTGATGGTTACTGGAAATGGCGATAGTGTTGATAGGCGGTGTGTGCAGGTGTGGCTGCAAAATACTGACTCTGATGGGTCTAAGTGGGAGTTGAAGGTGGATAAGGGGGCGTTGATTGGTTGATTAGAATGTTGATATTGGTGGGAGCTGTCTGTGGTGCTTGGTTGTTTTGTGGCTGGGCTGGGTGTGTGGTTATATGGGGTGGTGGTGAGGCAACCATAGAGGAGAAGTGGTGGGTGCTAGAGGAGAAGGGGACGAAGTGAGTAGGCATAGTTGAAAAAAGGAGAGGAACATTGGAAAAGGGGAAAAATAGAGCAGAAGATGATTCATGTTTCGAGGTTTGTTTCAGGTGTGTGACAGGGTTGGTGATTGTCTGAGACTATGGGTCTGTAGCAAGTAAGTTTCAAGTGAAGTGACACTTAGGTCTTTCATGCGCTTCAGGGGTTGGCTATTTAGTTTGATAGTGAACCAGTTAAAACATTACGTACCTTTGTGTTTGTTTGCTCCACGTTCGGTCTCGACAGGTTAAGTAGTGACTGGGTAGCAACCAGTAGTACGCACACATTGTCCCATGAAGCCTATGAACGGCTGTATTTAATGAAAGGAAAGAGAGCAAGAACATTTAATTGACCTATATTGATCTTATGGCTTCAAATTAAAGCGAATGATCACGATTGATGGGTGTTCTATTGGCTTTTGATGTTCTGGTGAATGTACATTGGGTTAAGGTATAGGACTACGTCAGTGAGTAGAGTCTATAAAGAAAATCCGAGCTTCAAAATTTAATAATTAGAGTGAAATGTGAGGTATCCTATTCACCCAATTTATTCTTTAATAGTAAAGAGTGGGCTCATTATGAAGTGTCTGTTGAGGAATACATTGCACGGGACCGCTAGCCACCACATATTCACCTCAACAAGAGAAGAATAACTACCAAGGCTGCTTTCTACGTCTTGAATTGTAGAAATAATTGAATTTCATTAAATACCCATAATCTAGCCGAACATCAAGTGACTTCTTCATTTTGCAGCCATACCATCAAGTTGACTGCATAGACATCACATCCCACATACGTCAAAACAACCGTCTACTCAAAGGTACCGCATAAATGACCCTCCCAGCTCACCAAGAAACACCAGCAACTCGATAACAATGTCTACTCTCCAACCTGGGGCCTTCGTTGTCGTTGGTATATCGTTTCTGGATGCACCACGTGACCTCCGTGACTGCGAGAAATTTCACCATCCTGCAGACAAACACCGAAAAATCCTCCAGCTCTGGCGAAAAAACTACCGTCTTGAAGAACTTATCTTAACTTCAACTATACAACAAAAAGTATGTCCCGCCCGTCCATATACGGCGTCTAAATCGTTCTGCTACACCCAACGAGACACCACAGACCACCCGAATATCCCCATTTTCAACCGAATTCTCCTGAACTTCCATTGTCTGGAAATTTTCAATGATACACCGAAACTCAAATCCATAAGATCCCAAACCAGGTTTCCTCCAAACTTTCACCGTCTCGTGTAGCTCTCCCAAACGAAATACTAACCCCTAGTGAAATACTTAGCTGCTTACTTATTGTTGGTCAACGCCGGTAACACTTCCCCAGCTGCCTCTGACATCAAGAAGGTGTTGGAGTCTGTCTCCATCGAGGTTGAGGACGACAAGGTCGAGAAGTTGTTGGCTGAGGTCGAGGGCAAGAACGCCGAGGAGTTGATTGCCGAGGGTAACGAGAAGTTGTCTTCTGTCCCAACTGGTGCTCCAGCTGGTGGTGCTGCCGCTGCTGGTGGTGCTGCTCCAGAGGCTGCTGCTGAGAAGGAAGAGGAGGCCGCTGCCGAGGAGTCTGACGACGACATGGGCTTCGGTTTGTTCGACTAAGCGTCTCGCATATAGCACACTGTATCATTAATGCACAAGAAAAGAGATCTTTCTGTAGGACATGCTGAAGAGGAAAAGGATTCTAGTTTCTGCTTTAAATTGTCTATGTATCAAAGCATATTTAGTTCGTTTGATCCGGCAATGACGTATTATTCTGCCTTAGATCAGACCCTTACAACTCGTCAGCCTTGCGAGCGGCGTTGGGGTTGCCAAAGATGGTATGACGAGCCTCAAGCATGAACTTGTTAAATGCTGAATCAGCTGCTTCGCCAGCAGCAGCTTTTCTAGTTTCCACTTCTTCTGCAAGCCAGCTCAAGAACTCCTTGGAGGGCTTGAGCACACCTTTTTCATGAAGACTCGTAAGCGTACGGAAGTACTGTTTAAGCTGAGACTCAGACAAGGCTTTCGTATCGTACAAGAGCTTCTGAATGTAGTTTGACACCGTTTCATCGGCCTTGCCGGTTCCTTCGGTCAATTGAAGGTCCTCAAGGATCACAGCAACTCTATCTTTAGCCAGTTTGCCCAAAGATGGGAACACATTAACCAAATCACCAACTCTCTGCTGGGCAAACTTGGCATTCGAAGTAAGACCCTGCAAAACTCCCAAAACACGTTTCTGAAGCTTATCGGTCGAGGCCTCCTCTCGAAGCACGCCAAAAAGGGTATCCACAAAAAGCGAAGGCTGGTTCTGCAACACATTGGTCACAGCTTCTGGATTATTCCTCAACGACGCTCCAAGCACACTGTAACACATTTCCTTAATCTTCGGCTCATCAACCTCAAGCGCAATCGTATGGATCTTTTCAAAAATCTCCGGTTTCTGTGTAAGACGAACACCAAACTCTCTATCGTGGGATAACTCCACCAATGTCTCTAGAGCTCTTTCCACTCTACCCAAATCAGCATCAAATGCAAGCACCTCTTCAACAGCAGACCCAAAATCACTCAATTCGCCTTCGTCCACCTTACTCCTCTTATACTCCTTATGCTGTTCTTTATATCTCTGGAGAGCCTCTCTGATCTGCAGCTGAAGAGCCTCCTGCTCCTCTTCTCCATTGTCTACCGCCACCAACTCAGCGCCTTCGCCTTCATTAGGGTCCACCAACTTAGCTTCCCTCTCATTGGACTCCATATTCATCCGAACATGCAATCCAGCTGGAATATGCTGTCCTTCTCTAACAGCTTGCCATTCGTTTGTAGCCTCGAAGATCTCCGGGTAACAGTCATTTTCTGACGCACATATGGTCAGCGAGAAAACGGGAAGTATATAGGCGGCAATAGCAGCCACAAGACGAAGATTCATAGTTGGAAGAAGTGTGGATATGTGGATTTATAGTAGTGGCGTCTGGTGAGGTGGAGCTTATCTATGGGTGTACGGGTGTAGATAGTGATAAGAAACGGTTAGAAAAAGTTGAAAAATGGAAAATCGGTGGTTGCAGACCCGTACACCAGCTTACCCCAGGCACTTAGACCCTCCGTCAAAACCACCAAAAGTTTATGGAATTAGGTTTCTAAGGATTTGGTGTTGTTAAGGGAACTTTGGCGGTTGTAGAGCATTTCTTAGATTTTTGTCAGAACCTATTTTGGGTGTTTTAATGGACCCTCATTTCTCCCATAGTTAACAGTTTGCAGCCATTAAATGTAACCAGAAAAGACTACCAGTGACTATACCGTCTCCCAGGGCCGTCTACATCTAAATAATCCATAATCCATTTGTTATTTAACTAGCCGTCCAGTTGTTTACCTTCCTTTCATAATACCCCTCATATTTTGTAGATAGTCATTAGCTGTCTTTTGGCTTCTGCAATCGCCTCTGGACTTCCTACAATATTGATTTCATCAGCTGTAGTCGGCCTAGGGTAATATCTGCCAGGACAATAAAACCACACCTTCACATCTAGGAGCCTCTCCAAAATCCGAATTTCGAATGGTGTGGTATTATAGATTTCGGCTTGGATATGGTAGGTACTGTCATCAGTTACACTAAAAGCCTCAAGCTTCTCATTCCTGAGCTTGTTTAATTTATCCAGAAGATAATTCTCAGTAGCTAGAACATTGTGCTTGATACCTGCTAGTGTAAGAGGAGTCTCCATAGACTCGTCTGGAAAGTTTGAGCTGCTTCTGTTGAACTCTCCCACATCATGGATTTGGATACCGACCTTGAATTTTTCCTTGATTTCCTTGAAACATTTCCGTTTGGTTCCAATCAACGCGGTCAAGTAGCACGATGGGACTTTTATGGTTTTCGTGAAGAATCCTACCTTTTTGAAGGATTCAAGATCTTTGCGCAAGTGATTTATGTTGCTAGCGACCCTATCCACCTCATGCAGCTTACCAAAAACGTAGAGCTCATCATTCAATGTATCCTTTCCGTTGGAATACAATTCAATACGAGGGAACGGATACTGTGGATTTGAAATGGTTTCCTCCACACCATCGTATATCGAACTTAAGAAGTTGCTCGGTGTGGTGAGATACTTTTGGTCAGAAGAGGGAAATGGCAAAACAACGCCTTTGTAGGATGTCTGTTGTAAAGTTCTTAACTCATTTAAGCTATTGTTAGCTGGGGTTAACCGATGCTTGTCGCTTGGCGAAAAACACATTATGTAAAAAAAATCGTCGAGGCTGACAAACTCAAGACGATCACCCAACACCTTCATTAGTATAGTTTCTGCCTGTGGCTGTAGCATGATATCGATATCATCAATCACCACGACTTGATCACGAGGGATTATGATCTCTTTTAATTTATTGATGGCGTGCTCGAGTGAAATCTCAGACTTACCAACAACTTCAAGAATTTGATCGTCAATTTCATCCAGTCGATACCATGGAAGATGAAATTTCACGTCAAGGTCTTTTTCAATATCATACAAGTGATCTTGCGCAGTTATACTGTCAAGGACCCCTTAACATACAGAAACTCACCAAAGTCGTTTAAGTCAATGCTCACAGATCGGTACTCAGCCAACTTTTCTTCTACGCGCTGTTTGGCACGCAACATGGTTTCCTCTTTATCGCTCACAATGGTGAGAGTGCTTGACTCACGAGAATATCTTGCAAAGATTTTATCATCACTGGAGAACGTATAGTAAGGGTTGGTGCCAAAAGGCATGTGTCTTATCATCCAATCTGGGACTGTTATGTCGCAAACACGAACTTTGCGCTGGACTTGTGCAACAATTGCCTTGAGATCGTTGTAATATTCATCAAATCTGTACTTCGAACCAGAGAGGGCAATCCTTTTATCCAGCGAAAAATCAAGATGCAAATCTGCATTAGCATGAAGCTGAAAAATCTTGGATTGAATATGACGCGTGAAAGCGTAAAGTCCATGAGGAATAGCAATCACTACCCCCTTAGTATCGATCAGGCAGTCAACAATCTTTAGAATTTCTTCTTCAGCTTCTTCACAATTCTCGGGACGACCCTTGATCGTGACAGACACCATTTTAGGATACCGATCGATAACTATGTCAGCACCGTCATCGACAAACGTTACATAAGGAGTGTCGACCTTGGGCACCTCAGGCTTCTCTAGACGATCGGGCATCAAGTCGAACTTCTCCTTGCCAACCCAAATCGACACATCGTGTTTTTTAGCTATTTCCTTCACCATATAGCCCTTATTGCCCACCACATAGTACCGAACCCTAGCAGGTATTTCGAAATCCAACTTCGTTGGTTTCGACGTTTCCTCTTCCAAAAGTTCCTTTGCCCTTTCAATTGCCTTAGGGAACCCATGGATCATGAAATTTCTCGTGCCTCCACGCGTGGAGCATCTTATTTTTGCACTGGACGTTCTCTCAATTGACTTAATGATTCCCCCTAGTTGACTCAGGGAGAGACTGAGGTTCGTGTTCTTCCCTAGCGAGAAGACCTCATTGCGAGGAGCGTAATCCATGTTTCGACTTTCAGCAGTACGCTTTAGTTTCCACTTTTAGCCCAACATACACTATTCGTCAGAATAGCCTGCTTCTTCAGTGTATGTCGTTCCCTCTGTGAAGAGTAATTCGTTCTGTTGATGATCTGAAAAATGTAGTATACGCGCCTAACCGTGGTCTCGTAAACAGGCTCCATACACAGAGCGACACGAGACACTGGGGGCGTTCAAGACGTGTTTTGGAGAAGTAAATTAGGGAGATAAGAAGGCTTTAGTTTGTATTTTCTTGGTTTTTGGCTTTGGGTTTCTGGATCCTTAGTTTTCTTGTTCTTTATGGGAACTAGTGAGTCTACAGTCTGTGGCTGGGAAGAGGAAGAAGAAGAGGAAAAAGAGAACAACGAGAAATAGTAGATTTGGGAGAGAAGTAAACGTAAGAATAGTGAACAACTACGATTCTGCCTGTTTCATTGAAGAGATCCTTGGTTGAGTAATTTTTCACTCGAGAAGTGTATATCCTTCATTCCTTCTCCACCAACCAGGCCTGCTTAGCATCACAATTGAAGTCCTTTAGCTGATATCTCTCCATCTCTGACATCCAATAAAATCACCCAAAACTCCAAGACAAACCCACTCGATCGTTTATAAATGTATTAGTATGTTATGCAAATTGTTACTCTTCATTTCATGATTAACTTTATGGAATGGGGTTTCTGGGGCTGTGGTGTTGTTCAGGATGCTACTAAGAGTTTGCAGCCATTAAATAACCTACCCAGTTTCAAAAACATCTACAAGGGCTGCCTATTTGCATAATTCATAATATATTTTCCTATTGCTTAATCAGCGGTCCCGTTAAATACCTCCCTTTAGTGCAGAAACTGTCAATATCATCAAGACCTTCGTATTTTATACATGTCCTTTAGCTTTGTCTTGGCTTCCGCTATCGCCTCTGGCCTTCCCAGAATATTCACTTCGTCAGGTGAAGCCGGTCTAGGGTACGATCTCCCACGACAATGAAACCAAACCTTCACATCTAGGAGCCGCTCCATAACCTTAATTTTAAAAGGTTTCGTATCATTAAAGTCGTTAACAATGAGGTAGGTGCTGTGATCAGTTACACTGAAACTCTCCATCTTTTCATTCCTGAGCTTGTCTAGTTTCTCCACAAGATATTGCTCAGTAGCTAGAACACTGTGCTTGAGGCCAGCTAACGTGAGAGAAGTCTCCAGAGACTCGTCCGCAAAGTTTGTGCTCCTTCTGACCAAATCTCCCTCGTCATGAATTTGGATACCGACATTATATTTTTCTTTGATCTCCATGAAACCTTTCCGTTTGCTTTCAATCAACGCACTCAAGTAGTACGATGGGACTTTTACGGTTTTTGTGAAAACCCCCACCTTCTTGAACGATTCAAGATCTTTGAGCAATTGCTGTATGTTGCTACCGACCCTCTCCACCTCATGCAGCTTACCAAAAATGTAGAGCTCATCATTGGATGCCTTCTTTTCATTGGAATGCAATTCAATACGAGGGTACGGATACCGTGAATTTGATAAATCCTCCGCCACCCCATCATACACCGAACGTAAGATGCCACTCTGTGTGGTGAGATACCTTTGGTCAGATGAGGGAAAGTGCAAGACAAGACCTTTGTAGGATGTCTGCTGTCTAGTTCTCAACTCATTCAAGCTATTGTTAACTGCGGTTAATTGACCCCTGTCGCTTGGTGACACACAAAGTGTGTAAAAACAATCATCGAAACTGACAAATTCAAGATCATCACCTATCACCTTCATTAGTATAGTTTCTGCCTCTGGCTGTAGCATGACATCGATATCATCAATCACCAAGACTTGATCACGAGGGATTAGGACCTCTTTGAATTTATTGATGGCGTGCTCGAGTGAAATCTCAGACTTACCAACAACTTCAAGAATTTGATCGTCAATTTCATCCAGTCGATACCATGGAAGAAGAAATTTCACGTCAAGATCTTCTTCAATATCATCCAAGTCATCTTGTACAGTGCAACTGTCAAGAACCCCCTTAAGATAACGAAATTCACCAATGTCCTTTAAGTCAATGGTTACAGATCGGTATTCAGCCAACTTTTCTTCCACGCGCTGTTTGGCACTCAACATGTTTTCTTCCTTGTCGCTCAAAATATTGAGAGTACCTGATCGAGGATAATATCTTGCAAAGATTTTCTCATCACAAGAGAACTTATACCAATGGCAGGAGCAGTCAAAAGGCATATGTTCTGTCATCCAATACGGGACGGGTAAGACGCAAACACAAATTTTGCGCTGGAACTCTGCAAGAATTGTCTTGAGATCGCTGTAAACTCCTTCAAGCCTATACTTCGAGGCAGAAAGGACTAACTTATCATCCAGCCGATTATCGAACTCCAAATCTGCATCACGATGAAGCCGCAAAAAACTGGATTCAATGTCACGCCGAAAAGCGTGTATTTCAGGAGGAATAGCAACCATTACCCCCAAAGTCTCAATCAGCGACTCAACGGTCTCTAGAATCGCAGCTTTAGCTCGCCCACAGTTCTCAGCACGACCCTTGATCTTAACCGACACCATTTTGGGGTACCTATCGAAAACTGGTTCATTATTGTCGTCTAAAAACGTTGGATAAGGACAATCAGGCTTGGGCAGCTCAGGCTTCTTTTCATGATGGGGCATCAAGTCAAACTTCTCCTTGTCAACCCAAATCGACACGTCGTGTGTTTTGCCTAGCTCCTTCACCGTAGAGCCCCTATCGCCCACCACGTCATAACGAACCCTAGCTGGTATTTCGAAAGTCAACAGCGTCGGTTTCGACGTTTTCTCGGCCAAAAGCTCCTTTGCCATTTCAACCGACTTGGGGAACCCATGAACCATAAACGTTCTCGTGCCCCCACGTGTTGAGCATCGTATCTTTGCCCTGGACGTTCTCTCAATAGACTTTATGATCTTTCCTAGTTTTCTTAGGGAGAGATTGAGGTCTGTATTCTTCCCTAGAGTGAAGAGCTCATTGCGAGGAGCATAATCCATGTTTCGACTTTCAGCAGTATCCAACCCTTAGTCCAACACACACTATTCGTCAGAATAGCGTGCTTCAGTGTATGTGTATGAGGCGTTCCCTCCTTGAAGAGTACTTCTATATGTGGGTGATCTGAAAAATGTAGTATTACGCACCCAACAGCCAGTTACATGCACAGAGCACGAAACCAGGGGTAATCAGGGCAGTTTTGGGATTAAGAAAGTAGAAGGCTTCCTAGTTTTTAAGTTCTTGGATTCTGAAATTTGGATTCTGGAATTTGGATTTCTTGGAATTTGGATTTCTTGGAATTTGGATTCTGGATTTTGGATTTTGGATCTATCGGTTTGATGGTCCCGCTGAACTGATGGTTCTACAGTGGCTGAGATAAAGAGAGAAGAGAAAGAGAAAGAGGCAGTAGATATGGGAGAGAAGTAAGTGTAAGCAGCGCAATCCCAGGCAGTAACTATGCTTCTGTTTGTTCGACCTTGGTGGGGTGATTCACTCGATGAGTACATACCCTTGCACCAATCCACATACCAAGCCTGCTTATCGTCACAATTAAAGCCAAATAGCTGAAATCTGTCCATCTCTGATATCCAATAGTATACCAACCGCAGACTTCCTCAAAAACAACTCTCGCTTCGTTTATAAATGTATTAGTATGTTATGCAAATTGTTACTTTTCATTTCATGATTCGTTCGAACTCGTCTTTCAGATAAACCTGGAATGCACAGGCAGAACAATTTCCCGAAAAAGACGAAAAGAGGCCTTCCACCTTCAAATCTCCATGCCTTCTGCAACATTCCAAGTCTCCATTCCACCTCATCACAACCACTTCTCCTCCGGATTCTCCTTAAACTCAGCATAAGCAGCATAGTTAAAAATACTCAACTCCGTCTCGTTCTCCACGCCCAAATCCCAAAGCAGCTGTTGCTTCTCCACAGCATGCTCTGCATTCTTACACACTAGTATATCAGACTCGTCATTGCCAAAGTTAATCACCAAGTTCATGGACTTTGTGCCGTGTGCATGCGTGTACACCTTCACAGTATCATACTCAACGTTTCTGTAAGGCCTCATGGCGCCAGTAGAATTGATAATCTCCTTCACCTGATCCAAGAGCTGAGATGGAGTGGTTGCCTTAAGATCGATGGAACGGATAATGTGGTTCTTCACGTTTCTGTAAGGGAATGACTTGATGATTCTGACGGTGAGAACAGCATCGGTGGCTGGTCTGACGTTGGACGTGAGTGGTTCAGCCATGGTTTATGTGGGAGAATGGTGTATTTGTGAGTTTTACTACTACATCAACTTTTTCGCGATGTACTGTGAATGTGGTGGAGAGATGGGCAGATGGAGTTGGGTGATTTCAGTGCAGGGAAAGGAAATGGAGGGAGTAAGCTTTGGAAAAAAATATGTCTAAATTGAAATAAGAAAAAATTAAATAAAGAGAAGAAAAATCAAAGAGAGGGAGATAGAAAGTGCTGGTAAGACAGCTTGGAGGATTGTCTGTTCACTGTTCTAGTAAAGATTGTCGTAATGTCGCTGAATCGGCTAATTGTGGAGGACAAACTGCCGAAACTTGTATCATGAGCTTTGGAAAATGCAAAAGCTTGCAATTGACCATTCATGTGTAAGTAAAGAGCTTTTGGTGTATCAGATATTGGTATCTTCATCATAGACCCACTATCTAAATTCACACTCCACTACTTAAATTCCCGCTTCTACATCAGTGATCTTCAATTAATCTTCGTAATTCATTGTAGTAGTGTAACACTTATATGCCGCTGTAACGCTTATTAAAAGGTACATTTAAATTGCAAACCCACCTTCGAGGCCTTCAACAAACTCTGCCAAGTTGTAAAGCTTATTGTATGTTCCAGCGAGCTTCTCTTCCATGGTCTGCTGAACTTTATCGAAAAGAGCCAGCTCTTCAATTTCATTAACAGATGTGTTTTCGTCCAGGCCGTACATGGAGAACTCGTCGCTTTCACTACGGTTAAGCATCCTCCTAGAAGGAACGAGCAACAAAAACGCCTTTTTATCTTTCTTCAGGATACTTTCGCCAGCAAGAGCTTCAACGAAACGAGTGAGGTCGGCGTGGGTAAGGTTTCTTTGGTTATTTTGTTGCAGCACAATATTCTTAAACTTTTCAAATGCCATTGTCTGCTCGCTTGTAGGGGTATCAGGAGTTATAGGTACATCAATTGTTTCTAGCGAATCAACAAGGATCCTGAGACTCTGTGCGTTGTGCTTGGGAAGAAGCACGCTGTGGAAGCGGTCCAAATGCTGTTTGAGGTCCATGATCTGGCTAAGTTCGTCAACGTATTTTTTAAGAGCAGGAGGAATAGGTTCCCTGTTGTGAGCTCTCAAGTGTGTTTCTAGGGTTGCAATTAGACCATCGGCATTGGCCAATTTGGAGGAATGGAGCAGCTGCAAAATTTCAACCACCTTTTCACTCACGATGTTATCAAGTTCATTGAGACATTCAAGACGAGTAGCGATCGTTGAAAGGGCAACGTTTTTCTCTGGCTGGTAAGATGGAATGCCGGTTTGAGAGAGACTCACAGCTATGGATTTGAGTAAAGCTTGCAGTTCAGGGAAGTCGTGATGCATAAATGTTGGTTTGAGTTGAACAGTAAAATGTTCATATGCTCTGAGCAAGTCAACGAGGAATTGCGTGAACATGGAGATTTGGGGGAATTGGGTCCTTGAAGAAAGCTGTTCGGTTATATTGGAGCTCTTAATATCCAGACAAAACCCATTTAGCAGATCAACTAGATCAGCGGGAACAATTGTAGAACAGAGTTCTTCATTGATGTTGCTAAGTTTCATGATATTGGTGTTGACCTGGTCCACGAGCCGTAGTGCCTTGGCTTCATAGGAATGTTTAGCTTGCAGTGCTTCCAAACATAGAAGCATAAACTGGCTCATACAGTTATCTGGTTTTATTTCTTCTTGTGGAATGGCAGGGGAGTCAGGGACATCAGGAGTCAACTCAAAGAACGTATACCACTGCAAAAGATAAAGAATGATACATTTTTCATCGGGAACAAGCACGTTAAAGTCTTCAGAGACCATAAGCTGAGGAATCTGGAGTTTATCCTCGGCCTCTAGTAGGATCATATCGAGGTTGGCAAGTGGTTTACCAGAGTTAAGATCATGATACTTGAAAAGAGCGTTCGGAAGAAAGTAATCACAAATAGCCCCAAACGTCAAATCGGGACGCAGGCCCGCCTGAAGCGACCAGTCTTTGGTAAAGTTTGAAAGCTCAGGAAGCGCCCTTGAGCGAGCAATCTGGTTAACCCAGCGTAGCAAAATCAGCTTGATTTCATGAATGGAGTTACCTTCGTTGGCCACCAGGATCAGGGTCAGCGTGGCATACACGAACAAAGTCCATATAAGGCCCAAAATCAACTTCAAGTCGCCCTCCACGACGTTTTGAGCGCTGACAGAGCATGTATTGATGTTCAAGATAAGCCGGCAGAACTTCAACACATCGTCGATGTTCTCCACTTTCTGGAGGTGAATGGTAGGCTTTTCGTAGATCGGTGTAAGCAAGTACTCCGAGGAGCCGCTTTCCTCAGCAATGACATTGACTAGTTTGACCAACACAAGGCCATCGTTCAAGTCGGTAGTCAAGTCTTCAACCGCCGCATCCACCTTCAGCCCGACCCAGCGAGCCATCGCCCTATGCTGACGATTTACCCACGACATGAGGAATTAGTAGGTAGAAGTAATAGTGGTAGTGGAAGTAGTAGTGGTGGTAGTCGTAGATGGTAGATGGTAGATAGTGCTAGACTTAGACACTTGCACCAAACGAACTTTCACTAAACGTAAACTTGCAAACTCCAAAAGTGCAAACGTAAACTGCAAACGTGCAAAGAAGATCAAGGAGATTTTCCTTCTTTTTCCCTCCCTTTCCTTCACTTTGGTGCCTCCGTAAACTGACGCAAAAGTGTCAGCAAATGTCTTAACCAGAAAAAGACCAGCGCGCCAGGGCCGCACGGGCTGCGTCGCCAGCGTCTGCAACCGTTTCAAAAGCGTGCCAGAAACAGCCGTAACCAGTGCGAGATTGGGCCAGATTGGCGAGATTCCTGCTGGCTGTGCTGGCTCGCGTCTCGCTTTTTTTTAGCGCGTGCATCACCAAACGCGAATGCGTGGCAGTGGCTGCAAATTTTGGGAGAGGGAGGGAGAAGGAAAAGGAGAGGGATATTAAGGGAAGAGGGAAGAAGAAGGAAGTGGTGGACTTTGAGAGAGGTGGGAGGGTGGAAGGAAGGGAGAGGAAGAGTGGAAGGGTCTGTGCTGGCTATGGTGGATGGTGGACGGTGGATGGTGGGAATGCGTGAGGAATGGTGGAGACATGATGGAGTATGAGATGGAGGTATGGAAAGAAGGTGAGTAGGTGAGTTGGATATGGAATGGGTGGTGGTGGTTATGGAATGATGAAAATATGGAAATGGCGATGGGACAGTGGGGGGATGACTGGGATGACTGGGACGACTGGTGGTATGGGGAATGTAGTGCTGGCTGTGCTGTGGTAGTATGTCTACGCTGGTGGGTGTCTACTGGGAGACAAGGTAAAATTGCGTTGTTGTTCGGCGTAGACAAATCGTTATGGTTGTTATTGAAATCAACTTTTGAACTCTTTCGGGCCCTGGTCTTTGTTGGTGGTGGACAATTGGGTTGCGTATATGTATGTGTAGTGCAAGCCAAAGACAAACCAGCAAGTGGTTCTATTAGGCAACAACAAAGGCTATGACGACTACAATGACTGTTGCTGTTGTCCATTATGGCATCAAGAAATACCCTTGAGAAATTAACTCTGTTTTCTAATTTCCAGATCTGTCTCTCAATGGGTGAATCCATACCTATCATCACTTCACTACAGAAGCCATAGCTCATACCCAACGTGTATTTTGCAACCCACGTAGCTAAATTAATTCTACCTCTCCCTCACTACCTCTTGGTCTCTCCAACTCTCCATGGTAAACAACCACCCACTGGTTGTTGTGGTTGCGAAAATCTTGTCATTGTCATCTTCCGTCTGACGAACATCCCAAGAACAATGGGAGTTCCGTCAAAGAACACTCTTTACGAACTCGCCGCCCCAGACGAAGAACATTAAAGTAAATCACCTTGGCTCATTGTCGAACTATCGCGTCGAAGATCCGAATTGCCCAAAACGCGATTCCCATGGATTCCAACAATATAGGGAGAAGTGTAGAGTATTCCGGCCAGCCTGGCAATGGCATTGTGTGAATGAAGTTGAAGGTTTTGATGTAAATGAATGTTTTGGATAGTAGTAGACGCTAGGGTAGATGCTAGGGTAGATGTTGTGGTGGGTTGGCTGTAGGCAATCAGTCTAGTGCTTAAGGTTTAGCTAAAGGAGACCCACCAAATCAACCCATGATGGATAAATAATAGTATAAAGACGAGGAACAGTTGTTACTATAATTCTTCTACGGACGTGAATATTATTTTGGAAATTATGGTACTCCATCATGGCTTCATTTGAACAACGTACGATGCGACCCAGGTGTCAAAGAACAGGACTTGTTGGTTACTGTATGTGTCCTGATATCCAGATTCCTTTCTTTTTAGCTCGGGATCAATGTCTATGAAGCTTGAAAGAGTTGGGCTTGGAAGGTACGTTCCAGAAACCTTATTTGGTTCGGGAATTCCCGTTCTCAAGAAGTTCTTCACCTATCACGACCAGCAAAGGAAGCCCAGCCAACATTTAGGGATATAAGAACGGAAGTGATGATGAAAATTGGCTCATCATATCATTCTTTTCCTTGGTTGCTATTTTGTAGATTTGGGCTATGCTGACCGCAAGAGCAACAAAGAAGGACATCTGTCAAAACCTTCAAGACTTCTACCATTTACATCCACACAAGAGTGAAATCTTATATTAACTTTCATCAAATGGATCATGGAAATACAGCCACACGTTCCATATACTCCTCTGTTTATAGATGGGCTTAACTCAGCCCCAAGACACCAATTGACTGGTAAAACGAAATACCCAATCTTTGATCAATCGGTGTCAGTGCACGGTTTCATAAAAAAAGTTGCACCGTCAGCTAACAGATCGGCTTTGATTTCAATAGTGGCGACAATTACCATCTCGTAACTTTTCTATATGATCGTAACCCAAAGTGTGTTCATAGCCGTGGCAACAAATGCTTAATGATGTTGAAAAGGGGAAAAAAATGATCAAGGACTTGATATCTACCCTTGGATGGAGAAAAAGGGATGAGCAAGGGTTTCCTTGGCGGTTGGGCGCAACTGGTGGTCGTAGGTCAACAACTTGTCAATTAAGTCAACCACCTCGTTCAGCACCAAATGCTGGTTATCTCTGTTAACAAACGCAGACCATGGCTTACGTGGGTAGTTACCCAAAATGCCATCGTACTCAGCGCTCAACTTGATGCCGTACTTGTTCACATATGCCATGAGAGGTTTCGTGCCCAAAACCTTGGCGATTTGCACCAACTGATCGTTGTTGGAATCGCCTCTAAAGAAGGGCTCCTTCTTGAAAATGATGGCAGCAAGCATGCAACCAACAGACCAAAGGTCTAAGGAGTAGTCATATTGCTGCAAGTTGATAAGCAACTCAGGGCCTTTATGGTACCTGGAAGCCACTCTGACGTTGTAGTCGACACCGGCGTGATAAAACTCAGCAAGACCCCAGTCAATAAGACGCAAGGTCTTTGTCTGTGGGTCAATCATTATATTCTGCGGTTTCACATCCCTATGGATGATGCCCATGGAATGGGAGTAGTCCAAGGCAATAAGGAGCTGGGAAAAGTAATACTGAATATCGGCAATGGTAAACTTATTATACAAGATCCTGAAATCCACATTATTCACCAGCTCAAACACCAAGGCCGGGATCTTCAGGTTCTGGTCCCTCACGATATCTAAAAGCCCCACCACATTGGGCCCGCCAGTGAGGTTCTTCAAGATCTTCACCTCCCTATAGATCTTCTTCATCTTCACCGGTTTCAACACTTTAATCACACACGGCTCGTCATTGATCACATTGACTCCCTCAAACACCTCCGAGTACTTGCCCCTTCCGATCTTGGACACTATTTCGTAATTCTTGATGTTCCCCCACTCGATCGTGTGGCTTTCGTAATCCCAGTAGTCTCTGGACTTATGCTTATTGACATCGGCATACACACGTGCCACGGAGTACACCTTGGGCGATACGTTCATCATGGTGGGTTGTAAGAAAGGGTTTGGTAGGGCCTGATGAGGTTTAAAAAGGTTTCATCGCACATCTGATTGCACCTGCAGGGAGAGCCCTATCCAGCAGAAGCACTCCACCAGCATCAGGTGGGAAAGGTGCTGGAAAAAATAAGGGAATTTGAATTTGATAGATGGAGGTGGTAAAGAATGAGGAAGTTGGTCGTGGCGGTGGTGGCGGTGCACTTGGAAGGCCAGGGATGGAGCTGGGTAGGTGGATCTGGCGAGAGAAGGTTTTTTCCTTTTTGTGTGAGGTTAGTGAGATTCTTTTTTGTCTGGTTTTTCAAGCTTGGCTGGGTTGAGTTGCTGCTGGGAGAAAGGAGAAGCAGGGGGGCAGTGGGAAAGTGGTTTTGTGGAAGGAATATTTGGATTTTAGAGATTGGACTTTTGGGTTTTTGGTAGTATTGTTTATGGATTATGGGTTATAGAGTATGGTAGCATCAAGTGTACACTTTAATGGCTGCAAATCGCATCAGCCGCAACAAGCCACGACTGGCAAAGCAGGTGCAAGCGGAGAGAGAAGTGGGATGGGATGGAAATTGGGTGGATAGAAGGTGAGTAGAGAAAGGTTGTTAGAGAGGACTGGGTTGGAGAGGAGTGGCTGGTGGAAGGCTGGTGGGGGTACGGTTTGTGGCTAGAGATGGGGCTGGAGCAGGCGAGAGAGGGTTCAGTGTGGCCAGGGCAGTGGTGTGGCTGTGCAGTGGAAGGGAGGAAAGAGAGGGAAGGGAATTGGAGAGAGTTGGGTAAGGAGACGTATTTGGAGGTGTGACGGGGTTGGAAGGTGGGAGTAAAGGTGGGTGGATGTGTGACTGGCTCAGGTGATAGAGGTTCAGTCTGGAGACGGTGAGTTGCATCACGAGAAGTGTTGAGGTGGGGGTGGGGGAAAGGAAGTGGGAGTGGTGGGAGCTTAGGAGTAGGTAAGGGAACGTAGGTCGTAGGAATTATGGTTTCTAAGGTACTTCTGGCTGTTGTATGCGTAGAGGTGGGAAGGTTGTGGTGGTATGAAGGTTCATGTAATTCATTGAAGCTTTAGATCCGGAGAAGGATAGTCTAAGATTGGATAAGTTAAGCTTGGTAGCTCCAGAAACGGGGAAAAATAGCCAGAACTGATTTGGTGCCTTTTGTCTATGTCTTTTTTGGCTAGTCGTTGGTTGAAGGTTTGAGACGCCATAGACTACTTCCACAAGGTGCTATATCACCAAAAAATACCCAAAATATGAAAGAAGAGAATTCAGAAGTATCTTTAAATTCTCTATTCAACTTTGAGTTCATGAGCTCTTACCTTCGTTCAGTGGTGCTTCACTGGAACACCCACAACCTTCAACCATGGAGCGTCAACAGAAATACACATCCAGCCAACAACCTTTTCAACCAAAAAGACCAAAAAGACCAATACCCTAGATCCAAACGTTCCCTTCAAACAACCCTAAATTTTTCATCCCTCCCTTGTCCTTCTCGAATACACCCACCACTCATCCACCATTCACACACTGCACTAACTATGGCTGCGAAATCCATATACATATAACAACTACCATACTACATTCGCTTACCGTCAAGTAAACCACAACCACACCAACTGCCCAACCTCCATTACCCAAACCCGGCCAAATACACTCATTTACCTCAAGGAACAACCATACACCTTCCCATTGGCCAGCATCCACCCAATCATCCACACCTTCACTTCCCATACATCCATCACCAAATGGGCTCTACGATCCTAGAACTACGCCATGGCGAACAGGTCGTGTCAGGGATTGATGTTCGACACGAGGCACGTCTACCGTTCAGAAACACGTCTCTTTCTCATGTGGCGTACGTGAACTCAGAGAGAATCCCATGGTTCCTCATCTCACAGGGCCCGTTTCCAGTTTACTCCAGTGACGAGACGACTACGGGGTACTTTAAGGAGAAACTTGCTCGGGAAGCGTTAGATAGACCTTATATTGGCATACTATCGAAATCTCAGGACCCACAAACATACGTGGTGTTCTTTATTCAGGGTAACGGCGTTCGCTGTTTTTGCATTGATTTCACCACATTGGACAGACTTTCCACGGCATCGAGGAACTTTGAAGCAGGTACAGACGACAACGTGTACTATTCTGCTCTTCCTACACGTTCAGATACTACGATTTTTGACCGTGTGTTGGAGAACAAGTCATCCAAGCGCAACCAGTATGTTGCACCTAAGAACCCAAGTTCTACGCCGCTTTCAGTCACGCCGCTCAATGGCGACCAGATATCCAATGCGGTGAACAAAATGACGCTCTCTGGACTTCGTCTTCGAGGCCTCAACCCGTCGCTGAGCTCAAAAGACAGAATAGCCATTAAGGAATTGTACCATATGACGCGTAAACTGGCCTTGTTCGCTCTACGAAAGTTTAACTATGGGTTCAACGGCTCTTCGGGCCAGGAAGTACGTCTTAGTGACGTCCAGGACGTGGTCGAACGGCTCCTACAAGCATACGCTGACGTCGACCAACCAGCATAAATATTCAATATTCCATCTTCATGACTCTCGTTTCTATTTACACGATTAAAGACTCGAAACGTCCACAACACGAGTCTGGGAAAAGTCTCCATACGACTTGTTGGAGGCCTTCTCCAACTGAGCCTCCAAGGCGCTCTTCTTGTCTCTCTTCTTGGTCTTACCAGCAATGTTAGCCTGGATAGCTCCAACAGGGTCCAAGAAGATCAGTCTATCGTTCAACAAGTATCCACGCTTCTCAGGGTTAGAGTAGTATGCAACGTCTCTCTTATGCATTGGCCTAGCTTGCATAGGCACATATCCCTTCTTCAAAAGGAACTTGTTTGGGTCCAAGAACGCACGCAAACCCAAGTTGGTACGGTAAACAGATGTGTATGAGTGTCCTGTCTTTTCAACAGCGTTGATGGCACCAATAGACGCCTTGGTAGCCTCAATGTTCAAAGGCACATTGTATGTTTCCTTACCGTTACCCAAAAGCTTAACACCATCCTTCATGGTACCAGTGACGAGACCACACTCTCTCATGACTTTATAGTCCAAGGTTTCGCCCTCCTTCAAAGGAATTCTACCCTTTTCCCAGAAATGCTGCACCTTCTCCAAGTTCAACCCGTTGTACTCTCTTCTGTGAGGTCTCTTGAAACCCACCACAGGGAAACGTTTAAAGTATGGCGTCTGACCACCTTCAAACCAACGTGGCACTTTTCCACGGGCCTTCTGACCCTTTTGGCCTCGTCCAGAGGTCTTACCCAAACCGGAAGCTTGACCTCTACCGACTCTTTTATAACCTTTGACGGCACCTTCCATTGGCGCTAGATTGCCCAAACGGGCCATTCCACGCTGCTGATTTAGAAGCACGCCGACTGGCGTGGTGAACATTGCCTTGGCGGCAGAGAAGAAGCCCATTCTTGGTTGCAAGAGATTTGTATGTATGTGGATTTGATATTGATGAGAAAAATTTCGATGGTAGTGCGCGGCTCATAAGGTGCGCAACTGCGAGGGAGCACCAGGGAAGAGGAAAGGGTATAAGGAAGGACTACTTGGTACAGCTTTTTTGTTGCTGGAAACCAAATGATATAATTTATTGGATTCAAGGTGGTTCTTTGAGGTGCCTCTGAGAGGTGAAATTTGAAAACAGACCGAAAGTCGAAAACTGGCGTTAGCTTATCTACCTGCCATTGGCTGCAAAATCCTACCATATCTGACATTACCACTGGCAAGAACTGCCTTAATATACCCCACTTGCAAAAGGAAATTCAATCTTGAACAATACATCAACTCACACCTTCTGGCATGAACGCGGCGAACAAACCAAAAGCACACTCTAAGACTCCTGGTTGTGTAGCCTACGCTGGAGGTCTAGGAAGTCCTGCTTGTCAATGATGGCGAACTCCAGTATTATAGTGACGAATATCAACAGAAATGGTCCTAAGTACGTCCCTGACCTCTTCATTTGCCTGGTCTCTAATCCAGTTAAGAAAAACATAGCCACTGCTAATATCAACGAAAAGAAACAAAAAAAAAGAAAGCGGACTAGACGACCAGGATCCGAAGGCTGTGAAGGATCCGAAGGGGTGTCTTCAAATTCATTTGTATTAGGAAGTCGTACCGCTAGGATGCCGAAAAGTACCATAATCAACAACACTCTTAGCACCTGCAGCAATGAGTCTCCATCCTCGTAACGGCGAAGAGTTTGGACGCTTTGCTTGGTGTAGGATTTTTTATCCGAATTTCCATCTTCTTGGAGATTAAGGTTTGCTTGATCACGGGCAAAACAGAAGTTTTCTGTCCAAATGGTCAGAAAAGCTTTAGGTGACTCTATCTGCTGGGTTTCTTCAATAATCTTGCCAATGTCTCTCATGATAACCAAAGTACTATCGTCTGTGGTGTAGTAGCATTTGGTAGGCAAAACTGTGGAACGTCTACAGATGCCCCAAAAATTGGCATAGTATTTGGTTTCGCCCAGTGTCCAATTTGCTGGAATATGAGAGAGCATATCTTTTGTAGAGCCTGGAGCAATGTCCTCATAAGCTTCTAGAATCTTTGTTGAAAAATCAAACCATGTATTAGACCCAGGCATGGAATATGCCAGAACGGAAAAGAACGTACTGGGGTATATAAGCATTGATTGGCAAAGAATTGTTATAATGAACAGCACAATGTAGATTAGGTTGAAGTATATGTTCAGGCAGCCTGGCTTTGGATTTTCGGAGACAGACTGTTGGGTCGGGTTTTCAATTTCGAACTCCACCCAGTCTGGTGTAGCCAGTGGTTCTTGGTCAAATATTGTGTCCAGGGAATCTGACGTTCTTGATGTTACTGGTTCGTAGGAAGGTGGAGGCTGAGACTCCTCTGAATTTTCAGACCCCATTTCTTTATTTTTTTTGTTTTAAAGGCTAAGGGTGGGTAAAGTTCAGCTTTTATGGCTTTTCCAAGAGAGAGTTCTGGAAAAGGAAAGTATAACGAGCAAGAAAGACGATCATTGGTGGCTGAATACTCTCAGGAGACTGTTGGGAACAATGACTTTATTAATTGAAGATCTTGGTTTGGAAAAACACTGAACTACACGTTAGGATGTTAATGGAAAGGGTTTTGGAGACATATATTCGATTCAGAGCAAAGCGTTGGTTTTGGAACCTTAAACATGTCAGTGAACGTGGATGTCTATATCAAACGGACCCTGTTTACTTACAGAGTCTCTGAAACAGGAAAGTATAAGTCAGAGAACAAGTGGTAAAAATAAACGGCAGTGAAAAAAGGTCAAAGACTTTATAGTAGTTCCGTTATTGAAATTCATATAGTGATTGGACATTTGCGTGATAATAAGTATCGACATACATCTCTAATTCAAAAGGTCAAAATGCATATTTGGATAAGACTAAACATATCCTGAAGAGCTATAGTATAAGGCTTCATCCAAGTAAGCACCGAGAAGGCCTTGGCCTTCAAGAGAAAGCAAACGCAGATACTATAAAGACACCTAGCTACGTTAAAACCTACAAAAACACCAAATTCACAGAAAAATCAATCTAATCATAACATAAAAAGACGCAATACAAAGAAAGCATACTTAAATCAACTGCTTGGCAGCTTCTTCACCAGCCTGCTCCTCCTTCTTGTTAGCCTCCTCTGGGTGCTTAGCCAACCATTCGTTGTGCTTCTTCTCAGCCTCCTCTGGAGACTCGCCCTTGTGGAACTTCATCCACCACTTGCTGTCCTTGTCCTTACCGTCAGCATTGGCTTCCTCTGGGTGCTTGGCCAACCATTCGTTGTGCTTCTTCTCGGCTTCTTCTGGAGACTCGCCCTTGTGGAACTTCATCCACCACTTGCTGTCCTTACCCTTACCGTGAGCCTTAGCCTCCTCAGGGTGCTTGGCCAACCACTCCTCATGCTTCTTTCTGGCCTCCTCTGGAGATTCACCCTTGTGGTACTTCATCCACCATTCTTCACCCTGGTGCTTACCCTTACCGTGGTGTTTACCCTTGGAGTGAGCCTTGGCCTCCTCTGGGTGTTTCTCCAACCACTCTTTATGTTTCTTCTCAGCCTCCTCTGGCGATTCACCTTCATGGAACTTCATCCACCACTTGTCGTCGTGGTGTTTACCGTGAGGGTGGTCACCATAGTGCTTACCATGAGGACGCTCACCAGCACCCATTGGGTGGAATCCACCGTGGTGGGAAGCCTGCAAAGCCTGGTTCTCGTTAATGGCAACCATGGCATTGTGGAACGAGTAGTTCTCGTACATTCTGCCCATGGAGAAGACACCAAACAAACCAAGAGCTCCTACAGCAGTGGCTGCAAAGACCTTAGCCTTACAGCCCTTAGAACGCTGCTGAGTGGCAGGTTCATAGAAAGGATGGGAGGACTCTTCGAAAGAAGAAGTCGACAGGTATGGAGGGGTGGCCTCGGAAGACGAGGTAGTGTCTTTTTCGTTGTGCAAAGGCTGGTAGCTCATGGTGACGATAATATGGGGATTCTGGTAGGGGGGAAATTCACCAGTATTTATAGTTTAGTGGGTTCCCTTGGCAGGTGCATAGAATAGGTGAAACTTCATGCATACCCGACAGTCGGGATGTATGGATCCGAAATCGCGTGAGCGATCCGAGATCACAAAGGGGGGCCTGGTAGAATGGACAACAGAAGTAAAGAAGGCCAGGAAACAGTCATAAAGTCATTTTGATATATCCAGATAGGTATTTGATCAGTAACAGAGGAGGAGCCTTGGCTTTGGGAGGAGAAGGGCACCGGTGAACGTAAGGTCAAATGCCGTGTACTATGCCGTACCGCATATAATTATGCAAGGTTGCTGCGGCCAACTAGCGTTTCTAGCCAATGGCTGCAAAATTCAAATGCCGAATGTATGGCCAGCCAGTAAGCGCCTGCTGCGCCTACTGCATAAGCACGCCCTGATTGCTTAGTGGCTCTTTATCTCTCCCATCAAGCGTCGGCCCGGCTCGGATCCTCACAAGCCTGGTATACTATCGTAGCCATACTTATTAGCATACAATCCCAATGCCTTAATAGGGAACAAAAACTTATAAGTAGGATATTCAATAGCACAACTGTGGTTGAACACACCTTCAACATCTTCAAACTTCCATTCACCAGCCAAAGACTGTCTTTCCATAAGAAGCTTAATAGCCTTATCAATAGGCTTTCTGTCTGGGTAGTCACCAAGAATCAATGCAATAACAGCCCAGGCAGTTTGAACAACCAAAGACTTACCGGTTGGAACGTAAGTATGTGTTTCACTGGCTTTCATAGATTCACTCCAGCCACCGTCATCTTCTTGTTTTCTGATAAGGAAATCCAAACCTTTTTGCACGGTCTTTGAGTTATCATAAGAATGGCCAACGGTTTCCAATGCTTCAATGGCAAACATAGTAGCATAAGTGAAACAAACACCCCACAGGCCGTACCACGAGCCGTCGTATGGATCTTGGGTCTTGATGATGTACTGGATGGCATTGTCAATTGCAAAGTTGATCTGTACTGGTTTGTAGTCTGGGTAGTACTTGTTGAAGTAGGTGAGTCCCAAAACAGACGAGTCTGTGCATTCCACGTAGGGATACTCGACCATGATGTTGTTGAATACTTCAGCAGGACTGATGAGTTCAAGCTTTGGGGTGGCTCTGATATGTTCGTAGGATGAGAAAGAACCAAACTCGAAACTGCCAGTGTTCTGGATGAAAAGAATTCTATCCACTGCATCTTCAAGGTTTTGTCTCTCGATTTTCTTTTCTTCTGGAATCTTGTTGCCCAAGAAATCATCGTTTTCCACCATAATAATGGCCTTGACTGCTTCAGCAGTACAATCACTCACAGTGTAACCCTGAGTCTTGGTACTGAAAGGCCAGGCACCCTTTCTCTTGTCTCTGAAACTGCCTTCTTCACATTCTTCCGTAAACTGCGACCGGCGCAAGAACCAGTAGCCCTTGAGAATCATATCGTGGTACTTTGGGTACCTAGACATTCCTGCCATGATAAGGTACTGACACATGAAAGCCACATCCCATGTTTGAACACCATTGGTACCCATAACAGTCATACCCTGAGGACCATGGAAAAGCACGTCATCTTTTCTGTCCAAGAAACGTTGAAATGCGTATGAATCACGGCCTTCTTCAAGGTATGTGATAATCATGTTGAAGCAGAAACTGACTGGCGCAATGCACAAGTAGTCGGTGTTTTTACACTCCTTTTGGATGAGTTCATAGACTCTCTTGCTGCTTTTACGAAGAAGCCAGTTGGGTCTCACGTACTTCTCATAGTTAACCACCACCCAATTCAACGTATCCAAAACCTTCGTATGTGGATAATACAAGTCCACACCGCAAACAGTATTTCTGTGCTTGGAAAAGTCGATCTTAGAGTATGGCAACTGCCTAGGCAAGTAGATCTCCTCCCTGATCTCCTCAAGCAACGGATCAAGAGCACATTTGTTACGGTTGGCACTCAAATAAGCCAATGGCAAGTAAATAGCACGAGTGTGGACCCACCAACGGCCAGGATGGATAGGCATCCAGTATGGCAAAGACCACAATTCAGGAGGAGCTGGGTTCACGCCTTCCCATTCGTACAAGCTAAGAATGGAAAGCCACGCTTTACCCCAATGCGGGTTTCCCAAAGCACCACCCAAGCTGTGAAGCGTCTTACGTGCCTTGACACAAACCGGGTGGTCTTTAGAAAGTCCCAAAAGCCTCAAACACACGTAGTTGATAGACGTACCGAAACACGTAGACTTATCCACGCTATGCAAGCCCCAGCCGCCATCAACAGGGTGTGCCGTATTCACAATATACCTAATCATCTCCTTTCTCTGGGCATCGCCAATTGGCGTCTTGGTAAAGTACGACGCTGCCACATACCCTATAGTCATGAACATTGGGCCCTTATACTGGCAAGCGAACGTACCACAATCTTCCTGGATCTGGGCAAGAAACTCCAGGCCCTTAGCAGCAGCATCAAATGGATGGGTAAGTTCCTCTTCAGCGTTTGGCGCCGGGAAGTCGTCCATATCCAAAAGGTACTTGGTGGTTCTCAGCTGAGGTTCAGCTTCAGCTTCCTTGGGCAGAAGGTAATGCCATGTTTCTCTGCCTAGCTCGTCTGTGCGGAGCCTCCATAACGCTGGATTGGTCTTTTCAAGGCCCAATGTCTCGGAATAGTACTTTGTCATGGTGGTTTGGGGAAAAGAATGTGGAGTGGAAAATGGAAAATAGGCGTATACGAGAGCGGACCATATGTAGGCCAGAGGCCGGGGAGGCACTTCCAACACTGGTCCAGAATCTTGGAGAAGGAGGTAAATGGGGGAAATTGGTGGGTTTATTGGAGGCTGATTAAAGTAGGGAATGTCTTTTTTCTTCTTTTTAGGGACTTTTGTTGTGGATTGTTGGTGGTGGTTGTCGCTTTTCGCAGCCATTTCTCGTATGGGGAAGGAGGAAGGAAGTGGGAAGAGGAAGGGAAGAAAAGTAAAAGGTAACGAGTAATGTGAATTTGAGTTGGTTGGTTTCAGTTGGATTGGTTTTGTTGGTTTGTTTTGGAAGGAAATGGGTGGGTTGGATGGATATGGCTGGTGTTGGGGATGTCTCATGTTTACTGGTTGGATAGGTACCTATACCAGACGACTGACTACAGGCTACTTAATGCTTCTAGATATGACAATGATGTCTATTGGAAATGTTTCAGATGATTCATTGAAAAGGCGAAACGAAGAAATTAAATGTCAGACAAGCTCTTCTATTTATCACTATGTATCTAGTACTGGTTGTTCTCTCATGTCTCACGACCATGTAGTTAGATGCACCAAGTACCATTTCATGGAAAGATGAAAGTAGGCCGAAAAATAGACTTATAATCATATCCTGAGGGAAAGTAATGGATATATAGAGTATTGAACTGACTACCGTTCCATGGCCATCTACTAGCGCTGGTGCTTCTACAGGGCCTATGGCATTACACTGATTACTTCAGATGCATCACATACAACACTGCCAGACCACAAGTTAGAGAAGATGAAATTCTTGACGTTGTAGAAAACACCGACTAGAGATTAATTATCACTTTCTTTTTTTCAATTTCTTTTCGACATTTCAATCATATGGGAGTCCCTCTTCCATTTCTTCAGCTTCCATTGCGAGCGAGATATTTGCAGCCATTCATATCCACCCACCAGACTCAAAAACAGACTACTTTTTGAACTAAAATAACTTCTTGAAGGCTCATTAGGCAAATAACATAGGCCCTGACGTGCGCCCACCCCTAGAATCATGAGTTTGGGGGAGGTCTTTATGGACTGGAACAGTTTACACGTGACTTTACACGTGACTTTCCCACCATTTTTTCTAGCCTCATCACTGAAAATCACCACTACTCCATCAACTTCCACAAACATGGCCAAACGGAAGCTCGAGAAGTCTAACGCTGCAAAGCTGAAGACGGAAGCTGATCTAGAAGTCTCTTCAAAGCCCAACGGTTCTTTGGCTGCAGCTCTTCCTTCCTCTGATGAGGAATCTGTCGCTGACGTTGAGTCTGAGGATGAATCCAACGAGTCTGAGGAAGACGAAGAAGAAGAGGAGGAGCAAGAGGAACAAAAGAATAACGGACCTCCTAAGAAGAAACAAAAGTCTCAGGTAACTGCCCAAGACGTCCAGGCGGCTCGTGAGACTGCCGAGCTCTTCAAATCCAATATCTTTAAGCTTCAGATAGATGAGCTTGTGAACGAGGTCAAGATTAAGGATTCCCATGTGGCTAAGATCGAAAAGGCTCTTCACAGACTTCATCACTGTATTTCTCAGATCCCAGCTACCGAACAGCTTACGCTTGAAGAGGCAGAGAAGAAGATCAACACCAAGAAGTTGGTTATCCCATTCCCTGATCCCAAACCTACCAAGGTCAACTATAAGTTTGGGTATTTGCCACCTGAGAATGTTGCTTTGGTTGGGTCTTTTGGCTTGAAAACAGGTATTGCTCAGCAGCACGGCCTGGGTATCGACATATCGCTTGTGATGCCTAAACTGCTCTTCTCGCCTAAGGATTACTTGAACTACCGTGCTTTGTATAAGAGAAGTTTCTATATGGCCTACTTGGCTGAGCACCTTCTCGCACTTACAAAGAAGGAGCACTTGCCGGTGAAGATGTCTTACTTCTTCCTTAACGACGATGTGCTTTGTCCAGTGCTCAAGTTGGAGTCCATCAAAACCGATAACGAGGACGATTTGTCTTTCCACAAGACCAAGTTCACCATCAACTTGATTGTGTCTTTCCCATTCGGCGTCTTTGACACCAAGAAGCTTTTGCCAGATAAGAACTGTATTAGAGTGCAGAGCGATACTGAAGACCTTCCGCCTACGCCATACTACAACTCATCTGTGGTTTCCATGACAACACAAGACTACTACTTGAAGTACTTGTACAGAAACAAGAAGTCTGCCGATGCCTTTAAGGATGCTTGCACTTTGGGAAGATTGTGGCTACAACAAAGAGGATTTGGCTCTGCTCTTAATAAAGGTGGGTTTGGCCACTTCGAGTTTGCCATTTTGCTCTCTGCACTTCTTAACGGTGGAGGTAACAGCGGTAACAAAATTCTTCTCCATGGTTTCTCCTCCTACCAGTTGTTCAAGGGTGCCATCAAGTACTTGGCCACCATGGACCTCACAACTGGCTATTTATCCTTCTCCAGCGACTTGGACCAGTCTACTGCTTCGAAGTATGTTCCTGAAGCAGGTTTTAATACCCCTACTATCTTTGATAAGAATGTCAAGCTTAACGTATTATGGAAAATGAGCAAATCGTCGTACCAGGCTTTGCGTCAACTGGCCATCAACACTTTTGAGTTGTTGAACGATGTGGTTTATGATAGATTTGATGCCATCTTCTTGCGTAAAGCAGCTTCTGATATGTTGAAGTACGATTTGGTGTTCAAGCTTGCTGTTCCAGAGGAGCTCCACGACGCGTTCGGTGCATTGGAGAAGATCACATTCATTACCTTCGATAACTACATCAAGCACAAACTTTTCATGATCTTGAAGAATGCTTTGGGCGAAAGAGTGACCAGTATTGAGATCATCAACGATAAGGTCAACGACATTTTCCCCCTTCTCAAGAGAAAGCCATCTTCTCAGCATAGCAACTCATATACAATTGGCATAGAATTAAACCCTGACGAGTGTGATAAGATCGTCACCAAGGGTCCTAATGATACTGACGAGGAGGCCGCTGCTCGTTTCCGCTCCTTCTGGGGTTCCAAGGCATCGCTTCGAAGATTCAAGGACGGTACTATCCAGCACTGTGTCGTCTGGTCGATTGAAAACAACGAGCCTGTTACCAGCGCCATTGTTCACTATGTTCTTGGTTTGCATCTCCATCCTACGATATCACAGCATCTTAAATCTACCATTAGCCATTTCAACGCTAAGCTTCCGATTCCTCTGGCTGCTTCGGCAGCTGGTCAGGGCGTTACAGGTACCACTAATTTCACGCTTTTGAAGGAGTCGTTTGAGGAATTGTGCAAGATCATGTACAACTTGGAGCTCCCGTTGAGTGTTAAATCCATCTTGCCTGCTTCCCCTTCGTTGAGAAACACTTCTATTTTGCAACCAGTTCCGTTTGCTGTTTCAAACCCTGACTTCTGGAACGATGTCGTGTTGCAGTTTGAGAGTTCGTCTAGATGGCCAGACGAAATCAAGGCATTGGAAAAGACAAAGACTGCTTTCCTTTTGAAGGTCAGCGAAACCTTGAACAAGGAGTCAACGTACAAGTGTTTCCTCACGAAAGACAATTCCATTCCTTACATGGAAGACATTACCTTAATGAACGTTCTTACGCCAGGCGGTTACGGTTTTAGATTCAGGGTCTTGAGTGAACGTGACGAGATTCTCTACTTGCGTGCAGTTACTAACGCTGGTAACCAGAAGGCCATGGTCCAGAACGTGTACCTCAAGTTCAACCAGAAGTATTTGGGTTCTGTGAAGCATTCTCGTACTATCAGCATATTATCCACGCATTTCCCATACTACTCGCCTACAGTGCGTTTATTCAAGCAATGGCTCGATGCACAAGTGCTTCTAAGCCATTTGAACGACGAGCTCGTGGAGTTGATTGCGTTGAAGCCATTCGTTGATCCTGCTCCGTATACTGTTCCAAACTCTGTTGAAAAGGGATTTTTGCAAGTTCTTGACTTCATGTCTAGCTGGAACTGGAAGGACGATGGACTCATTTTGGATCTCGTTAAGCGTGCTGATGCTGCTGCTGACGAGCTCGATAACAAGCTTAGTGATAAACTTACAATCAGAGCCCACCAGATGATTCAATCCAACTTTGACAAAATCAGAAAGACCGATCCTTCCGCTATGAAGACGCAATTCTTTGTCGGCACAAGAGACGATCCTTCTGGTATTTTGTGGTCCAGCGATGTCACCTTGCCCATTGCAAGCAGACTTACAGCTCTTTCCAGAGCAGCCATGCTGATGGTCAAACAACAAGGCGTCGACGACCAAACGCTCAAGCTCGTCTTCACGCCCGCATTGAACGATTTCGATTTCCATATTCAATTGCGCAAGTCTGACCTCGGCAAGTCCTCTGGTGTGCTCAAGCTGGGCGGTTACAAGAACTTGAGTGGTAACTACACTTCATTCCCTGACGATATCACTTCCCGTTACGACCTCACGGCCGCTTTCGTGGAAGAACTCAACAAGGCCTTCGGCAACGTGATCCTCTTCTCCAGAAGAAAGTGCCTGGGTCTCTACGACGGTGAGAACATTGTCTGTGGAGTGTTCCTCCCCAACACTGGCAACAAGAAGTTCAGAGTCAGTTTGGCCATGGACGTCAAGCCCTCGGACGAAAAAGACGAAGTCACCCTCAACAAGCAGGACGTTCTCGACCAGATCAAGCTTCTTGGAGGCGATCTCGTGAAAAACGTCAAGTCCAAAAAGTAAGTATCAAAAGTGCACCACATCCCACACATGGTGCAGTGCGAAAAGATGGACTGAGGTTTTCTTCTAAGTATCAACACTTTTCTTTACCCCAGCATCCAACTACATTCCTTGAAAGCAAGAAAATTCCGTGTTCCCGCTGTTCCATTACATATCATCACATTCATCATGGACTTCTCGGCCCAGCGGTACCCGACAGTGGAGGAAACCATAATCAATAACGCCTCTGTTCTATATAGACGAAAAAAGCATTTCCTTACAAACCTAAGACAGCTAGTGGATGGCACGGGCTATGTGATCATTGGACTCATCTACCTACGGGACATCCTGATGTTCTTTGCTGCCCTTCGTGCATTCATCCATTACTGTATATCCAATCCGTATCCCACACCGTCTCCTGCAATCACTGTGAGTGATACGACCAAGAAACGCATGAAAAAGTTCATTTTAACCAGCATAATATCCATCAACACGATATGTTTCCTTAAACATCTCCTTTTTGGCGTTTATACGGAACCTGTAACCGATGACGGGTACCTATACGGCGGTATGACCGTGCAGTTCATAGGAGAGCAGTTGCCCAAGCTGCGTCTAGCGTTGGTGTGTCTTGACTTGCTTATAGCGTTTATTCAGATTGTTTACCATAATCTAATGTGCTGCACGGACGATTCGGAGGTTTTGAAAACGACGCCGTTGGAAATCAACGAGGAAGATACGTCGTGTCGCCTGGAAATCGAAGCTGACGGGTATAACGGTAATGTTTCGTTGATAGCGCTTGATATTTTCGATGGCATGGTTGAAACGTTGCTGTACGTTGAAATGGGGCAGAACCTGCTGCTCTGGGAAATGCATCCAATGGGTGGACAAGGCGAGGAGACTCAACAAGGGTCTCAGCAAGGGTCTCAGCAAGAACGTCGTCCGCCTGTGCTGCTCTCGCAGCTTCTAGCATAATGGTAATGAAGGAGATGGAATCTGGGAGGTTATGGATGTAAGGAGAGAAGGTACGGGATGAACGAAGGGCTTGAAGTGGGCCATGAATGCAAGTGGCCAATGCATAACCACACTGGATGTGGAGACAGAGATACTGGCTTGAAGTGGGCCTGAGAAGATTGAAACGGGTAATCAGGAGTGACTACGAGCTGTTTCTGGGCTTGTTTTATGGTACTTTGGCTTTTTGGCTTCTTGGACAAATTATACTGTGACAAATTATACTGTGCTTATGACGTCAAAGAAGGCAAACTCTATCTAAATCAGCTCCTCAAGAAGTACTTAAGCGACCAGCGGCCTCCAAAGACGACCTCAAGTTACCTTTATATCGCTTTGCTTACTGGTTTGCAGCCATTTGATGGAAAGTGAGCTAGAGCACCAAGAACCGCTACACGACCCCTCCAGCGCCAACGAAGGCTACTCGGTACCATCCAGAACATAAACCAAGCAGTTTTTATGGCCAACGAATTTTTTGCCCATCATTTTTCACTCGTCATCTTCGTGGGGTCCTTTGGTTGTCCTGGTAGATACGGCCTTACACCCGTGCACCATGACAGAGATGAGCATAGTTAACGAAAAAAATACCCATCTCATCTTACTCCAACACCAAAGCAGCTCAACAACCCTTTCCAATGTCGAACATCGTGGGTATTGAGTACAACCGTGTCACCAACACTACCTCCACGGACTTTCCTGGTCACCTGGCCAATGAGGACCATGCTTGGGACATGGAAAAGTTCAAGTCCAAGTTCGATATCAACATCTCCCACATTGCCGGAAGAACCGCCAACTTCGACTTGGTCAACATCGACACCTCTGTCGCCAATGCATTTAGAAGAATCATGATCGCTGAAGTGCCTTCTGTGGCTGCTGAAACCGTTTATGTCTTCAACAACACTTCTGTCATTCAAGATGAGGTGCTCGCACACAGAATCGGTCTTATCCCATTGGATGTGGACCCAGATGTGTTGGTCTGGCTCGATCCTTCCGTGGACGAGAAGGAGCGTTTCAACGACACAAACACCATCGTCATGTCTTTGGACATCAGCTGTACACGCAACCCTAATGCTCCTGCCGATGCCACGGACCCTAATGTTCTCTATAGAAACCTGAATGTGTACGCCAAGGACCTCAAATTCGAGCCACAAGGCCGTCAGACTGAGATTTTCAAAGACAAGCCAGTCCAGCCCTGTGATCCTGATATTTTGCTTGCCAAGTTGAGACCAGGCCAGGAGATCTCATTGAGAGTGCATTGCATTTTGGGAGTTGGCAGTGACCACGCCAAGTTCTCGCCCGTGTCGACCGCTTCATACCGTTTGATGCCTACCATCGACATCAAGGAGCCAATCAAGGGCCCATTGGCTGAAAAGTTCCAGCAATGCTTCCCATCGGGAGTTATTGGCATCGATGATCTGGGCAAGGCCTTCGTCGAGGACGCCAGGAAAGATACTGTGTCGAGAGAAGTCTTGAGACACGACGATCTAGCATCTAAGGTAAAGTTGGGCAGAAAGAGGGACCACTTTATCTTTAACGTGGAGTCTACCGGTGCCATGGCACCCACAGAAGTCTTCCTCAAGTCTGTTCGTGTGTTGAAGAACAAGGTGGACTACTTGAGAAACTGTCCTATCGGCCAGTAAAGGGAATGGGTCATTTACATGTATAATAGAAAAGAATTTCAGCAAAAATGATATGTATTAGATTTTTTTGGGAGGTGTGCGTGGTAGTTTTACACGAGCTGCTTTCTGGAGCCTCTGAAGAAGTACTGGACGATGGAGATCTGCAAAACAGCCATTCCGACCATAAGGAGCACCTCAAGAATGGAGAAGTAGTATATTCTCGACTCAGTAGAACGCACAGTGGCCTGGTTTCTGTTGTTCCTCGTCTTGTAGTACAGCAAAGCGTACTTGAGCTCGTCCAACTGTCTGTCGATCTCGTCGGCGGTTCTCTTCATGCCTTCCACGTGTTGTTGTGGCTTCTGGTTGCTTGGAGCTGGCATCGAAGCACGGAACTGGCTCAGAGCATCGCCCTCATGCTTGATCTCAAAGTCCACCACCTTTTCAGCAAATGTAGACATTTCATTGGAGAAACAAAACTCGTACTCGCCCACAACATCAGCCTCAAACACGAAAGATCCCTGTCTCAGCTTGGTGTCGCCATAGATGGTTCTACGGCTAGGACTCTTGATTTCGTAGTCCACGTCGAAATCACCGCCAGACTGAACTGCAAAGTAGTAGCTCACCTGGGTACGTGGTTTCTGGGTGAAAATGTAAAAACAGGCCTTCTCCTTGGCAGGCAAGTTGAACGTCAATGCGGAAGCTGCAATGACCTGGATAAGTGCCACAAGGGCAACGATGCGGGCCAACATTGGGGGAAAGGAGGATGTCGTGTTGGTGGTTTTCACTAAGGACGTGTCAGAAAAACTGAGTATCCAGACGGTCGTGCGAGACCCGGATCTGGCCAGACACAGAGTTTTTTATTGTAAGAAAGGTAATTTAAAGATTATAGATGAGTGGTTGGGTTTGGTATTTGGGAGTGGATTGGATTCTGGTCGGCTTTGGGGGTCTTTTTGGAAAAGTGGTGCTGTTGGTGGAGGGTTAAAGGTGGAGTGCTGTGGGCTGTGAGAAGCTAGAAGTGAAAAATCGTGAATTCAAGGGAAAAGAGCGTGGATTGGGAAAATGTGAGGAAGGTGGAGGGAAGTAGTTGTATCGTTCGTTGTTTTTTGTGGCTTTTCTGGGGTTTTGGTGGTGGTCTATTTATGTCTTTTGAAGAAGTATATGTTTTTCGCAGCCATTCTGTAGATCCACCAGAAAGTGTAGATATTTGTGGAAAGGCTACGTTTAATGGTGAAAGCTAGGATGAAAAAAGAAAAGTATGAAAATAAATTAAAAAAAACATAGAAATGATTTTCAACTTACTATTAAAATTCCAGAAAATATATATCTTCATTGGGCCAATTACCCTCCATAAGCACTTGAAGACCATAGAATGTTCATCTGACTACCAATCGTCAATCTAATGGCCATTTAATTCAAAGAGGAGTTCTACAAGGAATCCCTTATTGTGACTACGACTCTTCAACAGCCACTCTGCCTCCCTCAACACCCAACTCATCTACACTTATTCATCAATGCGTAATATTTACAAGCTAGTTTATACAGTGTACACCATACGGCCAAGTCTGTCGAAGCCCACGGCTCTGTCTCTCTTTTTATCTCTTCTGGAAGCACCGTATCTGTACCCGACATTGCCGGCAGTTGCCTTGGTGAATCTGAACTGAGTGTCATCACCATCCTTCTGAAGACCAACCACAACCTCATTATCTCTCACTCTGGAATCGTTCTCTTCCGTGATTTCAGACAAGGAGTCAAGAGTCTGCTGGGCAGGTTCAAGACCAAAGATCTTGGCGGCGTCTACGGGACCGAAAGGCTCAGATTCCGAAATGGTGACGAATCTCTGGTGCAAGGTCTTAGCAGGAGTTGGAATTTCAGTCAAATTGTCCTTGTGCTTTGGCTTGTAGAACAATGGGAACATTTTGTACATGACTTTCGAGAACTTGTCTAGGTCCTTAGTGATTTTGTTCTGTAATGTTAGTATAGGTTAACCAGTAAAAGAGTTCTTTTTCTTTCTTTTCAGGAGCAAGTGTGTAACCATGTGGTGGTCTTAAAGACTAATCGAATATAAAACAAAGCTAATCTCATCATATCAAAAAAGGAACTCATCAAAAAAATGTACATACCTCATTCTTCCACTGTCTTTCAATATGCTGTAGCTTGACAAGCGCCTCCACACGAGGAAGACGAATGCCGTACCTCTGGGCCACCTCCTGGGCGTTCGAGCCCTTTTCCACCACCTGGGAGAAAATCTCTGCCTTCAAGTCTTCCAGAATCACCTGTGCTGTTTGTGTATATTGGTTAGCTGGGAATGGCTGTTTGGAAAGATCTCTCGATGCTTGTCTGGTGTACTCAGCAGCGCCCGGCGTCACCCTGGGAGAATTTCTCTCATCGATGTACCGAGGCTGGTGGTTTTGAGGAGGATAGCAGTATTTGTTTGTGTAGTATTCGCCCCTGATGTTTCTAGGACCAAGGAAAGCCTTTAACTGGCGTTTCAATGGACCATCATGGGACTTGGGATCTTTTGGAGGGAGGTCAACTGGGACACGAAGGTAGTCTGCCTTTCTTTTGAGTTTGAAGGAACGAGTCGCCTGAACAGACCGAGGTCCTGTCAGACGAAGGTTCAGGGCAGAGAACATTAGTGGGAGGAAGGTTTTTATATGGTAGAACTTTTTTTTTTTTCAGTGTTGAAGTTTGGAAGAGTGCGACATCGCGACAATGTCGTCGCTTGGTCAGCAGTTAGGGCCCATCAATTTTGAATTCAAACAAGGAACTTTGAGGGAAAAAGGGTTTAGTCGGATTAAGGTAAGGCCAGGGAGGCCAAATATGGTTTTGGAATTGTTATAGGGGGTCTGTGCGTGGAGATATTTGGAGTGTGGCTCACCATAGTTAAGGTGTTTTTCGCAGCCATTTTTCCAGGGCTTTACGGTGCTTCAATGAAAAAGGCAAGGGGAAACGTAAGAAAGGTGATGTAAAGTGATGAATTTAGTTTCTAAAGAGATACAAAGAATGTTTTTGGCTATCATGGTTTGGGGGGGTTCGTCGATTCAATGACTTTAATGAGGTAGCCCTGGTGTAACTGTCAGTGAGATGCCGTACATCGAAAGTAATACTTCATGTATTTAACAGTGACTCTGGTTCAACATAAAGATGGAATGCAATTTCACTCAAAACTATAAAAAGCTTAATATTTTCTTTGAAGTTTTTGACATGGCGTTTACTCTGGAGTGCTTCTACTATATCATCGCAGCGAATCACGACCAAGAATCAACATAAGCCTTTTAGCTATTAATTTCCTGAAAGCTTCAGAACCAAACCCAGTTCCATTAGAGATATAGCTTCTGTCATTTTACTACCAAATCAAGTTCAAATCAACTTCACTTCCTATCATTCAACGCTCCCTCCTACTTCTCCTGAAGTGCCTGTTTTTCGCAGCCATTCTTCTCACTAAGCACTACACTGAACATTAAACATCACCTTTAAACCCACGTCATTCCCAGATCCAAGAATAACAAATAACCAGCTAAAAACGCTACCCCCTTGCATCCTCCTGGCACCTTCACACTCCAAATCACCACCTCCCGGGGCCAAAACGTTCTGGTGTTTTACACGTGCCCATAATCACGCGCCTGCGTTTACATATACACGATTCACCAAAACACACATTCTTACATCACCATTGCTCCTACCAAAACCACCGTTTCCCCCCTTCTTTCATGGACGGCCTCGTCACCACATTCAAAAAGCTCCGTGAGCGTGTTTCGCCTCTTAAAGAGGTCGACGAGAACGCGTCGAACGTTGTTTCCAGAGACGAAGTTCACGTTGGAAAGCGTCAAAGCTCGGATCCCTTTGATGATAGGGCGTCAAAGAAGAAACCGAAGGTGGAAGTACGGAAACAACCGTCTTCACGTGAATCTCGGTTTATTCGTGACGAGAATCTTAAGTCGATGTCTAGAGAAAAGACGCCTGCCCCTGCTCAGCCTGAAAAGAAGGAGAAACCACAGCCAGTGGAACAGACCGAACAGGGCGGTGATGATGATGAGAATGTGACTTTGGAAGTGCTTGAAGAAATGCATAAACTTGAGGAATCGTTCCCGATTTTGGCTGAAAAGTATCGCCTTATAGATAAGATTGGCGAGGGTACGTTTTCCACGGTTTATAAGGCAGAAGCTATGAATGGAGCTGTCTTGCTCGGCTCTCAAATGTGGAAGTCTCCACCACTCCAGAAAGTCTCCTCAAAGAAAGGCAAAAAGAAGCAGAAGAACCCGTTGGTTGCTCTTAAACAGATCTACGTCACTTCCTCTCCAAACAGAATCTACAATGAGCTTAATCTACTTTACATGCTCAGTGGAAATTCACACGTCGCTCCTTTGCTTGATATTCTACGTCTTCACGATCAGGTTTTGGCAATTCTCCCGTACTACCAGCACGCAGACTTCAGAGACTTCTACAGGGACATTCCCATCAAAGGCATCAAGAAGTACATGTGGGAACTCTTCCAGGGTCTTGAGTTTGTTCACAGTAAGGGCATCATGCATCGTGACTTGAAACCCACTAACTTCTTGTATGATCCTTTCAAAGGTAAAGGTGTTCTAGTGGATTTCGGGTTGGCCGAGAAGATGCCTCTGTCGTATTCCCTGGGGAACACCAGATCTTCAAACACATGTCCCTGTCTTTCCAAAGATAAGTCTGTCACTCGCACACATTCCAAGCGTCTCAACATAAAAGCTGCATATCCTAAATTGGATCAACGTCCTCCTCGAAGGGCCAATAGAGCGGGTACTCGAGGATTCAGAGCGCCCGAAGTGCTTCTCAAGTGCACTAACCAGACCACAAAGATCGATATCTGGTCTGCTGGTGTCATCGGGCTCTCACTTGTATCCCGCAAGTTTCCTCTTTTTAATTCACCGGATGACATCGACGCTTTGATCGAGATACTCTTGATTTTCGGCCACGATAAGCTTCAAAAGGCTGTTGAATTGCATGGTTGCGGTTTGGAAGTCAACATGCAATCAGCTGTATCGTCAAGCTTCAATGGTAACCTTGTCAAGTTCTTGTCCTCCATTCTCCATCACGAAAGCGAAAACGAAAGTCTACCACCGGACAGTGTCATCCACGACACGCTAGCATACCTTGATCCAAAGAACAACGTCTTGATTAAACCTACACTTGAATCCACAGACGTGACTGATGATCAATATGAAGAGTATAAACGAAAATTAGAAGGCTACACTGACCTCAAGCACTTATTGCAATTGCTTTATGGATGCTTCAGCATGGATCCACAGAAGCGCCTCAATGCATCGCAATTACTTAAATTGCCTTTCTTCAGCGAATTAAAGGTACATAAAGATGACGAGGTTGTGCTTTAGATCCCGGTGGGGTCCTCAAGTATATATTAAAAATACAAGGCATGAAAGGTATACTATGCAAACAATAAATTAGTAGATAGCGTGGCTATCAGTGCTGGATACCAGCTCCGAACGGTCTCTCTTTCTGGACGACGAAGGAGCTGCCATCACAGGTTCTTTGAGTTCGGTGCGTTTATCAGTTGAATCGAGAACCGCCTTGTTCCACTTTCTGTTGAGCTCAGTAATAAGCTTGTTTTGCAGGCGCATACTGGGCTCTTCAGGAAGAAAGCTTTGTAGTGGAGGCGATGGAGACCTAAGTGTACGGAGCGGATTGAAGGTTTGGGATGGCGACACACTATCATCCACAAGATTAGGACTGGGTCTGTATGGATGAGGCAGCACCTGACTGGGAAACTTTGTATCAGAACTCATGACATTTGTTGGAGAGTTGGGCGAGTTGTTAGACTCTAGCAACTCCAACTGAAGATCCTTCGAAAGAAGCATGCGTCTCTTAAGAAACATCGACTGCGTGATAGAAGAGTTACGGACCTTTTTGCTTGGAGTACGCAAGTGGCCCTGGCTTTCCAAGTCATCAGGACTTTGGCTTCCCGGGGATTGTGAGGTTGGTTTCTGAGCAGAATGCTGCGTCCATAGCGTGCTAGGCAGATGTGGAGGTGGTGGAGATTGATGATTGTTCTGATGCAGATGATGGATGGAATGCTGTTGGTGATGGGAATGCTGTGAATGCGGAGGATGCTGAAGCGGAACAGTGGGGAGATGAGAATGGAAAGAGGCATCGCTGCCGAGGGAAAGAGGCGATGAGACAGGGTCTTCGAGGCCTGTGACTGAAGAAGAAGTTCCAGGAAGCGAAAACGACACCGCAGGGCCCTGGGCGTGTGGATTCGAAGTGTTAGCCTTGGGTTTCTTCTTGTCGAACTTAAACTTATAGTCTTTCTTGAAACTCTGCAACGACGAAACACGCAGAGCCTTCTCGCCCGAGTTACGGCGCCAGCGGCCCTTATTGCTCGAAATCTGGATCTCCAGCTCAGAATCCTCGTCGGAAACTATCACGCTGGTGTTATTCTTGTGGCGAAGCTTATGCCTATGAGCGATGATATAGTTATCCTTGGGCGTTTCGTTCGGCGACGCCACGCCCATTGAACTCAAACTGGCGTTACTATTATTTCTCGTAGGCCTCAAAAGTTGTCGTCCACAGAAATGATCAGATTCCGTGGCAGTTCAAGACTTATGATGGACATGCTGCGCTGATGACTGGAATGGTTAGAACCCACGGAGTTCATCGAAGAAGACCGCTGTTTCTTCGTCTGCGGCCCAGCAGCGGGCCGAACTAGCCGAGGGCTCGAAGACCCACTGAGCCCTTCAGAAGAACTCATAGGGCTGTTTCTGTCCTTGTCTTTCGGAGTGGTGCTCATTTGTGTTTGTCACGAGACAGCCACGGCTGAAGAAGACTTAAACAAGTTTTAAAAAAAAGGGGTTTATTTCTTCCAAAAAGAAGCAGCGTGAGCCAGAACGCAGAAAAGCAAGGTTGGCACAGCACCAAGCTTCTGGGATGGAAAAGGTGGTTATTTCTTTATGCTTTTGGAAAAAGAGACGAGGAGTCTTTAGGGATGATTGTGTGGGTGCTCTCTTTTTTTTTTTTTTTCCCATTGATAGAAAAAGCGAACTTACGCAATCTCCTGCACACAACCCAGGCAGCACTAGCTGGCGAGAAGAAAAAACCTGCCTGGCGCTGCGATGAGAGATGCACTCGTGCAGTTGTGTGGAGAAGGCGGCGTGGTAGAACCTGGGCGGCTGGAAAGGCAGGGGAAGGTTGACACGGGCAAGGGGTCCTCCACGGAGCGTGGGGGCAAAAATGACACTTTTTAAGGTACACAAAAGTGCGAATTGGCCTCGTATTTATAGTACAAAGGTGGGGGAGCCACAGACCCTGAGGTGCTGCCCCGCTGCTGCGAAACACAATACACTCCGAGTCCTCCGAGACATGGACGAGACAAGGCTGGGAAGGGAGGGAAAGAAGGGGGTTTGGGGAAGGTTTGGGATGTATGGAGGTTTAGGTTTAGGATGGGAAGATTTGGGGCGGAATTTGGAGGTATTTAGGGGAAGTGGGGCGGAATTGAGGTGGGTAGTTGGATGGGTTGGGCACTAATGGTATGAGTGGAGTAGGTTATAGGTGTTTTGGTGGAAATTGGCGAAGAGTTGGTATTTTTGTCAGAATTGGTATTTAGAGGTATTTGGAGAGGAATTGATGTTTTGGAGGGGCTGGGGATGCCATAGTATGGTGGTGTTTCTGAATACGAGGTATATGTTAATCTGATATACACCTGTGCTCTCCCAAATAAGCTATGGGGGCCATTGAAATTCGATCATTTCTATAATATTAATTATGGTACTTTATGTAATTTAATGGTATGGAGATCGCCGAGAGAGGACGAGGGCTAAGCGAGCTTTCAGGGTCCATTGGCTGAGGCTAGCGAGGCTTGGCTAAGACCCTGTCTTGGTAATAATCTCTGGCACTGGAATAAGACAAGCACATCAATTGATATAATAAAGAAAGGCTCATTTCATATAGTTTTTCTAAAAAATTGTCAGGAAGGGCAATATCAATTGGTATGGCAATAATCGTATTTATACTAGATACAAGAAGTTGGATGACAGTCTGATACAGGCTGGAAACATAGAAAGATGATTACAAAGAGTTGGGAACAGAGTTTTTTGGATATTCAGAAGAACAAACAAATTGAGTTCTGGAACGATCTATGACAAGTTCTGGAGCAATTCATGCATTGTTATCGGGAGCTGCTTAACCAAGGTATAATAACAAGTACAATGGAAGACGATCGAGGAAGCCATTAACAAGCACCAAAAAGAATCATGAATTTATCGATCTAAATAACACAAAATTATGTTTCTAAGGACAGATAGATTCGGTTCGCCGAGTATCAACCTTGCCTGTTCCTTGTAGTGTTGTAGACACTGGGAAGGTACCCAAAGAGCCCAATTATAGATACACGTAAGGATCCAGAGAAATTACGAACGTCAAGATTATGAAAACAGTCAAAGAAACCAAGTTTCTTGAGATGCAGACGTTGACAGTCCTAGCATATGCAAAGGTTCTATTGCAGAGCATAGGGTATCCCAATACGACGTAGTCTTCCACTCAAAAGCAAGTATAAGCAAAGATAAGTTAAGTAATGGTTTCCTTCAGTAAAGCCAACATAAATAGAGGTGTAACGGTGCGGTTTCCTAACTGGTTTACATGGCATGCTGCTCCAGTTCATCTCGAGCTGTTAAACACGTACTTCCCCAAGTGCCAGTAATAAGAGCCAAGCAGTAAGCCATTTAAACAGACTAGTAAACGTGAAACCTGGCTCAAATATTTCAAAAGAAAAATAACCTACTACCATCTATCTTTGGGACCATCTGGCTATAGTTCCTCACTTTTCGCAGCCATTAGTCCCTCTGGCTGTCCATCCAACCCCCACATACCCAGAATACCAAGTTATATAGAGCCAGAAAAGAAGCAGAGCTTGCTAAAACAGACCTTTTAAGTAATATTCAAATATCTTTATGTCATTGTTTTTGACGAAGCACACTTTATATATGGACCACTCACTACTGACAGTAGAAAACTACTCCTCATAGACAACCACACTAAAAATCCACCCCAGCCACCAAAAGAAGAAAAAAAAAAACCAGCAACGAACACTACATTTAAATTTCAACCTAAAATTAAACCAGTAGTATATTTTATCCAATTTTTAATATCTTCACTTCTCTTCCCTTCCCATTCCTTAACTATGGGCCTTGCCTGTGTATGCGCATCGCTCCCATACTTAATTTTCTCGATGAGCATCTTCTAAAACTCCATCTCCACCATGATCAGAACAGTGTATGTATATCCAGAAACGCCTTTACGACCACTACTAACAACCCAGCAAACCAAAGAATGCTCGTTCCAAGAGAGCTTTGGCCAATAAGGAGGCCAAGCTCGTGGAAAACACGAAATCAGCTCTTTTCGTTCCAGGCTCCACCGGTAACCAGTTCTTGCACGATGTGATGGTTGACTTGATGGCTTTGAAGAAGCCAGATGCAAAGATTTTCAATAAGAAGAACGAAGTGAGACCTTTTGAGGATGCGTCTACGTTAGAGTTCTTTTCTGAGAAGAACGATACTTCGTTGATGGTGTTCTCCACATCCAACAAGAAGAGACCTAACACGCTTGTGTTTACTCGTTTCTATAACCACTCGGTTTACGATATGATGGAGCTTTCTATCCAGAATAACCACAAGTTGATTACTGAGTTTAAGAAGCTTACGTTTAGCGTGGGTCTTAAACCTATGTTCACCTTCAACGGTCCAGCTTTCGACTCTCATCCTGTTTACCAGCAGGTGAAGTCTATGTTTATGGACTTTTACCGTGGCGACCAGACCGATCTCCAGGACGTTGCTGGTTTGCAGTATATCATCTCGCTTTCTGTGGCTGAGATCGAAGACCCCAACTCCACCGAGTTGCCTTTGGTCCACTTCAGAGTGTACAAGTTGAAGTCATACAGAAGTGGACAGAAGTTGCCTAGAGTCGAGGTGGACGAGATCGGCCCCAGATTGGATTTCAAGATCGGTAGAAGAATCACTCCTGCTCCAGAGGTCGAGAAGGACGCTCTCACCAAACCTAAGCAGCTCCAGGCCAAGGAGAAGAAGAACGTTGCCACGGATACTATGGGTGACAAGGTGGCCAAGATTCATGTGGGTAACCAGGACTTGAGCAAGTTGCAGACGAGAAAGATGAAGGGTCTCAAGCTGAAGTACGACCAGGTCGACGAGGAGGAGTTTGACGAGGAGGACTACATCGAGGAGCCTCCAGAGAAGAAGCAGAAGATTTAAGGAAGAAGAATAGTCGATCCAAAATCTGCCTAGGCAGTGCAAAGGTCCAGCAGCTCGCATTTTGCAACCATCAGTGATGGAAGCATCCCTCGGTCCCCAACACTGCCCCAATAAAAACCAGCACTTTCCTAGCCTCCAGCTAGCCAAATCTTACCCCGTCTAAGATTACCGTATGTAAATTAATTTAGATCCACTAGTTATTCCCCACTATACCTCTTCCTCCCACTCCCATACTGGAAGTGCGCACGACTTATTCTCATCACTACTACATCAACAAACACCATACTACCACCCCAAAGGGCCATGTTCAAACCCAGGCAGTTCAACAAGGAGCCGTCTTCTGTAAGGCATTCCTTTGCAGACGCCACAAATGACCTGATCCTGGAAACGTCTTTGCCCAATGCCACGGCTTTTTCAGGCTGGGAGCTCACCAAGAACGATAAATACTGTGTTTCTCGTCTTCCGGCGTTGCCTGTGCTTTTGGAGTCCCAGATGGACGAAGGAGAGGGGGAAGGTGATATACTCAATGGTTACTCTGATAACGCTACGAAATTTGCCTTGCTTGTGGGCTCCAAGACCATAAACGCTTGGCCTTATAGATCCACTGATGGTTCGCCTATAACGTTTGAGTTTCCGATTAGTGGGGAGGAAAACAGTGAAGGTTTAACGTTAGCTATTTTAACTAGACCTTCTGGCACTGTGGCTTTGGATCCAGGTCTTGCAGTGATTGAAACTATTGCTGGTAAGGTGCGTTTTTATGATAGCGTTCAGCATGCGCCAGCGCTTGGAATTATCAACAGCAAAAACATAGAAACGACGGTCCAGCTTAATAAGGGGGAATTTATCACGCTTGCTCAGAACATCGAACCGGCTGGTATTGTTGTGGCTACGAATTGGAAGAGGGTGGTGCTCGTTACGCTCAGAGACCTCCAGGGAAGACCTAGGTTGTCTACACTTGAACTTACTGGACCGCTGAAGGCTTCTAGGCTCTTTTCGCTTTTTAGCTCGCAACTTGGACCTGCTGAATCGGGCGATGAAGTTGTTAGTATAAGACTGGGTGACTTTGTCAATGGCTCTTACCAGGAGATCATTGTTCAGGACTCCAAGGGAGGCTTTAAGAAGCTCCACTACGAGTTTAACCCAAGCGGAAAGCCTTACATTGACCACAAAAAGACGCTCCACTATAATTTGACTCCGTACTTGGAGAACAGCATCGACGGTGTGATTCCTGGTGCGCTCATCAATACAAGGTTTTTGGGCCTTTGGAACCTTCAAATAGAAGGTGCCGAAGATTTATACACGGCTTTGGTTGGCGTGGAAAATTCTGTGAATGGATATGCAGAGAAGAACTTGCTTTTGGTCACTTTGAAAGTGGATCAGAGCGGTGTTCTCTTGTACGGTTCACATCAGTTACCTCAGGTCAATTTCATTGGCGACTATAAACCACAGCTTTTCATTCCTAGTCCTTCCTCCACGGCCTTTGTTGTGGTTGGAAATTCCATCATAATGACAGATATGAATAAGGCATTCCTTCAACTGAATCTGTCTGCCGAGCCCACGTTTTCTTACTATAGACCACAGTGGGAAGATGTTGTAAAGCTCAAGGCAGGCGTGGAAGTGATTGGTTTGGGATACGAAGACAAGGAAACTGAATCAGCTAACCCTGCAGTGGTTGTCATGACAAACAACTTTGGTGTTATCAGAGTTGAGAGATTCCCTGAAAGCACCACATCGAAAGCTCTTCCTGAAGATCCCACCGACCCCGTCTACTTGCTCAAGTCTCACATGCAACAAGCTATTTTCTATCACCAATCGGAAGCCGTGGACTTTGATGTCGATCCAGTGTATCCATTGGACACTGTTAAGGCTGCCACAGCTTCTATCATCGGTGAAGTTATGAATTCTCTGAGCTCCTCGCTCCCGCCATTCTTTTCATCAACCAGAGACTCGCTTTTGACCAGGGCTAATGCTCTTAGAGAGCTCATCTCTTTTGTTCAAAACAATTTCGAAGATTTCTGGTTTATCGTTGTTCCATCCATTGTTGAAGCGCTTGAAAAGCTAGATGCTTCCCAGCACTTATGGGCTTTGCTTGACGCTGGTACCCCAGAAGCCGCTCTCTTGAAGGACAAGACTATCACCATCATCCAAGACCATCACTTTGTTGCAGATTCGGCTGATATTGCAAGATCCTTCTTCACTTACGAAGCTGAAAAGATTGACATTTTGGTTACTGGCCTCCTCAAATCTTTACAAACTTCTAATCACTCCGATAAGACTAACATCAAAATCCTCACCGGTGTGCTTTACGAAGGTGTTTTGAAGAATGAAGCAAGGTACGTTTCTGAGGTTCCAGAGATCAGCCCTTCGAAGCTTTGGGTATTGAGAACAACCTTGCTTGAAGTTTCTGCAACTGCGTTCGATAGAGCGTTTGGACCCTCCAGTAAAACGTTCGAGGGGTTCACAGCTCAAGACAGATTGGACTTGGTTTGTCTCACTGAAAGTTTCTACTACATTGTTACCAGAGCAATTCAAGCCATGCAAGATACTGACGATGCTGAACTTGATTCCTACATTAAATGGTTCCGTACCAATAGAAAGAAGTGGGTATCAGCTTTGTTGAAGTATGGACTTATTGAAGAAGCGCAAGCTATCACAGAGAAGTTCCAAGATTTCTCGTCGTTGGCTTATATCTTGGAGACTGAACGTGATTCATCGTCGAATGAAGTTGTGGACGAAAAGTTGACTCATTACATTGACGTGCATGGTTATGAATTCGCTGCTAAGCTTTTCGAGCATTATATCAAGACCAACCAGATCCAGCGTCTTCTTCTCAACTTCAATGACACAGACAACTATCTTGATCACTTTTTGAGATCAAACTCTAAGAAGTATGCCCAAGTTGCTTGGATCCATCACTTGCAAAAGAAGGACTTTGAAAGCGCTTCAAAGATTCTCAACTCTCTTGCCTCAAGAAAGGAGACTGACAACCAAGAGAACCGCGAGTTGAGTCTTTCCTTGGCCAAGCTTACAGCCGTCGCTGCTAAGCTTCAGCAACCAACTTCCCCCGATGCAATTGACCTTGAAGAATCTATTATAGAGGCCGAGAACAACCTTGTGGCGGTCAGGATTCAGAACCACCTTTACGATGCCGTGTCACTGTTTGTTCAGAACAAGAAGGAACTAATTACATTCGATTATTTCACGCAGAATTTCGTCAATTCCAAACTCCAGGAAACTTTCGCCCAGGAGGCAGGCCCATTCTTTGAGCGTTTTGCTAACCTGACGGTACTTTCCAAAGAACAGCTCATAGGCCTTCTCATCAGTGTCAAGCCAACAGGCCAGTTCAAAGGCGTTTTTGCTGACGCTCTTAAGGTGGCACTGTCGATCGGAAACGATTCCGAGTTCCAGCAACAAGCAGCCAGGATCTGGTTGACTCTCTTGGCGACAACAGACGACTGGAGCAAGATCACCGCCACAAGTGAAAACACAGACGACGTTAATAAAGCCAGAGTTCATGAACTGGTCTTCTTCTATACGTTATCTCATATCGATGGTGATCTGGAACTTTACAGGATCCTTGACGAAGTTGTCCGTGAGCCTGATGCATCCAACGGCGAGTTGAATGCTGAATTAAGCAGGCTTGTCACGGAAAAGTCACTCAAGCTTTGGGTGGACAGCATAAAGGCAGAAGTGCAAAACCAGACGCGTTAGGTCTCTGTCTCCTCAGAGTTCTTGTCTAGCTTGATTCTCACCAACGTCTCTGGCAAAGGCTGTTTATCCTTATAATCTTTTGAAGAGTATTTAAGGACGCCCATAGACGCTAAACTGATTGAGTTGATGACGTTTTGCCAATTTGACAAGATTAGAGCAACACTTTCCACTCCGTCGCCCATGGTCAGGAGTTTTTCCTGAATTTCCTCAAGTTGCAAAACAAGATCATATGTGTACTTGTTAAGCACTTTGAGCTGCAGGAGCTCTTCTTTCTTTTCCTCGATTGCTGTTTGGACAGAACTTTTCATTTGGAAGGAGAGAAGATGGAGGTTGTTGTTTTGATAAAACTGCATAAAGTGCCGCAAGTAGGGAAATCAGTGTCACTTGTTCGCCATGCAGTACCAATATTTACATTACTCAATGTGTTGCGAGAGTGTCACGGAAAAGTATATACTATTAATTATCCAAAGCCAAAAAAAAATAAAATGGCTCGGGTTTCTGTAAGCAACGAGTTTTTCAGGCAAAAAGCTAGACGGCAGCTGATGCACGAAGAAGAGGATCCAAGAGAGTTGGAATTGCAAAAACTCAAGGCCAAAGTGGAGCAAATGGAAGCAACCATACATCAGTCAGAGAAACGCAATGATTTGCTCACTCAAGAAATGGAAGCTTTGCGAGAGGAGTTTTCAGCTAAGCCTGAAGATTCGGTGATGTCCAAGAAGTTGGAAGAAGCCGAGAATGCGTTTCTTCAGAAGTGTGAAGAAATGGCATCCACGATCAACCAGCTTAGGAAAGACGCCAACCTTCCATTAAGTGAAAAATTGTCCAATTTTGTGAACACGCCACAACCTCCAAAACAGACTGAGTCTTTGGGTATTCCATGGGGAGCTCCTAACACGAGGCCTTGGAGTTCAGAGCTGGAGTCAACTGCACTTTCTATTAAAGAAAGCCTGCTACGGAAACGCCTTGCTCCAGAGTTGGGCACCAAGATCACGATTTATGACGACCAAAAAGATAAAGCAGATGGTAAAGATCACGATTACCTGTTTGAGATGTTAGATGATAAGTTGACGTCGCCACTCGCCAAAAACAGTTCGCCCACTCGCGCCAACAATAACATTAGCAATATTGAAAACGTTCCTGATTTGGGTGCACCTTATGTTCGTACGCGAAGCAAGTCTCCTCCAAAGGAAATGAAGAAGGAGCCTGTTAGGAAGACGAGGCGGCGTACTAGAAGAGCACCATTGTCCAATATAACAAGCAGAGGCAACGCTGACGACGAGACGGACGACGACGATGCCGTATTTGATTTTGTGGAGCTGGACGACCTCGTCCACCAGCCGGCTAGAAGGTCCAAGCGCAAAAGAGCTGTCTAGATTATGTATAAGTTACACACTCATCTTCATTTTGATGGAAGCGTGAGGTTCATAGCCGACGATTTCAAAGTCCTCGAACTTGAACTGGTCAATCTCGGTGATCTCTGCCTTACGCGACTCTTTAATGTGTAACTTGGGGAACTTCTTGGGTTCACGCTCGAATTGAGTTTTCAATGCATCCACATGGTCCAAGTAGACGTGGGCGTCGCCCAAAGTATGGATGAACTCACCACAGTCCATATCCACAACATGAGCAATCATCTTAGTCAACAAGGCATAAGAAGCAATGTTGAAAGGCACTCCAAGGCCCATGTCACAGGATCTCTGGTAAAGAAGACATGAAAGCTTAGGTCTAGCAGTTTTGGTCAGTTTGGCAGCGTTTGCATCTGGCTGGTTGCTTGGGAAGTTCACATAGAACTGGCAAAACACATGGCATGGTGGCAACGCCATCTTGGCAAAGTCTGGTGGGTTCCACGCAGACATGATGATTCTTCTATCGTAAGGGTTCGTTCTCAACTTATGGATAACATCCTGAAGCTGATCAAAACCCTGGCCAGTATAATCGTCGTCACATGTCTTATACTCAGCGCCAAAGTGACGCCATTGGAAACCATACACTGGACCCAAATCACCTTCACGGCGGTCGGTAAGACCCAACTTATCCAAAAACTCTCTGGATCCGTTTCCTTCCCAGATTTTCACACCTTTATCAGAAAGAACCTTGGCATCTGTACATCCAGCAACAAACCAAAGCAATTCATGGATGATACCTTTGGAAAAGACACGCTTGGTGGTCAATAATGGAAAAGTATCGTCAGAGAGATCAAATCTCAATTGGGGTGGGGCGAAAAGCGATTTCGTGCCTGTACCAGTTCTGTCTGGTCTTTGTTCACCTTCGTTAATGATACGGTTGCACAAATCAAGGTACGCCTGCTCAGCAGGATTGGTAGAAGTAGTCATAGTGGTAGAGAATGAAATATATGGAGAGAAGACGCGTAAAGTGTTGATGTGGTGGGTCTTGTATGCAGGCTGGCTGCAAAATACCATACCCGTACCATATCCAATTATCTATTAGATCGATAGGTATCTTTACATGTCGTATAATTGTTTATGTGTCGTTGTTGTCACGACCGAGTCTACATCTTTGTTTTGGTTTTTTTTGTTTATTGTTTCATATAGTGGCTAATGATTGCTACGCATTCCAGTGAATAGCAAGCATTTACTCCTTCTTCTCGCCGAAGACAGAGTCAGAAGCCTGCTGGGTAACAGACTTGTCACCAGATCTGGAGTTGTCGCCAACAAGGTTGTCGACGGTGTCGGTGACCTTGTCCTTGGCCAACTCAATGGTGGACTTCTGGGAGTCTGGCTTCACAGCGGAAGAGACTTTGTCGGAAACATCTTTACGGGCGGCGTCGGACATGATTAATTGATTTGTTTTTGGTTGATGGAGAAAAGAAAATCTGAGTTTATGGCAAATCCACCCATATTTATAGTGTTCCATCCGTGCCTTGGGGATATTACTATAGCAATCCATTTTAGCCCTTCGTGCTTGTGCAGGGAGTAGTTGTAACCAGTATACTCGAGGAGTGACTCTCACGCAGTGAGCAAGCAGAAAGGAGCTTTTGCTTGCTATGCTTAATTTGCGTCATGAGAATCTTCTCTTGGACCACTTGCGGTTATACTAGCCCTAAAAAGGTGGCTTACATAGCCACACCGTAGTCACTATGTTTTTGATCGAACGAAAGAGGGGATCAGATAGCATTTCCCTTTACGAGCGTAATGTAACCAGTAGCTGTAGCAATTGAAATGGAACACAGAACGAACCATGTCTCATGCCATTGTAGCATTGAATGACCTGTTCACTTATCACAGGCTCGTCAGTTGTGGACACCACAAAGCACGTCTCTTGCGCTGCGAGCAATAATATGTGGCATGAGGGAATTGTTGGTCTAAGAGCCATTTTTGGATCAAAGCTCTCTAAAGCTAGTCGTGGCATCAAAAAGTGACATTGTGATCCGTGGCCACGCCTCCCACCGCCCCCGCCTCTCTGCAAGGTGGTATACGCCTTGAGAAAGTTCTCTCTAATGCAAAGTTTTATTTTAGACGAGTTTCTAAACTTGGAGCCATCTCAAGTACTTGAACCACTTGGGTTCTACAAGAATACACTTGGCAGAAGCAATCTCCATAGGTAACTCGCCACGTCTCGTTGGAAACGTCAGAAGAGTACCACTAATGACAACCTTCCTTCCCTTGGACTCGTCCACCTTGGCACGCAAAACCACAGTGCTTTGTGGCTGGGCCTGGTTCTTGAAGTCTATAGTGAGGTTTGCCGTAACGCCTCTTTTCGAAGGAAGTTTGGAAAAGCCACATGCACAAAGCCCTTCGTCTAAAATCGTCGACGTTATGCCATTGTGAAGCAGCCCGTCTCCACTGACAAGTTCCTTACCCAAATGGTAAAAAGCGGTTAATTCACCGTCTGACTCGTTCAAGAACACCACTGGGTCAACCTCAAAAAGATCTGGCCCAAAGAGCATTCCTCGGCTGACAAAGTTCTTGTGATGCTGTTGTGGGAAACTCTGACTGCTGTAGTACATTCTGTAGTTGGAATCATTCTTGAGCTTGTTGAAGAGATCAGATTTCAGGATCTTATCCAATGCGTCTTCGTTGAAATGCGTAAGTTTTGGAGGCTGCAATTTGGACTGGCGCCACTCGGCTGGGAACAATGCAAGACCAGCGCCAAAGGCAAGAACGGGCGTGGTTAACCTGGTGAATCTTCTGATGAACGACATTTGGTGGTTGTTGGTGGTTGGTGGTTGGAGATGTATAGCGGAAGAAGAAAAATGGGGTACGAGGTCACGTGGGTGAATTTGGAGTAGAGTTAATGGCCCCCAGGAAGTCAACATGGTAGTGAAATTGGTAGTTCAGTAGTAATTTCTTGTATGTGTGGTTGTGGGATTCAGCTGGTAGCTTTTTGGCTGTGACCAGGCGGTGAAATGGGTGGTGTATGTTGAATGAGAGCTATAGAGGTCAGGTATGGTGGAGAATCTATATTTTCTAATGCTTTTGGGTTACCAAGCACTTCCATCTGATCTGAAACCTTTCTTTATCTCTTTTAACCAGTTTAACTTCAAAATTTGCCTACTTTCTTGTATTGCCCTGGTTGGACTGACGTTTCGCAGCCACTGAAGACAATGGTACCAACAAAGAACATGACAGCCACTTACGACCCATGAATGGATGGTAAAGAAGAAAAACCGGGTAAGTCAATTTAAAGTTATAAAGTGGCTTGAATTGCCCAGGCCTTCTTCTTTTGAAGTATGTGGGAGGGTAGATGGTGGCTAGGGCTTTCAGGTAATGGCTGCGAAATATAAATAGTATGGAACGAAGGGCAGATATATGTGTTTTGAGCAATTGACTAAATTAGAAAACATAAATGATACTTCCAATATAGTTTATTTCAATCCTGTAGCAGTAACTCTTTTCTTTTTAACCTTTCATTGATCACCATCAGGTTTAGAGGAACTGAAACATGGCATTAGGGCTTTTATGGCTCCTATAGGTATTCCATTGGAGCCACCCTGAAAGTGAAGAAGAAGTGTTTGCAAAGAACCCAAACCTTTCTCTAGAAATTTGTGAACACCAATGGTTACTATTTTTCTGTCCAGTTACCTTCTTCATATATCCTGTCTTTCATTGACCTATATCTACCTGTGTTTCACAATTACCATGAATCGTATTTCCACTTCACCACCTCTACCAAATAAAACTAATTTATTCTACAGCAGCCGATACCTTCATTTTTTGACCATTAATAAATTCCAATCTTATCCTGTAATCCAACCAACAACTGCCCTACCTGAAACACTCTCCAGTTTCCTAACCATACCACTCATATCCACATATACCAGCACTTCTTCAAACTACACTCTAATCCATTCATCGTATTATACCTTCAGCTCAGTAACTTCAATCAACCACCCCAACCCATCCCCAACCAACACACCACTCCACGTTAAACCTCATTCCAGGCATTTCGCAGCCACTGCTTAACTATATCCCATACTGTAAGACGCACCATCCACCAGCCAATAACCCCCAGCCAACTCCACCAAACAACAAAAAATCAAGAATCCATTAGTACCGTTGAATTCCTTTAGTTATAAAGAAATCACCATATCCACCATAAATTACCAACACTCCTACTCCTCTCCTTAACTTCTCCCAACTCCCTTCCTTACAAACCGCGATACCTTTTGCACCCACGCCAGTCCCCTCCACATCCCCACCACTTTTAGTACAGATACAAGGAAATCCAGAAAACTCATATAAATTCATCGGTTTCAGTTTCCCCAATACCTCTCTCCCACCATCCCCTCCACAGCTCCTCCACCTCGTGAACATCGTCATCTGGAGACCCAGTCCTGCAGGGCTTCCCACTACTGGGCCTTTATTTTCCCTAGATCACCATCTGAACCTTCCCTCTATTCCACCTTTTCCCCAGCCAAAAGCTTAAGCAGTCGCCGCCTCCATACAATGCTGCTACGGAAGGAGTTCTCGTCGCTTCGAAAACGGGTGCTGCTGGGCGTGCAGCCGAAAAACCTCCTTCTGCCCAAGGTCAAGAAGATAGGCATCCCAGACGAAACAACCATCAACAGAGGCACGATATGTGTGGTGAGCCCGACCAGCAAAGACCATAAGGAGCGTCTGAACGAGATGAAGTCGTGTTTTTTTCTCCCAATATCCATCGTGGAGAATGGCCTAAATGAAAAGCCTTTGCATTCCCTTAGCATCAAATCCGTCCAGTATAACGATATCAGCATCACCAGCCAGGGCAGGGACCTTGAGTTTCGGATTTCCCGTAATAAAGACCATTTGTTCTTTTGTTACGATAATGCATTTGTCGATAAATTGGCCATTCCACGAGGCACTATCGATAAGATCTTGTTTAGTCCACTGATGGACTGTTTCCTAGTCATATTGCACAAGCGTTTTGGCCATATTATGGTCCGCTACGAGCCCAGAGACGATGAACACCTACTACGATTCTTTCAGCGTAATGAAGAGCTCTGGGGTCAGGTTTCTAGAGTGGATAACATTGATCACATCTACTCCAAGATCGTTCGTCTGCGAGAACTGTTGAATAAGGATCCAGAGATGCTCGTACGCGTGGATTCCGATCATAATGACGATAGTTCAGGTTCAGAGTCACAGCATCCTACCAATCTTTCCACGTCGTCTGACCTGGTACTCAAAAGCGGCCTACCGAGCCTTCCTACTCCAACAAAAAGGCCCATTGACGGCAGAGCAACAAGGTCAGCTACGCGATCAGCTCTGCAAGACCCTTCTTCTGAGCCTTTTAAGGCTGTTTCAATGGGCGAAAATGGAGAAATGTTGATCGAAGGTGACGAAGCAGACACTGAAGCACCTCGTGAACAGGAAGTCCCTGCGGCTTTTGATCCCCCATTGAAGTACTCTTTGGCAAACGGCAAGAAATTCGCCATAACTTATAATGACTTCAAAACGCTATACAATAATGACTGGATTAATGACACACTTATAGACTTTTTTATTGCTTACGAGATAGACAAGGCTGTCACGGAGCTCAAGCTGATCAAGGAGGATGAAGTTTATGCATTCAACTCCTTCTTCTTCACAAAACTAATGTCCAAGCCTGAAGAGCAGGAGGAACCGCCAGACTACTATGGCAACATTCAGAGATGGTTGAGCAAAGTGGATCTTATGTCATACCAGTCCGTCATCATCCCTATAAACGAGCATTTGCATTGGTACTGTTGCATTATCAAAGACCTTCCTAAACTCCTACGAGCTGCCAAAAGACGCCAGGCCGCTGAAAAGAAGGAACAGGAGAAGGATAAATCTTCAGCGGGTCCTGCCCCTGATGAATCACCAAAGAAACCTGAGCCGGTTGCGGAAGTCTTTGTTTTCGATTCGCTTAGACATCGTCATCCTAATATTGAAGCGCCTTTGAGAAAGATTATTGATCAGTATTCTCAAGACACCTATGGCGTACCTATACCTGCTGACTTGATCAAGTTCACCAACGCCAGAGTACCTCAGCAACGTAACTTCAACGATTGTGGAATTCATGTGATCTGTAATGTTGGAAAATGGCTCAGTGAACCTCTTATCTGTGAAAGAATGTGGAGAAAGATGCCTAAGAATTCCAGAGGGTATTTCAATATTTCAGAAAGGTTAGTTATGAGAAAGAAGCTTATTGATTTGCTACTTGAACTTCATCTGAAGCAGCCACCAGACGAAAGCAACAGTGGCTCTGGAAAAGAGGAGGAAGAGTCCGATGACGAAATCGAGGTTATTTCGTACTTCTCTTCGAAACCAGAAACTGCACCTGAAGATGAAACGGCAATGCAAGATACTTCAAAGTCTCCTGAGAAGGCTTCTCCAGAAGGATCTGTCACAGAGGAGAAATCAGATGATGGTGCAACCGGCGAGAAAGCTCAAGTTAGCCTTTTTGATACTCTTCTCAAATCCTCTCAAAAGAAGCTGAAGCCTGAAGATACTCCAAAGCATAAGACCACCCTGAAAGCAGATACATCCGTTGATCTCTCTTCTGAGAAGGAAAAGAAGCCCAAGCAAAGAAGATTAAGCGACTCGAAGTTCCCAGTACGCACGTTAGATCCCAGAGCCATGTCGCTGCCTAATCTGCTGGTTTTCTCGACAAAGAAGGAACCTTCCTCTGGACTGTTTCTACAAGTTGAGCATCCGCAAATCAGAAGGCTTCTACTTCGTCTGAAAGTCAAACCACACACTGTGGAATTTTTGAATAAATTCTTCAGCGACCATACGCGCCAGTACGGTCTTGAGAAGCAGCTTGCAATCAAGGATTTCGTTGATAAGTACAATTTCTTTGACCCCAAGAAGGAGCACATGCAATCTGAAGTTCTTGCAACCAAGCTAAAGGAAACGTTCAAAGAGCCAGCAGCGCCCATGGAAGAGCCATTTGTGATCCAGGATGCCGACGACAGCAATGGTGAGCTCAATCGAAGCGTAGGGGACTTGAGGATCAACAGCGATAACCCTTCACAGTCTGACGTCGAAGTTGAAGACCTCAAACACACGCTTTCAAAGCTGCTGAAAAGTGACGGAAGTGATCTAGAGATAATCGAAGATAAGTGGAGGATACATTCCAACCCTAACTCGTCCTACCAGAGCAGTTCTCCAAAAGGCTCTCCCAAGACATCTAGATTATCACCCAAGGGGTCCAAATCGAGATTGAATGGGCACGTAAGATCAGGCAGTAACGACAAAGGCGGTGAAGATTTTCTACTGTTTTTCTCCAGAAAAGCCCTAGGACCAAAACGAAGACGTTTGGATGCCGCCAGATCTGACTCCAGCGGTCGTGCAGACAAGAGCTTGTAGAGCTCGTGTTTCTTTAGGGTGGGTTTCCTGCAGAGACACCACCACCGTGAAACTGGTTACTACTTCCAAGTAACCTTCAACCTTTACCTCCATATATTTAACTTGCAATGGGCGACGAAACCGCAGCAGCATCTACGGAATTGAATAAACAACCTCAACAAGAGATCTCTCTGGAAGAGCTAAAAGAGGTGCCTCCTGCACCAGCCTCTCCTCCACCTCCTCCAGGGCCTGAGGACAAGCCTGTGATGAATCCTATTTATAACGCCACCTCTCCAACTGCTACAATTCTTTTCATAAGACAAACAGAGCTTTTGGGCTCGCCTGGTATGAACATGCACACAGATGTGTTTTCGAGTGTATCTGTCCAGCTCAGTTCTCGTGTTGACACCTCAGATCCTTCTATTTGGCCAGGGATCGTTGAAGACACCAACAATGATTATATTAGAAGCGGCAAGGTGAAGCACGTGGAAAGTGCTATTTTGGAAGGTATTCCAAAGCTGCTTCGTGGAATTGTGTACTTGAAGACTGCCCAGGTCAAGACACATATTGACAAAACGAGTTATACGAGTCTTGCCAAACGTGCTAAAACGTCGCTTCTGAAGGAAGATCAGGCTCTTTTGGAAAGTGAAAATGTCAGTGAAGACTTGAAGGAGCTTTTGCTGGTGTTCACTTTCTGTGCTAGAGAGGTTGTACCGGAAGCATCGGCTGAACTGGTGCCTAACAACTTTGTCCTTCGTGTGGCGCCTCTTGTGGCTGCGATTCCTGGTCTTAGCAAGCAGGAGATTTTGGCTCTTTTGTTTAAGTTTGACTCCTTGAACTCTCGCCTTCACAGAGATGAGTTTTACTATAAGTTGAGCCGTACTTTGGAAGAGCTGTTGCCTGAATTGTTTGAGCATATTGCCAAGCAGGGAATTGAATTGACTGAGGTTTATAAGTCGATTCTTCATAACATTTTCGATGTCATCCCCGACCAAGAACTTCTCGCTAAGATTTTTGACTTCTGGTTGTTTGAAGGTTTCGATTTCCACCATCGTTTGATCGGCGCTTTGTTTAAAGAGCAGGAGGAGACAATTAAAAAACTTTCCGGTGACGATTTGAACGACTTCTTCTTCTCCCAAGATCTCACCAAAGCTTTGAGTGAACTGACAGTGGAACAAGCCTTAGAGGTTGAGCCTCTGTTGATCAAATTCGAGAATGAGTTCCATTTGATGAGTGCAAATGCAATGAGTGGGAACTACAACGAGCTTTCCAACCTCAAAGAGGCCAGTGACGACCTTAACTTCAAGATCAAGGAAATGAGACTGAAGATAGACAGTCTTAAGAAGACGCAAGATGAGATTTCAGGACAAGAGACGGATTACACCACACAGCTCAAGGAAGCCAAACAAAAGCGTCAGGAGCTACAAGAGAAAACCAAGCGTTTGCAAGACCGTTACTCTCATTTGACCATGAAGGAGAATCTCCACAATACCATCAAGGCCAACGAAGATATCTCGCGCCAGAACTTTGAGTTGGTCGAACAAATCACTGCTCTAGAAAGACTGTTAGCTGCCAAAAGAATAAAGCTTGGAAACGTACAAGGCCCAGTGGATAAACAGAACGAGAAAGTGGCTGAACAAGCGAACGATAAGCCAAGCACAAAGGCGACTGAAAAACCTGCTGAAACTGCTGAAAATCCAATTGAAGAACCCACTGACAGTGCCGAAACGCCTGCCGAAAAGCCCGCTGAAAAGACTAACGAATAGGAATGATACCTTACTGCCAATCAGGCAATGTAGAGTATGGAGTGAAGCTGCATTCAAGCTTCCAACACCATTCTTGCCTGACCTAAAAGAATACCCTCTACTACTCCTTTCCCATCTAACTTTCTAATCTCTCTACCTGGCCAACCTTCTCCTCCTGGCCTTCCCTTCTTTAACCCGTTACCACCCGATCTGGTCATGACGTGCATACTAACTATGGACCCATATCTACAGAAGTACCTCCATCTTCTTCACCACCTTCCCACCAATAGAGCCCCCAATTACATTCCATAGCCAATAATGACCACCTCCGTTGGAATAGTCGGTGCTGGCTTGGTCGGGTGTCTTACAGGATTGGCTCTAAACGCCAAAGGCTTCGATGTAACCATATTCGAGTTGAGGCCTGACCCCAGGAAAGAGAACTCCAGAGCAAGCTTACGGTCTATTAACTTGGCAGTGAGTGATCGTGGAATTAGAGCAATGAGGCAGATTGATAAGGACCTTGCTGAAAGAGTGCTTCAACATGTGATTCCTATGAAGGGCCGGATGATCCATGATGCTTCTGGAAAGAAACAGGAATCCCAGATCTACGGGCTTTTCGGGGAGACGATCAACTCGATTGACCGTCTTTTCTTGAATAAGGTGCTTCTTCAGGAACTTAGCAGGGTTCGTGTGAAGGTGTTCTTTGAGCATAAGCTTGTTAATATGGTCAATGGAGAGCAGCCTGAGTTGCAGCTTGCAGCTAAGGATGGGATCGATAAGAAGGTGAAATTTGACTATGTGATTGGCGCTGACGGTGCCCACTCTCAGTTTAGGTACCAGATGCAAAAGGGCATGAGGATGGATATCAACCAGCAGTATATCGATATGCAATATTTGGAGCTTTCCATTCCTCGTGTGGCGGGTGCAGCTACAAACCACCCGTCTCGGTTTGCTATTGACCCTAATCACCTTCATATTTGGCCAAGGAAGGATTTTATGTTGATAGCGTTGCCTAATGAAGATGGACTGTTCACACTGACGTTTTTCAGTCCGTGGTCTGTCATGGAGCTGTTTAAGCATAATGCAGACCTGTTTTTGGCGTTCTTCAAGCACCATTTCCCCGACGCTTATGAACTTATTGGTGAAAAACGTCTCAGCTACGCTTTCATCCACCAACCTAGGTGCCTGTTGATGCAAGTATCTGTAAACCCATACAGCAGTCCTAACCATAGAGCGCTTATTATTGGTGATGCCGCCCATTCTATGGTGCCGTTCTATGGCCAAGGAATGAATTGCGGTTTTGAAGACGTTCATGTCTTGATGAAGCTTTTGGAAAAGAACCAAAAGAACCTTTCCAGGAGTTTTGCACAATACACAGCCGAAAGAAAGGAGGATCTTGATGCTATTTGCAAGCTAGCGCTTGATAACTACTACGAGATGTCCACAAAAGTCATTGATCCTTTCTACCTCTTGAGAAAGAAGATTGACTACGTTTTGGGTAAGCTTGGTAGAGGCTTCCCCTTTACGTGGATCCCCATGTACACTATGATCTCGTTTAGAGGTGATATCCGCTACTCGGATGCGGTTAGGCGGGAGAAGAAGCAGGCCAAGATCTTAAGATGGCTCCAGAACGGTTCCTTGGTGATTATTGCCATTTTGATAGCCTTTCACGCCAAGAAGCTTCGGCGATTTTTAAAACGCTGATCTGATCAGATCTAAGACTGCTGTGGTTCTTTCAGCTGGTGCTTGTTGACTTCTCACGCTCATGATGACTCCATCATCAACAACAACCATCACCACTACATTTACCCTTTGGACGCTTTAGAAAAAACAAGCCATAAACCCCTCTGTCCACCCCTCTTGTCATATAAAATATTAACTCTAGATTATACAAATTTCAACCTCTGCCATGACGGTCTTTCCATGTGTGCACGGCACAAAAGCCCCATACTGAAAAATTTATCAACTACCACATAAAAAAGCTCCTCCATCGCCACCACCTGTAAATACACACATCATGTTGCGTCTGTCCGTTTCCAGGCAGATGCTAGCACCCGGCCAGCTCGGTCTTAACGGGGCTCTTTCCAACGGAATCAGGTGTTTTTCCGTCTCCAGCACCGCCGCCAACCAGAACCAAGGCAAGTCGCCTCTTGAAGTCTTCTTCAACACTTTCAAGACTGAAATCAAAAAGTCCAACGAGCTTAAAGAAAACATCAAGGCTTTGCAAGATGAAACCGGTAGAGTCGCTGAGTCTGATGCTTTCAAGAAGGCCAAAGAGGCATACGACAAGGCCCAGAAGGGTTCTTCAGCAGCAGGTAAAATGGCCAAAAAGACCGCCACTGCTGTTGGTGGCGCTGCCTACAAAGCATGGGATTCTCCTGTTGGTAAAGGTGTCAGACTTACTGTTAAAACTGGTGCCGATGCCGCCGACAAGGCGTTTGACCCAGTGAGACAGACTCAGGTCTACAAGGATATGAGTGATGTCATTGATGACGGATCGCTGAATATGTACGGTGGATTCCTCACAAAGGAACAGAGAGAAGCATTAAGAAAGAAGGAACTACAAGAGAGACTCCTCAAGGGCAAGGTGTGGAAGCCAGTGAAGGAGAACGAGAACACCTCGGGTGCACTTGTGGCCACGGAACATAAGGCTAGAGGCCCCAGTGCGTCTGAAAAGTGGGAGCAGTTCAAGTTGAAGAACCCTCTTGGTAGAGGTTTTGTTTACTTGAAGGAGAAGTGGGAGGACAGTGAGAACGGATTGATTGCACTTATCCGTACCATCTTTGAAAAGGTGACTGGCTTCTTCTCTGAAACCGAACAGGCTAAGGTCATCAAGCAGTTCAGAATGATGGACCCTAACTTCCGTGTTACCGACTTCACCAAGACCTTGACCAACTACATTGTGCCAGAGTTGTTGGATGCTTACATCAAGAACGACGCCGACGTGTTGAAGAAGTGGCTCAGTGAGGCTCCTTTCAACGTGTGGCAGGCTAACAACAAGCAGTTCATCCAGCAAGGTTTGTTCTCGGATGGTAGAATCTTGGATATCCGTGGAGTGGACATTGTCACCTGTAAGAACCTCCAGCCAAACGACACCCCAGTGATTGTGGTGAGCTGCCGTGCCCAGGAGGTTCACTTGTACAGAAAGGCCAAGACTGGCGAGGTGGCTGCTGGTACTGCTGACCATATCCAGATGAGTACCTACGCCATGGTATTTACTAGAGTTCCTGAAGAAATGGACAACGACGTGACCGAAGGTTGGAAGGTGATTGAGTTTGCTCGTGGTGGTTCCAGACCATTCCACTAAGCCTAGTGCCTCTCGGGATGTATAATTTGACGACGATATTGTAAATAATGCATAAACAGCTGGGTCAACCAGCACTGAACATGAAGGTTAAGTAAGATTTGACAGAGGGGAGGTATGAAGTGTTAAGTAGAAGACGAAAGTATGTTTTGGGCGTTTTCAAGCTGCTAAGGTCATATTATGGGATGTAGTTCTGTCTAGTTGTATAAACTGTAATGGCTGCGAAATAGCCATGTCTTATGGCAAGAAGGTACTTTTTTTTTTTTGTTGAATTCAATTAAATGGAAAGCTCTATACATGTATATATCTGAAAGAGAAAAACCATCTATTATTCAGATCTTCCTCGTTTGACAAAGTCGTGTGAACCCTAATGGTCCCCCCGAAATGCCACTGGAGTAGGATCCGCCATCATAAAGATAGTATTGTAGCTGTCATCGTCCCATGGGTGGAATCCGCTTGAGGGCTGCTGTAAGCTCGGCTTGCAGAAGTGGCTCAAGCGCAGAGGCATCCCGACTCCGGTTGTACCGTTGTCGATAAGTGATGCGAACCACCTTAAAAAACCAATTTAATTGGCGAAGGTTATGGAATGACATATCTGTCGGTGCTAACATAGCTTCAAGGGCCATCGGCTTCGTGCCCTGTAATTCTTTCCACCAAAACGTGGCGGTTTCACATTGTGAATAAATATGAAATTGGTGTAACCTCTCTGGAAGTGATTGTAAGCAAAAGTGACATCTCATGGTTTTGTCACTGGAGCGAGGAAATTGTAAAGGAACATAGGATCCAAAGTTGAATAAGTGTACTGCGGAGAAGTCGTTGTGATGGAGCCATTCCTGTTTGTATAGAGGTACAGTTATTCGTCTTATTCTGGCTTTTTTGGTGGTTTGAAACAAGCAAAATTCTTCAGATTAGCCAGAATTACCAGATTTAACGTTTTTTTATTTTTATAGTAGATGGTTCATGCTTTCTGGGAAAGTGTGTACTTTTGAGGTACATTGACGCTTCTCACCTACTATCATAAACAGTACTCACCCATAACCATCCACTAAAAATGTCATAAAATAATAAAAAAAAAAAGTACCAAAAAAACCACAACCTCCAAATCAGCCCAAAACTACCTCCATATTCCCAAATACGCTCCAACTCTACCCTCTTCACGTCCACTCACCGTCTCCATGTTTATGTCGTCTGGCGATTCGCAGCCATTGGCTGTCTCACCTTACACAAAACGTGAACCACAGCCGAAATTACCAATAAACAGCTGTGAATAAGCTACCAGAAAATCAATCATAAACCCTCCTTAACCTTATTTTCTTTCCATTTATTTCCCTCTTTTGGTGGCATCCCTTGGTGGTGTTCGATACTACCATGGTGATAGACCCGTGCACCACGAACACCGCAGTGTTTTTTTAAGTGTCAAAAACCACAGATCACATTCTTCCAGAACCCACTACTTCACATCATACAAAACGGGCTAAATGTCGGACGGATTCGCTTCAAAAGAGGAGGCCGATAAGATCTTCGCCAAGTTGAGACAGCACCCTGCCAACCAGGTCTGTTTCGACTGCCCAAACAGAAACCCTACGTGGACTTCGATCCCCTTTGGTATCTTCTTATGCTTAGAATGCTCGGCTGTCCATAGAAACTTGGGAGTCCACATTTCGTTCGTCAAGTCGCTGAATTTGGACCAATGGCAGCGTATCCAATTGAGACACTTTAAATTTGGCGGTAACCAGGTGGCCAAGGAGTTTTTCACCAAGAACGGTGGTGCCCAGTATGTTAACGGCAAGGCTGACGCCAACACCAAGTACACGAGCCCGGTTGCTAAGAAATATAAGGAGAAGCTTAAAAAGACCGCTCAGCAAGACGCTTTGAAACATCCAGATGAGGTCACGCTAGATGACTCTCTGGACTCGTTGTCTTTGGTGGATGGCTCGCTGTCGAGTGCTGCTGCTTCCACTGATGATTTCTTCTCCAACTGGAGCAAGCCTATCAACTCCACTCCTTCTCCCTTGGGACTGAGACCATCCACTCCTTCCGGCATCGGCTCGAACGGCGGCTCTGCTTCTGTTTCTGGCGATGAAGGCACTGCTGCCAGGAAACCTGCTGTCAGAACTGCGGCTGCAAGAGCCAAGACTAACGCCAACGCTTTGGCTGCTAAGAAATCTATTCTCTCAGGCAAGGGCAACGGGCCCAGGACGTCGCGGGCGGCTGCCAGAAGAGTTAAACAGCAAGACGAAGAAATCGACTTTGAAGAGCTTGAAAGAAAGGCCAAAGAAGAGGCCGAGGAGGCTAAGAAGTTGGGCTACAAGCCAGCTGCTGAACCAGCTGCCGAACCTTCTCCAAGAGCAGCACCCAAGCCAGTCTCATCGTTGTCTTTGGGCAACGGAGGTGGATTCGGAGCCACTGCACAAGAGGAAACGCCAAAGCCCGTGGAGGAGACCACTGTTCAGTTCCAGAAATTGGGTTTCGGTATGACACAAGGTGGTAACGACACTTCTAGCGGCAGTAAGAAACAATACAAGGACGTGGCTTACACTGGAGAGGTGGCCAACAAGTACGGCAAGCAAAAGGGTATTTCTTCAGATGAATATTTCGGCAGAGGCCCAAGATTTGACGAGAACGTGAAGCAAGAAGCGCAACAGAAACTCCAGGCGTTCAACGGCAGCCAGTCCATCTCGTCTACTTCATACTTTGGCGAGGATGAACAAGCGAGCCAAGGACCAAGAAGAAACCAAGGAGGACTTGGAGAGTTTGAAACTGCGGCTAGAGAGTTTGCGCTGAAGTTCTCAGGCAACGCTAACCAGGACCTTGATGTTTTGAAGGATGCATTAGAAGATGGAGCCAACAAGTTGGGCGGATACTTGAGGGATTTCTTGCGTTGATGAATGAAGAAATAGATAAAAAAAACGCACAGAACCAGAGGACAAGTATTGGAAGAGGAGACGGTGACACTGCTAGATGATATATATATAGTTGTTGTTTGTGTTGCTGAGTCATACGCATGGAAGGGCTGCGGTTCAAGCTATATGTTAGTTTTACAGTATTATAATTGGAAGTAATACGTGTAGGCCAAGCCACCTTGAGGAGAGCAACCCCGAATAAACCAGACAAAGCCATTCTCCAAGCCCAGGTCGGTGGAAGTGGAGATTTGGAGATCAGCAGTGGAAGCAGCAACGCTCGAAACGGTCCCCCAGGGGCCAAAGTCTATTCGTAAGAGCAGCTTACGTCATACTTGCAATAGAACAGAATGGGAAACAATTGCACAAGAGAATGGCTGCAAAACACGAACCGCCCATCCTACAGCTAAGCAGATAACGGCAAGACTTTCGGGGCCACCAGCCAAAAGGTATAAAGACACGGGGCGATTTTCGGGGGACTGTTCCAACTTTGCCGAACCCAAAAGTCCAAAAGTGCAAAGCAAAACCGCCCAAATCCCAGAACGTGCCTAAAGCATAATGGAGATCTCCAGCAGCGTGAGCAAACCTTGATTGGATCGCTTCTATACACAAATATCGGCACCCCCAACTGCCGTACCGACACGGCCTTATTTTCGCAGCCACCAGGCCAGTTCAACCTGGTAGTAAAGAAGGGAATAAACAGACAAAAAACGAAAAAGAGAAAAGGGAGAAACGGAAGAAAAGGTGGAAAGCCTTTCCCTCTCCCCCTGGGCCGCCCGCCAATTTATGATGCTGTGCTGGTGCATCCAACAAAACAAGTACACTCACACAGTGGAAAAAAAGTGTATTTGCCTGTCTTGCCTTGCCATGCCATGTCATGTCATTTTCCCCGCGGACTGGGTCGCGGAACGATGACGTCTTGCCAAACCTGCCCCTCCACCATCCACCACTATACTGGCAACCTGGAAGATGGAAGGTGGAAATAGTATCCTTTTTTTGCTTGCTCCCTCCCCAGGTGTTCCCCAGACGGCCCTCGTAAACCACGGACCGTCCCCGGACTGGCGCTGACGCAACGAGTCGTAAAATGGGCGGTGGGGCGCGCCCCCCCCAGACGCTTGGAGTATAAAGCTTCATGTCCCCAAATGGGAAGCGCGGGAGCAACCATCATCACACAAAGCACGATGGAGGAATTGTGGAAGGTTGTGGAAATTAGTGGAATTGGGGGAGTCGGGGAGGCAGTAGATGGGTTGAAGAAGAGGAAATAGTGGGAACTGCTTGTTTTTGGGTACTTGGTGGCTGGTGGCTGGTGAATCTTGGGTTGCATGGCTGGGGCAGAATGGGTGCAAAATGGACTTCAAGGGTGCACTAGTACAACAGATAAGTAGAAGAGCAGGTGGGGGTGACAGGAAGGGAACCAAATCCAGAGATAAGGATCCACGGGGCTATTCCACCGAGGATCTGTATCTTCTAGATTTCCACTACTTTCTCTACTTACTCTACCTTTCACTTCCTCTACTTCCACTACCAGTACTTCCTCTTCTCTACCACCCACCACTTCCTCTTTCCACCACCACCCACCACTGCCCACCAGCTAACGTTGCCAAGCCGTCACGACCGGAAAAACCGACCCGCCAGTACCCACAAAATCACGTCTTTTTTCTTTAGCCCCCAACCTAATTGTTCACGTATTTTTTTTTCACTTGCACGGCGGTAAACCTACCCTACTTCTGCGGCTCGGCCTCGAGCTACCTTCTCGCTCTTCCACCACCAACCTCGTACCTGGCACAAACCTCACACCCGCCCACAATCACCAAGCCACGATCCACCATATTCCAATTATTATTTTCCTACCCTGCTTATTGTAAGCCTGGAAACCCACAACTGGCAAAATGAAGTCTGTACTGCACCCAGTCGGCCTCATGTGGGGCAATGTCCCTCCCCAGACCTGTCTGTCCTGCTTCTGGCTTCTACTTGTTTGTACTGCCCCCCCGGCTCGGTGCCGTGTGTTCATATCCTTTTTTTAATAAGCCTGGCAGAGGTATAAATAGACGGTGGGTTCCGCCAGGATGAATGTGTAGATTCCCTTTTTTTTTTGTATACTAAGTCTTTTCTTGACGTGCCCCGCTTGACATATTTCCTTCTCTTGGCTGACGTTCTTGGCCCACCGAATATCTGAAACCGTTAATTCCAAGCTTGCTTCGTTCTTGGCTCACGTCTGAATTGGGAAACACTCGCGTGGTTGCAAAAAATAGTGCAAAATGTCTGACGAGAAGATTCAACATGAAACGCTTCTTGAACTGTCGTCACTGACTGACTCGAAACATAAGTCGGTGGCTGACTCGTTGCTACCCTCTGGCGCCGACGAGACTCGTGGTGGCGAAAGAGGTAATATCTTGTCTCAGTACTCTGAGAAACAGGCCATGCAAATGGGCAGAAACTATGCCTTGAAACATGGCTTGGAGCCGGAGCTTTTCGCCAGAGCGGCTGCTTTGGCTAGAAACCCGGAGGATTTTAACTCTATGGAGTTTTTAAACGAGGAGGAAAAAATCTCCTTGAATAAAGAGGTTACTGCTAGATGGCATATTCCGCGTAAGTTGGTGGAGGTTATCGCCTTGGGCTCTATGGCTGCTGCCGTGCAAGGTATGGATGAATCTGTTGTTAACGGTGCCCAGCTTTTCTATGTAAAAGAAATGGGTATTGATAAAATGAAGAATGCTGATTTGATTGAAGGTCTTGTCAATGGTGCTCCTTACTTGTGTTGTGCTATTGCCTGTTGGACTTCGGACTTTTGGAACAGAATGTTGGGCAGAAAATGGACCATTTTCTGGACTTGTTTCATCTCGGCCATTACTTGTATTTGGCAAGGTCTTGTCAACTTGAAGTGGTACCACTTGTTTATTGCTCGTTTCTGTATGGGTATCGGTGTGGGTGTTAAGTCTGCCACTGTCCCTGCTTATGCTGCCGAAACTACTCCAGCCACTATTAGAGGTTCCTTGGTTATGCTTTGGCAGTTCTTTACCGCTGTGGGTATTATGTTTGGTTACGTTTCTTCGCTTGCCTTTTACCATGTTGGTAGAAACGGTATTTCCGGTGGTTTGAACTGGAGATTGATGTTGGGTTCGGCTTCCATTCCTGCCATCATTGTCTTGTTCCAGATTCCATTCGTTCCTGAGTCTCCTCGTTGGCTTATGGGTAAGGACAGACATAAGGAAGCTTACGAGTCCTATAAAGTGTTGCGTCATACCGAAATCGAAGCTGCTCGTGACACTTTCTACCAGTACGTTTTGCTTTCTGAAGAAAAGTCTTATGTTGGTGTGCCTTCCTGGAAGAGAGTCTATGAGATGTTCACCATTAGAAGAAACAGAAACGGTGCTTTGGGTGCATGGATTGTTATGTTCATGCAGCAGTTCTGTGGTATCAACGTTATTGCCTACTATTCCTCGTCTATTTTCATTGAGTCCAACTTGTCTGAAGTCAAAGCCATGTTGGCTTCTTGGGGTTTCGGTATGATCAATTTCGTCTTTGCCATTCCTGCTATCTACACCATTGATACATTTGGTAGAAGAAACTTGTTGCTTACCACGTTCCCCTTGATGGCTATCTTTTTGCTTGTTGCTGGTTTCAGTTTCTTGACTCCTGAAGATAACGAGAAGGGCAGATTGGCTGGTGTAGCGACAGGTATCTACTTGTTCACTGCAGTTTACTCGTCTGGTGAAGGTCCAGTGCCATTTACCTACTCTGCCGAAGCGTTCCCCTTGTACATTCGTGACTTGGGTATGGGTTTCGCTACTGCTACGTGTTGGTTCTTTAACTTTATTTTGGCCTTCACCTGGCCAAGATTGAGAAATGCCTTCACTGTCACCGGTGCCTTTGGCTGGTACGCTGCGTGGAACGTTGTTGGTTTCTTCTTGGTGTTGTGGTTCTTGCCTGAAACCAAGGGCTTGACCTTGGAAGAGTTGGACGATGTGTTTGGCGTTTCGCTCCGGAAGCACGCCATCTACAGAACGAGAGAGTTTATCAACAACATCAGAAAGTATGTCCTCAGACAGAAGGTGGAACCATTGCCTCCAATCTACCATCACCAGAGAATGGCCGTTACCAACCCAGCTTGGAACGAGAAGACCGAGGTCTCCCACGAGGAGGACATCTAGTTATTTTAATTTTGATATACGAGTACACGATTATCTTTTGAGGAGGTGTAGGTATATAGAAAGTGGAAGTGTAGAGGGAAGAAATCCAGTTAGTATGGAAATGAAGGTCACCTATGTATATACATATATACATATGGAGAACATAAACCGTAACGCCAAACACGCCAGGCAAATACAAAACCTTAAACCCTCCACTCCCCCAAGCCAACCTCTTATACCAATCCCACAACATCTAACACTCCCTTTCGCTTACTATACACTTCTACTATTGGAGCATTTCAGGGCCATTCCAGGGCCATTCACAAATGGCTGCGAAAAAACATATACCAAGAATACCGCTCCCTCCACCAATCAAGTACCCCCAAAACCCAGGCCCAAGACGACTAAACAGTACTAGTAATTAAGCTGAAACAGGTCAATTTATGCAATACATGAAAATTAGTCAAAATCACGTCTCATTAATTTCCACCACTTCTCCATGAACCTCAGTACCCTCCCATCTGGACTCTGTCTTCCACCTAGCCCTTTCTTCCTGTCCTTTCTTCCAGTTCTTTTTTTCCTAGTCCTCTTTCTCTTCCTCTCCCTTAGAGCCCTTCGAGTCCATCGGCAAGCCGATGAACTCTTGGACTCTTCCGGCTATCTCCGCTTGACTCTGGTGGAGTATTGTCAGAGAGTGGGGAACTTCCAGGCAAAGGCGCGGAAAAATCGACTCGTACTGTTATCAGCGCCAGGGCATTTAAATACCCGGAAGTCCCCAGAAAATGCCTTGAAAAACTGCACTTTTTCATGTCCCTTAACAAACAATACCTTTTTTATCTTTCGAAGTACCCGCTCCTCACAAAACTGGCAACCTCAGGGGTGCTTGCGGCGTTAAACGAAATGATAGCGTCGGGTATCTCCGGAGACACCAGGAAGACAGAGCTCAATGTGTTGGGCAGTAAAGTCAAGGTTAGACACGTTCTTAGCCCTAGGATTTTGCAGATGGTGTTTTATGGCGCGTGTATTGCCACGCCAATTTCTCATAACTTGTATGGGGTGCTTAACAAGTTCTTCCAGGGGAAGCTTACGCCTAAGATGAAGCTTTTGCAGTTGTTGACTTCCTTGTGTACGGTGACGCCGTGCTTGAGTGCTGTGTATGTGGCGTGGCTTCTGTTTTTGAACGGGTACAAGTCGAGTGGTGCTGGGTTTGGCGAGATCAAGCGCTTGTTGAATGTTCTTTATGTGGGGGTGAAGAGAAACTTCCCTACCGTGTATAGAACGTCTTTGGGAACGACCATTGTGGCCATGACGGTCGCTCAGAACTTCTTGCCTCCAGAGCTTTGGGTGGTGTTCTTCTCGTTGGTGTACTTTGTCGTGGGCACGATCCAGAACACTCGTTTCAAGTTGAAGGCCAAGCGTGATGCTCAGAAGAAGGCCGAGTAGACGCTGCAGCTTTATGTGCATAGAATATAGCCTGGTGCTAGGATTACGGGGATGGAGTTAGACAGGGGTTTTCAGGGATTGGTTTTGTCTGGTCCCTACGGCTCCAAATGCCAATTGCATGAATTTGCATTCATTATGACAAATAAAAGAAGTTTCATGATAACATGGCTGGGCTGGTTTGATGGTGCAGCGATAGGGTATCAAAACCATGGATATTTCGCAGCCATTTTGGTTTTGTGGTACTTTGGGTTAACAACAATAGATGAAGCATCATCAAGGCAGGTTCGTTCCTTCGCTAGCTGTTAAAAAAGTACCAAAAAGCTAGAGCCATAAGTCCTCGAGCACCAGATCTGTAGAAAGAAATCTAATCAAGCCAATCACTGACGACTGCTAATGTGGATATAGAGTGTTATGGGTACTGCAAGGCTTGTTTATCTTTGAATTAACTTTATATTAAACACAACTCTTTCGACCACTTAGGCTATATTACGAGGAGATCTCTTAACACAAACATCAACAAATCACAACCAACCAAAGTAAACTTATGGGAAGTTACCAACTCTAGGACCAAAGTATCCGTCAGGAGCATGTTCGGTAACATTGAGTCTCACTGGGTAAGTGTAATCAAGAACAGTCGAGTTGACAGTGTTACCCCACCAGGAGACACGGTAGCCATGGTAATGGACAGCAAAGAAGATAATAATGGCACTGAAGGCAATACCTCCTCCAATACCACTGGCGAGAATATAGTTGTACTTCTCCCACCAGGCAGTGTACTTCTTTCTGATATAGTACATGAAAGCAATACTCACATACAAGCCTGGAGTGCTGTAAGACAAGTTGTAAGGGGCATAAGCCATGAAACCAAAGGTGAAGAGAATTGGGTGGAAGTACTTACCAATGACAGTTCTGCCAAAGTACCTCTTAAGAGCCCAACATGGGAACACCAAAAGGAAACCAATCAAGAAACACCACTGGAAAATAGGGTAGAGACCACCAAACACCTTCTTTGGACCAATGACACCCCAGAAGACGGAAGCAGAGTAGAAAGTGGTGGATCCTGGACAGGTGAATCTTTGTGGCTGTAATGGAGAACACAAGTTTTCCACACTGTTGATGACAAGGTTGATAGTGCCCACAGCGACAAAACTGTTAACAAGCACAGAAAGCATTTGAACTCTGAAGAGAGATCTTGGTGGGATTCTCCAGTAGTGAGCTTGTTTCTGGTTGGTGATATAGTTTTCAGCCTGGGCATCAATGTTAGTACCCAAGGTCTTGACGAAGTTCAAGGCAGTACCGTTTCCTGGCAAGGCGTAACCGATGATCATCTCAAGCAACACATTGATGGACAAACTGGAACCGGTGGCAGCGTACACAATGACGAAAGGCAACAAGAAGACAAAATTTAAGACAAGGGCAAAGAAAATAGTCCACACTGGAGTGTGCAAATCGTAAATCTGGACGTTGATGATAGCAAACACCAAACAAAGAACCAAGATAATGGTAAACCACCATTCTGGAACTTCAGCGTACCTCTTCATTGAAACACTGAATGGATCATCGAAACCATCGTAGGTGGAGCGTCTCTTTCTAAAATCAAAGGACTTGACCAAACCGATCATGGCAAACTTAATTTGGTCAAAGTTGGTAAGCATCACGTAAAAGAAGTTCAATGGGTACATGGCAAGGAAAGTACCGTAAACCACAAGGTTGGCAGCACTGTAAAATGGTGGACCAACCTGGGCGTACTTCTCTGGGTCAAGGTGTTTGTCTTCACCCAAAACTGCAGTGACAGAGTATGGCTTACCCTTGTTGGTGAAAATACGGTTGGAGTTGATTGGCAAGTAGGCGGTCCACTTATAGTTTGTCCACCAAAGACCAGCAATGACGAAAAGACCCAGAACAATACCCAAGTAATTGTTCACGTATGCAAAGAATGGAACGATGAATCCACTAGTACCAATGATGTTGAAGTCAAAGGAGGTGATAGGGTTGAGTCCAAGACCGGAGAATGATCCAGTGATGGTAGCAACATTGAAGTTATCTGGAGCAGCCCAGGAGATCCAGTTGAAGTAGGTAAGAGCACTGAAAAGGACATTTGGAATCCAGAAGTAGACAAACGAGCAACCGAAAACAATAAAGAAGAAAGAAAATCTGGAAATCTTCCATCCGTTAATGTTCTCCTTCTTCTCTGGCTTAGTCAAGGCCTTATTGACTGCAAGTGTTGGAAGAAGCGTTGGCCAAACAGCAGTAACAGGGTAAACGACAAACTTACGGAAAATACCAGCCAAACCGAAACCCATAAAGTTGGAAGCAAGCACAAGAAGAATCTGGCCACCAAAATCAAAGTCTGGGTTATTGTAGAAAAGCTCTAACTTCTGAAGCACAATGAAGTAGGAAGCATAGACACCACCACCACTGACACTGTAGAACAACGTAGTCAACATTTGTTCTTTGTGACTCCAAGGACCAGGGTTAAGATTAATAGTCCATTTCCAAACCTTGAACTTCTTAGCAGGAAGCACTGTAGCAAGGAACTTACCCATAGGGAAAATAAAAAGCTGAACAACCTTTGAACCCAAACCAATACCTGGCTGTCTCTCACTGAAGTATTGACCAATGAATGTACCAAGAATAACCCAAATCAAACCAAGAAAGTAAACTCTGACAGTTTCACAAGGCGTCTCTGGATCATCAAAAGGATCAGTAACAGCTCTCACTTCTGGGTATGGCGACCAGTAAGCGATCAAAGCGGCTTCAGCTCTAGCCTGCAACTCCCAGTCAAAGATGGTGTTCCATTTGGCTGGTTCATCAGATTCAATAGATCTTTCTTGAACGATAGCCTCATCTTTCTCGTTAGAAATCACATCCTTCTCGTTCTCTGAAGAAGTTTCCTTACCCTCCACAGAAGGACCATGAACAACACCAGAAGACTCGTGAAGAGCAAGCAGCTCAACAAAGTCGTAGTACTCAATACTAATATTAACGTCGTCTCTGTGCTCCTTCAAGAAGTCCTTAAGGATAACCTCGGCTTCGTTGATATCCAAGTGGGCCACTTTATCAATCATAAACACACCACTGGGAGGCAAGTCGTCGAAATCCTCAAGGTTATCCTGTTCCATTCTTTTAAGAATGTAGAACTTCTGGTCAACAGTAAGTTCGTTGATGGAATCATTCAAACCAACATGCTGCTTGTTTGCAGCATTCAAGTCAACAGCATAAGCACCAAAGTCTTTCCTGTCATGGTCACTAGTAATACTAGCAACGTTGACAATGGGGTTCTCTTTCTCGGCCATGATTTCCTGGTGGTTGAATTTATTGGTGTCCCGCTACGTTTATATATTCTGTTCTTCTTGGTGGACATGGCTACACAAGGTTTTGAAATGGTTGCAAAACATGCATGAGAGGTAAACTACATAACCATATCCTCATATGTGGCTTTCATGCAAGGTTTTCTATAATGAGATAATTTTTCTTATCAGGCGGACTCCAAGAATGCAACGAAATGATAATTAGAAGGAACTGCAGTTCCGAAGCTGTTGCCAGTGCCCTTCGTTGCCAAGGCTCAACAACCACACTTTGAAAGGTGCCAAAGAATGTGCGGCTGGCAAGGGTACCTGGTTGTTATTGCTTGGCCAAAGAAGCTATGGATATGGTAAAGGTAAGGTTTTAATACTACAGAAATAAGCTTCGTAAAGTGTGGGGCTTTTCGAGTCAGACAATGATGGTCCAGTGAACACAGAGCCGACGAAGCCGCATGGCACTGGAATAACCGCCTGGCATTTCTTCATAAGACTACGCTGCTTTTTTTTTACCATCCTTATCAGTGCATATCATCGGATTTATTCTTCCAATATTCACTAACTCCTTAGTAGCAGAGGTATTGAGATATACTTTAAAGGCCATCAAAGTAGCTCATCAAATCCGAACCTACAATACCCCTCTGGTTGCAACCACAGTAATAACTTTGAAGGAGTGTCTTGGCAAGGTGAAGTCTACCTTGGCTCAAGACAAGCACACTAAGCCAGGCGTCTTATTCATCTCACCTTAGAGGTAACATCATGATAGTTTATATCAGTACATCGACATCCACAGTTTTCTAATCCCGACTCGCTTAGTTTCTTGGCTGTGCCATTGACTGTCAACATATCTTGGCATAAGGGGATTGGTGTCAAACTTGGGTATTTTTCCTTGGAAGCTTGACTCAACTGTGTAAATGTTTATTAGCGGCCATGCATCAGGCGATACCGTGAGCTCAACGATAGGGAAAATATCAAGCAATACCGGTGATATTGGTAACAAAGCATGAAATTCGTCTATTTGAGTTTGCTGGGGTTTTCTTACTTGTCGAAGTTTAAATGGAAGAGAAGATTAACTGAGGTCCATTACTCTACAAGTATACCATCTGTGGACCTCTTACTCTTGTCTTTGAGCTACTTAACTTTTCTTTCCTTTGCTCTCTTTATTGATTCCCTTCTTATCCTCTATAAGCAGTTCCTTCCTACTATCTAGATATTCTGCAACATATCACCTTTACCATGTACGGCGCAAGATTTGGGGAACGACCGTGTTGTATGTGGCGCTAACTCTTGGGTGAGGCGCCGAAATACACTTCTTCGAGCAAGTGGCTCCTGTCACGTCGGTGTTTATATTGATAAGCCGATGACCAGCTTATCAGCAGAAGCTCCTGTTCTAATCTTCTCACTGGACATGATGTGGCATGAATTAATTACTGAATATTTGCAGAACAAAGGTCAGCTAATTATTTCTCTTATGTTTCATTCGACTCTTGTAGCTAAGACCGACTGAATCATCGAATGAACCACAATTTTGTGACACCCTGTTTTGGCTTTTGGGGCCGCTCGGGATCAGTTGATGTCCATTGAATGTCTTGGAAGAATTAGCGCAAATCAGAGCCGTGCATTTTTAAGTCATTTGGCATTGAATGAATGGAAATGAATAGGAAATAATTCTGACACCACAATATTTTGGACGAGGAATTCCGTTCCCTTGTTTGTAACTTCTTCAACAAAATATGCTTCAGGAGGAGAGTATGCTCTTGAAAATAATGTGTTGATAAATTTTGCTGAGCTGGTGGAGCCTGAGTTGGACGGTGTCAATAGTGGATAATTAAAGATTATACTTCTCATTTCTTACAAAGCGTTTATTTCATCAAGTAGTAGTTATTGCCATGGAATAAAAGTCGGGTATGTTTTTTCTATTCATTGTAATCTCTGACACATAAAAGATAAATAGGTAGATCTAATGATCACAAGAGATATCCCGGTAAATGAAGATGCTTAAGGGATGTTAGAGTAGTTAATATATTGCTTTTGGTGGCTTTGGCGTGTGAAAGGGAAGTAGCAACATATCCCCTTGCGTAGTCATGTTGGACATATATCAGCATCTATTCCAAATCCACGAGTCCTAGCGAGTTGAAGTTTAAATTTTTATTAAAAATAAAAACGAAAACGAAGGATAATTATATGGCTTGGTGCTACATACTAATGATCAGGAGGCCAATTCAAAAGACTTGACATCCTAAGGGGACTGTACGATCATACTGAAGCTTACACTGGATAATAGGGTTCAACAAGTGTCGTTTTATCATGAAGAACTGGATCTGTGATACCCAGAGTTGTATCCTGAACTTGACTCCTACTGGATAAAAATACATTTATTGAATCGGTCATGATCATCAAGGAAGAGGCCAGGCCCAAAACAGAAGCCTAAACTTTGTCCTGCTAAGATACAAGCGAAGAATAAGTTGACTACAGAATCTTTCTCAAAGATCGAAGAACTTATCATGTCAGAAGAGATAACCTAATTATACAACGCAAAAGCAATTGACCTTCTCTGTTATTCCCGTCTTCGCCTACGCTGAAGCTGTTCATCAAATAGCATGTTAGGGAACTCTCTCAGTTAAGACTTTTCAAAGTTCATATGATGACGTTGTTCTTCCTGTAACAGTGTCCGTTCCTTGGTCAAATAGCAGTTGTTGCCTACATGCTAGAAGACCACGTAAATGACCGGTGCTGGTCATATCCTGTGTTGAGAAACATTGAATAAAGTGAACCATCGCAACTTCTATGTTCCATTGCCAGAATAAAGGAAGCATTCACAGAGGCTTAACTATATGTTCCAGGTATCTTCTTCCCTACTGCTGCCACCTAGTGCTGCCTAACTACGTATCTATTTACATATCTATTCAGTTATCGCTTCCAAAATGGCATTTCCCCAAAAATAATCCACCCATTATTCACTTCCAAGACATAAGTCCCTGCCAGACATGTTCCCTCTCTATTTTCTCGGCAGTTTGCAGCCACCAAGCCGACAATAACCACCTCCAGCAGCTCCACCGTCCGTTCCAATCGACTTCCCTTTTTCCCTTATTTTCCAATTCCTCAAAACTCTTTGCTTTCCTTTCTTTTTTTTTTTTTTTCACCAACCCTTCCCCTTCCACTTTTCCAGTTTCTCCCATTCCGTGGAAAAATGGCTGCGAAATACAATCATCCTGCGAAGTACAAGAAATACATTTACCCATGGATAACCTCCCACTGTCTCTACACCCCACCTTTCCAAAACCACCCATTTTTCCCAATTTACCCAACCATCACCATCTATACCCGTTCCGCTGACAAATTCCCCAACTACAACCCACTTTCCCTTCCTTGCTGACAAATCGTCCCTTCCCACCTTATATAGTTTCCTACATGCAACCCGAGGGGCCCCACTAGCAACAGCTGCCCCACCTTTTGGCTCAAATAATACTCAATCACTTATTCCATGTTTCTTTCAGCTGGAAAGTCTTCTCTCAGAGCTCAATTGCGTACGCCTTACTCGCCTATTTCCAGAATGCTCACTTCCCACGCTGTGATCTTTTCCTCCCACGGTGAACCCAAGGATGTGTTGAAGACCCATACTTATGAGATTGACGAGACCAAGTTGGGTGCCAACGAGATTGTCTTGAAGACATTGGGGGCTCCAATTAACCCTTCCGATATTAATCAGGTCCAGGGCGTCTACCCTAGTCAGCCTGAAAAGACTACTGCCTTGGGCACTTCGGAACCGCTGGCTGTGGGTGGTAACGAGGGACTCTTTGAAATCACCCATGTTGGTTCTGGCGTTAAGGAGTTCCAGGTTGGCGATTGGGCCATTCCTACCAGTGTAAACTTTGGCACTTGGAGATCGTATGCCTTGTGTGACGCTGAAAAGATGATGAAGGTGCCTAACCCTGACCAGTCGAAGGCTGAAGGTAAGAAACAGGGTCTTTCTATTAACCAGGGCGCTACGCTTTCGGTGAATCCATTGACTGCTTACTTGATGTTGACCCACTACGTGAAATTGACCCCAGGCAAGGACTGGTTTATCCAGAACGGTGGTAACTCTGCTGTGGGTAAGTTTGCTTCGCAGATCGCCAAGCTCTTGGGTTTCAACTCGCTTTCTGTGGTCAGAGACAGATCAGAGATTGAGGACCTTAAGAAGGACTTGAAGGAAGTTTGCGGTGCCACTCAGGTTATCACCGAGGAGCAGAACAACTCTAAGGAGTTTGGGCCTCAGGTGAAGCAATGGCTTAAGGAATCAGGCGGTGAAATCAAGCTTGCTTTGAACTGTGTGGGTGGTAAGTCCAGTGCTGGCGTTGCCAGAAAATTGGCTCCTAACGGGTTGATGTTGACTTACGGTGGTATGTCTTTCCAGCCTGTCACATTGCCTACTTCTTTGCACATTTTCAAGAACATCACCAGTGCCGGATTCTGGGTCACTGAGTTGTTGAAGAGCGACCCTAACTTGAAGAGGGAGACTGTCGACCGTATTGTTGACTGGTACACCAACGGTGAGCTCTTGGACGCTCCATCCCATGAAAACGTCTGGGGCAACGAGGACTTGGCCAAGGTCGTGATTAGCGGTGTGGAAAACTCCAAGAGCGGCAAGCAACTTGTCAAGTTTTAATCTCCCAAGTGATGAAAATTAACAAAAGTACCATGAATGTTGTAGATTCTAGTACCTCTAATCCTTATCGGTTGACGTAGAAAACGTCGAAATGGCTGCGAAAAACCACCATATCTCTCCTTCCCTCCACCCACACTACCCAGCCCGGGGCTTCATCCCGGCTGAAGTGTACTGGTGCATTGTTCCAACGTTCGATCAGAGCTACGCCTACGACCCCGGCTACGCCTTCCCCAGCCTGGAAAAACATGTTTTCTGTAGAGTGACCAGGATCAAGCAACACCACTGGTCAAATAAGAGCAAACGTTACCGATAGTAAAAAGCAAGGGATAGCGGGTAGTTTCAGGGGTATTCCTGGCTCCCCCTGCCAATGACAGAGCCTCTTCAGCTACTACTCCACTGGAATGGAAGTGCAATTCCAGAGCCGAGCCACTGTACATGTGAACAACCAGCTCTGGCATGGCCCTGGCATGGACCGTCAGGGCCAGGCCAGGCCAGGCCAGGAACAAACTGACAACTTCAGACTTCCAACCCTAAACCTCCAACCCCTGTACCACCCAAACACCATCCAACCCCTGTACCACCCTCTTCACGCCTACTCTCTGACTGGCGTCAACAGACATCCATCCGAGTCACAACCCATCCATCCACTCCATCCACTCCAACCACTCCACTGGAGGGTCCCACGTTTCTTTTTCTGCTACGGTTCTTCCTTACGTTCGGCCACTCCACGCTGTGGCATAAGCCTCCAGCCAACCATACCTTTAAGCTTTTCTTCACAATGGTGTCTCAGTTCTATCTTTTCTTTTTCTGGCGACTCGGGCTTCTCCGGTTCACTAATGGCTGCGAAACTTTTCCATCGGTCACTACCCCATCCCATCGGACAATTCCGCTCCACTATAAGAAGACTAGGTGATCCATAGTTAAGACCAGGTCTTTTGTGTTTCTGATCTGCTGGTTTCTATTTGTCCGTTGGTTGTTATCAGAGTGCGCTTTTCTTTTTTTAACAAACGCTGCATCGACGCTTTGTTGCAAAATACCAAGGTTTATCCGTTATCAGTGCGCTTATCTACACATTTAAGAACAACTACAACTACAACCACCTTTTTTTTCTACCATGTCCAGAGCGTTAGCTTCATCTTGTGTCCTTGTGGACGACTCGGTAGAACCTGCTACGGTGATCTTTTCCATAGAAACTGGTAAGATCCTTGCCATAGTCAAGGAAGTGCTTCCTCCATCGCATCCCACTCTTCACAACTTCAATGTGCTTCCTGAAGATTATAGAGACGTTTCGCCTTTGGTGATTATGCCTGGCTTGGTTGACGCTCATGTTCACTTGAACGAGCCGGGAAGAACTGAATGGGAGGGCTTCGCTACCGGTACGAGAGCCGCTGCTGCCGGTGGTGTTACTACGGTGATTGATATGCCTCTTAACGCTATTCCACCTACGACGACGGTGGCTAATTTTAATCTTAAGATTAACGCTGCCAAGGGCCAGACATGGGTGGATGTGGGTTTCTGGGGCGGTATGGTGCCTACAAACCTTGACGACTTGGTGCCTTTGATTCGTATGGGTGTTAGAGGATTTAAAGGTTTCTTGATTGAGTCGGGTGTTGATGAGTTCCCTGCTATCACGCCTCATTATATTGTCAAGGCTATGAAGAGGGTGAAAGGTGAGCCCACAATGTTGATGTTCCATGCTGAAATGCAGCCTAACAGTAGACCACCAGTGTTGGCACTTGACGAGGGTGAAAGAACACCAAAACTCGTTCCTAATGAACTTCACGATTGTTACGTGAGGGCTTCGGATTCTGTGGAGATTGAAGAAAATGGACCTAACGGGTACGATATCAAGGTGGCTTATGACGACTGTGAAAATGGAGAAGTTGAAGATCTTGATTCAGATGACGACGAGGACGAGTTGGAAAACGATCCAAATAACGATCCCGTTGCTCTTACAGGTGGAGTGGAAGAATTGAATCTTGGTCTGTCTGCTTCGTTTGTGCCAAAGCCAGTCGCTAACCTTGTCAACGAACATAACCCAGATGACGAGTACAAGTTATCTGATAAAGAAAGAAGAAAGTCTGTTGACGAAAGAGACATTCCACGCGAACAAAGAACTGCTTTGGCCAAGTCGCCATACCTCCAAGGTTCCGAGCCTCAGTTTGGTCGTTACGCCAGATTGGCTAACCCTAACCACCAGGAGAACTTGGAAGAAAAGACAGACACGCCATTTGCCAAGCCTAATGAAATCACCGCCGAAGAACTTAAAGAAAACTACGAAGATCCTCTTGTGTTAGCCCAAAAGGAAGACGATGCCTTGGCTGACGTTGACCCTGCCCTCTACGCTTCGTTCCTAGCATCCAGACCAGACAATTTCGAAACCACTGCCATTGCAGAGATCATCAACTGTTCTTTGAAACACCCAGAAGTGCCTCTCCACATCGTACACTTGGCCACACACGAAGCCATTCCCTTAATGAGAGCTGCCAAGTCTAGGGGTTTACCCATCACAGCAGAGACTTGCTTCCACTACCTTTCGCTTACAGCCGAAAAGATCTCGGCCTGCTCCACTCACTTTAAGTGCTGCCCACCTATCCGCTCGGACGCCAACAGACAGCTTTTATGGCGTGCCTTGCGTAGCGACATCATCACCACCGTTGTTTCTGACCACTCTCCATGTACACCTGAGCTTAAAGGTTTAGAGAAGGGAGACTTCTTCTCGGCATGGGGCGGCATCTCATCGGTTGGTCTTGGGTTGCCTATCTTATTCACCGAAGGTCAAAAGTTGGACCCACCAGTGCTGCTTCAGGAAATCACCAAGTGGTGTTCCTGGAACACTGCCAAGCAGGTTGGCTTATCCCACACCAAGGGTAAACTTGCTGTTGGCTACGACGCAGACATGGTGGTGTTCGATCCAAAGTCATCCTACGTTGTGCGTAACGACCAGACCTTCTTCAAAAACAAGTTGACTGCCTACGACGGCATGGAGTTCCAAGGAAGAGTAGTAGAGACTCTTGTGAGAGGTGTGCCTGTGTTCGGATTGAAGGAAGGCCACTCTGACTTGCCTATGGGTAAGCTTCTCCTTGAGCCACGTGTCCAGGAAGTACACGCCTAAGCATATATAGCATCTGCATAAAAAGAACATATTTTTCATAATTGTCTAAGGGCACACTGGCCATTTGCAGCCAAACCTGTACACCGTAAATGCTCAGTAGTAGGAAGCGATCAAATATCTACAAAGTTGAAGAATATCAACCACCATAAATGGCAAAGCAAGACGATACCGGGCTTGAAAAGTTTCAGGAGCTCTTCTCTAGTCCTGACACTGAAATCAACCAGAGAAGACAAGACGCTATACGAACTGTTCGTGAAAATGACGTTGCATCGTTTCCCACTGATCTTTCAGTACTTTCCGCTTTCGACGACGTGCTAGCGTGTTTTGCATTGGGAGGACAAATTAAGAACTACTATAGATACGGTACTTACTCGACGTGTGACGCCGAGAGAAAGAAGTTCTGGTTTGCTGTGTGGAACGGTTCCACTACTGAAAAGGAAATGACTGTGGATAAGCTAGCTGGAGATGCTAGAGAACTAGAACGCAGACAAAAAGTCCAGGCTTATTATAAGGACATTCTTTTGCAGAAGAAGGCAGAGGGACTGTCTGAGGATGTGTGGCAGGAAAGAAAGGAGCTCTTGAGGCAGCCATATATGGAGCTGCCTCTGCCAGAAACGTTCAACCAGTAGAGTTATCGTCTTGAGATAATTTTTCTTTTTTTCATAGGGGTTAGCTCTAATGTACATAGTTTTCGAATTCAAGGATCCGACGGACTGCTTATCCAGCAGCTGGTGTTACTTTTGGTCCAATATCAATGCAAGTAGATGCCTTTGCTGTGCGGACACACACGGAACAGAGCAGCAGCAGCAAAGGAAAGATGCCAAGGAGATTACATATCTCACATAATTACACAGCCCTTCTTCTCGGGCTCGTTATCGTTAGCTCCCTTTGGTCTAGCGTTGAGAGCACATCTGGCAGCCTCGGAAAAGGCTTCGTTCACTCCTCTGTTTTTCTTTGCCGAACACTCCAAGTACCGCAACGCACCGACCTTCTTGGCCACGCTAAGGCCCTCGTCATACGAAATCAAGCGTTTGTTCTGATTATACGGACTCTGCGACTGGTACACATCCTCTTCAGCCTGGTCCTCTTCATGGTTTCGCAAGTCACACTTTAAAGCCACAAGCACTAGCTTGACGCCTTCACAGTGGTCGGCAATCTCACCGACCCATTTCAGCTGGACATTCTCCAACGAGTCCTGAGAGTCTATAGAGAAACACAACATAATGCAATGTGTATCAGCATACGATAATGCTCTTAAACGGTCAAACTCCTCCTGGCCCGCAGTATCCCAGAGCGATAGCTGGACTTGCTGGCCGTCAATGAAGATATCATGGACATAGTTTTCAAACACGGTAGGCTCGTATACCTGTGGAAAATAGCCTCTGGTGAAGACATTCAAAAGCGAAGTTTTACCACACGCACCGTCGCCGAGAATGACGATCTTACGCTGGACTGGGTAGTTAGTATATGGGCGAAGAAGCTGGGTGAAATTTAGACTGGCATACTTGTCTTGGTGGAACCGCCGCAAAGAGGCATGATGGTGTTGTCAGGTAAAGTTGGTAGATAAACCGCGTATATCTAGACGAGGACGTGTGCGAACCGTCTTTCTGGGTCAGCCAACCCACCACCACAATTGGAGCCATGCATGGGTTGATTGGGTAGAAGATGAAGAAGAAAGAAGGTTCTGTGGAAGCATAAATATTGGTCTTGTGAGTTTTGTTGAAAATGGGAACATGTCAGAAGAGTAGTGCCTCTGTCTGTGCATACACAGTAAGCAGCCAAACCAGACTCTCCCAGAACCTCCCAGAATGTCCAAACACCAATTTCCCTAAAGCTTACTTAACCTCAAAATCAACAAATCCCTCTTTTCCTCCCACCTTCCAAATCTTATTACTATCCGTATTCAGCGTTGACTGGTGGTGTTGGGTGGCTCGCTTAGTGAGCATCTCGGCTGCATACCGATTTGCAACCATTCCTGAGAAGTGGCTGTAAGGGAACCAGCAGGAGGGGTCCCCTGGGAGGAATAAGCCTTGTTTTTAGTGGATTCGTGTTTTGGGCATGGGAAAGGAGGCGGTGGAGGATTTTTTATATGGCGGTTTTCACCTTTGGAGGGTATTTGATGGAGGTGTGGGTTCTGCTTTGTGTTGCTTTAGATGTGCAGCTTGCATGATACGTACATGGGAGGTATTTCTTTAAAGGTTAATGGTTGGAGGTGGGAAAGAAGGGTATTACATGTAAAGGGAGTAGGTTTCTGGTTATGAGTCTATTGGTTTTGGTCAGGGAATGTGGGTGTTCTGGTGGTTTACTGGTACTTGTGGTTCGAAGATGGCTATTTCGCAGCCATTATGAGACAAGGCATCACGTAACATGTCAACACCAAAAAAGGGAGTTATGGAGGAAGAGCTTAGATATAGCTTCTATGTAGCTTTGATAGCTGTGGTTGCCAAATTCCTGCCGAAGAAGTCAACGGCATAGAAAATTATTAAAATTTGCCAACACCAACGCTTCACCAGTATCTATCTTGGATAGGAAATTGTAGTAATGTAAAATCAGTTTCCTTACTTTGCGAGGCCGACCCCTGTTAATACCCTCCTTGAAGATGCAAAATTTCCTACATATGCTATAACGATGGTTCACACGTGGAGTATCATGTGGATATCACGTGCGAGTAGAGGTTTAGGGTTGTCCTGATGATGAATATCTGGATGCATGGCGGGAACTTATGGTAGCTTAGGTATAAATGAGCCAGTAGATGTCGGCAATGCCTCATATGGATAGCGCCAAAGTGATCAGAAATGGCGATGCCTGGCTCAAAGTGAATTGTTGTTTCGCTCCCAAGGAGGGGTTCAAGTACTTGCTAATGAAAAGTGTACGTAGAGTTGCATTTTAAGATCTTTGATGGTGCCCAAAGTAATATGAAATAATCTGGGTTCTTCACTGCTCCTATAATTTTTAATGACTGCTTCGTTCTTTTCAAACCTTTGGCAAAATGACGACCAGACGATACCCATCACTCATAAGCATCTCAACCTCGAGACCCCAGTAGTCCAAAGAAAGAATAATAAGTGCTCTTGGGCTGGTCGGTTTCCAGGTTAGGAGAATCCGTCGAGGAGACTATTTGGATGACGGGAAACGTAGCTAGCTGAAGAACGAAACGTTCTACGTATCTGGTCCAATGGTCATCCTATGTTAGTCCAGAATATCTGGCCCCACTCCAATAAACTTAACCTGAGGTCTTATCAATGCAAGAAATTCTTACTTAGTCTTTGGTGTTGGCCTAATGCAACTGGCTCAAGCTGTTTCGAGCAAGTTACCACTTTTTACGTCTCGAGGATCTATCATTCGGTGAAGTGTTCGTCCCTACCAATGATTAAGGTCGATACAAGAAAAGGAGGTACAGCCTGCTATTATTCCTGCCATATCTCCTGGAGAGTCAATAAGCTCTCAAGTGAGAGAAATGACAGAGATAATGTTTGTAGGTAACGTACTCGCGATGTCACAAATGGCTGCAAATTCACAAAACCCACTTATACCCCTAAAGATGAACCAAGGCCCAATCCAAATTGAGTACCAGAACACCATAACGAGTCTAAGTGGACTTTTACTTATAAATGATGCCCCGCCTTTTGTCACTAAACGATTTTGTCGCCTCCTCTGGTTCCAAACTACTACGACTCATACCGCTGCTCTCAGTTCGTTGAAGGCTGCGTTAGGGGAGGTTATGGAGGCCTTAAGGGATCAATCTCTGAATCTTCATTTACCTCTCCAAGAACTCCATGGCCACTTTGACAAAAACCATTACTGGGCCGAGCTTAGGGTTAGCACAATGTTGAAATCAGAGATAACACTACTTTGCAACCACTTCAGTGTACATAGGAGGTCCTTTCCATCGGCAGAAAATGAGCTTAGTAGCTTTTGGCCGGGGTCGACACCCAACCAAGAAGTTTCAGAGGAAAGAATACAAGGCATTCGACGGAGTAAGAACTTGCGACTTCTTCAACTGCGGTTGACAATGCTCGGAGCACCTGAAGATAAAACTTCTAAGCTTATCAGCTCCTTCGACGATCTATTTGAAGACGATTGGGTATGGTCGTCTTGTATTGACTACATATGTGAGATGCAGAAAGCGTTGGCAAGAATTGGCTTTAATGACCATATGACGAAGTACCACACGGTTGATCAACTTCAAGAGTTTCAAAATAAGATTAAGCCACTATTAAGAGATCACTTCGAAATAGATAATCAGCGCGATGATCTCATCGCGCTGTTTCAGCTTGATTCTGCCCTCTCTAGTCCGCCTATCATGAAGATGCGGACTTATGCCGCCTCGATCGAAAGAACTTTTATACGAGTCGGCGGTTTCCAGTCAGCTACAATTCTGTTCAGAAGAAATGTTGCTTCATTAGAAAGGTTTGCAAAGCGTGGGTACTTCAAACCTTTCGTGATTTGGCTTGAAGGTTTTGAAAAGTCGATCGCAAGTTACCGTGATCATCCAGACCCAGCCGAAAGATACAGAATGCTTTGTGATGATATAAAAAAGCAGTCCGCAGATTTAAAGATTTTCCACTGGCAGGAGTTGACGGACATCAAGAAGTCGTTAATCGACTTGTATGACCATCTCCAGAAAACACCTGCGTTGTCAACACAAGTTTGGGAGGAATTCAAGAAGGTTATTACTCCAGCGCTTCTTTCACAAATACTTGGCGCCACGTATTTTGGAGAGAAAGAAAAACTCGATGGGAAGCAAATTAACCAGTTTTTCTTGATTAGCTCGATAGCGAGCTTTGTAAAGAAAACGGACGTGCTCAAATTTTTACCTCTCGCCCCTTGGTTGTTGGATCAGTTGATTAAGCCAACAAAGTTCTTCATGCCTCCTTCCAGCATCTCGCACCTTCCAGTATCCAACGAAGGCTTACTACAGCTTCTGAAAGACACTGGAACGACAGCACAGGCTATCCATATCGGCGGAAAGATCCTCTTGAACAGAGGTATCGAAGAGAATGCAGTGAAAGCTTATGTAACTGGGTTCGAAAATGTTTTCAAAGAGTCTAATGAAGATGAGCAGCTCGTTATCTTTCTGCTTTGTCGTTCATTCTGTCACAAACTCATGAAATGTCAAAAGAGAGACGAGATAGCCTCTGAGATTCGTTCACTCAGAGTGTCAATCGAAAAGGACGAGTTATTGTTATTGTGCGCTGGCAGGGAAAATTTGATCAGGCTGCTTGACAGAATACTTCTTCTGGCCGGTGCACGCTTCTGGTTCATGGATACCTTCAGTCCTGACTCCGTCGATCTTTACATTCAAGGAATTGCAATGGTGATAACCTTGGGTGTCCTCGTTGGTACTGCCCTGGCTGATCATGACTACCGCAAAGACTTGGTAGTGTCTTTACTGGCGAGTACTTTGGCAGCACTGGCACAGCCGTTGGTCAATATGCTTGATATCCTCGTACAACGGCATCTGAATGATAAATCACTGGATTGATTTATCGAAGTGCCCTCAATTCAGAAGGCATTGCGGTTAAACGCTCTAAATCAAGTGATTGACACCATTATTACAGCATCATCGGTCTCTTGGATATGGCTTGCATTTATTAACCATTCGATATAATAGAATGGTTATCTTTATTTGACTACACTGTACACCAGATCATAGCATCACTAGTGAAGTATCCTAGTCATATCAGAAGGCTTATATTCAGACATCGTCATAGTAATAGTCGTCATCTTCGGACATATATACCGGGGTAGGAGGTTCGACGGAGTACTTGGGTAGATAGTGTCCAAAACCTGTAGTACTGAAATCGTCTATGGCAAACAACAACGGGATGCGAGTTTGTACGTTCTTTGATGTAATGCCCATTTTCAAAGTCACATTGATTAGCATCTCATACCGCCTTTCCACTTCATTTGAGAATATTGACACAGGCATAGAAGGGAGTCTCTCTTGATAGAGAGACGGTGGGATAGGAACCAAATATGGATGGAATGGATGGTTTGGTGGATTCCAATGAAGCGACAAACATGGCTTTGTTTCCATGACTTTATGATGACAGAAGCTATCAGTGTACTTCAGGGGATCACAGGCGGCAATGTGTGTTGAACGTTCAGTTAGACTAACAGCAAACCTCTCAACAACGCAAGAACCATCCTGAGAGTTCGACGAATAATCCAATGCAAGATCTAGCCTCAAGAAATCGGAAATTCTCTCGTATGAAATAACCACACGTCCTTCATTAGACTGGCGGAGGCGTAGCAGGGAGAAGGTTGCCCTGAGTTTAGGATAGGTGAAGAGCTCAACAGAGCTTCTTGGTTGCAGATTCTGGGCTCTCTCATAATACATTGAAGGTTTTAGCAAGAAGTTCTGGAAACCGCTTCTGAAGGGCAACTTGTAATCCCCGTGCTCAAGGGTCATGGGCGATTTGATTCGGTTATTCTTCTTATTGCAAGCATTTCTCCAATCTACCCTTGTCCTGGGTAGGATCTTCACTTCTCCTGTGATTCTATTGTGGGTCGAATAATAATTGAAACCCCAGAAAAGAGTCTTCTCAAGGCCTTCAGTGTACTGGGTCTCTCCTGGTAGCTTATAATACCACCGCACGGTAGTCATGCTAAAACGAGCATACGCTTTCGTTACCCAAGAGACAGTTTCGTGTCCCCCATAAATCATGTCTATGCCTTCTGGGTAACGACAGTTCGATGGTGGGGGATTTACCCAGTCTGAGTCTCTTCGTTTAATAAAATGAGCTTTGAAAACTGAATTGTCATGGATCTTTATGCTCTTTGGAATCTTATCAAATCGTCGGTACACTGTTGCTATATCGATATCCAACCTTGCATTCAACCGCTTTTGGAGTCCAGTGTATGTATTGTCGAACACGCACCAAAAGTCAAGGAAGTAAGTTCTTATTTTGAACCTGTGCTGAACGTGGGTACCACTTTGGGGATCTTGCAATGAAAGAATTGGCTCGGTATGCTTAGTTGGTACCAGCCCGGGTAAGACTCGAGCCTCAATGTTTCAATTTGCTCATTGCAAGCAGTATCCATGAGTAAGATTGGTTCATAGTCATTTTTAAAGGGGCATTTGTGAAAACCAGAAGTTGATTCACAGCAAAACAATTGCACTCTGATGCTTCTTAACATCAAATGTCTTGGTAAAGCATCTCTGAGACCCAATCTAAGGGTGAGAAACTCAGAGAGGCACATTCCCGGTACCACTATTCTATCCTGCTCGTCTTGATAAAATTGGTGTGGCTCTTCATAAGTTGCATCAAGTAGCCAATCGTTACGAGGAACCTTTTTCAATTTCCTGTAGCACAACCTTCGATTCGCCATGTTGAAGCCAGTCCAATAAACACCTTCGTCGCTGGTGAACATAAAGCCGCCCACTAGTCTGTTCCCATTGGCCTTTGTGCCATAGACTCTGTTTTCAAGAAACGACTCCTCTAAAACCACATACTTTAGGCCAAGCTCCGCAGTATCATTACGCTCAAGACATCTGCAGCTGTTATCTGTCAAAGTCACATTGCATACCTTTCCATCTATGGACTGGACATTATGTGCCACCCAATTGATATTATGTGCTTTAAAGATCAACTCTGAAACAGCTATGATTCTTTTTGAAAGCACAAAAGTTCTAGTGATTTGTCCAGCAAACCGGCCTTTCCATTTTTTCCAATGTCTTTTGGGGTTCTCTTCCTTCCAACACTCATGAATGTTCATCGGCTTTTCCGCTTGCAGATCATATGATTTAAAGAAGTAGAAGTTAATTTTCCTAAGAAACATGCTGATGTGAAGCTTGCTGAAGGATGAGAATTCTCAATACTGGCCTTCATGGTAGAACCTCTTATACTTTCCTTTCTTGGAATATCCAAGGATACTGCTTGTGCGGCTAAACCTCAATGAATTCATGAAAGTAAGTATTTTATAGTTAAGAAAACAATACCTTCTGCTAGTGAAAAGAAGAAACTGCCCAGTGATTTAAATGGAAATCAACCCTCTAGACTGGTCCATATACCCCAAGTAAGACAGCTCCTAAAGCAGGCATTTTATACACAGAACCACCAGCTCAAAACCCCGGCTCCTTAAAGCACCTTTGCCTGCTTTTGCTTACCCCAATCATCTAAACTACCATTTGCATGGCTTCCTTGGTCAAGTACTACTGGTATAGTCGCAAACGCTCACTAGATCTTGTTGAAGTGCAATCAACCCCAAATGGCCGAAACACCCAAACACGCCAAACCCTGGAAACCGCAGCATATCAAAGCTAAAGAAAATCATCGTAATTGTAGTTTTCCGAAGCCACCCTTCATTTTCATTAAATACTGTCCATCTGAAAAGTCAACACGTGCACGGTCACATGACCCAACAGCCTCTGCTCTGCTCCATCTCGCATCACTGAAAAACATCTTCAAGCATCCACTTCCCCTACATATACCTCCATCCATATCCACTGCATAGCCTTTTCAGGATGTCCTCATCGCTCCTTTTGGCTCGTTTTGACCCGTCCCTAACTTACTTGGCCCTGGCGGTCCAGGCCTTGGATGTCCACCAAGTTAAGGTTCAATCGCTCATCTCATCGCAAGATCTGGTCAATGCTCTGTTGAGTCTTGGTAAGAACCAGAAGATCTCGAACTTGCTGTGGGTTTCTTCCGATCTGACGCCTCTTGTAGCATTGTGCCTAACGAACGGTACTATCCAGCTTTACTCGCCGTTGTCTAACTCGATAGTGGCCGAGTTGGAGCATCCATCCAGTCTACAGATCACAGACTTCCACTATTCTGAATTCTCCAAGACAGCATGGTCTTCTGATGTGGGTGGGAACATTTACGAATGGGATTTGCAAAGTCACCAGTTGTTGCTGAAGACGGCGCTTTTCGATTTGCTTGAATTGGCTGAATCTGTGTCCAGAATCTCCTCTGTATCATACGATGGAAAAGCCCACCTTCTTGTGGGTACACAAAACGTTTACTTAATTAATCCATACACAAAGACTGTTGTCAAGACGTTCCATGCCCATGTGCTGCCTATACATACGCTTATGCCAGTGGCTGGCCATCGTGATCTTTTCATTACAGCTGCAGATGGAGACCGTTTCGTCAACGTATATTCTTTCTACAAGACGTTTGCCAAAGCTGTTCTTGTTGCTGAAGCATGCATCGAGCATGTTGGTATTGCTGAGCACGATACCGTGGGGTCGATTTTGGCTGCGATTACGGAATCTGGCTCAGTGGAAGTATTCCAGAACCCACTTAATTTCGATAATTCCAACGTCACTGAGACTCCAGAAAAGTCTAAGAAGAAGAGAAAGCACGCCAAAGCCGTTCTGAGTAGACACTCGGATGCCTTGCTTAAGTTTGGAAGACCCGACGGTGAAATCACCAACCCAGATGACGAAACATTACGAATCAATGCACTTGCACTTTCAAGCAGTATTTTGCATGTTACGTGGCTCGAAAATGCCTCTGTCTCATACTTTGATGCATTGCCATGGTACAACGACGCTGGTTTCACATTTAACGGCACCCAGAAAATCGCCAAGTCCAAGCAGAAAGTCATAGCCACTTCTCATTCCACCGATGGCCACGATGTGGCTGCACCAAAGCTTTACCAAGAATCCCATACTGTCATCACAGAAGGTAACGCTTTCCAGGATGATGTGGACGAAGAGGAAGACGAAGAGAGTTTGGCAGAGAAAATCAACAAGCTCAGTGAAGAGCTGAGACAAGCAGAAAGCAGAGGTAAAAAGAAGCTCAAGCGTCATACTCCCGGTTCCTTGGCCGTTGTGTTATCCCAAGCATTAAAGAACAACGATAACTCGCTCCTTGACAACTCTGTGCTTATAAACAAGGACCCCGAGATTGTCAGAAACACCATTGCCAGATTAGATCCATCGTTGGCTGTGGTTCTTCTAGACAGACTAGCGGAGAGAATCACCAGAAAGCAGTCCCGTCTGGAGCTGTTGTACTTCTGGATCAAGTGGGTGATTGTCATCCACGGCAGTGTTTTGGCATCGATCCCCAACATCAGCAACAAGTTGACCAGTTTGCATTCCATCTTGACCAAGAAGGCCGACACCTTGCCTCGTTTGCTCGAGTTGCAAGGCAGACTCAATCTTTTACAGTCACAAAACAGCTTGAAGAAAGAGATTTTGAACGGTTCCGTGGTCCAAGACGAAGACGGCGAAGGCGAGGTCGAGTATGTGGAAGAGCTTGACGATGCCGAGTACGCTGGACTCATCAGTGACGACGAAGATGAAGACATGGAAGAAATGGACGGTGTGGACGACTACGAAGAAAGCGACGGCGAGCTCGAAAACGGCATCGACCAATAAATAATCACAATCTATAGACAAAACACGAAACGCATCTATCCACTGAGTAGTAGCACCATATATTTTGCACCCATTTAAAGCGCGCGATGCAACCACTTTTCCACCCCACCCAAATGCCTCAAGTCTTATCTTGGAGATACGTGTATTTCTTGACTATAGGGCTCCGATTCATTCTAGCCCTTGCAGACTCGTATATCCACCCGGATGAGCATTTCCAGAGCTTGGAGGTAGCCACGCTGGCCTGGTTGGGGTATAATACCAATATTCCATGGGAGTTCACGTCTTCCAGTCCTGCCAGAAGCTATGCTCCACTTGTGGTGGTTTACTGGCCGGTACTAAAAGTAACCAGTCTTTTAGGGCTTGAGCTGCCGTTGCAAATATGGTATATCTCGAGACTTGTGCTTATGGTGGTTTCATGGATGGTTACAGACTGGTGCTTGTATAAGATGCTTCCTACCAAGCAGGAGAGGATCAAGGCTATTTACTTTACGCTGTCGTCGTACGTGACGTTGGTGTACCAGTCACATTGCTTTTCAAATTCAATTGAGACCGTGTTGGTGGTGGCGGCGGTATATGTGATTAATGAGCTTCGGTTCATTTCTGGCCAGGACGCTTCTCAGCATAGTAAGGCCGAGTTGGTGAAGTTGGCAGCGGCATTGGGCGTGTTGGTGTCGTTTGGCGTGTTTACGAGAATCACATTCCCGGCGTTTTTTGTGCTTCCTTCGTTTTACTTGTTGAAGAGCTTCTGGAGATGGAAAGCGCTTCCTTTCGCTGCTGGTGCTACGTTTGCATTGACGTCAGCAGCGTGTATTATTCTTGATACTGTCATGTTCGGCAGAAGATCTGTTTCTGAGTTGTTTACTGATCCATTGGACTTTGCCCAGTATATTATCACTCCATGGAACAATCTCGCTTACAATACCAACACGTCGAATTTGGCAAAGCACGGTATCCATCCATGGTATACCCATATTGCTGCCAACATGCCGCAGCTTCTTGGCCCAGGCTTGTTGCTTCTTTTCTTTCGCTTTAGAAACAGATACTGGAAAACAACGCCGTTCTTGGCTGCCTTGAGCGGTGTTTTGTTCCTTTCTGTTGTTCCACACCAGGAACTTCGCTTTTTGATTCCAATTGTGCCATTACTATGCTGCTGCTTCGATCTTAGTCTTGGCTACGAGGGCGACGCAAAGGACGTTGCCTCTTGGTCATCAGTTTTGATGGGCCTCTGGCTCATTTTCAACTTAGTCATGGGAGTGCTTATGGGCATCTTCCACCAGGGCGGTGTTGTTCCAGCATTAGACTTTTTGCATACTCAGAAACCACAGGGCGTTACTCAAGTGTGGTGGAGAACATACTCTCCTCCTACGTGGATGTTGGCTGATAAGGAAGCCGAATACCAGTTCATCACTTTAAACACAGAGTTACAAGGGTTCGAACTAGATGAAACGAAAAAGAACTACGTGATAGATGCTATGGGCTCTGATTTTAAAATTGTTGATGCACTCATCAAGAATTTACATAACAAGGTGATGTTGGTGACGCCAGTCGCCTCGTTCTCGTCAAATTTCGACGCCAGTCGGTTTAACAAGACGTGGAGTACACCCTTCCATTTGGATCTAGATCACCTTGATTGGAATGATTCAAGAACATTACAACCAGGATTGGCCATCTATGAGCTTGTCTAACATCTTGGAAATGAAGAAAAATATAGTCGTCATGAGATTACTTGTAGAATTCGAACTTGTCGTGCTCAGTTCCGGTCTTCACCTGTGCAGTGTAAGCCTCCTCCAAGTCGCTCTGTAGAATCATGTATCTGTTCTTTCTAACAGCTCGTAAACCGGCTTCTTGCATAATGGCAGCAATAACGGCACCAGACAATGGGTCGTTACGTACAATCAACGAATCCAAGTCAACCTCTGGGGCCAATGCCATTTTAGATGCAACGGTAGAGAAAATCAAACGTCTTTCTCTTCTGTCCTTCAAGGATGGGAACTCAATCTTTCTGTCCAATCTACCTGGTCTCAACAATGCGGGATCCAAGGTATCAGCTCTGTTGGTGGCCATAATGACCTTCACGTTGGATGTCTGGTCGAAACCATCCATCTGGTTCAACAACTCCAATAAAATTCTTTGAACTTCACGATCAGCACCGGTCTGAGCATCGAATCTCTTGGTGGCGATAGCATCAATCTCATCAATGAAAATGATTGCTGGAGAGTTCTCTCTAGCTAGACGGAAAACGTCTCTGACCATTCTTGGACCTTCACCGAGATACTTTTGAACGAACTCAGAACCGTTGATTCTGATGAAAGATGCAGTTGTGGAGTTGGCCACGGCCTTGACCAACATGGTCTTACCGGTACCTGGAGGACCATAAAGCAACACACCTCTTGGAGGGTCAATACCGATCTGGGAGTATAAATCACCCTGGGTCAAGGGCAATTCCACAGCTTCTCTGATTTCTTGTTTCTGCATGTCCAAACCACCGACATCAGCATAGGTAACGTCGGGTTTCTGGTTGTCGCCAACAATGGAGATCGACGAGTCGGCTTCAGGAGGTAAAATGTCCACAAGGGCATTGGAGTGACGGTGTAAAGCCACCGAAGAAGATGGTTTCAATAATTCTCTATCCAAAGTAGAAAGAATCCTAACAACGTAGTTGGATCCTGTCGTACTGGAAACGATACCTGTGTTTTCATCGATTGGCTCCAAGAACTGGCCAATAACCAAAGGAACCGATCTGATTCTCTTGACTTCTTCTTGAGCACGTACAAGCTCTCTCTTCAAGTGGCGCTGTTCGTCCTTAATGTAATCCTCCTGTAACAACAATAAGTCCAACTCTTTCTCCAACTTCTTTAGCTTCAAGTACACATCCAAGTTATCGTCGGTCATGTGGGCCCAATCTGGCTTGGACCTTGGAAGAGCGTGAGCAGAGACCACTGGCTGTTCTATACCTAGTTCCTCCATGGCAATTGTATATTTGTGGGAAAACTGATAAGGGTATGGGTTGGTGATTAGTAGTACTGATTGATCAACCTGAGTATCTGTGGCGAGATAGTGGTCCATGCACGACCCTTAACTATGGGCCAACCAACCACCACCAATTTTCAGCAGCCATAAAAGAAAGAATAGGAAAACAGCTTTGGCTGTTTTAGTAAAGGCACAAGAGTTATCTTCTTCTCTTTCAGCCACTTTTCAAAGTCTGTTGCACTTCTGCTGGTCCCATTTGGTGGTCCACTTTGGCTGCGAAAAACACCTATAGACAACCAGTACCACTCCACCAACCACCAACCACCAACAAAACACCATATCTCTCTTATAAACTCTAAAACTCACTTTCACTTCAACTTTTCAGCTTCATCTAAACACTAACTCATCTTCTTCCCTCGCCACACCACCTTCTCGGTTGCACTGTGTTACTTGCTCAGACCACCTATGCACCAGCAATACCATACCACCTCTTCACAGCCAGAAGCTTATAAACACTTGAAACCCAAACTCAAAACTTCATTTTCTTCCTGTTTGGGCCAAGGATGCTTGTTCCCGGACCGAGTCATTTATTTCTCCAAAAAGCGCCGCTGTTGCTGGATCAAGTCAACTTTGTGACACCGCCAAACAAACTCTACCTGAGATCCCCACCCAAAGAGTTCCAGGCTCCAAGGCATAGGAAGAGAAATAACGATGGCTACAGTTTGAAAAGAAAAAATAAGCAAATAATGAAAAAAATAAAAATAAAAAAATGAAAACGTAACTTCTTATACTCAAGTATCATCGTCAACCGCATTCCCAGGAATCTCACCAATACACACATTACCAGCAAAATCGCAAACATTCTATCCCACTTCATCCATCCCATTTCACCTCCCTAGGGTAACAAAAACCCAAATACCCAAAACAGCCACCGTCCAACCTTCTTTCAAACCTTCTCCCAAACTCTGCCACTCCCCCATTGGTCCACTGCCATCTTCCCCAGCCCTAAACCCTTCTTCTGTCCTCTAAACCCTCCATTTAACCCATCCTACAGCTGACTACATACACTTGGCGTAGCGGCATGTCTCACTTTGTGGCTCGAGAAGGTTGCTGTGGCCAAGCAGCGGGTGAAATCTGGAAACTGCCTGGTCTGCCAAAAAACAAAAAACCACTTCCCAGGACTCTAGGGGCTCGGCTGGCTATTTGCAGCCATTAGCCTTCGCTTATGCGTACCCTCACTTTTAGCCTCTACTCTTATGCTTCTCTGTGCGTCGAACAATACCTTGACACCTCAGTGCAGAGGGTACAGAGAACCCCATGAATTTCAACATCTATAGTCTGGAAAACCCTTGGGAGGCACCCCGCGTAGTCCTGACTAAGCCTTGACCCTTGAAAAACTTTTTCTCTTTTCTTCTCTTCTTGTGGCAACGGTCTTGCAGACGCAGATAAGACGCAACACAGGAAGCGTAGCAAGGGACCATGAAAAGTACACAAGTACGATTGGCCATCGCAACAAACGCAAAAAGCGAGACTTTGTCCAAGAAAAGAGATCGTCGAGGATACATAAAAGAAAACATAAAGGGCTTTTTTTTGATACGCTTTTTCAAAGTTTCTTCTCATCGGTTACTGGACCTTCTACTTAACCGTCTTCGCGCATCCCATCCCGGCTACATCGGCTTCCCCCCACACACCACTTCTTCACTTTCCACGAAGACCTTCCAACTACTGTACCCACTATGCTTGTCTACCTTGGCCTAGCCGTGGTGGCGGCCATGGCGGGTTTGCTTATCTTGTTGAACTTGATTCCCCATGTCACGGTGCGTTCGTATGGCTGGTTGTCGCTTCGAGGGATATCCATCGAGGTGAACAATACTACTGTCCATGTTGAAAAAGTATCGCTTTGGCTAAACATATGGCGGTCTCAGCTTGAACCGTACCGTATGATCCATGTGGGGCTTTTTAATGTTTCCGTGCACCAGCGTGAAGACCCCAATGGTGAAGATCAGGACAAGGACTCGCTGCCGCCTTCGATCCCTGAAAACTTGGTGTTTAGGATCCCCAGCTGGGCCTATAACTGGTTGCTTAAGAGCCAGTGGATGAACCAGTTTGATATCCATGTCTTCCGTTGCTCCTTGCACCATGACGCTGTGAGTGCAGACTTGTCTGCCCACTTTGACTATATCCGTGTTCACAATCGGTATGACGATAAGACAAGCGACTATAGGTTCAGTTTGTCGATTATGGACGGGTACTTGTTGAACCTGCGCTCGAAATTGTCGCCAAACGAGAATCTGATCAAGATTTTCAAGAACGTCGTGGTGGCTGTTGGCTCTTCCTTCATCTTTTCATGCTGTTCTAAGGAAAGAGGCAAGATGATTGTGGAACTCAGCGATTTCTTCTTGCTGGTTTCCATTTCCAACCCTTACGTCACCCCAATCACTGGTCTTACACCTGCCAAACCTAAAAAACAGCCAAAACAGACTTACGATACCTCTGATAGTATCCCCATGTTGAACCAGTTCGTTAAAGCGTTTGCTATTGCATCTTCAGTGGAGCTTCGTGTGGAAAACCTAAAAGCTGAGTACGAAAACATCACCGTGGACGTCTCCAGTATGCTTGTTTCCCTCAGAAGAGAAAAGTCATACAAACTCAACACCATGGCCGAGGCCTCCACCTACGTCAACTCCCTTCGACTCTACAGTTCCGAAACCAAGTGTGTTGATATTCCTTCCCTCACCTATTTATTCGAATGTGACATGTCTGACTTGTTTAGAGCTTACGAGGAGGGCAACACGGCTAATTTCCACGTCGACATCAACACCAGTCTCGATCTTACCCATCCTTCCTTTGACATTTACTTTGACCAGATCGAGGACCTCATGGCCATGCTTAAACTGTCCAGTTCGAAGTCTAAACATACAGCGGAGCAGGAACAGAAACCTTTCTTGGCTGTGCCATTGAGTAAATACCTCCGAAAGATGAGGAAGACATCGGTTAAACTCGGTATTTCAGACACAAGAGTCAGTCTTCACCTTCCAGCCATGAACCTGACGGAGTTTGTTCGTTCCTCTGTGAATAATGTCACTGCCACTGCAAACATATCGTACTTTTTGACCAAGTACTCTTCTAAAGAGCTTGGAAAGATTCTTATGCTCAACCTTCGTCCTGAAGACCCACCATCCTCGCTTAAAGCATTTGCAAAGTTGAAAAACTTGGTGGTTGACATTGAAGAGAACCAGCTCATTGCTACGAAATTGAACGTCATGGCTGCTTACTGTCTTAATACTCATAGAGTCAAAATTAAGGTGTTCAGTAAGAGATTAGTCACAAGATCTGTCAATGATATGATTTTTTACGTTGTTCGTCGTTTGAGAGATAGTCATATCAAGCACTATAACGATATGTTACAAGATATGATGGAATCTGAGACAACTACCGACCCTGATGCCTCCGAGCACGAATGTGAGGACGAGCCTGAGGTGGAATACGTTGATTTCGTTGATTTACTTCCAGAATGTATTACACTGGCTTCGTTCCGTGCTACTGAATTGCACGGCACCATTATCTGCAAAGATGGTCTTCCCTCTCATAAGGTTGAAGGCGACGAACCTGATCAGGAACTAGATATGGCCGATTTCAGAAGAGGTGTTTCTGTTGTTATCACCGGCTACTACTTGGATTTCGATAGAAGCGATCAGGATTTCTACTCTGGAGCAAAAAAGACCGAAGTGTTTGTCTTGAGTGAATATGCCGCTAAAGTGTTGCACACTAATATTTCAGATGAACAGAATGACCTGGGCAACGAGGTTGAGTTCAGCGATTTACTGAGTATTGAATCTTTCGGTGACGACAGACTTGGAGGCGAAGACTTTTCTCCAAAGCAGCGCCAGGTTTTGGATATCAAGAACATCAAGGTCAGGACCGAACCAGAAACTACAGATAAGTTGATCTTGACGATCCCAGAAGCTGATGGAAAAGCCGATATGTTTCTCATTTGGTGTATTTTCTATGCAAAGAGCTTGCTCAAACAGTTTCAACCCACAGTCAAGGTCGAATACACCAAAGATGATCTTAGGCGTCTTAAAGGTACCCAGAAGAGAATCAAGCTTGATGTTCATGTGGAGTCGGCTGCTATCAAGGTCCTGCTTCCTAACGATACCGACACTTTGCTTGAAATTGAGACTCTTGCCGTCACTGATGCTTCCAACAGCCCTTCGTTTGATCTTAAAAACTTGAGACTTTACGTTGTCCATCCAGCAACCGAAGCCTGGAGCAGATTGGTTTCCATCCACAGAACGCAGTCCTCTTTAGGTGAGCTTCTCCAGGAAACTTGTTCTGTGAAGTCTGCAAGCATTAAGATATATGTTCCATTCAGGTACTTGCTTTACAAGGTCATCGATAATGTCATCACCATGGTCAAGGCCACTAAGCAGATCAAGTTTAACTTCGATAAGTTAAGTAACGGTGACCATGACTTCGAAAGAATCATGCCAGAAGCAAAGCCTGCTATCTTGTTCCCTAAGATCAGATGGTATGCTGACAAATTCAACCTTTCACTTGAAGAAGACATCTTTGAGACTGAACTCGGTCTTATTTACCAGTTAGGACGTGTGGAGCGTGTCTTGAGAGAAAAGAAATGGTTGAAATTCGAAGAAGAAGCCAAGAAGATCAGAGAGAAGGTTCATTCTTCTTCAGTTGAGCTCGACGAGGATGCAGTTCTTGACAAGAGTCGTTTCATCAGAGATAGCAAGGGAAACAAACACCCGCCACGTCATTTCAAGAGTCATTTTGCCAGTACTTTACGCCATGGGTTCAAGCATCTGGATAAGAACAGCCGAACCAATTCTGACTACCTGAAGACAGAAACTGCTGACAATAGTGAAAGTGGTGATACTGAGTTCTCAAAAGAAGAGGCCGAGGCCCAGATCGAAGAGGCAAGACAGAAAGTCATGGAGGAGATTTCAGCTTCTTGGATCACCAACTTCAACAGAATCAAGCGTGCTAAGTATGCCAAGGCCAGACGTATCAAGACGAAGGTGGCCGGCTACGACCGTATCAATCCAATGATGGGTAAGAAGTATAACATCCAGAAGCTGGCTCCTGGATCTCCAATTATGTCGGTCGCTTTCACCAACTTTGACTTGACGCTTAACAAGGCTGATATTGACGACGTCGATGAGTTCTTGAGGGTCTACGGTAAAGGCCAGCCTAAGCTTGACTACTCCATTCTTGTTCCGTTGTACATTCGTCTCAAGGCAGCTTCTTTCCACGTTTCGCTTAAGGATTACCCATTGCCTATGATTAATTTCCCACCTAGCGAGAAACCAGGTGCTACTATTATGGACTTGCTGGGTAATCTTGTGATCAACGAGAAGTTAGTACACCGCAAGGAAGAGATGAGACACATTTATGTCCCATTCACTGCTGCTACGCTCAAGGAGAAGTCCGTGGAGAACTTCTACTCGGTGCATGTTCCACGTACGCTTACTCCAGTGAAGGCCATGTTTGATATTTCTTGTTCTGTTGATACCGAAAGAGCTTGTATCATCAACTGGTCTAAATCGTACCTGGCGGCCATTCTGAGTGCAGCTGGCGCTCTCGATAACTTTACGAAGCCACAGATTGATGATTCCCCAATTGGCTTTTGGGATAAGTTAGCTCTTATCATGCACGGAAAGCTTCGTTTCGATATCCCCAACGAATTGTGCCTTCAAATCAAGAGTTCTTCTGATCCATATGGTGTCATTGGTAAAAGTGCAGGTTACATGTGGTCTTGGAAGCATGGCGTTGAGCTTATGTTCAATTACACGGGAGACCAAAAGGAGTTCATTATACTTGATTCTTATGATTTCGTATTTGGTGTTCCTGATTGCTCTTATGCTCATGGCTTGGCCTGGGGATCTGGAGACGAAATGGAGGAGCAGAACGAAGATCTCGATGACAACACAACTTTCCAGAAGAAGGTGATGAAGTTCTCTTCCGACGAGAAGGTCAGATGGACACTTGGTGTGCTTTTTGAAAGAAACGAAGACCCCAAGTGTCGTGAAGTGAGCGCTGACCATAAGAGAACCGACGAATTCAGACCCCATTACGATGTCTTCGTCACTAGTCCTGATTTCGATTGGCATCCAGATTCTTATGAAGGTTTCAGATCTGACTACTTGCACTTGGCTTTAGGTGTGAAGTCGGTGTCGAAGAAGGGCAACAGTCATAATACCGCTTACTTGACTCCTGTGGCTTTTGCATACTTCTTCTATTGGTTCCTGTCCATGTCGGACGTTGTTTCCATGCCTGTTCGTCAAGGTAAGCTATTCAACCAAACGGCTCCCGAGACCTCTGTCAAAATGAGTCTTCATTTGGTGACATTCAAGTACCAGCTTATTTTGGAACCTCTTACCGTCAGTCACATGTACACCACTTATGAAAATCTGGAGGACGGTCCTCGTGTTGTTGTCACTGGACTCAAGGGTAAGAGTGACAAGTGCCATATTGATTTGCATTCGAGAAAGGAAGTCGTCAGGTATGTTAACGAGAAGTTGGGCATTGACAAGAAGGTGCATACCATGAAGCTCCATCTAGGAGAAGTCACCGTCACCAATGCCGATATCAGAGCTATAAAGGCCACTTTCAAGGACCCTTCAGTCCGTGGTCATATCATTGCATACTACACGAACCAGTTGGAGGAGCCCTTGGATGTTGAAAAGTACCACGAAGAGCTTGCCAAGAGAATGCGTACACTTAGGTCTTCCAGCTGGACTCGTACCATTCAATGTGATCCAGAAGACTTTGGTTGGCTTGATCAAGATGACTTTGTGGAGCTCGAGTCAAGAGAAGAACTTTCTCCGGATCCTACTATTGTTGTTGTTCCTTTCTTCCATACTCCAAGGTTCACCTATTTCAGAGAATTCACTTTGGAAAGAGAGCCACACAAGTATCCATTTGGCCACGAACCTTCCCATACATGTTACATTGGCGGTGAGAGCCCTGATAAGGTTCAGGCCGACTTGTTGAAGCAAAGAGCTTCTGTTTTGAAGAATGAGATCAAGGGCCATCAAGAAGAACTTAAGAAAATGCAGAAGGCTGGTGAGACCAATCCAGTCGACAGAGAGCGTCTTGAGAAGGAGATTGCTGAAGGTGAACATAGAATGGTTGTTGTTCACGATATCTTCCAGGACTGTGCTGATTCAGCTGGCGACGATTTGTTTGATCAAGAGAAAGAAGAGCTTGGAGAAGAAGCCGAGGAGAAAGAAGAGGACAGAAATGAAGAGAACGAGGAGGCCGAAGATGATGTGGAGGAATTTCCAGGGAAAGAAGAAGAAGAAGAGAGGAATGGTGAAGCCGAGCCAGAAGATTTCTTTGTTGATCCTAGCGAGATGTTAAGACGGAAGTCCAACACCCAATCCTTATACTCAGGCTTCAAGTCCATGGACCAAGCTCAAGAGATCACTGCCGAGGATTCCGAACTCAGTCAGTTCCACAACCGTTTCTTGTTCCACAATGTTCGTTTGAAATGGAACAACAAGGTCAGAAACCTCGTTACTGGATACATGTTTTTGATTGGAGCCAGACGTACCGAGACTCTCATGATGTCGAAGAAGGCAGTTGACCTTATTGAAAACATTGCTGAACAAAACCGTGAAAAGGACAACGAGTCCAAGAAGTCTGTCAATCCTGAAGATGAAGCGTTCAAGCTGACATTCCAGAACTCGGGAGATGTTATTCAAGACTTTGAAGAGTACCTTAATGAATTGTCTTCAGACCAACACGAAATGGAATACAAGTTTCTCATTAAGTTCATTCGTCCTCAGATCCAGCTTGAAAGTGAAATTGATCCAAATTCTTCTATGGCCGTGACATCGCAAGACATTGAAATGCGTATTCTTTCTGAAAACATTGCTGGTACAGACGATGTCATGAAGGATAGTAATTCAGATGAAGTGAACGCTGTTGAGTCTCGTCACGGTGTGCTTTTCAGAGATATGCAAGCTTTCGTTTTCCATAAAGATAACTTCACTGAAGAGTACGACAGTCCTTATGGAGACTTATCCAAGAAGAAGGCATGGCCCCCATGGGTGGACTACGAAGCATGTATGAACTCTACATGGCTTAAGGATGATCTTGTGGTTGAAAGGACATCTATGGCGTTGATTGTCAAGAAGCCTAACTTCTTGTCGATGGAGTACAATACGAATTTGCATGCGGACGAGCTTACCGTCCACTTGGCTAAGGTTGTGGTCAACGCTACTTCTGAACAGTACTCGTCTGTGTACTACATTTTGCTCAACCTTCTTTTGGATAGCAAGTCTGCTAAGGAACAGCTTCACCAGAGACTTGACCAGATTATTGAGCTTTCTGGTTTGGAAGAAACTGATGGTTTGGCTGACAGAGTGAAGCTTCTTCAAAACAATATCCACGTGTGTCAGACGATTCTTCTTTCTTTGACCGATCACAAGCTAAGCAAGGAGGAGGTGAAGGGTAAGGCTCATGTTGAAATGGAGATGGATAAGATGTTTGTTCAGCTTGCCATTATCACCCATTCGCTTAGGTCTGCATCATCTCAGAATAAGGGTAATGGCGGTGTTGGAAAGTACTGGAACATCTATGCTGACCAGGTTATCTGGCATCTTTTCGAGAAACCTAATAAACCATTGGTTGATTTCGCTCTTGCTCCTTCCAAGTTCCAGCGTGTGGATATGGTTGATGGTTCTAATACCAACCGTGTGGAGATCTCCATGATGCAAGGTTTCAACTTACGTCAAAACGCTTTTTACCCTGACATGATGCTGCCTTTGGTTGACCATCCATCTTACAAGAAGAACTCGCCAGTTATTGAGATGACCTGGAAGATGCTTAGTCGTGTGGGAGGAATCAGAATTATGAAAAACGCCAGATTGAAATGTCAGCTGGCCAGTGTTCAGCTTGACTTCGATACTGCCCAGTTGCTTCTTGATTATCTCTTCCCTCTGGACCAGAAACATGCTGAACATGGCAAGCCTGGAACCAGCAATGGTAAGGAAGAGCAAAACAGTGACGAAAGTACCAGAGAAGGAAGTGACGATGTTAGTGAAGATAAGGCTGAATCAGAAGTGGAGCTGGATGACGAGGAAAGCAGCAGCAGTGGTAAGTCGAGGTCTATGAGCAGCTCGATCAATCCATTCAGAAAGATGATTGCCAGAAGAACAGGAAATGGAACTCCAACCAGCAGTACTCCAAGCTCGCCAAAGTCGCCAAAGTCGTCAAAGAGTCCAACCAGAAGCTCTATGGAAGATACGAGCAGTGTGGATTCATCATCTCGCTTGTCTTCTTCCGACCTTCCTTCGCTTAACTCTGACACGAGAAGGGCACTTGGCATGAAGAAGAAGACTGACCAGAAGGACGAAACTGCCGACGACCTTTCCATTATCATGCAGCGTTCCTCCAAATTCTTTGTCATTGACGAGATTGAGCTTGAACCTATTAAGCTTCGGATCAGTTTCAAAGCTCCTAAACATCTTAACATTATTGACGTTCACAAGCTCTTGCTTTCCATTCCAAAGTTGCATTACGAGTATAAGACTTGGTCTGGTGAGGACTTTGTTCTCCAGTTGAAGAAGGAAGTGATCCGTATTATCTTGTCTCATACTGGTAAGATTATCGGTAACAAGTTCAAGCATAGGGACAGAAAGGTGAACAGACGTCCACTCAAGCAGATCAGAGACTTCACGAAATACGTTTCGATTGAAGAATTGCAAGAAGAGGAAGGTGAAAATGGGTTAACTGAACAGCCATCAATCCGGAGCAATTCGACTACAAGGCTATCTGCAATTGTTTCAGAGCAATCTAGGAAGAGCTCCCCGTCCCGTTCAAAGTCACCACAATAACCAGATAAACGATATAACATGTATTTATAGGTCTTCATTGGAAGACAAAAGAATAGACAATTATGATAAGTTCATTGTATTCGCTGGTGGAATGGTACAAGTATTTGCACTACAGCTTGCCCAGATCATAATATGTGTTCAAGGTTTGGTAGAAAATCGAACGAATGAATGTCTACGAAGGAGGATCTGGTATATCTGGTACAAGTGTATCTCTTAGAATCGAGAGAAAATACGAAGTAAACATTTCGATGACAACCCATGGAACCCATTGAGTCCAGCAATGTATGTATTAAAGCTACAGAATAGAACGTCCTTAGCCTTTCAGCTAAGTAAACCTCTAACAATCCAAAATGCTTATCAATACCCAAATACGGCCATCAAGAAACAGGGAAATATTATTTAACACAGTCCAGATAAAGCGAAGCACTTATAGTATTGGACTTTCCTATCCTTGTCCTCAGCCTTAACAAGCCTCATATATAAGTATCACCCAACAGAACAACCAATTAACTAAAAAGCTGATCTTAAATGACCTTCCCAAGTGCTTAGTAGCCCTAATTCCAATAAAACAAGTCCCATTCGCCAATACCTAGTGTTGTCCACTTCGTCACTGCCTCTTACCCCAGTTTGCAGCCATTCTACAACCTCTACACTCTCACCAACTAACCACCACTGTTCCACGCTCAACACTACCCAAACTCCCCAAAACCTCCTCAAACACACCAACACCCAAAACTCACACATTACCACAAAAACCTTCCACCGTCCCTTCGTCACACCTGTTCTCTACTTTTGTACCTCTTCTCTCGCAGCCAGTACTCACCAAACCCCCACCATTTCACGACACAGCCTTGTAAACAAGAAAATAAAAATACCACCAGAATCTACAAAACCAGTAGAATTCAAATATATACATCCTTCTACCCATATATGTCTTGGGGCTGGGGAGGTGGACCCTGGTGGGTTGCCAAGCACCAGGTGCACCCTTGCACCACACGCTTCAAGGGCATGCAGCCGATTATCAGTCCAACCTAAATATACCCTTAGTCACCGCTTCCAATTGCCCACAGCAAAACCATAAAAGATGGCTTTTTTTGAGGCCCTCAAAGACAAGGCCGTCAACACGTTCAACCAGGTGCTCGACAGGGCCCCGGCAAACGGTCTTTCCAAAGATGAGGCCTTTTGCAGAGAACATAACCTTCCAGACGGAGAGGTGGTGCTTGATGAGCTGGCGGTGGAGATCAGTTGCAAGCCTGAAAACTCTAGGGAAGCTTATAATGTGCTGTATCCACAGGGAAGGATTTACTTGACCCAGCATTACCTTGTGTTTCGGGATGTGTTTGATAGGAGGAACTGTTCGTTTGTTATTCACCTTAGTACGGTGAAGAAGGTGGAAAGGCTTCCTACGAGTTCGTATGGGTTTGCATTGTCGCTTGCTACGCATAGCAGGATCAATATTAAGATTTACTTGGTGGGGTTGCGTTCGGAAAGTGAACGGTTCTCGTCCCAGTTGAAGATGTCCCTTAAGAAGAACTTGCCAAATGTCAAGAAGCTTCCTCCGTTTATCCAGACATGCTACTCAGAGTACCTTTTGGCGAAGAATAAGGTTAGTAATGAAAAAGTGGAACATATGCCACCGGGCGGTTTGGGCGTGAAATTCAAGTTTCCCGGTGACGCCAGAGCTAATAGAGATAAGACCAAGATGAAGTTGTGGTTTGACTTGTTCCGCGTGGACGGCCGCAACTTGTCGCTTATCAAGACGCCAATGTTCTATAAACTTGTCCGTGTGGGTCTCCCGAACAGACTTAGAGGCGAGATCTGGGAATTGTGCTGTGGTTCTATTTACCTTAGGCTTGAACATACCGATGAGTATGAGAAGCTTCTTAAAGATAACGAGGGGAAGAAATCTGTTGCAATTGAGGAGATTCAAAAGGATTTGAACCGTTCGTTGCCTGAGTACGCTGCGTACCAGGATAAGGAAGGTATTGACAGGTTGCGTAGAGTGCTTACCGCTTACTCATGGAAGAACCCGGATATTGGCTACTGCCAGGCCATGAACATCGTGGTGGCGGCTTTGCTTATCTATATGTCTGAAGAGCAAGCTTTCTGGTGTCTCAATGTTTTGATCGACCGTGTTGTGCCAGGTTACTACTCGAGAACCATGTATGGTACATTGCTTGACCAGAGAGTGTTTGAATCGCTTGTGGAGAACTCTATGCCTGTTCTCTGGAACCATATTTCCAAGTACGATATCCAGCTTTCTGTCATCTCCCTTCCATGGTTCCTTTCATTGTACTTGACATCCATGCCGTTGGTATTTGCATTCCGTATCCTTGACGTGTTCTTCCTTCAAGGCCCCAAGACGCTCTTTCAGGTTGCATTGGCTATTCTTAAGCTCAATGGCGAGGAACTCTTGAAAGCAGAAGATGACGGTACCTTCGTTTCCATCCTCAAAGAGTACTTCCTAACCTTGGACCAGTCTGCTCATCCTACCTCCACAAACCCAAAGTTTAATCAGGTCACAAAGTTCCAAGAATTGATGGTCACCGCTTTCAAGGAGTTTTCTGTCATTAATGAAGAGGTTATTGAAAGACACAGAGCCAAGCATAGAAACACCATCTTCCTGAGCATCACCACATTCGTCAAGAGAACAGAGTTAAGAAACTTACCCAAGACATCCAACTTGACTCAGTCAGACATCTCGTTACTATACGATAGATTCTATTCAATTGTTACCTCCACCATCACTGTTGGTACAGGCTCCTCTGAAATGCATTTTGATGCATTCAAAATATTCATGCAGCAAATCTGTGACTGGGTAGAATCAGAACCTACTGAAGACGCGGCCAAGCAGGAGGCATTCTTGAAGAGGCTTTTCATCAAGTGGGATTCAAAATGTGAAGGTTCACTCTCATTGGCTGACTTAGTTGTTGGCTTGAACAAACTCTTAGAGCCCGATTTGCTTACATCCATATCAAACTTCTTCTCGCTCTACAGTGACGAAGACAAGGTTGACCGTGAGGGTATCTTGACCATTTCTGAAGATTTGCTTTACATTACATCGCCATGGAAGAAGGGTCTTCTCCTAGATTCGCTCACAGAAACAGCGATTGAGAATGCCATCGCTGACGAGCTCTACAAGAAACAAAAGGAGATGGGTAATCCAAACGGCGAAGGTATTCAAATACCACAAACTTTGACATTGACAAGCAAAGGATCGAGAATATGCAGCTCGAAAGATACTTATCTGCTGCCAGCACATTTATTCAAAGAGCATTTGAGTATGCTCAACCGGTCGAAGATGAAGAATTGCTCATTGAGGAACTCAAGATTGATACTACAATCACGAGCAATGCCGCCTTGAACCCCAATACTCCTGTTTACCTTAACTTGCCTACATTTAGAATGGTGGTGTTAGCCGATGAAACTTATGAACTTTTCTTCAGCGATACATTCCGTGGTTCTTTCCATATTGACAAGCCTCTTGATTCCAAGGCCAACACTATGAGAAACTTGAGAGATATGTTCGATGGTATTCTTGCCGATGGCCGTGAGGTTGCTAAGAAGGTGCGTCGTCGCATGGATTCTGCTGCCACTCCTCCTCATCACAGTGACGCTTCATCTCTTAAATCTGGTAAATCATCGAAAGTCCAAGAGGAAGAAGAGGAGAGAGATGATGATTTTGGTGTTATTGATATTGACGAACACGACAAGAACCTCGTGCTTGGAGCCGAAGCTCAAGTTATGGTTGGCTCAGTCAACAACACCAGAGAGGAAGAGGATCGTATTGCATCGCTTAAGAAAGCTGAAGCGGCGGAGAATCGTAAAAAGCAAAATAATGACGGAAATCTCATTGAATTTGAGACATGATACCACCTTACGAAAAGAGAGAAAAAAAAAAATAGATATTTGATTAAACGTACGATTAAATGGAATCTAGAGTGTGTAGGAATTAAATGGTCATCTAGTTCTTTCCGAATAATTTCTTCAAGAACTTCTTCTTCTTTTTTGGTTTCTTTTCTTCCAAAGCTGGATCCACCTTGGGTTCTCTCAACGTAGTAATAGGTCCTTCTTGAACAGGAGCTTGCTCCTCCAGATCACGGAATCTAGAACGGAAACCACCACCTTGAGCTGGCTTGACATTGTCTTCCTCATCAGAATCAGCAATTCTAGATCTGAAGCCCTTGAAACCTCCGCCTCTTTGCTCGTGAGAGCGAGCAGCAGGTTGCTGCTGCTGTGGGGGCTGTTGTTGTTGCTTTTGCTGTTGCTCGAGTTGAACAATTTGCTGTGCTTGTTGCTGTGCTTGTTGTTGAATATTGGCATGAGCTGTGGTAGCAGCGGCAGCGGTGAGACCGCCCTGCTGAGCTCCTTGCTGACCAGCATCATGTCTGAGCGTAAAGCGATGTTTACCGTTTCTTTGTGGTGGCTGGTGGGCAGTATTGTTCTCAGCCTTGCCTTCTTCTGAACCCTTGTTGAAAGATGACTCTCTCTTCAATGGATGGGCAGTAGAAGCTGGTCTGTTGTTAGCTTTAGCAAACAATTCAGCAGCCTTAGCCTTAGCAGGAGAGTGGTAGTTTGGACCGTTGTATGGATGAGGAGGAAGACCCTGAGGCTGCGAACTCTTGAAAGTACGGCTGCTCATACCACCTCCAGTTGACTGGCGATTGTATGATGCATCAGAGGTTGTTCTAGGTCTGAGGGAACGGTCAGAAAGACCACCCTGCTGTTGCTGCTGTTGTTGGTGATGCTGTTGATGTTGTGGAGGGTGCTGAGTCTTTCTAAGCGTCGTAGCAGAGAGCTTTTGAGCATGCACTGGGGAACGAGGAGGACCAGGATGAGCATGATGCTGTGGACTGAGAGAGTCGTTTTCATTAAGCTGGCCAGATGACAACTTGGAATTGAGTCTTGTGTTCTCGGCAGTTGTCAATGACAAGTAAGCTTGTTGGGCTGGACTGACATTGGCATTGGAGTTAGAGTTGTTGTTCAAGGCATAGGTGGATCTGGAGTTCTTCATAGCTGACTTGATAGGTCTAGAGTCGCTGCTGCTACCACTCTTGATGGAAGAAGCCAAACCAGCAGCATTAGGTGGGTGGGCAAGAGTGTCAACTTGTGGCTCATCCTGGATGATCTCTGGAGTTGGATCAAACTTAGGAGTAGTAGATTCAGAAATCGAATCAACATCATTAGGCAAGGCAATGCTATCTTTACCATTGCCATTGAGTCTAGACTTGACTTGCTGTGCAAGGGTTGGCGATTCAGTCTCATTTGGAACTTCAACAATACCAAATTCGTCTTCCTCAGATCCGCCAGCGGCGCCCAAGGCAGCATAGTTCTGGATAACATCATCAGTATCAATTTCAGCAGCAGTAACCGTCACAGCGTGGGTGACACTGGCGTCATCAAGGGAGTAAGTGCTGGTGACATCTTCCTCTTGATCACCAATGGAAGTAGGCAACTTCTCAGGGTTCTTGCCAGCCTTCTTCTGCTCAAACTCGTCAACAGCAAATGGAACAGGCTCAATAGGCACCTCCTCATCGTCAGTGGACTGGGCCTGTGGAGCGTCGTCATTAGCCTGAGGCTGTGGAGTATCATCAGGAAGATCATTAAGGGTAGGAGCTTGAGGCTTAACAGGATGAGGAGCATCAAGGGTAGTGGAAATGCTAGTAGGAACGCTTTCCACTGGGTGAGGAGAGGTCTGGCGGGAAGGCAGACGAGAGTAAGATTCCTCTTCCTCACGAAGTCTCTCAAGCTCAGCCCTGTGCTTTTCATTCTGAAGTCTCAATTGCTTAAGTTGCTCATACTCCTTACGCTGGGACTCCAACTTGGCAGCCAATTGTCTCTCTTCATCAATCTGGCGTTGCAATTCAGCAGCAGCCTTGGATTGCTCAGAAGGCTCCAATTCAGCGCTTTCATCAATCTTAGAAGCAGCCAAAGTGGATCTCTTCGAAGTCACTCTCTTCTGGCCAGTGTTCTGAGCAGTAAGAGAGCCTGATCTAGAAGGCGATTTAGGAATCCGGGAAAGCAGGTTATTCCTCGAACTAAGCAGACCAGCACGGTTAAGCGAAAGACCCGAACGCATAGAGTTCGACCGGGCAATGGCCTGTTTCATAGAAGTCTCGGGCACCTCCACCACCTGAATACCATTAGGCGTAGGCACATACTTCTTGACCATCTTGACCTGTTGCTGTGGAGGCAGGTGAGAAAGCTTCAAGTCCCGAAGCTGGGCCCGGTTGCTATAGTGGGCGTCAGCGTCCCTGCCCATCTCTTCAATCTGGGAATCAGTAAAGCTATCATCCACAGAATACTCCACCCTAGGGGTAAAGCTATGTCTGTCACTCGACGTCGAGCCCCTTCTATAATGATTTGGGGTGCTTGTCGACCGAATAGAGTTACTTTGCAACGAAGGCGATCTCTTCAAAAGACTGCCCAGAGAGCCAATGGCAGGAGGTTTCTGGTGAATAGCGTTATTCTGGGCCGGAGGCAGTTTCTTGCCAATAGTCAACGCCGCCGCCATGGCGCCATTGTCTGGATGGTGAGTCGAGGCCAGGTACCCGACCCCAGTATAAGCGACAGAGTTTCTGGATCTTCTTTTACCGAACATTGGGGATGGGAGGTTAAGAAGGCAGAAGTAGTAGGGTTGCGACTAAGAAGTAGCAATGTCTCATATATAGCCCGGGTAGCAAAAGGTTGCGGTGCGCGCACGACCAGTGGTGGAACCCCCAGGCCCTACAAACAGCAATCCCAGGGCGTTGAAGGATCCAGGTTTTGTGATTATTTTGGGAAAAAGGTAAAAGGCAGTAAAGCAGCCAGTATCTGGCTGCCTTGGACATCTTCTGACTCTGTGACGCCGCATTGACGTAACGAAGGTTTGTAGTGCAGGGAAGGCGCAGTGCCGAGTAGCCGGTTACAGGAGGTTTGTGGAAGGTTGAGGTGAATTTTGTGATTTGGAGGTGGAGGAGGGAGGAAAAGTTGATTTTGGGATTCAGTGGGGGAAGGCGGTTTTATTGGTACCGTTTTTATTGGATTTCGTTGGCTGGTGGGCGAAATGAATGGGGGTTGCTGAGGTAAGATGTGGCTAGTGAAGACTGGTGAATGGCTGCGAAAAACAGGATTCCCATGCGGGCTGAGACATTGACAGGAAGGGGAAGAGGGTGGAAGTGAAAGGGAGGGGGAGGAAAGGGGTGGAAGTTGGGAAGATTTGGGAATATAGTGGAGAGGAGGGACTTGGGGGATTTGGTTTGAGATCTGGGGCTTTGGTGGTGGAGGTGTTGGCTCTGGAGGGGGATATTAATAGATACGTTGATGGGTGTTTGGTGATGGGCGTGAATATGCGTGGTTTTGAAGAACGCGTCGTGAATGGACGGGAGTTCTATCTGGTGGGAGTGGCATTTGGTGGGAGCTAAGTGGTTGGGGTTGGGGTGAAAGGGGTATGGTTTAGGTTGGTGATGTTAAGCGGGATGGATATAGAGGAGTAGGTTTGGTAGAGAAGGGGGAGTTGTGGTCTACTGGAGTCCGTGAGAAGAAATGTGACATTGTCTGAACGTTCATACACTATACTTTTTGATAGCAGGATGATTGGAGGCCGTCAGGAGGAAGATCTCAGGTTACTACTTTGACGACTTCATCGTGTTATTTGATAGACCCTTGGAACTATGTACATCAAGGGGATCACGCGTAGAGAAATACCGAAAGACGCTATCCTTGGGTAATTGTCTGTTCTTCTGGAGCTTTCATCCATCCCTGGAGCTTTCGTTTCGGGCATGGAAACATGGTAGTGTCTCTTGTAGATCGCTAGCAGGAACAGATATCTTGCACCACAGCATAAAGTCGAGTGTTTAAAGTTCAGTCATTCAAATTCGCCGTTTAAGCAAAAAACTGTCGATTCTTGGATCTGGAGACTGAAGTAGGGCATCTATGGCACGCCATGTTATACTTAATGACCTGTTCCTGCTGGACAAACAGCAAGTCCCCAGGGTAGCCTCACCGATAGTACTATCGCTTCTATAAGGACCCTGTGGTGGACTCTGTCCCATGTACAACCCCGTAGTCTACCGACTGCGCTGGCATATGGACTATACTCTTCCAAGCCCAGTATATCAGCCATCACCCATCAACCATCAACCTTACCACCATCAACCCCGATAAGCCCACCTGGTTGCTCACCCACATCCTCAACGCACAGCATACCTCCTGGCCTGGTCGAGCCCTAGCAATCTGTACAACCACAACCCCGTGGCCTGGCCACTGGCCACCACCAACCGAAGCATTGGCCTCACTGTAAGCAAAAAGCCACTCCACATGAACCCCTGAATAAGCGGCATAAGTATCTGGTCCTTGATAACTGCAAATATAACAATTCCAGGCGTGATAGGTCCTATAGGTTTGAGATCAGAAACCTTATCTTCAGCATCCTCGTCGTCCACGTTCTCAAGCTCCTTGTCAGACAATGGCGCCACTTCAGCACCAGCATAGGCGTGAAGCGAACGCAAGAACGACTGTTCAAAACGTAAATCTGGAATTGGGATCTTGGGTGGTCTGCTCATGGAAGAATGAAGAGTGTTGATAGTATACGACTGAAGATGAGTTGAGTGCGAGTGCGTATATAGTAAGTGGGGAGGCAGTCAGTGGAAGGAAGAAAGGGCCAGAAATAGATATTAAAATGGTGGTAGGAGTTGGGAGGGTGGTAGGAGGAGGTGAGGTTGGGTTTACTTGGATTTGGGGTTTATTTGGGTTTGTGGTGGTGGATATGCTGGCTGCTTCTAATGTAGTACTACTGTTTGCAGCCATTAATGGGGAGTGTTGGATGGAGGTTAGTAAAAACCATGAGTCCACATGGAAGTTGGTAAAGGATAATGAAACCTTTGTTTATTATCAAAGAGCAAAACTGCCATTGATGATAATTATCGAATAGTTAGGATTTTGATGTGGATAGTGCTACACTATAGGTACTACTGTCACTTATACTAGGTAGATGAGGACCATAAGTATTTCCAGAACCAACCTAATTATACACCCAAAAGTTACATTTCTCCCTTTTACTGACCACAACTATAGCAGAACCACCTTCCATAACCTTCCTCCTAGTCTTCTTCTCCTGGTAACTATCCATCACTAGCTCGTCTATGGGTCCATTCAATGGCTGCGAAAACCATATACTGGGGTCTTCCCAACTTTCCACCACCACCAACGAGAACCAACATAAACATACTTCCCTGGACCCCCTAACCCTCAGTAAACACCCCCTGCCACTCTTCTTCCTTTCTTTATCCATTTTTCAGTGAAAGCTGGGGACCTTCTGCCAACACCCGTGCACCATACCAACCACATCAAACAAATCTTCACCGACAGTTCACCTCATCCACCTGCCCTTCTTCCTTCACAGCTAAATCACCACATCATGGAAGTAGACTCCGAAGATCAAGGTCCCAGGGTCACCATCAGACAAACGGAGAGGGACCACGTGGATTTCATCCTCAAGGGCGTGGATCTCGCCGCAGCCAACTCGTTACGAAGAACCATGTTGGCTGAATTCCAACGCTAGCTATTGATATCGTGGAAATCGACGTCAACACGTCGGTGCTTGCGGATGAGTTTTTGACCCACCGTTTGGTTTGATCCCGCTTGTGTCTGAAGGGATCGAGAACTTGTCTTACTCCAGAGATTGTACTTGTGATCAGTACTGTCCCAACTGCTCAGTCAAACTTGAGCTCACAGCGAAATGTGACAGCGACTCGACCATGAACGTGTATGCTTCTGATTTGGCCAAGTTTCACAACGGTTCCAGGCTTGGTGATCCGGTTATTAGAGACCCTGCTCAGAGAGGTCCTCTTATTTGTAAGTTGAGAAAGCACCAGGAGCTTCGTCTTACATGTATTGCCAAGAAGGGTATAGCAAAAGAACACGCCAAGTGGTCTCCATGTTCGGCCGTTGGTTTCGAATACGATCCTTGGAACAAGTTGAAACACACAGACTACTGGTTTGAAGAGGATGCCGATGCCGAGTGGCCCAAGCTGGCAAACTGCGAGTGGGAAGAAGCTCCAGATCCAGAGGCTCCGTTCGACTATAAAGCCAAACCGGCCAACTTCTACGTGGATGTCGAAACCGTGGGTAATTTACCACCTAACGAGGTGGTGGTGAGAAGTATAGAGGTGTTGCAGTTGAAGCTCGCTGGTATTGCCGTGGAGCTCAATAAGGACACAGTCGAAGCCAACAGCGCTGCTGCTGGCGGCTTCACTACATACGGGCGTTCTCCGGGCGGCGGTGCTGGCAACTCTCCTGCAAATGGGTATGCCTACGGTGAAGGCTTCGGCAATCTGGGTTGGTAAAAACACTGTATAAAAAAAATGTAATATAGCCTTGAGAGGAGTTGCGGGCGTAGTTTATACGTTTTTGTTCCATTCAATCACTTCAGAAAGACTCACTAGCGTGCCGCCAAAAACGTCCAATGACGATCCATACGTAAGATCGACCTTCCCTTGACTGAGTTCATTAACAAGAGCCAAATCCAGCGCCAGCTTGGCTCCTCCAGCGTACGTAACCTTCCCTTCAAACCCTGTAGGGCACCATTTACCTAAATTCTCCACCAACTCAGTATCAATGCCCTTACAGAGACCCTCCACGTCAGCAGCATGAATCAAAAACTCGTCACAGTACTGTCCTAGTATCTCAAAAAGACTATCGTCCAATTTGCACTTCGTAATGGTCTGCCACTTATTCGTAGCCACATACCACTCCACCTGGCCATCTTCAATAACCCTCCGACAACTCACGTCCACCACAAGCTTTTCCTTCCCGACTTTAGCAGAAAGCTCAATCAACCTCTCCATATCAACATTATACTCGCCAGACTCGTTTTTCGTGAAAAGCCAGCTTGTCACTATCACATGGCTAGCACCTTTACCAAGCCAGTCCTGAGCATTATCAATGGTGATTCCACCGCCCACTTGAAGATTACCTGGCCATGTAGAGCATGCCAACGCAGCAGCTTCGTCATTGGCTGGATTCGTCCCGAGCTTAATCACATGGCATCCATGGACGTTATGGTCCTTATACAACTGGGCATAGTAAGATGAAGGTTTCGTAGAGACAAAGTTCTCGTCTGCCTTATCCGAAGGCAAAACGTCGTCTTTAGTTAACGTGCCACCCACAATCTGTTTCACCTGGCCTGCATGGATATCAATGCATCCTCTGAACCTTGTCATGGTTAGTTGGTGATAGTAGTTTGTATAGTATGTAGATGAGCATCGCGAAAAGTAGTAGTAGTAACTACCACTGGTTTATCTTAGATATGGGTGATGACGAGTATATGAAGGCGTTGGAGATCCAACGAAGGAACTTTGAGATGCAGTTTGGCAACCTTGAAGATATGGGGTTTGTGGATAAGTCCAAGGCTGAGGCACTGAGTTCAGAGGAGGAAGTGGAGGACGATGAGGGAGATGAGGATGATGAAGTGGACGAGGAGGAGGCTTCAGAAAGTGAAGAAAATGGGTCTCTGTCGGAGTCTGAGCTGGAAGAACTGGACTCAGAGGAGGAAGTTGCTCCTAAAGTGGTCAGGTTGGACGCTGACTCTCATATACCCACACAGGCATCTAGAGAAGACAAGAAGCTCTTAAGGAGAGGCAGAGCGCCTACGCTAGCTGAACTACAGAAAAGAAAGGCAGAACAGGAGAAGCTTACGAAGAAACAGCAGGCGCAAGCTGCCAAGGAAGACTCAGAGAACTTGGATAACGACCTTAAGCTCCAACGACTCCTCAGTGAATCGCATATCTTAGCACATAACATGGAGCATCTGGGAGCTGATTTGACGATGCAAACGATAGACTATGAAGCCCCTGTGGGTAACGCCAGAAGACGTATTCTCGACCAGCGTATACGTGCAGCTTCAGCTACCAACTCGCGTACTAAGGGTCTTCCTGAGAAGCTTGAAAAGATGCCTATGAAATTAAGAAAAGGCATTATCAATGCTCGTGAAAGAAGAGTCGCTGACTACGAGAAAGAGGCCCGCGAGGCTGGAATTGTTCTTTCGAAGGTCAAGAAGGGCCAGCTTCGAGACTTGGAGCTGGGTAAAGGTGCTACCGCTTCCAGCGACCGTTTGGGTGTGGGTAAGAAACAGAAGAACCGTGTGAGAGACCGTGGATTGAAGATTAATTCTATTGGTAAGTCTACGAGAAACGGGTTGCGGATCTCTCGGGATGAGATCAGTAGGATCAATAACGGTGGAAAGAGAAGACGGTAGGCTTCAGGTGCTAGTGGAAGAAGCACAAAATGTACATTAGATATAGAAGTGAATGCATAGGAAAACGTGGAGGTGATTTCGAATTACCCTTTTTATCTTTGCCTATTCCATCTACACAAGTATATTTGTTGGAATAGCTATTAGCCTAGCACTGGAAGACTCAGTCCTAGCCTACAGCCATTTTGGTATCAGCAAATAGGAACTCCTCATATTATCTAAGAATTAGAAGCTTAAGCTGGGGTATCTAAATCTCAGCTGTCGTTGCTAATTAGTAGTTGTCCTGAACTCACTTAACAACCGTCATATTGATGTGGACCCTTCTGTTGAAGTGATACTATTTTTATCAAGAATTTTACCTCTCGTAGGCTATACATTTTTTTTCCTTTGTTTACCCTAAAGGTCGTTATCGAACAGCAGTATCGTTACCTACCAAGTATCGGTAAGCATCAGTTCCATCCACTGTCTCCACCAACAACCTTCAAAGCAAACGAAAAACCACGAACAGCTCACCAACACTATTTTTGTCTCTTCCGCCAAAACTCCCTTTTCCTCCTCTTTTTGTAAACCCAATCATCCATTACCATCCCTACCACTCACTGTCTCACTGTACCTCTCTCCACCCTTCACCACTCACCAGTAACCAACAACCCTCCGCCAAATACCCACCCTCTCCAAAAAACAACCAAAAATCAACCCAAAGCACCATTTCGATTATCCCCAAGCATTCCACCACCCTTCTTTTTTCCACCTCCCAATACCTTCACCTCTCTCTCCACCCCCATCTCACCATTTGCAGCCATATACTCATCTGCGCGAAACCCAAACAAACAAACATCAACACTTATCTACTACACATCCAACCCAGCAACCCTCCCTTTATATACCCCAGCCATGGCGTCTGTGCTCCCGAAGAAACGTGCCATGCAAGGCTCTGGCGGCGGCATGTCCACGGTAAAATACGATCTCAACCGAAGAGTGGTTTCTGGACGAAATGTGTCTGGAGGGTCCAGATCAGTTTCTGGGAACCGCCATGTGAGTCGAGGCGATATGTTTGTGGCTGCCGAGGATGACTCGTTTGCAGAGGATGCTATTGACTTTCATGAAAATAAGAATACAATCATGTCGAACTTTGAAGAGTGGATCAAGCTTTCTACTGATAACAAGATCACGTCGAAGAACTCCTGGCAGTTTGCGCTTATTGATTACTTTTACGATTTGAATGTGATTAAGGATGGCGATAATATTAATTTTCAGCGTGCCTCGGCCACGTTGGACGGGTGTGTGAAGATTTACTCCAGTAGAGTGGAGTCGGTGGCTCTGGAAACGGGAAAGTTGCTTTCTGGATTGGCCAAGAAGAAGGCAGATGAGCCTTTGGAGGAGGACGATGACGAGGAGAATGCAAATGGAGAGCATGTGGATCCGGCTTCGCTTCGAAGGGAGAGAAGAGTGAATAGAGTGGTGGAATCTACTTTGCTACTGGAGGAAGCGCTACGGATCAAGAAGCTCGATCAGGAATTGGCCATTGACCCGCTTTTCAAGAAGGCGCTTTCGGATTTTGATGAAGGCGGTATTAAATCGTTGCTTTTGAATACGCTACGTATAGACTCGTCTATGAGAGTTGTTTTCGATGCTACCACTAATGCACCTAGAGAAACGAGGAACGAGGATGAATCTGAAGAGTACGAGCCGCCACTGGAAGATCTACAGCTTCGTCTGACTGAAGTGGATGTTGATAAACTTAAAAGTTTTGTCTTGCAAGATGACGAAGAGCTCGATGCTGCTACTGTGGTGCCTACCATGCCTGAACTTGATGCTGTGTTTAATGATATTGGTAACGCTAAAAGCGTGCTTGGTAATGTCAATGCTAGGCTTGGTGGCGAGCAGGAAGAAGGTACTGATCGTGAATTTGAGGAACCTGAACAGCCTGACTTTGATGACTTTGCTCTTGGCGACGATAGAGATCTTCCAGATATGCCTGAAGACGGCCACTTCATGGATTTCGCTAATATCGAGGCTGAACTTGCTCAAGGGCCTGTTCCTGGTGACGATGACGAAATCCCAGATGAAAGTGAAGTCGTTACTGGTCACGTTCTCGATCAGGACTTGATGACTTACTTTGATAAAACCATGAAGGACACATGGAGAGGTCCTGAGCATTGGCGTGTTGCAGCATTCAAAAAGCATAAGAACTTTGATACGCCAAACAGCAACAAGTCTCGTGCTACCACTCCACAACCAGACGGTGCACCAGCACCACCAAAACGCAAAAGAAAAGAGCAAATTACAATAGACTTCTTTAAAGACGAAGATGAAGATTATATTGAAGATATCTTCCAGCCAGCCAAGAAAGCAGCGCCTATCCTTCGGTCCCCAGATTCCATTGACACAAACAACTACTACCTTCTACCGGATGACATTCAGTTCAATTCTAAAAAGTTGGTAACGCTATTTATCAAGCCAGATAGGTCGATTGTTACCTTCTCGCGTAGAGCCAAGCTGCTCCGAAATGATGCTGATGTCCTAGATAAAGCTGCTTACACTGACCAAGCATACTTTGCTGACGAGTACCAGAAACAAGAAAAAGAACGTGAAGAGGAAGAAAGACAGGAGAAGCTCGCAGCATCGTTCCATCAAGCAGAAATGGAGGATTACGATAATTACGGTGATATCGATTTTAATGATGTCCTTGGAGGCGCTGATGATGCCAATGACGAACTCAAGCCTGATACAGAGAACCAGTTCGTTACCGAGGGTCGTAAGGCTCGTCCTGAGTACGTGAACTTCTCGCGTGTTGCCAAAAGAGTCGATATCAAGCTCCTTAAAGACAACCTCTGGAAAGCCATCAAGCCTGAACCCGTCGAGCCCACCGAGCCCAACGAGTCTCCAGAAAAAGAGCAAACGCCAGTCAAGATCGAAACTGACTTCACCGAGGTGGCCCAGAAAATCGGCAAAATGTACAAGCCCGAGGAAAAGAAAGATCTCTCGACAAGTTTCTGTTTCATTTGCATTCTACATTTGGCCAACGAACATAAACTCGATCTTTCTTCCAACGACGCTTTTGACAATTTACGCATCACAGGCTTCTAGATACCAGAAATGACGAACCGAAAAAAAGAACCCTCTGTGCGTATTAGGGCCCCGCATTTTCACACCGCAGGTGTATTGCATACTGAAGATGGTAAAAGTCGAGCTACGACTTGAAACCAAATCATCCGATCAACAATTACTTTTCCATAATGACGTTGAAATTCAGAGCCGTCCAGTACTCTGGCAGTTGCGACCCGTTGCTCATTAAAGAGGACCAATTGGATGTTTCCAAGGGCCCCGATGGCTCCTTCCAGGTGGACCCAACAAAAGTGCTAGTGAAGATTAAGTGTGCTGCGTTGAACCCTGTCGATCTCGTTACAAAGAACACCACACCGCTTCCTCTCGCTTACAAGACGAAGGGAATTGGATATGACTATTCTGGTGTTGTGGTGGGGATTGGTAAGGAGGCAGAGAAGAAGACTGGGGTGAAGATTGGCAGCAAGGTCTGTGGTATGTTCCAGGAGGTCTTGGGCCGAGGAACTTTGGCCGAGTACGCTCTTATGGATACGGCCACGTCGTCGGGAGCCAGTATTCACGAGTTCCCTGAAGGTCTTACCTTCCAGGAGGCAGCATCGTACCCTTTGGTTTTGGGCACTGCTGTGCTCATGTTCTCCAAGATCCAGAAGGCAAACAAGAAACGCAGAATCCTTATTTTGGGCTCGGGAACTACCGTTGGTAAGCTCTGTGTTCAGATTGCTAAGAACGTACATGGCTTCGAGGATGTTGTAACCACGTGTTCGCCCAAGTCAGTAGACTTGGTGAAGCTGCTCGGTGGCAACACCTGGATTGACTACACTGCATGGGATCTGATTTTGGATCCTGTGCTCGAGCTTGTGGGCATGAAAGGCAAGTTTGATGTTATCTTTGATTGCGCTGGCAACTCTGACTTGTTCCCTCAGATTCAGAATATTTTGGTAGGAAAGAAGGAAGGCGGTACGTACGTTACCATTTCGGGCGACTACAAGTACTCCTTTTCACTGCCAACTGTTTTGCAGCTCATTTGGAACAACATTGGTCTTCCAAAGAGATTGGCTGAGAGCAAGGTGGGCTACTTGGACTATACCTATGCGTTTGTTGGTGTGATCAAATCTATGTACCCATGGCAGAAAGAATGTCAGCAGTACCTTGGAGAGAAGAAGGTCAAACTCACTATAGACAGCGTCTACCCATTCGTGGAGTTTGATCAGGCTTATAAGAGGCTTGGCTCCAACCGAGCCAACGGTAAGGTTGTGGTGAATGTTGAAGACGATGTTTAGATATGGTTCTTCATGCCGCAGGCAGGCAGCTTGATTTACGAATAGTAATTGTGAAAAGAAATGTAGGGTAGGGCTAAGAGTACTTCAGGTGATGGGAAAGTGGAGTATGTTCAAAGGTTACTAAGCGTTGGTGACTGTGAAACAGCCGTATCTATAACGTTTACTAGCTATACTGAAGATACTGTTGTTTCTCATGTCTTGAGATGGCCAGTGCTGGTGTTCCAGAAAACAATACACTAAGCACTCCAACTAGGCTGTTTAAATGCACAGAAAGTCAACTTCTGGACAAAAAGGCTTGATCTCAACATACTCATTTCAATAGCAATAGCTCAATAAAATGTCTAAATAGTCGAATTCCCAAGTTACCAACTACTGTCTAACTCTGTGGTTTGCAGCCATTGCATTATACATAAGACTAGTCATAGGCCAGTAGTAGTCCAGCCCAACCGCCATAAATACCCCAAAAACCCATTTCAATAAAGATGAAAGCTTTTAAATCTCTCCATAATTGCCCTTCCCAAAAAAAAACCCCTCTCTCCCTCAACCCACCCTCCATCTACATCTAACCTTATTCCAGTACTGAGTGTTTCAGAGTGCACCAAGTAGGAAGCAGGTCTTCCACCGCCAACCAAACGTCCACCCCTGGCCCGTAGATTTCCATATAAATCCAAAAAAAAAAAAAAAAAACCATAAAGTGGCTGATCCAAAGCATTTTCTTCTTTTTCAGTCATTTTTCCCATTTTCTGTATAACCTCATCCTCTTTTCAATGTATCCCCAACTTCACGGCCTCACCTGTTTTTCCGATTTCGCAGCCAATTTGCTCACTTACTGTGAATTCCACCACCCAGAAGGGTCCAGTCAAACCACCAAAAATAAAATAAAACCCAATAAAAAAGACCACTTCCCATTCCTCCAACCCTCAAGCAACACCCCAAAATCCCCCAATACCTCCTCCCACCTTTCCTTCCCCCCTCTTCCACACCTTCCATTGGCTTCCCCAGGGTACTCGGCCACCGCCCGTTGGAGCCTCGCACGACCATCACTCACCATTTCACACCCAAAGTTTCACGCCTCCACATCCAGAACCCTCCATGCTAACTTCCCTTCCTAGGCTCCTTCCTAGGTCTACGTTGCTTCGTGCAGCGCCCGTGGCTGTCCGGGCGGTTCCGCTAGCTCGCATGTGGACAGCTCGGCGTTCGCCGGTGTTTGTCAGAGCTGCTTCGACCTTCTCGATCAACTTGCTTCTGAGAATCGAAAAGACGGCGAATGCCAGCCCTGGCAACCCGGAGATCCAGAAGTTGTTTTACCAGCGTCTTATGGAGAATAACTACCCGCAGATTGTCGTGCAGAGGTACGAGACAGAGGGCATCGCTGCCAACCCGGAATGTACCCAGATGTATATCCAAGCGCTTCAGCAGATGGGTAATACAGCCAAGGCCGAACAGGTGGCGGCTGCTTTGGGCTCGGGCGCTCATACTGGGCCCAACATGGGCTTTTCTTCTGGGTTTGGGTCTCGTAATGAGCCCGTGCACGTTGTGGTGTCTGAATCCAACTTTACCATCTTGTCCAAGTGGCTCAAATGGCTTATTCCGATTGCCTTGCTTACTTATGGTGCGCTGAACGCGTTTAACTTTTTGGTGGAAAACGGAACTATTTTCCGTTCCCTGGAGGTTACTGACAAGTCTGTGGATGTGTCTCGTTCCAACGTGAGGTTCAAGGACGTCTGTGGCTGTGACGAGGCCCGTGCTGAGCTCGAGGAGATTGTCGAGTTCTTGAGAGATCCTTCTAAGTTTACTGCTTTGGGCGGTAAGTTGCCTAAAGGTGTGCTTTTGACCGGTCCTCCAGGTACGGGTAAGACGCTTCTTGCTCGTGCTACTGCTGGTGAGGCTGAAGTTCCATTCTTTTTCATGTCAGGTTCTGAGTTTGACGAGTTGTACGTTGGTGTGGGTGCCAAGAGAATCAGAGAATTGTTCAACCAGGCTAGAGAAAAGGCCCCTGCCATTGTGTTCATTGATGAGTTGGATGCCATTGGAGGAAAGCGTAACCCTAAGGACCAGGCTTATGCCAAGCAGACCTTGAACCAGCTTCTTGTGGAGTTGGACGGTTTCTCCCAGAGCGAAGGCATTATCATCATTGGTGCTACTAACTTCCCTCAATCTTTGGATAAGGCTTTGACAAGACCTGGTCGTTTCGACAAGGAGGTTGTGGTTGAATTGCCTGATGTTCGTGGCCGTGTCGATATCTTGAAGCACCACATGGAGAATGTTGAGACTGCTGACAATGTGGATCCTTCCATTATTGCCAGAGGTACTCCTGGTTTCTCTGGTGCTGAATTGATGAACTTGGTTAACCAGGCTGCTGTTCACGCTTCTCAGCTTTCTGCTCTCGCTGTTGACATGGGCCATTTCGAATGGGCTAAGGATAAGATTTTGATGGGTGCTGCTAAGAAGAAGATGGTCATCACTGAAGAATCCAGAAGAAATACTGCTTACCACGAGGCTGGCCATGCTATCATGGCCATGTTCTCCCCATCCGCTACTCCTTTGTACAAGGCTACTATCTTGCCTAGAGGAAGAGCTCTTGGTGTGACTTTCCAGCTTCCTGAAATGGACAAGACTGACATGACTAAGAGAGAATGTTTCTCTAGACTTGATGTCTGTATGGGAGGTAAGATCGCCGAGGAGATGATCCACGGTCCTGACAACGTTACTAGTGGTTGTTCTTCTGATTTGGCTAGTGCTACAAATATGGCCAGAGCTATGGTGACATCGTTTGGTATGAGTGATAAGATTGGTCCTGTCAAGTTGAGTGATGACTGGGATTCCTGGTCGCCTAAGCTTAGAGATATGGCAGACAATGAGGTGAGAACTTTCCTCGTTGACTCAGAAGAGAGAACACGCCAGATGCTTCAAGAAAGAAAGCTTGAACTTCAAAGACTTGCTGAAGGTTTATTGGAGTACGAGACGCTAACTAGAGATGAGATGGAAAAGGTCGTCAAGGGTGAGCCTATCAACAAGCCCAAGACAATGACCAACACAGTCATCAAAACTCCAGACGGCGGAAGAAAGGAAGTCATCAATGAGCCTGCTCCTCCAATTCCTGCTGAAGCATAACTTATACCAAAAGCAAAAAGAAAAAAAAAAAAAGCAAAATACCACACACAAACGAAACATTATTTGCATCATCGATGTTGTATAGGTATGGTTACCGTTAATGAAAATGTACATACAGTTAGAAACACTAGATCAATTCTTTTATTTTGTAAAATTAGTTTTTTTGTCGCTATATAAACGGAGTGATCGAATTCGTAAATCATCATCATTGTTGCTGCTGGCCTCCGTTCTGGAAGAAGTTGGCTAGCTGAGCTCCCAAGTTAGGATTCTGCTGGTTGCCAAAGTTTGGTGGGAATCCTTGTGGAGGCTGTTGCTGAGGAGCACCCTGCTGTTGCATTGGCATCTGGCCAGGGAACCCTTGTGGCGGCAGGTTAGCAAACAAACCAGACAATGGGTTGGCTGCGTTGTTGCCGTAACCGTTGAAGTCTGGACGAGCACCCATTCCAGTCTTGACGTATTGGTCTTCGGACTCGCCTGGTCTGTTGGACTTTGGTCCGTTTCTTGTAGAGTTCGTAGGCATCTTCTTAGACATGGCCTTGGAGGAAATACCAGTACCGATTTCGATATCTGGCTCGTCAATGACAATACCAGTAACAAGAGGCTGGCCACCAGTTCCACCCCACTCAGCATCAACAACCCATTGCTTGTCAGCATCAGTCAAACGAACCATAGGAATAATGGAAACACCGTGCTGATAGTTGCAACAGTCTCTTGGGCCAAAACCAACACCCCAACGGGTTCTCAATGGCAAAGCACCGTCCTTGTTAAAAGATTGAACAACAGCTTCAGCTTCTTTTCTAGAGTAGACCTTAACGAAAGCGTGCTTTCTCTCACTGTTAAGAATAACAGACTGAACCTCGGCGTAAGGTCTTAAGTGACTAGCGAGCGATCTTTCGTCCATTCCACGAGGAACACCACCAATAAATAATGTTCTGGACATCACCTTGAAGGAGCCTTGTGGGATACTGTTGTCGAAACCGACGTTACGAGGACGGTAGTGAGGAGAACCAGGAATGTTACGTTCACCCTCGTAAGGAGAGAAGCCATGAGAAAGAGACTTCTCCTGAGGAGCGTTAGGACTGAAACCGTTATTGTGGCCTCTAGGAGGAGATCTGGAACGGTTTCTTCTCAGGTAACCACCAGCCTCTTCACGGCCTCTTCTATCAAACTGCTGCTGCTGTTGCTGCTGAGGGTATCCGCCACGATCGTTGTATCCGCCATATCCCTGAGGAGGCATCTGAGGCATACCTGGAACAGGAGGCAAGCCGTTTGGCATTGGAGGCTGAGAGTTTGGTGGCGGCTGAGAGTGGCCTTGGTTACCTTGCATCTGCTGCAACATACTGAAAAGCTGCTGGTTCTGCTGGCCCTGACCCTGACCTTGACCTTGACCTTGTGGAATGTTAGGAAGGTTAGGAAGCTGAGGAAGGTGAGATGGCTGGGCAGGCTGAGCATTCTGGTAGCTAGGGCTACGAATGTTCAGATTCTGGTGAGCAGGAGAGTTGCCGTTGTTCTGGCTACCGCCAGCAAGAGCAGATAACTGAGACAAGATGTTAGCAGCATTCTGGTTGTTGGCTGGAGGAGCCTGTTGAGCGCCAGGAGAAGCAACAGCTGGAGGAGTAGGAGTCTCTGTCTTTTTAGCCAAAGAAGCCAAAGCCAGCAAGATGCTACCTGAGTCACCTTCCTTAGCTGGAGCAGCAGCACCAGCTGGAGCAGAAGCAGGAGGAGCCGAAACAGCAGGAGGTGGAGGAGGAGCAGTCTTGTTAGGAGGACTACCTGGAGGAGTAGTCGAACGGAAGTGCTTGTCTCTAATAGCTGCCAAAGTAGCAGGAGAAAAAGTCTGGGCACGTTCCCAAATATCAACAAGCTTGGAGATCTTAACGTCAGTGGCAGGAACAACCAGCAACAGCATGGCATCGTCCATAATGGACTCAATCAATTCACTGATCTTGAACACACCACTAGCAAAAGTGCCTTCAGGAGCAGAGGAATCAATGGTTTCGCCCTTCTTCTTGGCCTCCTCCTTGTAGACTCTAACGATGGAGTCCACGACATACAAGGCACCCAACTTATGGGAAGAAGGAGTGGCCTTGCAGCTGTTGTACAAAGCAGAGACAAGTTGAGACTCGTCAGCAACATTCTTGACAGCAATATCAGTAAGCTTTTTGATACGAGACCCGGATACACCAGGGGCCTTGATGGTGGGCAATTCTTGGAGAATCGATTCAAATTCCGACACGGCAGACATTTTTACAACTAAATAGATAAAGTGATGTCCTCTACTGAGCAGTACTGGTAATTCTTGCTCTGAGTTATGCCCTTTTCTTCTCGGTAAAAACCTTCGTTTACGTTATTACTAAACAACCGAGGTTGAAAAAAATGCAGAATACGGGTGGGGGTAAAATGGAGTTACAGTAAGAAACCGGACGATTTCTACTAGTACTGTGGGATGTTTGGGACGGTTGTATTGGACGGGATGGATACCACGTTAGGGAAGAAAAAGAGTGGTGCTTTTTTTTGGTAACTTGATGACAGGATGTCATTCGCATATATAGGGCGAGTTGTGGTAAGCGCACGACCAGGTGGAAAATGGGCTATATGCAGGCCAAAACAACATTTCAACACCACAAGTCCATCCCAATCCCTCTAATTTAAGCCAAGAAGTCACCCAAACGAAGTAGTATCTTGTTATATTTGTCCTTGCATCACTACCGCCCCCGCTTAGGGCAGTCCCAGAGTTACGCGTGCACCTATACTTAACCCACCACCGGTCCTCGTTTTACGCCGCGGTTGAAAATTTCTATACATCTTCAAGTCAAGACCAACCATCTCCATCCAAGCCAAACCATGCTAGGCACCCAAGCAAAGACTCTCCTCAGGTGCTACAGCACCGAGGCGTCCCCTGCTATACGGTCAACGCTTCTTTTGCAGAGAAAGCCAATTATCACTGCCGACCAGCCAGCTTTCCAGAAACTGTTCTACAGATACCAGAAGGAATTGTGGAAAAGATTGATGTGGACGTTTCCCAAGTGGTTCTGGTTCCGTCCAGGCACGGTTTCTGAGCTCAGGTTTCGTGAGTTGAACAAAAGACCGTTTTACAATAACCCAAATGTGGAGTTTGTTGGAGGTAGACCAGATGTCCAGCACAATAGAGATAGAAGACACAAGCAGGTGGTCAAGTTGCCACAGACATATGATGATAAGCTGAAGGAGGTGGATGAGCTTTCTAGAAGGATTGTTCCAAACTCACGTACGACTCAGGCCGACAAGAACAACGACTTGATGAGCTTGGAGAGGAAGCTCGCCAGAACGCTATACCTTTTGGTGAGCCAGGACGGGAAGAAATGGAACTTCCCTTCGTTCGCTATCAACGGCCTGCCACTACATCAGGCGGCCGAGGAGGGCTTGTACCTGATTGCAGGAAAGCAGTTGAACTACTTCAACGTTTCCAAGAAGCCCTGCCATGTTCACAACTCGCCCAACGAAAAGCTGTTCTTCATTAAACTGTACCTTTTGCTGGGTCAGTTTGACGTGAAGGACTCGGGCTTGAAGCATTTGTGGTTGACCAAGGAAGAAGTTGGCCAGCACTTGGACAAGGACTACTACCAGGAGGTGGAGCACTTGTTGAACGAAATATAAGCATAATCGTGTACATAGAAGATAAAGGCTAGAACCTTGCAATCACGCTGTAGATGTGAATTACTCTCTATTTACTTTTGTCCCTACGTGTCTTTTTTACCTTTGAGTGCTTGTTCTGCTGCCCAGACGGACCGATCGAGCACAGCACCAACGGTCAAAACACCGGCAATCGAACTGATGACACCCAAAACAAAGCCTGACCACGTCTTGGCGTATTCTTGTCTGTTGATGATCTTCATTGGCGAGATATCAAAGTGGAAGAACGTTCCTGGAACGCCTCCACGGGCATGCAAGGTGTTTTGGTGGTCGTCGTCTCTGCCGCCAATCACTGGTCTATCGTGAGTGATGACAGAAAACTGGTTGGTTTCTTCAGGTGCTTGTTTGCCTTCCAAGTATTCAAATCTGGTGGAAACCACAGATAAGAAGTACAGAGCCACATGTTCTTTTTTAGCCTGATTAAACACGAAGCCGTCCAAAGGAGCAATAGAAGGCGCCTGGTTATCTTCGGAAGGATGGGCGAGTCTCAACGAAGCAGATGGGTCCTTGCCAAACGAAAAGTGGTTGATTTTATGGTCAATGTTGAACTTATCAGCGTACTTTCTCCACAACGACATATCATGAGAGTGTCTTCCTTGTCTAGAGATCTGGATTCCCGGAGCAAAATGCAAATTACCCGAGATTCTGTTGATCTTAGCCAGGCCCTTCACACGGCATCCCTCGTTATCGTTAATTCTCCTCTTCATGGTCTGAACGTACCCTTCTCTTTCACACTGGTCAATATTCTCCCCATCATAGAACGCCCACTCCTTCACAGCATAAGCGAGTCTAACGGCAGCACACGAATTGCAGCAGTGTTTCGACTCAGCCTGATCCACAGCACCATAACACGAGCCACACTCCACGCCCCGGGCCTTCTCGTCATCCGTCAACCCCACAAGCGTCTCCTCCCACTTCTCCACGCCCGACATAATAGGCATATCGTCCTTCACTTCCTGGCCCAGCTGGAGCACCCGATAAATGTCAAACCCAGACTGGAGCACGTCCAAGTGCAAGTCGCCCAGGTTATCCAAAATGTCCAACGTAAGCACGCCACAAGGCACATTCGGGAACGTAATGTCCAAGTTGATATCAAGCTGTCTGTTCACATCCCTGTCCACCACCAACTCTGGTCTCACCACCATCAGCGTATACTCAGAGTACTCGTTTCTTATAAGGAAAAGCACAATCACCACACAAACCAACGTGATCATGCCGCCCGAGGCTGTTTTCACCCGGGCGTCCTCGACGGTTTTGGCAAACGCGTCTAGCGAGATTAAGCGTGGCCGAGACGACATTCTGGGATGGTTTGGTTGGGTTTAGTGTGTGTTGAAGATAAGAACAATTGACTTGTTGGTTTTTCAATGGGTGCGAAAAATGGAAAATGGTCCAGCGAGAGGAAGAGAAAGGGAAGGTGAGAGTTTACTGAAAGAGAGGGTTTTGGGGAAATGTAGAGGTAGAAAGTGTTTGTATTGGTTTTCTTTTTCTCTTGTTCTTTGTGTTGGTGGTCCAGTTATGGTGTGTAAGTTAGAGGTGGTTGACTGGTGAACAGTGCACTGGAATGGGATGCTTGGAAGGTGAAGACGAAACGTATGTTTTCTGGGTTAAATAAAAATCTCCGTCCTTTTCTGACTTGATTGCTGGCTTCTGGAATTGGAAAGTGGAAGTATTGTAGGGTTTGTGTGAGGCAGGTGCTATAGTGCTTACTGAGTTGGATGGATGGAAAGTGGTAAGATTACTGGGGGTTGAAGATGAGTTTTGGAAGGTATGCTTTGATTGGTACCAGAGTGAATGCTTCATTTATAAGCACGAATGGAAAAGTTGGCACTATTTGGGAATGTGGAAGTGGTTGTAGGCTTACTGGTGGAACTACTGAATGCTCACTTCCACGTACTATAAGAAGAAACCGTTATGGTTAGGTATTTGACTCTTTTTGTAGCTAACTATGTAAGGTTGCTGAAGTTGTTTTCAATAGATTTGGATCCTGCTTGCCTTGGTTCTGGGTAGATGGGATATCCGGTTTGGCTGCAAAATTTATGAAACATGCCAGTTCATATCTGGCCTCGAAGATTATTCTGGAGTCTTTGGACCAGAAATTAATGCTGAGAGGTATCATTGAATACCTGTTGAAGTGAAAAGAATTTATATAAGACTGTGAAGCATATGGCACTCTGGAGAGGGAGTAGTCCTTGGCTGTCTTATATTCTTCAATTGCAAAACAGAACGAATGTCATGTTGAAATATTTGCTTTGAAATTACCCAGACGCTAAAAGCGCTTTGGAAGTATTCATGCCATAGATGACCCAAATTGGCATATTACATGTATGTACCCTCTTGATTATATGATTTAGTGAACAACAACTAAAGAAAGAAACTCAATCAAATCGATAGAAATGGAACTACCTGCGTTGAATAGGTGACTATTACTTCCATTGGTGCTCAAGAAGTGCCACTAGCTAACGTTGTCATATTCCTATATCGACATGGTTCATAAATGTGGTGTCTCTGCTTGCAACAACACTATAAGGAACATGTCACTCAAAATGTATTCATTCTCTTATAAGGCAAATGGCTCTTTATGTAGCCGAATATCTGTAGAGCAGCACTTACCTACCTTTTGTCAAATACATAAATGACATAATTGTCATATCTATAATGGGAGTACCATACACCGAATGAACTTCTTAAAATGCCCTTTCCTTTTGAGTCATACTCGATCCAGCTAAAAAAACTCCACTCTCAATATTCATAACACCTCTTCTATATCGAATAGCGCTACCTCTCCAACCAGTCTTTCCATTCCCATTAAGCCCACGCCTTCGAAGCCCAAACAAGTTTCCCACAACCCCAGAACCTAAAAGTCACAAATAAACCCACTCCCCAAAAAGTTACCTTCCCCAATTACCCACCCCAAACATTCCCACCCTTGCAAATTCATTCTTTCCACCACCCCAGCTTACCTGGTTGGCTGCGAAAACCAGAAAGCCATAACCACTTCCAAACCTTCCCACCACCAAACCCAAACCACCAACATCCACAATCAAAAACCATAAAAACAAGAAACCTTTACCTAAAGCTCTTCCAAATCCACCCCACCTTCCTAAATCTCTCCCAAACCTCCATACCTACTCCTACCACCAACCTTTGCGTGCACATTGCTCTGCCATCGCTTATACATACAAACTACTATTCTCCAAGGCTACTCCATCCTGGTCCATTCATTCAAACCAGAATCCACTCATTTCCATCAAAAACCATCCCCCTGGTCCAATTGCAATGTCTGTATACTTTGCCAACATCAAACCCCAGCAGCTCAAGGATACGTCGCCTACTGGTAAAACATGCCAGGACAAGGTGCTCCATCTCTCCATGAACGCAATTGCATCGCGTATTGCCAATACCAGGGCCGACGGGTCGATACGGGTATGGAAAATCACGAGCCAGGGGCCTTCGGATTGCGTTCAGATCAAGTCTGGCCATGCTGAGCCCGTGGAAAGAGTCTCGTGGCATCCTAGTACAGATAACCGGTTTGCCAGTGTGGGAGGAGATGCAATTGTCAAGGTGTGGACGCTGGCTGGTGTGTTGGAACGAGAAGTTCACTTGGGAAGCGAAAAGGGCGAAGAGAAGTTCCGTTTGGTGGACTACTCTGTTGATGGGCTGTACTTGTCGGTTGTAGACGGGTCTCGTCTTTTGGTTTTGGATGTCAAGAATGGGTACCAGAAATTGCACGAGGAGACGCTTGCAAGCGTTGTTTCTGAGGTGAAGTGGCTGTATGATCAGAATACTGTGCTAGTGGGCTTGCAAGATGGACGGATTGTTATTTTCAGAGTCGGAGAGTCGCTTGAACAGCTTGCTATGCTTCTGGGCGCTCGACTGGCGGTAAACTCCATAGCTATTGATCCAAAAGGTAGGGTTATATGTGCTGGATGTGAAGAAGGTATTGTTTACTTTTGGAGAACTTCTGATTTGCAAAACTCACAAGCCTTGACGAAAATCGATGAGTCTGTTACTTGTGTTGATATAAACCGTGACGGGAATTACCTTGCTGTGAGCTACGCTAAAGATTCCAATACTAGAATCTACGATGTGGGGACTTTACAGCAGGTGCACGAAATTCCAGACACCGCTTCGAAAACGGTGGGTTCCTCGCTGATTAAATGGTTGCCCAATTTAACAGGCTACATTTACACTGCGGATCAGACGAAATTGGTGTTTTATGCGAAGAAGCTGGTGTAGTTGCCTTGTCCGAATGACGGTGCTGCTGCCACGAAGGCTGCTATTGTTGCCAGTAACTGCTATATATTTGGCTCCGAGCGTCTTCAAAATTCTCACCATTCACAAACATGACCTCAACTCGCTACGACCATTTCGTGGTATTAGAGAAGGCCTCTGGTGATAGGCCTCTTCAATGTTCATCTCGCGTGTCCGACCAAATACGTGCCCACATAGACAACTACGTGTCGCATGTTGTATGGACATACAAGGTCGGCGACGACTACTTTCTGGCCATGGAGGTAATCTTCAAAAGAAATGAGACTGTCTGTTTTCGCCAGAATATTGATGATCGCTTGCAGAAAGCCATAGCGAAAGAAGGAGCCTTTGACATCGGCGGTGGGCCGCATTCTACAACAGACACAAACAAGGCTATGTACGTCATTATTGATCCTCGTCAATACTTTTTCAGAGATCAACGGGGAACAAATAGGGCTTATCCACTTACGGGTGCTTTTGTGTTAACCTTAGACGGTGGTAAATTCAAGTTCAAGGAGATGGAATTCCCCATGACGCAGGCGCTCTATGGGCTCAAGAAAGATATTCCAGGCAAAGTAGACCTAGGTAGCTGCATTGGGGACTTTGAACTTGAGGCTGTTGTCAATCCGCCAAACTGGTTTCAGCAGCCTCAAGACAGTCGAATTGTTGCACCAGGTTCGGATATACTGGACTTTTTAACCTTGAAGGTTTCTTGGAACTTGCCACTCCCACAGAAAGACGCTACTAACCCAAAAGACCTCATTATACGCGGAATGAATGTCCAGCTACAAGAGCTTGTCAGCTGCATCGATGACGAAACAGCTTGCTTTGATGAACCCACACGTTGCTTGAGGAAACTTACTCTTCACGACGCTAAGTTTGCGGGACTAAAGTTGAAAAACTTAAGCCCTAATTCTTCGCAACAATTCGAAGCGTTGATACCCCGGGCACTATATGGCTGTACGCTCCCAGAACTCGGCCCCACTTTCTTCACTAATCATTTACTGCGATGTTATGCGATAGCTGTCACAATCAGCTTGATGGTGGCTGGTTGTGATTTTACTTTGACCTCCTTTCTGGAGATAAGTATCGCAAAGGAAGATTATAGGTACTTGGAAAGGGCTTGTGTGTCTGAGGGTGATATTGACGAACTTCCGAAGGACAAGATTATAAGCCACCTCATTTATGAACAAGCAAGTGCTGATTGCTATATTCCATCAGAGTTAGCAAAAGATGCTCTAGAGAAGGCCTCAACCCGAGACGACGTTCAATATGTTTCTCACCAAACCATGGCGTTCCAGGGAAAAAACGGTATCACGGCTGTTAATACTATCGACATTCGGATGCCTTTAGACCTGTCAAGTTCAAGCCTCAACTGGTTGCTGGCTTCCCTATTACCTCAGGGAAGTAATCTCATCGCAGGCATGGTGCGCCCTGTGTCTGAATTTCAAAGTACAAGGAGTGTGGAATCAGGTTGCCTCCGTGGAGGATTGTTTCTTCGGGCCGACGATCGTATCATTCCGTTTAAGTTTCCTTTTGGGGATCCTCTTAGTCGCCCTGTTTGGCATTATTCGGAAGATAAATGTAAAGTTTATCTTGCCGTTCAGAAGTGGTACCCGGAATATCCTGTCACTCTCACAGTCAGTCCTAAGAAACATGAACGCTTTGCATTTGATGAAGGGGCTTGTGTTTTTATGCCCGGTATGAAAATAGCAGATGGTGTTCGGCTTCAGTTGACATTGCCTTATTCCAAGGAAAAGGCAGAAGCTATGAGGATTGAAACAGGCTCAGTGAAATTTTATACCCGGAGGTACACTATCAGTGTGACGCAATTCGAAAAGAAGAATGATATGGAATCCAACAAAGTGAGCTATCTGCGGACGACTGTGGTAGATAAAGTTCGTGACATGAAATCCCATGAATGGGACAGTTTTATACAAGATTCAACGACAGGTCTCCATGCTTGTGAAGTTGACGTGGGAAATTATCTGTTCCCGGATCTTCCACCTACAGTGTTATCTGACCAGTTTCTTAGGGTCTATGCACTAAGCTTTGTTGTCGGGTTGGTCGCTTTTGGATTGGAGTTGCAAATGACAGTACGTGTGCCCATAGTGGTAGCTCACAAGAGCTCCAGTAAGCATGGTACTGGGCAGAGCATCAAATCCCTGTCCTTTTCAGAAAAGGTAAAGAGTAAGCTCTTGAAGATGTCAAAGAAGCAGTAGGATAATTTACCGCTTCGACAAGATATAAAGACATTGAATGGGACCCAAAGTGTTCAGATAGTTACTTTTATTCGCTACTTTCTGGTGAAAGTGATATTTCCCCGGAATGGCTTTATGCTAGGGATATAAATGGGATCTCAAGGAAGCCGTCCATAGCACCAAGGGAAGTTATTCAATTCTCCAAAGATGGGCAGAACCCTCCGAAGCCTTCCTTGAAGCGAATCCCTGCTTTGTTGCTCTTTGCGGAGTGCTGTAGATACATATGGGAACTTTTTGATCAAACCAATTATAAAACTGGCGGGTAAATCTAATTATAGTCATTTTAAGCTTTCTTTTTTATTTTTTTTTTTTTTTTGCCAATTAAACAGAAATAGAGTTCTTTGGTGATTATGTAGTGAGCTTAAGTATGGCACCCTAAAATCCATATATCTCTGCACACATACGTCCTACAAAGAAACTAAGACCACTTCCAAACACTTGACATCCAGAGCTATGCATAGAAGCTACTAACATTTTATTTCCAGCCAAATTTGGTGTTTTGGCGGAGGGTCTAATGACCTGGGGTAAGCTGGTGTACGGGTGTTTTCCACCCGAGCCAATATCCTAATAGTTTAAGGTACATTTTGCAGCCATTGAAATGTCCCCCAAAATGCCCCAAAAGGATCCAAAAATAAGCACCTACAATGCCCTCTCTATTACTGCTCCCCCACCCCTCCACTAAATCCACATTTCCTGCCTCCAACCCTCCCACGAAGCTTCCCCAGGCTTAAGCGAGCACACAGAGAAGCCAGAGGAAGCCAGACCATTCAGACTCCCCCATGAATCTCCCCGATTTCTAAGAAACCCGTGCACCACACCACCTTCCCACTATTCCAAAAAATCCACCCCAAAAAAAAGCCAGGATTCCCTTCTCTATTTATACCCCTTCCCCCTGTTCATCCTTCCTCTTCGTCTTCGTCTTCCCTGCCTCTACATTGTTCCTGGCGGCGCGCGGCTACCTTCGCTTTTTAGCCCGCGCACGACCCGCGTTAACTATCCACACAACACACTAACAAAGTTTATTAAGTAGGAAAAAAAAAAAAAAAAAAAGAGACGACCAAGACATAACCCTGGCCCAATCCACCCATTGCCAGTTGACAGTTTAAGAAAGATTGACTCCCCCACGCGTCCCCCCACGCTCCTCCACGTTCTTCCCCCTCCAATCGCCAACTCCAATCCACACTCCCCTGTAACCTGCCCCTTTTGGTTCTTCCATAGCTCCTATTCAAAGTACCATGGAAAATACACCACACCCTCCGTTTAGGTCTTTTTCCTCGGCCTCCTCGGCTTCGCTCAACCTGAGCTCCACAAATATCACCAGAGTGCCGTCGGGCCCGCTTCTAACGCTCAATCTGGCCCTCAATCGTACCTCGTCCGCTCAGGATCACATGTACCATAAAGCCAAGGTCATGTTGAAAGCTTTGGCTCAGGTTGAAGGCATGACTCCGTACCTCAATGCGGCGTATACTGCTGCCGAACGGTGTGCTGAACAACAGGCGTTGGCGTTGCCTCAGCAGCTTCAGACAGACGGTTCGTCTGCCAACGCGTTCCGGGCGTCGGTGGGCTCTGGCGGGTTTTCCATCCACCTGGGCCAGTCGTCTGCGTCTCAGAACGTGAAGAACATCGAAAAGAATTGCATTTTTACCTTTACAGCAGGCATCCTACCTGCCAGTTTGAGCACCGATCCGGTTACTGAGTTGTGGAAGTTGTTGCAACAAGGTGTCCCTTTATGTCTCCTTTTCAACGCTGCATGCCCAGATACAAAGAAAATTGAAATTGATCCTTCCGATGATTTGAACACCTCCAAGAAGAATGTCTATCTTTTCCTTTGCGAGTACCAGAAACACCCTAGCTTTAGCAGCGACAACATGTTCACTATCTCCGACGTCTACCTGGATAGCTCCCATGACCTTTTGAAGGTGATGAAGGTTGTCAGCACCGTGTTGGATAAGCTTGGGCCTCAGACTCCCGAAGAAAACAGTATTCCTGATATTGGCGAATTGAAGCTCACCGATGATAAATCGAAGGTGTTTAGAGAGTTGATCCAAACGGAAAGAAAATACTTGGCTGATCTAGAGCTCCTTCTAGCGTATAAGCAAGAATTGTCCAATGCCGATGCCATCTCCAGTGAACAACTACATTTGTTATTCCCCAACTTGAACGAAATCGTCGACTTCCACAGAAGGCTTTTGAATGGTTTCGAGTGCAACACCAATGTCCCTACCAAGTACCAGCGTATTGGCTCCGTTTTTTTGCATGCATCAAATGGTCCGTTCAAGGCCTACGAGCCATGGACCATTGGCCAGATCTCTGCCATCGAACTCATCAATCGTGAAGCTCCCAACCTTCGAAAAGCCTCCTCCATACTTGATCCAGGCTTCGAGTTGCAATCCTACATCATCAAACCCATCCAGAGACTCTGTAAATATCCTCTCTTGATCAAGGAGCTCATCAAGGCATACAGCGATTGTGCTGACACTGAATGTTACTACGAGCTACAAAGGGCAAGTGTGGCAATGAAAGATGTTGCCAATCAGGTCAATGAAGCCCAAAGACGTGCAGAAAACGTGGGCTTCTGCCAAAGTCTCATGGAACGAGTGAACAATTGGCGTGGATTTTCCATCAAAGATCAGGGCGAACTTTTATACCACGCCGCAGTTGCCGTGAAGGATGGTGATAACGAAAAAGAATATATTGCTTGCTTGTTCGAGCAGATCCTTTTCTTCTTCAGTGAAGTTCCTTCCCATGAATCCAAACACAAGGAAAAGAAAATGAGAGAATTCCTTACACTGAGAAAGAAGAGCAGCAGTGGAATGTCGAGTTCTACCGCCAATCTTCTTGAAAACCTCAACAGTGTAAAAGACAAAACATCTCTTGAATTGAAGGGAAGAGTCTACGTTTCTGAAATCTATATCATCAACTCGCTTAACTTGCCTGGGTACTGGCTACTGATCTCTTGGACGGGTAAGAAAGGAAGCGGCGTTTTCAAGTTGCGGTACAAGACCGAAGAGGTTAGATCACAATGGGAAGCATGTTTGAGACAGCTTAAACAGAATGAAATCGATGCCCGCCATAGACGCAGCCGTGACTCCAGAGGTTCATTGACTGCTTACGAAAGCCATGAATATCCTCATAATGACCTGCCAGTGTCACATCCTACTCGTGTGGACGGTACGCCATCTACGCAAAGACATCACTCGTCGTCGTCGACCATGAGCATGATGAAACTGAGCAAAAACCAGCCTAATTCGTCAAGAGTGTCGAGCTCGTCAACGAATGGGCACCAGATGCACAATGAACCTGTTCTGCCAGGATCAATTGTGGCGATCAACTTGATCTACAAAAAGTCTAGAATAGAGCAGCCTCTATTGATCTCGAGCGGGGCACTGTTCTTCGAGCTCCATCTGCGGATCTCTGCGCACATTGCGCTGAGTGCAACCGTGGACGATGATGTTGTCATTAGCAAGCTCAAATATAAAGACGAGGACGGCGACTACGTTGTGATGGATTCCAACGACGACTGGTCCTTAGCGGTAGACATGCTCGAGGAGCTTTTCGAGGCGGACGAAACAGCAGAGCGGGCATTAACGATTTGGGTATCGTAACGACATATACATACACAGGGTTTTATACACGAATATGGCAAACCAGCAACCAGTAGTTGCATTATCAGATGCTCAACAGGCACAAAGCTTAGGAACAACCATGGCGGTTGCTCCGGCTATAGCGAATGAGATCATATAGATAGCAGCACCACAAAGTCGGTGTGCAAGGGGATTGGCCAAAATGAACCAAAAAGAGGCTGTTGAGCATTTTAACTACTTTTATGGAAACACACCTCCTTTTGGAATGAAAGCATGTGCTTGTAGAAGCCACTTCCCGGCAAATTTCAACCTTTCCCAGAAAAAAAAAAAAACAATCAACCGACCCTCCACGGACCCTTTGCTTCAGAAACCGTCCAAGCGCCGTGATCTGATACAATGGCATCCTTTGAAAAGAATAATGCGGCTTATCATAAACGAAAAGGGCGATTGGCTACATCTGGAGAAATGCCCTGACGAAAGGAGAAGCCGAAAATCCGGATAAAAACGTACCTCCACGAAAGGAGCAAAAGCGCATTTTCGTGGGGACAAAAACTTTTTCATGATTTTTGTTTGACACTTTTTGGTAAACCTTCACTGGCATATTGACAGGTGGAATGACAGCGTTTTGACACATTTTTTCCTTCCACCCCTCCTTTAACCGCCGCCCACATTACCCACCTTGGACAAACTCCACTAAAAAACTCTTGGCTCCCCCTTCGTAAATGTGCGTCAACAGTTGCACAGATGGCGTAGATAACGCGGCAAAAACGGTGCTTCCAACAGCTGAAACTTGGAAATTGCGCCTCCATTTTGCCGACCTTCCCTCTGACTGGATCTCTTGGGTAAGCCAGGGAGAAGCCTCCTTGGAGATCTGGCATTGCCGCCATGAGGGAAACTCCTATTTAATGGTGGAGTTTCCTTGAACTTCAAAGGCCAATGCTTGCGATTCTCGTTTTTGCAGCCATTGTTTCGGCATCAAATTATGATACTGCTTTGGGTTCTTCGGTGTTTTATGAATGCACTGAGTTGGTTCTGTCCATAGCGACGTTCTGTGAAAACCCGTATGATTATACGTGCTACTGTCGGAACCCGAATGCGTTGGCTACGATAACTGGGTGTTTTGCAACCACCGCAGGAACAGTGAAGTATGGCAATGAGTACTTGCTTGGGTTCTGTGAAGAGCTGGGTATGCCGTTGACGATGGACCAGATTACTGGCGCTTATAAGAATTACACTAGTCACGGCTTGGATACGCTGAAGATGAATAACTATAACCAGAGCGAACCAGCTACAACGCCTATAAAGATCCCTGAAGAGAATGCAAAGCTGTTTCGGAACTCGTACAGGCAAATCAAGAACTCTGTGTTTTTTGGATCTGGAGCTATAGCATACTGGGGGCTTGTTGTGGTGGTTTCTGCTGTGTTTAATTGGACAGTGGTGTTTATACCTCTGTCGAGGAAGCTTACTGATGGACTGTTGGTTAAGTTGATTAGACGCCATTTAACCATGCCAGCGCTACTTGGAAAACGAAGAACCGAGAGTTTCCGTGCTAAATGGCCGATTTTCGAATGGCTTCTTCCTACTAGGCTTGAAACACTCGTTGTGGTTGGCTTTTTCTGGGTTCTCTTCATTCTTTGTGCTGTGGACGAACAGTACATACCAGCACCATGGAGAAAAGAGAAAGTGGTTACCTATACTCTGGTTGCTGACCGTACAGGTATCATAGCTACCATGTTGACGCCGCTTATGGTGCTTTTCGCTGGTCGAAATAGCGTTTTGCAGCTTTTGACTCGTTGGAGATCTACCACCATGATGGTTTACCATAGATGGATCGCCAGAATGGTCGTTTTGCTTGTGTTGATCCATGCTATTTGTTATACCAAAGTGCTCAAATGGCAGATGAGGTTTTCCTCTGAAATGGCTGAAAACTACCTTCGTTATGGTATAGTTGCATTGGTCTGTGGCGGTATAATCTGCGTCCAGGCACTTCTATACTTTAGAAGAAGATGGTACGATGTGTTTCTTGCTGTACACATTGTTCTTGCTGTGTTCTGGGTTGTTGGAGCGTGGTACCATTTATCATACATGGGCTACTCCCAAATGATGTATGCTGTGTTTGCGGTTTGGGGCTTTGACAGGCTTGCCAGAGTGTTACGTCTTTGTTACTTTGGATTCCCCAAGGCCAGAGTTACCTTGGTTGAAGATACTTTGAAGGTAGAGATCCCCAGACCCAAGCACTGGAAACCGGTTGCTGGCGGCCATATCTGGGTCCACTTTGGGCTTGGGCTTCATTTCTGGCAGTCCCATCCATTCACTTTCTTTGAGTCTGTGACTGCTGATAACACCATTATTTGTTGTTGCAAAGTCAAAGGTGGAGTAACCAAAGCTCTAGAAAGAAGACTATGTGGACTTCCAGGAAAGCAATCTTTAATTAGAGTCGCTGTTGAAGGTCCATACGGAGCGCCTAGTCCAGTAACCCGCCATTCAAATGTGCTTTTCGTTGCTGGCGGTTCAGGTATACCAGGAATCTACTCTGAAGCCAGTAACCTCTATGAACTCAACAAAAACAGCAAGCAGCGTGTCAAGCTTATATGGGTAGTTCGTGAGCTGCGTTCGTTGGCAATGTTCATTGACGAGATGCGGTCTTTGGTGAAACATGGCATTGAAACTGCTGTTTTTGTTACCAGGCCTGAGATCCATCATGGAGAAGAGCTCCAGAAGCTATTTGTTTCAGACAGCAACAGCCAGCTGGAGAAGCAAGAAAAAGTAGAAGAGTCCGTTCGAGAAATCAATATCATTGAACGTCTACAAGATGAACTTCCCCATGTGGAGTTTATCTCTGGAAGGCCTAATATGAGAGAAATCGTTGGAAGAGAAGTGGAAGAAGCTACAGAAAGCGTGGCTGTGGTGACTTGTGGCCATCCATTGTTGGTTGACGATTTAAGAAGCATTGTGATTGACGAGGTGAAGACGTCGCCGAAGAGAGTTGATTTCTATGAACAGTTGCAAGTGTGGGCATAAAATGAAGTGAATAGGTTGATAGAGCATATGGATTCAGTGATTTCTGTAGGTTCTCGTTTTAAAGGGTTTTGTTTTTATCATTTACGGTAACTTTCCATGTTCCAATTGGCCTGACCTTCCTTTATAGCAACTTCTGCTCTTCCCTCTCCATCAACTCCGGTAATTAATTACCCTCCATCAGAGTCATATCGTAAAACAAGCCTCGTTCGTCCAAAACCCACCAAATTTTCACCACTACACAACCGAAACATGCAAATTCCGAATCTTCGCTTTCCAACGAGCCAACCATCACGGTTTTCCAAATTCCACAAAGTTTCCTATAATTCCTTGCTTATTTGCGTTTACCGCTTTTTTCGCAGCCATTATGGCGCTTACTGGGAATACCACAAACTGCACCAACCAGGCCGTTCCCAGCCAAAAGTACCCCCAAAATTCGAATTCCAGCATCCCTTGACCCACCTAAATTCCCCCAACCACTTCTAAATCTTCCCTTTTATCCTCCAACTTTTTTTACCAAACTTTTGTGTTGTTTAGTCTAAAACGTCTTTTAATATGTATTCCTGCATATAAGCACGCCTAGCTTATCTACTGCGCGATGCTTATTGGTGGTCAATTTTTCATCTGACTCAGTTACCTTACCTATTTGGACCACTGAACAAGCTACTGAACGGCCACAAATCGCCCTGGAAGTGCTTGGATTTGCATTTATACGCCTCATTTACCCCCACATTCCCTTTTTTTGCATCGAAAAACCATGCTTCCTCGCTCTACTGGTCTTCTACTGAGAGCAGCATCGAGAACACTAACAAGACGCCAGGCGCCGGCTCTTCGAGCAGTTGGCAGCCTCAAAACAGCCAATTCGCTTTTCCAGCATCGTGGGTTTCACGTCTCTCGCTTTTCCCGCTTCAAAAACGCCTCTGTGTGCCATAATGAGATCCCTTTCAACCAGCTTTCAGAAGAAGACAAAGAGACACTCACAGAGGAAAGAGCCACCGATAGCGTGGACGTTTGCATTGTGGGCGCAGGCCCGGCTGGATTGGCTACGGCGATTAAGCTTAAACAGCTCGATAACGAAGAAGGCTCGGGCGAGATGAGAGTGGTTGTTCTAGAAAAGGCACCCGACTTTGGCTCACATATTCTTTCTGGCGCTGTGCTCGAGCCTAGGGCGTTAAAAGAGCTTTTTCCTGATAGCGAGTTCCTTAATGAAGATGGTCTGGGTATTCCTTTACCGCCAGATTTGGTCACTTTGGTGGAACTGGACGATATGAGGTACTTGACAGAACAGTACGCTTTCACGCTACCAGAACCGCCACAGATGCAGAATCACGGTAAGAATTATATTACTTCATTGAACCAGGTTGTCCAGTACTTGGCAGAGCAAGCTGAAGAATTAGGGGTGGAGCTTTTCCCAGGCATTTCTGTCTCTGAGCTTATATATACAGAAAACGGCGACGCCATTAAAGGTGTGGCCACCAGAGACGTGGGAATTGGTAAAGATGGTGCTCCACTTGGCTCTTTTGAGAGAGGCATGGAATTTCACGCTAGAATGACCGTTTTGGGTGAAGGTTGCCATGGTTCGCTTACGAAAAAGGCCGTTTCCAAGTTCAACTTGCGTGCCAACTCAGATCCACAAACCTACGGTATTGGAATTAAAGAAGTATGGAGAGTCGATGAATCTAAGTTTCAGCAAGGCTTTGTGGGACACTCTATGGGTTTCCCCTTGCCTCTGGATGTCTACGGTGGTGGATTCATGTACCATTTTGGAGATGGACTTGTTGCTGTAGGTCTTGTTGTTGGTCTTGACTACGCCAACCCATACATTTCGCCATACCAGGAGTTCCAAAAAATGAAAACACATCCATACTACGCTGATGTTCTTGAAGGCGGTGAGTGTGTTTCTTATGGAGCCCGTGCACTTAACGAAGGTGGTTTACAGTCCATTCCTAAGCTTCATTTCCCTGGTGGTGTACTTGTGGGTTGTTCAGCTGGATTCATGAATGTTCCTAAAATCAAGGGAACCCATACTGCCATGAAGCTGGGCATTGTAGCTGCCGAACTGATTTTCGAAGCTGTTAAGGAATTAGATGTGGTTGATGAGGAAACGAACTTTGACGAGGCTCTTGATTTAAAAGCCTACGAAGACTCTCTCAAGGAATCCTGGGTCTACGAAGAACTCCATGCCGTCAGAAACGTTCGTCCTTCGTTTAATGGCCCTCTAGGCTTCTTGGGCGGTTTGGCCCATTCTGGTTTCTCCACCATGTTCTCCAACGGTAAAGAGCCATGGACGTTATCTCACAAGCACACCGACGCCGAAGCCACGAAACCAGCATCTGAATTCACGCCAGTGGAGTACCCAAAACCAGACGGAAAACTCACATTTGACATTTTGACGTCTGTTTCCAGAACAGGTACTTACCATCAAGAAGACGAACCATGCCATTTAAGAATCCCACAACAAAACCACAGAAAGCATGCTGAAATATCATTTCCTAAATTCAAGGGCATCGAACAGAAGTTCTGTCCTGCTGGAGTTTACGAATATATCGAGGACGAAGAAGAGCCTCTTGGAGTGAAGTTCAACATCAACAGCCAAAACTGTATTCACTGCAAAACTTGTGACATTAAGGTGCCAGCACAGGATATCAACTGGGAGGTTCCTGAAGGAGGAGACGGGCCCAAGTACTACATGACATAGGCATGTAGGCACCATGTATTATAGCAGCATAAATAACCTACACGGCATGAGATGAACTGAATGTAATCTAGCGTGATGAGACACTCTGTCTCGTATTATACAAGCACAAGTCTGGGGCTGTAGACTTGTGGTGGGTTGGTTAGATCAACTGAATAACTTATCCAAATCAGACAAACTGATATCTTCAGGAGCACCGATTTCCTGGCTCAAGAAGCCCAGACGAACAGCGTGCTGCCAGTCTTTAGCCTTTGGAGAAGCTGTAGCTTCTGGAGTAGCTGAAGAAGCTGGAGACGTGCCTGAAGAAGAAGCCAAAGACGACGCCAGCGACGAAGATGTCGAGTTGGCAGCAGCAATGGCCTTCAAAGCAGCAGCATGTAAAGCAGCAGCAGCAGCAGCAGCGTTAGGACTAGGAGAGCACGGAGCCTTGGAAGCTCGTGGAGCAGCGGCAGCAGCGGTAAGGAACTTGGCCTTCTTATTCACAGAAAGGTAAGACATGGACTTGGAACGCTTACCATTCTTCTTCAAAGTGTCAATGACGAAATCAGGCATATCGTCGTCGTCGTCATCCTCATTGAACACCTCCAACTCGTCAAAGTCAAAGTCGTCGTCCTTCTTCACCGGCGACAGCAGCTCCACCGCGTCGTTGTTCTTAGCAGCCAGTTCCTCGACAGCCTCCGACTTCTTGGCCTCTTCCAACTTCACCTCAGTCAAAGAGGCCGCCACGGGCGCCAGCGCATACGGCACGAACAAGTTGGACCGGTCGATAGGGCTCTCGACGAAAGCAGGTCTGTTGACGCCCAAGTCGAACATGGTCAGACGACGAGGCTTCAGCATGGCCAGGTGTTTAGCGGCTTCGAGCGAGTCTGCGGCAGGCGACGCCGAAACGGTGTTTTTGGAAACCACCGAGTTGGGCAGTGTGCCTGTTGCAGGATTAGCAGAGACAGAGTTGTTCTGGTTGTTCTGGGATGAGTTTCCAGCCAAGTGGACATGGAAGTTCTTGGCCAAAAGGCCTCTGTAGACGTAAACCATACGTTTTGGCGAAGCGTCGGCCCATTCACGGGAAAGAGCGTAGCGTAAGTTGGAGTCGCCCTTTTCCACACGTTTCACGTACGCATTGAGTTTGGCGCTGACCAAGTTGGAGGTTTTCGACGATAACTGGGCCATTTCTGGGTGTCTTTCCACAAGCACATCACAGATTTGTTTCACAGTCATGCCAGCGCCCACAGGGTCTTTTTCGTATAGAATAAGGAAAATAGCATAAAGCACATCGTCTTCTAAAGAAGCATCGCCTTCCTGTTGTGGTTTAGGTTTCTCTCCAGTCACAGGAATAGTAGTAGAGATACCAGTAGCAATGGGCACTCTCGAAGGCACCTTGACCTTCTTCGTCATAAACCCACTGCCAGCACCATAAAACAGACCAGCCGCCAGCACAGGCTGAGGCGTAGAGTCCCTGGAGCTAAACGACAGCGTCAGCAGCTTCTTCTGCGATTGCATCAACAGATCAGGCAGAATCAGGCGGGAAGTAGGCGACAAGTCGCCGCCAGCAGTAGGACTGGCACTGCCAGCACGAGCAGGTTCTTGTTGTTGTTGGATCAGCGAGGATGCCGTCTCAACGCCCTTTAAATCGGAGATGGTCGACTTCATCGGGTACGCAGGCGAAGCGTGCGTTGAAGTAACTGGAACGCCAAGAGGTCTTTTGTCTGCCAAAGCCATAATACTCTTAGTAGGACATATATCAACGGATGTGGCGAGGGATGGGGGATCAAGGAGTAATACAGGGGATGTTTGTGTGGAGCTCAGCTAACTGAATAACTGAGGACAAACAAGGGTAGAATTAAACAGGGAAGCTAGAAGGTATTAGTAATGGTGATGGATGGAGCCAGCAGACGAAAAAGGTGCCGCAGAGAGCCCTCTTCATCCTGCTGGGTGTCCTTAAGAATGGCAGGTCAATCAGAGAACTATGTCTTCACTGATTTGCACCCAGACCAAGTCCAAGCTGAGAACTTGACACCACTTCACTTTGGGACAGACCTGCTGGAAAGAACAAACATACTGAATATATGGAGACGCTTTGGGAGCGGAAAAGGGATGTATCAGTATAAAAAAGGGCCTTTTTCGCTTTTGGGATGAGTAGTTTTTCTTCTTCTTCTGGTTTTCTGCTTCAGCTAAGAGCAGGAAGGGATAGAAAGAAAAAGTAAAGGGGGATATAAAGATAAAAAAGCGCCGGAGCACAGGGGATTGGGATTGTTTTCTTTTAAATAAAGATATAAAAAAAAAAATTCAGGTGTATCAGGAAAAATTGATATATGATTCTTCTTTTTTTTTTTTTTTTTTTCTATGCAAGGCTTATCCTGTGATCGCACTTTTTTTGGATCATGGACTGTCACGTGACGCGCCATGATATCAGCCCTACTGTCGTCAAACGCTCACAATTTGCATGGAAAGCGAGTCGCCACGGGGTGCACACCACTGGGGAGGCAGAAATAACCTTCCTACACTGAATCTTAACGTAGGTGGGGAACTTTTCGGTCCTGAAATTTTTTAGAAACTTACAACCTGCATATAGCCGAGCCCGGCTTCTCCAGTGTCCCTATCTTTCCAAGCGAAAAGCAGTCACATCCAAAACATAGAAGCACGGCACAGATTCCAAAGATAATGCGGGCCGCTATCGCGCAGAAAAAGCTTATATGTGAGGTCGTGCCATGTTCATAATTAACGCAGGCGACCCTTCTTTTATGGAAAGGCCCTGCAGTCACAGTCATGCAAGGGCACGTGACTGTACATATAGAAGCTTTTTTTCGCTTCAGCTATCTCACGTCACGTGGTCTCGGGCCAGAGGGCTGCTACCCTATACCTCATCTGTTTTATGCCATGCGCTTACGCGGCTTGCATGGATCATATGCGCTTACACGGCCTGCTCCCTCTGGTACCTTATACCTGCCAACGTCTTTTGGAAATCCTCCTTCCAATACCCATCTGGGTACGGATTCTCCCTAGGCCCCGTAGGCGGCACAAACCACCAGTTGAGGGCCACGTGGGCACCGCTTTCGGCACCGTCCTCAGCCAAACTCGTCACTTCATGGAACCAGCCAGTAGGAAGGTAAAGCATTTCGCCAGGTTCTAACCAAACCTCGAGTTTCTTAAGATCAAGGAACCCTGGGAAGTTAGCATTGGCATACTCTTCCAAGGATTGACGAGACTCCTCGGGCACTTCGTCCAAATGAGCTAGAACTGGCGGAACGGTAGAGAAACTGGGTGGATCCAAATCAGACTCTCCTTCAACAGCTGGTTCTTCATCGTCAACCATCCCTTCAAGTTGTTCCTTCAGGTAGGTTGAAAAATCGCCCTTTTCAAGCATCCACCATGCCCATTCACTGATCATCGCTCCATCTGCTCTCATGGGTCTCCAGAACCTGGCTCTTTCGTTAACCTTATAGTCTATAAGGCCATTGGGGAAAATCCGTTTGATTTCGCCCACCGTACGTAGCTTTTCGGCGTCCTGGGGCGAATACAACGTAAACCGCTTCTTTCCTTGGACTAAAACATATAAGTTATCAGCATGGTCGTGATGAAGACCAGAAGAGTTTCCTTTGGGCACGTACCGTCCAAGCAACTCCTTAGAAGGGCTGGTGAAGTCTGGAGCCGTCTTTGGAGAGCTTCTGCTGGCGCCCATCCATAAATTGATCTGTTGAGGAATCAACGGCCCGAATATCTCTGGAACCAAAGGAAACTCTTTCTTCTTGTAAAGCTCAGTGAGTGGAGCCTGGAGAAGCGTCGAAATACGAGCATCCACTTCGTCCTGGGTGAGTTTATGTTCTGGAACGACATACTCTTCGTCTTCGTCTTGGGCCTTCTCCAGACCCAGATCTAGCTCGTCAAAGTCGTCTCGAAGGTTATCTAGATCAATGGAATCGTCACTTTCCGAACCGTCATATGGAACAGCGTCGCCAAAGCCACCACCTTCGTTGTCTTCGTCTTCGGATTTGTCACCCCCACTGTGGATCTCTAGATCGTCGTGGTGATCGAAGATCTCCCCCTCTTCAGGCGTCCCAGGTGAGTCGGACGCCTCAGATTCGTTGGCTGCCTCGTCAGCTGCTGAAGCAGCTGTCTCGGCATATTCATGCTTCTCGTATTGTGTTGTCAAATAATACGAATCATCGCCGCTGGCCAACTTCTCCACGATCTGCCCAAACCTCATCTCTTGACGTTTCTTGCCCAGGCCAAACCCGAGCCCGTGCTTTCTCTCCACCTGTAAAAGCCCATTTTCAGCTTCTGGCAATGCTTGAACAATTCTATCCAACCGAAACTGGCCAATGTCAATGGGTACCAATTGTGGAGCGATGATCTTGACTGGTTTCCTGGATTCCACGTATTTCTCATAGAAACCCTCCAGCGACCGAGCCACCGCTACCTCTGGTCCATCCACAACAAACCCATTATAACCATTAACAGGCAAAGCCTGTTTCTTCACCAGCAGGTCCTGATCTAGACTTCTTTTCATAAAGAGTTACCTGGTGATATGGAATGTACAGGAGAGTTTTTCACCCCAGAAGACCCTGAAGTGGGAAAGCTACAAATATGATACTTGGACGAACAAGGGGACCGGTTTTCCGTGACAATTGACCGGAAGTTGGTAGGCAAGTGGTATTTGAAGGAAAAATGTCTTTGGCTGATCTCTGGAGTATGGGAAGTAGTGCAAGAGGTGAATAGGAAAGGGAAGGGGAGGGAGGGATGGAGAATGGAGGGGATGGCCAGACGAATAGACGAAGAGAAGGAAGCTTATTTGGGGTGTTCTGGCTGTTCTGGGTTCCAGTGGTTCGTTTGTGGTCCTGGTTGGAATGAGGGCTGAGTGGAAGTAGAATAGCCAGAACAGATACTGTTGGGATGCAGATTCTGAGACAATTGACAATTGACAATTGACAATTGGACTGAAGCGTGCTAGACCCTTAGTATCGTTCGACGATCTTAGGTGCTTTAAAGTTAGTGCTAAAGAATGGACGAGACAAGTCTAGGGAGAAAGGAGAACGAAGCGTGGGAAGGACAAGGAAGACAAAAGGGGATCAGAAGGGACAAGAGAGGATCAGAGGGGACAAGGAAAGACCGGGAGGGACAAAAGAGGGCCATAAGGAAAAGCCAGGAGAGACAAAAGAAGGCCATAATGGGAACAAAGTACAATACAAAGAACATTTTAATTACAAGACAGGCATCTACAAGAAGCAAAAGGACAAGGAACCACAAGGACAAGGAAGGAAGCAGGGGCATCGGAATTGGCATTTTTGGGGGGAGGGGGTTGCAATTGACTTGGCTTGAACAGGTTTAGGCTCGCCGGAAAATGGTGTTACTTCTGGATTGGTGCTTATGAAAAGTGGCCTGCCATCGGCTTCTCCATTTGGCAATCGAGCCGAAGCCGTATATTCACCAATGGAGAATTAAGGTGGCGTAGAAGAACCTTATTTTGGGGGGCACATGAAGGTGAAGGTGGCTTTGGCGGCTTGGAGGCTGAATGGATGGACAGTTCAAGTCGAGACTGACAGGGCAATGAACGATGGAGGGTAGGATGTGGAAGGTGGAGGATGGTGGAATATGTAGAAATAGTAGAATACGTAGAATACGTAAAAATAGTGGAAATGGTAGAAATAGTGAAAGTAGTGGAAATGGTGGGTATGGCCTGACGACCATACCCACGCCCAAGACCCATTCCCTGGCGCTGGCAGCACCGTCAGATTGCCCATTGACTCTTCAATGGGTCCCTGGCAAAGCCCATAACGGAAAAGGGGGGCTTTTTTCGTCTGGCGCTGGGCAGGTCTAAGAGAGTTAAGGCAGAAAACACAATGTGGGCGATGTTGGCTTGTGAATGCAAGTAAAAGGAAAGACGACGATTCGTGCAACGCCTTTTTATTGGGGGGGGATTCATTTAGGAGACGTTCCGGCCAAAAGAACAAACGCCCGAATTGGATAAGTTGTTTAAGTGGGACAATGGGCTTTGAAAGAACAAAAAGTTGCACAACAGAAAAGACAAATTATCCAACGAACGTTTGTTGTTTGATTTACAATGGGAAAGAGAGAGAGAGTCGTTACCAGCGGGCCGCCGTCGTTAATTAGCCTTTTGGAGGATGTGGAGGATTTGGAGGGTTATGGATTTAAGGCTTTTTCAAATAAGGCTTTAAGGACTTGAAGCATTTGATTTTTTTGCTGTGTAAGGCTGAATGGAACCGGGAAAGCTGGGCTTTTTTCTTAGCGGGTTTCTCCTTTCCCTGTTAACCTGTTATACATAAACCACAGTTTTTAGGGGTGGTTTAAACCGAGGATACGGCCATGGCTTCAAACAATCCATATGATTCATGTATATCTCTTCATTTGCAGACAAAGATGCCAACCAATGCAGGGCCACAATGCTGGAGATTAACCTAATTGTTCCCCCCTGGTGGTCTTTCCACCCTCTGGGCTACTTGTTTGCTTGGTGATACGTGTATATGTGTGTATTTGTATTGTCTCTGGTCTAAGCGCAAACGCATTAAGAAAGAAAAACTGGTGATTCTTTATCCCTTGGCTGGAACCTCACTTAGTGAATGTAAAACACAGCTTTGCTCATGCTCTTGGAACGCTTCACGCCAGGCGCATGTGCCTGTTCGTAGCTCCTCTTACCGCCAAACATGGCTCTGTCCAGCTCGGCAGGCAGAAGGTTGGGCGACGGTAATGTTCTTTGTGAACGTGGCAGCAATGCATGCAATCCAAACGGTTTAGCGTATGTGCCAGGTTGAGAGGTTGTAGTAGCTGTAGCAGGAGCAGAAACCTGAGGGGTCAACGCTGGACGAGTCATGGTGGGAGGCTCGCAGGACAGGAAGTTGTTAACTTCGCCGTTCTTCGGGCTGATGCTCGAGGAGATTGGTGTTGCAGGGTAGAATTGGGGAGTCACCAGGCCGCCAATACTGCCAGTAGGAGAACGAGAAGATGGCTCGTCTCTGGACACTGGAGTGTTCAACTCAATCACACCACAGTCGCTGGATGTTGGAGCAGCGCCAGTGTGGGAGAAGACCGAGTTGGGGGCCAAGTGCTTCCATGTGAAAGCAACAAGCTGCTTCATGAGGTTCAAGAAACGCAGGTCCTCGTTGAAGTATTTGGTCTTAAGCGAGGGTGGAGGGCACTTGAGCACTTTAATGAGCAAACTAAACGCCAGGTTGTAAGTGGAGTGGTTGACAATGGGCACCTCGGTCTCCACGGCAACGTAGGTCAAGAAAGCATGGGTGGTGAAGTCGTTGCTTGTGTTTAGTATGAGACAGGCAAGCAAGACACTCATGAGGGCAATCTTCGGAGAAGAATAGTTAAAGTAGATGTTTGGATAAAACTGGATAAGCTCACAAATGTAAATGGCAACAATCTTGACATCATTGCATGCCTTGTGGGGGTTCTTAGAACCTGCTAAGAAATGAGACAGGGCCAAGGCATTAATGTACAAGTCGACAAAGCCATCAAAAGTAGGAGCATCCACGAGCCAGCCCAACAGCTTCAACACGTGGTTTCCATCTCCAAAACAACTTTTTATCGTAGCAATGGCAGCAGTACTTGCACAAGTCATTGAGACTTGGAATCCTAAACTTGGAGTCCAAGTTCTTGCAAGCAATCCAAAGCGCCGTCAAGCCTAGAAGCTGGTAATGCTGCTTCTTGACAATGCGGACCGAGCAGTAGCGGTCAATGATATTGACGGTAAGTGGGAAGGTCAGTTTGGACAAGTTGAGCTTGTTGATCACGTCCATCAAGAAATCAAGCAAAAGCGGTCTCATGCGAAGATTAATCTCGGGCTGCTGCTGGATCAAGTGCAAGTTTGGTCTTGTTTTCAGGTCCAAGTCCAAGAGATGGTGGTGAATGTCAAGCTTATACTCGTCAACGTGGGCCTTGTGGGCCTTGTACTCGGCTAGCTGGAGACGAACGTCCTGAGCCTTAAGAGATGCCTGGGAAACACGAACATTATGGTAGAAATCCGGGGAGCTCATGCTATGTGAAAAAACAACGGGGAACTGTGGTTTAAAAGCGACGAGACCATATAACGAGTGGGGGCTAATGCAAGTGGTGACAACAGCAACAACAAAAAGAAACAACAACAACAATTGAAGTGAAGAATGAAACGAAGGAATATGTGATGAAGGTGTTTTCCCTTTAATTTTTGTTAACAGCTTAATGCTAGATGCAAATAGGTCTCTCAAAGACAAGAAAAACTTGTAAAGACCGTCAAATGCAAAGATGGAGAACTGATGAGTTCCTCTTGTTCAACAAACCGTAGAACAAGGACTGGGGTAGGGAAATGTGGAAAATAAAAAGGATATGCTAGAAAGGACTGGGAGCCTTTTATAAGGGATTGGGATGGGAAGGGATGATGATGGTTGGACACGAACCAGGAGTGGATGCCTGATGGTGTGTTGTTTCAAAGAAAAAGGGATGATTCTAAGATAGAAGAAAAAAAAAAAGAAATAGATATGTGGGAAAAGTGGGAATATTATATATATATATAAAGGGGGGGTTAAGATAGGTGAATGGGAGTGAAGGGTTTGTGGTGTGTATGTGGTGTACGGGTTTTGCGGAAAGGACATTCAAGAAACTTTTTGTATGTATTTTAATTTTATGCGTTAATTTAGCATGCACGACGCACGACGCATTGCGTGCATGCATAACATGCATGACATGCATTGCGTGCATACCCACCACACCCCCCAAAAGAAAACCCCAAGAGAGATTTGTTCAGACGCTTAAGCTGAAGGGAAACTCTGTGAGAGGCCTGGCACCATTGAACATGCATGCGCTATGCACGAGACAATAGACGCTCCCAGCGACTTTTCTCTTTGTCTGTGATGTGTTGTCGAGACTGGGAGAACCGGGGGTTGGCAGTTTCCATAGTGATTTTGATTTATGGCGAATGGGGGGCCCCAATTAGCGGGGTGACTTGGGAAACCAAAGACTTGGAAGAATGAGTATAATGAAGAGACCCCTTTATTCGTTTTTCCTCGGTTACTGGGCAAATGTATGTTCGTCAATCACTGTGGAAACAGTTGCAGGTCTCACAGGCACTGAGGCTAGCCCTCGGAAGTAGGGCCAATTTTTTTTTTTTTTTTTTTTTTTTTGGTATTTAATGGTGGCTGCATTTTGTGGCCGGAACTCGTCCCGTGGCTCGAAAAGTCGCGCGCGTCAAAATTGATTTAATCCTCGATGAGGAACACCCGTACCACTGCGGCTGGCGTGGCCTATTTCTAGCACAAACCGAGATTCACCATTTTACCCCCGGTTCTCGGTGTCTCTTTGACCGGCCATTTTGCAAAGATAGAGGAACAGGGATCGACCTTCCGAGGGTGGGTTGCCAGGCAATAACCCCCCACTAAGGTCATGGATTTTTTTTCTACTAATTTCACCCCTCTTACTTAACCCACCTTTACTCAGGAAGCATGATCTCGTTGGTAAGTAAGGCTGAGATGTCTAGAGGGGAAAGAAGCGGGAAAAATGAGACCACCTACGCTGGTGCACGGACCTTGACGACTTTTGCAACTTTTGCTAACTTGTGTGTCTTTCTTGGTCCCGTTTAGTTCCGAGGAGAGACTTTTTTTTTTCGTTCGTTCTCTCGCTCGGAAGTCCAGTCACCTGATCGACCGGCTCTCGAGGGACGCCCCTTTACCCCCGGTGACCCCCCGGTAACCCCTTCAGACCTGTACGTCGTGCGACATAAAGTCGGCAGCGATGTCTCTCACCGAGAACTGTTATAATTTTTCCACACCCGTACCTCCCATGACTTCAATGGTTATTTTAGAATGAAAAAAAAATAGGGATAAAAGAGCGACTTTTTTTACCCTATCCTTCACTGGTGCACGGGTCTTTTTCTTTTTCTCCTCCACCTCTTCACATTATCTCGGATGTAAGGGTTTTTCACTTTTCAGACTTCAACCACTAACCATGGAACAACTTCTAACCCAGCACAAAAAGGAACAAAGAGACCTCGTAAGCCGAATCACTGGTCTCAAGAAGCAAGCCACCAAGAAGAACAGAAAGTCTGTGCTTTCCCAGTGCGAACAGCTTCAAAATGACTTAGATACGAAGCAAAAACGTGAAATCGAAGAGCTCAACGGAACCGCTCCAGAAAAAGACGACGACGTCTCTCCAGAAGCTCTTCTTGCGTCTATGAGCCTTGAAGAAGCCTCAAAACCTGTTTCTGAATCCTCAGAACCCTCGTCAAACCCCAAAACCAAGCGTAACAGAGCCAAAGAACGGTTGCAAAAAAGACAAGAACAGTTGGATGCCATGCGAAGCCAGGCGTTGGAAGAAGCCGCTGGAGAAACCGATTATAGAGCCATTGAGCAGGAGCTGATGGGCAAAGTGCTTGCAGCCAATGGGCTTGCAGCGTGGGCGATTAAGCCAGATGGACACTGTCTATTTGCATCCATTCAAGACCAGTTGAAACAGAGACTGGGCGTGGAGGTTAGTATAGAGAAGTTGAGAGAAGAGGCGGCCGAGTACGTTAGAAAGCACCGGGACGAGTTTGTGCCGTTTTTGTTTGACGAACAGACGATGCTGTTGAGAGACGTGGATGAGTATACTAGAGAATTAGAAACCACGGCCATGTGGGGGTCAGACATGGAGATAATCGCTTTGGCCAGGCGGTATGGTGTTGTGATTAAGGTGTTTAGTGCTGGGCTGGCGCCAATCATGTTTAACGAGGACCTTCAGGGTTTGGAGGACAGAGAGGATGAAGAGGAGGATAAAGAAGAAGGCAGTCTTCCAGAACCAGGCACAATGCTCTACTTGGCATTCTACAAGCACAACTACGGGTTGGGCGAACACTACGACTCGTGTAGGGACGCTGCCTAGATGGAGAAGACAAAGTAAGACATGGACTTACGAAGACACCAGAAACACAATGAATGGATATGTTCCAGATCTGGAACATCCCTGATCTGTGGAGAACTCTTTAAAGGCCCCCAGGAGTCCCTTCTCGGTGTTTTCATGACATTTGCGCCCCTTCTGCTGCTTCTACCCCTTCTATCCATCCCCTTCATTGTCAGCATTCACCGATCCATACTCGTACTTGTTCTTCATCCCCATCACCACGATTCGGCGCCAAAAACGCTTCCGAACCCGCCCTGGATCTCCCCACAACCTTCTTTTTTACCCCAATCTTTACCCCATCCTCCTTTTCCCCAGGAACTAAGTACCGATCAGCAACTTAAAGCAAATCGTGTTTCTCCTTCAAAGAAGCACCTTCTGACGGCAACTTACGAACCGCCCCTGGAAAATACGCCAAATAGGAGTGGGTACCCCTAAACCGATTGTATTGTTCCAAAGCCAAATCCCCACCTCCCCTTTTGTCGGTTTCTTGCTACGATCATTCCGGTACCCCTCCAACGTGAATCTCCATATATACTGGAGTTTTACCAAAAGACGGTTTAGTCCATCCAAGGCGGTATCTTCTTGGGCTTCCCGCCTGGCTTGACGTCACCGCAAACTCGTCAACGTTGGACGGCTCGAGGCGGTGTTAGAGTTTGCGATTTGCCGATTTACGGTTTACGGTTTACGGTTTGCAGTTCACGGTTTCTACAGTTTCCACGGCGACCTCGGCATCACCTGTCAACGAAAATAGACTGTGGCTGTTTTTGGGTAACGCTTTTTGGGGCTTTGTGGAAGCGGAACACGAACGCTTACGAGGTTCATTTGCTGTTTGGCGGGTTTATCTGGGAGAAAGAGAGTCGGATCAAAGCGGGATGCCGTATGAGGATACAGATTCGCTTGAAGATTGCGTTTTTTTGAAAAAGTCCAGTGGTGGTTTTGTGGAGCCTGGAGCAATTATCTACGACGGAGGCTTGATCCGAGGATGTGGGTTTAGTCAAGGCCTGAAGGGTAATCTGCAAAATTGGAGACACAAACGCGGTTTATAGAGATTTACGCTAATGCCAGCAAACGCCTTATTCATGATTAGTGTATGGGCGGTTCTTGGAAATAGCAAGGTAGGTTTTTAGGGAAGAATCTTCCATGCGTCGACGAACATGGAACCAGCAGGAGAGGGTGTGGCCTGCCTGGCCTGGCTGCAGTACGTGCTTTAGCAAACAAAGGAATCGTCGACGCGGGTGAAGGTAGGGTTGTGCTTGTGTGCAGTCCGCGACGGCGAGGCACAGGGGAGGGCGTTTTGATAAAGGGAGCACAAATTGACGCACATGGCAAAGCAGAAAAAATAGAGGGTTTTTTCTCGGTTATGTGCAGTACCGTGTCTTTGTTTTAAACGTCACTTTTTAAGCTTTATACTGCACAATGGACGTTTTTACGAGCCACATAAAGAAAAAAATAAAAAATTTTCCCCCAACGCTTGATTTGATTGGGCACTTTCTGAAAAGTAACAAGAATCCTCTCACATCCTCCCACCACCCGTGCGGCTCCCTCCCTTCGCCTAAAATGTGGCTTGAGAGAGAGATTGCTAAAAAACCCTATTCCATAGATAAACAGCAACCCTAGGACATCCAAAGCCATCAAACCCCATCAAAAAGGCCTTTTTCGTCAAACCCAGTCCAAATGAATCCTGGTCCAAATAGCCTCCCTTTAGCAGACACTGCCTTGAAAGAACAAATCCCAAAAACCTTCTTTCTTCGATTCCAGCGCCAAAAGTGCCATAGCAAGCATTCATCCAAATTGCCATGGTTTTAGCCTTTGGCAAAAACATCCTCCCCGCAGGTTTTGTGTCATTCTCTCATGTCTTACAAGCCCTGGCGCCCTCCCGGGTAACATTTACCCATGATTGCTTTAACCGCCCAGCATGTAAATGTCTCAGAATGTGCAACGGATAGCTGGTGAAAAAGCAACTTCACCGAAGCTTTGCGATGGTCTGACATGAAATTCCAGCAACTGTTGGTCCAGGCGGCTGAATGGGCTTGGAAGAGGGTCTATTTGGACCAGGAAAGTCAGTGAGCGCTGGGGAGAGGTGGAGGGAAGCCAGCAACTTGTCAGACACTTCCCCTGGCTAGCCGTTGGCAAGGGAGGCAGGTTGCATCTGGCCAGCTACCGTGGCAATGCGAGAAACCACAAAAAGATGCCGCCAGGTGGCTAAATCCTCCAATTGACCGCAGGTCGATTGGAGGTTACAACCAATACTTTTAACTAAATGTGACAGTTGACTAAACCGATTTCGAATCCCAACTAACTAAATTCAGCTTATTCGTTTTCTTCGTTACCCACCAATCCACCATTCTTCCTTCCCTTTCTTTCCTTCCTCCTCTGTCTCTTTGTACTACATTACACTTGGCCCTTGCTCTGTAAACCTCCACAATGCCAGCTACAAAGTTGCCCAGGGCTAGGCTCCTATTTTTCCTCTTTCGACAGAGTCTCGCCTCGCCTCGCCAAAGCCAGGAGGATGAAATTGTGTGAAATTGACCTTTTTACCGAAAACAGACTGCGATTGTCGTCCAGCGCCGCTTATCTTGGCTTTTGGATGGGAAACGACACAAAGCCGCTGCCAGCCGGCAAAAAAGAGAGCAGGAAAAAAAATTGGTGGTTGGCAAGGTGATTATTTTTTTTTTTTTTAGCTAGTAAAAGGTAAAAAAGCACTAGGCGTTAATTATTGGGGGTGGCTGTTTTATACCGCTGTGCCGGTGAAAAAAAGTGGAAAAAAAAAGAAAGGAGGAACGAAGGAAAGTGGTTGGAGATGAGGCTGAGAGGAAGATGGCTTTTGGGGGGGACGGGGGGTATACTGTGGATCACAGGATAGAGATGTGGGTTACTGATAAGGAAGGATGGTTATATGGATGGGAGGTAACAGATGGCGGTAGGCGGTAGCCGTGTAAGAGCATACTTTAATTACTTGCATGGGCGACATAGATAGGAGTGCCTCCCGACGTACGGAGATTGACTCGACTCGAGGGCCGGTACGCCCGAGGGTCGACCGGAGAAGTTCCGACTGCCCCTACTTCCGACTTCCGAGGGTAGGAAAGTCGCTTATGTCTCTGCGCTGTCTAGTTGTTCCGACCGACCACCAACCCCCCCCCCCCCCCCCCCGAGGGTCACGTGATCCGGCCCAGTCTATTCCGAGGCGCCTCGTCTCTCCACCCGAGGTCGACCGGACCTCGTCCCTCGTCTCAGTGTCTGTCTCGACCGGATGTCCGTAATGTCGTGGCCCACCATCCACCCACCTCCAAACGTCTACTATAAACGAAGAAATCAGGCAACCCTAGCTCCCTCCATCCCAGCCCTCCCAGACCATCTGCCCCAAGAAAATCCATTCCAACCCCGGAATCATGCCTCACCGCACAGCCCAAGTCGCCCCACAAATGTCCCAAGCCAGTATCTGTAAGTGGTGTGAGGTTGCAAAATATCCACCCCAGCGGCTCGCGGCAAACGGAACCCATTGAGCCTCAGAAGGGGTGGAGAGGAAGTGAAGAAAGTGAAGAAAAATAATGGAAAAGTGGAAAAGGTGGAAATAAAAAATGGAAAACCTGGAATTGACGAAATCCAATTGGATCTTCCCTTTTTTTATTTCTCCAATTCCTCTTCGTCTTCCTCCACTTCCTCTTGTCTCTCCACCACTTTGCCAAAAAAGTCGCCTGGCGATGCCCTCACCGCAGCGTTAGCGCAGGCGAAAACGTGGAATTCCTTAGCGTTTTGCAACCGCCAGACCTGCCTCTCCAAATCCACCTATAAGGGCTTTCTTTTTTTCAAAAGTCTCTCTCCCTCTAAAGATCTCTATTTCTATTTATACATTTCACCTTCCACCTTTGAATCTGTTTATTCTACTTTCACTTTTACCTTAGTACTTCCTCTTCTCTTCCTCTTCTTCCTCTTCCTCTGTGAGGCGTGGGGCTGGCTCCAAGAAGCTTAATAGTACATGAAATGTTTCTTTTTCGCTGTTTTTGCTTCTGCTGCCGTCACCACACTGGCAACCAGCGGCAACTGGCAGTGTCGTGAAGGAGTAGCGTGGGGCGTTGGAGTCCATTGGAACACCGTTTGTTGGGATGCCTCAGACGATGAGCCTCAGACACAGTTAGGGCTGAGCGAGGGCTGAGTTGGGTATTGGAGGGCTGAATCACTTAGGGCTAAGTCGTTGGGTTACTATGTTAATGTAAATTGGCGGGTTGCCTGGTTGGTTGGTTGCCAGGTGGAACTGTGCAACTGGGTTTCGTCAAGGTGGCTCTGTTCGCCTGGAATGGGCCCACTGGCCAGGGACGGTTGCTTTTTATGAATTCTGGCTGGTTCTATTATTTATATGGTTGGGTTATTTTTTTTGGATTACTCTACGGGTGTTTATTGGCTGGGGAGGTTGCTCTGGCGGTAGATGGCGTCGTTTGGTGGGTTGTCTTATGTGGGTTTGGTAAGTGTAGACGAGATGGAGGGACAGAGCAGATACGGGCCCAGAGGATGTGGGAGGAGGAGGAGGAGGAGTGGGAGGGTTGTAGACGAGGAAGGGAGTAGGTTAATTGACGTTGGTGGTGGAAAGTGGTGGAAAGTGGTGGGAAGTTGTGGAGTGGTGAGTTAGGGCTAATGGGTGCAAATTGCAATTGTAGATGGAGGAAGGAGGATGTAAAGGAGGGAGTGTATTAGAGGGATATTTTAGGGTAGGTTAATTGTATTTGGGCATTTTGGGGTTTTTTTGGGTTGCTGGTTGTGGGGTTTTGGACTGGGTAGTCTGGTATTATTTGAAGAGCATGGATGCTTATACTAAATAAGGAGAACACCACCAATTGAGCTAAAAAAGGGGCGATAGTCGTTTTCATGATGCTTCTTGAATTACCTGGATTACTTGGATTATGACAAGAGAGGTTCTCTGTTAGTCTACCTGTTACTTGGCTTCTACGGATACGGCTCAGAGAACAGTCCTACTAAGAACCTTAACC